TCGCAACTACCAGTCACCTTTTCGTTGAAGCAGTGAGAGGTAGGCTGCTCAAACCCATGTGACTTTCTGTCCTGTTCCACAGACATCCATATAGTTGCATTAGGCTGATCCCATCATTTCTGATAACAACGAATCACTGGCCCTCAAGGCTGGGTCCTGGCTGGATTTCTCTGGGGTCGTCCTCCTCCTCAGATACTCACTCTGTGGGCACACACTCCTCTAGCAACGGTATGCCGGACGCCTCCAAACGGCAAGGGATCAAGCCCCAGCCTGCACGCCCGCCGCCACGAAATCTCGTCTCACCCGGTTTCTGTGTCCCGCGGCATCTGGTGATGACAAAGGCCAGACGCGGCAGTGCAACGCGCGGCCTAGAACCTAATCGCCCGTAGGCCCTGGAGGGGACGCAGCCGCGAGCTGCTGTGCATTTTCCGCGGATGCTACCTACCATGCAGTCTACAAGACCATCTCGCCTGGCTCGACGCTCTTAGCACCTTGCGTCAAGGGTGTGACTCAGACAGCTCTCGGGCAGGCACAGTAATTTCTTCTTTTGCCTTGCTCTGTACCGCGCCTCGGTCCGTCCGTTGGAGACGCACCTCCCACGACTACCCATCTGTGAAACCGCTAGTGAATGCACGTCAAATGCACTCATATTGTCATGCCATTTTTTCTCTCTCCAAGTGAATACCTGCTGGTCGTTTGCAGGGAACAAAGGGACCGTTTCGATGTGCACTCGGAAGGTGAGTTTTAGTCTCCAAGTCGTCAACGGCACCCATAACGCACCCCATTTTCCCAAGGATCCCTGTCTCGATATTTAGCGTGGTAACATGCGCTTAGCATAGACGGGGGAGGGGGAGATGTGCGAAGCCTACTACTGGCGAAAGCAAAACCAACGAGCTAAGCGGGGAAGGATGGGCGCAAGGCCAGAGCATGGACTAATCGCTCGCAGTGTTGGTTCTTGTCTGTACATAGTAATACAAATAAAACTGTCGCTGTACAAGCCACGACCATTTCTTTCCCTGATATTCCCCTCGACCTGCCCCCCCCCCCCGGGTCTTGCGTCACTCTTGTTCATGACTCCTGCTCTCTCGGGCCTCTCAAGACGCTCCTTTTGCAGACGCTCCATCTCGAGATGTGATGAATCAATGAGAGGGCAGCTGGACACTGAATATTGCTCCATAGCCATTGCAGTACCTTCTGCTTCATCCCGCTCTCTCGGCCCTAGCATTACCGTCTCAAATCGCACTCCCGTCTCTAATCGACCCAGCCAGCCTCCAACCTGGGCCCCGTACCCAGCATGCCACCACGCCACCCACACGCTTGGCGTTTTTCCTTCCCCAACCTTACGCTGATAGTAGCCAACCACGAGCAAGAGAAAGCTTGGGTTGCTCCATCCAACACCAAAGTACCATATTCTGCGACTGTATCTACCTGCGCCTGTGACTTACAGTTGGAGTTATTGGCATTGCCCTTGCATCACGCCTATGCATTCATTCCGTGCCTCTGTCCACTCTCTCCCCTTCTGTGCTTGATAAGTTCCTCGGGTGTCGGGTGTGCTTCACAGTCGACACCTGTGCCTTCGGCGAACCCGCCACGACGTTCCAACGTAGCGAGTGATGGTATACCATAGATATTATTACCGGTTGCCTTCTACTAGGCTGTCGAGTCAAAATGCAGCCGCCTTGTTGTCTCGGAGGGACGGGAGGTTGGTCCAACAGGGTCTCACTCGCCATCCAAGAAAAAGGAAGGGGAGGAAAGCTAAGTATCGGCAGGAGATGTTGACAACCCTCCGGTTCCTGACGGTCAAAACCGCTTACGATCGGTCTCTCGAGCAAACTTTTGCCGAGACAAGGAGATGAGGTAGCGAGAAAAATTGATCAGCAGAGACCTACATACACAGCTAGTGCAGCCCCGGACAAATGGTTGTTTTTTTCGGCCTTTTTTTTCTTTGTTGCTTGCTTGCTTTCTTTCTTGCTTGCATTTTCTTCCCCTCCTCCTCTTTCAGCTTAGCATGTCGTTGTTTGCTTGGTTGGCGTGGCTGGCTGGCACTTGCAGAGGTTATCCTGGTCTTCTGGGTTTCAGGGGGCCCACTGTAGCCCGCCCTGACTGATTGACTGATCGGGCCTTGATCCACCCATACCCTGGTAATGATCAGCAACGAAATGGTTTGGACCGTGGGGATCCGCATACCGTAGTCATTTATTTCTTTTACTGCAACGGGGTCTGTTACTATGGTACCCATAGTAGATGGGATTTATCTTGTCACAGGAGAATAACTTTGGTCTTCTTTGGTACGGAATACCCTTAGTGTTATGAGACTAATGGGGCAACTGGCCCAAATGGACACAGACTCCAAGGTAATCATAGCATATGTTTGGTACTTGTATCTCTGTATTTTCAGTGTCTTGTGCAGATCGACCTTTATTTACACAATTCTTTTGAGTGACATGTATGGCTCTTCGCGCATTATCAGTGCTAGATGATGCCACAGCAGCCTTCCCTCCCCCTACCCTCTGTTCTTCACTTCTGCTGCTCGTTAAAGTGACGTAGCCTTAGCTCAAGGTTCCCACGGCCGTTGAGAGCGTAGAAGACCTTGTACAATTTCCCCTCTCTAGAGGTGCGCCATTCGCATCACTCGTAATGAGCTATCCGCACGTACCTTTCAACACCCTACATGATACGGAAGCCCACTGACGTTCTTAGATAATTTGGTGCTTTGTTCTACTTTGTTCTATATGACGATATGCCACCAATGGACCATGTGAGGCAACGCATGCTTTAAGCGAGGAAAAATCTTTCCAGGCGTCAGGTTATGTGTAGTGTTGATTACTTTTCCAGGGGGGGTCGGACGATCATTTCCCCCTCCAGTGGCGTTGAAAAAAGTTTTCCGGCTTGACCAGTTGATCATCATTGCTGCACGTTTCGAGGTTTCGTCTTCCATTGTACTTGGATCCTTGTCGAATATACCATAATAGAATTAGGGGCTGAATTCGGCAACACCCATCACAACAAAGTTTGTACACACTGAGCAAACGATCAGCAGCCTCGGATTCTTGGGCGGTGATTTTACTCCCTCTCTTTTTTTTTCTCCCTAAAGTCTCACAGGCGTGACTGGTCACGAAACCGGCGAAGCCTCAGCCACCTAGGAGGCTAGCACGGATGGCTCATCAGACCCCTCTCGGTCGCCGATGCTGCTTTGAGGGTAGTGCTACCGACGTGGTTTGGGCAACATGTTGATCATCACGATTAGTCTTTTCTTATGCTTCTTCTTTTTCTTTCCTTTGGGGAAGGGAGGAGGTTGGGGCGGACGCGAGCAGGACAGTGATTGGTATCTCTGTCGGACCCGAAAGTTCGTCTGAAGATCCGAAACGACCGTACAGCCTGGACATGGATCGTTGGTCTCAACAAACAGGAGGAAGTTCTGACGTGTTCGCATGGGAACATTTTTGTGCTATGGCACTTTGCGAGGCCAAGTCGTCCAGAACGGTCGGAGGACGGATGCGACTTGCGGGGCCCCTTCTCCAACCAAGGCGCCGCGAACCAAATTACGCCCTTGCAGATACCGGCTGGATCTGTCCAAGGGTGTCGATTGACTTTTTGTTCCCTCTTTTCCCTCTCGAATGACTCCTTGTATGTATGGGGCTTGACTCAGAGCCAAGAGGATGCAGGGGAGTGGGTTCCTCTCCGTCGTCCATGGTCTCATGTGCAATTGAGAGTTGTAACCTAGCTGTACATTGCAGGGTGCAAGGTGCAAGCAGGAGGGACACGCGGTGGCCTTGGTCATGGCCTGGCTCTGTGAGTTGCTCTCTCAACCTCGGAGGTGCAATTGCGAAGCATGGGGCGTATACTCTCGTCTCTGCTGATTTATTTCCGTCCCCTCTTTTTTTCTTTCTGTGTCGGGCCAGGTGCTGCTGCAAGTGGGCTCTCACCCCCGGCTCCATCGTACTTAGCTCCAGACGCCTGGTCAACGTGCTGTACTCCGAATAGCGAGTCAAGTGTCAGCCCACAGGTCCCGAGGGCCTCGACTTGTTCTTTCGTTCTTAATTGCATCACACAGATCAGCAGTGTATGAAGTCCATGATTTGCTGAGACCTTGGGGATGAAGTTGGCCGAGAGGCTATCGCGTGAAATACACCAACATTTGGCGAGGGTAGCTTTCAATAGTTTGTCAAATTTGAGACTGCTCAAATACCATTCACGTCAGGTGAGAACACCTGGATTCGAGAAAAGCGAGGTCAACTTCAGATGGAACGTCAGCAGAGCTATCAGCAATGGACGTCCAGGGTTGGGTGAGAAATTCTGGAGAAATGGTAACCTGGGACTTGATTCCCCAGACAGATATCCCTGAGTCCTCCACAGAAACCCTACGTAGCGACGGCCCGTTCTGGGGATTATCAGAGGGCAGAAAAATTGCAGCAAATCACATTGTTCCCCTGGTCTCTAGGCATAGACGATGTCAGTCCTACACTCACACTCACACTCACACTCTCACCAAAAAAAAAGTACTTTGTCTGACGAGCTTTCTCTTATAATATATGGCCACCAAAGTAGCGTCCTTCTAGTGAGGCGGCCAGTCCTTACAAGCTGTGTCCGCGTGAAAGTTGTCCAGCAGGCCCGAAGAAGTACTGTAGCGGGCTGGATTCCAAGGCATATACATGTAGAGGCCATTTCTCAGGATATCGCAAATGCAAGTCCAAAACCCCAACCCCAAACCTCTAAGAAGTAATAGAGCTAATTGCTATAGAGTTCACGCCTATAATGCTGTGCATAGGACAGGACATGACCAGCCAGCCAAGGCCACCCTAACCCTCCCGACATGGGATGCCTGCTCACGCTCTAGACAGTGACCCCTCCTCAGGCGGGCCATCCAGAAGATTGGGCTCGAAGCGCCGGAGAGCCGCATCAACGTCCCGTCTTCCTTTTGATCCTACCAATCCGTCCTTCAACAACCACCCAGCCAGTATCGACCGATCCGATTTTCCCGATATCGACGGCAGATCTGACGACAAGGACAAGGAGGGAGGGCAACAGGCTGGCCACGCCTCCACGACCGCCCGGCGACGTGCCTCTCCAGATCTCGAAGCAGCAGAGAAGCAGCAGGTGATCAACCACCGGAAACACCGCAATGATGGATGACTTCGTGTCCGAGAGTGAGAGTGACTACACTAGTTATTGGCGCGATTGGGTGAGTGAATCTGCCGCATGCCTGTTTCCCCAAATTTGCATTGTAAAACGCAAGGGCTTGGTGATTCGCCCTGTGGTTGTGGACTACCTGCATGGCCAACAAGAAGAACGACAACAACAGCAAATTGCCCACTACCACCGCCACCACCTCCCAACACCTGTCACGATCATTCCGTTCGACCATTCTGGTCTTCCCCGTCCCTGCGTCCATTTCTCCGTTTTTCATACTGTCTACAACAACACCCCTACCAGACCTAAGACCTACTGTCGTCATGGCCCAGCGAGACAAGAGGGCGGCAGGCTCTGAGCTAGAGCTAGAGCCGGCCAACAAACGGTCGAGGATCTCGAAACTGACCGAGAATTTTATGTACCAGTTCATCTCCTCACGAGGCAACGAATACTTCTGCGAGATCGACGAAGAGTACCTGACCGACAGGTTCAACCTGACGGGTCTTAACACCGAGGTGCAGTACTACCAATACGCGCTCGACCTGATCACCGATGTATTCGACGTCGATTGCGATGACGATATGCGCGAGGCCATCGAGAAGTCCGCTCGACACCTCTACGGCCTTGTGCACGCGCGCTACATTGTCACGACTAGGGGTCTAGGCAAGATGGTACGTCGCCGCAACGCGCACAGGGCTCATGGCTGCTGGCTCTAGCGTGTTCAGGAACTGACGACTGCTGCGACAGCTCGAGAAATACAAGAAGGCCGACTTTGGCAAGTGCCCACGTGTTAACTGCAACTCCCACCCTCTCCTGCCCATGGGCCTCTCCGATGTACCCAATCTGAAGCCTGTCAAACTCTGGTGCGCCCGCTGCGAGGATATGTACAACCCCAAGTCGAGCCGCCACGCCACCATCGACGGTGCCTATTTCGGCACCTCTTTCCACAATATCCTCTTCCAGGTGTACCCGTCGCTCGTCCCTACCAAGTCGACTGAACGCTATAACCCGAAGGTCTACGGATTCAAGGTTCACGCCCCTGCCACTCTTCAACGCTGGCAGGAGAAGAAGCGTGACGAGATGCGCCGCCGTCTCAAGCGCATGGAGATCAAGCCCGGTTTCAAGGACGATGGCGAGATTGACGAGGAAGAAGATGAAGATGAAGAGGCGGATCACGATGGCGGGTCGTTTCATGAGGGCACCGTCGCCGTAACTGGTGGCGCGGAAACCCAAAACATGGGTTGATTATCGATACTTGAATTCCGCTCGCCAAAGACTCCAAGGCCGCTGTCGCGTTGTTACTTCTCGACAAGACAAGAGAACACCACATTCTCTCGAAATTACCCGTCGTGATCGCTGGCTTTGGATTCAAAACCCTCGACATACCTCCTTGATATTTTCTGACTTCGGCCAGCACTGCTCTTCGGCAGTGGCGCATTCGCGTAGTCCTTTTAATATGATTCACCCACCTGAACATCATGGAATGGCATCACGGCGAACACGATTGATTTCTTGACTGCAGAGCAATCTCGGTGGACGTTCGACTTTGAATGCTACGGCGTCAGCTTAGCCGCCGATTATTCACGGAAACGTTGGGGCTCTTTTCAGGCGTTCGGCTTATTAAGAATTGGTCTGTCTGGGAAGGGTGGCAGATCTGCCTCATGGTGGGCGTGGCTCTGGGAATACCTATGTTGCGCTGAGCTTTCTACATGACGCGTATCTGGTCGACTACATGGCAGGGCAGGGCAGGGCAGGGTAGGGCGGCTTGGGGGAATCTTTTTTTACGCCTTTGGGAACTGGGTGCTCTGCGGCGTTGATAGACAATCCCAATTGTATATGCACCCACCATCGTGGATGCTATTTGCTTCTTGGTGTATTTGGTCTAGATGTATGGGTGACTATCACATTTAGATGTCCAAGGTCCAGCTTCTTCCCTCCATTCACACTCATGAGGAGAGCCCGGCCAGCGTCGCAGGTTTTCTTTCCTTCTTTTTCTTCTCGAATTCGGTTTATTACTGAGAAGAAAAACAGTCGAACCCTTCCAAGCCAGACGTATTGAAACCACTGCAGACCCACTCGGGCGCAGCACCGTCGGGCGGCGAAACGTTGATGTTGCTTGCATAGATATCCCAGCATTGCTGCGAGAAGGCACAGAGAATATGTCCAAGGTCAGCAACTGCTCGTGCTTTCGAGACCTCCACATGAAGATGATGGTGGTGATCATTAGGGCCGCTAAAGGAGGACTTACCGAGGAGGAAGAACAGACCAGTGTGCCGACGTAGGGTTCTTCGGCTGATGATGTTGTACCAGAGAAATCTTCAAAGTAGATTTCAGAGATGGTCATTTTGGACTGCGGTCGTCATCCCTTTGATTAGCAGTGCTCATTTTTCCTTGCATTTTTGAGAGGGAGGGTATCTTCTATGCACGGGATTATCGTCATTGGTACTTACCGGGTACAGCTCACATAGAGTTTCGTTGCTCTGTCCGTAACACTGGTTGACCTCGATGGCCCACGTGTCTATCAATCGTTATATCAGCACCTGGCCTTCTTGCCGAAACCGAGGAGTAAGAATAGTCAAGCTTATCAGTAGGAAAAGAGGGAGAGGTGGGAAAGGAAAAGGGAGGGAGAGGGCATACTATCCGTATTGTTCAGAATTTGGTACGTGACATTCCTCACATATCCCGAACCGCCGCCACCATCCAGCAGAGCACCCTCGCTGCTCTCGACGCCCGGCCACACCTTGATGCGCGCGCCGTCGCTCGCATTGCTCATGGAGATGTTGTAGACAGTAATATTCTCGGCGATGTCGTACTCGTCCACGTACTGGCCTAGAGAGCCGACGGAAATCCCGTGCGAGCCGTTGCAGATTAGGTTCTGGGTGGCACTTAGCAACAGCGTGAGGAGGAGGAGGAGGAGGAGGAGGAGGAGGGGGGGGGGGTAATTCGCTTGTGTGTGTACTTGCCTGGACTACAATGTTTGTGCTGTTGGGTTTGAACGACACGCAGTCATCGCCATTGTTGATCTTCGAATCTTGCACCACAACCGAGTCGGACCTGTAGATGTCCCACCCGTCTGTGTTGGGCGTCTCGTCCCCTGTGCTCCAGACCGCAGAGAGGTTCAAGTTGCTAATGGTCACATCACTGCTGTTGGCGATGAGGTTGAACCACTGCCGGGCGAAATCAAACCAAGCCAGACATCATCCCCGTCAGTCAGTGACTCTATCAATCACTGGTGTTGAGGCGGCTTTAAAGACTCACATTTGGCGGATTGACATAATTCAAGCCCGAAATAGTTGCACCCTCCAAACCGTCCGCCACGAACAAGATGGGGCGGAGCAAAGTATCGTTTGTCAAGGACTCGTTCCACCACAGCTCGCCCTGCCCGTCCAGCACGCCCACTCCGCCACCATAGATGTTCACGTCGGAGCCTCCAATCTTCCAAAAGGCAGACGAGTTCTGGTACGTGATCTCGAACGCACCGCCGCCCGTCCAGTAGGCGATGTCGTCCGAGAAGGTGAGCGTGCCGGAGATGGCCACGTCCACGGCGCTGAGGAAGGTCAGGTCTAGGCGGCTGGCGATGGTGTACTCGCCGTCGAGGACTATGGTGCCGCCATTGTTGCAGGACTGGAAGGCGGCAAGGATGGAAGGGGAGGCGTCAGAGTTGTTGGTGGAAGGGGATACGTAGCATGTCTTGTTTGCGTCCCTGGGCGGGGAGATGTTGGAGGAGGAGGAGCCTGGGCTATAAGGGAATGGTTGGATAAGTGGTCTGGAGAGGGGAATTTGTCCGGTGTAGGGGCTTTTGGGCAGTGAAGAGAGGGAGGAGGCGGCGGCCGCCGCCGCCGCGGTGGTAGCGACAGCCACCATGGCGACGAAAGTATTCACATTGTACATGGTGTCTCGCTCTTCAATAGAATAGAAGTTGTATACCTATTGACAATCAAGTGAAGACAACCTATGCTCTATTTTACATCCTGACTATGCCATCCATAATATACTTATAGTATCTGTCTGCCACCCTCACACCTTCATTACATACAAGGTTGGGTAGCGCATCCAACAGAGCACTGGATACTGTACAGAAATCCACTCCAAAATGCAATACGTACCGCAATCCCGGTGCGCCATCTCGGCAAGTTTTTCCGTCAGTCGGAGATGGGCTTTTGCATAGGCTAATAAGCTCAAAATGGAGATTTTCATAAAGGTCGGTGAGTCTTTCCATATGTATGCACACTCGACCCCGCTCTGACTGGGGAAGTCTTGCCTTGTTTAAGTAATTATATCGTGGTAAGAACGACCCCCTCAGGGAAGGTGTGCATGGTGGCGGCATGGTATAGTTACCAGGGCGGGATTTCTCCAAGCAAGGATGATTAGAAAAAGCCATAGTACATAACCCTGCTTGAGAAGAGCCAGCAATGGTCTTGACCCCTGGAACATTCCTCGTGGCGGCGGTTGGTCTTAAATGTCAACCATTTACCAACCCTCCTTCTCTTCTACACCCTTTCCTCTGAGCGCGTCACTTCTGTATTCCCTCGAAAGGTGTCTGTCGCAGCAGTACCAATATCCTGGAGAGCACAAATGACAAGTGAAGGATGGCCTGCTTCGACACCAGCAGGCTGAGCAACGCCATACTCTTCAGAGGTGATCATGGCTGAGGCGTCCTGTATGGCCTAGGTGCTCTCGAAGTTTACCTGCAGACGACCTCTGGATGTTCGAATCGTGCCGGCAGATCAAACGCCCTCGGTAGACATTTTCATGATGGAGTATCGAGGGCAGTCAAGTTGAGCATTGGGGTGGTTCCATGCTTCAGCTCGGTTACGAGGATGAGGAGAAGGACCCCGCCGAACATGGATAGAGCTCTTGAGAGTCGACATTCCATGCCGCATTCATAACCGAAACATTCTCATTGAGGAAGATAATGCCTAGGACATCGTCCTTCTGGCGTCCTGGTCCTCAATATCCCCGTGGAGCCCAGTACTATCCGCACTCCCAGCACGCACGCCCTTCCTTCCCTCCTCCATCATCATCGCTGCATCGTGAGGTCTCTCCTCATCCGGCAACTCTCGTTGCTGCTGCTGCCGAAACCCATCCTCGACATCCTGCTCCCATTCTGTCGCATAGCTCAAGCTACCAACCCCAGCCCAAAACGCCTTATCCGCCGAACGTGGGCCCCAAGCCCAACCTGCACCGCGCGACACGGGAAGATGATACCAGCGAAAAGCAAAGAAGGCACAGACAGTGCCGATGAAGAAGCCGAAGAGGATATCGAATCCGTGGTGGCGGAAGTTGAACCAGCGGGACGAGGCGATGAACACGGCGGTGAAGAAAGGCACCACGGCGAGGACGAGGAGGTACAGTGGTGGTGCGGCGGCCTGGCGACGTGCGGCGGTGAGGCGGGCATTGTGGGCAGAGAAGAGGTGCTGGGCGTTCGGGTTGTGGGGGGCACTTAGGCGCTGCTGGTCTTCCTGCCGGGAGGAGAGGTTGCTTCGCGAGGGGAAGGCTGTGAAGGAGGTTGCTGAGGTGTCTCCTGGTGCCCTGTTTGCTGGTGGTCAGCCGGCATGCTTACGTTTCTTCTTCCTTCTTCTCTCAAGGCCACGCGAGAGATCTGGGGTAAAGTTCAACTCGATGATGCACATATGGGCTTACAGGAACGGGATCGTGATGGCAAACTTGCTCGCGATGAAGAGCGACAGGTAGACCAGCCCCGCCGCCGACGAGCTCGAGTGGCCCGACGGGTAACTCCTAAACCCGTCCTCCAGTATGCTCTGCGCGTCATCGTGGTTGGCCATGCCCCGGCAGATATCGGCCGACACCAGCTGCTGAAACCCCGTGTCGACATTCACGCCGCCGAGAACATACTGCGCAAAATTGTCGACATCTGGGTTGCACCGGGCGAGCAGGTCCGGCCTCGGCTTGCCGCACATATTCTTCATGCCGTTCGTGATGAACCAGGTGCCGGCGAGGGACAGTGCGAGACCCAGCCAGCCGACGTGGAGTTCCCATAGCTTGCGCCTCCAGATGAGAGCCTTGGGGGTGCTGGACGGGACGGTGTGGCCTGGAACGAAGAGCAGGCTGATGATGGGGATGACGACAATAGGGACGCCGGTGCAGAGGGTGATGAGGAGCCAGGACGGTACGGTCTCATGCTCCGTGAATGGAAAACTGGGATGAGGGTCAACATCTGAGACCGCACCGTGTTGGGGGAGGGGAGGGGGGGATAATAATCCGGTGTGTAAGAATAAGGGTGGTTCTGCTCACGAGATGTTGGGGTCCTCAAGGCTGAAGGGTCTCCTATTTGGTTCGTGGTTGTTCATATAAGCCGCAATCCCAAACACTACAACGACGACGATCCAGTCGAAGACATATGAGGAGATGATCACGGCACCACCGGGCCTCTTGGAGCCCATGCGCGCGCGCAGGCTTTGTAGTGGTGGTATGCTCGGCATCTGAAAGGAAGGAAGAGGACGAGGGCGAGCCTCTTGATGGTGTTGATAATCTGCTGCGCCCGAGTACAAAGTATCAGCACCGTCGTCGACGGAGTTATCGTCACTGAGCCGGCTGTACACTCTTCGTCCAGGTATCGAGTTGAGTGGGAAAGAGCCGCCAGATGATGGAGCGTCCGTCATATTAACGTGAGTGAAGAAGACGTAACAATAAAAGGCTGCACCGGATGCAGTACCAGTCAGTCCAGCTGCGTACTATGTACTAAGGAGCGGGCCGTGGTGTGTGAGCCGTTCCTCAAACTACTTGATTAGCACTTCCACCGGGCCAACATGATCCGTTCGTTTTGGTGTAATGACTTGCGCCCGCTCGGCTGTGTGGCTCGAAAGTCTAATCTCCTGCTGGTGATGATGCGTGCCGAGCACTTTAGCTCCTTGGTGAATGACAATTGTGGGAGATTCCTTGGCGTTTCTTCTTGTCCGTTTTTACTTTGGTCGTGGCTTGTGATATAATCCGAAGAGAAACACTTGTCGGGATAGGCCCAGCGTCGATCACTCCTCGTTCTAACACTTGGCACCGTGTCTCTCGTCAATCTCGTCTGTTGGTTCCCAACGTCAACAACACAAGTGGGTGGTTTTTTTGGTGCTTTTTTTTTTTGGTCTCGGTAGGTTATCGTCAATAGGAAAAAAAGGAAAGAAGAAAACAACCAATTCCAAAACACAGAAAGAGAGAGAGAGAGAGAGAGAGAGAGAGAGAGAGAGGAGTATTGCAAGCTGAAGAAAAGGGCCTCGTGCCGCGTGACCCGGAGAGCTTGTGCTTATATTCATATCGCCAACCCTACCTCTCAGCCCAGCCCCGCTAGAAGGGACAAGGAAATCCTCATCAAATACGGAACACACAGCCACGCGCGGCCTTCGAGCTGAAGACGAGGCATCCCTCCCCTCCTTCCGTCCCTCCCTCTGTCTCTCACTCACACACTTCCTCGGCACATTTCCCATGAGGGAGGTCAGCCCCAAAGGAACTGTGACGAACAGGGCGTGCCCGCCGCCCTGGTGCGCAAGGCTTGGCCCCCAAAGGAGGCCAGAGGGGGGAAATTTGCTATGAGGTAAGACAAGACCCGTGAGCGGTCTGGGAAGGAGGGCGGCCACCACCAGTACCACCACCACCACCATCTTCCTCACTGGGGTTTGCGGTTGGAGAAATCTATGATAGCTCCAGGTATAGGGTTCGGGGGGAAGTCAATCATCATCTCCTCACCGCCGAAGGTCCCGCGCCAGAAATAATGGTTGCTGGGATCCCCGTTTTGTATTTTCCTTTTTTTTTCTTTAAACTTTTTTTTCTTCAACAACCCATCTTTCTTCTTTTCTTTTTTTTTGTAGACAGACGAAGGTCGGAGGTGGTTGAGGAGAGAGCAGCAAGAGCCTTGCATGCTCCCCTTTTTCTGTTGCATTTTTCGGGATGCATTCCGGTTGGAGCTACTGTTTTATTGCAAAATGCTCGTTCCTCGACCGACCCTTAGGATCGGAAACGGGAAGCCCTTGGGTGGTCTACTCCACTCCACCTGGTCCAGCTATGTGACCAATCACAAGCCGAGAAAAAGGTAAAGGAAGAGAGGGCAAAATGAAAGGGGGGCATGGCGAGTAAGCTTAACCAGGCGGGTTGGATCTTTGCGTCTCTATAAATAGAGAGAGAGAGAGGGCATGCATGGCGGGGAGACTAGACCGTTACATACATCCAGAGACACCCACCACCAGCATGGTCGGGTCTGAGGAATTAAACATGACCTTCTGAGGGCCAACTTTTTGTGACACTCCTTGTGACGTTCACCCTTCAGGCTTCTCAAAGTGCGGCCCAAAGAGGTGACCAGCCGTTCGGTCCGAAAGCCTCATGAGTTTGAGCTTTTTCTACTGGACTCTTATTCAAGGCTTTGGAGTCGTAGGGTATACAAGCTCAGGATTGCCCAAGTGAATTTCTGCGTTTTGGTCGGATTGGATATTCCATTATACAAAATCGTAGTCTGATACAGATTTGGGCTTCATATGCATAAACCACCGGATTTCTATGATGCCTTTCTGTCTTTTCTCCTGCCCATGTTGCGCACACGTGGCGTAACAACATGCCTGTTGATGTTGTTGGTTCTGCGTGTCTTGTAACCTGATTTGGCCTGCATGATCCATATCAGCTGCTGTTCTCGCACCAAACATTGTAAAGGAGAGGGAGGATTGAGCACGTACCGGTTTGCCCCACGGGCTTACGGGAATTCTGTTACCCTTGGACTTTCCACGACCACCACCGTGCGGGTGATCAACTGTGAACCCCAGCAATATCAGTACCAAGAGAGAGAGAGGGAGAGACTGACAGCGGGAAAAGAAGGAAAGCAACATACCAGAGTTCATGGCTAATCCTCTCACAGTGGGCCTGATACCCAACCATCGGTTTCTTCCTGCCTTGCCCAGTGACGTATAAGAATAGTGAACGTTGCTCGCAATACCAATGGTGGCCACGGCGTCCTTGTCCACCTTGCGGATCTCGCCGCTCTGCAGCCGCACCATGACAAACTTGCCCGTCACCATCTTGGTGCCGTCGTCCCGCGTCTCCTCCTCCTTGGACTCAATCACGCCGTACGTGCCCGCGCTCCGGCAGAACTTGGCCGGGCCGTCCTTGCGGGAGGCGATGCAGTAGATCATGGTGCCCACAGGGATCAGGTGCATGGGCAGGCAGTTTCCCCTGTGCGCTGTCCGCGCGGCCAGGATACCAGGGTCGATGATGCCGCCCATGTCCTCCAGCAGATCCTTGGGCAGGCCCGCCCGGTAGGAGTGCACCACGTCGCCCGCCCGCATGCCGTCCGCGGCGATGATGTAGCTCTTGCGGCCCGTGGCCCGGTTGGTCAGCAGGGCGATGTGCGCCGTACGGTTCGGGTCGTACTCGATGCGGTCCACGAGGTGCGCCCCGGGGTCCTTGCGGTCAAAGTCCACCGTCCGGATGCGCCGTTTTGCGCCGCCACCCCGGTGCCGCACCGTGATGCGCCCGCTGTTGTTGCGCCCGCCGCGCGCCTGGCCCTTCTTGGGGAATGTGAGCGGTCGGTAGGGACGGCCCCGCCAGAGGTGGTCGTTGATAGGTCTCTTCAGGTGACGGAGACCGGGCGTGCGTGGCTTGTAGGTGCGGAGGGTCACGCTCACGTCCTCCTCTGCCGCCTTCTTGGAGGCCGCCACAGTCGTCTGAGCAAAGGGCGAGGGCTGGTTCAGCTTGAGCTTCTTCTTCGCGACGGTGGCGTAGCCTGCCGAGGGGAGGAGGGAGCCAGGACAGGAGGAAGGCGTAGCGAGGAGGGACCGGATGGCCGTCGCCAGCGGCCGTATCCGGGGCTGTAACATCGTGTGGGCGGCTGAGGAGAGAGAGATAGAGAGGTTTTTAAGAAGCTCGGAGGAGGGACGGATTTGGAGCTTTCTGGAGGCGTCGTGGAGGGGAAGGGAGGTCGGTCAATTGCCGGTCAGGGCCATGAATTGGCTCCTGTGGGGACCTTCAGCTTCGGTAGGAGGAGGGCAAGAAGATCTCCGCCAGCAAGAGGCGTGGGTGTTGACACGGGACCAGTCTCAATGATGTTGGATACCAGGGCTCGTGAGCTTGGGAAAATTCGACTGATGCGACGGCAAGGCTAGCAATGGTCTGTGCTTTACTTTTGGGCAACTAGGAGGGTTAGGGTTCATCGATGGTCACGTCTTCCCAAAACACCCGACCAAAAAACTTCAACAATGGCTAGATTATTGTTCCGTCATGTGTTAGATGAGTAAATACAATACCTGCTTCAATCTGCATTTCAATCTGCTGCAGACATTGTGTGATTCCAGAGCCAATGGCATAAAGTGGCCTTGGAAAGACAGGTGTTGGCCTTTAAAGAGACTAGGACCACATATGGGAACCTCGGGAGTGAATTCAAAAGTGAGGAAATACTTTCTTCCAGTGAAGGAGCAGAAGCATCTCATGTATGATGATGATTATTACAATGATATGATCCAGCCTGGTCTCAACATCTTATTGTGCAGAGTCCGAGACATGCTGCATAGTAGCACCTCTGCAGGCCTTGGAGGTTGCTGGCAGGTGTTTGAAATCAGCAGGTTGTAGTGGCCAGGAGGCAGGACCAGGCTTGACAAGGGTACGCGCTACAAGGTGGGCTTTTCATAGCACGGTAGAAGCTGGGGAGGCTAAACCATATGGGGTCACCGTTGCTGTGTGGTTGCCATGGCGAGCCTGTCCAAACAACGCGTCAAGACGGTTTTGACCCCACAGCTGGCGTTCTGAGCATCCAACTGATGTCAGGGTTGGTTACCCGACACAGGAGGGTTCCTGTCATCCATCCTGTGTCCTACTCAGTCTCTTGGTCTTGACTCTTCCTCCTGCATCATCTCGACCTTCACTCTCCTGTCTGTCAGCCTCTCCTCTCCTCTCTGGTCGACACGCCTGTTTGCCAGACATCCATAAATTTTTGGAGCAAGTTGTGGTTCAATTTCAAATATTTATGCTAGGTATGTACTGTGCTCTCTCAAGCATTCCTTGCGTTCTCCCTCCGACTGCTCTTGACCTTTGCCTCTCCCGCACCAAGCCCTGCCAGACGCGTCGAGGACTTTTACTGCAAGACTGGGAGGCAGAGACCTTTCTCTCTGTTTTACCAAGACCTGTCCACAGTCTGTCTGGCAGCATTCTTTCACTCCCTCCCACCATCCCTTTCCCACTCATCCACAGCTACAGCCGGGCAACCTCGACTGAACAAGTTGTGCTTGCTTTGTCTCTGCTTTCGGTTGCTGTGGTGTGGTGGTGTCTCCAGTGCATGGGTCCCTCGTCCCTCACCCAACACGCTCTTTCTTCTTCCCAAACCCGGAAAGCTCCACACTTCGCCAGAGAGCATCAAGCCCCCGGCACAGCTGCCCATACCAACCAAATACCTGACTGCCAGTGACTGGGTGGTGGATCCTCAAAACAAGCGCCTGAGCAAGCACATAAACACTGCAGCAGGCCTGGAACTGTTACCGCTGTACTGTACACCTCACACCTCTTCTCCCTCTCCACCTCCAAGACTGCATCCAACCCATCACAACACACCAGCCACCCTCCTCTACTCTCTCTCTCCTTTGATCTTCCCCTAGGAGAGCAGGTCATTACCCATTGGCAACAACAATTTCAACACACACAAAGGCAATATCATCAGCCAGCAGGACACGCAGGAGACACAATCTCTGCCTGGCCACCAATATCCATCCAATCGCACCTCCAGACGCGTCTCGCTCTCACCGATGCTTGTCTTTTGAGCCATTCCCCTACCTGCCCACCGCCCAGAACACAGGGGGGGCCCAACATCCAACAGACACATTTTCTGTCTTGACTCCAAACAGAGCATTCAGTCCTTTTTATTGACTGTATATTCACGTGTCTAGACATACTTCGCATCTCTTTTCACTTAGTTGCCAAGTAGTCCATTGTAAGTTTTGGAATAATGGCCCAAACCTTGACCCTGAGCCTTTCTGCCTCCACCCTTTTCACCCACCCAACCCTCTGCAACAGCTCAATTTTTTTCACCACCCCGACGCGCTGCCCGCAGCCACGTCCACGTCCACAGTTGTCCACAATCTGCAGCTCCAGCTCCACCTCCATCTCAACCTGAACCTGCACTTTATCCTGCAGCTCCAGCTGGCCTTGCCCACAACCCAACACCTCTTAGACACATGTCCATCTTCTGCCAATCTGGCAACAAAACAATCAATCCCACCCTTAATTGACTTTGTTTACTACAACAGGCCCCATCAGCATTTGGGTAAATGAAGTCTGACAGAACAATCAGCAATATGCCTCCTGTAAGATATCTCCCTCCCTCTCCTCTTGGTCTAATCTCCAAACAACCAATTCGGGTGTCACTATACAAGAAGCTTTGTCAATCGCTGCAAGCTCTTGATGCCATCAACAACCGCCCCATCCTGCCCCATGTCAGACCTCTAATATCTTGAAATAGGGACGTGCTACCACCCGCGCCGCGCGCGTCGCCGCCAACGAGAACGATGAGAACAGCGGCCTCGGTTCCCAACGTCTGACGCGTGCTAAGGCAGCCGCGCTGCATGTCGACGAGCTGTCCCAGCCCAACAAGCCCCTCGCGGCTAAGAAGGCTGGTCTCAACGCTAACGTCACCGGTGCTACCCGCAAGCGTGCTGCCCTGGGCGATGTCTCCAACGTCACCAAGATTGAGGTCAGTGAGGGAAAGAAGATCGGTGCCACCACCAAGTCGGCTACCGTGTCCAAGACTACTGCGAACCGAGTAACCAAGAGCTCGACCGTTGGTACCACTCGTGCCGCTCGCGGCGGCCCCCTCACATCCAAGGAAACCAATGTCACCAAGAAGACCAAGGCTTCTGGCCCTGGCGAGATCGGCTCCAAGCGCAAGGCCACCGCTGCCGCTCTCGCCAAGAAGGGCACCCCTGAGGGTGCCGAGCCCGTCCGCAAGAAGCCACACACTGCAGAGAAGGAGAACGTCAGAGCCCAGAAGGAGCAGAAGGCTGTCGAGGTTGAGCCCCAGCCCGAGCCCGAGCCAGCCCAGGACACCCAGGCTGATTACCTGGCCACCAACGACTTCGAGTACCCCGAGGGTGTGAAGGATCTCGACTCGGAGGACCGCGATGATCCCCTGATGGTTGCCGAGTATGCCCACGAGATCTTCGACTACCTCCTGACCATCGAGCCTTCCTCGTTGCCCAACCCCGACTACATGGAGCACCAGGACGAGCTCGAGTGGAAGACGCGCAGCATTCTCGTCGACTGGCTCATCGAGGTCCACACCCGTTTCCATCTCCTCCCCGAGACCCTGTTTCTCGCAATCAACATCATTGACCGTTTCCTCTCCGAGAAGGTCGTCCAGCTCGACCGTGTCCAGCTCGTCGGCATCACTGCCATGTTCATTGCATCCAAGTACGAGGAGGTCCTCTCCCCCCACGTCGGCAACTTCAAGCACGTTGCGGACAATGGCTTCTCCGAGTCTGAGATCCTCGCTGCCGAGCGATTCATCCTGCAGACTCTAGAGTACGACCTCAGCTACCCCAACCCCATGAACTTCCTCCGCCGTATTTCCAAGGCCGACAACTATGACATCCAGACCCGTACTGTCGCCAAGTACCTGCTAGAAATCAGTATTGTCGATCGCCGCTTCATGCCCTACCGTCCCTCCCACGTAGCTGCCGCTGCTATGTACATGGCACGCCTGATCCTGGACCGTGGTGACTGGGTAAGTTGAACGATTCGTAGATCGCCGGTGGAGGTGCTGCTTCTTGGAGTTAACTGACAGACTACGTTCCAGGACGAGACGCTGTCATTCTATGCCGGCTACACCGAGACTGAGATCGAGCCCATCATCCACCTCATGGTCGACTACCTGGCGCGGCCCGTCGCTCACGAGGCCTTCTTCAAGAAGTATGCCAGCAAGAAGTTCCTCAAGGCGTCCATCCTGACGCGCCAGTGGGCTAAGAAGAACGCTGCCGTTTTTGGCATCCACAACCTGGACCGACCCCTCGACGAGTGAACCAAGCCACCCACACACACACACATACAACACTCGGTCATCAAAGCATATCTTCTCCCCTGTTCATGACATAGACATACGGGTCTATTGATCCCCAGTTGTCACGGGCGTTGCGTTGCAGCATCTTTCTCAGCATTCCGGCAATGAACAGATACCCAAGGTTATGATCTCTCACTCATGAATTCCATAGACCAAGAACGAAGCTCCAGTATCAACGTCACTCGTATGCGCGGCTCTGCATACCTTTCTCACTGGATCACAGGGCCTTGTGGATAATAAAGTTCTCGGATTTCGCTCTTCGTGTGTTTTTACGGTGGCGTCTGGTGTTGAACGGGCAGGTCAGTTGGAGGTGTTGGTGGTACTCAGTTCTTCGCGTGTTTGATAAATTCTTTTTTTATCCTTTTCCCATTGTTGTATGTATGGTCTGTGTTTTTGTGGAGTTCGTCACATCGCTATAGCTGTTGAGCGGACAGCGCATGCCGCTCACATTGCTCCTCCTCCTGGCTTGTCTCAATGATTTCACATCGACGGTTGGATGGTCCGGATGGCATGGCAGCATATGTCAGGGGTCACGGTTCTTTTCGATACGGACGGTGGTCTCAACGGAATTGGGACAGGCTGCATTGCACTTTGTACATATTATTGTTATTCTGTTGGGTGGGTGATGCCAAGGGACTAACCATACCAGCCTTTGTTTTCGTTGATTAGAAAAGGAATCGAAAAGGGACCATTTTCATTATTCTTACTACTGCCATCCGCATTGTCTCGGGGCCTCTGTCATCTGCTTCCTAGGGAGGCATGAGGATGCAACACATGTCGGCTTGTTTGTGGACTGTACTGTCTTGACGACGTGGTGTGTTGATATCTGTTCCAATATGCACAGGATCCTTATACACAGCCTGGCGGCCTTCACTATGCTGTCTCATCACCAAGGGTGGTCGTCATTTCCGTCGCCTCCAGCCCCAGCTTCTCCCATCCCCTTGGGGCGTTCGTTCTTAGCCTCCTGCACTGATGCCGCGCTGGCGCTTACTTGCCCCGTTGCCGTTTTGCCATCCTCCTCCACATCGTCATCGGCACCAGCAGCAGCAGCAGCGGCTGTGCAGCTCGCCTCGCCGTCGCCGCCTCCACACCCGTTTTCCACAAACTAAGTGATTAGGCTCGTGCCTCTCAGCCGCGAACTTCACCTCGTGCCGTGCTCCCGGGGAGCCTTCTGTTTCTGCCTGTCCCACTCCGTGCGGGCCCACTCCACTTGGTTTCGCTCGTAGGTCATTGTGAGAAGGGTGGTCATGGTGATTGGGGGCCTGTTGTGAGGGGTGCTACGGCAGCCGCCAGTAAGCCAGCAGGCTTTGCGGGCTAGTTTGGAGAGGGAGGATGTTGGGTCGGCTGGGTCATTGTTGTTGTGATTTGGCATTTGTGAGAGGGTTGCTGAAGGTGGCCTGAATACTGCATTGGCTGGACCATTTGGTTGAGACTCGATGGGACAGTGGTCTGGTATGTCAGTCATGAATACGGCGTTTGTGGTGCCTGCCTGGCAGAGAGAGATTCGAAGATGGCCTTATTCTTTAGGGGCTTCGAATCTAAAAGAGCAGCTGGTCCCGCCGTCGCGATGTAATATTCATTCACAAGTCTACAGGCACTCATCGTGGTGTCATCTTCCAGCCTCTCTTTCTCTTCGTCGCTATACATGTCGCGTTCACTCGGCGCTCCTAGTCACTTGACTGGCGCTGCAGATTGTTGTCTGGGCACGCACGAAGGGCAGAAAGACCTGGCTGTCTCTTTAGGGGGCTTGAGAAGCAAAAGGTTTTCCAGGTTCGTCAGTCTGCTTAACACACTTCAGACTCCGCCCCGTGAGCAGTGCTCGCAATAACTCGACCGCCACCCCATCGTGGATGTGGTATATGTTGATGGTACGGGCATTGCGGATGCCCCCAGCCATCAAGACTTTTGACTCAGAGCCTACAATAGATGCGCAGGATGAATCAATTTCATTGTCTGCGCTTCTAGGGGCTCAGCTGTAGCCGGTGCCGGGTGCCAGTGACTCACTGGCAGTGAATCACGCACATAGTTATCAAAAATTGGTCCAGGTTTTCTTTCTTTCTTTCCTCCCCCCCCCCCCCTTCTTTCTTCTTCTTTTTCTTCCTTCTTCTTGTGTCTTGCCATTTTCATCCTGTTAATTGAGTAATGGTGTTGATGGTCGGTAGATAAGACACATTATAGTTGAAAACGATGATGGCGGGCGAGGTCTGGAAGGGGGGGGGGAAGGCCTGCGGGAGCCGATATCATATGCGTAGAGTGATGAGGGAGAAACAAGTTGGAAAGCTCAGGGCTGCAATGCCAATATGAGTTTGCAAAGAGTATTCCCTAGTACATACGACCATAGGTAGTGGAGAACTTGGGATCCCGTCTGCTCTCCCCTAAATAAGCCACTAACCGCCGGATTAGTAGTTAAGTGGGTGACCATTAGCGAATACCCGGTGTTGTATGTTTTTGTTAAATTTGTGTACATGTTTTTTTCCCCATGAATTTTTTTCTTTTCTCTTTTTATTTTTCAAATAAAGTTTACAAACTTTACCTCACGAATCAATGACCATGTTACTACTCCTCTCATCCTTGTTTCATAATTCTATTATCGAACGAGGAAAGGGAGAGACAGCCAAATGGCGACATTTTCCCTGCGGGCCACCCAATGGGCACACCATTGGAATTCCACTCCCCTGATTAGTTGCATGTTGAAAGAGAAGGGAAATAAAAAGTACCGTAGGGCCTGCCAAGTTCCTACATGTGCCAACAACACCCCCTCGAACGTTGACAAGAAAAAAAAGAAAAAAATCTCACATGATGCTACCTCTCTATCAAAGAAGAAATAAAGGAAAACACCGGAGTGGGGAACGAGACTTGGGAGGTGGGGGGGCTGATGTAATCGCCTTCCCATGAAGCTTTTCAATCTGAAACGCCCTTCTCCGGCACGACGGATCTTTGGGAAAGGAGGGTGGGCGGTGGGCATGTGTTACGAGAAGAAGGAAAAACTTGGGGGGAGAAGGTTCCTCGTCTCACGATAAGGACGTTTCCTTTTTCCTCTTCTCATCTCGGAGAAAATGTCTCTTCAGGGGTGAAGGCTGTGTGGGGAGGATTCCAGTTGGTTGAAGTATGTATGTAGGTTCGGTTTCGAGTTTTGGCCTCGTGGCGTGGGTGTCATGTCTATTGCTCTCTCGGTGGCGTTGGTGAGTGCTCACCAATTGTCTGGGCCATCGAGATCTGGTTTCGTAGCGGAACTGATGATGCAGTCAGGTCACTCGCATATCATGTCAACGTATGGATTGCACACATCGATACGTCTGTGTAAGGAAGAAGTGATTGTCGCGATGACGCAGCTGAAGCGCCGCAGTGCTGGTTTGTTTGCATTTGTCTCTTGCTTGTTTGTATACCTTGGGGGTGGGACTTTTCTCTTCCACACCCTCATCGTTCATACGCTTCTTCTCATGTGTAGTAAAAATTCCCCTGCCCTTTCATCAAGGTGTGTCGTAGCAGCCTGCCTCTCATAAATGATTGAAAAGAATAGAACGCCCTCTTGCGCCAGTAAACAACTGAAACTCCATGTCTCCTCTCTGTCTCGCGCGCGCTCACCAAACAAGTTCAACAATAAATTTCCCCAATCTCCCTTCTCCCTCGTGGAAAAGAAAAACGGATCGAGATGGGAATCCTTCCGCCCATCAAACATCGGAAAACTTGGAGGCCAAAGCCCGCAAAGGGAATTCTGGCCAGTGGCGATCTCTGAAGAATTACTTCATGTGAACCGGCGCCATCGTGAATGGTAATGGCATGAAATCCTGTCAAAGTCCTCCCTTGATTTGGTATCGTAGTCGGTGTCATGGCGCCGATAGAGAAGAGAAGAAGGAAGTAAAAGAGCAGAATGAAAGAGAGAAAAAAAGGGGGTGTTTGAAAATAGGCTCGGCTTGTGGTTGGAAATTGGTGGTGGTTGAATGTAGAAGCAGGAGAAAGACAAAAAACCAAAACATGCCCTATCAGTCAGGACAGTTCATAGGCGATGCAAAACCACCTCTCCCCTCTTTGTTTATAAAGAGGAGAAGCGCTCCTCCATGCTGCCATAGAAGACGATAGGCCTGGGCTCGAGGATGTTGAGCTCAGAGGAGAACTGGGCGTGCTCCTCCTGTAGGTCTATGATGGAGGCCTGGCGCAGCAGCACGCTGTTGATGGTGGACGCCGCTGATGTCGAGGAGGTGTTGGAAGCGTATGACATCCTGGAGCCCTCGGATCTCTCGCTTGAGGTGGTCGATCTCCGGCGCATGTTGAAGGGAGGGAGCGAGCCCGAGGAGAGGGAGAAGTGGCTGTGGAGTGGTTGGAAGCCGAACATTGTGAGATGATTGGTGATTGGTGAGAGCGGTGAAGCGTTCTGTTTGATGGGTACTCCTGATGGAAGAGTCGTTCTGCTTTCGAAGAGACAGATGGCAGGTTTTGAAGTTTCCAAAAGGTTGGGTTGATGTTGTTGGTCTGATGACCGCAAGGGGGTATTAAGAGTTCTTGTTGGAGGATCGTTTTCCTGGTTCGTTCAAAGCAAAAAAAGGCTCAGCCCGGTAATTGATTGTCCAGTCCCAAAAGTGCACGAGAGCGAATGACTGGAATGGAAGTAGATTTTATGGTTGTATGTGAGTGTGCGTGTAAAGAGTGGATGATCTGGTCCGCGTGCACAGATCACTAGCCAGCCAGATAGGCGGTAAGTGGAGAGAGAGGAACGGTTGTTGAGTTGTTCAAAGACAGGGGGTTCGGAGATATCCAGACGTCGTCAACGGACAGACACACGCAAGCATGTGTACACGACGGTTGAGGGGAGGGGAAAGGATGCAGATTAAGAGAGTTGTTGAGGTTTGTCTCCGTGTGCAGTCGACCCAGGAGGAGGCTTGCGTCTTTTTAAGTATCATGCTATGGATGAGCCACACTCAAAACTTACATAGACGCAACACGACTAGTAAATGACATGACACTACACCCACCCTGCTACCTACTTGAGGAAGGGATGGAGAGGATGATGGATACCATGTCATGGGGGGGTGGTGGACTTGTCAAGCCGGGCCGGGATAAGGGCGACCTGCGACCTGCGACCTGCAACCCCCGTAACTTGCAATGATGGCCAGGGGAATCCCGATGGTCCTCAGACCATGAATAAGCGGAACCTTACCCACGCAGCATTGTGCCACAGTGCCAGCTTGCCCTGGGCTAGACTCGAATTAGGCCCCAGCACGACCGGGTCACCCGGCATGCCCTGTAGCATTGTTGCTCGGTGATGCCAGGAATGCACATGGTCAAATGGTTGCAAGCAAGGAGGAGGAGTCTTGTGTCTCTCAACCCCGCTGTGTGCGCCGCGATAGTTTATTTTTGTGAACACGTATTTCTGCATGCAGATTGCTGGCAAGTCCGTCAACACGAGGGGGAGGAGAGAGAGGAGGGGACTGAGACAGACGACTCGGGACTTTGACTTTCCAGAAACCTCACTCAGAAAAGACACCGATAGGTCCTGCGTCACAGCTCAATTGGGATGAATGGACAGACGGCGCTGCCTGCCTGTGCAGCTTTGTGTGTGCGTCTGTGTGTTGCTTTGGTACGCAGGTGGCGGTCTGGTCAGGGGCCCTCGCTGACAGACTTGACACACAGCAGACTACAGACTTGTCGAGGCGAGTTGATGCTGAAGCAGTCCACCTCGAGGCTTCCTGCGCCGCATGCTGCAGTGAACCCTCGTGTTGCCCCCCCTGCTCTGGCATCCGATCTTTTTTTTTCTTCCTCTCTTTCCCTTCCCTTCTCCATACCTTGAGGGCTCGAGATGATTCTCCCCCCGTGCTAGAAGTGGAAACATGCTCCAGTTGTCCCAGGTCGGAAACAGAGCCGGCCCTGGGTTTGAGAGTTCAGTCTGCTCTGCGCAGCTGGAACGCGGCAAGGGGGGTGGTCTGACAAGCTGCGGCCGGCGCACGTCTGCCGTGCAGTTGCAGACAGGTACATAGTAAAAAGTATTGCCTGGAAACGGCTTGGCCTTGCAACTCTGATAACTATCCGAAATTGACCTCGATCTGGAATTGTTTGGCTGCATGAAACAGCTTGAAAGGGCTCTCGTCTGACCACACATCCGACAATGGCTGTTGCTGCTGCGGTTGGTCTGGCGCAGAGAGAGCTCGACCTCTAGGCAGTCAATCGCTGCTGCGCCATCTCCCGGGCTGTCTGCGTGGCCATCTTTCCAATGTTTGGTTTTCTCTTCGAAACGGCGAAGGCAACAACGGTGTCATGACGTTTTGTTGCGTGAGATTTTGTTCTGTATGGCCGGGTTGAGCAAAAAGGTCGAGCTCATCACGAGCTGGTTGGGGAGACGGTCATGTCATCCATGCCTTGCATAATCGACGGCCCAGCTAAACCAGGGCAAGCGCAGAAGGAAGGGGGGGGGGGATACGCCCGCGATGTCCCCAGGTCTTGTCTTAGACCCCTAAGCAGGCGAGTCCTAACACTGACTAGCCTTGAGTACAGGGGGAAAGCACCTTTTTTCCTTCCTACCAAGGTGTTCTGGCTGAGTTTAGTCAGGGGACCAGGGGGCTCCCTCCATCCACTCTCAACAGGGGAAGCCACCCGTCTGGGTTGGGCATGTCTCAGAGCCCACAACTACAGCAGGGGATCATGCTGCAGCAGGCATGGCACAGGCCAACGCCCTATTGGCCCGTGTTTCACCTTTTTGCCATCGACCTCCCAACTTCATCTCCTTTATGGCTGGCTGCCCTACATTTTGATGATTCCTCCTCGCTGCACGATGTTGTAAGCGAGCTGTTATAGCGTCCACCCTCCCCTCTCCTCAGGCTAACTCTGCATCGAAGCCTTCTGGAACGTTTCGATACACCAGGTTGGTAAAAGGCGTTCTTGGAGTTTGGAAGGTGGTCGGCATCTCATGCAAGAGGGGGTGGCTTCTTCTTCTTCTTCTTCTTCTTCTTCTCTGTACCGCAGTGGACAGTGTTGTGATATTCATGGAACAGCACTTGGCTTTCTCAAAAGGACTTGGCAAGCTATCATGGAATTCCATGCCCTACCTACTACTACTGCATAAGCAGTGATGATTATCACTCTCATCGCCACTTATCTCAACCAGATGTACGGGTCAAAGGGAGTTTGAAACATCAGGGATACCAAGCTGCAATCTATTCAGCCTCCTGCGTATTTCATGCACCGTACCTGCATGCACACTTTTGTCCACCCGGCCCCTGGCCCTTGAAAGTGTGCTACGTAATACGAAGTCCGTCCATTCGATACATGCATAGTAGTACCAGAGCTGACGACAACTTCTTCTCCCTGTGATAGATGGGATGCTAGTTTCTCAGATTCCGTCTTCCCCTGGTCACAACCGCTCCCCTGGGATACTATGAACTAACTGAAGTAGGCGATGGAATGCTAATCAATCTTGCAGGTCTTGGTATCTGATTATCTGCACGATGTGCAACAAGAGTCCTGGCGATCACACACAAGACAAGTTGCCTCCTCGCATTGCGCTCGCCTGGTCTTCCCAACATCCTTTTCGGGATTTACTACTAGTCTGTAGCAAGATCGTTCTAGCTTTTGCAAATCTCGCGGGGTCAAGGTGTGAGTGCCCAGCCAAAGGATGGCCCGCGATTGGGTGCACATTATGAACATTGAGCCTACTTGGCATGCCGTTCAGTCAGAACAGAGACGCACATGGAAACCTTTTCAGAGTTGCGACGAGGATCATGCACTCGGTCACTTTAAAGAGTGCATCGTGCTCCGCCCTGGGAGCTATCACGACCACACACTGTGACCAGCTGTTTTTTCTCGAAACCGTTGATCACCCTCCCCCAAGGTACTGGTGGTGGTGACAACGGAGATCATCATCACCAAGCCCTCCACGAGTGTCACAACCCGAGAAGTGCCATAATCCTGGATCTTGAAGAAGACACCCAAGACGTGGGGGAATAACTGGTACAGCACGTACAAGCACCCCAACCCAGTGGCAGACTTTTCTTACTGTGGCACTGCCTGCAGGGGGGAAATGGAGCCTTTGTCTTGAAATAGAATCACTTCAGAGTTTGGTTCTGTCTCGGCATCAAGCACACATCAAGACCAGACCGGCTTCATGCGTTTTGTATAAGCCACTTGTCTTTCCAAACTTTCGCTCATTGCTCGACCGATCACTTACTATATCGCCGAACAGACAACCCGAAATTGTCATTACAGGCCTGTGAACACGAGAGAGAGAAAGAGAGAGATCAAAAAGGGAAAGAGAAGGAAGGGAGAAAAAAACACAAAGTACCCACCGCTCGCATGAAGGCTGCCTCCTTCCACTATGTCTTCGTGATCGACCCACTCTGCCTTGTGCGCAGTCTTCGTGTGAGATAGATTTGCTTGCTTGCACCGTAGACTCAGCCTTATGCCCTCCCCTCGGCCGCCGATTGTCCCTGCCTCTATCTCCACCGCCTTCTAGTCCCAGACCCATTATGGACAACTCTCAAAATAGTAACCCTGATCTGCGCCGGCGGGCTGGGTGGGGACGAGAGGAGAACCCCAAGAACTGGGGACCTTAGCAGCTCGCTGAGAATTATATTGACTTCTGATTCTGGCCCACGAATGTACCAAGTAGAGAGAGGCCACCCGGTCCACCACGATCATCGTCCCAGTCGCAAGTGGTTGGGGAAAGCCTACGGAAAGGTCTCCCTGATTTCTGCAGCTCCAGAATTCGTCTTCATAGATCGGTATATGGGCGGTGCTGCTGCTGCTGTGTCGACATTGAGGGATCATCTCTGTTAGGTTATCTAGTCTTGCTAGTGATGGCCAGCTAGGTGAGGTATGTTGCTGGTTTCCGGTCGCAATATTCCCCAGCACAGTGGTGGATGATCAACCAAGCCTTCAAGTCTGGAATGACGAAGAAAAATAAGAAAAGACGCTCCTACCAGACAATCACCGTTGGACAACAGTCCAAGCCTCGGAATGGGCACAACCAACGAGCCACCAAAAAGAGCCCACAACTTCTACCTTGGAGAATGCTTATCATCATCTTTCTTAACTTTCTATCTCTATTCAGGACATTCATAAATATTGACCTGTCCCTTCCATAACAACCCCAGTCCAATACATTGCTACCATCTCTGCGGTGATATAGACAAGGAATCAGGACGTGCTCGCTCGCTCGCTTTCAAGGGGAATCAATCATGTGTAAACGTCAATGATGAGACCAAAAGAACGCCCTTTTTCTAAAACCCCACCTGATGAAACGCCGAGTGTCCCAAGCACCAAGTGTGATGAGTGATGCAATACGTAGCAAAGTCTCTCCCCATTACCCATCCCTTTCCCTCCCCCCCCCCCCCTTCCCCGAATGTCCACCTGATCGAGTGGTCCATTACCCTCGAGGAACATCATCCTTTCTGTGTCCAAAGGTTCGATAGGTGTAGAAAAGAAAAAAGAAATAAAAGATTACTACCATCCTGGCCGTGGCCTTTTCATGGTAGCGCTGCGCCGGATGCTTTCTACCCAGATGGAGTCGTCCAGAATCGAGCTCATTTGGATCGGACTGACCGCACTGTTGCTTCTGCTGTTGCGGTTGCTATTCCTGCCGCTATTCCGGTAACTGGTTCTCGCTGAGCTGGTGCCCGAGCCTGGCATCTGCAGCTCAAAACTGAACGCTGAATGTGTCGACTGGTGGCCGTCAAAGGTACCAATACCACCACTACCTCGCTGCTGTGACGAGCCCTCGCCGCCCATCCGCGGCATACTGAGTGGGTGGGCGCCAAAGCTGTCAAAGCTCGTCTGCAGCGTCAGGTCAGCGCTCATATTGGAAAGGTTCTTTTGGTGGCCGCTGCCGGCACTGTCGCGCGTGGGAGAGAGGAAAGCCGAGGCAGAGTGCAGTGGCCCGGTGCCTGGTGTGGATGGTGACAAGGAGGACGCGTAAGGCGTGGCGGTCTTCTTCTTCTTGTTCTTGGCTCGCTCCTCCTCGTCGTCGACGAGAATGTCTGGCAGATCAAGCTGAGGGATCGCCGTCAAACGCGCGGTGCGCTTCAGAGCCATGTGGCGCTTGAATTTCCGTGAGTGATATCTGGAAGAATGTGTGAGCTTCGACCGATCGAGCAGTCGGTAGTATGAGCCAACTTACAGTGTGTCGAAGAAGCCGACGACAACACGCCGGCGTACTTCTTCCTCAACGCGCTGCAGACGCGCCCGACGACGCAAGAACTCCTCCAATCTAGGCACAATTCTGTCAGTCATCTTGACCTTGCTATGGACATCCGATACTGCGAGTGAGACTTACCGAAGACTCTTGCTGTCGTTAATGATGTTGTAATGAGCCAGAATCATAAGCACGGTCGTAAAGGAGATGCCCTTGTCTGGGTCCGCTGAGACCATCACCTCCTCATAGAAAACATTGTATTTCCTACGCCTTTCGCGCACTACCGTAACATCGATTTCGTCCAACCTCCGGTTGAGACTGTTGATGTTGATGCCACCATACGCGCTTGCCGCTGCGGTCGACATGGACGTATGCCGCGTAGGCGGTACATCCTCGCGGACGTCATCCAGGATTTGGCGTACCGAGTTCTCATGCTGATAGATGCGCATCTCAAAGACACCCGACAACTCGCCTAGCAACCGAGGGAATGCCTCCTTGCTGATGTAGCCCGTACCACGAGGATCCACAGATCTCCATGCCTCCTTGAAGCGGCGCATCTCGTCGCGGTCGACGGCTGCTGACCCGCTGTGGCGCTGATACACGTACGAGAAGCTCTCGAAGATGAGCGAGACAAACAAGTTGACGAAGATGTACATGCTGACAATGTTCCACATGATGAACAGCACCCGGGCCCACGCACTGCTTCCACAGTCGCTCTCGAAGAATGCCGGGGAGTCGACGCAGAGGGGCGGTTCGATACCTGCATAGTCTTCCATGATCTGATTCCAGCCCTCACCCACACTCATGCGGAAGAGCAGGATGAGCGCATTCGGCACAGTGCGGAAGTTAACGTTGTTGTCTTCGTTTCCGCCGAACCGAGTCAGACTGAAGGTCTGTGTCAGGGCAATCGCGAAGACCAGGAAGAAGACCAGCCACGTCGCCAACAGATTGCCAATAGTCGTGAGACTGGCTGCCGCCGTCTTGAAGAGCTGGTCCAGGGCGTCATTGCGGGGAATCAGGAGGAAGACGATGGCGACGAGGAAGAACTTGTGCAGTTGCGTGTATGTGTCAACCTGTTGCTGTGCAAGGAACAGGATCGTAGTCGCGAACGCGCCAAAGACTGCGAGGAGGGAGTACATGTCCCATGAGCTCTTTCTGAATCGAGGCCACCCAAGACCGACGATTCGCACACCTACGTTGGCCATGAAGATAAGCGTGAACAGGAAGAACAGCGTGTCCCTTGTGTAGGTCCACCATCCAGGCTCGCTGGCGTATTCTGAAAGCAGAAGGATCAGGTGTAGGATCAACACAACGGTGATACCCACATACCATTTGCCCCTTTTCTCAATTGCGCGCTTATGACACCATTTCTTCCACTTCTTCTTGCTCTCGTCATACGAGGTTTTCGAAGGGGAGACTTGGCGAAGTAATTTTCGCAATTCGAGCCAGGATCGCTGCTCTGCTGTCAGATAAGCCACGCCAGTCTGCTCTGTGTAATTCCGCATGAAGACAGAAATGAACAGAGTAAGCACGAATACCGTTCCCAAGAGATTGTAAATCACGAAGAAGACGGCATTGCCGGTGGCGGCCCCAAACTGGGGTTGCATTCCACTGCCCGTGATAGACTGCGCCGAGAAGGAGACGTCAACCCATCCCTCTTGACTCACGATCTGGAAGAGGATGAAGAGAGAGGAGGGGAAGTCGTCGAAGTCGTAGTAAGGATTGGCAGCGACTCGAGGTGACAACACATCCCAGTTGAAAGGGGTACTGTTGTATTCCCCAAAGCAATCGTACAGGAAAGCGCCGGCGTCGCCGTCGTTGCAGATCGAGAATTTCCCGGCGAACAGGTTGAGTCCATAGAGAGCAAATGGTATAATCAAAGACAACGATACGAAGGCGGCGCTAAGTATCTTCCACCATCCGATGACAATGAGAGAATGAAACGTATCCCTGGCACTGTCGCTTACATTGAGCAGTCGCAGAGCTCTGAGCGCCTTGAAAGCACCGACAGCACGTGATACAGCCCCGTCATTCTTGAAGAGGGTGATGACGTTGATCCAGAGAGTGATCAGCACGACGGCATCGATGATGCCCCAGGAGCTGCGGAAGTATGCGTTCGGGGTCCAGAAGAACCCGTCAGCGATGACCTTGATGAGGGCCTCGATACTGAACAGGAGAGCAAAGGCGGCGTCGGTCCACACAAACCAGTTTGACACGCTGAATGTCTTGTTTGCAAAGTACTGCTTCTGGTAGAGCGGTGTGGTAATGCAGGCCAGAATCACCATGGCAACGATAGCGGCATAGATGAAAGCCGAGAATGAATACCACAACGTCTTGTTGGGCTCAACGCCGTCAAAACGCTCGGTTCCTCTGCCAGGGCCGACAATCCTTTGACAGAGGCGTCTGATGGGGTTTCTGGGCGAGAAGATGAACAGGGAGTTGTTATATGTCGGATGGCGCGCCAGATACGCTCGCTGCGCCTTGCGTCGCTCTGCGGTTGCCGAGACAGCCTTCTGGGCCATCTGTCGTGGGTCGAGAGCCTCATTGTGGGCCTCGAAACGGATGTTGGAGTAGAAGGGGTTTGGATCCTTGCTAGTGAACGTGACGACCATCTTTCCCCATATCGACGACATGATTCCCGGTTTGACGCCATTACCAGCATAGGCGCCATTGGGCTCCGGTGGCGACTGACTTTCGCCTGGAGGCGTCTCGTGGTGCGGGTCAGGGCCGTCGTCAAGGAAATCACGAACCACGGCCTCTTTGAGCAGCATCTCCATCATAGCAGGGCCATAGTCCAGCGGGTCCTTCTTCTTACGGGTCTTTCCGAGCGAGAAGATGGTGGAGAGGGCGAGATTGCTCGAACTGCTGCCAAGCTCCTTTCTCTGCAGAAAGGCCTTCACTTGTTCCAATCGCTTCACATCCTCGCCAACATCAAAGTTTTCTTGGATGACAGCAATGAACATGTTGACGAGGATGAAGAAGGCGAGAATGAACCAACCGACCAGGAAGATTGCCCCTATCCACGATGTCCTGTAGGCTGTTGTGTAGGCGGTGACGTTATACAAGACATTCGTCCAGTTCTCTGTGGACAGGATCTGGTACATTCCGAGGAATGAGTTCCAGATTGTGTCGAAGGAAACCTCAACATTGTCGCCGCTAGAGTCGACGAGTGGTATCTGTCCACGAAAGAGTTGCGAGGCGAAAATGGACATCAACAGTGTGATCAGGAACACGAACAGCATCAGGTTCAGGATACCTGTTGAGTCACCCAGCACCAACTTGATCAGCTTTGCTGTCATGGGAACAGCAAGAACGATGCGGTAGACTCTGAGTATCTGAAAGACCGTCAACCAAGCATAGACAGCCTCAGTGTTGTGGATCGGAGGAAGCAAGATGACGGATGTGATGACGGCCAGACTGAGGTCCACGATATTTCGCCGGTGGCGGTGGAAGCCCCTGAAGTCCGCCACCACTCTGATGAAAATCTCGATGTCCAGCAGAATCGTGACGAGGATCTCGATAGCATTGATAATGGCCCGACGTGCCGGAGACATCGAAGCGCTTCGCGTTGCCTGGGCTAGGAGATCGGCTGCGATGCAGAGAATCCAAAAGAGCTTCGTCTTGTTGTATATCTTTTGCAGTGACGATACCCTCCTGGGCATTTTCTCATCGGGGCTTCCAAAGGTTGGATCAGTATGATCATCCACATCGGTAAAAGCGCTTGCTTTGCTCTCTTCTCGGATGACCTGGAATGATGAAGTGATGACCGCAATGAGCAAGTTGACCAACCACAACATCATGATCATGATGCCGGCACCAAAGAAAAGCGCTGCTGGTGTGTAGTCGGAGTTGATGGTGTAGTACATGAGATCAGAAAAGGTGTTGGCGCTCATCACGACAAAGACAAGTTCCAGGGAGTGAAAGATGTCGTCGAAGTGAACGGTATTGTTATACGGATTCTCCCGTTGCAAACAGAGTGTACCTCGAGGACAGATGTAGCCCTTAGCGCTTGGTGTGCCTTGTGTGAAGTCACTCAGGTTGTCGTACTGATTAGCAATAACCCAGGGCATCTCGACGCCATTGGACTCGTTCAAATAGCCACCGCAGAACTGCATGTCCTGGATGTATGCTGCGGATGCATTGAACGGGTCTTCGGGATCAAGCCAGACGCACTGTCGACTGAGGCTGGACTTGAAACTCTGCACGCCGATGATGGCGAAGACGAGCCAGAAAAATCCAATCAGGAACGAGACCCGCAGGAGCAGTGGCGCTGCCTTCTTCAAGCTCCGCAGAATAACCTATTTTTCAGATTGTTAGCATTGTGGATGGCCAACCCGGATGCCAACAACTTACAGCGTTCCCCTTCGTGATAGCCAGGAGTCGGAGAATTCTGAGACTGCTCAACATCCTGAAGATATAGAGGTGATGTTGCAACTCGACACCCGTGATGCCGACTGAAAATGATATCCAGAAGGCCACGACGGCTACAAAATCAAGACGGTTGAAGCCGTGTCGCAGGAATGCCCTTCGCGCCAACTGATACCTTTGTTGTTCCTCCATCGTTTCGGGAAGCTGCTGGCCATGGAGCCAGGTGACGGACCGCGCCAAGGTAGAAGGGCCGTAGCTCTCCTGCGGCGGTTTTTTGACCGATTTCTGTCGCTGTGGTTGGAAAACATCTCGATATTTCCCGGCTACCGCAGCTTTTACACCTCGCGAGCGATCTATTGAGCTGTACTCGGCTGCGTTGAGGATGAAGCCAGACACAATGATCCTGGCAATGACTTCCATGGTATAAATGACAAACAAGACCAGTATGGCCCAGTCGAGCGTGGAGCTACCCCACACGATTTGGCCCGGATTTGGTGTGTTATACACGCTCGGCGCGGCTTCGACACACAAGAGGATCGTCTGGAGCACAATCAGAACGAGGATCAATGGCTCCGTCCAAGGTTGAACCAAGATATCGCAGAGTCGCAGTCTTATCGGATTATCAGGGGAAAATATTCCCAGAGACTTTCCTCTCAGCGGATTTGGCATCCGCCCAGGCACTGGGGAGAGGGGGCCAGGGTTCGAGGCAAATATGTATTCCGTTTGTCCCCTCTTCTCCGTCGGGCTCTGGGTGTTTTGGTACAGCTGTGATGGATATGAGGTGTCGACAGATTCGGGCATCGGAGGCATGGGCTCACGCGGCGAGTCTGCGCTCGGCGACCGGGACCTTTGGCGTCGTTTCTGGTTCTCGAGGACCTCTGCCTCACCACTGATGTTGACGACACGCTGTGACATGGCCCGCACGATGGAGCCCGCCTTCAGGAATGCGCCAGACGTCGAGGGTGACCGGGACCGACGCCGACTCATCCCTTCAGCATCACCAGCCGTCAGGTTCCTCCCAAAGCTCTTGTGTTTCTGAGACCCGCTCCCCCTCTCCAGGTCAGCCCCAAGCGTCCTCCCATCGCGTTGTTGACTGGAGTTGGTATCGAGGTCGCGCACAGTCTGGAAGCTATCTCGAGCATGGCCGTCGTCGCTCACGTTGAGGCCATCGATCGGCTGGGCAGTCGCCGTTAGAGGGACGCGGTCGGAGTCTGGCTGAGCCTGCTCTTCGAAATACGAAGGGGCTTCGTAGGCTCCGACCGGAGTGGTCTCGATGGACAGCCGGCCAGCACTCGGAGGGCCCCAGCCCGGCGGAATAGCGGCCTGGAAAGCATGAGGATCGAGTGGTGAGTCGGGCACGAGTAGACCACTCTGTTGCGATTGTTGTTGATGTTGTGACTGTGGCTGTTGTTGCGGTTGTCGATGGAAGGGATTGTCGTTCCAGTATGTCACTATCCCTGGCAAATTCGCCGCCATCTGCGCCGTCGTCGGCGAAAGTTGCTCGATATCTGTCCCTCCTCCATCTCGGTTGTCCGAAACGACACCCTGTGGCTGTCGTTGTTGTTGTTGCTGCTGTGGTTGTTGTTGTGTGCCTCCTGCACCGAATGCGCCATGGTGCCCCTGTGATTCGTCTGGTGGGCGCTCGAGACTCTGCATTGGTATTGAATGTGGCGGAGCAGCTCGGTTCTGTTGTGATGATGGGGGGTTCGACTGGTCGGCCATTTTCGCTGGCCAGACGCAAGACGCCTGTCAACGATGTAGGCTTCGTGTCAACAATGGAGGACGCTCGAGATGCGCGCTGGGGCGCTCTCGGTGTGTCGGCTTCGCGGTCAGGGTGTGATCATGGCACGGGCCGAGGAGAAGCTCTCGAGTAGAGCAGAGGAAGAGAAAAAGAACGAGGGCAACCGTCAATGAAGCGTTCGAAGAAGTCGCCCTTATCGATGTCGACTCGAGTCGGGACTGGGTGTGCGTCGATTGGTGGTCGGGACTGGGGGCCCGTGGCGGTTACTTTTGAAGTCTAGCTGACCTCTGAAGTTTTGGCGTGGTTACAACGGCGATGAGACGCTAGTAGGATAATTAGTTGATGAATTCCAGCGGAGCGGTGCAGCCGCGATTGGGGCTTGTGTCACAGGCCAGGGGCTAAAGGGCCTATGTCAATTAACAGATCTCGTGTTGTGTGTCGCAAGGTCCTGGTCGTCGTTGATGTTAAACTTGGGGACAATCGCAGAGCACTGTGCACCAGGCAATTGGCTCGTTGGATTGGCGTTCGTATTTGTCGGTTTGCCCAGGTGAAAGAGGACTAGCCTTTGATTAATTGAGCAGCAGCAAGAGATCTCACTCATCACATGAATGAAGGTTGGGCCTACCCACCCCCCCCCCCTTGGCCCGTTCCTGCCCTGACACCCAGCCCAGACATGCATGATCTCCACTCTTCCACCATCTCCCAGCTGGGCCTAAGCATGAGGGACTCTGCTGAGCCACTGTGTCTGGGCGATGTGACGGTGTATCACTGTGCGTGTCAGAAATCTCCCTGCAGCATGGGGCTAGGGCCCGTTTGGGTTCCCTCCCACACCCCTCCTTGAAGCCCATGAGTGAGTGAGTAGCTGACCTGCATGCATGCAGCACCGCACTTGAATCTCACCACACCTGCCCACAGTGATGCGGATGATTATTTCATTGTGCAGTATATCATACGGCGGCATCTCCCAGATCTGCATCTTCCCGTTCTGACGGCTTTGTTGATCCCGCCAAGCCTCAGGATGGGTCTGTGGGCCGAGTCGATGAGGTTAAGGTTGAGGTCTGCTGCTTGTCCACCCTGGGCACTGGGTTGATGCAATATCGCTTGCTTATACACCATCTCATAAACTTTGCTTGTAGGACCAATCGTGAGATCGATTCCCTTGCTGGTCGCACAGATTACTGCACACAAAGTTCTCCGGATATCCATTCGAGTGCCTGACTAGGCTTCCCATATCACGTTACATTTCTGCCTTTGCTGCCGCCCACAGACAATGATTGCAATTGAATTTGAGTGGTGAAGTTCTTTTACTGACTTGTGTCGCCCTAGACTATCTCTGCCAAGATCCCGTCAAGCCACCAGCAGTCCACAGACACAACCCGCCCTAGCAGCCGAGCACGAAGAAAGTATGTACAACCTTCAGATCCGCCAAAAACCATTCATCGCCCACCCGCTTGAAAACCTCATGGTAATGGGCTCCTCCGGTGATACGAGACTCTGGCTTCGGGATGGGACCCTTGTCGGCAATGTAGTAGTGGATAGGGAACACCGCCTTCACCTCGTCAGAAGAAACCTGCTCGAGCTCGGGGGACCCGACCAGGTGGTGAGCCTGCTTGACTGCCAATAGCTTGCTAAAGTGTGCCACACACGCCTCTCTCGACTGGAAGAGAGGGAAAACCGCTTCTTTCGGAACAACCCCGTTGTCGATGAACTCGAACCTAAAATCTGGAAGCACAACCTTGTCGAAGAGGTCCCATTTCTGTGAGTCGGCGAAGCGGCAGTATTGTGCCTTCTTCTCGATAATGGCTTGAGCGATTTCGGACGAGGGCCTCATTATGAACTTGGCTGGTGTAGAAGGTTGTGCAAAAACTGTCTTGAGAGCACGCTGGGAGGAAGATTTATGAAGAGACCCGAATAGTGAGGATGATGATAGAAGAAAGATATCTTGCCTGCACATGGGCACCACTTGAAGCCTTTATATACGTAATGTTGCTGGCATCGAGTTGCTGTTGCTCACCGTGTTCACTCTGTCCAAGTGCCATCTCCATCGGAACAGCGGAAGACCAATTCATCCTCAACTTTAAGATTTAATCTCTGACTCTCTCGATAGGCACCGGACGGGCAGGAGGCGGAGAACACGAACGTATCGTTCTCGCCTTCCAATGATGCCTGGGCAGGTTGTAAAGCCATTTTTTGCAGCATCATGTACGGTCGGGAACGGAGAGCCGGCCTGCAATATCTCCCCGTTTTCTTACCTCAGCCACGCGCTTCACATCCAGAGGGCCAACACCGCCAATTACGCTCGGCTCAGCGAATTGTTTGCAGAAGATGTTGTCGGGACAGGAGTTGCTCCGCTCAGCTCCTTCGTGCCTTTTCGTCCGCGTGACACGGTTGAGGGAATTGTTTTACCTTAGGTCTTACTGTGTCTGATGAATACTTGGGTTTTCCAACTATGACCTCGTCCTTGTCGCAAGGAAACCAGGTAAAAAGAAAAGAAAGAAGAAATACACAAAAGATGGTCAGGGGGACCAAGACAATATGCGATACGTATAGACCAAATCACAACTCATCGTTGGGAAGATGATGGTTACTAGGCGAAAATGATTACATAACACAGCAAGTATCTATTGGGACTTTGAATGGTCTATAGATACACCTGTGTGACTGTATTACGCAGTAAAGAAGGCACTTGAATATTACAGTAGTACTAACTACTCAAAGTATGTAGGGCTACAGGGGCTGTACACCCGGGAGGCGCCTGTGCGGGGGGGAAAATTGGTGGTCCGGTCGCGTCTAAATCGCGCCTTGTTTGCATCATCAAACCCGATTTGCGCATCGCATTCTGACATCTCCTAACCTCTGACAGATCTGGAGGAACTCATAGCTTATCCCACCACCTCAAGGCTGATCGAGTCGTCGCGCCCTTTGATGACCGCAGAACCGTCAGGAGAGCTTTTGTCCATCTTTTGATGCTGTTCCTCCTCGCCCTCGACGTAATCCTAAACGCGTTCTTGCTCCCTGCGCATACCGCACCCCCCTTCGCTCCACGATGCCATCAAGAAAGCGGTCTCTCCAGGAGGCCGAGAGCCAATCTGTCGAGGAAACAAAATCACAATCCTTGATACACAGGCTGCGGAATTCATTCTACTTTGCCAACTTATACCAATGGATATGCATCTTTGGCAAGGTGGTCAAGATCGATGATAATCTAGACATCGAGGTACGAGTTACAAACAGATGTTATCGGCAGCAAGCGTCGCGGCCCGGACTGAAACCCCCTTGTACCACAGGAACTCGAGACAGAATGCCTCAAGCACGGCTCCATGAGGTTGCAGGACATAGGCCTGTCTTTGTTGAAGCATATCTCCTCACACCGCGGATTAACGTACGTTGCTTCCACGGTCACCGTTTCGTAGAGACTCGAGACTTACTCCGGCCAGACACGAGATTTTCGACGAATATACTCGAAGGCAATTCGATGCGAAGTTGCCGGGAAAGACGAATCCCTTTGGGAAGGGCGAAGTCATCACCAAGTTCAGCGACTTTGACCTCTTCAAGAAGGTGTGTTTGCCCGTGACCACCCTTGCCGGGCAACCAGAGTCTGACTCTATCTCTTATAATACAGCTTCGAGTCTTGTGGCAGATGACGCAGATCGTCATGATGAAACCCGAACATATTCGACCAAATATGGACGAGCAGAAAAACGAGGAACAAACTGCCTGGGTTGGTCATCCCTGGATCCCGCTCGAAAGTGCACTGACAGCTGACAAGACATCAGAGGATTGAACCCTATGGATGGGATCGAAAAGACCGCGAATACTACGTGCTCGACGACAACCGTCTATACCGTCTCACGGCCGCACCTCCTCCCGCTGCTCCTCCAAAGAAAACTTCTCAGAAAGCAAAGGCTGCTGCAAGAGCTGCAAAGCGCAGACGCGTCGCTGCAGCTGCTGCCGCCCCCGCCGACAGCACCAATGACGAGGCTGACAACACCAGCGCAGCGGAGGACAACGACGCAGGTATTGAACAGGTCGACCGGGAAGATCCCTTGGATGGCGCGATTTGGGAATGCGTTGCCATCACCCTCGAAGAAGTACGGAAGTTCATCGAGCCGCTGCAGAAATCCAAGGACCCGAATGAAAAGGTGCTTCGCGGCCAAATAGAAGAACACATGTTACCACTACTTGAAAAGCAGGAGGAGTCCAGGAAGCGAAAGATGCTACAGAGGGAGAAGGAGCTTCTCAACCTGGCTAAGATGGCCCACGCCAAGAGATCAAGCCGGATAGCTGGCAAGGCCGAGCAGCAGAAGCAGGAAGAGCTTGAACGCCAAGAAAGAGAGAAGAGGCTCGCTGAGGAGGCAGCCGCAAAGAAAGAGGAACAGAAGAGGCTCAAGATGGAGAAGGAGCGTGATAACCGGATGAAATCCCGAGACCGACGTCTACAAGAGCGTGAAGCTCGTCGCCTTCTACACGAAGAAGAGCTCGCTCAGTTGTCGGAAGGAAGCAAGAGCGCTGAAGCGGCACGACTATCAGAACGTCGCCTGAAGGCAGAGATCGAAAAGAACAAGCAAGCCCTTCGAGAACTGGATGAGGAGGAGGAGGACTGGACATTTGACTGCATCTGCGGGCTGTATGGACAAGTCGATGATGGCAAACATAGTGTGGCCTGCGAGCGATGCAATGTCTGGCAACACAGCAAATGCCTTGGTGTTGCTGAGGAGGAAGCCGAGCGAGATGACTTCCATTTCATCTGCCAACACTGCAAGGAGGCCGAGCGCGCAAGGGAGGAGAAGAAGCAACAGAAAGCTGCCCCCAAGATCAAGATCAAGCTCAAGGAGCCTAGCTCTGCCTCTTCAACCCCATCGAACAAGCCTGTCTCCACGACACCGATCCCTCTCCCTCAGATACCTGGGCTGTCTCCGAAAAAGCCGGCGTCGCACTCCAAGCCCCCACAACTCAACGGACTGGGGCTGTCGCTGCCATCGACCAGCGCGTCGACTTCAGCCAAGCTACCAGAGCCGTCACCACAGAAGCACAGCTCGCCCCCTGTGGAGGTCGGCCACAGTACGGCGGCTGCTCTGACCTCTGCCCCATCCTTGCCGCCTTTTCCGGCGCGGAGGCCATCTCAGAATGGTCTGTCCCACAATCCCTTCTCATCACCGCACCCAAACTTGCTGCCGCCCGACCTGTCGCCGACCAAGTCCCGTGCGTATGGGAGCATCTACACTTCTTCCAGCCCCACAGCCCCGGATGGCCCAGATGTGTTCAAGGGGTCAAATGATCGGCCGCCTCTGTCACCGGCTACGGCCAACGCTACTTTGATTGGGCACGAGTCCCCAACGAAGGACTCAGCAACAAAGAATGGATCAGCTGCAGCCTCCCCGCAGAAGCCGGCCAACACACCCATCAGCTCAGCAAAAGTCCACGATCAGCCAAGAAGCTCGCCATCATCCATTGCAACGCCAAGACTGAGCCCAACACGCCCTGAGGATAGCGATCCTCTTCCATCAGCACGAGGCGGTCTCTCCCCGACCAAGAACTCGCCCTCGTACCCACGCTCTAGCTCGTTCAGCTATAACACAGCAGATGGTCAGAATGGCGTCCGCTCTAGTCCAACTCCTGCCATCATACCGCCTGTTGCAGCTCTCTCTCCAACGCCCCACAAGCCCGACCCGACACCACCTGTCAAGGTTGACGAGCCGCCACGACCGGTGTCACCCCACAGCATGCAGCTCTTCTCATCGCCGTTACAGCCAAGGCCTTGAACACGACGGCATGATAATGTGGAGTTTAGGTTGCGACTTTCCACGTGCCCAGCAACGTGGACACCACGGTCACAAATTGTTCCTTGGATGGGAGGGTCGATAATATGATCTTATATCGGGTATTCCGAGACAAGACAATAAGATGAAACTCCTTAGAGATGTTACAATTACATGAAGACCAGTGATAAAATGATACATAGTATACGAGGACGTGAACGACAGTGGCATGAAGGAAGAAATGTCGCCTCATACCGGTCGTGAAAAGCGAGAAGGTTTGGGCACGCACGCAGATTCCATGGCAGAAAGAGAGAAAAATGATTATCACTAAAGATAAATTGTACATACAGTTCAGACGATAGGTGGACGGAGATCCATCAATCAGAGATGATTCAAAGCCCTCCGAAGCACTTCATAATCCAGGAGGACCCTTCATCCCCAAGAGCTAAGCATTGGTCTAACTTGGTCGTCTCGCCGAACTTATGCGCGAGTGTCATCCCCGCTAGCCCAGGAACTTTCATCGTCAGCCTTGTCTGCGCCAAGTTTTTCTGCATCGACGACCCAATCTGAACGGCAATTGGGCTAATTGAAGGGGGGGGGGGGGAGCCACATTTTCTCACTGACATGATTCTAGAAGGACTTTCTAGAAAGGACTTTTGACGGAGCAGGACAGACTTCTGCATGGCCAGAAAAACAAGAACCACGCCAGAGCGCCTAAAACTGAAACTTTAGCCCGCAGGGGGTCTGGTTGTGGGTGGTTGGCATCTTGACAAATTTACAGACAAGGGCTGCTTGACAAGGCATAGAGAGATGACAGCCTTCGCGTGTCTTTTGTGTGTGGGGTCTTCCAACTGCATCAAGTACGGTATATTGGTTTACCTCCCTCATGGCGCACGAAAGGGAACAAGTAAACCGACGCCGAAAGGGGGGGGAGGGGAGGCTACAGCGCGGCGTAGGGCTATCTGTCCACGTCGCGCCCCCCAACCACTTCCACGACTCGTGTTGTGGCAGCGAGATGGTAATGACTGGCGTTGATCATGACAGAGATGAGAAGGGGCACTTCGGCTAGTTGGGCATGGACATGGGCATGGGTTGTGCGAGATCATCATCGGACCTGACTTGTCAGTGTCAACAAACCTGATGTGGGCTCACCGACCCTTTTTGTCTTGAGAAGGAGGGGCGGGTGCACGTGTTCTATCTCCTGGACGAGACTCAGATGGTCTGAACAGAGGCGCTCGCTGGTCAAGGCGTGAGTCAAAGGCTGGGGGGGGGGGGGGGTAGAGGAAGAAAGCGGTGTCCCCTTTGTCGTATTTTGAAACGATGCGTGTGATGATAATGCTACTGCTGTACAGACCACATCGTGGTCATGATGCCGCATGGTCAAAGGCTTTGAGCGGGCCTGAGGAGGGCTACGGATCATTGTTGGCTTTCCATAGCTTTTTCTGCAGTTTGTAGATGCGATCCTCGTGTCTGTCATGACATGGCATGGCACGGCTTTACCATCGCAGGTGAACGAACCTCCAAACTGCGTAATCATCTTCACACACAATGACGCGTCCTTGGCGCCTCAGCAACCGGAGGCCTTAAGGGTTCCTCTGTAGGACGATGGCAACAGTGATTTGATCTAGACCACACAAGATCCGAGCTGGCCAACGTCTTAATGCTAGCGATGATGATGATCAACCTTCTAGCCCCAACGAACCCCCCACACATCGAGCGCGAACCGGGCCCCTCCTAAGGCGTCCTTTTACTAAGGGTTCGAGCCAGTTTCGTGCCAGACCCCCACGGACCCCTTTTGGCTGATCAGAGTCTACTCCTGAACGAAACCACCCCCCCACCCCCCTTCAGCACCACTGTGCTGACGGTCTAAGACAAAGAGCAGGGGGCTAGAAACAGGCAAGAGTGGGCTGCCGGTGAACGCCTGGGGGGAGAAACAGAAACAAGCAGCAGAGAGACAAGACACACACACACACACACACACACACACACACACGCGCGCGCGAACGAACCAGCCCCGTCACGGATACCCGGCTGAAGAAACCTGGGGCGAGACCAATGGTCAGAGTGCGCCACGCCAACTCAGTTGAGCCGCGCTAGTCTGTCTGTTGGGCTGTGGTGGTGGTGGGGTTGGTATACCAACTAAACAACACTACGGGCTAAAGTCCATAAGCTTGTGAACTTTGTGTGACAAGGTGTATGCAGGTAATACTGGTCATGTGCTGCAGGAGGGTGTGTATGTGTGATGGTTGGACCTTGATTGTAAATCATATATGTGCCGTCGGGCAGCGGGTTCACCGACGAGGGAGGAAGAGGCGAGAGAGGCCCAAGTGACTAGGAAGATGTATTCTCTTCTTAATTTTTTGGGTTATTACCTTCTCACGGACCTTATGCTGAAGCCCGCCCGATCCGTCACTCCTCATCTTTGACACGAGGGGAATCGTTTGTTCCTCTGCTTCTTTGAGGTAGGATAGAAAACAGCAAGATGGAGGGCAGGAAGCGGAAACAAGGCAATGTCAAAGTGGTGAATTCGGTTGATTCTGGCCCAGCGTTTGCATCGCATCAAAGGCCAAAAGGGCTCTTTGAGTCGAGGTGCTGAAAGCAATAGATGCGGCTATAAATCCACGCAAGCAATCCAGCGGGCTGGTATCGGTCTGGTCCCATCCGTAGTCGAGACGTAGCCATCGCAGCAGGCTCTCAAGGCATCAGGCAGAAGCAGAGACCAACACGGCATTCTGCACAGGAGATGCACCAGAAGCCGGAAAGAGAGGCACGCGGGAGTAGAGGGTACCTGCATACCGCCCTACAAGGTCCCTGGATCTTCTGTGGTTTCCCACCCCGCCTGCACCGCAAGACCACGCACAGCCTGCTTTCCTCTCTACCCTATCAGGTGAGTTCCTTCGTGCGCGCCTGCTCGGTATCCTCCAGGACACGAGAACTCTCCGTCGTCTCTCCGTCTCTCCGTCTCTCCGTCTCCCCAATCTCTCTTACCCAGGAGCACCCCACTGAGGCGGGCCGCCTCTTGCTCTGGCAGTGGGTACTAATGCTGCCAGACTTGCCAAGTGGCTTGCTTGCTCGAACGGACAGCCAGCCCGCACAGCCGCTAATGCAGCTACCCGCCAAATACAGTGTACAGATCGATCGCTGAGGCGATCGCCCCCCCCCTAATCCCAGCTTGAGGAGACAGTTCCTTGAGCCGGCGAACTAGCGGTACGAACCAACTGCCCAGCTATCAAGCACCAAAAGGTCAAGAGCACGCATGCCCAGCGTACTGCGATAGCCGGTGGTCTCGTGGTCCCGTGGTGGTATACCATAGTACCGCGTTTGCGAGGGCGGAATCAAGAAGCAAGAGGCAGGGGGGGTCTCTCGACGGAATCTATGCCGAGTTGTCTAGTGAGGGTTCCAGAGAACTTAGACCACTATCCATCAGCATCTAAGCTTTCGCCAGCCCAAGTGTGGCTAGATGGGGAACTCCTGACGTCAAAGGAATGCGGGATGGATACTTATGCGCGAACCAATGAGCAGCCGCGTACGTTTGCGGCAAGCCAACCACTTGGCCGCCTCTGCTCTCCACCCTTCTCTATCTCTGTGTCCCCCTTCTCGCTGAGCGAAAGTGCATGTCTCAGCTTACGGAACCACGGTCCAGGTCCGCGGGGGCTCAGCTGTTGGGTACCAGCCGCGAGACATTTTGAGAAGTCTGAGGGAATAGGGTTTGGGATCGTTGCACCCGCTGCCACCCATCATCAGTTCTGTCTGGCTTTGCCTGTCGAGTCACCTCCATCTCTTTCACCACCGATTTTTGGAGTTCCTGTCTATCTCGATAGCGTTCAAACCGTTCGAACCACCTCCAATACCCTTGCCTTTTTTTGGAATTTAAGCGGGCTGGTGCGTGAACAGGTGGAAGCGTGAGCTTGGCTGTCCCGTGCCCAACAGCTCCTGCGAGCTTGTGTGGCCAGCCATGGATTACTGATGGCACGAGTGTCTGTGTGTCCCCCAGTACAGCGTGAGCCAATGAGCTCAAGTATGAGCTCCCTCTCCTCCTCTGGCCAAGGCGGCGAGACTTTTGCTGCTGGGTGTCAGGGATCAGGACGCTTTCGGAGAGGCACAGTTTCCAAATACCTGGCCATCGTGACATGTACTTTCTGGCGGTCAGCTCCCAGATAGACCATGCAGAATCCCAGGAACCGGTGCCGGCCACAGATACCAGGCATGCCACGGAGAGTTCCGAGGGCTTTTTGATATAGTTTTGTGGCCTGGAGAACCGTTAGCAGGTTGCGTCTGCGGGCACTGGCCTGGAGGACTGGCCGAATGCGGTAGTCGGCGTGGCCGCATGTAGCACCTTTAGCCTCCACCCCGCGAGCTTCTTCCCCTACATCCATCCGCAGTCGTTCAGAATTGGGCTGGATATACAAATACAGGGTCCTCCACTAGCCTCGTTCCTTTTTTGCCTGTCTGAAAGAAACACTGCGACAAAGCCCCGGCAACAAAGGACAACATCTCAAGGTGACGTTTTGCCCAAGCTTGCCCCTCCCCGGGTTTCGTACCCTCCCACCCAAGGCCAGAAAGTACGTACAGACGACCCGGACAAAGAAACAAAAATAACCCAGCTAGGCTTTGATGAGGACACATGAAAGCAATCTTCCAGGAACGAACCAAAGCGGGTGGATGAAGCCATCTCAATGGTCAACACACAAGGCTAAGGCTGCTATTCCAGTACAGCGGTGTCACGCCTCCTGCTTGGGCAAAGAAGTATACCCCTGCCACTTGGCTCCTCTGCAGCAGGCTCGTGCCAACCATTTGAAGCCGCATTCCTGCTGCATATCTGATGCGTTCTCCTCCTGCTTGCCTCCATTCACGAGAAGCGAGAGAGAGACAGAAAGATAGACAGAGATACACACACACACACACACACACACACACACACACGCCTACACACACAGACCGCGCTCTCAGCCCAGCTTCCATCCCCCCAACAACGCAGGAAGGCAGCCACCACCGAGTGAACGCAGATACCCTCAGCTGCTGCTGCACCTGCCACCAAACCAGGGATCGCTCCATCCAGTCAGCAGAGAGAGCTTCCAAGAAAAACCTGGCGTCTCGGACTGTTTAAGAATTCCACCCCCCCCTGCCATTTAAGCCCTGCCCAACGACTGGGATCTAAGCACCACCCAGAACACGGCGGGTTCGGGACAGAAAGGCTCCCAACGACATATCAATCTGGTTCCACCTCGTATTTATCTTCTCGAACAAGTCTTGGGAGAGGAAAGGGGAGAGGGAGAGGGAGAGAGAGAGAGCTCTTAGGCAAGCCGCTGTTGGCTTCCCTCATCATATACCGAGTTCCAGACCACCTCAGGCTTGCAACGCCTGGCAGCTCTGGAGCGACCAACATCCTTTCCTGAGCATCTGGCTGCAACAGGAGCCATGGCACATGCCACCCATCTGTCTCCATCTGAGATATCATACGAGAAGATGGACCCTGCCGCAGGTCTGCCTCTCTCACCAACAACATCATCAAATGACGGACAGCTTCCACAGGGGTTCGACGAGCTGGTGCATCACAACAACAACAACAACACCAACAACACCAACAACGCGATATCCTACCATAGTGAGCACGCTGTAGTCGAATCGATCACTGCCTCAAGCCCTCCTCGAGCAGACTCGAGGATGCCAACCCCTGCACCCCATGGTGCAGCATCGAGCTCTCACAACTTGCAGTATGGTCTCCCTTCGCAACAGCAGCAGCAACAGCAGCAACAGCAACAACGACAAGTGTATGGGCGGGAGTACACCTACCAGAGTCAGCCCACGTATGACTCTCACGACGGTGTCTATCCATCACCAGACGAGGTGTGTCCCTTTTCTTCCTTTTCCCTGTTCTTATTGCGATGTCAAGCAGGATGAATGCCTTACTCACACACATTCGCGTCGTCCAGCCACCGTATACCACGCCCGCGTCGTCCCCATCGCAGCGGTCTGACATTCTCAGCCTGCGGCAGGGCCATATCCAAAGGCCAGCGACTGTCCCAAGGCCGCTCGCAGCCAAGACTCGTGTCCAGAAGGCTAAGAGAAAGAAGGGTCGCGAGAGGTCGGACAAGGACAAGGTCCATCTCGAGAAGCCTCTGAGCGAGATGGGGGAGGAGTGGAAGCGGTCCATGCTGGAGATCGAGGCGTACATCAACCGATCAGCCGAGGCGCGCAGACAGGAGATCGAGACGGACCGCAAACAACCTGGCAAGATCAAGCGGCCCATGAACTCCTTCATGCTGTACCGAAAGGCGTTCCAGAACCACACCAAGGCGTACTGCGAGCACAACAACCACCAAGTTGTGTCCAAGGTATGCGGTGCCAGCTGGGACCAAGAGCCCGACCACATCAGGAAGCAGTTCGCCGACTGGGCAAAGCTGGAGCGCACCAACCACCAGAAAGCCCACCCTGGGTACAAGTTCACACCCGCCAAGCCCAAGAACCAGAAGCGCAAGCATGACTCGGACGATGAGGCTTCGGACCTCGAGATGTATGACTGGGAGGGTGGTCCACGGGGGGTAAAGAGGGACCGCTCACAGACAGGAACCCCCATTCCGGAACCCGAGCTGTATGGCCACCACCAAGCGTACTACCAGCCAGGTTCCCATTACCCACCACAGCATCAGCAGATAATGCACCCCCGCGCAGTGCTGTCGTCGTACAGCTACAGCAACCCAAACAAGCAGATGCCAGCACCGTATGGCTCAATGGCCCTCGGCCAGTCAGGTCAATACCTGTCGCCCAACTCCATGGCTAACTCGCACTACCACCAGCGCGGATATGCAGTGGAGGATGTCTCGTACCACAAGACGCCATCTCCTGGCAATACATACCACCAACCAATGCAGCCAGACATGATGGATCCGTATGTGACCTCTTCGCGGCATCATCCCCTGGAGCACACGCCCCAGCCTGCGCACTTCATGCAGAACGACCATGTCGATACCGGGTTGTACCCCGTGGGCAACAATTCGTTCGATCCAAGCAATCCGCTGCACCTCCCTGATCACGCCATCGAGAACACGGGTCTCGACTTCAGTTTCAATGATTCCAACCTGCAGCAAGCTGGAAGCAATGCACTGTCGAACGCGTTCGGTGATGAGAGCTTGCTGCAGGACCAGCAAGCACAGCAGTTGCTGAGAGGCAACGACGAATGTTGGGACATCCAGCCCCTCGACGAGAGCCAAGTCGGTGACCAGTATGATGACTGGGGCGTCGACCCTTCATTGTCTCAGCCTTATCCAGTGAATGATCCTCCTCTGTCGGAGACATACACTGCACGCGACTGAAAGAGACGGCCCGTTCTATTGGATGCCTCCCCCCCCCCTCTCCTTCTGGGTTTTCTCTCTCAGGCAGAGAACCTGTACGAATACTGTATTAAGATGATATTTCAATATGTATGCGGCGTGGACATTGTGACCAGAAAGGCAAGGCACATGCGTCAGGACAGATAGTATGGCACTGATTCTAGCGTTAGCAACGCGGTCATTGGTCATGGGTTGGATATCTAAGTAGCCTATTGCGTGTATGGATGATGCCACGGCTGGTCATGAACAGGAAAGGAGTTGGTGGTGCACGGATTTGGTGGCTTACATGTGCATGATAGATATTTCATTTCATTCCTACTCAAAAAGCCCTCTGGCTGGCTAGATGTGAGACCATCATCGTGATATGGACCATTGATTGACATTAGAAATCCTTCGTGCTCTGCGTCAATACGCATTATGGGGCCAGTGAAGCTGGGAATAATGTGATTTTACACGGTGAGTGCAAAAGTGAGGGGTCGAGACTGAACAATGCTATTGTTTGACTGTGTGGAAGGGGGACATAGTGGCCCGGACGAACGCGATGCTCAGAACAGGCAAAGAGGAGACGTCCAGCGCAGGAGCAAAATCAGATACGTCATGAAACGAGACGCATTCAGGTTACCAAGAGGAAGCAGCCTTGGATTTGAGGTAATTACTGCGTACCATGCATGTGCAGCTTAGGAAGTAACGGATGGATGGAGTCGGCCGTTTCCCGGTAATTGCATATTCCATATGTGGGTGGTCCGAGCTCTTCTTTAGCGGCGGCAGGAGCGACATAGCTTACAGCTACCATACAACAATGCCAAACAACAGGTACAGTAGATCCTGCACATTCGATCAACCTTTAACGTACCCAAGCCCAACATGACGTGGATTTCAAAGACAATAACAACTCTAGGTCTCATGCTCGTAGCACACGCGTAAGTTCTATCAGAGCCCCATGCAGAACGCCCCAGTCCTTCTCAAGCTAACGGACTCCCCAACAGCTGCTACTCTGCCCAAGAGCATTCAGCGCTGCAATCCCTTCGAGCCACCAGCTCAAGCTCAGGCCTCCACAACACGCAGGCGTCGTCCTCGTTACCACTCGACATTTCCATCGAGACGGTTGTCGGCCTCTTCATCACGGTGCTGGGCTTGGTGACCGATGCGCCCAAACTGCGGCCGGTCCAGTGGCGGGTGTGGGCGGGCAAGGTCGAGCGCGAGGGCGAGCAGGGCTTCCTGAAGAGCAATGGCGAGGTCGAGAAGGATTTCCTTGGCAACCCATTCCGCGTCTTAGAGACAAGACCCGGCTTTGTGGATATTCGGTCCCAGAGGAAGGACTTTGCTGAGTGGGTGCGGACTGGTGGGAAGGCCGGAGCCGGATCCAAGGAAGCAGCTTAAAACAAACAATATGCGCGAGGTGGATCGATAGCCAGGATACAATGAATTGCAAGACAGGCCAGCCTCGGAAAAGCCATGTTGAGTCGGAGGCTGGCTAGACTCTTCAATCATCCACCCCATCCCCCTTTGACACCAGCCTCGTACCTCACGCATGGTCAACCCTACTTGTCCTCAGAAGATCCCATCAATCGGAGACTTCGGGGCTTCAACATGACATGAAGTGTGTCAATAGTTGACCAAGGTGCGTCAGTCATCCACAAGTGGAAATGGCCGGTCTCCCGGGCGAGAAGGAACAACGTTCATACCTGCCCTGCGGCACAAGCTCTTCCAGCTCTTTCTCGCTCGGTGCCTATTTTATTCTCTTCCCCCTCTGCAAGAGTCTCAATGTAAAGGACTTGTCCATCTTCAACGGCAGCCCTTAGCCCTTGACCTCAAGTTTGATGGTTTGACGTCTTGTATCATCTTTTGTGTCGACGTCTTTGTCCTCCTGATATTTCTGATTGCACGCTCCGAATTATGTCGTCTGAAGGGAGAAACGGGCAATCGGTGCGGGCAACGCAAACACCGTCTGTCGTTTCTTCCACGCCAGTGCCTTCGACAGCTCGAAGTGGTCGAGTACGTGGGAGCAGCAGGTCGATCAACGTGACTCGTGCTTCTATGTTTCCCTCGCCGTCAATATTCTCCTCTGCGACGCCAACACCACATTCGAGACGAGAACTAGGTAGGCGTCTTGGCCTAAATCTTCCACTCCCGGGCTCCACCGGCTTGGTGCACTCTACACCATCGTTGCCTGCATACCCACAGGTCAGGGCAGGCCGGTTATCAGTCCCACCGAGGTCTTCAGCAACATCATCAACTCAGAAGACAAACTATCACGGACACAGCCAAGCAGGTACCAGTCCGAGCGACGACAACCCAGGTGAAGAGGAGCCCGAGGGACTGGACGAGGTCATTATGGCCATCGACATGAAAGACAACGGGACCGTGGGTTGCGCCTACTATGTCGCTGTAGACGAAACACTGTTTCTGCAGGAGGATATACCAATGGCTGGTATGGAATTTGTGGAAACCCTCCTGCTGCGAGTAGAGCCGACGACCGTGCTCATCTCCCTCCGCAGCCCTGGAAGGCTGGTCGAATTCCTCGAAGCTGGAGCTCAGGACTGGGAGGGACATCGAGGCAATCATAACGAAGGTACGAAGCACGGTCACGTGTCACGAGACATACGTTGACGTGCTTTCTAGGAGACTTTCGCGGTGCTTATATACTTCGCACACTGGGCTCTTCGAAGTTCAACTACGAGAGCGCCAAAAGCCACCTTATGAACCTCGACCTCGACGCTTTGGGCTCGAGGACCATGCATTTCAACACAGTAGCTGAAGAAGAAGCAGACAGTGCAGTGGGTGGACAGTCCGGCAGTCATGGGCATGCAAGACTCCTCCGACTTGCTACCTTCGTCAATCTGGACAGTCGCTTTTCTGTAGGTTTCGGTCATCTCTGCAGTCTGGGTGGTCTCTGACGGTGGCAATAGGTCGGTTGCGCTGGAGCAGTCCTCAGCGATGTCCAGCGCAGACGAGCTGCAGAATACCTGCCAAATGACCCAGATGCGGGACTCGCCTTCCGTGTACGCTCCATCGAGATGTTCACGCTGTCCAACGCAATGTTTGTCAATGCCGACGCTTTGACGTCTCTACAGATTCTTGGATCCGAACATCACCCAAACTATATTAACCAGGGGCTTGGAAGGTCTACATCGGGGGCCAAGGAGGGTCTCTCCGTCTATGGCCTATTTCACGTCTTGACACATACCGCGCGAGGGAAGTTAAAACTTCGGCAGATGTTTCTGCGTCCAAGTATCGATTTGGAATTGATACACGAGCGGCAACGCACCATCTCCGTCTTTCTACGAGCAGAGAACAATGCTGACATCAGCCGCATTTGTAAAATTTTGAGGAGAATCAAAAACATCAAGACATATCTGGTGCAATTAAAGAAAGGAGCCAACTTGACAGGAGGGCAGAGTCCAGGGGCGCGGACCACCTGGGCAACATTACAAGCATTTTCGGCTTACGCGATCGAGCTGCGCGAAGCAGTAAGCAGGCTTCAAGGGGTAGATACCCTGGCCATCAGTTCAATGGTAGGCTCGGAAGGGTGTCCTTGCCACGGCCTCTCTACTAATGTACAGACACAGGTGGTTGACGGCATCTTGTCAAACGAGCTTAGACGAGTCGGCGAGCTCATCGCCACCACCATTGACTTTGCTCAATCCAAGGAAAGTTGCAGGACTTGCGTATTGCCTAACATCGATCCGAGGCTAGACGATTTGAAGCGCACATACGATGGCCTGGATAACTTCCTCAATGAGGTTGCAGCCCATCTCATCTCAGAGATTCCCGAGTGGGGCCGACCTCATGTGAAGCAATGCATTTTCTACCCTCAACTTGGGTTTCTTACTGCAGTGAGCCTTGATATAGAGACAAGACGTGGCAAATACGATGGTGAAGGAGATGACGAGGATGTCTGGGAAGCCAAGTTCATGACAGATGGAGTTGTCTACTACAAGAATCGGCTCATGAGGGCGCTAGACGTACAGCTCGGGGATCTGTACGGCCTCATAATAGGCAAGTTTCCCCTGTGTCTTACAGATTATATTGGCATAACTGACCATGTACCACAGATAAAGAAATCGAGATTGTTTACGATCTGGGCGTCAAGATTCTGCGTCACGAGCAGGCTTTACTCACCGCGTCTGATGTCTGCGGCGAGCTCGACAGTCTCCTTGCACTTGCTCTCGGGGCAGACAAATACAAATTGACAGCACCACAGATGACTACCGCGAATGTCATACAGATAAAAGATGGCCGCCACCCTCTACAGGAGCTTGTTGTACCGTCATTCATCGCCAACGACACACTCCTTGCTGGTGGTAGCGGTGGCAGGGAGGAGGACCATAGTGTCGTTTTAGACGACATGGAAGAACTCCCAAACGTGATGGTCATGACAGGGCCCAATCATTCGGGCAAGAGTGTTTACCTGAAGCAAGTTGCGCTCATAGTGTTTCTTGCCCATATCGGAAGCTTTGTGCCCGCCGCTCGTGCTTGCATTGGGTTGACTGATCGCCTCCTCACTCGAATCGCTACAAGGGAGAGCGTCTCTCGCAACGAGAGTGCTTTCGCGATCGACTTGAAGCAAGCTGCCTTCTCCATCAACTTTGCCACCCGCCGAAGTCTCATCCTCATCGATGAGTTTGGGAAGGGCACAAATTCTATGGACGGCGCCGGTCTGATGACAGCCCTCATCGATCATTTCCTTGGGCTTAGTGATGAAGCGCCTAAAGTCTTAGCGGCCACTCATTTCCACGAGATCTTCGAGCACAACTACCTCAGTGGCAGCCCGAGACTTTATCTGGCTCACATGGACGTTCGAGTCGATCTTGAAACCGAAAACAGGGAGGACCAAGTCACGTTCCTTTTTCGATTGACACCCGGCCGGTGCGCATCCAGCTTCGGAAGTCGATGTGCGGCGATGAACGGTGTCGATGAGGCCGTTGTGCAGAGGTCGGATGCAATCGCTCTCCTGTTAGCTCGGGGCGACGACCTACGAGCTGCTTGTGCTCGGCTGACAGAGCAGGAGACGGAGAAGCTCGAGGAGGCGGAACTTGTCGCTCGTGAGTTTCTTGAGATGAATCTCTCAGGTCCGTCCTCAAGACATAAAGACAAGGCGCAGGACGAGTCAAAGTCGATCAGAGCACAGTTGCGGAAAGTACTGAGCGGCCCGAGCTCTGTGGACGAGTCAACTCGTTGATGCCACATCCTCCCCTTGAACTAACATACATTGTCGTGTGCCCATTTGATGAGCTACTTACGGCTCTCCTCCTAGCAACTTTCTCGCATTGCCAATAATCTCATAATCTCACTTGTAGAAACTATGACTCGGACCTGGTGGAACTTCGTGATGCACTGCTATGGGCTTGCAGCACCGTCCTTAGGAGGAATGACGGCGGCCCGATTTAATGTCACGTCTGCTCCTTCATGATGGCCGCATGTCGACGCATACTTCTGTGCACAAAATTGCTCTTCTGTAACATTGATGGTGTCCCGAATTGATATCGTTCTACCCGGCGACTCCATCTTCGAGTTAGAGGTTATGCACTGCATCTATCTGGGCGCATTGCCTGTCTCGTGTCCGAGCTATTTCTACGAGACGCTAGCCGCAGCAGCAGACTCGCAATCTGGACCGAACAGCCGATGGGCGACGACACTTTCCCAGTCAATCATTCGACGACTTGATGGAAGCTTGTACCTATTCTTCATAGTATTTAGACATCTGAGCCTTTGTCTGAGCCTTGACCGACATAAAGGAGAGACCTAATTTTGGCCCAAAACGTCTGGTAAACGATCACACGGTGGAAACGAAAAATTTATATTTGTCCTCCCTAATTAATCCACAACATCGTCTCGTTTGCCTGTGATGGGGATGATAACAGTCTGGCTTGAGAAACTGTTATTACGGCTTTACTGCGTCATGATCCGATCCTCACTGGCATTTGCATATGTGGCTCTGTGCAGTTTCGTCTGATGATTCTCTCGTCCCATGAAGGCGGCAGAAGTGAGGTTGTGCATTGCCAAGCCCAGCTCAAGCGGTTGACAGGGGCTATAAATAACCGTCTAAATCATGGATGTGACGATACTTACTTTAGTTACTTACTCAACTGTGTAAGGCATGGTTCAACTCTGCTGAGGGGACACGATGGCATCTGGTCAAGTCGGGCTCTGCTGGCATGGAGTATAAAAGTCGAGTATGCAGCCCACCCTCTTAGCATCTGTAGTGCCAGATCAGCAGCAGTCACTAGACAGCAACACTTGTCCTCCTCATTATACTCCAAGCCCTTCTTCATCTCCGGCCTCGGTGACCTCGGCACAGGCTGCCCCGTCGGCGTAAAGCAAATAACCTTAATTACACATCACAATGAAGCCCTCGACCTTCATCATCCTCCCTCTGGCAGCTCTCGTGTCTGCACAAGTGAGCTGATCCCCTTTCCTACCTCCTTATTCACCCAGCTTGAAATAGACACGCGAGCTCACCACCAGCCGCCCTTCAAACAGTTCCACGATCCCGCAGCCAGCCACGGGCAGGGCGCCGTAGGAGCCCGCCAGGGCCAAGGGCAAGTCCAGAACTTGGCCCTCCTCCCACGCAACAAAAACAAGGCCTCGAAGGGGACAGGCAGCGGCGGCGCCACGAGGACTGGTGCTGCCGGGACCGGGGCGGCCGGGGCGACGAAGACGGGTGCGGGCGCCGGGGCTAAAGTAACAGGGTCCTCGGCTGCGACCGGTGCCTCCACAAGCGCTACTGCTGCTGCTGCTGCTGCTGCTGCTGCAACGACGACGGGGACTAGTAGCAGTGTTACTGCCGGGGCGGTGACGACGAGCGGGGCTGGTGGTGGTGGTGGTCACGGGGTCATGATGGGAGGTGGACTCGTCCTTGTTGCAGGTGCAGCTGTGGGCTTTGCGATGTGCATGTGAGACAAGCAGAGAGAGAGAGAGGAGACAGAGAAGGTGGGGGGAGGAGGAGTGTAAAACTTAAAAGAAAGATAGGCTTTAATGCTATATTCGATGTCATCAAAACAACACGACATGTTCAGTTCGAGTCGAGAGTCGCCCCTAACAGACAGTATTTTCTCGGCCATTCTGGACTTGATATGACGTATCATAATGCCAAGGACCTTACATAGTACTTGCTACGTCTGCTGGGCGAGGCGAGGTGTAAATATGTACGGGTGGGGCTGAGATACTCATTGTGGAAAGGAGGTCCGTTTCACGATCCGAGACTGACAGAACAAGGAACATTCAAGTCAAGCAGATGATGCTGTGGTCCAGAATAGAGAGGGAAGGGGAAGAAAAGATGATACGCGCCGTCGACGATGCGGCTTGACAATTGCAGTGACGACCCTCATAAGGCCCCGCTTTTCGGCTTAGCGGGGGAGTTTGGCGGTGATCCATCCTAGCCCCTGAATTATATGCAAGTCTGACAGCCAATGCACTCTTTGGGACAAACTACTACAGCACTACTAGGGTCAGTACTCACACAATACGACCACAGCTTGGAAGTTGTAGTGTGCAACTCCAGTTTTTCTTTCCAACATGCACACAACAGAATCCCACGCGAACACAACCCCAGTCCGTTTCGTTTCAAATGCCAATGCACCTGCATCCCAATATCGCCATCCTCGGCCGCTTTGGGAAGCGAATGAGTCCACTTTTGACGCCGAAGACGACCCATCGCCCGTCATTTCACGCGACCGCAAAGTATCGATGAGCTCTCAAAAGAGGTAAGTCGGTCCGGCGTACAAACGAACAAGCCCGGGGCAAGCCTCCCTTCTTGGACAGCATCTTATTTCCCAACGAGGATGCGAGGAGGAGCAAAGCTGCACGTGGGATACGAGGGGGGGCGGGACGGAGCGGCAGACCAGGTATTGAGGATGAGTGGTTGGGCAAGGGGCGCTTCCAGACGAGAAGAAACCTTCTTTTCTCTTGCCTTCCCCAAAAATGCGTGGTTTGGGTCTTCTTTCTCTGTCTTTTACTTCTCAAGCGAGTTGTGATCGCCACGACGACGATCCCTTCAAGTTCTCTTTTCTTGTGCCTGTTGATCGCAGTGCTTCTCTACGGCTGCTGGCCAGCATATTCTCTCTCTGTCTCTCTCTTTCCCCCTCTCTCGCTCTGACGATTCACCTATCACTCCTTTTCTTTTCATTACCAAAACCTACCACGGTCTCCTTCTTTTCATACTCATACTCGTTTGGAACGAGCTAAGACGTCGAGCAAAAATGCTCCCTTTCACCACCCTCCGGAGCACACTGCTCCTTCTCACTACCACCACCCTCCTCCTCCTTCCGCGTCAAGTGCTCGCAGACGACGCCGTCACCTTCACCTTCTCAGACTGCGCCTACGCATGCATTCAGTCGGCTGGGTACAGCACGGACTCCGAGGACAGCCAAAAGGACATGTGCGTGGCCTCGCGGGACGGCCTGCTCGAGATCGCCGAGGCTTGCATGCTCTCATCGTGCGCGGACGGGTTGGACGGCGTTGATGCAGACCTGCTGGTGCCGATGCAAACCGGGTGCAAGGAGCTCGAGAAGCCTGTGTCGGACGATGATATTGACGAGGCTGCGGCGACGGCCTCGGATCTACTGCTAGGGGCGGCGGCGGCCACCTCGTACTCGTCTACGGTCACGTTCTTTTCTACGTCGACTTATACATTTACGCAGGCGCCATCGACTGACCCTGTCGTACTGACGCCGACTTCGACGGCTGAGGTGCTGAGCCAGACGTCTTCTGATGCTCTGACGAGCACCGTGGACGCGACGGCGGCGGCGGCGGCGGTGCAGGCTACGACCACCCCAACACAGCAGGCAGTTGAGCCCGAGACGACCACACAGGCGGCTGCGTCGTCGGCCGAGACGGAATCGACAACATCATCTGTGCTGTCGACGTCAGAAGCCGCACCTGCCGTGGTGGCTTCGACACCGATCACGACGTTGTCGTCATCCACGACCGTGCAACTCGCACCCTCGTTGCCGTCGACGTCCAGCCTGGAGACCACGACCGCCTTCCCATCACCCACAACACAAAACACCCGACTCAGCACATCGTCGGTCAAAGCCATCACCACGGCAACCTCCAAGGCCAAATCCACCACAACGCTCCATGCGGCGACTACCTCGATCGTCGCGGCTGAGGACTCCTCATCCACAGCCACATCCTCCACCTCCGACGACGGCGACGACAGCCTCGTCATGGCGACCGGCACGCCCTCGGCGTACAGCGGTGCTCTGTTCACCTTTGTAACGTCGACTACGGCGGGCGCGTCTTCCTCGAGCACCACCAAGGACAGCAGCTCTGCCGAGTCCACGAGCGGCATCGGCGGCGGCAGTCCGTTCTCCACGTCTGGTGCTGCCGCCACCGCTGCTGGTGGAAGCTGGCCGATGCGTGGCATGGCCTGTTTATCTGTTATTGTGGCTGTTGCCAGCTCGCTGCTGGTGCTGTGATGAATTGCCATCTGAATGTCTACGAGGTTTATGATTCAGGTCGTTATTGTTGTTGCGGTTATCGGTGGTGACTTTCGTGTCCGTTGCCCTCCGCTGGCTGATTTACTTTTTAGATCATGTGTGTATAAAGGAAAAGTGTGCCAATTTGTTTGGGTTTGTATATTTGTGGAAGATGCATGAACAAAACCTAAGATTCTCAGGAGATAGTTACTTGTTACACTGAACTATTATAATATATACAAGACCTTCCACACCACCTCTTACTGTGTCTCAAAAAGCCCTAGTTGCACCCACGCACAGCCTTCTTCTTTTTCTCGCAAAGACCACGAGCCGTCGCCGTCTGAGATTGTGGCGTTTCTAAGTGGTAAAGGTTCTACAAATTCGACAAACGACACGGAGTAGGCGGGGCAGTCAGCTTAGAGGCGTGATTCATGTGCTTGCAGCCCCTTCAGGAAGGATGAACCACACAACATGTGGATCGCGTTTCAGCATGCGAGGTCAGCTGAGGGAGGGAAGAAAACATCACACCTTTTTTTTTTTTTTTTTTTTTTTTTTTTTTTTCAACAGGCTATGATAGACAAAAAAGAACTCCATGATGAGCATGAAAACATGATGAAGGGTTGTTTGGAGAGCATCATGGCCTGTACATACTATTGATATTCTGTCCTGCAAGTACTCTACTTTTTCAAGCAGAGAGGGAGGACCTGCATCCAGCAGGCAACCAATCACAGCGCAAGCCTTGAAGGCAGGGATTCCGAATCGGGAAGGTTTTTTTCTTCTTTCATGGTTTTCCAACCAAACCTGTTATTGATCCGAAACAACACGGCTGCTTCTGGAAATTTACAATATCGATCTGAATCCTCTATCGAGATGGAAGACTATGTGGGGTCCGGGAAGGGGAGAGAAAAGGCGATGTAGGTTGTGAGTGGAAAGAAGAGGTCGATAGATGATGGGTCAAGCAAGTGAGTTTACTCACTTTATCGATGGCACTTCTTGAATCGTGAATGCAAGTTACATAAACACCGATAAGCTTTTTTGGAACATCTTTGATATTTCCTAGATGGAGATGATATATATATGTGAAGAAATTTGAGAATAGGTAAATAGACCAAGAAGTCAAGTGGGAAAAAAGAAACATATACAGATGCTTGGCTCCATGACCAATCCAAAAAGGTTAAAAAGACGCCTGACTCTCTCTCTCTACCAAAAGTCTTTGGGGATATCATCTCACAGGCTCTTCCTCTATAAATACAACAAACAATTTCCTCCCTTTGGACATCCTACGACGAGGTATCCTTGGCAGCCCAGCCCAGCCGGCTGTTCCCAGAGTCAAAGACCACCAGCGCGGCCTTGAGAGCGATATCACCAAAGATAGCCATGCCGATGCCGCTGTCGCTCTGGATGCCGCCGTAGCACTGCGACGAGCCCGTGCTGATGGGCTCGAAGTTGATGTAGCTGCCTGGCACGGTGATCTCGCCGTCGCCGACGCCAAAGGTGAAGTCGGGCAGATCGGCGGAGCAAGAGAAGATGTAGCCACCCTCCTCCTCGCTATCCGTCGCGCCGCTCACCTGGGCATAGTAGGCAGAGACGACGGTGTCGGGGAGCATGAGCAGCGTCGTGCCCGTGTCCGCGATGCCGGTAATAGCGGTGTCGGCGCGCGTGACGGTGAGGCCTGCCGGGGTAGTCTTGGTCGCCCGCCTCGACTTCTTGAACCAGGAGGAGATGTCAGAGGAAGAGTCGTCATCTGCGCCGGTGAGCTCGTCAAAGATTCCCTCGAATCCGGACGAGTCGTAGCTGCCCCCGTCGCCGAAGCCTCCAGAACCAGAGTCGCCGCCAAAGCCTCCGTCGCCAAAGCCTCCACCAGTGGAGCTTCCGCCAGTGGAACCTCCGCCAGTGGTACTTCCGCCACCGTAGGGGTTGCTGCTCCCCGAGGATCCGGTGGCGGAGGACCCAGACGAGGCTGTGACGGTGTTGGCGGCGGCGGCAGTGGTGGGGGTGGCGGCAACGGAGCTGCTGCCCGAGCCGGAGCTCGAGGACGTGCTCGTGCCCACGGTGTAGCCACTGGCGGCGAAGGTCCAGAAGCCACCGTACTCGCCGCTGGTGATCAGGTCGGCATAGTAGACAGTGCCGGTGTGGGCCGAGGCGTCGATGTAGCCAAAGTTGTAGGAGCCCGTGGTCTCATGCTTCAAGTCGGCAGTGAAGAGCGGGGACTCGAGGCTGGACTTGATGTTGTCGAACCACGTCTGCTGGGGCGTGGGCTCGACGGTGTTGATGGAGCTCATGGCGAGGCCCACAAGGCCGCTGATGGCCGTGTCCTCGGTGAATTCGGCGCTCACCGTCGTGGCGACCTCGACGGCCTGGCTGCTCACCGTCAGATTGCCGATGGTGACGGTGTCCTTGTAGACAGTCCCGCTGGAGGAGCTGCCGTCTCCGTAGCTGATGGACCAGGTGGAGCCGTCCATCTTGGTGGCAGACGTGCTGCTGCTCGCGTCGTACGTCTTGTGGCCCGAGGTCCCCGAGCTGGACGAGCTCATGACCCACAGGTCCGAGGAGCCTGTGTCAAAGTCCATCGGGAGAGTCTGCGCCGGCGTACCAACGGAGATGGTGGCCACCCACTCGGTGTCGTCGTCCGAAGATGTGGCCGCCACGGTTCCCTCTTCCGTCCCACGCTTCTTGGAAGCCGCCGCCAGGGTGATCCTGTCCACGACGCTCTGGACGCTGGTGGGGAGTGTGCCTCCATACTTGCGGAGCGCCTTGGCGCGAGCCAGGGCCGGGTGCGCCAGGTTGCTGCGCCGCTTGGGGTTGTGGACGACGGGGACAGAGAGCCTGTGTCCTGGTGCCCGTGCCTGCGCGTGCTGTTGTGGCTGAACCAGATCCATCCTCTGGGGAAGGGCAGAGGCGAGCTCGGCACTGGCGGCCAAGAGCGTCACCAGCCAAGAACCAAAGGTCTGCATCTTGGAGGGATAAGTAGAAGAAGTAGGAATGTGTGTCTATGTTCAGACGAGGGAGGTGATAAGAGAGATGTGAAAGAAGGGAAAGTAGTGGGTGTGATAAAAACGAAAGAATGGGAGTTTACCACCGGGGCAAGATAGATACTTGAAGAAGAGAAGAAAAGAAGCAAGGCGACAGGAAAGCAGCCTGATGTTCCAGAGGGACAATGGAGATCTGCACAGAAAAAAGCGAGAGAGGGAAGAAAAAGAAAAAGAGGGCCTGCGTGAAGTGTTATAGCTGAAATTGGATCATTGAATTAGCCCTCAAAAACTGTTTGTATGGACCTGTCCACGTCCACAGCCATGGTTGGTCCGAATATCCGTCCGTGTAAATGAGTACCGGGGATTTGAACATCGAAACACCCTGGGATGAGGTCACCAGGACATGGACGATCCCAGACTTGACCGTCAGGACTGGTCGACATATCAAGTGGGACCCGCTGCCAGATGGTGGAGGCTGGGACATGGACTCCTCCTCGTCCTCGTCGTCCTCCTCCTGAGCCAGCGAAGCAGACCAGGGCCTCCTTCCTCCCCCCCCCCCCCCCACCTCCCATCTCATCCGTTTAAGCGGCAGTTGTCACTCCTGCAAATAGGTAAGGGGACGAAAACGCGTCCCAGCGTCAATGCAAACAGGCTCCTGGCCTATGGATTGGTGGGACTGGTGTGTGTGGTGACAATTTGTTCAGGCCGCAGCGCCACCTCCACCAGCCCACCACTGTTTTTGCGTGGTTTGTCGACCACTGCTTGATCCGAACGGTTGGTGGTCCTGCCTCATCTCCGGGTCGCAGGACGGCGCCAACGAGAATCGATTGGCCAGCACGGCTAGCTCGGACGAGGGTCAATTCATGCGGCTCCCACCTCAGCGCCCCCTTTGGACACGCCCACGCCACTGAACCCCCTGCAGATCCTGAAGCGATCGGCAGCTAGGTGCCGCGCACCAGGGGGCGAGGAGGGGCGCATAGTAGGAAAACAAGCTTATACACCCCTGCTTCTTGGCGGCTAGGCGTTTTGTTTGATATTGACAGGATGAACCAAAAAAACAAAACGAAAAAAAGGGGGCCATCGAAAAAGTCGTCGAGTGATCGATAGGCTGTGTCAAGGTGGTTCTTGCCTCATCCGAACAATCATGACGAAACGAATCATGCTGGGAAGGCGAGATCAGTCCCAATTGGGCTTGCTCTGTTCAACTTTCCATATATCTGCGACATCCTCCCTTGGTCTCCCCTGGTGGCGGAGCTTTAATAGGCAGTCGCGTCCTGCTGTAGCACGTGTAGGCATCATCGCACACAGAGAGCTTGCTCTTTTACATTGATAGAAACCATGGTTGCGGGCTAACTCCCCATGTTTGACTCGGCTGCCTCTTGGGACCTGTCGTGCCACATAAATATCTCCGAGCATCTGCCAAGCCTCCTTCCTCACCGAGGTCTTTGGGGCACATGTAATACCTGCACAAGTTCGATGGTGGCCCGGCCCTGGTCCTCCTTGTCCTGTCTGTACGGGGTGAAGCCCATCTTCTCATACCAAGATCTGGCACCGCTGTTCTCGGCGTAGACAACCACAGTAAGGACAACAAGACAGTCACCACTACCCTGTAATGCCGCCTCCGCCAGGGCATGCTGCCTCGCTGTGCTCATCACTGCGGCTGCGATGCCGCAACGGCGGGCCTGCGGCAGGGTGAAGACGCCATTGAGCTCCCAGTGCAGCAGCTGCCCAGGAGGCAGGGTTTGGCCAGCGAGGTTGAGCGCCGACCTCAGCTCTTCAGAGACAGGGTCTGGCCCGACCAGAGTGATGGAAGAGAGGATGCTTCGGGTCGTGTCCTCCTCGCGGGCCACAAAGGTGCTGGCCTGAGGGTTGAGCAGCCGGTCTCGCCACCGTCCCTCGTCGAAGGCTTCTTCACGGCTCAGCGTCGAGCCGAAGGCTGCAGAAAGAAACGTGAGCCGGTATCCACACGAAGCTTGTTTGCTCACTACCTAGGATCGTCCATCCCATGTAAAAGTCCATCCCATGTATGTTTTGTTTGGTTTATACTTGGCAGCAAGTGAAGGGGCAGTGGTAGTGGTGGTGGTGCTGGGGGTGGATACTACCACAGCAGGTCGGTCCGTGGGGCACGAGTCCTCTTGCCGCTGTGGTGGGGCCTTGCTTGGTTCATGGTGATGATGAGATCAAACCAAGACACTGGACGGGACTGACTCACCTGAGGGGTCGCGTTCAAGTGACAACAACCTGAACGGTTTGTATTGCTGCAAATAAAAGGCAATGCCAGCTTCGTCCTTTGCAATACGTTCAACGGTCCAACCCATTGTCAACGAGACTTGTTTTCCCTTCAGCTATTCGTTCTCTGAAAATGGCTGCTGGCAGGTGGGTCCGCTGCAGTAGTACTACTATAGTACAGTAGCTCCAGTCCACAGTGGATGTCGTATTTTATTCAAACTTGAGGGTAGCAGCTGTCATAAAATGGGATTATCACGAGTGCTCAATGTCAAGAGACGCAAGCTGAGAAGGCGAGAAATACAGGCCACAGTTACATTCAACGAATCACTTCTTCAGAGGTCCTTTAAATTGTACGTCCATAGAAGCAGCTGAGCACTATTATGACTCTTGAGAGTGGGGACAAGCAAGAGTCATAGTGTAGTAAGCTACCCTAAGGGCTTTTTGGAGGATCCAATCTCCCCACCCCCTGCCTTACTCTCAGTGTCCTCTCAGTGATTATATCATTCGGCTTCTCACATACAAGTCTTGGGAATGCTGCTCCGGCTGATAGTATTGTTTCATTCTCTTTCTCTGTCCTTTATGCTTCTCTCATCCAGCCCTCATCATGCTAACAGGGCCATACTGTGCTCCGGTACGGTATAAAAGCAGTCACGAAAAAAAGAAAGAAAAAACCATTTAATAGCTGATAAGGTAACCTCTATTGACAGACAGCTTCTATGCGATTTTGTTCACCACCCCCCCCCCAATAAAACCTTGACCATCAGAATGGCCTTGAGTCTTCAGAATGGTATTCTTAATTATGGCAGTCCTTGAATGCTAAAATGATTTTCCAATACCAAAACGGGTTTAAAACAAGGTAGTTGCCTGGGTTAGTAAGTACCTACTTCTGCATTTGTCTGAGTACTCAAGTGTTCAACACTCTTGGTCATTTTACATTCAGAACGTCCAAGACAGAAGCCCCTCGGATAGAAGCAGCTTGAAACTGGATTCAAAATCTGCAATGCAAATTATGTCGCTATCGGATTGTTGGCACTGGCGCTGAGGCACAGCATTACTGTTACCAAAAAGTTCACGATCTCAGCAACGCTCGGTGTCACTATAGATGCACCGGTGCTATCGTTCAGACTTCAGTCTCTTCGAGACCCAGGCCCTTCATGGAGAGGGCGACATATTCCCCAGTGGTAAAATCTCTGGGGGTATGTGGAAAAGGCATAAAGGCCAGGCTGAGAACGAGCCAGAAATCAGGGGGGCCAAGGGAGGCTGCCACAAATGTATTGGGAAGTTTTGATAGTCAAGCTCACTCAGGACTGATCTGGCCTTTCCCCAGCACGATCTAATTGATAGTCTATTACATTGCGAAGCGGGAGGCCTCGTCCATGGATACCAAATGTGGGAACCAGTTGAGGTGTTGATCTGTTCCTTGTGTCTGTCGGCCCATGGCGATGAAGACCTTGAGAACGCAATGTCGTTTCTTTGATATGCAGGTGGACTCCTACTGACGATCGCCCAAGCATGGGCGGCGGGTGCTGATTTCTTGTTGCAAGGAGAGTTACGGACGGAGGAAGGCAGTGTGAGTGGGAATTATGATCATTATTATCTTCGTTCTTTTCTCGGCTGACTCTGAAACTGATATTTGACTGTTGGTACCGGGGGTTGTTATTGAGATGTTCCAGCTGACAGTGGTTGCATTAGAAGCTGCTCGGGTGACAATCTTCCCCACTGTACTTGCTGCCGTGTCACATTCCGTTGTCCCCTTGTGGTCACCTCGAATACTTGCGCAATGTGACAAGATACACTGGTCACGTACACTTGGGTAGGGCGCATTCCGTCATCTTATTACCATCATCGACACGGTCTTTAATGCATTGTACTTCAAATCACCGCACCTTGTTTTGCTCTATGTAATCTTTTTCTTTTCTTTCTTTCTTCAAAGACGATAAACACCTCCCCCGTTTTCATAGTCAGGATAACAGCCGCACCAGCATCTTCTCGGTCATGGGTCGATGACGGTCCCGCCCGTCCCACAATAGAGCACAATGGAGCACAATGGAGCACAGTGGAGCCTGTCGAACCGCCGCGATGCAGCGCTACTTTAGTGCTTGGCAGTGCTTGCATATGCCAGCGGTAAAACAAGCATAGTGAGTAAATACATACATTCATACTGCAGATAGTACTTACATGGTACAATGTATTGTGTTGTGGCTGACACGGTCCGGCTGATGCTGCAAATGATGAGTTCTCACCCGCCCATGTGCAGGCGGTCAGCCCTTGTGGCCCGGCACCCTTCGTTGCAGCTCGCCCCTGCCCTCAGCTGTGCCTGCCTTTCTACTCTTGTGTTACTATAGTTCAGGACGGGTCACAATGGAGTGTCACATTTACCAGGCATGGGGCTCCGGTCAGTGCAGTCAGTCGAAGGGGGGGACCGCGCTACTCAGCCCTATCACAGAAGAGGCCACCCAGGCTGTGACCTGCAGGTCTGCGGCACAATGTCTGGGCGCGGCTGTTGTCGTGGTTGTTGTTGCTATGGCCTTGCTCCTCCATCTATGATTTGCGCCTCTTCCCCTCTCACACTCCGACCTCCTCTGCCTACCTCTCCCCCTCTCTGTATTTCCTTGGGTAATTTGGCCACACGCATGACATTGTAGACCTCATCTTCTTGATCAAAATTTCCTCTGCCCGCCCCCGCCATGGCCGCCGCCCCAGAGCATTCCGCGCCCGTGAGAGCAGACCCACAAGATGACGACCCCTTGAGTGCCAAGGACATCCTGTCGGAACTGTTCGCTCGGTTCCGCAACTTTGACGATAAGCAGGCATACGGATCACTTCTGGACCAAGCCCTCAGCGCGCAGACTGAAAACTTCGCTGTCCGCTTTGGCCTTGAGACGGCGGACATCGCCATCGACCTGAAGGAGCGGGAACTGAAAGCCCTCCTGCAGGTGCAGGCAGACAAGAAAGATGACAAGGTGACCTGGATGTGAGTGCGCCATCATCACTATCTCCACAACAACCTCCACAGACAACCTTCTCAAGCCGCAGTTCCGTTCAGGAGATGAGACTTCTCTCTAACCGAGTCAAAATATCTGGCAGTAACATCTGGTCCCCTGGCAATAACCTTAAGATCGTGGATGCAATTGCGGCCAAGTACAAATTCTCCACGCGCCTGAAGGAGACCATTGCGGGTTGGGACGGGGCTCGGAGGCTGGTCGCCCGGAGCCTGGCCGCGAGCGGCCAGGCCAGAAAGCAAACCCATGCGTCCTTGAGAGGTACAGACATCGGCATGCCCAAGCCCAAACTACGGCCGACATTCCGCAAGCATGTAGATCCGGAGAAGGGTCCGGACCACCACGAAGCCAGCAAGCACGCTGTTGGCCCGCGGGCCGACAAGAGACAGCTCCATGAGGATGATCTTGACATGTACAGGTTGCTGCAGACTCAGTACAACTACACCACAATCGATCATGGCCCTAGCTGTGAGCTGACCCCGGATGAAGATCCCCTTTTGTGGCCAGGCAAGGAAGATCTAACGCCCAATTTAAATTTAGTCATCTGCATAGGAGCAAACTGGCTCCACCACCGTCCAAGGCCAGACCAAGACAGAGATGGGCCTGACGACATCTATAAAGACCCTGATTCCTTTGTGCCTCCAAAGCATTGGGCATGGTACATCCTGACGAACGAGGGTAAGCCAGCTCCTCCTTGGCCGTCTCCAGAAGGGATGACAGGTTGTTGACCAAAAGCAAGGCACCGTGATATCAATACACGAGTATCCCAATTATGAGAATGGGAACGATGCCGACGCGCAGGAGCAGCGGGACAAGGAGCTGTCCAACATGCGGAAGAACACGAAAGACCTCTTACATCAACTGTCCAAAGAAGGCATATTGGCATACCAAAGCAGGGTGTCCGCCCGGAAGGGTGTCAGATCTGACCTGGAATCTGCAAACCAGCCTCAAGGCGGGCCCCTTCCGTCAGCCAGAACCACATACCTGGAGTCATCTCTGACCGTCGACGCCTCGGCAAATTTGTTCTATTATCTTTTCGAGGACTACACTGCAGCTACTTCTATTCTTTCAGAATCTAGTCGTGTCCTGGCAAAAGTGGTGAGTTTGGGACCTTTCCCGACGTAGAGCAGCAGCCTCTCCTTTGAGATGACGAGAAAACTGACCAAATATCCCACCAGACCCATGATGTACTTCACATAACAGTAAGCACTTTCTGAACCCTCTTACTGTCTCGTCTTGTGAGCTCTCGATTGACCGCCCCAAACAGGACAGAAAGAACAAGGACAAAGACAGCTCTGACATCATCAAGCTCCTTTACGCCCGGAGCAAAGACCTACGCCAGCTCAAACACCTCTTCATAAGCTACGAGAACCTCATCAAGGGCATCATGGCGCTCGGGACCGACACGTTTAGCGATGATAAGGACTTCGCCGCACTGGTCTCCTCGGCGACGAGCCTCCCGGCGGCTGGCGGGCCGGCACGGGGTGTCAAGCTGAGCCAGAAGGCGTTTGACCGCTTCGACCGGCTCAGCATTCGCATGCGCCTGCTCATGCTCGACACCATCGATGAGTACCTCGCCGAGAAGGCCTCGCTGAGCGACACCTACTTCAACCTCATGAGCCAGAAGGACTCGCAGGCCACCAGCAAGCTGAACAGGAGCGCCTCGCTGCTCGCCAAGCTGTCCGTCTTCTTCTTGCCCATCAGCTTCATGACAAGCTACTTCTCCGTGCAGATCCCTGACCTGACCAACAACTACACGGGCGCGACATACTGGATCTGCTTCGCAGTGGTTGCGGCCATGTCGTTCCTGAGCTTGTTTTTCTTCTCGAGGCTGTTGATGTTTGTCAGCGACGTTCTGGACGAGAAAGTAGCTGCTGCCCAAGCATGGGTGGGGAGGGGGGTGCTGAGGGCTGGTCGTAAGCTCAGAGGGAAAGAGCCTGCTGCATCGCAGGGCGAGAGTGAAGGAGGGGGGAGTATCAAAGTTTCGGAGGAATCCTAGAAGAATAACTAATTGCGAGGGATGGCGCTATAGTGTAATACACACAATGTGTGATCTTTCAAGAACTCCTTGACGAAGGACTGATTGACATAATCATGGGAAAAGATGGAGAGGTGGTTTTCTGATGGACAGTATCATGACGGCGTTGGAAGAAGTTTTCATGTCACAAGGGAGCATCTCATGTGTGAACACAGCATGTGTGGATAATAGAACCTAAAGTCGGGCTTGCATCCTAAAATATGTACAGAAAGCAAATTTTAATGTTGATTCAAATGTCGCTGCCGGCGGTGCCTCTTGTCCCCGTCAAATGAGATGAAACAGAGGCCTCGCAAATTCTGCCGCTTATATCCAGTCCATATGTAGTTTTTTGTTGTTTTTTTTGTATTAACAAAGTCGTAACATTTCGTGAGGTCATGCCAAACTCGGCCCATTTTGTTCTTCTGCATGTCCATCCCACATGTTCATTCAGGCTCGGCCCGCGTTTCTTAGCGACGGCCGTCATCATCATAAACCCACCATACCGAATCCCACCCCAGCAGCAACCCCAGCCACGACACCAACACACGGCAAACCCGTGGGCCTCGCAGCGGCATTTGCGCTGCCCACGCTGAAACCTGCCGTCGCGCCCGCCGTGCAATACGAGTCCTGGATCCCAAAACACGCCACGCTGCTCAGGCTGCTGCAGATGCTCGTGGCGGTCGCCGTCGCGTACGTCGCAGCGGCGCTCCCTCCGACCGTCGTGCTGCCGCCCACGACGATGGTCACGCCGCCGCCGCCGCCACCGCCGCTCCCTTCCAGGTCGGCCGTGCACGCGGCATAGTTCCTGCTGCAGGCTGAGACGGCGCTCGAGCACGCGGCGGCGTTGCTGAAGCTGGTCGCGACGTACGGGAACGAGAAGTAGCCGTTCTGCACGTAGCTTGCCGAGGCCGTGGTGGGCGGCGCGAAGGAGGACGGCGCGGTGCCCGTGCAGACGTCGCCCGACGGACAACACGCGGGCGCGCTCGAGGCGTCGAGCGTGCAGGCCTGGCCCGAGGCGCAGCAGATCCCGCTGAAGGCAGATCCCTCCGAGGCGCACGAGTAGGTCCCTGCGATGCAGCCGTCTGTCGCCCTCGCGAAGAGGGCCTCCACGGGCGCGGCGGCGTGGTAGCGCCGGGCGGGTGTTGGTGTCTGGGCGGCGTGGAAGGGCTGTGGCTCTGCGCTGGCGAGTATGGAGGAAGAGGAGGGGAGGAGGAGAGTGATGCCAAGAAGAGGCGCAGAGAGGAGATGCCTTCGTCTCATGTTGTCCTTCTTCTTTCCTCTTAATGTTTTGGTGAAGAAGCTGGAGCCTGATTCTCAAAAGCCTGAGGAACTTCGGAGGTTGCCTTGATGAATGGTTCGCTGGTCAAAGAAGAGGCTGGGGGCTGAATCAGTTTTAGGTGTTGGGGAATCGGAATTATTTGTGAGGAGAACTGAGGGCAATGAAGATGATCAAGGTTGAAGTTATGTTGAAAAACATGCTTAAAAGCTTGCTGTGAACTTTAGCTGGTCGTAAGATCATCCCAATTAAAAGAGGGCTGAGTGGTTGGGTTGTGGTCATTGTCGAATAAGGTGGCTGGTTGACCCTTCACCAGTGCCCTCCTTCGCAATATGCGGGCCAAGAAAGATCAGGGCTTACATACAGGATTCTGTGAGGATAGCATGCGCCTTGACACACACATCCATGCCAAGGAGGGAAAATAGGCAGGTGGTAAGCCTGATTGGGATTGCAGCCCTGCAATTTGAAGCTACCTTCTCTCAGACTGCAGGCAGTTGTTCAACCTCACCTTCAATAAGTTGCTGCTGAAGACGTTCAACAACATTTGGGGAATGGCAGTATCGCGTATTTGCTTAGGTGGTACTGTACTGTGTGGTGCTAGGATGGTAGGAGGACCCTTGCAGGTGAGCTCTGGGCAGTGTTTGCGTGATGTCATTAGTCGACACAGCAAACCTGCAACCCTGCCTGCCTCTGCCAACCCCGCAGCCCACCACTGTACTGTAGCTGTGTAGATATCGGATAGACAAGGATCCTTTGGCGGGGTGTTACCAGAGCAAGACACTTTGTTAGGCTAGGCCTGTGATGTGAGGTCTGCTGATTGCATGATACGAAAGTCAAAGTGGTCGAACATTTATCAGGTGCGTTATTGGGTATTCGAAAATTGATCCAGATTAGATTGGAAATGCAGTAGGGCTGCTCAAGGCCAGCCACAGACTTGTCACAGTAGCTACTTTTCCCTCTCTTTCGTGTCTCAGCCACGTGGTCTTCGATGACCGTCTGTCATGACAATTCCGCCCCCCCCCGCCCGACCTATAATTTGGCTCGCACACGTCGGAGTGTTGATTGAAGTCGCCGTAGTGCCGTCGGATCTGGTTTCTGGGTGGCTTGATCATCCTTGATCTGCTGAACCTCCGTTCGAGCCTCTTGGACTATGTCACCGAGGTCCCCCCAAACTTCATCCGTGTAGCCTGTGAGCACTCGATTCCAGTCCTCGAGCCACAGCTGGCCCGCCTCGGCCAGATCCGTGACGCCCAGGGTCGTGAAGCTACTCTCAGCGGCGCCAACTCCTTCAGAGTTGCCATTCGGCTCACGCAAAAAGTCCGGTACGAAGTTGAGCATGTTGTTCCAGTCAGATGCCGAGATCTGGGCCGGCGATCCGTCCTCAAAGAGTGCTTGGCGTAGTTTCTTCAGCTCCGCCTCGGTGAGCCTCATCTGAGCCTCGTCCTCTGGGGTCTCTTCGTCCACCTGCGATAGCAAACGGACGACCTCGACACCATCTCGTTCCTGCTGCTCGGCTACGGACGAGGTAATGACGTCTCGTGATGATCTATTGCCGGGGTATTGCGAGACTCCAGCGCCCGATGTCTCCCATGCACCAGCCAGACCGACAGGCTCTGTTGGAACGAACACATTTGTGCTGTCCAGAAATTCAGAGAATGCTGCTTCCTCGGCAGCAACATGGGTATCGGCATGCCCTGGTCGGAAAGCACCCCTGGAGGTTGATGCGCCAGTAGAAGAAGAGTTCTCAGCTGGAAAACCAACATTCGTGGCTGCTGGTGATGTTGATGGTCCAGACTTTCCCGAGGAAGCCACACCGGCCAGGTCGCTCGCTGTTGGTGTGCTCTGCAGGACGCTTCTCGAAAGCCCAGCCGCAGATCGCCCTAAGCGTGTCGCAAATGAGTCACCGTCCGACTGCCTCAAAGCCTCCTGATCACTTTCATTTCTAGCGACTGCTTTGCCTTTATCGTTCACGTCGTTTTGCTGAGAACGGCCTGCGTCCGGTACACCACCGTCACCTGCTGGCTCAGACCCCATCCTGATGTCGGATGAACGGCTCTCGAAGCGGGGGCGGGCCGAGACACTCCAATGGGTATGTCCTTGTGTCCTGGTTGTTTAGAAACCAATTCCTCCTCAAAGTTTCTAAAAGGGTTGTAGGAGATTGGCTTCGATGGTCCACTCCCTATTTCAGATCGCTGCTGACGTTGGCCTGGAGGAGTTGCTAATGTGATTTGGAGCTCACATGGCTGAGAAGCTGCTGGACTGATGATGATGATGATGACAAAGAGATGTAGTGACACAACACTCTAGATACTTGGCATTGCAGCAAGCTTCATAAGCAATAAGATGTACCCGGTAAGGTGGAAGAGTGGTTTGCAACAGAGGGTCCAAGGTTAACTTTGGGAGATGCACGAGCAGCGGAATACCACCTGTCAGGGCTAGGTTCCAGGGAAGAACCACTAGTGTAAACCCAATGTGCAGGTGCTATAAACTATGTCATACAATCTATGTACTATAGAGATCAGCCCAAGCTGCAGCTGGGGTAATGAAGTGTGAGGACTGGTTGCATGACTTATGCATGACATCGACCTGGTAGGGTCCATTGAAGAGGGGGAATCATGTCAGAACAAAAGCCATGAGAAAGAAAGAAAAGATCAAAGGCAAAGAGGTCGAATAGGAAGGTGAACGCCCCATGATACCCAAGGCTTTCAGGGTGCAAAGACCTTCTGGAAGGGCCCAAATGGACCCCACATTCCACGTTGGACATCACTAGCTCCGTTTTGCCAGCAGGACTTGGGCAGCACTGTCCACCAAGGTTGACCTGGTGCCCCCCCCCCCCATCGAGGCCTGCCTGAGCTTTGCTCTGCTGCTTTGTTAGTCAAGACCACCCAGCGCCTGGAGCCAGAGCTTGGAGCCTCGTAGTTTTCTACCCGACCTGACCTCATCTTTTGCCAACCTGCAACCTCACGACAATTATCTCTCAACGACATCATACCCCGCACCGCTTGCCATCACCACACCCAACCCATTTTCACAACATCTCTGATTGCTTTCTGAAGGCTAGTCTTGCAATTCAACTGGCCCTGCCCTTCTATTCTGGTGAGTGCAGCCGAAGTTCACTGTGTCCTAGTCCTTGTGTTGCAGACTCCCAAATCCGCCCTGTCATCTGTGGCCGCTCCTTGTGCTGCGTGACCTTGCAGACCTCACCTCATCAACACCCAGAGCTGCTGCAGCCATATGAAGGCGGTGTCGCGTGGATCAGTCCAGCATCCACTTTCACTTGCACCCCTCACCTCGCCTCTCTCCTCCTTTGCCTCAGTTGCTCAACCTGATCAGACCAGCCTGTCCAGCTGGAGAGATCCCTTGCCTTTTTGTATTGGGCCTGCTCTGTAGTGAGCCCATTCTGCCGCGGCAGCCAAACCTAGCAACGAGAGAGCTTGTTCTGTCGCTCCTCCACATCCACGCCCCATCCCACCTCACCTGGCCTCAACCCTGCTCTCTCTGTCGTGGATGCGAGCCTCAACTGCGCTTCTTCTGCATCTAACAAGTTACCTCTGCTTTCAGCTTTCTCTCCCACTCCCGCCACATTCCCAACCACATCGCTGTTTCGATTTATTTTCGCCTCCTACATCCTTCGATCTGCATACCGGTCTCAGAACTCCCTCGAGTTTGCTGCCGACAAAGGACCTCCCCACCGAATCGACTGAACCGGTCTCGCACTACCAAGATACATCATTCCGTCGGGGTCCCGTTCAGCAGCTCACTGTAGCGTGGAGGCCGTCCTTCACCTACGCTCACGACAACCGCAACCATGGTGGACTCAGAACCTGGCTCGCCAACATGGAAGTTTACACAGTACGTCCTCCCCGCGTACCATATCCCTCTCTGCCATCTGATAAGTTTGACACGGGCGGCGGCGCTGTCGGCGGCCTTTTGCTGCGAGAGTGTCGATTTCGCACGTCAACCCTTTCGCTGTCGTACGTAGCTGACAAATGACAAGGTGCTTCGGAGACAAGGGCGATGTGGAGGATATCACGGAAGGTACGGATCCTGTGTTGTTCTTCACTATCCACGCGTACTGCTAGGACACGCCTTGCTAATCCCCGAGGCCTCAGCTGATATCATATCGACCGTCGAGTTTGACCACACGGGAAACTACCTGGCGACTGGCGACAAGGGTGGTCGGGTAGTGCTCTTTGAGCGCAACGAGACTGTGAGTTGGGCTTTTTCTGGCTGGTCACCGATGCGATGTGCTGGCGGCAGCGTCTGACGGGAGCAATAGAAAAAAACCTGCGAGTACAAGTTCCACACCGAGTTCCAATCCCACGAGCCCGAATTCGACTACCTCAAGTCTCTCGAGATCGAAGAGAAGATCAACAAGATCAAATGGTGCCGCCGACAGAACGCTTCCCACTACCTCCTGTCTACCAACGACAAGACGATCAAGCTATGGAAAGTCTTTGAGAAATCCCTGAAGGTGGTGGCCGAGAACAACCTCTCGAGCGAGGCCACGCCGGGCGGAATTGCAGGCGGTGGCGGCGCCCCGCGGGCGCTACCCAGTGCTATCAAGAATGCGGGTGATCTCAAGCTGCCTCGTTTGACACATCACGACACGGTCGTCGCAGCTGTTCCCCGGAAGACATACGCGAACGCCCATGCCTACCACATCAACAGCATATCCGTCAACAGCGATGGGGAGACGTTCATTAGCAGTGACGATCTCCGCATAAATCTGTGGAACCTCAACATTCAGGACCAGAGTTTCAATATCGTGGACATCAAGCCCGCGAATATGGAAGAGCTTACGGAGGTCATCACAGCTGCTGAGTTCCACCCCATGAGCTGCAACTGGTTCATGTATGCGAGCTCCAAGGGCACAATCAAGCTAGCGGACATGCGTGAGAGCGCACTCTGCGACCAACACGCCAAGCGTAAGAACACCCTTTCCCACCACCTACTTGAGCATGTGTGAGGAATCCCTGGGCGGGGAAGCGGTCGCATGGCTAACATCTGCCTCACAGTGTTCGAGCAAGAGGAGGATCCATCGGCGAGGTCCTTCTTCTCAGAGATCATCTCGTCAATCTCAGACGTGAGGTTCTCGTACGATGGCAGATACATCCTCTCCAGAGACTACCTGACCGTCAAGATCTGGGACGTCAACATGGAAAGGCAACCGGTCAAGACGATTCCAATCCACGAGCATCTCCGGCCCCGGCTCTGCGATACATACGAGAATGACAGCATTTTCGACAAATTCGAGGTTGTGTTCTCTGGCGATGCCAAGAACGTGATGACCGGCAGCTACAATAACAACTTCATGATCTACCCGTCCGACCCGGAGAAGGAGGTGGAGGTTGTGCTACAGGCAGACAAGTCAGCCTTCAAGGCCAAGAAGGTTGGCGTGCCGACACCAATCAACTCCTCAACAAGCCCTACTGCCAATGGGGGCAAGAAGAATGGGTCCCGATCTGGCAGCCCTGCAGGTGCACAGAGAATGCGCAAGGAGACAGATGCAGACCAGATCGACTTCAACAAGAAGATCCTGCACATGAGCTGGCATCCATTTGAGGACAGCATCGCAATTGCAGCCACAAACAATGTGAGGATTAACTCCACCTCCCCCCCCCCTCCTCTGAGAGACATGCCATGTATCTTTTTCCTGCTTGCTGACATTTTGCTGTAGCTGTTCGTTTTCTCGGCATTGTAAACATCTAGCATACAATCATCGTCATTTGATGCGCCTAGCAAAATTCCTTCATCTGCCTTGGCTGTGTGCCACTGGGGTCCCCAACCTGCTCTCTCACGACTTTCTCATCCTCTCCCTCTCGCGATTCCCACTTACCGTTCAAACATATTGGCTCCTCCAGTGGAACTCAGCGTGGCAATGAATTTGGCAATACTTGTTGGACTCTGTCACTGATGCTCAGAGCCTGCATGGAAGGTGATAGAACTCGGCAATCTGAGGCCGGGCAAGGGGAGGTTGTGTAAGCCCAGCTCTACAGCATGCACCTGGAAGAAACACAACAGGTGCTGCTGGGGTGCTGCTGTGGCGAGGAGGGGGCTGGAGAAGGCAGATGCATTAGAGCTGGTGGAGAGGCAAAACAAGTCTGTTTGGCATAGAGCCTCCTTCAGCCCACAGAAGACAAGAGACATGATTAGAAAGACTGGTTGTTTAAAAAGTGATGATATATGCTGTGGCCTTCGTCTTGTTCTTGTCTGAGTGAAAACCATATCTTCTTAAGTCTTCGACAAATCATGACCATATATAGCTTTGTGATTGATTAGCATGTGCTAGTGGTACAGCCGAGTTATATTCTCTCCCACATGTCTCAATCAGAGACGGTGAACACTCGTTATGCCACCGTCTCACCGAACTCGGAAGGTCTACCAGCTGCGCTTGAGATGCCATCCCCGGCGGTATACAGGCGCGCATAGAGCCATGGGTTAGCTTGCCACTCTGAACGTTACAGGTCACTTCAGTATGTCCTTCGTGGGATGAACAGCTGCCTCGCCGAGCGCTGGACTTTCCTCACATGATAATGTGAGAGATTTCAGTATTTGTGGAAGGGAGCTATCCTATCAACAACAAGATAGTGGGTGATTTGTGGTGGCAGTGGATCTACTTATGATGGGAGTGGCATAGACATTACGTGCTATGGGCATGCTTCACACCCAGGCGGCCTTTCAAGCGCCATCCACTTAGTGCGTCAGTGACATATTGCTATCAGTTGACGAGGGCGAGCATGATCTGCCATACGTAGTCCTTATTTGCCTCTTCCGTGGCAATTTCCTTCTCTTCTTACACATTTACCCATCGCCTCTTTCTCGAAACACTCCCCCCGGCCCACCGAGACCCCGAATATCTTCTTCTTGTCTTCCTTTTCAGCCGGATATATTCACAGTTGTATTTGTGTTGCTATGTCGCAAGGAAGAGAGAGCCATCCATGGAGAGCCCTTGGACTTGTGACACTGTGACATTGTATGCTTATGTTGACCTTGGAATCGTGCCGTCATGGGCGTCATCCACTTTCTCCTGTGACATGATCTAGGCGACTACCCACAGAGTTCACAATTGAGAAAGCCTCGATAGCCTAAGCGTTCGAGCCGCTCCATTATGAACAGTCAGTGACAAGCAGACCTCGCTGGATTCGACCGACACTGTGCCAGAGAATACCGGATTCTTTGGTTTACCATAAACCTTCCATGGTATCAAACATTGCTAGTCGATAGTATTCTTAGTGTGTGGTCTGGAACTTGAGATCTTTACTCATCATCCCAAAGGTCTTGACACGTGTGATGCCGAACTGCTTTAGGAGAGATCAGCGGTCTTCATGAAGCACTGGGCGACTACTTACACTCTGCAAATCCATGACATCTACTCTGCGCTCTGAATTCAGAGGGTCACATGTTTCCCTTGGTTGATAATTTCAGAATGCTCAAACACATGGGAATGTATCAAGCTTACGCAAGGTTATGGCTTCAGAAGACTTGCCGTCTAGACTTGCTTGAACATCACCTAAAGGAAAGCCAAAGGGGTCACTTGTGGCAATTAACCAGCCTGTATAACCAGTAAGTGCCTGACTTTCAATTTTACGGCAGGGAGTCATATGCAGCCAGAATCAGTGACGATTAGAATATGCACTATCTTGCCCAGACCGCACACTATCATGCTTGAACTGTATACCGTTGTGCCCAAGCCACCCTAACTATCACGCTTCACGTAAAGAAACACAACGGATCTTTCTGAATCTGACAAACTCCTCTCTAAGGCGACGCTCGTTAGCTGCGTTAATCTCAACCACCTGACCACTTAGCTGCGGAGCAAAGCATGTGTAAACGAGATGATCGTTCCGAAGTGAGGTCCCTCACGGGTATATAAAGCTGCCTTGTGGTCCCCCTCTGAGTTTTGAAGAGAGATCCTCATCCTTACAACCAACAACAAATTCAAGATGCAAACCAAGACTCTGTTCCTCGCTGCTCTGGCTTCTCTGGCCGCCACCGGCGCGGCCATGAAATGCGCAGTATGTTTAGCCCCAGACTGTTACTCGACAGATACCGTACTAATAGCACATCTCATACTCACAGATGAGTTGCGCAGAGAAGATCGGCCGCGCAGGCGGCTGTACAGATTTGCCCTGCCTCTGCTCGCGCGTGGAGGAGTTCTGTGGGCCCATCGAGGCCTGCGTCTTCTCGGAGTGTTCCCCTGGCGAGATAGATGGTGCGTACATGGGACCCACCCTTCCCAAAATCCTTTGGACCCCCAATATAGAGTCACTTCGGACTGACAAGTGCTTTGTGGCTATCGAAATTCTAGATTCTCGCAAGATGCCTTGCCTGTTCTGTCACCACCAGTGCTGAACGGAGATCTTGTTGAGGACCCAGTCGAGAGGGGGGGGGGGGTTTCTCTGTGGGTTTTCTGCAAGTCTCGATGCAATGGTTTCCGGACAGTTGGGCATGAAGAAGACATGCTGGGGGGAAGCCTTTGGTCTCTTCACATGTTGTGTATCTGAGGCATCGATGCAATGGATCCGGACAGTTGGGCATGAAGAAGACATGCTGGGGGGAAGCCTTTTGTCTCTTCACATGTTGTGTATCTGGGGCATGATGAACAGAATGTCCCGTGTGTGCCGCCCGCCTCTGCACGTTGTACTCGGATTTCGGAGTTGCTAGACAGGAGTGTCATCGCTCGTCGATTAGCGAATAATCATACATACCTACCGAATCTTCGTTTGAAAACCCTTTTGAGAGCCAGTAGGAAAGATATTACCCATCTCTGGGAAGACGTGTAGGATGTCAAGTCAAGGTGGGGTTTAAAAGGAAAGAGAGAGACAGGGACCCCAGTCTTGTCGGTTCGGCCCGCCATCCCTGCGGGGGTCATGTCCGAGTCCGGATACTGGCACGAGAAGATCTTGTGAGGGGAGATACAGATGTTCTCTCCCTCTTGATGACTTCAATCAAAGGCTTTATGTGCCTGCTACAACTCTTTTCCTCGTGCTCGAATATAGACGACAAAATGTGAGTATACTAAGGTCGAGACCCCGATAGAGCAAGAGACCACTGCATCGCCCCCAGGTACACTTCCGCAATACATATACAGGCACGGAGCCTCGTACGACTTTGTTTGCCACCACTCCTGATGTCTTTATACACAGAGTATATGAAGCATGCTGGCACCAAGATTCAGACCTTGAGCCTTGCCGAATGGTTGGAGAGGATGATAGTCGATGGGCGCCTTTGCATGCAAGATGAAATGCGTACAGCGTCACTACTCGTGGAATGGGGACTGTGTGCCCTCAAGGCTGTCGGAATATGTTGGGGCACAAATTCGAAGTTTACATCTTTGGACCGTTTGTGATATCTAGCCAGAGTGCCTAGACCAAGGTACCAACTGCTTGGCTGTCTACAACAAGAAGACGAAGGCTCCGGGCTTGTGGTATTTTGCCTGTCATTGCTGTTGATGAGCCTTGCGCAGGATCTATAAAGCCGACGGTGCCGGATGTTGCCCAGCGAAGGTGTGACATCCATTACGGTTTTCGACTTGCCACATCAGTCCCACCCATCCCCTCTCCAAGCATTTCAATCGCAGGTACCCGCATCTTCCCAAGCTAAATAATGCACAGCCGTCTTGAAATAGCCGGATAGATAATGCTTGATCGGCAGATGGGTGCCGATACTCCCTGAAGGTGCGGGGTGAATAGGTGGGAGGACCCCTGGAAGGTATCGACTGCAGCCCCTGGTGCGCCTGCAGCTGGGGCAACCATTCAGAAGCTCTGCCGTACCCGTGCCGCTGAGGCCACTTCATCCTGCCAAGATGAGAAGTGACAACCTTCTGGGCTCAACCTCCCCCCAATGATACCTCGCGAGACCCTGTCTTGACACGACACTGTCACGCGAACGGACTTTTCACGATCGCCCTTGGTCTTGGACACGTTCTTTACCCAAATTTTTCTTCTTCTTGGTGTTTTCTCGATACACTTGGTGTGTCTTGTTTTGCCAGCTGAGGCTCAATTGCTGTACCTGACCAGAAAGGCCTAGGCCCCTAACTAGCCCGTCTGCGCGCCACCCCGAAAACGCCACAAAAGGCTGCAAGCGATCCCCCGGTACATTCCCGCCCCTTGAGCTCGCAAGAATATTCGACATACGTACGTCCCTGCTGGCGGCCGCTTTGAGCTCAGCCAGAGTGCTCTCATCTCTCGCTCTCTCCCTTGGCCCATCTACGAAACACGACGCGTGTTGAGCCCGCCCCCCTCCACTACCACCACCGCTCGCCCGCTCCGCACCTGTGGCCCTTTGCTCGTCCTCGAACCGACCTCTTGCGTAAATGACGACCTCCCGCCCGACTCGACGACGACAGCCCTCTTCCCTACAGAAAGCCCAGCAACATGCGGCTTCCTCGGCTCCTATGACGCCCCGAGTCATCAATGCTGCTCCATCCCTGGAGAAAGCTGAGATTCATGGCATAGACGACCAGAGGCCTATGTCCTCCAAGATCATGGGCATGCTGGGCCGCATCTTCATCGAGACCATCCCGCAATGGCTTACCGTCGGGGCCATGCTGCTCCTGATCTTCGGGGGATGCTGCTCCAATGTCTTTGCCCTCGAAGCTATCATCCAGTCAGTGCCCAGCCTTCTCATTATCCCTCCTGAGCCCTGCCCAGACATGCAATGCTAACGGAATACCTCTCTCGGACAGGGTCGAGCCCGCCAGCGGTACTCTTCTGACCTTTGTCCAGTTCCTCTTCGTTGCCGTCACGGGCTACGTCTCCCAGTTCGACAACACTCGGCCGCCCCTCTTCATCCGGCCGAACAAGGTTCCCTTGAAGCGCTGGCTGATCAACATTGTGTTGTTTTTCAGCATCAACACGCTGAACAACCATGCCTTCAGCTACGACATCTCCGTACCGGTGCATATCATCCTCAGGTCTGGAGGCAGTATCACGACTATGATTGCTGGGAGCATCTGGGGCAAGAGATATTCTCGCATACAGCTCACGGCTGTGGTGTTGCTGACCATTGGCGTCATCATCGCCGCCTGGTCTGATGCGCAGACTAAGGTGAGAACCGGGCAATTAGGAAGAAGAACCACCTAGGCTTCTATGCTGACAAAAGACAGGGCACAGCGGAAGCAAAGGCCGGAAGTGCCGCGAGCTTCAATATCGGCCTCGCCATCCTTCTTTTCGCCCAGATCCTCTCCGCGATCATGGGTCTATATACCGAGGAGACGTACCGAAAATACGGGCCTCATTGGAAGGAAAACCTTTTCTACTCGCATCTTTTATCTCTGCCGCTTTTCATTCCATTCATGCCATCCATGTGGAGACAATGGAACAAGCTGGCGAGCAGCCCGCCTCTGCCTCTCCCGATTGCCGACTTGTTCGGCCTCGAAAAACTCCCGGCCGATATCCAACAAGGCATTGACAAGATTCACATTCCGAGCCAGATCTTCTATCTGGTCATGAATGTTTTGACGCAGTATGCGTGCATTCGGGGCGTCAATTTACTTGCGGCAGCGTCGTCGGCCCTGACTGTCACGATTGTCTTGAACATTCGCAAACTTGTGAGCCTCCTGCTCAGCATCTGGCTGTTTGGGAACCAACTGGCCACGGGCACCCTCCTCGGTGCTTGTATAGTGTTCTTCGCAGGGGGCCTGTATTCTCTCGATCCTGGCAAGAAGACCAAGCCACAGCCTGTCAGGCTCACAAAGGTTGGTTGAGCGTTCTTTCGATAAAAGATTACTGCATAAGGCGCCTCTATCATAAAAAGGCGATAGTGTCAATAGCATTAGACGGGAATTTTCTCATACAAAGCTGAGAAGAGCGGTATACAATAAAATATTGGATCTTTCTAAATTTGTCCTTTGCAGAATCCTGCGACTTACGTGGCTGTTTTTGGAACAATCGGGGTTTTTCTTCGCAACCACTATCTGCAAATAAAGTTATGAGATCCTGCAGGGCTAAGCAGATCACCGTGGGGGCTCTGAAGCACGTCTGCCGCGCCCAGAGCCCTGGAAATAGGGCAAAGGCTAGAACATTAGCTGGCTGGAAGCACTAATAATAGCCCTGCAGCTGGTATCCTCCAGACGTCATTTCTGGCGTCTCTTCTGAACCCCTCCACTGCTGGGGATCCCTGGATACGCTGCAGCGAACGAAAAATGGTGGGGAGCTCCGCGGTCGAGTCTCCCTCATCAGTCACACCGACTGGTCACATTGACATTTGATTCCAAATTATACATCTGCCTTAACAAAACTTTCAGCACAATTACGTGTGACCTCTGGAGTATACGCTGATCGTCCTTTTCTTCAACTTGACAGCGTTGTGATACAAGTCGTCGCACTCTCAGTGCGCATTCTGCACATAATGGCCGGCAAGTTGTGACGAGAGCACACTCACTCCGCAGAGCTCCCTTGGACGCCTTAGCTGCTTTGGAGCCTTCGACTGTGGTTACACAACTAACGAGAACCTTGTCTCAGATAACGCCCTCCTCGATGCTCCCACCCCCGGTTTCGACTCTCCTCAGCTCGACCCCATCGCCATGTCTCTCGCGCCCGATTCTGACGAGGAAGAGGGCACCGCGGCACACCAGAGCCGCAGCACAGGTTCGGGGGAAGATGGTCGTCCGCACACGAGTTCCAAGACCACACCTGAAGAGGAAGATGAGGAGGTGCTCCTGAGAGATATGCCCAAGAAGACTGCCTTCTACGACCCCGTGGCGGAGCGCCAGATGACGCATACCGACGCGAAACTCTTTTACCAGCGCAGCCAGCTTGACCAGAAGGCCGGCGGACAGCCTTGGGCCTCATCAGCGTACGGAGGCAGCGTTCTTGGCAGCCCTGTCATGTCTCATGTGGGAGAACATCAGACGGAAAAAATTCTCGGCACATCCTATGAGCTGCCAACCTCTGCATGGCCGCAGGCAGGTGGCGACAGTGTCCCCGGTAGTGTCTCTAAGAAAGATACTGCCCACTTCGCCTTTCCCAGCAACCGCAGCCAGGCCGGCAGCCAGCCCAATGTGCCCAGGGTGCCCAGTGGTCTTGGAGTGAGTGCCCACGACGCGGTATATCAGGCACAGCTGGATATGAGCACGGGCGCGCCCCAGGGAATTGGTAGTGCCTCCTACGTAGGCGCTGACCCGTCCGTCACAGCTGAGCTCAGCAGTATTCTCAAAAATGTCCAGAAGATATTGGACATTCGAAACAAGTATATCCGGCTGTCTTTGCAAGGAACGACGGACAATCCAAAGGACGATCCGAGCTGGCCAGTCTACCCGCCTCCTCCACAGCCTGCCTGGGTGGAAGAGCAGGACAAGGGGGTGAACCCGAGCACCAGTGCCAACAATAGCATGAACAACAGCATGACGACCCTGCCACAGGATCAAATTCCGGAGCAACACCCCAAGAGGAAGAGGCGCAAGCCTGGCGAGGACATCGGGGAGGATTTCGATATGGCCTTCTTCGAGCCCCTGCCTGGTGCAAGCGAGATGACCTTTGGTCTTGATGCCAACGGCGTCTATCAGGTGTTCGAAAATGAAGAGGCCCAAAAAGCCGACACCCCAGCTGTGAATGTGCCGACCATCAAGGAGTATTATATTGACTTGGATACGATCCTGTCCATCTCGTCCGATGGTCCGTCCAAGAGTTTTGCGTTCCGCCGGCTGCAGTATCTAGAGGGCAAGTACAATCTCTACGCCCTCCTAAATGAGTACCAGGAGACTGCCGATACCAAGAAGGTGCCTCATCGTGACTTCTACAATGTCAGAAAAGTCGACACCCACGTGCACCACTCGGCCTGTATGAACCAGAAGCATCTCCTTCGATTCATCAAGAGCAAGATGAAGAAGTCTCCTGACGAGGTGGTCCTTCACAGGGATGGCAAATATCTCACACTGGCCGAGGTGTTTCAGAGCATCAACTTGACGGCCTACGATCTCAGTATTGACACCTTGGATATGCATGCTCACACCGACTCGTTTCACCGCTTTGACAAGTTCAATCTCAAATACAACCCTGTCGGAGAGTCTCGCCTGCGAACAATTTTTTTGAAGACGGACAACCTTATCAAGGGGCGGTATCTGGCAGAGATCTCAAAGGAGGTCATAGCAGATCTGGAATCAAGCAAGTATCAGATGGTTGAGTGGCGCATCTCGATTTACGGCCGGAGCATGGATGAGTGGGACAAGCTCGCTGCATGGGTGGTTGATAACAAGCTGTTTTCGCACAATGTCAGGTGGCTCATCCAGATCCCCCGCCTGTACGATGTATACAAGGCAAGCGGGACGATGGAGACGTACGAGCAGATCGTGAAGAACATCTTCCAGCCCCTCTTCGAGGTGACCAAGGATCCTCAGTCTCACCCCAAACTCCACGTCTTCCTGCAGCGCGTTGTCGGTATCGACAGCGTGGATGACGAGAGCAAGGTTGAGCGGCGTCTGTTCAGAAAGTACCCGGTCCCTCGGGACTGGGACACCAAGCAGAACCCTCCCTACAGCTACTGGATCTACTACCTCTTCGCCAACATGACGTCGCTCAACTTCTGGAGGAAGCAGCGCGGCTTCAACACGTTCGTCCTGCGGCCGCACTGCGGTGAAGCCGGAGATGTGGAGCATCTCGCAGTCGCAGCCCAGTGCGCGCACAGCATCAGCCACGGCCTGCTGCTGCGAAAGGTACCGCTCCTGCAGTATATCTTTTACCTCGAGCAGATCGGTGTTGCCATGTCGCCCCTCAGCAACAACGCGCTCTTCCTTGCTCTCGAGAGAAATCCCTTCTTCCAGTACTTCAAGCGCGGTCTGAATGTGTCACTCTCCACAGATGACCCGCTGCAATTCGCGTACACCAAGGAACCACTGATGGAGGAGTACGCGGTCGCTGCGCAGATCTACAAGCTGAGCCCCATCGATATGTGCGAGCTCGCAAAGAATTCGGTCAAGCAGAGCGGATATGAGCACTCGATCAAGCAGCACTGGCTCGGCCACGACTTCTTGATCCCGGGATACCGGGGCAATACAATGGTCAAGACGAATGTGCCTGACCGGAGAGAGGAATTCCGTTATCGTACGCTGAGCGAGGAACGGCAGATGTGAGTTTCGCTTTTTTTCCCCTCTTTCTTTCTTTCCTTCCTCCCTTTGTCTTTCTTCTTTCCCTTCTCTCGCTTTGTCTTATTTTGTCTTCTTTTTCTTTTCTCCCCCTTGTCCTTTCAAACGTTTTCCACACCAACGAATGCAGAGAGCTGACATTGAGTAAAGGGTGGAAATGTATGTCTCGTACAGCAACTCAACCGTCAACCCCACCACTGCAGAAGCCAGCACAGTTGCCTCAGCCGCGCCCAACACACCAGTGACGTCTCTCAAGACGAATATCAATGTGGACAACACAACCCCGCTGCCGCGAAGCATGGGACAGCCGCCGACATCCTCACCGGCAATTACCGCGCAGCAGCCACAGTCGACCAACTCCTGGCCAGTAGAGGGCATGAACGACCTGCACCTCTCGGGGAACGAGCCAAGGATCTATCCCGGCATGATCAGCCGCCGGCAGAGGGCGAATAGCCTGCGCCAGTCGTCGATGCATGAGACCGATTAGGGAGCGCTACGAAGAGGGTGACGAGCCTGGCGGCGACGGGGGCTATGGAGGAGGTGAGCAGTAAGTCCGTCCTGGTTGTTCAGAAGTGCGGCGGACTTGAGGCGAGAATTTTACACATACGTCCATATAGGCAACGCGCGGTATTCATATCACAACAACGTCAAACTTGAATGGGCAGTGAGTGAAAACAAAATCAAAAAGATGGAGTTATACTATACCTACATGCTTCCTTGCAATACCATGCCAAGTTTCAACCTCACAAAGATAGATTTTTCCTTCGGACACTATTGATTCCATAGGCCAATTCACATTGCAAGAAAGCTTTCAATTCACGAGCTTGAGCACGGTATTTTGTTTTGGGACCTTTAGAGGTATACTTACTTGGTTGTAGGCCCTGAAGGTGGAATGCTCGACGATATGTATAGTTGACGCACTAGCACTCAGCCAACTGTACTGTACTGTACAGTTGCTGCAAGGCCCGCAGAAGGCCTTCCCCTGTCTCCTGCAGCTTGCTTACCTGTCGGTACATAGAGACATTTGACCTCGTCTCCTTTTTTCTTTCTTTTTTTCTTCTTATACTCGCTCAATCTTTCCCACACAGGCAGAGCTATCTTGAGAAATATTGTATTTTTAATCCTATTTCTCCCACTATACGAGGGAATCACATGACGATTTCGCATATGGACATTTGACAAAGTACATGAGTTTACTATACTACTGCTACAACTACAGCTACAACCACAGTACAGTACAGTACAGTAGTACTATTAGTATACTAGGTTACAGTGGCTGCTTCTGTTGAGGTCAGAGCGTTCGTGCCCGATCTTGGCCTTGCCCTTCCCTGCTGGGCCCTAGCACTCGGGCCCTGTCCCGTGCTGTCCCGTCCTGCCCGACAGTAAACTTGGTTCTTGGTCTTAGCCTTGCTCATGGGGCTCTGGGGTCTCCATCTTAATCAGCCAGCGACCTTGATTGCCCCCTTTTGCACCATCTCGAGAATCTGCCTACCTCTTCCGCATAGAGGCGGCGCATGACGCTGCACATGACAGCTACTTCATAGAACCACAACAAACACTGGCTGCCATTGCTTCCAGCGTCATCTTGCACCACCATCTCGAGAGACCACCGCGTCGAGCCGCCAGCACCACCTGACGAACAGCGAAACACACCCTTTACAGGTTTGTGTTCCTCGCGCAAGTGATACGGTACAAGCCGGGGCAACCTAGGGTCGGCACCAGCCTTCTTCTCCCTCCCGCTTTGCACCAAGTGTGTTTCGGGTGCATCCACCTCAGCTTGAAAGCCACCTGCCTGGAAGTCCCAGCAGTCTCTCGGCTCGCCTTGCCGTCGTCTTGAGAGCCGCGCATCCGGCTGGCTCTGCAGATAACCCAGGTCTCCTCCAAGATACACCTGGAAAGGCTGTTGAGTTTACACAAGTTTCATCGTCACATACCGAACCCCCTCGCGCCAAACCACCACCACCACCACCACCACCACCCCCCTCTTCCAACTCACGGTCGAGGAGCACCGGGCCGACCTGCTCCTCTCTGAGCTGTACCAGACCGACGCGATGGCATTCCTTGGCGTCTACAAGGCCCTCTACGACTATGCCCCGCAGTCCGAAGGGGAACTGGAGATCAGCGAAGGAGATCTGCTCTACGTCCTCGAGAAGAGCGGAGATGATGACTGGTGGAAGGCAAAGAAGAAGGCCAGCGCTGAGGAGGAGGAGGAGCCCGTCGGTCTGATCCCGAACAACTACGTGGAAGAGGTGAGCTCGGCCCTTTATACCGCGCCGAGGGCCTGCTGGCCTGACGCCGTGTTGTGATGTCTGACAAATCGTTTGCACAGGCAAAACCCATTGCGAAAGCCCGCGCGCTCTACGAGTACACCAGACAGACGGACGAGGAGCTGTCGTTTCCGGAGGAGGCAGAGCTCGACGTCTACGACACTTCAGATCCTGACTGGATCCTCGTGGGCCTCCATAGTGACTATGGATTTGTTCCTGCCAACTACATAGACATGGGCGAGGGCGGCGGCCAGAACGAGGAACACTCATCATCCCACGAGCCACAAGATGAGCCCGAGCCTGAGCCCGAGCCTGCTCCCCCGAGTCTTCCGACCAGACCTCCTGCGCCGCCGTCTCCCGTTGTCGAGGACGAACCCAGCCCGCCGCTCCCGGCACGAACTGCCGCGCCGCCAGAGCCAAGCACCCCCGAGGCTCCGAACCCGGCCGCGGCGCTGGCTGGTGTGATGGGTGGCCGGTCTGTTGCTGCTCCGCCGCCAGTGACACGAGAAATATCACGCCCTCCTGCCATAAACATCCCTCCGCCGCCGCGACAAGGTCCGCCTGACGACGAGGACAACGAGCTGTCCCCGCCTCTGCCGGCACGAACTCGCTCGATCCAGTCGACGGTGGATAACGACAGGCAGCAGCGCGAGAGCCTGTCCCCGTCCACCTCGGCAACATACCGCGACCCATTCCCTCAGTACGACCGTCGACAGCCCACGGACCGTGATTATGAGCCGCGGCACCAGGACCTATCGCCAGGAGGTTTCCACCTGTATAATATTAATGAGATGATATCGATCATGGGCAAGAAGAAGAAGATGCCAACCACGCTCGGAATCAACCTGAAGACGGGAAAGATCCTGCTCGCGCCAGAGCATGCGCAGGACGGACCATCCCAGGAGTGGTCTGCTGATAGGATGACACACTACTCCCGGGAAGGCAAGCACGTGTTCCTCGAGTTCGTGCGGCCTAGCAAGAGCGTGGACTTTCACGCCGGCGCCAAGGATACCGCGGAGGAGATCGTTGCGGCGCTGGGAGAGCTCGCAGGCGCTGTCCGGGCTGAGGGCCTGCGCGAGGTCATTATGGCTGGCACCGGCAGGGAACTCAGGAAAGGAAAGATGCTCTACGACTTTATGGCCCAGGGCGAAGACGAGGTGACCGTGGCCGACGGCGACGAGGTGATCATCCTCGACGACATGAAGAGCGAGGACTGGTGGCAGGTGCGGCGGGTCAAGAACGGAAAGGAGGGCGTCGTCCCCAGTAGCTATGTCGAGATCACGGGCACCGTTCCCGCCCAGCCGGCGTCTATGAGTGGCATCAACGCAGGCCTTTCGTCGGTCGCCCAGAACCGACTCGAGGAGGAGCGTCTGACGAAGCAGGCCGTCAAGGCGGCCAAGAGAGAGGACGAGAAGAGAGGTTCAGAGGTAGGGCCAGGACTGCGCTTGCCGGAAAGGTCGAGCAGCCTTTCACATAGAGAACGGAATGGTAATTTGTCGTCACAGCGGAAGCGCGAGAACGGTCACGGTAGCAACGGCTCGCGAAGCAACGCCAAGTCAAGTATGTATATCGCATCATCTCCCTCCCTCCCTTTCCTTTTCCTCTTGTTCCTCCTCTTCTTCTTTTTTTTTTTTCCTTCCTTTCTTCTCCTCTCTAGGAACAAGAAACACACTGACGAGGATGCTGGAGCGCACGCAGAGCCCGACCCTTCCAAGGTCCGTACGTGGACCGACCGGTCCAAGTCGTTCAGTGTCGACGCCCAATTCCTCGGTCTCAGGGACGGAAAGATCAATCTCCACAAGGTCAACGGTGTCAAGATTGCGGTACCGGTCGCCAAGATGTCGGTCGAGGATCTCGAGTATGTCGAGCGGGTGACGGGAATATCACTCGACGAGGACAAGCCGTTGTCAGAGGTCAAGAGGGCCAGGTCCAGAGCCTCCGCACCGGTTGGCGCTACCATCGAGCAGCCGAAGAGGCCCGAGTACGACTGGTTCCAATTTTTCCTCTCGTGCGACATACAGGTCGGGCTGTGCGAGAGGTACGCACAGGCGTTCCACCGAGACAACATGGACGAGACTGTCCTGCCAGACGTCGACGCGTCTGTCCTGCGGACCCTGGGTCTGCGCGAAGGAGATATCATCAAGGTGATGCGGTTCCTGGATAACAAGTACGGTCGCAAGAAGGGCGGCGAGGCCCAGGGAGAAGGTGGCTTGTTCTCTGGGCCCGGTGGTGCTCTCAAGAACAACTCGGGCCGACCACGGCCGGAAGCAAACAGGTCCGCCAGCGACCTGGTTGACCCCAAGGCTCTGGGCGGGACGAAGGATAGCGAGGCGTCGTCTCCCGCGCCGCTGACGCCTGCGACGACCACGTCAGCTGTGTCGACAGGAAAGCCCAGCGGGTTCGACGACGACGCCTGGGATGTCAAGCCAGCCAAGTCGCAGCCCACCCCCGAGCCACCGGCCCCTGCTGTAGCACCAGCCCCCGCAGCCGAACCTCCCAAGTCGGCCACCACACCTCTCACGCCAGGGATGCAGGAGCTGTCGCTGCTGTCGGAGCCTCTACAGCCGACCAAGACTGCGGCTCCTGCTCCTGCGCCAATCGTCACGCAGCCCCCTCCTCCTGCTGCTGCTCCCGCCCAGGCGCCTCAGCCCACAGGCGCCTCGCCTGGCTTCTTCGCCGGCCTGCCTCCTCAGCAGACGGGCCTGCCAAACGGGCAGTCACCGACAACTCCGCTCAGCCATCAACTGTCTCTGGCTCGACAGAGACCCGCCCCGCCGTCAGGCATCCCAGGCCAGGCCGGTATGATAGCACCGCCTCCTACGAGACCGTTGTCGGCCCCTCAGGCGGCACAGCCTAGCGCCTTCGGCCCTCCTCCACTGGCGCCTCATGTCACTGGACAGGTTGCTCCTCCTGGACAGAGCCTGAGCGAGATCGGCCAGCAGCGGCTGCAGCAGCAATACGCCATGCAGATGCAGCCCCAGATGACGGGCTTCCCGCAACAGTCCCCTGGCATGTACCCGATGCAGACTGGGATGCAGCCACAGCCAACAGGCTTTGGACAGAACCAGTTCATGCAGCAGCAGCAGCAGCAGCAGCAGCAGCCCATGATGAATGGCCAACAGATGCCACAGCAGAGCCCCTTTGCCGACCCGAGGGCATCGCAACAATTCTCGCCCATGCAGATGCAGCCTACTGGATTCCAGGGCCAGTTCAACCAGAACTCGTTTGGGCCGACTCCAACGGGTGGTGGTGTCAACTCATACCTCCCCCCGGCTCTTGAGCCACAGAGGACCGGTATGCCTGGTCAGATGCAGCCCATGCAGCCTCAACCCACGGGTATGAGCTTCACACAGGGTTTTGGAAATCACGGCATGGCCCCAACACAGCCGCAGCCTCCTGCTCCCTTGGTGCCACAACAGACAGGGCCGCCACCACCCGTTCGCTTTGGCGTCCCAGCCGATGCGAAGAAGCTCGCGCCACAGGCTACTGGCCGCCGTGCTAACCTCTCTGCTGCGAGTAAGTTATTTCCAGATCCTACGTTGTCTTATACCATCTTGTCGATGTGATAGATACTTGAATGCTAATCTTTGGCCACAGCTCCTGATAATCCTTTCGGATTCTAGATTGTTTAGACATGTTCTTACAAGAAAAACCCTGTCAATAGCAGTAGACTGGGGGCCCCTCCCAGAGAGAACCCCGCCTTCTGTCTGGGGCATTTTGTTTCAAGCTGTCTGGAGTATCGTCGTCATATCTTCTTGTCAACCACAATTACAATGTCACTACTACTACTATTAGTCGAGACGAGTGTGTGACTTACTATCAGTGTCAGACTTGGTCAACCCCCCCCCCCCGGGGGCCTCCCCAGTAGGGAGAGAAGATGAGGGAGCTGGCTGGTGGATTTTATTGTCAAAAGAAAGAATTTCATCACATTGGATAGCGACTTGTTCACCTGGTACAAAGACTTGGGAGGATCAGGCACAACCGCCATAATTCTAGCCTCACATAAATCACAGCATCTAATGCATTAGCACTAGCAGTGTACATCAACTATGCAACAAGTCAGTCCTATGCTACAATTCCAAGATCAGACCAGAATTTCTTTTGGCTCTGTTATGTAGGATTACAAAAGCTGGTCATCCGTGGATGGTCTTGTGTGGAACGTGGAGGGTTTCCTCTTCCTTGCCCCTCGGGCGATGGAAGTATTGTCTGTCTGTTTGTAAGAGCTGCTGGGAAACAGGAGGGCGAGATGGGGGGGGGGGGGGGTTTCTTCTCCTTCTTTTTTAGATCAAAGAGAAAACATAAATTGTTGATAGTCTTGCTCAACTATCTGTCCTCCTCTCTGTCTCTCTTCCTGCCTTGAAAAGTCGCCCCTGAAACAAAGCCAGGCTCCAAAAGCCTGTGCGCGGGGCGGCTAGAAGCCCAGTCCCCCGTTTCAGAGGTCTTTGTACGAGCGCCGCGCCGAGGGTGAGGCTGCACAAATATATGCTTGTCCTGACTAGCCTCTTTCTTTAGACTTGAAAAAAGCTATCTCGCACTGACAGCTTGACAGTGCAACTCTCGATCGCTTCCATCCGATCTTACGCAGGGCCCGCTGCCCTTTGGGGGGGGGGGGTTTCCTGTTCACACCCGACCACCTACTCACATACACATATATCCGATGAAGAGGAAGGGGGGAAGCAAAAAAAAAACCAAAAAACTGGGACGTTGTCACACGAATCAAGTCTGCCCCCCCCCCCCCCCCTTTCCTCTTCCCATTTTCTCTTCCGACCGAATGAGGAGTCCTAGATATGTTGGCACGGCGCGCGGGGTTGTTTCCATCTACTCTGGAGCACCCAGCTGCTCGGACCTTCTCTCCTCGTCTGAAGGGGGGGGAAACGATGGTTGATGCACCATGGTAACAGAATGCAGGAGTGGTGATGATGGTGGTGAATTTCTTCTTCGTTTTCTTCGGACGGGAGGAAGGGTGGTTGAGAGGGGGGGGGGGGGGGAGTTGGTAGACTCGAGAAGGCTGGTCGGAAGAGAAGAGGAGGGCCTTTTGTTCATAGATATAAATATTTGATTCACCTCTGCTGAAGCTTCACGGTGTCTTCTTGTCTGGCAACCCACCCTACCCTCACCTACCTCTTCGTCCTCCTTCAACTTGATACTTGTCAAGAATACTATACCGTCCTTCAACAAGTAGCTGGTCTATTCTTTCCCGATATCACACCTCATTGGTTTAAGAAAAGATGTACTTCACACTCATCCTAGCCCTGGCCGCTGCCACCCTCACCACAGCGGCACCCACCCTCTCTTCAAGCACAGAGCACAACACACGCCAGCTCGATACCCTGCTGGGCGGCCTTACGGGAGCCCAGTCTGCAGCCGGTGCAACCACGTCTGGCGGCGCTGCGGATGGAGGTCTTGGGGCTCTCCTCGGAGGTGCCGGTGCCGGGACCGGTGATGAGTCTAGTGGTCTCGGAGCGACGTTGGGCGGCGGTCTAGATGGCGGTACGTCCAGGTTGAAATAAACACCTTTGTCTTGAATCAATGCTGACTTGTCTCTAGCTGAGGGCGCTCTGGAAAACCTAGGCGGTGGAGCACTCAAGGAGTAAATAGGAGATCAAAGGTGGACGGGCTTGATGGTTTCTATTCGGAATTACAGGAGCAGTGCTTCTAACTCCTCCTGGGTTGCTCTCGCTGTTACTCGCTGCCCGCGTGGAATGCTTTCCAAGGCCTTCTTGTTGTACATATATATGGGCTCGGTTCGGTAAGAGATCTGCAGTGCAGGATCTCGAATGAGCTCTCCCTTTTTAGGCTCGGACAGGATAATGCACCACCCAGGGCATCTGGCTTGACGCCACTAGTAATTTAGGTCAGATCCTCGTTTAAACATCTTCAATATTAAGAGGACTGGCCAAACACTTTCATGCGCCCTTCGAAGCATAGCAAAAAAAATAAAAAAAATGTGATGCATGTCTTCCCACCGGTGTATGGCTTGTGCTTGCGTGTCTATAATGCCTGTTCGCTGCCTAATGCGTTCGTTGCATTGGTGGTCCGCAGAGGGAAGGAAATCGAGAACCTGGTCAGATCGGCCACGTCTCCTCTACTGCATGTCTGCCAGATCGTCTTTAATCTCAATGTCGATGTCCGGAAGGGTGTGTCGTCGCCTCAGCTCGTCAATCTTCCCCGCAATGTCATTTGCGGTGGCTGCGCCAGCTGGAATGCTGATTTTCTCTTTCACCTTCTCCTCCTTCTTGTGATCCTTCGCACCTGGTTCGAATCTCTTCTGTACAGCCTTGATCATCTTGCCGAACCAATAGATGTTCAGGGTATTTAGAGTGATGTTGCTGGCCAGGTATATAACAGCCATCCATACCGGCAGTGGGCCGGCCTCCTTTGCGTACTTCATGACGTCCTCGGTTCCCGGAAGTTGTTCATTCGCGGGTGTGATGGACATGTACTCGGTGTTCGGGGCAGTGAATAGCGCACGGTACATGTCGTACCACACCATGACCGACTGGCCGACACCCCAGACAAGACGTGCCGAGAAAAAGGTGAAGAGAAGCACGATGCCGTTGTACAGCTGCGCCTTGGTTCCAGTCATGCCCAGTTTGTCGAAGAACCAGTGGATGTTGAGGAACGGGGTCGACAGCTCGTAGAGAATGAAGACGGTGGCGTAATAATTCAAAAAGGGTCTCTGTTGACCACAGTCAGGGGAGGTCTGCACACAACGTTGAGAGAGAAAAAAAATAAAAATGGGACGCAGGATCAAAACTCACGTAACCAAGAGAATAGACGGAGAGTGCGCTGACAGCATGGGCGAGCAGTCCAACACCAAAGACGTCCAGGTTGCAGATGGTGATGCAGAAGTCCCAGACAAAATATCCAGCTGCGAGCGACTGGACCAAGCCGCTGGATCCGGTGTAGCCCCAGATGCGTCCCTGCCAGTCCATGGAAGCGCGCTCCTTATCCGTCCACATGACCCAGAGGGCAACGATGCAGATGAGGACGCTCTGGAACAGGGATACGACGTGAGAATCCCAACTGGCCCGTTTGCCCCTCGATTTAGGGTAATGTTCGGGAGCATATTTGTTAGAAACCCACGGCGAGACGACGAGGTGGATGAACGTGTAGAGGAGGGCCGCGGCGATGACTTCGTGTATGTGCTGCGGCAGCACAGTCATATTATACTTTTCTGCGAATGGCCGGACCCATTCCTCGAGGGCGGGTATAGGCGGTATGAAGAAAGGGTCCTTCATGGCTGCGGTCTGCCTTTGGAGTTCGAGCCCAGATCAGCAATCAAGGATCGGTCATCAAAGAGGGAGCTGACCGGGAGGGAAAAGGTTGGCGAGAGGTCCGGGGGAAAGGGCAGAACAAGGACGTGCCTCTCTTTATATTAAAGAACTTGACCGACCTAAGCCACGGAAAATCCACATGAGACGAACCCCGCAAGCTGGAGCCTCCGAGGCAGTTGACAGCCTAGGCAGGCAGGCCGACAGCCACCAGATCAAGCTGCACTGCTCGGGGGAGGAGGAGGGGGGGGTTGTTTGTGCAGGCAGGGCGCTCCAGAATTATTGTTGGGATCTGCACGCGGTCTCTCCTCGCGAGGGTCCGGCGTGCCTCGATCACCAGGTGGTGCGCTGCTCAGCTGAAGGTGCAATGCAGCGTGCCAGGAGCAAGTGAGAAGCTCCTATGAGTAAGGCTACTGATTCTCGGCACGTTGACGTCCTGTGACGCTCAGACAAAGTACTTTGTGGTATAAAAAAAAAAGAGTGGTGCTTGGATTGTACCAAATCTTATAGTCGCATCGAGGCGAGACAACTATATGGACCCTTAAATTGTTGGGAAAATCGGCGGGTACTTGCGCAATACCTGTCAGCCCAATGTAGGTGCCTCTCTTGGCTGACAAGGCCTAAATTTCACGCCAGGTCTCTCACCCGGTCAGACCCAAAACAACGGAACGGCTGCGACAGCTGGGCGGTCGCCCTCTGAGCTGTGGGCTGGAGCTGGAGGGGTTGAAAGCCGGAATGCACAGTCGTAGGAGGTCTTTGGAATTAGAAATTGTTCATATGGATAAGATTGTACGCCGGGTTGAAATGACGACAAGAGTGGTGGCTGAGGAGTTGAAGGTACTGATGAGAATTGGCAGTGCTCTCTAGTGCAAGGCGTGAAAGAGAGGGGGTAGAATTCCAGGCCTGCCCCTCTTGGGAGTATTCCTTTGTTCCCCATCTCTGCGGGGCTCTCCTTCCCCCTGCCACACCCACTGCACCAGTGTACACGCTACGTACTGGTAACACCCCCTGACCGTTGTGGCCCGTGCACCTTTCGAAATGACCAGGGTGTTCACCGTTCATAGAAGCTCAGCAACTGACACTATCACGAGCTCATTCTGGCCCATACTTGCTGGCTGTGCATTTCAGGTCAAGCCAGGCTCCATAGTGAGCGTTGCGTTCCTGACTGAGTTGGCTGCTGTCTTTGTTGTGGGAACGTGAAAGTCTTTCACTTTGGCTGCTCAGCATCAGGCGATTTCGCTTCGAAGCTACCACCACGGACATTCCGACGGTCAGCACCACGTGTCCGTCATTTCACTTCCGCAGCTGCAAGGTCAAGGCGCGAGAACGGCTTTAAAGCCGTCGACTGAGGGATATGGCCGATCTTTTATACGACCTGCTAGCATCACAGCCCGGTGCCGACCTGCCCAAGACACCCAGTGATCAGACCTCCTTGGACTACCTGAAGCACCTGGCCGCTCAGCCTCTGTCCTCTCTAGACAGGACTGAGCCCCAGTCAATTTCTCAATCCTCTCATACCCTCCTCATATCTCTTCAGTCCTTGTCCAAAAGGTCATACAAGCCCATCATTGAATCCGCATCTCATCATGCTTCGTTACAGACGGCCCTTCCAGCACTGGCCAGCAGCACAGCAGAGCTGCGGCATGCCATACCGAGATTGGACAACGAGGCCGTGAAATTCTCAAGCACATACAACAAGGCCAGCGAGAATGATGTACTGGCGAGGAGAAAACGGGCCCTACTTCTGTCAAGGAATGTCGAGCGTCTCGTGGATGTACTGGAGCTACCCACCTTACTGAATTCGGCCATCTCGGCCTCACCACCGAATTACTCCTCGGCATTGGATCTCAATGGTCACATACGAAGACTACATTCTCTCTATCCCACCTCGCCGCTGATCGCATCTATATCAGCGCAGGCAGACGAGGCAATGAAGACGATGGCAGCGAACCTGGTACTCTCGTTGAAAGCACCGGGCCTGAAACTAGCCGCCTCATTACGGACCATCAGCTGGCTACGGAGGGTACTTCCTGACCTTGAGACGGCTGGGTCCCAAGACAAGAGCCATGGCTCGCAGGACAGAGTCTTGGGCGCGGTGTTCCTCGTGTGCCGCCTTGCCACGCTCTTGAACATGCTTGATGCGCTGGATCCACTGAAGGAACTCGCGGACCAGGAGAAGACACGACAAAAGTCAATCGGCAGCGGAAACGCCTGGTCAGGAGGCCAGCAGACGGAGAGGTACCTGAAGCGGTATATTGAGATATTCCGCGAGCAGAGTTTTGCAATCGTATCCATGTACAGGAGCATATTCCCAGCGACCTCCGATGCACCAGCTCCTGCGAGCGGAAAGGAGGACCCCCTCGAGCCGCTACCATCGTCTCTGTCAACCTTTCCGCTATATCTTGTCGACATGCTACTCGAGACCTTGCGGCTATACCTTCCAACCGTCAAGGATCAAGCATCAAGAGATAGTCTGTTGACGCAGGTTTTGTACTGTGCCGGTAGCTTGGGCCGGCTGGGAGGTGACTTCGGGTTGTTCTTGGCAGGCTTAGACCTTGGAAGTGAGGCAGAGGAGGAGTGGGTAGAGGTCGTGAGGCGACATCGACAATTGGCTGGACGCCTGGAGTCCATTGTCGGAGACTTCAAAGAGAAGACAACCAAATAGATTTTCTCCCGCGGCTCCTGAGGGCTGGAGCCGGGAGTCCCGGAGGACACCATTCACGACTCTGGGTGAGTCAATGGGTCCCTAAAAATACAAACTGCATCCTTTGCGTACGGGACTGCGCGAAATATGACAAATCTGATTATCTTTGCCGAGCCAACAAGAACATGGGTCTCCCAACGACGAGTATCTTGGTATGTAAGATCGGGACGATTCCCAGGCACGGGGTTGACAACAGTGGATACACACGGCAGTTCCCGGACTGTGACGCATTCCGCCGGATCGGCCGCCGCTCCGGTTCTCGAAAACCTAAAAAAGCATGCCGTCACCACTGAGCTTAAGCTCTTGTCCTTCATCCTCACAACAATAAAAGACGACAACAACATCCTCTTTTTTCGCGCCAACACCACGGCACAATGGCTCGATGCACGATCTGAATCAACTCATCCAACCGTCGATAGGTGCACCGTGACCTTAAACAGAAATGCTGAATTATGAAACCTTAGCATTTCCGGACACTCGAAATTCGAATCGTACTGCGGCTCGCCCGAATTACACTTCGCGATGAGCAGCGATGGCTCTCCCAAGGCCAAGTCCAAATCGAGTGAGCACCTTTGCATTATGTGCATTTCATACACAGATGTCTGACTGAAAAACGCACAGCCTACCATTTCGTAGCCGGCCTTGGGTCTGGCATGCTCTCCGCCGTCCTTCTCCAACCAATCGATCTTCTCAAGACCCGTGTGCAACAATCTGGCCACCACTCCCTGACCGCTGCCCTTCGCGAGATCCGAAATTCTCCTCGCATACTACCTGCGCTATGGCGAGGCGCGACACCATCCGCTCTGCGCACCGGCTTCGGAAGCGCAATATATTTCACATCCTTGAATGCGATCCGAACCAACGTCTCACGCATTCCCTTCCTTGCAGCAGACACCGGAACCGGCGACAGCGCACTCAGTACCATTAGAGACCGTGTGAAAGCCGGCGCAGGACATTCCCACTCGTCTTCGCTTGTCAAGCTCTCCAACACGGGGAACTTGCTGGCGGGTGCAGTGGCGCGCACGTTTGCTGGCATGATCTTGATGCCGCTGACGGTGATCAAGGTGCGATATGAGTCGAATCTGTACTCTTATGGCTCAATCTCGGCAGCAGGACGGGATATACTAGCAAAGGAAGGGGCAAAAGGTTTCTTCTCTGGCTTTGGCGCGACGGCCATGCGGGATGCGCCCTATGCAGGACTGTATGTGCTGTTCTACGAGCAGAGCAAGAAGAGGCTGAGCGCATGGCACGGAGCCAATGACAATTCCCACTCTGCCGAGTCAAGGGGACATGGCAGGATGGGTGTCTCGACTGCTGCGACGATCAACTTTTCCTCAGGGGTCATTGCCGGCGGCGCGTGTTCTGCGATATCGAACCCCTTCGACGCGGTCAAGACGAGGATACAGCTGCAGCCCGGCGTGTATCGAAACATGTTCCATGCAGCGCACATGATGGCAACCCAGGAGGGGATGCGCTCGTTCTTGGATGGTCTGGCTTTGCGTATGGGCCGTAAGGCTCTGAGTTCAGCACTGGCATGGACAGTGTATGAGGAGTTGGTCAGGAGGGCTGAAGTCACACTGAACCCCACAAAGAGAAGGGAGAATGTCTTGTAAGAGAAAGGAAAAAGGGCTGCATCATATGGAGGGGATCGGTCTGGGGTGCATTTCTTCCTGGAGTTTGGGCTTTGGAAAATAGGCAAGATACCACTCTGATTCCCTTGGATCAATCACCTTTCCTCTCGCCCCAAAGGAAAGAAAGGACTCCACTGAAGTGTTTATATCAGTGTTTGGACCTTACTTTGATCCTTTGAATCGATCGTTGTGTGCACTGGAGTGGCTTTCCGGCAAGGCATGTCGACTTTGGGTCAATAGGTCTGCCTGCTATTACATCTGTGTACCTCGTCTCCTCTCGAATTCCACTGTTATTTTTCTTTCTTTTCTTTGGACAGCTGCAATACCCAGCGTCTTCACTGCTTTGTGACCCAACAAAGCAGGCCTGACATCCTATCAGCTTCAAGACGTAGCTTAGCTTGTTGCTACTGGCATGATGTCCTCTCGCAAAGTGAAGCCCTCGTGGCCCACTAAGAGGTTTATCCTCATGCCTTGGGATGTTTCTCATTATTCAACACAGCTCATGGCTGTGAGACTCATTCAGGAGTTTGCTGCTGAGGAAGCTGCAGAGATCAGAGCTTATTTCCGGGCTATTGAAGCTGCCATGGCTGCTGCTTTCTCTGCTGCTGCTGCGGAGAGGTCTAAGAGGGAGGAAGCAGTACTTGCTGTCATGGAAAATGCAGACAAGGGAACCCGAGCACATGCTGCTCAGCCAGCTGCCATCCAAGAGGCCACTACAGAGAAGCATGAAGCTGCAGGACTACTCGCGGCAGTGGGTGATGAGGCATCTCCATGCGAGTCATCAGCCAAGTATCATCAACAAAAGCCAGCTACCGAGGAGGACTTCTCGGACAAGCAAGGAAAAGTCAACACAACCATCACGCACCCTCCCTCCAACAACAACAACAACAACAACAACAACAACAACAACAACAACAATAACAACAACAACAGCAACCATCAATCTACCAATATGGAGGCGGAGAACGACAACAATGGCAACGTCAACGGCACCCTCGCTCGCGTTCGCAAGGGCAACTTCGTTCCTGACCCAGAGGCTCCTGAGTTTGAGATTCCTTGGGCACCTCAGGGCTTGCACACATTCTCGAACGAGGAAGCCCAGATCTCTCAGCAGGCTTCCGAGATCGAAGAGCCTTCTCTGGGCAGGAACCTGGCTCTGGCTATGACCAGGGTGAAGGCAGGCAAGCCCAAGATTATGAACGAGCGGAACACTTGGTGCGGCAGATTCCTTGACGTAAGTCTTGTTCTTCTTCCTTCTTACTATCTTGAAATGTTGTTGATGGCTTCGTTTACGTTTCACTGACAAAAGTTCGTCTCCAGGCCTTCAATGGTGACGAAAACAGTGACAACAGCGTCACCCTGCGCGCCTTCCTCAACACCCCAGGCCTCCCCCTCATTTACAAGCTTAAGTCCTACATCGCCTTCAGCACTAATTTCGTCCCCAAGGCCTCTACCGACGGCGACGGCGGCGGCAGCAGCAGCAGCTACTCCACGTATGCCCCTCTCGCCCGGTCGCGCAGCTCCACGCCCATCAAGGACGGCGCCTGTCTGCCCAGCTCTCCGACGAACCACTGGCACAAGCAGGTCCTGAAGGAGGAGGACGGTGAGTCTGGCTGGGAGACCGAACCCTATAGTTCCGACGCGGTCACCGCTAGCTCCGAGGACGATGAGACCTGCGCCCTGGGCAGGGAGGACGAGTGTCGCCGCGAGACCCGCCTCCACTACCTCAAGCAGGCCGAGCGTACTTACGAGGCGTGCATACTCGTCTACACCGCCGATGAGGACGTCGAGCTCCTGGCACATGAGAAGGCTTGGCTGGAGTACGAGTTACAAGCCGCCAAGGAGGGCTGAGCTGGCTTGTGAGGCGGGCGCTGCATACTACGGGCCGCGAATGGATGGGAGGAGGGGAAAACATGGCATTTCTAGGTAGCACTGTCTCAACGTGATTGCTCTATGCAAGAGTTAATGAGTGGGACCTGAAATCGAGTCTTGACTTACAAAACGTTAGCAACACGACGCACCGTGGCAAAATCATTGTGAAGTTCGGAGGATGTGTGCATTAGTTGGACTGCTGCGTAGCTGGCTACCAATGATTCCTCCACCGTTTGCATCGTCTTTACTTCTTCGGCTTGGCGCCAAACTTCTTTTTGCTGCCCTTCATCTTTAGATCCTTGGGTTTGCCATCCTTGGAACTCGCCCGGCGACCCTCGAAGATGATTGCCTCAGGTGTCTTCAACGCGACGGAAGTCTCGTTCCTATAACCCTTACCCGGGCGTTCGGATCGCTTGTCTCCCCTCTCCCTCCACTTGCCACTTCTTGCATTGGACTTGGATATCCTGGCCTTGGCGGCTGCAGAATGACCAAGTAGCTTCCCAGCCCGGCCCGCCATGGTCTGCTGGTCAGCTGTGAGCTTGGGCACATATCTCGTGCTCTTCTTGCCAGCTTTGCTGCTGGTCTTGAGCGCAGCAACCTTCTCGGCTGTCTTCTTCTCCATCGCCCTGGCCGTCTTGTGAGGGGCTTTGCAGCGGTTCACGCGCAGCCCGCGAGGCAGCATGGGAGGGAACTTCTTCCCGTTCAGGAGGAGAGCTGCTTCGACAGAGTTACCATCCTATGTATCGCGTTAGCACCTCACAAGCACTCAATCATTCCTTGCGCCGACCGTTACTCACATAAAATTGCACATAGGCGATGCCCTTGCCGACTCTTGTCACCTGGTCACGCACAACCCGAACGCTTTCGACCTTTCCAGCATGCTGACCGAAAGTCCGCCACAGACCCTCTTCGACATCCATTGGCACCTTGGTGCGCTTGCGCTTCTCGGTCTTCTCCTTGCCGTCCTCGCCCAGCTTTATGTTGAGCACCGTCTCGTCATCCACGAAGCCCAGGTTGCCGACGAACACGCATCGCCGATGGTCGACCTCGGCTGGATGGGCGACACTGTCGACTCGCAGATGACGGTCCAGCACGACCGTGCCATTCAGCTTCGCGCACGCCGCACGTGCTGCGGCCACGCTACTGTATACCACGTACGCATTGGTCGACTGTGTTGTTGCCTCCATCGTGGCCTTGGTGATGAAGGCGGCGCGCTTTGGCATTGCAGCTGTGGCGAAGGCCACGGACCGGAACCGGTGGGACTCGATGGTCTGCGGCGGCGAGGCTTCCTTGTCTAGCACCGAGGAGAGATGCGCCAGCAGCGTCTTCTTAGCCTTCTTCGAGCTGATGGCTTCGACGGAGACGTTGGACAAGAAGACGGTGCGCGAGGCCTTCTCGACCTCGTCGGGCTTCTTGGTTTGCTTGAGGGACTCGTGCATGGGAATATCACCATCTGAGTCCTCCTCGCCGTCCTTCGCCTGTGATGCGTCCTCTACCTCCTCTTCATTGCCACTCTCTGGTAGCTTCCTTCGCTTGTTCACAGGAGGTTCCTCGTCGGTCAACTTTTGGAAGTACTTGCTCTCCAGGTCGTGAAACTCATCCTGCTTCCTCTTGCGCTTCTGCTTGCGCTCGTGCTCCTGGGCCTCGGCAAATAGTTGAGCCGCAGCGTCGCGCTCGTCGGCCTCACTGTCTGCAGAGTCGCTTTGGTCGCTCAGAGGGGTAGTTTCTTCGTTATCGGAGCCATCTTCTTCCTCGGCGCCCTCCGACTCCTCGTCCTCGCCATCAACATCTGAGTTGCCTTCGTCGTCGCTGCCGACCTCCTCTTCATCCTCATCCTCATCCTCATCGTCCTCGCTCTTTGACTCCAGCCTCAGCTTTGGCGTAATCAGTACAGGATATCGAGCTTTCACAGGTGTCTTGACGGGCCCGGACTATTGACTTTTATAAGTGTTTGCTCTGTATTCTGGAAACCGAGTCGGACGGTAGGTCTTACGCTTGCTGAGAAGAGAGCATCGAGGGTCGGGTCTATCTTCTTGGAAGAAGCAGACAGTGCGGAGCTCCTGAAAGCTGATTAGATACCGTGAAATCACTGCTTCGCAGCCCAGACAACTTACTTGTTCTTCGCCATTTTGGGACGTCGAGGGAGTGTAGAACAAAAGGCCCTCCGATTTGCTGACTGCGCCTTGTAAACTCAACAAAAATCACCAGAAAGATAAGACTGCAAAGCACAGTCGGGACTTCCAAAACGACTGGAAAATTAACGAGGTTGTCCCACTGAAAATGAAAAATTAAGCAGATTGACCCAATCAGTCTACGAGGCAGCCTTCAAATCCTCAACAGGCGAAAGACGGTCGCAATCCAAGGCGCTTCGCAAAAAAAATGATTGCCAAGACCCTTATCGATAGTTACTGGGACCTTGTACTATAGTGAGTACGCCAATGGCGCAAGGGCCCTTTCGGCAGGCAATACCGCGGCACCCTTGTTAGATGGAGAAGCACGCCGCGGTGAAGCAGGTTACCCATTCACGCCCCGATTCTCTTCCCCTCGGCGCAGGATAGCCAACCTGCTCCTCCTTACCACACCACTACTACGAGACATCTTTTCAGCTCAACCTCACAAACTAGGCAAGACATGACCCACAGATTATTACTTCTCTGTCGCATGGCATACATCCTCAACCTCTAATCCACCGAATTTCTCTAAATCTATCCTACGCCGCCATTCAGCTCGATTTTCCTGCCCACTGCGCCCGACACCGGCACACCCACCCACCCACACATACACACACCAGATCTCGAGCTCCGACACAAGACAGCCATGGCAAGCGGCGCCACCGCGCCGCCTATAGCAATGGCTAATCCTCCGCACTCCCTTCTCGACCAAGACACCAGTACCGTATCCTCTCCGCTCAGCGAAGTCGTCGAGGACAAGGACACCGAACACATGGATGTTGACATTAAGAGTAACCCCTCCGATGACGACGAACCCGAGCAGATTGAGAACGGCCAAGCGGGTGAGTCCGCTGCCAACGAAGACTCTGAGTCCTTGAGTGAAATCGACTCCGAGGCAAGCACAGAGCGACTCTACGATACCCCGCGCAAGGGCAACGGACAGCTCAACAATACAGCTTCAAACCCCGACTACCAGAAAGAGCCACAAACTGACAAGGTCCTCCGCTCCTTCAACCGAAGCCCTACCAAGCTACAAGAGCAATTACAAGCTAGTGCGGGCATGGCGTCTGGCGACGATGATAATGAAGATCTCTCCGAGGCCTCTGTAGGCGAAAGCGAGGCTGATTCAGACAAAGACACTGGAAAATCACAAAGGAGCTCTCGTTCTTTACACCTAAAAACCCGGCAGTCGCACGTCGTGGCAAGCGACGAGCCCTCGACTGAGTCAAGAAAGCGCAAGCGACCGGCTCCGGTAGGGCAGTCTAGCGACAACGAGCATCCCCGCAAGAGAGCCAACTCCGTCATTGAGCCTAGCGACGCGGTCTCTTCGTTGTCTAAGGTGCTGTCTGAAGAGCTGGGGCGGGCCAACTCGACAGGCGGCAAGAGCGCTGAGCAATCCGGTGCCGAGAACGACGACACAATAATCAAGGAGGACGCCGATACTATCGCGGAATCGGTCGAAAAGCCTACAAACGAGCTCCTTACCAGATCCAGAAAGTCGAGGCGCAGTACGCCTAAGAGGTGGAAGACTTCTGCAGACGAAGCCCCAGTGGAGACCCACGAGACTGAGGAGCCGGCTGCAGAAAACGGCCAGCCGCCAGAGGACGAGCCGATTGAAACGGCTGAGGTTGATGAAGAGGCCGAGATTGCGCACAAAAATGAAGAAGAATGTGAGCAGGCTCCGATTGCCATTTACGACCCTGCCACGACTGACCCATTGCCTACAGTGGAGAGAAAACGTCATGCTTTTGACCAGCTAGGAACGATCGAGAAGCAATTTGCAGTTCTGCGGGATCGGTAGGTACTCCTTGGCAATCCGTGTTTGGTTCTTGAAATTCATGCTGACGTGCCTCTGCTACGCAGACTATACGAAGAGCGACTCGCGCAGCTCAACGAAGAGCAGGCATTATTGGAGGGCGACAACCCGACCCATCCCGAATACCTTGCGATGATGCAGTGCATCGACAGCCGCCGTGACGACAAAGTGAGAGTAACCGAAATAGAGTACCAGTACAATATGGACGCCCTGGATCGGTGGGCTGTAGCCCGTCGAGCCCAGATCTTGTCTCAATTTTACCAGAGCGTGCGGGAATCAAGAGAAAAAACGCTGGACGAGCTCGGGAAACAATGGTACGAGATACAACACGAGCGCAGGAAGAATGCCAATCCGATACCGGATTATGGGTTTCGATTTCCCAAGACGAAGGCGTTGCAGAAGAAGCAAGCAATTGCGCACAGCAAAGAGACTTCGATTCTGGCTGGTGTTGCCCAACACCATGGGTTCCCTGCTGCGCCTGAGATGAAGGCTGCATCGCGGGCCGAAATTGAGGACGACTTTGAAGCTATGCATGTGAGTCTTGGAAGCCTCAACTCGAAGCAGCGGAACGTGTACTGATACGGCTGGTAGCGAGCTCGGCACAGCGTTATGGGTTCCGCGCAGCAAGTACAGCCCACGCTTAATGAGTATGGAGCAGTGCCCTTTGGGCGGACCCTAGGACCGGCCGGGGAACAATTCTTGGAGCAGACACCGTGGGCCAACCCAAAGCACCCATCCCATGGCTCACGACGGCACTCGCATGGTGCTTATGCAGGCCCACCAGCGTTTTCGAACCAAACGAAAGCACTACATCAACAAGCCGGAGCTACCTGGTATGCAAATGGCCAAGTGAATGGAGATTCAGGGCATAAACATGCCCCGGGGGCAGATCCAGAAACAGGGCATGCGCGAAAGGTGGCTGAAGCCCGCCACATCTGAGCGTGCGACGGTTCCCATTTGCATGTGTCGGGCGGGCTCGGTTGCGGCCTCGGGTTGTTTTTTGGAGTTGCGATACCCCTGGGGATGAAGGTGTTCTTTTCTGGCTTGTACCAAGAATTACGTCTGGTGTCTTTCTCTGCGCGGCGTACGCCAGTCCAGTCTGGGCGACTATTGATTGATTTTCATAGCCCTCAGAGCCATATATGGCAACAGGAGCATTCTACTGGGAGGAGTTGTCTGGGGCTTTTATGATTCGCAGCTATGAGCTAATTTTCGCGACGGCTTTGTCGGTCTATTCTATTTCCCATCTGCCGTATGGAGCTTCGTCCTGGCAATTGCCCCAGGTTTGAGCCTTTTTGTTGCTGTCGATAGAGTATTGTAACTATACAAGCATGCGCCTACGACCAGCGCATATTGAGCCACGCCAAGCCAGGCCATCCCGTCTTCATAGGGGCACTCGTATGGTTCCAAGCAAAATACTCGTACGTAACATGCTCTATTCGCGCTGTTCGTGGTCATATTGCACAGCCAGGAGATACTCGGACGAGCAGCCGCTGCGTATGTCGTGCCGTTCCCAACGTTTAAGCAAATATATTCTTTCATTGTTTGGCTATCTCGGGTTTGCCTTGTTGTGCCTGGTGAACCGGAACATCTGGTACCTTGACGTCTTCGAACTCGTCCTGGCCGACGGCTTTTATCGTGTATGCGTCTGTTCAAGATCAGTCTTTGGCAACTCTGACGCAGTATTTGCTCGGAACCAATGGTCGACTTACAGACACCAGTGACAATTCCAGCCATGATCAGACCGGTCACAGCGTTCTTGACCAGATATGGGCGCCGCGCCCGCAGAAGGGCTGCGGACTGCGCATTGGCTCGGGTATAGTAGCTGGAGTGGTCGTACCTGTTTTGAGACTGGTCAGTCAGGTGGATATGGAACACTTGCTATGTGCATGATGTTTTTGGGTCTCACCCTGCCATGTTGAAGAGAAACTTTGGTCTTCTGCGTTGTTGGTGTTGGAGAGAAAAGAGGAAGAAACGGTCGGTCGCCTGATTCCGGTAGAATCAGATGCCTGACTCCGTGACCAGAAAGGTTGGATTATGTAAGCCAAGCAGTGATCTCATCTGTCTTCAAATGGCTGCTGGGCCGTGACAGGGGGGGGAGGTCCTCCCAAACAGGGGTAGCAGAGAGTAGCAGCTACTGCCGACGCGCTTAGGCTCGATTTTCTAGGCTGCGTCTGCTTTTCGACCACGCTCAATCGTCATCTCTCATCAACCAAACCAACCCAAGCCCGCAGCCTTTCTTTCTACATTGAAAGGAGGCACAACCGATCTACCGACCACCTGACAGCACACACGTCGATTCATAGTGACGGCACGCATCAACTTATGTTTTTCACTGGCGAAGCAAAGAATGCGACTAAAGATCACTGCGACACTAACGACGTCTTTCAACAAAGCGACACTCGCGCGTCACGGCAATTCTCTCCAACTTCGCTCCTTGGTCACTCGCTTTGGATGCACGTTGCAAACTGATGACTCCTGCTGCCTTTCGTTCTGCCTGCTCCTGCTCATCCCCCATCGTCGACCCTCTGGAGCCCTGCCTCATCCCAAATACAACACCTCCATCCTCGTAGAGTAAAAGCTGGGACGTCCCCTTTTTCCCACAGACAGATCTCCCATATCCCACGATTCAACTCGGCTTCTCTGCAAGTCCTTGTGTCTGGGCCCTCTTTGCTGCACAAAACTGTGCCCATTATGGCGGCCGGCGATGTGCAGTCTGTGAGCGAGCAGCTCAAGCAGCTGAACGAGGCTAAGAAGGCCGTCCTCAGCGACCCGCAGGCATATTACTCGCAGATCATGGTGGGCATCCTGCCGCTGGCCAGCCCAAACACCAACGTCGAGCTACGCAGATGGGCCACCAACTTCATCGCCGAAGCCTTTGCGACACCTGCCCTTCCCGGCCGCGATAAGGAAGGCATGAGCCTGCAAGTCGTGGGTCACCTGCGCGCCCTGCTGGAGAACCCCAAGGAGGACCCATATGTTCTGAAGAGCGCCATTCAGGCGGCGGCCAGCATCTACCCACATGCGATGCGATGGATGTACGTCTGATCTCCTCTCAGTGCTGTTGTTCCTAGTGGCTCATCGAGATTGGACATGGACGGGATCTTTTTACTACTGTTGTCTCTTGTTCTGTGCCCTTTCTTCGAGGTGCTATATCCACAGTTTTCCAAGCTGGCTTTGCTGACACAGTCTTTTCTAATTTCTTTTTCAAATTCTAGAATACACAATTCTTACGAACGAGGACCATGGGACGAGTTGATGGCCATCAAGCAGAGAATACTACGGATATGGGACGATGCTGCTTCTGTCTTGAAGGCCTGCTGTACAAAGTTTGCCCAGCGTGTGGTTCTCGCACAGACGACAGCTGTAAATATGGACAAGGTAAGACTCTTTGTAGATTGTGGTGCCGTTCAGGACTGAGACATGGATACCAGCAGCGCAATGGCTTGGAGATCTCGTTGGGAATGGTCCCGGCAGACCACCCTTTTCTTGACATTAGACAACTTGAAGCGGAGGCTACCGGCCTCCTCGACAGGATGCTCAGTGTGCTTCAGGATAACAGCAGGTAAGATGCGGCAATCTTGATCGAACGCCACATCGAAATCTTACTGACACAGTTCTGCAGCGATGCTATTGTAGTAGATGGAACATTGAATTGTCTGTCTATCCTCATCCGCTCCAGGCCATCCACGTCCACCCGTGTACTCAATGCTGTCTTGGGCTTCAATCCGCTCAAGCTGGCAAATTCGCCAATGACTCCCCGAACGCGTGTGCTTGTCAAGTCTATGGAGAAGACGACGAGACAGCTATTGGTCCATCTTCTCAGACGGTATGTGCCTTTCTCCTCAGGTGCCGGGTGAAACGAGACTGACTGACTGACTGACTGACTGACAACCTGCAGAGATCCGCAGAACCCATGGGCACCTCGGATGCATGCTCACGTGGAGCGCCTCATGCGCTCACGGGCTGAGATCCTCGAAGGGGCCGGTAGCAAGCGGCACTTGGCTGAGCAACAATTGTACGGCGACGCCAAGCGGCAGAAGATGACGGAGCCTGTCCAGGCACAGATAGTCACACCGGCACATCCACCCAACAGTCTGGCCGCCCTCTTCGCCCTGCCTGGTACCCCGTCCCTACAAGCCATCGATGCAGCGAAGGTACCGGCGGCTATAGCGGCCAAGATTGTTGTGGCAACACTTTCGAGAATAGATCATCAGGCACTCGACAGGGCTGTCAAGGTCGTGAGCGAGCGTCTCGCGGTCAAGGCTACTGCACAGGCTCCAGTATTAAATCCAGATACTGCGCCTCTGGATGTTGAGGATGATGATGACTATGAACCAGATTACATGATGGCCGAAGATACGGAACAGATTCTGAACAAGTTGGACGGCACGCCGCGAGCCGAGCAGCAGCAGCAGGTGGATGCTGCATCATTAGCCTTGGGCCCATTCAAACTGCCACCGCCACCGATACTTACCCCTGAGGCTGCAGCATCAGCCGGCCAGGTGACGGTAGCTCGGGTCCTCGAAATGGTCAAAGGGCTGGAAGACCCGCCTGCGAAGAAGACCAGGGCAGGCATCAACCGGCTTGCAGCGAACTCGTATGACAGGGAGTCGATGCTGACGTTCATCGTCCGCCTTGGCACACGCTCAGGCGCTGGCCTTGAAGGGACTGACATTAAAGCGGAGGACAGCAATGCTATAGTGCCTCGCAACGCACTGAACGGTAACGCCATCCGTGAACGGTTGTATGCTTACGTGCTGGAGGACTTTCGCAAGCGCATCGACGTTGCGGTCGCATGGCTCTGCGAGGAGTGGTACAATGATAATCTGGCAAGACAGCAGAGGTCGGACGCGCCGCTGCACTACGTCAAATGGGCCAGCAAACTCGTCGAGGGCTTCTTCCCCTATCTGAATCCCTCGGACAAGGTGCTCATGCGGTTCCTGGGCGAGATACCGGAGCTCAACACGGCAATCCTAACCAAGGTGACACACCTGTGCGCGGATCCGGCGATGGTTCAACTGGCGCTTACGACTTTGCTTTACCTCGTCATGATGAAGCCGCCGGTGAGGGATATGGCGTTGAACACGGTTCAGGACATCTGGATTGAGTGTAAGTACTCCCTTGAAATATGTAGTTCCATGCAAAGAAGAACGTGTGGCTGATCCGATTCGCTAGATGAGGATGCCCGCCCCATGGCGGCAAAATATCTCACGAAGTGGCGTCCGGGCTTCCTCGAGTCGCAGACTGCAGGCGGGGAGGGCAACGATACGGCTGCTCTTCCACCAGCTGTTGCCACCTGAGCTGCCTTGGTTCATATCAAAAGATTCCAGATGTCGTCCCCACGAACACTTTGAAATTATTCGTTTGGCAGACACACAGCCAGTGTATAAGCAAAGCGGATCCTTATCAGGTTAGGGAGGGAGCGTCAAAGCATAGCACGGGTTCATCACTGAAGGAGGGGAAAACGGGTTTCAACTGTTGTGGGCTAGTTTGGCAGGTTGCTTGTTCATCATTGAGCTTGTGAGGGCAATTTACACCCTTCAGCAGGACATCATTGCACTTGGGTCAATATTCATATACATATATACTATTGAGTCACAAAAAAGATAGCAAGGCCAATTGGCAGTCTATCCATCTATATTATGAATAAAGCCGGATATCCTTGCCGTTTCGAGAACCAGAGAGCCAGGAAACATCATTCAGTCACCAAATATAGTAATGTCCGGTTGATAATTATTTACCTAGCCCCGTGTTGAAGGAGTGACTGTCTATATACTATCCCCAAGGCCTTTGTGTTTTGCTGCCTGTAAAAACCATGCTGGCCAAAGTTCGTACTATGAACCAAGAAAGAAAAGAAAAAACAGGTCCCTGGCCAATCTCCGAATAGGCCAGTCCCAGTGCTCTTCTCCCCTTCCCTCCCCCCTCCTTTCCCCTCCCTCAACCTTTCATTGTCATCGCTGACGCTCAAGAGCAGATGGTCTGATACGAGCCCAGGCCCGCAGACGTGGCATCGTAACACTCCCCAGCAGCAACAGGGATCGCCTCCGTCGCACACTCAGCGTCGGAGTAGACATAGACTGTATTATCAAGAAAAATTTTGATTAGTTCAAAAGACGTTTTCGTTAGAAAGAAAAGAAAAAACAAACGATGAATGTAAGGGTTGGAAAAGAATATGAATGGATGTTTGCACCTCCCAGGGAAGAAGGAAACAGAGAAGAGAAGGGGAGGAGGGGGCGGGGGGGGGGGAGCAGTTTTGGCTTACAGGAGCAGCCGGAGAGTGTGATATCCAGGACAAGGACGGACTCGACGTCCAGCTCGGTCGAGAATGGGAAGCAGGTGCTGGCGTCAGACTGCTCGTACGTATAGACGCCCTGGTTGTCTGCGGAGCATCCGGCCGCGCCGTAGGAGCGGAAGTCGATCATGTGCGGGTCGGATTGCCGGCGGGTGATGCTGGCGGCCGAGGTGGTGGCGGCGAGGGCGAGGATGGCGGTGATGAACTGCATTTTGAGAATTTTTTGGTTCCTGGAGGGGAAGTTGGTGGAGTATTGAAGGTTTGTATGTTTGTAGAGAGAGAGTGTGTGTGTGTATGTATGAATTGAGCTTGGTGATGATCTGCCAGACTCAAAACATCCGAGAAAACGGAAGCAGCCAATCTACTTATGTACTTTTCCCACCCTTTCAATATGGCATGCTTATTCTCCAGACTATCAAGCCTCCCTCTCTCAAGACCATCCTTCTCAACACAGGCGGTGTCCATCTTCAGGATTGGATACGAGAACCAACCCTTCCTTCCCGCCTTGCCACTTTGCGGTCCTCCTGGTGAGTTGGCAAAGAACCGCTGACTGCAGAACTCGTTCGTTCCGCCACGTTCATTGAACGTCCCCCAGGGCCGTTCTGTGGCCCCTGTCCCCCGTCACGAGATCTACATTCAACCTCACCTTCTTGTTGCCTATCTGGGATACGATAGATGATTCAGCGTCACCGGCTCGGGACGGCTGGCTGGCTGCTAGAATTTCGTGTCAGCCTCAGCTAGTAGTAAGGCGCTTCCAGGGAATCGATCCTACCGCAGTGCAGTGCAATGTTACATGCCGACTTTGCTCTGGTCTTGACGTCGTTCGCTCTTGATGTCCTGAAAGGAAGTACAGACGTCGTGTATGCACGGTGAAGGAAATGTTGTGTAAATGCAGAGAGGCACGGTAGTAATGAGTCCGAGTCTGAGACCCACACCTCGGACTTGCGCACGCTTCTGCCAATAAGGATATCCTCCTTGTGTGTTCAGGTCTTATTTGCCCTCTAGACTTGTTCTTTGTTCCAGATTGCCTGGCGTCGTGGGATATAAGAGCGGCAGAAAAATGTTCATACGCTGGCGTCTATCTGCAAGAGAGGATCAGCGGTTACACTATAGGCATCCTCACCGTAATGCTTGGCAGAACGAAGCAATGCCGAAGCTGAGAAGCTGCCTACAGTCCAATCCATACAAGGTGGAGCAATGATTAGATCGGAGGATTTTGCTAACCGCCACTCCTAATGCTTATTTTCCGCGGCAGTTTGAAAAAAAACCGGGGAAACGATCCATCGTGAATAAGCATGCCCATCGAGCCGAAATGCCTCTGAAGGGCCCATGCTTCCGCTGACGAATTGTCTGGAGCTGTTGCACTGCATTCGTATAGACAAGAAGTGCGCAAAACAACATACGGCTGGATTGATATGCTGTTCATTGTCGATCTCCCGCCCCACTCTGCTTTTCTCCTTTCCTGCTGAGTCTGCAAGATCCCCTTTGGGCCTTGGGTTAAGATTTTAAGGGAAGCAGGATCAAGGGCATCGTTGTGGTTTCATGCCTTGGAGACTTGGGTCACCGCCTATCACGGCGCAAAGTTCCATCGTTGTAGCAAGGTAACTTGATACGGTCATGATGTTTGGCGAAGCAATCTCTGTGGTGATCAGTCAGATCAGACCACTTGTTGATGAGGAGAACTGATCATTTTCCAATAACGACGGACAGATGACTTGGGCTACTAGCCTAGCGCCGAGCCTATAGACTCGTCTCCCAGGTCTTATGTCAGCAATACGAGACAGATACTGTCAAGACAAGCAGGCAGGTGGATGGAGGAGGAGACCTCTGGCCCGAGTGGCGACTAGCAAAAGAGCGCTGGCGTTGGGGGCCGCTATTGCTTCGCGTCCAGTTTGCCCTCGACCTCCCGTGCCCACCACTCAGCCCAGTCCACAACCTTCTTCCCCCTCTTGGCCTCCTCGGCACAAAAGACCATGGCATGGCTCCTGATGACCTCGTCCAACGTGCAGCGTATGATCTCCTTCTGCGCCCTGTCGCTCGTCCAGCCTTCGTCGCGCTTGTTCTTGACCACATCGATAGCCTCCACGAACTGTCTCGCCAGACCCAGATCACCGCCGCCGTGGCCCATGCTCTCCATGCGCGGTGTGTGCGTGGTTGTCTTGCCGGTATTGAAGTCCTCCACCGTGATGGTGTATGAGTCTGCGTAGATCTCCCCGTTGACGCCATATATACGCGTGAACCGCTCGCATTGCCGCTTGGTCTGGGCCACCATGTGGAAGGTCGCCTGCTTTGCGCCTCGACCGCCCAGACTGTCCGACAGGGGACCAGCTCCGTCGCCGCCCTCTGATGACGACGGGAGAACATCGTCATCCCAGGTGATGGTCACCACCTGCTCGTCTGCCACGTCGTTGTCACTCTCGTAGACGCACCGACCAAACCAGTTGCGCTTCGCAATCTCCGAGTCCGGCATCTCTGGGCCGTAATCCTCAGCCAGCTTCGCCATGAGAGCCCTTCGGCCCTCTTCACCAGCCCCGAGATCCTCAATCTCGGGGACCACGATGCTCACAGGCCAGCCAACGGTGCCTGCTCCCAACCCCATGAAGGGCTTGTCGCCGGTATAGATGCGCTTTGCCGAGTACTTGCACGTCTCCTCGACCGGACACTGTAGACAGTTGGTCACTGTTCCTGCGCCGACAGGCTTCCTGCTCTTCTTGAAGTACTGCAGCCGCCCACTGCTTGATACCGTGGACGGGAGATGCGGCACGGCCTTCTGCCCGCCATCCTCATATCTCGCCGGCGAGCACAGGAACCACAGCAGGACATCCACATCGTGACAGCTCTTGGTCAACAGGCTCGGGGCCGTGGTGTCCTCCCTCCTCCAGTTGCCCCTCACGTAGCTGTGGGTAAAGTGCCACCAGCCGACGGGCTCGGTATGCACGACGGAGAGTACGTCGCCGATGACCTTCTCCTCAAGCAGCAGCCTGCGCAGCTCGACATTGTGCGGGCTGTACCGCAGCACGTGTCCGATGGAGAAAACGCAGGGTTCGCCCCCGGCACCGGTGTTGTCCCGCAGGGCCCGGTACATCTCCACGCAGTCGCTCAGCGTGGTGGCCAGCGGCTTCTCACACATGATGTGCAGGCCGCCCAGCGCGGCAAGCGCCACCACCACCTCGCGGTGCATCTCGTCCAGCACACAGACGAATACACCGTCCACGCCCCGGGGAACGCCCTTGGCGCCTGGTACGGCGGCGCGGCGGCGGCGCTCTTTCTCGTAGGTGATGAACTCTGTCCATGAGGTGAACGACTCACCCTCGGCGGGGGCCTTGTCGCCGCGAGGGCCCCAGACATAGTTGCGACCGAACTGGGCGCGCTTGAAGGCATGGGGCTCAGCAACGGCAGCAATGGTGCCGTTGGTGGCGGTGTGCACGCCGTGGGCATAGGCCTGGCCACGGGAGCCGGCGCCGATGACCAGGAGGCGAGGCGGGTCAGCGGATGGAGGGGGCCGACTGGGCATGGTGAGTTGGATGTCCTTGTCCGTCGAGACGACGGGACCTGGCTCGGCAAGAAGCCTGGCCGGAGGTGAGTCCTCTGCGCGACCCATGATGAGAAGGCGGGTTGATGTCTTATCCAGGTGGGAGAATATGGCAGTTGAGACAAGAATAATGGCGACTCTGGCAGAGAGATACAGACAGAGAGGCAGAATCTGTGGTCGTCATGTATTCAGAAGGCTGTGAGGAGGAAGAGGAGGGAGAAGGAGAGGCAAGAGAGGGGTCAGCCTCAAGCAGAGAGAGAGAGAGAGGCACAAGAAGTAGGTTGAAAGATGGAAGTCATTCCTGTTGTACTGAACAAGTCCCAGAAGGAGCGTCCCACAGCGGATAGTGACTTAATTACTACATACCACATACTATGGTGGTTAGTCGTGGTAGTACATAGCTGGCTAGTAATAGTAGTAGTAGTAGTAGCAGTAGCAGTCCCAACGGGCTGTAACTTTACACCGGCTAGAAGAAGATAAGGGGATCGATCACCGGCAGGGGAAGCCGACAGGCCCATTGTAGCGGATCTGCACCGTCTAAGAAACCCCCCAACACCCCGCACCCCGCTGTTCTACAGGCGCCATCTCACTAATTCGAGCCTGCTCATTCGTCTTCTCACTGTTTGGCTATCGTGGATGGTGGCGCCATGGAGAAATGTGTAAACGGATTTTGTGATCCACACACCACAACACGACTCCCTTTTCGTCGATAGATGGCTGCAACCATAGGGACAAGGACAACAAGACTTATTGGATCCATCCAGCGGGGCACAAACCATCCGTCCTTCACAAGGCTCGGGAAGTCATCATCATATACAACGTTACTTTGCCAAAACAAGCCTCTTCCCTGTCGGTTGAAAACGCCCCCTTACCGGCAGTCTCTGATACGCACCTGCTCGACAACAACCACCGGTTGTCCTTCCGTCCTCTCTGACCGGAAAACGACCATGGCTTCTCAGGATGATGCTGCCCCGTTGGTCTGGATCGACTGTGAGGTAAAGAGAAGAGAAGAGGAGAGAAAAAAAAAAAAAGAACAATTATCACATCATGGAGAAAGATCTGTTAACCCGCTGATGTAGATGACTGGTCTGGACCCGGACAAGGAGGAGATCATCGAGATCTTTTGCCTCATCACCAACGGCAATTTGGACCTCCTCGACGCAGAAGGATGGGGCACCGTGGTTCACCAGCCCAGGGCCCGCATGGACCAGATGGACGAGTGGTGCACTCGAACCCACGGCGAGAGCGGCCTCACGGCGGCCGTCATCACCTCCGAGGTGACACCGGAGCAGGCTGCCGACGAGCTCTTGTCCTATATCAAGAAGTACGTTCCGGACCGCCGCGTTGCGCTGCTCGCTGGCAACTCGGTCCACGCCGACAGGACGTTTCTCGCAAAAGGACCGTATCGCAGGGTCGTCGAGCACCTGCACTACCGCATCCTGGACGTGAGCTCCATCAAGGAGGCAGCAAGGCGGTGGTGTCCTCAGGTCGCCGCGAGGGTGCCACAGAAGAAGACGCTGCACAAGGCGAGGGATGACATCCTGGAGAGCATCGAGGAGGCGAGGTACTACAAGGAGGCCATCTTCCAGGCCAGTGCGCGTGGACAGGACGGCGCATGAGCCTGACGACAGTCCTGATCATCTTCCGCGTCTGTTGTTTGGCACCTCGGTCGGCATCTGAGCCTACCTACGTACTTTGCCTACAGGCTGATTCGTACTTGCGTGGCGAAGAGGCGGACGCCCAGGTTTCAATCAACAACAGTCACGATGCTGGCCTCACTGTCGTCCATGTCCGATCCAAGGAGTTCGTTCACTGTATCGTCAATGCTGAAGAACCTGCATTCCTCTGTCCGACCACGACAATGGTTCCATTATCACGAGAGAAGCAAGATTGAATCCACTGCACTTGTGGGAAAAGGCACCTGCCACGCTACAGCAGCCGCGGTAGGACAACAGAGCGTGGGGGTCACTACGAAACCAAAGCCGATCTTAAAGCACGCTGCTCTCGTCTGTCTTTCATGTTGTCATGCATGAGCATCAGGCCGCTCTGAAAGGGCGGAGGGAGGCATAAGAACGTGACGTTTGATACACCCGGTGTCCACGTACAGAACAGGGATTAAACGCAAAGTTTTTATACGAGATGGTTCTCGAAATGCCCTCATATGAATTTACCTTTACCAGAGTTTGGTGGCGAGCTCATGGTAGAGCTTCTATCTGGACAATTGGTATGACCTGAGTGGATCGCCTCAACTCTCGCTTTGCATTTGGGTGGTGATGTGCAGATAGTGGAAATGTTGAGACCCTTAGCTACTTAGTATGGTTTGCCACCATTGCGAGCATTTAAGCTCCCACCCCTGTCCGATGACGACCCCACCAGAGACGTAGTGACCCCACCTGCCCCCCTCTGGAGTGGCGTCCGTCCATTAAGTGCTTGAGCTCTTGATGAATTGGCAGAGCGCCTGCTGTGGCATTTATTTATATTGCAAAACCTCCTCCCAAACACAACTCCTCGAAACTCTCTCTCCTAGTGACAGATTTCCTCTGGTTTCCTGCCCCAATTCTTTATTTCCACCACTCATAATACTGCCAACATGGCCAAGGAAGTTCAATTCGAGTCCTTCCAGGACCAGAAGCCTGGAACGTAAGTCACGATAGCTTCACCCCACCCCGCAGTCCTTCCCCCCTTTTCTGGCTGGTGCTGCCCAATCCTCAACAACGCCAGCTCGGCCAGACAGCTTCGTCGCTGACACTCCCCTCCAGTTCAGGTCTTCGAAAGAAGGTGACTGTCTTCCAGAAGCCTCACTACAGCGAATCTTTCGTCACCAGCATCCTCCTGTCCATTCCTGAGGGTGTAGAGGGTCAGTCGTCATCTACCTCCCCCTGCATCGCACGCACGCACAAGGCAAGCTGAAGTATACTGAATTGACAATCTAGGATCATTCCTTGTCATTGGTGGTGATGGCCGCTTCTGGAATCCCGAGGTCATTCAGTTGATCGCCAAAATTGGTGCCGCGTATGGTGTCAAGAAGCTCCTCATCGGCCAGAACGGCATCCTATCCACACCTGCCGCCAGCCACGTCATCCGCAAGAGAAAGGCCACTGGTGGTATCCTTCTCACTGCCAGCCACAACCCTGGTGGTAAGTTCCTCTTCCAATGTCACTATCAACAGCGAGAAAACCAACTCGACATACTGATTGTATTGGACGCCAGGCCCTACGAACGACTTCGGTATCAAGTACAACCTCGCCAACGGTGGCCCGGCCCCTGAGTCCGTCACCAACAAGATCTACGAGACCTCCAAGACCCTCACCTCCTATAAGATCGAAGACATTCCCGAAGTCGACATCTCGACTATCGGCACCAAGACCTACGGGTCTCTCGAGGTCGAGATCATCGACAGCGTTGCCGACTATACCCAGATGCTGAAGGACATCTTTGACTTCCCTCTGATCAAGAAATTCTTCACCGAGCACCCCGACTTCAAGGTCCTCTTCGATGGCCTTCACGGTGTCACTGGTCCTTATGGCAAGGCTATCTTCGAGGAGGAGCTGGGCCTGGCCGGCTCCACCCAGAACTGCGTGCCCTCGCCCGACTTCAACGGCGGTCACCCTGACCCCAACCTCGTCTACGCCCACAGCCTCGTCGAGGTTGTCGAGAAGAACAAGATTCCCTTTGGCGCGGCTTCCGATGGTGATGGAGACCGGAACATGATCTACGGCGCTGGCGCCTTTGTCTCCCCTGGTGACAGCTTGGCCATCATCGCCCACTATGCCGACCTCATCCCCTACTTCAAGAAGCAGGGCGTCTACGGCCTGGCTCGCTCCATGCCCACCTCCGGGGCTGTCGACCTTGTCGCCAAGAAGCAGGGAAAGAACTGCTACGAGGTGCCCACCGGCTGGAAGTTCTTCTGCGCCCTCTTCGATGCTGACAAGCTGTCCATCTGCGGCGAGGAGTCTTTCGGAACGGGCTCCAACCATGTCCGCGAGAAGGACGGCCTGTGGGCTGTCGTTGCCTGGCTCAATATCATTGCTGGGCTCGGCGTTGCCAACCCTGGTGCCACCCCCAGCATCAAGCAGATCCAGAAGGATTTCTGGACCGAGTATGGCCGCACCTTCTTCACGCGCTACGACTACGAGAACGTCGACTCCGATGGCGCCAACAAGGTTGTCGGCGTGCTCAAGGACCTTGTTGCCGACAAGAGCTTCGTCGGCAGCAAGATCGAGGGTCGCACCGTCACTGACGCCGGCAACTTCTCCTACACCGACCTCGACGGTTCGGTCTCTTCCAACCAGGGCCTGTACGCCAAGTTCGACTCCGGCAGCCGCATTGTCGTGCGCCTGTCCGGCACCGGCTCTTCTGGTGCTACCATTCGTCTGTACATCGAGCAGCACACGTCCGATTCTTCCAAGTACGACCTCGACGCGCAGGACTTCCTCAAGCCTGAGATCAAGTTTGCGACCGACCTCCTCAAGTTCAAGGAGTTTGTTGGCCGTGATGAGCCCGATGTCAAGACATAAGTTGGGCCTGGCTGGTATACGCGTGGTGGTATAGAGCGCTGAACACTGCAGACCGATGCACCTGTTCCTCTTTTCTCTTTTTTTTTCCCATGATATTACGAGCCCTGATACATTAAGTACAACAAAAAAAATATCCCGAATCAAAATCCCATGGGGTGTAATATTCAGCAACTTCTCCATGTGCACGTAAACGAGACTAGATTGATATGATTTCTTATTTGCATATTATTCAGACTTGACGCTGCGCTAACACTCGACATTCGTGATCGGCCAAGTATTACCAGAACTGCTGGATAATTCTGCCATGTAGAGGCCCCTTTCTCTTCGTAACGTGACGACGGTGTCGAGTTGTCTTCTTCATTACAGCCAGGGCGCGGGGGCATTTCCTCTTCTCCCAAAGACCGTGGCAAAAATCAGCAGCAGGAAGAGAAAGAAGGGAAAAAAAAAAAAAAAAAGCAGTGAATGATGAAGAGATTCAAGAAATAAGAAGAAAGAAGCAAAAGGGGTATCATTGTGCAATCTGCCCGCGATTTTCGCTCCCAGTAATCAATCTCTCCTTGTCCGCTGCCATAAAAGTTCAACCAAGCTTGTGGTGGTACAATTTTATATTTTCCTTCGTGTTGCGTTGTCATCGTGCCTCATCATGGGTTAAGTCGTAAGTTTCGTGAAGTGTGTGTCAAAGTGGAGTTCGTAGTCAAAAAACAAAAAGGAAGAAAAGAGGGGGCATGGCGGCCGGTCGGAAGACTGTGCTGTGTTTGGGGGGGGGGGGGGGTTGGTAAAACATTAAGAAATAGCAGATGTTCGTGTATCAGAGAACTGAACAAAAGAAGTCGTTTGAGTGGGCGATGTACAGGGCTAGCGGTGTATAGTAGCGGCTGCACTCTTCCCTTCTCACGGTAGAAGGACCGTGAAGAGTTGTTGGACGCTGTAGTCTTCGGCGGCGTTATGTATACGAAGGGCCGGCGATGCCGTCATCTTCGACCTCGAATGCATGCCCCGGGCCGGCGATGGACGGATTGAAGAGTTGTCCAAACTCGTCGGCAGCTGTGCGTGATGCTGTCGTATCAGCAGCTATTTTATCTCCCTTGGCTGACAGGCTGGCTGCCCGCCCCGAGTATATACAGGTTATAAGGAGAGGGGGACGTACCATGCTTGCTGAGGAAGTAGATCTCAAACGCGCCGAGCCTGTTTCTTCGCATCCTCGACTCTCGATACTTCTGGCAAAAGACGTAGAGCTGGATGTCCCTGACGTGGAAGATGTGGTCTGAGATGCGAACCAGCCACCTAGGGGATGCGGAGATGTGGGTGACTGAACACATGCACACACGGACCCCATCGTGTTAGTGAGTGTTATGGAACGGGACCTAGAAGAAGCAAAATGGAAACGAAAAAGGCCGTGAGGGGGTCGGACAAAGTACAAGACTCACCAAAGGCAGTCCACACCGGACACTTCCTCAGCTCGCCATTCCATACGGCGGCCTGCAGTCGGATCCCTCCGCTCCGCTCCTCCTTGTATACGCAGAGGCTGTGTCTATAGTCGTCGTCGACGATCTGACTATGAAGCGTGTGAAGACGTGTCAATCTTGAGCAATACAATCGAGATATAACAACATCTAGGACGCCCTAGGGAAGGGGGGGGGGGGTAGGTGAGGAGGGACTCACGCTTGGAATTGCAACGTTTCGCCCTTTAGGCTGAACTCTGGTTGGCCCATGGTCGGGGCGAGAGGGTTCCGGCACTTCAGAGCGGTGAAGGTGCAGTAGAAGAGGACGAGTTCTGTGCCCCAGGTTAGCCATGGTGTTAAGGGGACAGAAAAGGGAGGGGGGGGGGAGATATGGCTCACCCTCCCAAGTGACGAAACTCAGCACCGCCCAGCTCTTCCACGCCGACATCGACCGGCTCCACCTCTTCAAGACCAGAGAATTCCCGTCCCGCTGGATCCGGACCTGGTCATGGCCCTTCCACGTGAAATACTGGGCGCCTCCGCTGTACACCCGGATCTCGATGTACGGGATGTCCTCCATGTCGAGCAGGAACTTGACACACATCCTGTCAGAGTCGAAAGACCGCCGCATGAGCGTCTTGCGCGCCTTGGGCCGGCTCGGGTCCCAGGCGGGCAAGACCGGCTGGAACACGCGCGACTTCTCGGGCCCGGGGATGTCGGTGCGCGAGCTGAGCGGGAGCACAAAGACCTGCTCGCACCAGTGAACCCTCTCGTGCGGCAGCGGGATGACGATGGCGGTGTCGTGAACTTGGCGGCCGACGAGCTGGTCCGAGGTGGCAGCCGCGGCGGCGGCAGCAGTGGTCGGTGTCTGCACCGGGTCGGGGATGCCGCGGAGCTCGCGCAGCTCGAGGATCTTGTGCCGCAGCATCTCGAGCTGGCCCTGGTCAAAATGCTTATCACGAATGAGCAGGGAGTGGAGCAACCGCAGGAATTGGTTGTACAGGATGAAGCGCTGCGGCAAAGGGATGCCGCGAACCTCCTTCATCATGTCATGGTACATCTTTCGCCACCGCATCTCGCGGGAGATGGTCTTGTCGTCGTAGTGCGTGGTGATGTCCCGCAGGGTCTTGGACATGCACGGGAGCAGGACGTTCAGGTGGTTCGACACGATGGGCGCGCGGGACTTGTGTGTGCCGCTCTGGCTGGCCAGCTCCCGGAGGAGCTGGGAGGATCCTCGGATCTCCTCGGTCAAGGCAATCATGTGGCCGTGAAAGGACCTATCGAGGGCGGCTCGGAGCCCATCAAGACCTAAGAAGTTGTAAGTCCTACTGCAGTCCAAAGATGAAGTAGTCAACCTAGCGCACCCATTGCTACCCTATCAGCCCTCTCTGCCTCGAGCCAGCAGCCATGGAAGAGGTGGCTCTGATGAGGCATTGTTGCCACGGCGATGTCGTAAAACCGGTCCATCTTGAAGCTGCACAGAAGCAATGACCTATCTCGACCGATACGCGTCTTTAGACGATCATGTACATCCACAATAGGCGGCGGTGATGGGGTTTCGCAAATCGATTTCGTAATGTCCGTAGTTCAGAGATGCATCTAATCAAGCCTTCGTTTGGCTGACATGATGATGATGATAATGATGAGGGTGATTCGTTGATGACCGACAGTCAGTATGATGCAGACCTCTTGTCACTGATTTTCCTCTGCAAAGAGACTTGAGTATGCCCTTCAGTGTGACTGCGCTGATTTGGTGCCACTAAATATTTTCCCCTCTCTTTTTTGATCTTTTGAAGAACGAGGGATTCGCACGTTTTGTTTTGAGAGGCTTTGCAAGTTGTCCTTCGGAGTCCAAATAAGGTTTCAAAAAAAAAAAGAGTGTGTCCCTGGAGAATACCTGGAGAAGACCGAACGCAGGTCTGAACTGTCACAACCTGAAGAGATGCAAAGCTGCCCGGCGCTCCGCACCGACATGCATAACGCGGCAGAGGGACGAAATCGACGACGGCATGGGCTAATAAGCACCATAAACTGTCCAACGCGACCACCGAATAGAAACGAGGGGTCACCTCCCGCAGCGTGACATCCACCACACCATGCACATCCGGCGATCGTGGGTTGGCCGGAGACCACTTGCTTTGCGGCTCTGCGCTGCCTCTGACGTGTCAATCAGCCGACGAAGAGGTGCTTCCTGCAAGTGGTTCCCACCCCCGTCTCTACTCTCCCGCTTGTATCAGTAAGACGCGAGACCAGGTGTGGCAGTTATCTCCACCAAGTAAGTTCGGGGATGGCCTCAAATTTGTCAACCATTCTGCCAAATCAGGGTCTTTGCCTGCGGAGACGTCGTGAGATATCACCTCTCCCGTGTTCCCGCTAAGTAGCAGACCACCCGGGATCGATCGATGGAGGGCTGACGGTCGTGCAGGATAGCCAAGGCAAGGCAAGACAAAGTCAGCACCGCCAAGACAAAACCTGGCTTTTGCCAGATGCAATCTGATACCAGTATTGCAGGAGGAAAAAAATTAGACACGCTGTTTCTGATGATGAAGCAGCAATAGAAGCAAGAGACGAAGAGACGGAGGGAGAGCGAGAGACAAGAGAGAGAAAGACGAAATGGAACGAGCCATTGAGAGGCCATCAATGAGAGCGCACTTGCAGATCCTCACACTTACCCCGGGCTGCCACGAAGTTCGAGCCAACAGAACCCACCAGTGGAGAGGGGGCAAGGGGTGAGGTGGACGAGAAAACTTTGTGTGTCGTCTGTCGGCCTTTGCTGCCCCATCAGACATGGAAGCGCCGTCTATCGTGCATTCTCCTAATGCAAGTACGCTTCGCACTGGGCGAATTGAGAACAAGGTCGGTGGCTGGGTCGCATCAACCCGCAGCAAATGAACCGGATCTTGGAATCGAATGCGGAGAGGTCTGACCGAGGCGGCGGATTGGTAGAAATTCGAAGGCTGCATTGAGCGTGACGATTCAATTGTCTCTCTTTCTCTCTGCATGAACCGAGATATCTCGCATGACACTGTGATAAGAATTTCGTAAGTTGACTCATGAGACCCCAAAGCTGAAATACATGGTCTCCTGTAGACCGATCTCGACTTGCTCGTGAGAATGACAGCAGCGAGGGTTGTTCTTGTCCCCTCCTATCTGACTTTCTTTTTGCAGCTCGCGATGATCCATGTCTTGTGTAACGTTTCTCATCAGAACGCCGACGAGTCTCAATGTCTCTGACTGACGAGGAAAACCCAGTGAAGATTGTATGACCAGAGACCCGCGATCGGAGGGCACGTTGCGTAGCAGCCGAAGGAGGCTGGCTCGTACCCAAGAAAACTCATTTTAGCTCAACCTGTCGCAATGGCCACCTGCAAAGTATAGTGGTCCGTTTGATGTATGGGATGTGGTAGACTCGGCTCATCCAATTGGCTTCACTCTTGTTTATTCTGGCTTCACAATAGAAATCCAAGTCGTGTGTGGATGCAGGGAAATGAGCGTGATGGGTTTGGGTGAGAGAGGACGAGTGCGAGAAACCTCAAAAGACTGCTGTGCTTGGGTTGCACAGGTGTCATGGCGGGCCACGAAACCCTTCCCCCCCCCTCTTTTCAAAAACATTCCCTCAACTGAAAAGAGGCAGGCGAAAACTTTTTTGGACTTCGCAAGGCCCAAGGCAGAGAGGATGGAGGAAGGGGGGTCTTGACGCGCTTAAATAGATTAAGGCTGATCCAAGGATACTGCAAGCATCAGCCTCGTTTTTTGGGCCGCTCCTACCTTCCCCATTGCTTACTATGGGTGTGCATACCTGAGGCAGCCTCATGGAACAGGAACTTGACTGCCTTAGTGCCTTGGGCTGGAAGACCTTACCGCCCAACTCACAATGTCATCTAAGTGCACTTACGACTGTAGCTACAAAAAATGAATGGCATGGAAAAGATCGAAACGTCTTCAAGGAAGGCTCATAGTTCGTTGTGCTACTATACATTTGGCCAGGTGCGTGATTTCGCCCCAGCCTGGCCCCATTGGTTCATCAGAGCAAATCAATATCCTTCCCTACCAGCCGCAAACACCGTACCGACTACCAAAGAGAAAGAAAATGTAGATGAAGAAAGTGTCGCAAACGCAACATCAACCTTACTCAGACTCCTCAGCCTAGACGAATTGAACTCGTTAGCTCTACAGCAACGGATCAGTGTGTGAAGAAAAAAAGAGAAAGTTTTATTTTGGGGGAGGGGGAATTGCTTACGTTGTAGGCAGCCTTCTCATCTTCATATCTCTTCTTATCAGCGGCAGCCTTGGCCTCGTAGGGGGCGCGCTGCTTGTCGTTGAGAGCCTTCCAGCGCTCACCCAGAATGCGACCGACCTCGCCTAGGGGAACAAGTCAGTATGGAGCACAGTGCGAGAGATATCGCCAAACGGAGACCTACCGAACTTGATGCCGGGGTTCTCCTCGCGAACGTTCTCACGCTGCTCATTGGCAAAGAACATGTAGGCGGAGAGACCGCGCTTGGGAGCGTTGGGATCTATGAAGTCTATTAGCATGAGTCTGTCCAGCGGGAGTGGCATTGTGTTGTTGCCAAAAAGGATGCACATACCCTTCTTGCCCTTGCGACCCTTCTCGACCTTACCACCCTTCTTAGCTGCGGCCTTAGGCATGTTGACGGAGCTGGTGCAGGCGAATGTTAGTGTCAGGTCATTATGATGGGAATGATGCACCGATAGAATTATGACAGTAATGTTGTATCAAGGTAGGATAATTGAAGGGTGACGTGGGTTTAATGATGTGAAGTGGGTGGGGCCATGTTGGGGTTTGAAGTGTTTGTGGTGACTGTTCTCCGTTTGTCTTGTTGTGTTGGGCGCCATGTGCAACCGACAGACTGGTCAGGCTAAAGCGTCCGCGCAGCTCGACCCGGCCCACGAGAAGCTTGGGAACGAGCTCACAGACGACGCGACCGCGTCTTTAGCGGGCGGGTGGGTGCCAAGCTGAGCAGCACAAGCGAGCAGTCGCAAATGCAATTGAAGCCGGATCGGTGTTGTAAAATGCAAATTGAAGGGCCAGGTAGCTGGAGAGGAGTAGGATACATACTTTTTAGACTATTGAGAGGATTTTTGAAGACGTTGTGGTGCGTGACTGCGATGGGCGCATATAGTCAGTATGGAGCGCGTCCTCTTCAATTTGTATGTGAGGATGACGGGGGTAAGTGTTTTTGGTGGTGTTGCTGGGCGGGCTGGGAGAAGGTGTTGATGCTGGCGCACCACGATGCTGAGGTCACGATGCAAATCCAAAAACACAGCTTCTCGGTGCAGGAAGATGAGGGAAAAAGATCTGAATAAGATATTCAGACCTGGCGAGCGTGTTGCGAATGTTGCGAAATGTGCAGTGAAAGCCGAAAAGAAGTGACTTGTGATTTGGTGATGAAAACGCAGGCAAAAGATGTACTCACTGTGATTGAGACTGCGCGTATGTGTCTGCGGTGAGGTTTGGTGGGAGAGGTAGAAAGGAGAGGAGCGCAGGAAATTGTATGGGCACGCAACAGAGGGGAACGGCTTTTACCTTGTCTGCGGTTCCTTGGGCTGATCTGAGGGGAAAAGGCAGGCACGCACCCAGGGCACGCAGCAGGTAAGGGTAGGCAAGGTAGGGCCAGGTAGGCGGGGGGGGTGAGGGTGCACTGTCACTCTACCAGAATGCTAGGGCAGGGTTCCGTGGGGAAGGAAGACCGCAGCTGGCCAGTCACATCTCACTGTGGCCCAAGTCCACTGTCGCTCTAGCAGGCCCAGACACTGTTAGGGGGAAAGTGCCAATCCCTCCCCCAAAAGCAGCCGGCCAAGCTCACACATCGGATCCGTCTTGTCCTCATTCACCCATACAACCATGACCAGTGGGCTAGTACATAGTAGTATGGTACCATAGTAGTGATACAACAAAAATCTGTGTACCGTCTCCAAGTCCCAGCACCACCTTGCCACACACACACACAAGTACACACACATGTACACGCACGCCTACCGCCCCCCCTCTCACACGCCCTCGCTCTCCCACTGCCACCACCCGGTCACATCCTCCTTTGAGTGGCCTCATGTCTTCTACATCCTGATGCTGTCAAACTTATTCTCTTCAGTTCTGTTTTGTCTGGCTGATTGTTTGTTGAGTCACGGAATCATGTACGTACTATGTACCAGGCGCACTTCTCAAAAACCGCGTCACCCACCTCTCTCGCATCGTATTTGGGTGGAATACGGGGCAAGGGAAGGGAAGGGAAGGGAAGGAAATGGCAAGGGAATGGTAGGCAGGGGAGGGGGGCGGGCGTGTAGGCATGGAAACTGGTGTGCGCCAGCTCCGGAAAAGCATGTTCTGGAACTGATGGTGTGGGCATTCTTCCCTGTTGTGCTCAGGCGGTCTCAGAAAAATACCGGCGTAGGCAACCACCCGCAGTGGAATGTGGTATGGATGAACATCCAGGGCTCCATCTCCAACCCCCATCTCCTGCCTGCATGTCTCGTCTACCATATCTCCCCACGCGCCTACACCGGCGGCGGCAATGGAACCATGGACATGAGCATATACACCCGTGGCCTACCTGTAAGACCATCTTGTTGCCATGCGACACCTCCGCCCCCGGCATTTTCTGTGAGCGGTCGACTCTTTGCGACCAGATTCGCTGCTGTGTCGCCAAGGGGCCCAGACCAGGTATCCGGCCATCGTCTGTTAACGCCCGGGTTAGTACACCACGCAGGCGCTATCTAAGTGGTCCTGCTAAGGGCTCCTGCTCAGACATGCGCCAAGCGACACGGCATACAACTGCCCGCCCCCCTACGAGTCCAGTTCAATATCCGAAGGTCTCAATGAGGCAAGGGCTCGCACATCACTGTTCCGCAGAACAGTGACTAGCCGGTTGTCGATGATGATGAAATGTCTGTCCTTTTCTTTTTTCTTCCTTTCCTTCTCTCCTCACCAGGCTCACACTCAACCTGCACGGGCTAGGCCCGCAGTAGGAGGATCACAACAAACAAACACGGGCAATGACACCACCTGGGAAATTGGGTCGGCCCTTGATGCGTAAGCCTGTGCCTGTTCCTCCCACCCACAGGGGAACACCCAAACAAAAAAAGAGAAGAAAAAAAAGAGGCATGGATGGGGTCCATACTGGGGTATCATGTACACGCTTGCGTTCCCAAGATTGTATTTTTAAACAGTAGCTGAGCCTTGATCACGGCAATTCCTACTCAACACTCGCTGTGTGTGCAGCACACCATCTTCTATGATTAGAGAGAAGTCCTGGGTCTCATGCTCACCCAGCCCAGCCCCAGTGTGGGCAGTGGGCAGCGTGCGGGCAAGCAGTTCCCGGCGGGTACCCTCAGGTTAGTCGATTCTTGGTCTGGGTCATGCCTTTTACCACCGAATGTGATCCATCCCTCGTTTCAGGCCAGGTATTTTTTATGCAAATGTCTATGTACCGGTACATGCGCGAAATGCTGATCTGGCGAGCCCGCAACAGCTACAAAAACCGGGACTTCCCCACCCTACCTGTTTCCTCCCTTTCAACGCGTTGCCACCAAAGTTCGCGATTTTCGAGGTAGATGAGTGAATGAATGATTTGACTGATTGCCGCAATCGACCTTGTACAATGATGGATGGGCAATGCATTCAATCAGTCACGCAAGCATTGTAGAGAGAACAGGCACTGTATTTCCTCCAACGGACGCGACCTCACAAGACGTGGTGGTAATTAATAAAAGACGCTTGCAGCCCCTTGAGAAAGTGCCAACCCAATGGGAGACTGTCGCCTTGATGGCTGGGAGGATGCCATTTTGTCTGGCAGAAACATGATACTACGGTGTTTCCCATGCAGTAGAGAATTCCTGCTGTCTGCCGCATTGCCGGAGGTGTGTTGTGTGGTTTTCAGGCGAGATAGCGCGTCGTGGGAGCTCCTTCATCAATCAGCCACGGAAACGCCTCTGGTGACGATCTGAATGAGGAATGCTGACATGAAGAGAAACCTTGAGCCATTTTGCGCCGTCAAGCTAGCACTATCAGGATCGCGCCCCCTTTCCGTCCTTTTTTGACCAGCAAAAGATTTTTTTGGTCTTCTGGGGAAGTTGCAAAGTCTCTCAGCCTTGGGAAGGAGCTTTGCTGCAGGTCATCATCCTACTGCAACGCGACGCGCAAGACGCAGCGGCGGACTTGCTTTCTCGGAAGTAGTGCCAATCACACTGTGTCTCTTGCCTCACGTGCGTCCCCCTGCAACCGAGCTGTCCTCCTCAATTCGCTCACGTCGTAATTGTGTACTGTGTATGACTAAGATGATGATGTTGCGCTGAGACCTTGTAAACCCCTGCGTTTACTCGGCTCAGTTCGGCCTTTCGCGGCTTCTTGTAGCTGGTGGTCTTTTGATTATTGTTTTAATGCAGTCAAACGAATGTTTGCTGCGAACCCTTGCATGAGTGCGTAGAGAACTAAGTTGTCACGGCCTTTTTGGCTTCTGGCTTCTGCATTACAACTATCCTAACAATGTTCGCGGACCATCATCTCAGGATTCGAGAATTGCTGAAGAGGGAGGACCAAGTGACTGCTGCAAATTCCATTGGCTCGTGTGTGCCTTGGACTATCGTGGGCCCTTCCTTAGCAAGTGTTGGCCCGAAATTCATGATAAACTCATAATCTGCATCGGGGGGCCTGTGGTATTGATAAGACTTCAAACTTGAAGATCAGACGTTTGACGGACTTACCTCGATGGACCACTAGCCCTGTGAATGCGTACATGCTGCGGTAGGCCCGTTTCCTGAGGAATCTCAGAAGGCCACAGGAAGAGCCAGCCTGAAAGGCAGCCCTGTGAATCGGCCGACCTAATCGTTATGTCGACCCTGCTCCAGGCTGTCTTTCGTACGGTACCATTGCTCTCTGCGAATGGCGAAGATATTCGTCTTACACTCATCCCAAGTCACCTCACTCCGGGTCAAGCACCACATCCCTCAGCTCCGAATCCGCCACCCAGTCCACGCCACTGCCCGCCACAATGCCCGCCGCTGTGCCCTTAATGACTCTCCATCTCTGCCTGCTGGCCCGGAGACGCGCCTCCAGGGCCTCAATCTGCTCCTTCGCGGCAGGGTCGTCCGCGATGGCCCCCTCGCGATCTCTGTCGGCTTCCTTGGCGAGGCGCAGGACTTCGCCGGCGAGCTCACGATTCTTGCGACACGCGCGCAGCGTCTCGCCTTCAACCTCGCTCAGTCGGTCAAGGACCTGGCGCAGGGTCGCCGACTGGACGGCGACGGAGTGCGCCGTACTGTCGCGAGTCCGGATCCAGGGTTGCAGGTCTCTGAGAGGTGATCAGTGGCCAGTGAGCAGAAAGAGCTGATGAGGATGAGGGAATACTAACTCTTCGATGGGTGATGCGTAGGTGCTGTTGTGGATGGCCTTCAGGATGGGATTCGTGATGAGGACATTGTTCACCACTGTGTTGCGGAGGTTGTAAAGGGCCATCGCCTCGAGGAGTTGCTCCCTGGCTTCCTTGACCTCCTGAGACTCTGACCCATTCTCGACGTCTGCTTCTCGCCCGCTAGGATTGGCGCTTTCATCTGTCGGGATTTCAGCGATGAAGATGAAGCCAAAAGGTATTTATCACAACGGACCTGCAAGCCGGACTCTGGCTTTGGTCAGGGCGACCTCCAGTTCCAGCCTCTGCGCCTGGTCGTAAAGGCTTAATATTTCCTTCTCCTCCTCCGAGAAGGGCGGCGCTTCGTCTATGCCATTCTCGTGAAGTGCATCTTTCATTTGCACGTCATCCATGGTGGTTGTTGTCCCTCAAAAGTCAAAGTTTGAAACGGCAAAACGCACGAAATCAGTAAGTTGAAAGCAGACGCGTCGCAAGATTGATGAACGCGTGTTGTACTTGGGTTCTAGGAGAGAGGACCGGGACTGTAGCGGCTGCTACCAACGGCCCAGAGCTTGGAGTCAGTCCGGGCTGCTACACCCAAGACGCAGCACTGAGAGTGATAACAGCACCCAAGACAATACCGTCTTTTAATTATCGGATTCTTCTCTTCTCCTTTATCTAATGTTCTTCTCTTTTTCTTCTTCCTTCTCCTTCCTTCTTTACTTTGATCAAAAAAAAAAAAAATCACGGGCATACATCATAGATGAATGCACCTGACTCGACATTAGGCATCTTCACATGTAGGAAGGATTGCCTACCCTAATTTGCTATGATTACCTTTGGTGAATCTGCATCACAGTGACAAGAGACGTAGGCGCAGGAAAGTCCATAGCACACAAGATATTCCTCCAGATGAGGAGAAAACCATGCCAGGTGATCCGACAGTAACATCCTCCAAGGCCGGTCATTCTGTTAGAAATCTTGCGGAGTTGGCCCCTTGACTGGTGCTGCCCAACCCTTTGTTGTACCTAGTGAGATAGCCTGACAGGGAGGGTCACGAGGGGCTGCCTGCTGTACTGCAGTGTACTGATCACTGATCGTCATCCCAACCTCTCTGACTCCAAAGACTGACACATGCCATTGCTCTTCACCTCAACCTAGACCCCAAGTCCAGCTCAGAGGAGCTCATTAAAACCCCCGCCTTTTGTCCTCCAAATCCTCCTCAAACGATGCCAGCTTCATACCAGCATCCGTATCCAGACTGAGACACCGGACCTCAAACCCTCCCAACAACCCCCCTTCGAACGCCAGCACTTTGACGGCATGAGCGAAGAAGATGGACCATGGCCACAACCCCGAAAACCCAGGTGCTGATAGCCCATAGTGGGCAGGCCATCGAGATCGACACCTCCCGATTCTCGACCGTTGATGACTTCAAAGCTGCCGTGTCGCGACAGAGCTCCATCCCACCGCAGTACATCATCGCCCTGAATCCTCAGGGGAAGCCCGTCAAGCTCCAGAGCCTTCCGTCAGAGGTATGTACAACCTCATGATCTTGTGCGGGCGCCAGGAGACTGGCTGCGGTGTCAATAGGCCGAGGACTGTATCAGCACTGAACAAGAAACCCATCTCACTAGAACGAAATCTGTGTCTACGATATCCGAATATCACAACCGACCTCCCCAGGCGGCGCTCCCCCGATCCAGGTCGAGATTGCTCCTCCAACACCATACAACCTGTCCGACCCTCCTAACCGCATCAACGACGCCAAGTCGCAGCAGTCATGGCAGGAACTATTCAGGAAGCGCCACGTGTGGGTCACGAGGGCGGTAGACGACTGTGCGCACATGGCGCAGGCTGCAAGAGACCGATACGGGGAGATGGATGTCATGCTGCGCTGCCTAGATGCCGCCGTTGCGAACCTCGAGTCTGTCGTAAAGGCGATGGAGCCGAAATACCAGGAGCTGAAGAAATGGGCGACCCCAGCGCAGACCGAGTACAACCTGCTTGTCACGAGGTGGGAATCATACCTGGGCCTGGCACGGAGCATACCGATATCTGCTGAAATGGCGACTTTCATGACGGGCCGAAGCAGCAACTCGAAAAACAGACCGTCGCGGCAGCCGACGCTGGAGGACCTTCTGGATTTGGAGACCGTCAAGAGAACCGGTCGTCAGGCCCCTCAGGCCCTCCGAAAATTCAACCAGCGTGTCAGCGAGCTCGACAAGATTACTGCGCGTATGTTTCAGAATTGCCAGGACGTCGCCCGGGACTTTGAGCGAGTTATAGAGCGGTCTGCGATGAACCACGACGGCGAGGCTGCGCAGCTGCTAGAGGATATCGAGGCCATTGCCAAGAAGATCAACTCGGACTACGACACGACCTTGGAGTTCACGAATACAACGAATGACATTCGCCAGGCGTCAAAGCTCGCGGCGCACCACACCGAGAAACTCTTGCCATTCATCAAGAATAGAGCTACTGAGATGGACGGGATGCTTCAATATGCGACCCAGGCCCGAAATTCTCTGGCCCTCGAGTCGGTGGACTTCATGCGGACTATTACGGATGTTACGTCCCTTACTGCCACGGTGAAATCACAAATCAATACGATCGGCTCGGAAGAGGAGCTCGCAACCTTTGACTACCTCCGACTGATTCAGCAAGTGCCATTCATGTACGCCTCGTTCGCTGTGGAGGCCATGAGGCGCCGCGAATGGTACGACAAGGTCAAGGTCGACGCGTCCACCCTGGCCAACGAGATGGCGCTATTTCAGGATGAAGAAGGCAAGCGGCGCAAGAAATGGATGAAGTCTGTTGAGAATTTATATGGCCCGGAGGCACAACCTGGATCCGGTGGGGTGATTGGGCTGGAAGTCAACCTGCACGGACAAGAGGATCAGTGGCCCAGTCTGACCAAAAAGGATCTGACGGATTTCTATGAGACGTTGCAGAATCAGAAGGCTGAGCAGGAGCTGCTTGACGACATCGGCAAGCTCATCGTAGATCTGAACAATCCAACGAAACAGCAGGCGAAGCGGATGAAAGCGTTCAAAAACGGCAGCATCCACGAGGCATCCCTTGGGAGAAGCGGCTTACTGATCCGGGGCGACGAAGACATGCTCCGGTCGATCCAGGAAGAAAAAGCCCGCGTCGAGAACAAGCTGAAGACGGCGGAAAGCCGTGTGAGACGCTTGGAAGACCTCCTGCATAGACACAGCTCCGCCTCACGGCCATTGTCGCAAAATATCTTTCAGCCTTCCATGCAGCAGCTCGTCGCAGGCAATGGTTCGACCACGTCCATTCAGAGAGAGGACCGCCGTCGGTCATCTGTCGACGTGACAGAGGGCGTCCATCAACAGCGGATCCAGCAGCTCGAAGGAGAGCTCAATGCTGAGAGGGAGAAGGTAGCCAACATGGAAAAAGACCTCTCCGCCCGCACAACCCAGCATGAGAATGTGGTCGGTCAGATGGAAGAGGTCAATTCTACGAAGAACGATCTTTTACGAAACATGGAGGCCCAGAAAAAGGAGTTCATGGAAGAACGCAAGTCTCTTGAGGACGAGATCAAACAGCTTAGAGCCCGCATTGAAGACAACGAAGATGAAATGGAACATTTCGACGAGTCGAGAGAAAACGACAAGGTCCATTTTGACGCCAAAGTTCAGACTCTGGAGGAAGAAATCGCAAGCCTGACAAAAGAACGGAGGGACGAGGTTCTCAAGTACGAAGGTCAGGTTGAATTCCTCAGAAAAGAGTCCAAGCTTCAGCGAGAGCAGGTGGATAGCCTAGAAAAGCAGCTTCAGTCTACGCAGGATGAGAACAAGACTCTCGCCAAGCGGCTGGAAACCACCGACCAAACCATGGAAACCCAACACAAGACCCTCCATGACATACACCTTCAGCTCGCACCTGGAGAAGAAGTTCCGCAGGATCTGGATGACCTTGTCGAAAGCGTGCTGAATAGGTGTGCTGAGACACTCGAAAAGGCCCAAAATGTCGAGGGCGACATGTCCATCATCAGAACAGACCTGGATGACGCCCAGGCCGTGGTAAAGGATCTGAAGGCTGAGAGAGCGAGGCTCGAGAAGTCGCTGGCAGACGAGGAGAGCACAGCCCTACAGCTGCGAGAAAATCTCGGCGAAGAGAAAGCGCGCGTTGGGGCTCTCGAGGGCGAGCTCGAAGAGACACGTGCCCAGCTCAATGAGCTCAGGACGAAGATGGCGGACGGCGAAACTGGGTCCGAGACGCTCCGCAAGAAACTTGAGGAAGAGGAGAGAAAGATTACCACAATGACAGAGGACCTGGCATCGAAGCAGTCCCATGTTGGCAGCCTCGAGGAGGAACTCCGTCTCTTCAAGGACAAGCTTGAAGAGTGCCAGGCAAAATTGGCTACACTTACCGACCGCTTTGTGGCTCGCACCGGACACACGAAGGATCTCACCCAGAAGCTTTACACACAGAATGACCGCCTCTGCCGCTTACTTGAGCGCCTCAACTTTTCAGTCACCCGGAAGGATGGCTCCATGATCATTCAGAAGATCCCTCGCGCGGAACGGTCCACAACCCTTAATGAGTCTACGGTAGACCCCAGCGCGTCTATTCGAAGGTCAGGGACCCTCAGCAAGACGCCTGACAGCAGCGACCTCGAGCTCCTGTACTGGATGAACAACGCAGACCAGGCCATAGAGAGCGAGAAGTATCAAGCCTTCATGTCTGAGCTCGGCATTTTCGATATTGATAGTTTCACCGAGACTATCTACAAGCGCGTCAAGGACGTCGAACATATGGCCCGCAAACTACAGCGTGATGCACGCTCATACCGCGACAAAGCACATGCTCTCCAGAAAGAAGCCCATGACAAGATCGCTTTCAAGAACTTCAAGGAAGGCGATCTAGCTCTGTTCCTTCCGACTAGGAACCAGATGACCGGAGCATGGGCTGCTTTCAACATCGGCTTCCCACACTATTTCTTGCGAGAACAGGAATCGCACCGCTTGCGGAACAGGGAGTGGCTCCTGGCTCGCATCAGCCGTGTGCAGGAACGAGTGGTGGATCTGTCCAAGAGCTTGAGCAATCAAGCCTTGGGCAACGGTGGAGCTGAGACTGAATCCATGGACGAAGAGAATGACAACCCATTCGACCTCTCGGACGGTTTGCGGTGGTACCTGATCGACGCCCAGGAGGACAAGCCCGGCGCACCCTCGACGCCGGGGCTCGGGAAAACCACTGTCGCTGCTAATAAGGTCGACGCCGTAGCGGAGAAGACCCATATCCGCAATGCCTCCGGGAAAGGCCTTGGTCTAGTCAATCGTGCACCGACTGGCATTGACGGGGTCAGCAAGACCCTTTCGAAGAGCCTCGAGAGCCGTCGCTCGAGCACAAGCTCTAGGCGGGCAATGCCCTTTGGGATTGGTGGGAAGGGGAGCGCCCTGGCCAGCGATGCCAACTCGCTACGAGCTGCAGCTGCTGAATCGCCTGACGTGGCCGCCGAATCAAGCGCGCACCAGGGACCGAGCACCGCAACAGAGCAAGCCAGCGCAGGCGGCGCTGATAATGAGGCGTCAGAGGCAGGCCCGACGGAGCAGCAGGAGCAGCGATCAACCGAAGACGGGTCGCATGGCCCCGAGGTGCGCTATCAGGATCTACTCGGACCATAGTGACGGTCTCAGATTGCTGACTTTTGAAACGTGTTGTTTTTTTGTGTTGCATAGCAAAGCCATTACGGCTCGCGGCTTCTTCAACAAGCAATGTTGCAGGCAAGGCGGCCGAAGCAGTTCAGATCCCATCTTCTGCGACAGCAAGACATGAACGCGCCCTCGAAGAGTGATGACCCATCAAGGGTCATTCGGACCAAAAAGGCATTGGGAACCGCCCTGGAGTCTAGAGAACAGTTCTGAGAGTGGCCGGAAGGCCAGTAAATGACCACTGAATGATGCATTGTGCAAGGCAGGGACGGCGTCTTATCAAAAATTGATCTCGGCTACCAACTCGTGATGGAGCCACCAGAAACTTTTGGGGCCTCGCGTTACTCGGCGTTCATGCTACACACCTAAAGGGCCCTAAGTGTGGGACATTCGCACCTTAGACGCGTCAGATAAATGGTTCTTCTTGGGTGGAGGATATGCTCTATCTTGTCTACAGGCGTCAGGGTTTGTTTTCTTTCTTTTCTCTTTATAATGTGGAACAGAAGGAGGGTCAAAGGGACCTTAGCCTGTAAACTCTATGCGGCATCATCAATACTAGCATATTTATTACCTTTCAGATGGCAGACGCGCCATGGGCCTTGTTTCCTGCGCCGTCACTTCACATCTATGTGCGTCGACTTCAACAAAACTTCACGGGCATCTTGATATAAATGGAAGATGTACTCGCAAACTGGCTTCTTTGGAGACGCTCGTAGCAGGAACAAGCCACTTCTCTCTGTTCCTGGGATTGTTCCCCCCCCCCCCCCCCACCCAAAAAAAAAAAAGGACGTCAACCGCAAGAGCAAGTCTCTAATGCGGTACAACCGTGATCGTCCTTCTGATGGGCTCGACCCTCGCCTTGCCAACATGCGCCCGGATCTCCACCTCGAACGATCCAATCTTCTCCACCTTGTCCACGCCAGCCCCGAGCCCAATAAACTGGATGTCCTCAGGCTGCACATGGATGCGGACCGCCTCCGGGTCGAGCATCATCTTCTCCTTCACAACGCTGGCGATGTGCTGCAGCGACACGGACCCGTGAATCTTGCGCCTCTCCTCGGCCTCCTTCTCCTTTTGCCTCTGCTCCCTCTCCAGCTCCTCGGCCACCTTAGCCGCGGCCAGCCTCTCTTCTTCCTCCTCTTCCTTCTTCTCCTCCTCCTTTGCCTTAGCGGCCTTCTCGGCCTCGGTCTGTCCGCGCAGCATGGACCGCCGCTGTTCGAGTGGTGAGAGGGCCTTCTTGGCCTGCTCCGATGTGGGTTTGGCTGCCGCCTTTGCGGACTCCAGTGCCGATGCTGAGGATGGTTCTGGCGAGGCGGTTGTCTTGCCAGCGGCGGGAGGAGGGTGAACGAGGCGGCGCTCGAAGATGAGGGTCTCGTCGATCAGGGTCTGCATCAGCTCAAGGGCGCGGTTGGGCTGTGTATTGTCAGGAGTCAGCTTGTTTGTCGATCGCCCAGGCATCATTATCATCACCACCGCCGCCGCAGCCGCCAAGCCAGTGAGAAAGGGGAGGAGGAGGATAAGAAGCTTACAGGGAGATGCTCAATCTCAACAGCAGGCTTTGCGGCCTCGAACACGGGCGCTGCGGGCGGAGCACCAAAGGCCCCGAGGGTCGAGCCGAGATTCAAGCCGGCGACGGCATCGACAGCGTCGCCGCCCGCAGACCCTTCGCGCCTGTTCACGCCGAACATGTAGTCACGCTCGCCAATGTCCTGCTTGGTCAGGCCCAGCTCTGAGAGGCGGGCGCGCGTCATGTACTCGGCCTTGCGGTTGGGGAAGAAGTGGTTGCGCATGCGGCCACGATCGGTGCGGAAGATGGAGCCTGTTTTGGGGGGGGGGGAAGAGCGTGTGGTTTCAAGGTCCTTTGGTAAGCAAAAGTACAGTCTAGAGAGGAAGAAGAGATATAGGAGGGATTGAGAATTAATCAATGATGCCTCACCTTCTGGTCCGAACTGCGGGACATCCTTGAGCAGTCGCACGACGACGCCTTGGTCTCGAAGCCGACCCTCTGTCTTCTTCCCTCGCACCTGCGTCAGGGCGATCGAGGCGTTGCCGGTCTGTGATGATGAGGCTGGTGATGTGATTCGCCTGAGACATGCCAGACATGTGGGCGGTCTGCCCACCAGAGGCGAGGTCATGGTGGGGGTAAGCTGTCAGATCGAGGGTGTGGGTGGGCTGTCTGCTGCGTCCTCCTACCGCATTCACGACACTTTTTTGAATGGGGAAGATTTCGCGTTGCGAGCTTTGGGGATTGCAGTCAGTAGACTTTCCGCTGCCACCCCCCCCCCCCCCGTGTGTTCATTGGCCAATCGGTTGGGGTACCGAGTAGCTGGGGTCTCCACCTTAGCTTCTTGGGCCCAGGCCTTGCTATACTGAACGGTAGTACGTACTTGAGTACTATGGAACATTCACATGTAGTAAGTAGTAAGACGACTCTTGAGATCCGACCCAAACTTAAGGAACGATCAACTTCAACCAAGGCCCCTGTTGCTAATGCAAGAATATACGCCATGATGAGGCTCTATTTTCATCTTCTTGCTACCAGTCTCAGAGTCAGAACTTACTTATATCTCAGAATGGTGTTCCAGTATTGTTCATTAATAATTATCTCGTTGCCTGTAAAACTATTACCCAACAAATAGGTGTTTGGTCTAAGTCTGTCTGTCTACCTTGCGCCAGTAAAAATGCCAAATTTGCCATCCTTCTCAAATGTATCGAGCCACTCGTGCATATCCGCCATGACCTCGTCCATGGTTGTCGTCTCGATGGCACCATCCTGCCAACTAAACACAGCACTCACAGGTCCATCCTCCACCCCGACGACGTTCACGTTAAAGGCCGGTCCAGCAACGTGGACAGGCTGTGTGAAGAGCGCCCTCGTGATGTGCCAGCCCCCACGGTCCTCACCAATACTGCCCTTGATCGTCCCGATATTAGAAAGGGCCCACGTGCCCGACCTAGCCTTTCCGATCTTTTCCAGCCACCATTTGTTGAAATCGCCAACGTATTGCATCATCCCGACAACGTCGTCGTTGGGCAGAGTGGCGACCTTGGCCTTGATCTCATTGCGCCACGCCGCGGCCAGCGGCCAGAGAAGCGAATCCTCGGCAATATCGTTCTCGTCGCCGCGCCGGCCCAAGCCTGCCCGTAGCTTGCTCACTGTAACGGCGTCCCACACGCTGTTGGTCCCCGTGTTGAGATCTGTCAAGACCCCCGTCAGGTCCATGTTGACGCCAGGAGGCCGCCTCGCCCAGGGCAGGAGACTAATAGCCGTCTCTCCTGCGAAGGACGAGGCGACATGTGCAGGGACTCGCTTAACCATGGCAGCCAGTGTGAGAATGTGCAGGATGCCGCTCAGGGTGGTCCCGTGGGCTCTGCATGCGACGATGAGACGGCGGACGGTCGGAGGGTTGATGGTGACCAGGCGGAGGTGGAGCGTGTTGGGCTCGATAGCCACTGGCTTTCCAGTCCAGGGGGCGGGTGGTGGCGTGGATTTCAGCCACAGCGGACCGAATGCATCCCAGAGGGTTTTGAGAAAGTAGGACCAGGAGATTTTGAGGTCCACGAGGTCTTCCTGGCTGGGTGCGAGGATAAGGGGTGCCTGTGCGTCAAAAGTGAGAATGTGGTCCTTCAGCTCCGGCGGTGGGCCGTCGGAAGTTGTGTTCAGCTCCCTAAGGAGCTCCCTGTGGAAGACCGTTGTGCTCTTTCCATCTGCAAGCGCATGGTGATTTGCGAAGACCAGGTCGAGAACGACGTCCTCAGGTGTTCCGCCTGCCTCGTCCTGAACGACAAGTAGCTTCCAGGGCGGGCGGTTCGCAATGTCAGGCCAGAGCTGTTCCAGCCTGCTCTTGATGGCCTGCAGGACTTGCTCGTCATGCTGCGCTGGGTTCGTCGTCGCCACGGTCCTCCACTCCACGAAATCGTGCAGGTCCATGGACGGCACGCTCACGAAGCATGCCTTGGTTGTATCCTCGCCAGTGATGCCGACTCTCAATCCGCCAAGACGAAGGACCAGTCGTGCCACTGCCTGCTCTATAACCTCTCGGATCGGGCGGCCCCGCAACGCCTCCCTTGAGAGTACATACTGGCATGAATTCGCGATGCCCCGGTAGAAACCTAGATTGTGTCTCGAGGTTGAGAAGTGCTCCCTGTACAATGCAATGATTTTTCAGTAGAAGTTAGACGAGGTGGAAGAGCGCGAATGGACAGATGAAATGTCACGTACATGAGCCCACACTGGCGGACGACTGTTGACTTCATCTTGTTACTCAACGCTGCTGGCTCAGCGTTCGCATACTCTTTGGCGTGATAAGAGCCAGTCGTTCACGTTAGACAGAGGTGGTTTTGTAGCAAAGAAGAGACCTCAAGAGCTGTAGAAGACCTGCGATTCTCTTAGATGTAATGGTGTCTGTGTTGTGCCTGACAAAAACCTTGTCTATGAATGTTTACAGTTAGGAGGATCAAGATCCATCCGCCTGGCACAGCAGCATCTCAAAAATACCCATGCACCTTGAACGTAAGCGCCCTTAACCAGCCAGGTGGAAAGAGGAAAGCACAGTATTCAGTATGTACTCAGACTGAAGCCCAATCGACTGACTGATCAGCATACCAAGCTCGCATGGCGGCAGACGAAAGCTTTATCTCTATTGAGATATTTCCAGCGATGCGTATCATCTTCTCTGCTATGGCATGGTAAGTGGTACTGGTGGCTGTCTGACTTCGGACGGTTCCGAGGCCTCAACCCGATTTAAGCTACTGTTGGTAGTAAACCGGGCACTAAATAGAGGGGCACAATGCGACAGCTTTGTACCCGTGAACCCCTGCCACGCCTGCTATTTGACCCACAAGCGCGCCAACCCCGTCACCAGCAACCTTCCCCACGAAGCCTTCCAGGAACCTCTGATGCCAGCACCAATCGACATCGAACCGCACTACCGTCTTCACCTGTATGGCGCACTGACAAAGCACATAAACAACCCCCTCTTTACATTCTATTCTGTTATTTTGGAACGCGACTGTTCGTACGACAGTTTCCCCAAACCGCGACGCGCTTGGTATGAAGAAACGCGACGACAACCCCGACCTTTCTTTCACTACCTACAGAGAATGCCGACTGTCGCACCCTGACTTCCTGTCGTCGCATCCCTTCGAATGATAGGAAATGAGCTTCGGAGACGAGAACGGAGAGGAACCGATCGTTCTACGGACGCGCGCCAACAGTAGAACCCAACTGCCTCCAGCTGCGACCGCCGACGACCACAGCGCAAAGACCCACGACCGCGCGCATGACGGTTTCGATTCCAAAGAAAACAATCGTCCTTACGCACGCGAACCCCAAAACACCATGGCGACCAACGCCAGCCACACCAAGAAGCTGAGCTCGGGCTCAGCCTCAGGCTTTCACTTTCTCTCACCTGAAACCTCCCGCATACCCCGACCAGCCTCTAGAGCGAGCGCCACACGATCGCCCCGAAGACCCTTGGAGCTTGACGAGTGCATTAGGATGGCACAGGAGAAGTTTGGCGTGAACTACAATCCGGGCTCCCCTAGCCCTGCTCCACGACCCACAACCCGTATCGCTGGCACCGCAGACCGTCGCACGCCGACTATGCCCTTCACCGACAAGGCAATCGATATGGGCCGTGTTGGCGTCAAGCACACGCGTCGAGAGAGCACCCTCAGCGCTAAGGGAGCCTTGGGCGCCTTGTCGCGCGACGACGAGGAATCAGACGAGGAGTTTGCGCGAAAGATGCAACAATTCGATGAAGCTGAGAAAAAGATGAGGGCAATGAAGGAAAAGAAAACATGGGTCAAGCGCAATGGCGCGTCCCCCGCAGTCCGCAAGGCAAGTGCGTCCAGCGCCGACGATGGTATTATCGGCAACAGCAACTCGGGCAGCAGCAAAAGCCAAGAGCCGCGACAAGACTGGGGCAAACCCGACTCCTCCTATTCCAAGGTCCTGCAGAGGTTTGCGGGCAACCCAGAGTCTGCTGCAGCTTTCAACGAGAAGCTTGGCTTCGAATACGTCAAGGATGAACAGCGCTTGAAGAGGAAGGCCCACGAGCAGGATACTGGCATGGCCGCTCCGCGGGCAGGCACAACAACACCTCCTCCCAACGATGGCTACTCTTGGCAGGTGGACGACGATTTCACAGCTGAAGATCTCCAGGTCTCCACCAGCCCCCCTGTAGGCTACGCACGCACGAATACCAAAATCGATGAGATTCGAGAGCTGGAGCGTATGTTTCCCGCAGAGAACAAGAAGCCATTCAGCCCGCAGCGCACGAACGCCCGCCTCGACGAGATTCGCCGCCTGGAACTGGAGGCCGAAGACAGCTCTCCAACCACTCAGGTGGAGGTTGCTGATGCGCCTCCAGTCTATTCACAGCCCTCAACAGCCGGCGGCAATGAGGATCGCGCCCAAGATATTGAGGGTCTTTCCAAGAGAATCGCGAGCATGACACGTCTAGATGCGATCTCCGAGAGTGAACCCAAGTCCAATGCTGAGGCGCCGCCCCGGTTCAGCCCACATGATGCATCGAGTCCAAAGGACAAATCGCAACAGAAGAGCAGCTACAAAAGTCTGGACGGAGAGAGACTTCGGGACAACCCCGTCACAACAGCCTTCTCCAGTGCGCCTCAAAATGGCGACAAAGAACCACAACTACATCAACAGGGTGGCGACGACGACAATGCTCTGCAGGAGCAGGAGGCAAAGGTTCATACTCCTGCAAAAGAAGACTCCCAAGATTTGCTCAGAAGATTGGCCAGGGCATCCAGCAAGAGTCCCAGCCCCAGTCCGTTGCAGGATCAAAAGGTTCTCGAACCTCGACGAGAGCAAGAGCAAAAGGTGGAGGCCGTACCCATCTCAACCGACCGATTCAGTACTTCAGCTGTTAAGGACAGCGAAGTGGATGGAGGCCCCGCAGCGCCTGTCTCTCTTGTAAACAAGGCGCTCTCACCTTCAAAGCACACAGTTGGCTTCGCCGGCATCTCGCGTTCAAACTCCAACAACTCGGTCGCATCTAAGTCGAGTGTTGTATCCTGGGATCCTACTCCTCGCATCCAGGCCGAAGCTAAGCTCTTCGCACTGGGAAATGATTCGGAACGAGGATCACTCCGTGCTCCGTCACCTATACCCAACTCTGACCTTGACGAGGAGGAGGAGGAGGAGGAGATGGACAAGGATGCAGATGAGACACCCCGACCCAACAGAGTCGATCCTCTCAGCATGCCCACACCGGTGGTCACTGGTGCCTTCCTCGAGACACCCGCCCCTGTCAAGGCTGAGCAGGGCGGTCGCTCCCCTTCCAGGTTTCTGTCGCCAGAAAAGCGCGGTCCAAAGGATCGAAACCTTAGCACGTCGCCACGAGGAACTCGGTCTGAGGGACACCGGCGGCCTACCCGTCAAGCGTCGTCCAGAGACACAAGAAGAACCAAGTCTACTTCGCGTCCCCGCTCACCATTGAGGAACTCAGTCAAGCCACCCACGGTTGGGGACGATCTTCGTGAGATCCTGAGAAAGAACGACCTGGATGATTCGACCCTGGACGATGTGACAGATCTGGTCCTGTCTTCGTCGGATCCTGAGAAGCTGGTGGAAATCCTCAAGCCCAAGTCTAAGGGTGACATGGATGAGCTTCTCCAGGATGAACAGCTGAGGAGGCTGAGTGGCATGAGCGAGGCGCTGAAGACGGGCCTAGCAGGCATTCGCACGGCCCGGAAGGGCATCGAACGCCTCGAGGGCCAAATTTCCCGCCCCGAGACCCATCCATCATCAGCTACCAATGGGCTTGCCATTCCTACCAAGAACGATGGTTTCACCTACATTCAAGTCCCAATTCCACGCCTCTACCGTACTAAGCCCAAGTTTCGACCTACTCTGCTGGGTTTCCTCTTCCTGCTTTTGAGTTTCTGGCACATATATTGGGCCGTGGAGAACGTGTTCTACGATACGTGGGGCAAACAGAAGGTCTGCTACAGAGGCTCGCCATGCCGCTGGGATATGGATGATCCTGAGTATGGATTTGTCATTCCTGTCAAGGTTGACGAGTGGATTACTGGTGGTGCAATCCGTCCACATGCCGCTCGATGGCTAGAGGAGGCCCAGGACAGCTGGGCAGACTTCGAGGATTGGTTGACTGGCACGGACATCCGCAAAGTCAATCATCAGGCCATCCGAGACTCGGCAAAGAAAGATCAGTACTGGCGACGAATCGAAAAGAAGGGCCTGTTCCCCAAGTGGAATCCGGATCCTTGGATGCGCCCACAGTTCGAGGCCTGGGAGCATGAGGCACAGGCGAGAGAGGCGGCTGAGGATCGTGCTGTACTGGGATATAATGATCCAGACGAGCCTACAAACGACAGTGAAAGCATGGAGAAAGACCAGCCTATCTCTAGGGACTCAACAACGGTCGACTCCTCAGGTTCCTGGTGGTAATACGTCCCCGTGCATCCGACGAGAGGCAGTCTGGAGGAGGCGACTTTCGAGCGGCTTGTGCTCCTCCTCGCAAGAATCACGGACTGTCGATCCAGAAGGGAAGCTTGGCGAAGAGCTTCAAGTAATGTGTGCCCACGAAAAGAGTGGCTCCGACTCTAACAAAAACGGTTACGGCACAGCCGCCCGGCTGGGAACACCCGCGAGCAGGCCCAGCATATCTACACACAAATTGATTCCTCTACAAACACATTACCAGGAGTTTCGAGCTGAAATTCTCTTGCGGTCGGCAGCTCCAGTGCAACGCCCTTCTCCGTTGGATGCTAAATATCTCTCCCCTTTAAACCGTCAATCGAACCACCACTTTCTTCGCAACTTCAACATGATATTGAACCAAACTCGAACACATGGCGACGGCATACGATGAAGACTGGGCGCTCAGCATACATTACAATCTTGCAAGCTGTTGCTCTTGGTTGGTCATCCAACAAAACTCGAAAGTATTCACGGCGTCTCCTACCCAACTACGTGGAGAGTCAACCAAGAGCGTGGCTCTTTGTACTCCTTGTACATCAAAACAACTGTATTATCATGCAGTGCATAAATAAACAACGAAAGAAAGAGGGACTAGGAGCTGCATGATTTCGCTTCTAGACATTTGCATAGCGATGAACCTCACGAGGACAAAAGCCTTGGGGTCTGGCGTTTCCAACATTTCGAACGGGACGGCAAAATCTGAATTTTTCCAAAGCAGAGCACGGAGTTGGAGGGAGGGTTCTCCTTTTCTGTTTTTGTTCCTTCGCGCCCAAAAAGGAGTGTGCACGGCGTTGGATTGAGGGGACCTTGATTATTTGATTGCATTGCGAATCTGTGCAAACCTGGACTGAGAAGGAGGGGTCTCCTTGTTTTCTTTTTCTCGCACTTCTCCAGAAGTGCAAATGGCGTTTGGGGGGAGAAGAGAGACCTTGTGCTTGCATCTCCCACTTGTGGCTGAGTGTGGATTCTTGAGGGAAGGAGGGGTCTTGTTTGATCAAAGATGAGTGCAAACTGTGGACATTCACGGTGCAAACATGAGAAGATGAACGGGACAATGAAACATCGACTGCAACTACGGGATGGCGACTAGAACGACATGTGGAATGGGAAACTTGTGCCATACTCTCAGTACAGCATGCCATGTGTCATGTGGCAGTTGTCAATAGTTGTCAATACGAGATGTGTCCTTGAGAGAACGCAGATACAAATCAATATCTGTGCACCCGCACGCAAATGATATGTTCTAACCATACAGGCCCTCCTTGGCTCTCTAAACTCCTCCCTAATATGCTCGCTCATGAAACCTTTACGACACTGCTGAAATTCAAATCGGAGGTATCCTAGACGAACGAGGGGGAAAAGTAGGTCTACTAAACTCCTTGCGAACAATGCTTGCTGATAATCGCCGCAGAGACAAAACAGAACATCCGAAGAAGCCAATGGCTCAGGCTGCAGAAGCACCATCCAAAGCAGCAGCGCCAGAAGAGACGTCGTTGTCACCAGTGTGCTCGGGGACGCCGGGCAAATCGTCAGCACTTAAAACGCCAGCAGCCACACCCTCCGGCTTCTCTTCCTGTTCAGCAGGGGGCACGTTTGTGCCACTCGCCTCTGCCTCCTCGGCCCTCTTCGTCTCCCGCTCTTTCTTGATGCGGAACCATTGCGAAGCACGGGTACAATTCTTGCTCCACGCTGCACGGCCGACATCCTCCCAGTTCTCCTCGATCCAAGTTTTGACGCGGTCGACCACAAGCACACCGTGCTCGTCGCGCAGCTGAGGGGTCTCGATACCGTGCTCCTGAAAGCCATTCTCGTCCTCGACTATGATCTGGACGAGCGCGCTCCTCAGCCCGCCCCTCCAGCTCCGCCCTATCTCGTCGACTGTTGCGCCGGAGCCCTCCTGAGGCGGGGGCAGAACGTGCGAGATGTCCTCGGGGACGGCCATGTCATGCTTGATGAGCTTGTTCTTGACGAAGATGCGCGCCTTCTCCCTGTTCCACGCAGCCAGCTGGGCTGTGTACCGCGCCTCGGAGCCGGGAAACTTCTCGAAGGCGAGGCGCCGGACTTGGTCGCGCACGGCGGCCTTGGTGCGTGTCTGGGGATCTGGTGTGACAAAGCGGCCCGTGGCGAGGCAGTGTGGGATGAAGTCCTCGACCCAGCGGGCGAAGACGGCTCGCTGGCTCATGCGTTCTCGGTCGCCGGGATCGAGCTTGACCTTGGCTGCGGAGGCTTCCTCCCTGTCCTTGCTGCCATCGGGGACGGCAGAACCAGCCTCGTTGTTAGGCGCCTCAGGCCACAGGGTGAACCAGCGGCAGCTCGCGGCATACTCGAACATCTCGTCGACAGAGGGGAAGGGTGAGGTCCACTGACCGGCCTCGTGCTCCAGGGCCAGAAAATCAAGGAGGTCGGTAGGGTTATCCGTCAGAAAGACGCGAGCTTTCTTCCTGTCCTGGTTCTCGATCTCGGGAATGCGGATGTAGCAGGCCTCTTCGTCGACAGTGAGGCCAAACGGTCGGAGTATGGAGCCCAGGATGATCCACAGGTCGCCATGGGCATGTTTGCTGCGAATACTCAGTATGTATAAGAAGAAGAAAAAAGATGCTGACAAGAAAGGCATCTAACTCACAAACAACGCCACTCTAGCTCCTGGCTGGTGGCACACAGGCGAATGTCGACTTGGATGCATCGAGTCTTGGCCTCAAGCTTGGGCTCCAACGCGCTGCCACCCTCGTCCTGACCAACAGGAGACGTGTTGCCAGCGGCCTCGTGTGCCAACTGGCGTGCCATCGTGGGACCACTGAGGTCCTCGGGCCAGGGGATTGCGACGTTCTTGGCCATCCCCAACTTCCCCTGCTCAGAAGTCTGGACAGCCTTGAGCGCCGCCTCCACCTGGGCCCAGATGGCCGTCTTGTCGCTGCAGGAGGAGTCCTCGAGGCACACGAGGATGTCGATGTCGCCGTGACTAGTCTTCTCAGGGGCCTCGACGAGGGACTTGACGGCTGGGAAGAGGGGACGGAGGGCAGCAAGGCAGGCAACGAGAACGGTCTCGTAGACCTCAGGGATCATTCTGGGGGTGTAGAGGGCCCGAGGGCCAGAGGAGAAGGCTTTTCCGCCCATGATGATGATGGTGATGATGGTATTTGATCGGGGTAGCTGCGTTGAGAGAGAAGAGGATCGGGGACGGGTGATGAAGAAAACAAAGAGAGAGAGAGAACGGCAAATGATCGATAGGATTTGCTGCTGAATGAGAATTCGATGGCAGCAGTATCTTTTTTCTCTCTTTCAATGTGGCGAGTGGCCCTACGTCGAGGTCTCATGGCTTAGCAAGCCCTAGGAGAGAATCAATCCAAGTTGTCGAATCCATAAACTTTGCTTCCTCTTTTACGTCTCATGATTATCGAGAAGGTTTGGTTCCTTGGCTCAGTCCTTATATTAAGGAGATGTGCATTGTGCATAACAACATATCCTAGTTGAGGTTAGTATGAACTTATAGGAGTAGAACAAGACAGAAGCAAGAAACTTTATGAAAGGAAATGTTTGTACAGCATAAAAGTAGAGGAAGGGAGAAGAAGGCATCCGGAAGTCATGGCAAGGGCTGAGTGACTCACCAACTGAGCTGAGGGCCTGGGGAGGGGGGGCGGGGGTTTCACGCAGCCTGGGGATCAATTTGAAGCTTGGCCTCTCACCAAATGAGTCGAAGGATATAAGGTTCAAGAGATGGATTTGAAAAGGGAAAAAATGAACCTTCCCATATCAATGTTACATGTATATCGTGGTGGTACTTGTGTATTTCCCCGAAGTGCAACCTGTGATTATCAAGTGAGGTCCTGGCAGTTGGAAGTTGCTTGCGGGGGAGGGCGAATTGATTACTTAGATGTAGGCACTTGAAGATGTTCAACCAAGACTGGTATAAATTGAATGTCATTGATTGGGCGTTGAGTTTCAAAACATTCCAAGGCCTCTAATTCCGGAGAGTGGCGATGTCAAAAGGTAGAAAGGGTGGGCATTGAAAGTAACTATAAAGCTTTAGACAACAGGCATGGTGCTTAGATAATACAATTCTGAAGAGGGTACAAGCTATATCAAGCCATAACTTGCAAGGGGTCTCTACTTTTCTGTTGTCTTTTGTTAAGATGGATTTCATGTTTCAAAAGGATATAGAAAGAATTGATGTATATAGTGTCTTGATTCTTGAGGAAGAGGCGGATTGTGGAATATATTTACTACTGATTTTATAAACAATATATAGAAAACCAAGCTCATGATCAAAATGAAGAGTAATCCACTGTGCAGACACTTGACTGGCAATATGCAGCAGGAGAACCACTGACGAGAACAAGGAACTACCAAATGATGAACCATTCACCTTAGATTTTCGTGAGCCAGCACCCACTCCACAAACCCCAGCCCCCTCGCTCGAGCACAAGGTCTGAAAAACTGCAGCCAAATCTAACAGACCTAGCCATAGCCATATTAAGGCCCGAAATTGTACCACTTCCTCAGAGTTTTAAGTCAACCTCCACCTGCCCGTCAATGTACAAGACTCTCAGCTATTCAAGGTGATGAAATGTGAAACATACAACGAGAGCATCAGTAAAGCCTGAGAGGTGTTGGGAAGTCTACTTCTGGCATAATTCTGATGGCACAGATTGTGACCAAGCACACAGGATAGAGAATATTCAAGGTTGAGGATTGTCATGATTAGGGGTCTGTTCTCTTGAGGTAATGCTCTGTGATCTTACTATAGATACTTGGTATGCATAGTGATTTCAAAGACATGGGGGTTTTGTGCCCAAGTATAGCCTTTCTCATCCGACCCAGCTTGCTATTTGACAGCCACATAAGTAACCTAGGCATGTGCTGGCTTGGCTGTCATCTCTGTTCGGGTAGCTGTCAAATATTGGCCATGGCAGGGCTTAGTGTAAGCTCTTCATGCCGGCAGCCTTGCATTTCTGTGACCTTCAAATCCCCATTTGTCTGGCTCCGAGTGGTTGGTGTGTCCTCTGTATCTGGGAACTCCATGTTGGCTCAGTTGCTGACACTGTAGGGCTTCAGATACTCCGGGTTGTTCTCGATCTCCTCCTTGACCTGCACCAGTCAGTCAGCATTATCCTTCCATGCCAAGTTTCGAGTTTGATATTGGTATTGACTTACGATGTCAAGACCACCCACCAGCTCTCCATCAATCCACAGTTGTGGGTAGGTAGGCCAGTCGGCAAACTCCTTCAGACCCTGCCGCACCTCATCATCTGCCAGGATATTGAAGAAACCGTATTTGACCGAGTTCTCCCTGAGCATCGCGACCATCTGCCTCGAGAAGCCGCACTGCGGTGCGCTTGGTGTGCCCTTCATGAACAACATGACAGGAGCCGCCTTGACCAGTTCCCCTAGACGCTTGTTCAGATCCTCCTTCGGCAGCTCCTCATCCAGGACATTGCCGTCGCCTTCCCTCGCCGCTATGCCCGAGGTGGCGGCGCCGTTGCTGCTGGCGCCGTTTGTTGTTGCTGCGCCCGGCGCGTTGGGCTTGCCGGCCCAGCTCTCGATCGCATTCCTAACCTTGACCGCGCTGCTGCCGCTAACGGTCTCGAGCACCTTGCCTTCTTTCGATATGACCAGGAAGGGCACCGCTGTAACGTCGTACTTCTCGCTGATGTCGGACAGGTCCTCGGCGTTCAGTGACACCCAGGTGGTGCGGTCGTCGGCGGGGTACTCGGCGGCGAGGGTCTTGAGGACGGTGGCCATCTGGGCGCAGGGGGCAGCCCAGGGTGCGTGGAAGGAGATGACGAGGAGGGTGGTTGGAGGAAGAGAGGCCTGGAGGGCATCCCACTCAGCGTAGGAGGCGATCTCCTTGATGTTTGCCATGTTGCCGACTGACTGACTGGCTAGGATTCTGGAAAATCAGGGAGAGAGGATGAATAATGCGCGATGGGAACTGCAAAATCTAGAACCATGTGCTGTGTAGTTGTGTGACTGTGACTCAAGGCCCTTCCTTCGCGTCCTTCTTCTTCTTGTTGCCTTTTTGGGGGCTCGCTTTGTAATTATTCAACAAGTTTCCCAGCCTGATGGTTGTAAAGATTTAGGTGGATGGCGAGCTCCGGTTCAGGTCTAAAGTGGCAGCGATTACTTGAGAAAAGTAACCCCGCCGTCAAATCCCTGTGCATCGCTAAGACAATTTGCTGATTGGTGGTGGACCTTGCGTCATTGGGCTTTGTCCAGCCTGTGGTGCACGGACCCCCATCAACTTGTGCACAAAGAATGCTGGTATGGAGGCAACCAAGACTTCTAAACACCATCTTTTCTTTTTGATTTTGAAATTTTGGATTGCAAATCCCATCTGCTCTAATTCTCAACCCTCAGCCGCCCCCAATATGGCAGACGGAGCACTGGCAAGGCTGGCCATGCCGTCCTACCCTGCACTGGGCAGTGTCAGGGTTTGGTGGCTGGCCTACAAATGCACGATGGCGGCCCTGTCTTGATCGATACCAAGTTGAAGAATCAGACTCGAATCGTATCGAAGAGAACCAGCTTCCAAGGGTTCTCTCGTCTTATGGCGTCTCGCCACCTCCTCATCTCTGCGTGTGTGAGATTTTGGGAAGAACACATTCTAGCAAGTCGTACGCAGCCATTTGGGGCCGATTTGCGGCATGCCAGGACTTGAGGCGTTGAGAAGGCCGCGTCGTAGTGGGCTGTGCCAGCAAGTGGTGGCCCCCATGCTGTCCAAGCTTCCAGCCAATGACAGTGCGATCGCAAGTATCCCCGGCCTGGCGGACCAATGGTTTCAGAAGCGCGCGATTGAAGAGAGAACATGCAATGCTACCGCAATCGACATGGATCAACTGGACACTGCCGCAACCGATCACCTGGGCTGCTGGGAACCTGCTGCAGTAGCTCCGCCGCCCCTCGAGCAGCAGCGGGGCCTAGGCCTCCATCATTGACTTTCGGTCTTACTGTTTACACGGACCTGTTGTTGGCTCGATAGAAGAGGCTTGCCGCAGGTGGGCAACTAGGCGCTGAATAGCTCTACTGCTAAGCTCGCAAGGGCCTGGAGCGACGAGGACCTTTCAGACGGCCTGGCCGGGGATACCTGCAGATGAGCACCAGGGCTGGGGGCGAGGAGAGGACCTTGTAGATGTTCCAAGGTATTACCCCCTCCTCTGGGACGCAGGTGGCGTTGGTTCGTCTGTACATGGTGGCCACACAAGAGACAGCCATTTTCTGGCAGCCCCCCTTCGATGTGGTTTGCGACCAGGCGACTGGCTATTACAAGCTTCCAGTTGATTGGCTGTGGCGACTGCTCGATGGCGGAGCACGATCCCCAAACATACGAGGGTCGCGAAATATGCAAAGGCAAGATGCCGACACTCAAGGTTCATCTTATGGAGAAAGAGGAAGCGGCAGTCGCCGGACAAGAAGCTGGAAAACTCCCTGGGCCACAACCTGTTGGGCTGCATCCCGTGTAGCGCAGCACTGCCCGTGTGTGCCCCTAGTCCCCGCTTCTTTTGGGCGATGGAGACTCGTCATTTGACTCGTCTTCTTGGCTCCGACACGCGGATCCCGGGCGGCCTTGCCTCCCACCCCAGCAAGCCAAGGCGCTTGCATAAAACCCGTCCTCGCCTCTTCTCTCCATCTTCGGATGTTCCTGACTTCGGCCTGGTCCCTTTCCAACAACCTCATTCAGCCCTGTCCAAGCGCCAAGTTCACTAAACCGCGCCCACTTATATAATTATCTATCTATATACGCAAACACTCGTTAACTATATCGAAGCGGTCTTCTTGAGCGCTGCTTGGCGATACTATGTCTGCCCGCGATTATTACCAGCAAGGCCCTCCTCAGGGTGGTTACCAACAGGGAGGCTACCAGCAGGGTGGCTACCAACAGGGAGGCTATCAGCAAGGTCCTCAGTATCCTCAACAGGTCCGTCTCTGGTCCGGTATCCTCCAGGATACTGCGCAGGACTAACAACAAGTGTTTTATAGGCATATGGTGGACCACAAGGCGGACCAGGCGGACCAGGCGGATACTACCAGCAACCTCAACCGATGCAATATCAGCAACAAGCTCCGCCCAAGAAAAACAACAGAGGATGTCTGGAGACGATGTGCGCCACTTGTCTGTGTCTTGCCCTCTGTGAGGAAGGCTGTATTTGCATGGACTTGTGCTGTTAATCGCGTTCAGGCGCGACAGCACGAGAACTGCAAAGATAGAAGAGTCTTGGATTTCAGGGTTGTAGGCGACTGGCTACCAACACCTGTAGTCCGATCAACTTTGCCGGTACCTCGATGGTTTTAAAAAAGGCAATGAAATCTCTTACGAGCCGGTTGTTGGATGGGTACATATCGGATACATCTTGGGATGATTCGTCCGGGCGACAAGTCCTGGGACGAAAACGCGATGCTCCAGCTTGCCTGTGAAGCAGAAATTATGAAGTGTATGGACTGGTATTTTGGATAATTTGAGTTGACACGGCCTGGATCGTGTGCACTAATCACTTGAGTACGCAAGCTGCGTCCACCTTTCTAACCGTGCTATAGTTGTGACGCAATGATTGTCTAACGTGGATTGGTTGTGCGACGTTCTCCTCAAGCTCAGCCCATCAATGAAACCTCAAAAACTGTCAAGAAAGAGATCAAAAGTGCAGCAAATACGGTCGCATGGTAATTTGCTCGGCACCAGTAGAATAATGTTCAATAGTTCCCAACATTGCAAAGAATACGAATGTGCCAGGATTTGACTGTTGGCTGTGACATAAAAACATGACCTCACACTGCGGCCCAGCACCTGTACTATGAGTTCGACCCCTGTAACTCCTTTCCTTGGTGGGGCCCCCGCTCTCTGACTGGGCAGCAAGCACTGATGAGCTGCTGCCACCATCGGGCCAGGGCCAATTCAAACAACCAACTCAGGTGCAGCTCCCGCCTTCATCACGGTCGACACCTGCTCAGCCCCTTTCGATACTGCGTACTCCATTATCGTCCGCGCCATCCGACGAGCCCTTCAGTTCTTTAGAAGCCGTCTCCTCCATACGCACCTCCCGGATTCCACAGCAAACCCCTCGATTTGTCTGATGCCCTACACTCCTTAGAACAGACATCATGGCATCGCTAAACTTGTCCACCAACGGACCCTCCATCAAGAGCTCCTACGAGGGCGTCGTCCACCGCGACCTCCGCAAGTCCGACTCACCAACCTACGGACAATGGGCCCTCTTCACGGTCCAGGCGCCGCTGATGAACGCTTTCCAGAGCGGAGGTGCACAAGAAAGCGTCCTCAAGGTTGAGACCAAGGGAGGTGAGCATCGACGATCCTCCCAGCTCCGTGGCGTCGTCGTCATGCTGACAAGCAGTTTGCACCAGAGGGCGAGCTCGCCGACCTGACCGAAGACTTTAATGAGGGTCGCATCCAGTTCGCATTCGTCAAAGTCAGAGATCCCAACTCCGCCCTTCCAAAGAACGTCCTCATTGCCTGGTGCGGAGGCGGTGTTCCTGAGCGCACCAAGGGCTATTTCACAAGTCACACAGCAGCTGTGGCCAAAGTCCTCCACGGCTACCACGTCCAGATCACCGCGCGATCCGACATCGACCTCGAACCAGCCAGCATCATACAAAAGGTCTCAGATGCCTCCGGTGCCAAGTACACTGCTGGCGGCTCGGCGCCGATGCCCGCCGCCGGGCCCGCGCCCCCTGTGGCTAAGAAGCCTGTCTTCACCCCCACTGTATCGAGGGGTGGAAGCTCTTTCAATCCCCTAGTGGCCGCCCGAAACCGAAAAGACGAGAATGTGGACGCAGACGGATGGGGCGCCGATGCGCCGCCGGTGACTAGGACACAGATCGAGAAAGTCGAGTCAGCCTACAAGCCTACCAAGGTGAACATTGCGGAGCTGGCCAAGAACCAGGAGCCGTCCAGGTTCAATGGGTCAGGCAGGCAGGATGACACTCCGAGCAATGTTGTGAAGGGTGCCTACCAACCAGTAGGAAAAGTGGACATTGCAGCCCTGCGAGCAGCTGCGAAGGACCAGGAGGACCTCAGGCCGACCCCAGTGAAGGGCTCGTACGAGCCTGTGGGCAAGGTTGATATTGCGGCCATTCGAGCTAGAGCGCAGAAGCCTGCCGAACCTGCGCAGCAAGAAGAGGAGGCGCCGCGTCCCTCGCTCGCTGAGAGGACCTCAGCTTTCAACCAGCCTGCACAGTCAGAGCGCCTGACCATTTTGCCGAAACCCAAGGTTGCCAACAAGTTTGGAGGGGCAAGCACGTTCACTGGCACCAAAGCCCCAACTCCTGGTGGACTTGGATTTGGTGCGCCCACTACACCGTCTGCCGCCCCTGTTGGCGCGGCCAGCCGTACATTTGCGGACCAAGGAGGGAAGACTCCAGCCCAGCTGTGGGCGGAGAAGAAGGCAAGGGAGAGGGGTGCATCGGGCTCAGGCTCGACCATCCAGCCTCCTGTGGCCTCTCCAGTGACTGCTCAAAAGAGTGGCAGCGAGTGGAAGAGCGGCTACTCAGGCAAGAGCTGGGCACCTGTTCAGACAGGAGACTATGGCCGAGGCATCACGGGCCAAAAGACTGGCGACAACGAGGAGGGAGCCAGCGAGGAGCAGCCATCATCACCATCTGGTGGCGTTTCTGCGCTGCGAGATCGTTTCAAGGCGGCCCCTCCCATGGGTGGAGCTGCGCCCGCGATTCCAAGGGCCGCTACCGGTGCCAGCGACGAGGCTCCTCCCCCACCACCTCCCGCCGACTCCAGCCGCCCAACTGGTGGCTTTGCATTGCCAGGCCTGCCGTCCCGCCCCGCTGCCGACAACCAGGAAGAGCAGGAAGAGGAGCCTGAACCCGAGCCCGAGCGTGATGCCTCACCCATCCGAGTTGCTGTTCCAGTTCCACGCGTCCCGGAGCCTGAGATCGAACCCATTCCCCAACACCTCCCCGAGCGCCCTATTCCAGTTCCTGAGGAGATTCCCACGGAGGAGGAGCTGCCCGAGGAGCAGGAGACCCATGACCTCGCACGAGGCGCTGCGACCGCAGTGGCAGAAGAGTCCTTTGGCCATGAGCAGGTGGAGGAGACCCAGGCTGCTGCTTCCGGTGGACATCGTGCGGTGGTCGAGTACGACTACGAAAAGGCCGAGGACAACGAGATCGAGCTCAAGGAGGGCGAGTATGTCACGAACATCGAGATGGTTGACGACGACTGGTGGATGGGCACAAACTCACAGGGAGAGGTTGGCCTTTTCCCCAGCAACTACGTCACCCTGGTGCAAGATGACGGTGCCGGTGCTGCTCAGGCTGCTGCTGTGCCCCCTCCACCCCCGGCCGCCGCCGAGCCAGAACCCGAACCTCAGCAGGCTGCAGCCGGAGGTGCGACCGCAACCGCACTGTTCGACTACGAAGCCGCCGAAGACAATGGTAAGCCTCTAACGGATTCGTACTCATTTTGATCTTCTACTAACAAGTCATGCAGAGCTTGGCTTTGCCGAAGGTGACAAGATCACCAACCTCGAATTTCCAGATGAGGACTGGTGGTTTGGACACTATGGTGGAAAGTCTGGTCTCTTCCCGGCCAACTATGTCCAACTGGATTCTTGAAAGAAAGAGGGGGAAAAAAGTGCATAGAGAGATGTACAGGACGAACGACTATGCAGTCTAACCTATTCCAAAAGGTGGTGTGACCTTGACATCGAAATTCAAATAACCATCATACGCTACACTATTTACCGTTCCTTTCCCTCGCGTGTCCTCTAGTTGAAGCCCAAAACTATTCGCTCCAATTCCAAGGTATAGTCAGTATTCGTTTCCAAGTACATAATCCAGGTTTCCGACTCCTGCCGCACCACCGAACGGAAGAAGGACCTCTCCTTATTTTCTTATTCTCCTGGTTTCTTTTCTCTCATTTTTTGATCCATTGACAGTTGCGTCTTTCTTTATGTTGGTCTGTCCTGCTTTCCCTCCTCCGTTGATACAGCACTTATCCTACATGCGGCACATTCGATGTCCAGCTTGTGAGATATGACTTTGGTGGCAGATAGTACAACGACCGATAGGCCTCCACGAGGAGGAAGAGGCGAGCAACAAACACGGCGCACAAGGTCGGCATAACCACTATCATAATCATGTTCCTCTTTGTTTTCGGACCCACACGTCCACGTAGCATCACGAGGAACGCGGCCATAGGCCCCGGCACGATAGGCCCCAAGGTGGTGGTGAGAGCTGATGCTCTCCATAGCCACTGTTCCGCCAGCGTCGGAAAGGCAAATTTCCATGCCAACAGGTGAATGCTCCCAAAAATCATACCGCTGTATGCCATCGCACTCATCCAGACATTCAGCTTCTGATACTGGTCCTCATGTGCCGCCTTTCCCGGCACGAAAGCGTTAGGAAAACGGCCCAGCTGCGCTCGCTGCCAGGGCATGAGAAGGGCCAGCTTGTGCAGCTCGTCTTTTGTCGGCAATCTCTCGGCGGGCACGACAAATGGCACTGCGACGTCTTTGGGCCGGAACCACAGCATGATGTAGATAAGCAGCGCCAGCACGGAGAAGGCGAGAACCATGATCTCCAGCGGACTGGAGGGCAGACCGTCGACTTCGCGCGAGATCAGGTCGACGAACAGCCAGAGAACCTGCCAGATGGCCGCCAGCTTCACCAGTCTGTCGCTCTTGTCCTTGTCCTGGATCACCTCGGGCGGTATGAAGGGAAGCTTGGAGATGAGCCCCATCCGCCGCGCCTCCAGCAGCTGCGCCGCACAGAGGGGACTGGAGCTGCCTTCTAGGCTGACGAGGCCACAGATGAGCCACGCCTGGTCCGCGATCGACCGGTTGTTGTCTGCAGAGAAGGACAATGTACACTCACGGATCAGCGACCTGGAGAGCTCGGTAAGAGCGTCGTGTGGCTCCCAGTACACTGTACCGAGGACCTCAGAGTCGCGCCTGATGCGCCGTCGTGCCTTTTCGCGGATGCCGTCTTCGTCGGGCTGTTCGCCGCGGAAGAACCTGCTAAACCTGTAGGTGAGGGCTCGCGTTAGGCGTGAGTCACTTGTTGGGCGGCGCGGTGGGATGGGTGGTACTACTCCTTCGGAGTTGTTGGAGGGTGTCGCTGCTGGGGATGAGGTTGTGCTCGAGGCTGAGCTTGTAGTAGAAGTGGCACTGGCGTGCGAGGAGGAGCGGGATATAGGGCGGGATGAGGAGGGTGATGCAGGGATTGAGGCAGAGCACGGCAGAGAGGGTAATGGCATAGGAGAAGACACGCCGGCCTCAAGATCTGCGTCAGCAGAGGTCGTCTGACTCTGCTCTGTGACCGAGAGCTCCTGGCTGCTGTTTCTACTACTCCGCCAGGAACTTGAGGCGCCTGACGATGACGGTGGGAGTGCAATACCAGAAGGAGACGGGGCATTGCCCCTTTGGCGTTGATCATCGTCATAATCTTCCTGCGGGAAGCTGATGATGAAACCTCCCATATCAGCGAGGCTCGTGTGATACCGGCTCCAAGGGACGTTGTCCTGATGCGCCAAGTCCATGAATTTGGGCGTGTGGTATAGACATGACCGCAGATCCACAACGGCCCGGGCGAAGGTCGCCTCCGGCGCCAGCAGCGTGACGATCATCCATCGGATCTTGGTCCAGGTGGTGTCGAGGTCCTTGCGGAATTTCTGTAGCCGCGTCCGAGGTACGGTCTGGATCGGGACGTTGAGCCGGAGGACGGACCACTGGTGCTCATATTAGACATTGAAATTTCTCGTGGGAAGAAAACACTCTGGCGTGCTTCTGTGGATAGGGGCCCTCACCGTGCAGAGAATGAGAATAGTTAGGCTGCTGGTGAGAACATCTAAGGTGTCGCGCTGATTGCCTCCATTCACGAAGCCCGGGATGCTGTTCGGCAGCGTGCAGTTTGAGTCGAAGACGATCATCGCCGAGGCCACCTGATAAACTGGGTATTCCTAAGATTAATCATGGAGGATGTCTTTGAAGAAGTATAGAACGCTCCGAAAAAAAAAACACGAAAAAACACCCCCCAAGACTTCTAAGGACCTGAAATCAAAGACGGAATAATGAACTCAATGGTTCAGGATATAGTTGTTGCCATTTTACTCGACGAAACGAATCTCGATGAGTTGGGTATACAGTATTTGGTAATGATAGAAGGAGCTTTCCGAGCTTGGGCGAAACCCTGTTAGAAAGCGTGGCTATGCCCCAGGTATTTGAGATTCGACCAACCTACAAGATTACCCTGGCAGCTCCGCAGCGGTGTTGAGATGCGGGCATGAATATGCACGTTGGTGGTACAATGTGTAAAAAAGGAGTGACGCCTCACGCTTTTGGGTGGGCTGAAGAACACTGCTATGGGGACATGGTACTATGCATGTAAGTGGTAGTAGAATCCTGCCCTCTCTCATATATCATTTGTGCCTGTAGACCGGGGGATCTCCGCCTTCGCCTTTTTAGACGCCGACAATGCTATGACGAGAATGCCAACACAACAGACTCTTGATAATTCAATTCTCAAGAGAGGGCAAAAGGACAGGCTGAGATTTCGTCTTGAAGGGCTCCAGTGCTATGGCGCATGAATCTGCGCGCCCGTCTAAGCGCCCGGATGGAACTGTGCCCCACTGTTGTGGGCATCAGTAAGAACCTATTGGGTATCTCTCGAAGTGCAACACTGGCCCCCCTCCTTGTGACATCCTGGATGGTCTGCCTTGAAAAGCCCCCAACACCCAAAAATTGCCAGGGCTCAAGAGCATGGTTATGGCAGTGCTGCTGGGCTGTGGCGAGAGGAGTAACACATATTACAGGTGGCTGGCTGGTAACAAGGGAACAGACAGGCATATATATATGAACGCTGTGTATGTTCTTCGAAGCACAAGTTGAGATCACTCTCGTATGTACATCGGGGGCAACTAATAAAACTGTACCGAACCGAAATATTGGCGTTCCACCGCCCATCATGTTGTCTGCAGATGACCGCCTTGTGTACGCGCACTCACAGACCACACACAGTCGGGCTGGGTAGGCCCACTATTGATGGAGGAAACAAAGGAAAGAAAGAAGTGAGACTTTGGCGAGCAAAGCCGCCTAGTCAATAACACCAACGCCAGCCCCGGCGATGACATACTCCTGCACCCACTGGTACGTTTCGGCCGACGCGATGGTCTTACCCTCAAAGTCGGAGAAGAAGCTCGTGGTGGAGCTGGAGAAGGTGCCCGAGCTGCCGAATCCATTGACCTGGCAGTCCCGGCCCAAGTATGCGGCGCACGCCTCGTTGGCCGTCGTCGAGGGCGAGGTGAAGTACTCACCCGTTGGGTCGGCGTCCAGGATGGTGGGCACGTTCTGGAAGACGCTGCCCTCGACGAGGACGTAGGCGCCGGTGCCAATCTCGAACGCGTGGCCTTCGGAGCTGTAGTCATACCAGTAGTTGTTGACGGCGTGCAGGAGTGTGTTGCCCTCGACCTTGGGCGAACGGCCTGAGAAGTGGTGGATATAGTTGCCCTTGAGGGTGACGAGGTCGTCGGATCCGTCGAAGAAGAGACCCCAGTACGCATAGGTGTCGCAGTCGGCCGAGTATGCTATAGAAGAAGGTTTCAGCACGCAACAAGAGGAGAGAGGGGTTTGTGGGGGGGAGGGGGGGATCAATTATGAGGTTGCCTTCCATTAGTATGGAGAAGGAACAGAAAAAGAAGACAGTTGCTTACAGGATGTGCCGTCAAAGTTGTTGTATGTGATGCTCACACGGGCGTCTGCCTCGGTACCCAAGACAATCTGCTGGCGACCGATTTGCGAGATCTGGAGTGAAGCATACACATGGTCAGTCCTTTTGAATCACACTGCAGAAGTATTTTGCTGGGCAGCATATCGGATAGAGCATACCGTTACATGATCAATCCACACCAAGTCACAGTCGTCCAGGGTGATAGCATCACCTCCCCATACGTACTTGGGGTTCAGGTCGGTGATTTCGATGTTCTGGATAATGACATTGCTCGCGCCGCTGACGATCCTGAGACCACGGCCCTTGATCACACCTGAGCTCCCAGAGCCGATGAGACTCTTATCGCTGGTGATGGTGATGCCGAGCGTCGCAGCAGGATAATACTCGACCGTCACCGAGGGTGCGTCAGGCTCATAGTTTGTGCACCAGTCGTCCTGGTTGATGGCTTCCTGGCAGGCAGACCCGGTGCCCCAGGGGGCACACCCGGTAGCGGTGACCTCTCCGTCGGTGTCGGTGAAGTCAAAGGTCTGCTGCAGGACAATGGTCAGGGCCTCGCTCGAGGACAGGTACGAGACGAGCTCGTCGGTGGTCGTTGGGTAGACCGTAGATCCCCCGGCACCACCCGTGGTGGCGGCAGCGAAGCCCTCAGGAGAGCCCACGACGGCCTCCGTGGCCCTCTTGCCGAGCTTGACGCGCTCTTCCTGTCTCGCCTTGATCTGCTCCGGGGTGAGAGCCGCGTGGGCAACAGTGGCGACCAGGGCGGTGCCCAGGAGGATGGATGGAGACCTCATAATGTTCTCGACTCTTGCAGCAAGCTCTGTGATAAGTCTGAGGGGCCAAAGATCTTGAACGAGGCGAGAGCTTCTTGTTGAGTGACAAGACAGGCCTGAAGAGAGGCAGAGTACTGCAGACTTATATCTTTGTGCTTTCTGCAGGCCTCGAGTGTCACCGGACTGTATTCATATACATCCTGCTTCCCCATGGCTCTGCCTTGCAGCATGCTCCGCCTTGGCAACTCCATGAACGTCCCCCTGCCCGACCATTCTATATCGACGTGAGTGAGCGTCGTTTGAGCCAATCTATACCAAGACGGCAAAGCTCTCACTTGAGGGATCACTCGTTGCTGTGTACGTGTGTGTGTGTGTGTGTGTCTGTGTGTCGTCAGTGCGGTTCGCGACGGTGCGTGTGGCCACGAGGCTCCACCGATAATACAGCCTTCTATTACCTACCGCATTCGCAGTCCATCTCCGCCCACACTGGACATGGAAACTTTGGTTTCGCTCCGAGGCCTTCTACGGCATTTCTTGCTCGCCACGATCGTGGTTGGCGGGAATAGCCTCAAAGGTTTGGGCGGTCCACAAGCTGCCCATCCTTTCGTTGGCGGGAACGCGGCAGTCCACCAATCTGAGCGTTTGACAGTTGACATGGAGCTATTTTTCTTGGCATTGAACGCCATGTGCCAACGGTAAAATGCCATATTCGTGATGGGGGTCAATAGAGTAATTATTATGGTAGATTAAGGAATGCTGCCCACTGCAGGAACAAACCTGCCGGGCTGAGTGGCATGTGACCTAGCCCGCAATCGACAAGGGAAGGGGGCCCTGGTCACACAATAGCGGATCGAGCGCCTGCCCCATTGTTGCACCGCATGCACGGCAGCGGAAGGAGCGAGGTTGCTGAGTGGCGCGCACACTATCAGTCAATCCACGCAGGTGACAAGAGCCGCTACACTATTTTTGCTCAGATCTTGTCAGTCACGATGGCTGCCGTAACCTCATCGCCGGGAGTTGCTCTGGAGTTTTTCCGGCGCAGTCCTGGAAGCTTAGCGCGCTTGGCGCGCCCGGGACAAGTGGACCAGTACTATAAAGAAGTCCGGGGAGAAAACAGATGAGGCCATCACCAATTAGAATGGTTATGTGTGCTGTCAATGATTTAATTCCTATCAGTGAATGCTCGCCCCTAGCTTTGCTGTTACAAGAGCCATGAGTAGTATACTGTAATGCAGCATAGGCCTCTTGGCTCTAATTTCTAGTTCCACCAAGGAATATCATGTTCGTGATCGATGAAGCACACGCTGTGGCAGATGTCTTCAATAATCTCAGGCAGTAGGAGAGAGGAGCGAAGGGGGCACCCTAGCCACCTGAAGGAGTAATCAATAGGACCTGCAGTGCTTACAGGGGATCTTGCAGGCGCCATAATGCAGTAGACAACCTTTCCTCCTCATCATCATCAACAACAACAATTGTATGATTTTCTTCATCTTCTAGGATACTTTGCATTCACAAGCTTCAGCATCCTCAATTTCCTTCTCCATTCATCTATTCATACAATATAATCAACACCCTTCCCATCCTTGGAGAGCAACCCTGAGCACTCACAACTCGTTGGTGTGGATAGTGTGGAGCATCAGGTCCACTGGTACTACCACCTTTGGCAGCTATAGCAGCAAAAGGAATGACATACCATACCTAGGTAGTAAGTAGTATACGACCGTCACCTCTTGCTTTCAACCACGTATGTACAGTACCACCCATCCTGCCAGTGAAGCCGCCACCATGGGCGCTCGACCGGCTCTCTGCAGCGTATGTAACGCTATTGACTTTTCTCAGGCTACAAATCTCGATATAGACCGGCCGGCAATCAAGGGAGGGGCGCATGACCAATACTACCGCGTCCTCTCACCCGTAGGAACCGCATATCGCGATCTCCTTCGCCAGGCCTTGGCTTGCCCGCTGTGCCCCCTATTGCGCGCAACTCGCAGATCACCTCAGAGGGGATGTCTGGACGACAGTGTCTACATCTCTCTGCTAAAAGACGGTGGAGTCTGCGGATTTGCTGACGGCTCCGGAGTCCCTGGAGGCGCCGGAGTCTTCGAGGTGGCAGTCCGCCCCTTGAACGGACCTCAAGATGTACGCCGGCCCTCCAAGAAGAGTACCGTGGTACTAGCGGTGCATCCCTCACGGGTAGCAAGAAGGTTTGACCCTAGGCTGCCATTGTGGTGGTTAGCTTGGTGCGAGGGCAACCATGATGGATGCCGTGTCGCTATCGGGATGCAACCGTCGCATCCGATCAGGTTGGTCGACTGCAAAGCGAGATCGTTGGTGCAGCATGATGGGAAGGCACCATATGTGGCGTTGAGCTACGTCTGGGGCAAGCACACTGAGGAATCCACTGAGAAGCAGAAAGAGGGTGCTAACAGTCCTGATTTTGAGAGGGGGAAGCTGCCGGAGAACATAACGGCGGTGATTGAAGATGCAATGGTGGTCACACAGCAGCTCGGCTACCAGTTACTCTGGGTAGATCGATACTGCATTGACCAGGAGGATAGGATCTCTGCCGACCAACAGATCAATCAGATGGACAGAATCTACAACGGCGCCGAGATCACTCTCGTCGCAGCGGCCGGAGAGGATGGGAATTACGGCCTGGCGGGAGTCAATAGAGAATTCTTCGCCCGACTCGAGTCGAGCCGGATCGAGACAGGTCCAGATGGTGCTGTCTTGATGTCAATCACAAGTGGCTCATCCACCTTTTCATTCGAGTACCAGAAATGGAGCACACGAGGCTGGACCTTCCAGGAAGCCCTACTCTCCCGCAGATGCCTGGTCTTTACTGAAAATTGGATCTTCTTCCAGTGTGGCAAGGTGCACTGCTACACGAGGCAAGGGCTTCAGCCGCCGTTCGGCCCGCTGCCCTCGCCAGACTCGGATCAAGAGCTCAAACTGGGCGCGCCAACCTCAGGCCGGTACACCCGGCTCTGGGCGCAATTCCCACGTTCCTACGCAGAACGACTCAACCCGGCTTCTAGAGATGATGCATACGGAGCTCTTCGTCCGCTTTGCGAACTCATCCAGGAATATACGAAACGGGAACTGACCTACGAAAAGGACGCCTTGCGCGCCATTCAGGGGGTTCTCAATCGTTATATCGACCTGCATCATAAGCAGATCCATCACCTCTGGGGCATCCCATTTATATCTCCCGACCCTTTGCGTGATGGATCGGTTTTTACCGAATGTCTTGCCTGGGTCTCCGCTTCTATGAATGGGCCTTTCTTCTTGAGCCGACGCCGTGACTTTCCATCATGGTCGTGGGCAGGCTGGAAAGGCCGCATAGAGTATTCTCTGCCGCGCAACGAGGCGCACCTTTCGAACAGGGCAGTCTTATGCTCGACGCGGGATAGCAAGCGTGGTGCTGGTTCAGTGCTTGAGCTCGAGGCCATGTTCATCCCTCCTGGCGACTTCCGCAGGAGAGGAGATTTCGAAATCACTCTATCCAATTACCACGATCTGAGGTGTCATATCTACGACATGGGGCAGAACCAGAAAAAAATTCGTGACGACATGCTAAGCGGACACGAAAGAACCCGCGTGTGTGTTATGTATGAGTTTCTCACCAGCCATACCCGGGGGCTGCACGGCTTGTTGCTTGCTCCAGCATTGGAAAACGCTGAAGCATCGGACAATGCTGGGATGTACTATCAACGTATTGGGGACGTACGTGCTATTGCTTGGATAAACGGAGCGCAGACGATACCGGGCCGAATGGAGGTATCGCAGACGCAAGCACATAGCCATGGAGAAAGAACATGGTCTGTTGAGAAGTTCATATTAGTGTAATACATGCAGAAAGCAGTCCTCAGTCCTATCTCAGGCATACCTACATCGCCTGGACTGACAATTATCTTGCACTAGAGTGCTGTGTTAATTCCTTAGCAATAGGGGCATGGTTATTAGCTAAAATGCGAGACATACGAGGGAGAGAATAAAGATAATTAGCAATTATCGAGAGTGTAGGTGGTTGTAGTAGAAAGCCTGAGGTACGGATTTCGGGAACAGCTGGCGATCCGTCCCGCTGCGGCTTCAGCCGCACCATACTCACGCACCCAGCCAGCTAGCACATCCCAGTCATGCTAAACAATGCAGGTGATGCTTGTAGACTATGACAAAGCAACCTGTATCTCCCACCCCCAATTGAGTGGAAACACCTGAAAAGTCAGGGGTTTTTTCTTTTCTTCCTTTCTTTTTTCAGTTACAAGAAACGTCCGAGCTGCGCGAGATGGCCGATCATGATGGTGGGGACGGCGACGACAACGAGGGCCGCTCCTATGGCCAATACCAAATAGAGCTCTACAAGAATGGCGCTCTTCTCGAACAGCCGCCAGAGGTCACGACCGACCCGACCAAGCTTCAAGAGCAGGCGAGGAAGGCAATGCCGTCCGGGCCCTTCAACTACATCTATGGAGGGGCCGGAGAGGGCGCCACCATGGATGCGAACCGGCTCGCGTTCCGACAGTGGAAGATTATCCCGCGGTTTCTAAGGCCTACTCTGCCGCGTGACCTGAGCATCAAGCTCTTTGGCCAGACCTATCGTGAGTCACTGCTCCACTTCTGCACATCGTCGAGTAGAGGGTGTCGTGGCGATTCAGTACTTAGGAAGCAGCCTTCCCTAACGTCGAACGCCCGTTTCTACAGCAAGCCCTGTGGTCATGGCTCCGATAGGCGTCATGGGGGCCTATCATGAAGACCGCGAAGTGGGAGTTGCTGCTGCGTGTGCGGAGCTGGGCGTGCCCTTCACGCTGAGCACGGCGAGCACCTCCAGCATCGAGGAGGTGGCAGAGGCCTCGGGCGAGGGCTCAGCAAGGTGGTTCCAGCTGTACTGGCCCAACGATGAAGAGTTCACGGCATCGATCCTCAGCAGGGCCAAGAACAATGGCTATACCGTCCTCGTGGTCACCCTGGACACGTTTACCATGTCATGGCGGCCGCTCGATCTGGATGCCGGATTTCTGCCGTTCGTCAAGGGACAAGGCGTGCAGGTTGGCTTCAGCGACCCCGTCTTCCGGCGCAAGTTTGCTGAGATGAGTGACGGGGAGACGCCAGAGGACAATCAGTTCCTGGCATCTCAGATGTTCATTGCTGATGTCTTCTCGGGCAACGCGCACAGCTGGGAGGACCTCAAGGTGCTGAAGAAGTACTGGGACGGCCCCATCGTGCTCAAGGGCATCCTCAGCGCCCAAGATGCCAGGCTCGCCCTGGAGCACGGCATGGACGGCGTAATCGTCTCCAACCACGGAGGGAGACAGATGGACGGGGCGGTGCCGTCTCTGGAGATGCTGCCTGAGATTGTAGATGCAGTCGGCGACCAGATGACCGTCCTGTTCGATTCTGGCATCCGCACCGGCGCCGACATCATCAAGGCCCTGTGCCTAGGTGCGAAAGCTGTGCTCGTGGGGAGGCCTGTGATGTATGGGCTGGGCATACGCGGCAAGGAGGGCGCGCGACATGTTCTGGCTGGGCTGCTGGCCGATCTTGACCAGAGCATGGGCCTGTCCTGCGTGAAGAACATTGGCGAGCTCAACAAAGACAAGCTGAGGAGGGTCATGCATGGTGGAGATGTGAAGGCGGCCCTATAGTCTTGGATATGTATGTGTATGCACTGTAGTGTAAGTACATAAATTTGTATGTATATATGTCAAGAGATTGTTCCGTCTCTTTAAACCCTAACGTAATGACAAATCCGCATTCACAAGTTTGGTCGATGGAAAACCTTGATCTGTAGCGGACTGCTGACCTTCTTCAGTTGGCTTGTTGTGGAACGAGACAGACGAGAGATGAGAGGACATTGTTCTGGTTGTGGTCGGTTGCTTCGCGAGCACGGCACTAGACTGGTTGTGGATGAGATAGTCTTCAGGTGACGTTGGGAGTCTGCGCCTTCTGGACGGATGTCTCAGGGGAAAGCAAGGGAGGGGTACGACCGTTGGGGGTGGTCTTGCTTCTTTTGGAGGGGTAAGCACCGGACTCTTGGGGGCGAGACCAGCAACTGGGCCCTGGACCCGGCCGGATCATCATCGTCCCATACCGCTGCAGGCGCCTTAGGTAAGGGAAGCTAAGTGAGTACCTAGGTCTCCAGGCCATACCTTCCAGGTCCGAGCTGCCTGAAAACGCGAAACTTCTTTGTTGATGCTTCAACCATCAACGAGTAATGGCCTTCCTCCCCTTGGATGGTGGCTATTTAAAAAGGTCTTGATCGCCACTCTCGAGAAGCCTGACATCTATCAACCATTATTGACAGGCTTGCTTTTTCTTGTTCCAGACCAGGAGGACGCGGCGCAACCACATTTTTGTTTACGGCTCTCGTGTTGAAAAATCACATTTCCCTTCATTGCCCAACAAGTCACAAAAACTCTGGAGCTACCCAGCAGCGACAACGCATCTTGCAGCCTGAAAGCACTCGTATTGGCCATTCTGAGCCGCTCTCTTCAGCTCCAGGGATACATTTGGACCTGCGAAAGACGGACAAGTCTTTCGTCTTGAGACACAAAATTTTCCCCTGCTGCGACAACGCTTTGGATCGTTGTCGCCCCCCTCGCGTCACCACCGCATTTGTTTTTTTCTTTTCTTCTTTCTTCCCCCAATGCCCACAAGTGTAGTTCAACTACGCACTGTTCTCTGTCATCGTTCTCCGATGTTCTGCTGTCCACAGCTCCTCGAGAACTCCCCTTCTTCTCTCCCTTTTGTGTCTCGTCTGGGGTAGTTGGTAGTTGGACAGCCATTGCTTCCGTTACAATGGCTGACGGGAACTACAAGGTCCCCGTTGACATGACGGCTGCCGACCCAGGTGCGCCTACCGCTGACTTTCTCCCCCTGGATAACAGCGACAGCCATACCCAAGACGCTCATGAGGATGCCCAGGACGACGATGGATCTGCTTCAGATGTGTCGATGGCAGCCGAGAGTGACGATGATGAGGAGTACACTGCAGAGACCTCCGACCTCCCCCAGCCACGAGCTGCCCAGTCTGACCTACATCCCCCGGCAGCGACAATAGAACTCTATACTGTTGGACAAGAGGAGAGCATAGCAAAGAAGCGCAAATCTATCGAGGATGCACCGGTTCATGACAATGGGAGAAGAACCTCGGATTCGTTTAAAAAGGTGAAAATGGGTGACTCCGAGGCAGAGCCTCACGGAAATGGCAGCTCCTTGAAAGACCCCTCTTTCTTACCCGCCGAAGTGTGGCATGCCATATTTGGTAATTGTCCTCCCAAAACTCTGGGCAGCTTACTTCTTGTCTGTCGGCTTTTCAATGTGTATCTGGACCCTTCATCTACGATACAATGCGAAAGGCCCCTTCCTCTTTCTCGCAGCTCTTTACCAATCCTGAAGCCCAATGCTATTTGGCAGGCTTCACGACGACGTTTCTGGCCTGGCATGCCCAGCCCATTGCAGGACAAGACAGAATTATATATGTGGCAGTTGTCTTTGCCCAGCTCTTGCCAACACTGCGGCGCCACGCCAGGTGCATCTCAAGGGGCAGGAGGAGACCCCGACCCTTGGCAGTCCGGCCCTGGTCGAGACGGTGTTGCGATTATATGGGCATTTGCGACACGGTCTTGTGGTACCTGTCTTTTGAGCAAATCGGTCAAGGTTGGTCCCGATAGAGTGAAGAATCCACGTGTTGGTTCTAACGTGCTACCAGGAAATTGACATCCTGCTGTCTTCATCTACACCCAGCACGCTCATGGCGGCACTGCCATTCATGTTTGTTACTCAAGGACTGCAGGCTGTAACTCCTGCAGTTGTCGAGAAGGGCCAGCCACCAGGCATTGGCCCATTAACAAAGCTTTACTGGTCCAGTCATGTGGATGACTTGAAGCAGGAGTTCTTTAGTGTAAAGGCGATGGGCCCTGCCACGGCTGAGGAATGGCTCAAGGGCTTGAACGGCCGTGGCCTGGAACGGCGTAATGATGCCTTAAGATGGGAAAAATGGGCGTCAACCACCGAGGGCCTGGGCCTGATGAGATCGATTTTGTATCCTGGAAACCGGCCACCGGCAGTTGCTAGTCTTGGGAATGCAGTGTGCAGTACTTTATCAAGGCCATCTGCCCTTCACATTCCCGGCCTCGGCGCCAGCAATGACGACAGTCGACCTGGCAGCCCGTCCATTGATCCAAGTCAGTGGACCAACGAGAACTCCGATCGTTTTCGTCGCTCATCAAGTGGGGCCGTCTCCCACTCCGGCCGTTATGAGAGGACCAAGGAAGAGGTCGCGGGTCTCAAAGCTGCTCGAAAGGCTGAGATAGAGCGGAGGGCGCTGGCACTTGACCCGCCACTGCCACCAAACATCCTGGTGCATATTCCCTCCTTCCAAGCTGCGTTGCAAATCATCACCCCCCTGGACGAACAGGGCTGGGAACTATTAAAACCACGACTTTTGGCCCAAAAATCGGATGCTGAGAGAAGAGAAAGAGAAAATGCTGCTCGGACCCAGAAAGAGTTGAGCGAGAAGCGGAATTCGAGCGTCACGACAAAAGAAGCACGTGAGACGGACGATGCTGATTGGGACGAGGTACAAAGACCTGTTCGAGCTCGTATTGCAGGATTTGCCGACGAGATCATCCGAGATGGCTGGGAGGACGGCGACAAAGTCAACACCGACACCTGCCCAAAATTCGCGGTTGAGGTGCTTACATATATTCGCAAGCGTTTCTACGCCGAGGTCGCCAAAGATGCAGCTGTGGCACGTGCAGCTGGAAAATCACCAGTCGTGGATGCGCCCCAAGGACCGTACACGCAGAAGCTGACGCTTGAAAACATGAAATGGATCTTTGAAATGAAAGTAAAGCCTCACACTGAGCGATACCGGAAAGAGATCTTCCTCTGCAACGGCTGCGAGGTAACTGTGAGGTACTACGGCTTCGAGGGTGTCATCCAGCATTACGCTGCAAAACATACTCATGCTCTCAGCATCGGCAACGTGGTCGTCCACTGGAGGGCAGAATGGCCGGAGCACCCGCCCTTCACATGGGAACGGAAGCCCGCAAAGACCAGCTTCTACCCAGGCCAACCACCTGGCACAAACGGCTACCAACCATTAGGACCTCCACAACAATACCAGTCCATAGCGGTTGGTCCAGGTCCGCCCCCAGGTCCACCTCCACCTCTGGCTTATGCGCCACCATCATGGAGCGAGGCGTATTCTCAGGGAACGCAAGCACCATACCCGGCCACAACTGGTGGCTACGCCCCCTCACAAGGATACCAGGCGGGTTTTTATTCTTCTTCGGAACCTTCTCGACCTTTTCCTGCCACTCAGGCGCAACAGTCGAGCTTCAATGGACCCGCGCAATCCCAGACCGCTGGATCGTACAGCTACAATTACGGGACGTACCAGAGCAACAGTCAAATTGGGTATCAGCCACCTCCATTCTCCAATCAGCACACAACCCATCTCGAGGAAATGGCGCGTATGGCCCGGGAACTCTGGAATGCGACATCCAACATGAAAGACACTCTTTCTATTGTAAGGGTTCAGGTGGTTATATATCATCTGGCCAAACGATTCCACGCAAAATTCGCCTCTCCGCTCCCACTTTCGACCTTCATTGATGGCCTGTCGAACCACAAAGATATGAGACCTGTACGGAATGTAAATGGCTTGATCTGTCGGGTCTGTCATCAAGGGATTGGTGGCTATGTTGTTCCCGAGGAGGAACGCAAATCATGGTCGTTGCCTCAGTTGACCTCTCACTTCCAATCCAGGCACGTGGAGCATTTTATGCAGTTGGGTCAATACGGACAGCCACCAGAGTGGACTGTCGAGATGGTAATGCTTCCAGAGCCCGCAGCAGTCAGCAATCTACGTGCAGCTATCGGCACGGATGGACTCAAGTACCATCTGGTCAATGAAGCTGTCCCTCATCTGCTTGAAGCTTCAGGTGCGCCTCAAGCTGCTGCACCCAATGGACAATCCATGTGGCATGAGCAAACTGGCATTCATCATGGTGTTGCTGAAGGTCCTGCATCGTATTACAGCCAAAGCAAACTGAATGATTCCGCCCAAGATCATGACACAGGACAATTTCAAGAAGCAGCAGGCGCTGCTCCCCAGCTTCTTGGTGGACCGGCCGTTGTGTATCCCTACACCGAGCCACCACCTGCCGGGAGCACGGATTCAGCATTACCAGCCGAGAATTCTACACCCCCAGCGGTCACTGTAATCAATCCTACCGTGCCATTAAGCCACAGCGATGATGGTGGATCCCGCTCGTCCCAGGGCTACCGCGGAGGCCGTGATCAACACTCTCGATACTCAAAAAAGAACAAGAAAAAGGGCGGCAACAACCGGGATATCAGCGACGAGGAAGTGCGCAAACGTACCGAAGAAGAGCAGAAAATGGCAGAAGAGGAGGCAGAGCGGGAGGCAGATGTGATTCGAGCAATGTGGGCAGCGGACAGAGCCAATGCTGCTGGCAAGACTCTGCACCTTGACGGTGACAAAGCAGGAGAACGAGAGAACACCGGCAAATCTGGCCACTCTTCCAAGCCGTCTTCCAAGCCAGGCACTCCCAAGCAGCGGAATCGGTTTCAATCAAGACCGCCAAGGAACTCTCCTCGTAAAGACGAACGTGCAAGTCCCTTGGTCTCTCGAGAGCTGAGTCAAGCTCCACCTGCTGCTGCTCAGAGGGACGCTGCTCATCGTGGGCATCAGCTGTCGAATGTTACTTATGTGGATAACACGCCAGAGGATCTACCGCGCAGAGAGTGGCCACAGACATCTGGTGGTTATGGCCAGTATAATACGCCTCCGCTGCCTCCCCCGGACGCTCGACGTCGCGGATCACGATCTCCCATCCACATGGAATATGGTCGACCTCCTCCAGTTGATCATTATCGTCAGAGGACCCCGCCCCGTCAACCAGGTGAACCCCTCCGCCAGTCCAGGGACCCTATACTCATGGACGAGCGAGGGCCTCGGCCTCAAGATGATCGTGTACCTCGCGAGTATCTGGCTCCGCAGGGCGATCTGATTGAGATTGAAATCATCGAGTACCGCAGACCAGATGGCACAGTCTGGATTGAGGAGCGGCCCATTCGCCGCATTCCCAATACCGAGACCGAGCGATTTTATCGCGATGCGCCGCCACCGCCAGGGCCTGCAGCATACGACCGCGCTGAACTCCCGCTTCCCCCAGGGCCGTATCATCGACGACAGCCACCAGGACCAGCAACTGATGAGCCGATCCTTCTCTCTGCAGGATCATTCCATCGTGGCCAGCCCGCTCGTCCAGCTGTTGAGCATTATCCTCCGCCACATGATAGAGCCTATCAACGTGCGCCTCCTTTGCCACCATCCACGGCTGAATCTAGCATGTATGACCCACGGTACCCTTCAGATACCGCCCTGAGACGCAATGACCCTGCACCTCATCCTCCGTTGTCACAGAATGCCCAAGTCTACTACGAAGAGGAGTACGACCCTCGCTTCCCCGTTGGCCCTCCCGGGATGCCTGCGCATCCTCCGAGGACTACGAGATACTAGCAGGTCAATCAGATTCGTGGTAGCCGGACGAGCCGTCCTCAAGTCCCAAGTTGGTCGCCCGTGACACTAATCCACCGCTCGGTCACACCTTGAAATAATTCCTCTATACAAGGCTTGCCTTGTGCGTTGAGTCCAGTTTCACACAGCCGACTAGTGTTTACCGTATTCGCATCGATGATGTCGTCTTCACACGCAGATTGATGAGAGCCAAGTCGGCAGGGATGATTATAATGGTGTTTGTGAGAAGATTTTCTAGGGAAGTTGACATCGAAATGAGGCTCATGATGAAAAAAAGGTCAATGACTTGCTTTGCTAAAGTTGACAATTTTATTATGCAAGCAGGGCAGAAGGACTGATTGATCATGGCAATGATGAGTAAATCAAAATTAAAGCAAAAACAGAAATATTTTAGAAATCGTTCATTGAGTGTGAGTGTGTGTGTGTGTGTGTATGTAAGCTAATGTCTGAAGTATCAGACCTCTGTTCTATTGAGATTGATGACTTTGTGGTGAGTTGTTGCAGGCTTTGGGTGGAGCAAAGTACATGTCTATACATACAATCCAGTTGGTGAAAGGCGAATTCTATCAGTCGCCGCATCTCCGGCCTTGCCAACCGACCCCCAGCCCCCACGCCTTTTTTAATTTGAAGTTCCATCCAAAAGGACCCAAGACCAAGAACGAAATCCGTCTTCGCCTCAAGCCTTCCGTCATCACAGCATTCGTCCATCATCTGTCGTCACAAGCATGGCCCGTCCCTCCTCACCGTCTCTGCACGTACGCATCAGGATCACTCTGTCCTCGACCGCCAGATCCAGCCCTCTGCTTCGCTGTATCTATAAGGATAGGTCTGCTCTACACCACCTCGCCGATGATCTTGGCAGCCTCCTTGTATGTCTGGAGCAGCTTCTCGCATTTCTCGCGCTCCTTCTTGATGCCGTCGTCCTCATACAGCAGCTCCTCGAAGAGCGCCTCGCGGTACAGTTCGCTGACGAGACGGTTCTGAACTTCATCACGGCAGTGGTTGACCAGCAGGTGCATGATGGCTTTGGGGACCTGGTCGGCAATGGACTCGCGGACGATGTTGAAGTAGGACGAGATCAACGCCCTGATCAGTTCTGTCTCCATCTGCTCCCGGTCGGTCATAGCCGGCTCGCCGGTCGCGCCCTTTTGGGAGAGAAGAGAACCCAGTCAGCAACGAGTCTTTCCAAATTATTGCAAGTACAAACAAACAAGGATGACTTACGAAATCGGCGCCGCGAGGCGTCGAGCCAAACATGAAATCATCCGAGCTAGCTAATGGTGGCATAGCCTGGATAGGTGAGCGCAGGGCAGGCTCCTGCTGCCTTATGCTCTGGGCAAATGAGGGCTCGGAGCTTTGGCTGACATGCCGTCCAATGTTCGGGCTGTGGGTATGTGCGGGCATTGCCGGCTGGGCCCCGTCCTTGCCGAAGAAATAGTTCAAGAAAGAATCCTTCGCGCCGCTGCCTGCACCTTGTGGGTTGTACCTCATTGGTGAGCTTGCGCGAGCTCCATTCAGTGCTGAAGTGATGCCGCCGGTGCCGTTCTCCTTGACTGCTGGCGACATGCTTCGTGCGGCGCCCTTAGCTTGCGTCTTACGGATTGAGGCATGTTCGGCCTTTTCGACAATGGTCGTCGACTCCTCCTCGTCGACCTCCTCAGTACCGTTGGCGCCAAGTTCTTTGAGACGCCTGCGCTCTCTGCGCTCACGCTCCTCCTGGATGAGGCGTTTGCGCTCCCTCTCCTGCTTGGCGCCTACAACGTTGCTCATTGCTGCCGCAGCGCCGAGAAAGTTGGGGTGATTGGTGTTGATATAGGCACGCTGTATTGAGATTAAGGACTCCACGTAGGATGACGAGGGCCCCAGGCGTTCTCGCAAGAGATCGGACACCACCTCGATTAGCTTGGCCTGCAACCTTGGAAAGCGCGACAGCTCCGTATTACCACATGTGTGGCAGATCTTGATCAATTCCTCGTACACCAGTTCAACGCAGCGTTGACTTGGCACTTCCAACATCTTGATCTGGGGCTTCACGAGGAGGTCAAAGGCCATCTCAGGGACAAACAGACTAGGTCGCGGGCCGGTGGAGTTCCTAATAGCTGTGCGGATGTCGAGAGCAGTGAGGTTTGAGGTCGGGTCGATGGACTCGAGAGACATGCCGAAGACGGAGTTGAAAATGTAATATATCCGAGCACCACCACATAGCTCTTTCGTGGAGATCTCGGTCGAGGTACCGTCGATCGAGGCAATGAAAGAGGACGCGAAGCGGGTCATGAGCTGGAGGATGAGGGAGCCCCGGTGTTCTCTGCCACTAAACTGCATGTTGCCATAGCTGGCCAATTCCTGCTGCGTCTGGCCCATGAGCGTGTTAAGCCGAGCTTTGATATCGGGGAGACGGTCCCGGATGTGCGCCATGAGTGTCGTGTTAAGAGTCTTGGCCAAGAACCGCGTGCCGCATTTCATTGCAATATTACGGTAGGCTGGATGCAGCTTGAAGAAGTTCTCCTCGTCCTTGAGCGCCTCATCCATGGGCTTGTTGCCTTGAATATCCTGCTGTGACCGGTTCACAACGCCGATCCAGCCCAGCTTCAGAGGATACACCCGTCCGGACAGGATGTCCAGCGCGTTGGTCCCGTGATCCATGAGATCGACCTTGGTCAGGACACCAATCGTCCTCCTTCCCAAGGCGTCCACATGGCGTGCGAGCTTTAGGGCTTCCGAGTTGACAATATCGACGTTCGCTGGGGAGACGGCGAGGATGATACTGTTGGGCTTGGCAATGAACTCGGAGATCAGGTTGCGTGTCTGCTTTTCGATGTCTGCGGGTTGGTCACCGATAGGTACCTGGAGGCGAATGGGTTAGCTATTGAGATGTTTCTGGAAGGCTTAGCCCAAGCAGCCCTGCCTACCTTGGTCAGACCGGGCAGATCCACCAGTGTGAGGTTGAGCACGTGAGGGGAGTAGATCTTAAGGTTAATAGGCTGTCGCGTGATGCCCTTATTGTTTCCTGCGACGCGAGAGGTTTCGTTCTCGATCTCGCGCTTGACGTCGCCAAAGTCGGTGAAACGCCTATTGGGAATGTGGTTGAACTCTGCCCACTCGCCAGGTCGCGCCACGTTATGGTTCCATTGTGAGCTGTGGTTAGCCGCAGCAGCCTCGGCCTCCTCGTCGGGGACGTTGATCAGCTGAAGGATCAGAGGCCGCCGAGTAACAATACCGCTGCCTCGAGGCAGGAAATCTCGACCGACAATGTTCTCGAGAACCGAGGACTTGCCAGCAGACTGTGAGCCTACCACGACCTGGACACACACAAACAAGGCTTGTCAGCGTTTCATTTTTATTTTCGACCCAACCGAGTCTGAAGCTTCGCAGCTGGCCTGCACGTACAATCTGAGGGAGGTCGAGCGAGTCGTTGCCAATGGTGTTGAAGACGAGGTCTTGCAACTTGTTGACGGTCGACAGCAGGTCGTCACCAAGTGCAGCCATGGCGCAGTATTTGATCCGGCCAAGATCTGTCCCTTCTCTGGAGTGTTTGTATTTCTGAATTGGTATTTGACAAGGTTTTCTTTCCAGGTAGACCTGGGAATCGTGACTATCCTTTCGAGACTCGCGATCTCGAGGACCCTGGCGTAGTCGAACCTAGGGGATAGGGGAGCACCAGCTGTGGGTAGGTAGTAGGTAGTATGCGAAGAAGGTATAGAGGAGATAAACAAAATCTGCCGCTGTGAGGTAGCCGGTTCAACACCTCCAAGATCCAAGGACAGGGCAAGTAAAGGGTGATGATCGATGGTTCAGGGAGCGACTCGACAGCAGCAGGCGCCCGAGTTGTTGTGTTGCTGTGGGAAAAAAACAACGGTCCAAATTAGACATTCATGCCTCTCTTTCCGCGGTACAAGCGACAAGGTTGGGGACAAATTTTGGAAGGATAAGTAAGGAGGGGGGTTGTAACAGGCGCGTCTCCGTCATGCGCCTCCAGCTCTGGGCCTGTTGGCGTTTGGCGGCCAGCCCGGCCGGTGGGGACTGGTTAGTTGGCCGTTTCACCCCTGTCGTCCCTACAGATGGCCACTATGGTGGTAGCACTGTAGGCCCTCAGAAGCCAAGCCACACGTCATCCTGCAGGGGGGAAACTGTACCATAGCGTGTACTATAGTATAGTTAAGCCAAACAAACACAGCGCTAGGGATTCTGCCGGGTCATCGTCTCAACCCAAGGCTCGATTGGAAGGTAGTTTGCCAGCATTTTCAGATGGACCAACGGATGAAGCTGTCCGAACGTTCAGAACAACTTACAAGCTAGTCTGCTTAGCTTTTTTATCCTTCCTTTTCCCTAAAAGTTCCTGCAGTAGTCAGCACCAAGGCCAGCCAGAGCCAATCATCCTGGCTATTACAAGGACCATACTGTATTTTTTTTTCCGCCTCGCAGTAAGAAGAATTGAGTTGCGTTGAGGTCGAACCACGCCACCAGATCGCAAATTTACTCGAACTCGTCGTTCGTCTTCTGTCGCAATGAGTGGCTACGGTCCTGGTGGCGGCCAGCTTTACACAAAGCCCACACCGTACGCATATGTACCCACCCCAAGTTAACTCGATCTTATCCCGTGCTCTGAATTGCAGGCTGACTTTCTGAAGGCCGCAGAGGGGGAGTTTTCCTCTCGATCATGATGGTATGTTTGTACCCCTCCCCCCCCCCCTCCTTTCCCCCTTCCAAAAAGGGAGAAAAAAATAGGGGGCGGGAAAAAGAAGTGAAGATTTTACTAAGTGATCTAATATTCTTGCAGGCGAGTGTAAGCAGGCCATGTCGTCGTACCTGGCGTGCATCAAGAAGGTCAAGGGTGTCAACGAGGATTCTTGTCGCGAGCTTGCCAAGGCATATCTCTCATGTCGGATGGACCGGAACCTGATGGCTAGGGATGACTTTAAGAATCTGGGCTTCCAGAGTCCTGACCAGACTCCAAGCGGAGACAACGGTACAACTACGAAGACTCCCACAGCACAGTCCAAGACTGCATGAGTAGCATGCAGCATGCCTTATGCCGCCATCGGGATTTGTCAAGCACGAGGGCTGGAAGAGAGGAAGGCGCTGGCCCCGGAAGAGACACGCACAATCCTGGAAAGTACGGCTGTCTGATGGCGCCTGCTGCGGACATCATCCTCCAACGACAGGCAGAACCACGCAGCTCACGTGCAATAATGTACATCACGGTTGCCTTCTAGTCTGTGCCGTCTCGGAACCACCATCAACGAACCCTCATACCAAATCCCACCTCCATCGATCGACCTAGGCATACTGTTTATTCTATTTTTCTTCTTGCTACCACACGCTCACCATCCTAATACATATAATAATGGAGATACCACCTGTCGCGAAAACTACAACGATCCTTGCCCTTTCTCTCACGTCAACCGCTCTTCCACACATGCGTTCGACAAATAATTCCACCCAAGATCTCGTAGCTCGCCATGCCATCTTACAACACAACGTGGCTGTCATGGTCTCGGCTGTTCTCGCCTCTGCCTACATCTGTGGAGTTCTCTTCGGCGTGGTCTGGATCCTGACACGGGAGTACGATACGGAAGCCGGCCCGCCCTGGGTTCCCAGTATTTTCCGCACTGAGGCCCTCTGCGTCTTGTTCGAACCGCTCGTCTATTTCTGGCCCGCGATCCTGTGGCCTGTCTTCCTCCTGTACTGTCTTTTCTATTTCACCGCCGACAAGATGAATCGCGCCACGACGTGTTGCGGGAGGCCTAGGAGCATTGCGAAGGAGCGGGCCCGACGGCAGTCCATGAATGGCAGCAGCATTGGCGGCACGTCGTCGTCTTCTGATGTCGAGCTTGCCGCGGCTCGACCCTTACGGTCCCTGATCTCGTTAGGCCCATGTCCCACGCCACCGCCAGCGTACCAATCAAGAAACCCGTCCATCATCATGAGAAAACTTAGGCTCGATTCCACGGCCAGCAGCATAATAAGCCCACGCAGCTCCAGAAGCGACTCGACGACAGTTATAAACAAGCCACAAGTGCAAGCGCAAGGAAAAGATCAAGGAAAAGATGAAGCGTCAGGGTCGGACAACTCAGAATCGTAAGCTGCCCTGGCAGGAATGGACGGGCTGGGACGGGTGGATGATAGGTAGTTTTGAAGGTGGGCGAGAACGAAGAGGGGGGTCTCGAGGATCAAGGAACAGCGCCAGTCTACTTTCTTCTTTTCTTTCTTCTTCTCCATGAATATGAGTATGGTAAAGGTACCACCATAAGAGGTCCTGGTATTAAGTAAGCTGCAAATGTAGCCCTGTGCATCATGCAATAGCCCTACGATCATTCTCAACCTAATGTTTATGGCTTCTTCATGGACCAAGCAAGATATGATATACATCAAGTCCAAGTCCAGTTTGGCGTCATTGCTGGTGAGTCGGCTATATGCCCCACTCTTGGAAGGGATTGCATACAAGTGTTCGCCATTCCGTACCGAAGTTCGTGCCACAGTGCGACATTAAGATTGCAACTTAGCCGATGTGCCCAACTTTTCCTATTACACACTAGTGGTCAGATTTATAGCAGCAGCTCGTCGTCTACAAATATTTCTGCTTCCATCCCCAGCAGTCATCAATTCAGCAACAATAATTGATAGATATCTCGAATCTAGACTGACTTTTTCTTCATCTACTGGACAATTGCAGTTTGAAACAATTTTGTATTTTATTCCATGATTACTATTCAGAGCTCGTAACATTCCCCTACACTTTTTTTTTTTTCATTCAACCACCATCTATGCTGTCAACCTCATCCGCAATGTCAAGATGCAGTCCACCATGAGACTTCCTCTACGGACAAGAAGCAAATCCACAAGTCTTTACCATGGCCTGAAACAACAATCTCACCCGTTCGCCACCTCGTCCCACCGCCAGAACGGCTACCAGTCCACGGTCCGCAACCTACGCATCGGCTCGTCCACACGCGTCATCTTCCAGGGCTTCACAGGCCGTCAAGCCACGGCCAACGCCCAAGAGTCCATAGCATGGGGTACCAACATCGTAGGCGGCGTCACCCCCGGCCGCGAAGGCGAGCACCTGGGCCTCCCTGTGGTGCCCACGGTGCGGCGCGCGATGGACGAGCTCAAACCCAACGCCACAGGCATCTACGTGCCCGCCCCGTTGGCCCCAGCAGCGATCGAGGAGGCCATCGAGGCTGAGGTCCCGCTCATCGTCGCCGTGGCCGAGCACGTCCCGCTGCACGACATGCTGCGCATCCACAGCATGCTGCGGACACAGGACAAGAGCCGTCTCGTGGGGCCCAACTCCCCCGGCATCATCTCCGCCGCCGAGGAGCAGCGGTGTCGCATTGGGTTCCAGCCGCTGCCGTGCTTCAGCGCAGGGCGCGTGGGCATCGCTTCCAGGAGCGGCACGCTTAGCTACGAGGCCGTGGCATCCACGACGAGGGCGGGGCTGGGGCAGAGTCTGTGTATCGGAGTGGGTGGGGACGTGTTGCCTGGGACGGACCTGGTCGAGGCCCTGCAGGTGCTGGAGATGGACCCTTACACCGAGGCCATCGCGCTCATTGGCGAAATTGGGGGGGACGGCGAGGTGTTGGCTGCGCAGTGGATCAAGGACTACAACGACCGCACGGCCGAGGCGAGGAGGAAGCCCATTGTGGCTCTTGTCGCGGGCAGGCAGGCGCCCAAGTACAGGGTGATGGGCCACGCAGGCGCTTTCTGGGTTCCTGGAGAGCCCGACGTCAAGCAGAAGGCGGATACGCTGGCGGCTGTGGGCGTGAGGCTTGTCAACCACCCTGCCAAGATCGGCGCTGCGCTCAAGGAGATGTTGGACGAGAAGGCACGGGCGGCGGTCACAGCAGAGACGGTCGGGGCTGGGGCTCAGGAGGATCCCCCATCCTCCTTCTCCTCATCATCCTCTCCTCCTCGGCGTGACTCGACCACCACCACCATCACCGGGTCGTCCGCGCTGGGGACGGCTTCTCCTCAGCAGCAACAGACGCGAGGAATGTCGACGTTTACCCGCACTTCTTCTTCTCTTTCGCTGCGCACAACACAGTCTACGACAGCAGTGCCAGTTTCTAGTACCACTTGTCCACGACGACCCCAGCCGGGCCAACATCGCAGCCTCCACCTCAGCCACGAAGACAGCCTGAGCCTCCTTAGGGAAGAGAAACTCAGCAGCCAATTCGAGACCGACAGGTTCCCTTGCCGCTACCTCGCCATCGGCATAGACCGCGCGTCCAGGTCACAATGTATCCTAGCTGCCATACTCGCAGGCGAGCAGAGCTACCGAAAACCCCGTCTCTTTCACAAGATCCTTCTCCCCGACGGCGTCACAAACATTCGGGGCCTGAACAAGCAGGAATGGAGAGACCTCATAACCCTGCTCGCCAAGCGGCTCGACATGGTCGATGCCGATTTGAACAAAAGACACAACCGCGCCCTGACCTTGGCGCTGCGCGACATGGCGACCATCTTCCAGACCAAAGAGGCCAAGTTGGTCAGCGCGGAGCTGGACTGGATTGCCAGGCGACCCCACCCTATCCAACTGAAAGACCTGCGCATCGACCTGGACGACGCAGCCTACCACAGCAGCGGACGGGTCGCCGAGGTCCACGAGAGGTACGAGTCGCGAGAGGAGCGCGTGCCCGGCACGGCGGAGGCGGCGCGCCACGGCATCGTCTACCACAGGCTGGCCCCCAAGCTGCGGCAGCACAACATCGGCACGCTGGTCAACGGCGCGGGGCTGGCGATGAATACGGTCGACGCACTGCACGACGCGGGTGGCTACGCGGCGAATTTTCTCGACACGGGCGGCAAGGCCACGGCCGAGACGATCCAGCGGTCCTTTGAGGTGATTCTGAGTGACGACAGGGTCAAGGTCATCTTTGTGAACATCTTTGGCGGGCTGACGCGGGGCGATATGATTGCCGAGGGGATCATACTGGCCTTTAAAGAGACGGACATCAAGGTTCCCGTCGTCGTGCGCATCAGGGGCACCAACGAGGAGGAAGGGCAGAGGATCATTGCCGAGAGCGGCCTGCCGCTGTATGCGTTTGATGATTTCGACGAGGCCGCAGCCAAGGCGATCGAGCTCGCGGAGGAGGCGATGAAGAGCGAGGAGGCTCTGCAATCTGAGGGTCAGGGAGAGGAGGCGAGGTCGGAGGAGGCGGTTCAGCCTGCTGCGCTGGACCCAGCAGACGAGGAGACGACCGAGGCGGCGGCTGAGGAGGAGGAGATCGAGGAGGATGCGCAGCGTCAGGAGGTGGACGAGGGCGAGTTGACTGTGCACCAGGAAACGGATGATTTGGGCCCAGAGGAGGTGGCAAAGCCTGAGACACCGGTGAAATCAGAGCCTTGAGACTTATCACCAGGTCTGTGCTACTTTTGCTTGTTTTGTCTACATGCATAAGAAGTCTAGACCTTCAATTTGTGCAGGGTAGACAAGAAAAATGAAGAAAATTAACATTATCTACGTTTATCACAAGATGAATCCAGCCGCAGTCCTCGGAATGCATGAGACCTCGCCATTGTTTACACGTTGGTCACAGTGAAGCAGGCTCTGAATGCATATGCCAGCGACAGCCTTGAGTCCACCACAGATATTTTCTGGCCTCCCGTCGCAGCAGCAGCAGCAGCTGCAGACTCGGTGTTGCAAGAGTCCTGTCTTCTCACTTCGGCTTCCCTTGCCTCCACATCCCAAGTGTGCATCTTCAAAATCCTCAATAGCCAGACTGGCAACATGATGGGTGTTAGTATTCATTTGCTTTAAAATTCGAAGGAGAGGTGCTTGGCTAGGAAAGTTGCATGCTTACGAAATATGAATGCGGCAAGGAACATGAAGCCAGTATAGACCTGAACGTGTAGGTAGCCATTCTTTCCGGATCGTACCAGACTGAGACCGATGACCTCTGCAAAGGTGGCTGGGAGGACGAGAACCAACCAGGTGATGGACATTGCTTGAGAAGAGGAGAGAAAAGAAGGCGTTAGTGATTGACATGAAGAACAGAAAAGACATGGATTGTCGTGACGGTGATCTGGTGGGCAAACTTACCAGAAGGCAACAGCTGCAGCCCGATAATCTCGGCAGCAACAGGGGCCACACAAGGCCAGATGCAGCCCGCAAAAGCACCAAACAGACTGTAGACGATAGCACCTGCATAGTGTTCGCCAGCAAAGATCCAGAGGAAGAACGCCGCCAGGCTTGCGATCAGAGTGCTCAGGGCGGCCACGTTGATCCTCCCAATCTTGTCGCTGTAGTAGCCAATCACTGGTCTGCCCAATCCCTGCGATACTGTGTGGTTTGTCAGTGTCATACGACAGGTTGGAAAGGGGGTGGAGAGAGAGAGAGCAGAAAGTAGGAGGGGTCCAGCAGCTAGACGTACAGTTAAACATGGCGGCCAAGATGGATCCCTGAGTGGCCGTATAGCCAACAGCACTCGCATAGTCGGCCAGCGAGAAGACCACAATGATGTATCCCAGGACGGAGAAGAAGCCCCAGGCCAGGAACAGGTACAGCTCGACCTTCTTGAACAGCTCCTTGTGGAAAGCCTGGTGGACGGCGCCCACCTCCTTGTTCCTGTCCCGCGCGAGGAAGCTGCAGATGGCGTTAATCGCGAACGCGACGATGGCCAGGACCCGAAAGGCCCAGGCAAGCCCCAGGTTGGTGATCAGGGCGTTGGCGGCGAGGGAATACGTCAGCCCGCCAAAGCCCGACCCGGCTGAGCCCATGGCGTTGGCCAGGGAGCGCTTGCGCGTGAACCACTGGGGGATGAGGCCAACGGAGCCGGTGAAGAGGAAGCCCATGCCTGCGCCGAAACAGATGCCTTGGCTGAGGATGAGGTGCCAGATCTGCGATGTGAATGAGGCACCGACGAAGGCAGCACTGGGCAGAGAAAAGAGAGAGAGAGAGAGAGAGAGAGAGATTAGTTTACTTGAGTAGTAAAGTGAGCCAGCACCAATTTCAGTATTCGTGTGTAAACTTACGTCTCGAGCACTACACCAATCTGGAGGCATACTCGGGTGCCAAATTTTCCAATAACGATGGTTGCCAAAGGTGCGAACAGTAGAGCTGTACGGTGATGATGGTCAGCCCTGTGGTTTGGTACGTGTGAGCCGTGTGAGACATACCTATCGAAATGGAGAGACCACCCACGAAGGCGAAGTCTATCGCAGTTGATCCAGGAAAGACATCAGAGCTGAGGTAATACGCAAGAAATACGGCCTAGATGAGGAGAGAGAGGGTATCTGTGTCAGATGGTCTGCTTGAGAAAGGGGGCAAGTTTGAGCAGCAGCAGCACTTGGGTATTTGCCCCAAGTATATGTCGCAGCTGTGCTCGATTTTTTTTCATTTTTTTTTCATTTTCAAGGGAACGTACATATGCCTATGATCTGTTAGCCTCGGGGCAATCTAACTGATGATCGTGTCACCGTATATTTTGTAGGTCAGTCAACTTACAGAATTGAGACCCCAAGTGTGCATATTGATGAGGAACACAGTGAGAACGACAACCCTTTGTAAACCCAGTTAGATACCTTAGCTGCTCTGCAATAAACCTCACACAGCATGGGGCATAGAAAAATCGACATACCAGCCATAGCCACCTTCTTTGAATTCTTTGGGCTGCTCCTGGTCACTCAGGTCCGACTCCAGGGCCGCTTCATCCTTGTTGCTTCTATTGTCCATGTCCACGGCTCGATGGTAGGTGATCTTCCTCTCGATATTCTTACTGTCTTCGGCTGCATATGGAGAAGCGGAGGGAACAATTGGTGCTGACGTCGTAGCCATGTTCGAATGAGGCCGTTGTGCAGACTACGCACACGATAGTTGAGAGAAACCTTTGTTCAGTTCCTCAAAACACGACCCGGAGGAGTCAAAAAGAGCCCAAAGACGATTCCATATCGCCTCCCCTAGTCTTTATACAGTGTTGTCACGGAGTTTGAAGAAAATGCATATTTTTTTTCTCTCTTCTCTATTGCTTGAGCCCGATGATCGCATCCGAGGGGAATAAGACGGGCTTTGCGGGCTTGAGTAGCCCATTAATCAGACTGCCGGTCTTGAAGGGCGTACTATACTAAAGCCGGCCTTTTTGACGGGGGGCCGATGCCGGGATCTCGCATCTTGCTCTTAAAAGATGTTCCTTGTTGTTCGAAATACTGGTTTTTTTTTTTTTTTTTTTTGTTTTTTTTTTGGACCCTGAGTCACTCGTCTTTTACGGACAATTCAACATCGCTGTTTGGCATTGTCCGTCGTAAAAACCATCACATCTTTGCTGGTTGCTGGTTGCTGGTCTCCGAGCCGCGCGGTGATTGGGGGCAGTCGCCGTGTCTGCATATGCAAGATTCATGGTATTATGTGTGTCACAGTACTTCTTAGTCACCCTATAAGACCGGGAGAGGTAGGACCGTCTTGTCTACCAATGAGTTCCAAACGCAGGTGACTTATGACGTGTTAGCCCATCAACCCACCTCAGGAAAAAGGGGAAGAGGCCATAACACGAAACGAAGGCTGTTTTCTTTTGAAAGGCCGGCGGTCAGGTTCGAATGTGTGAATGTGTTGTTGATGTGTGGTGCGTGCTTGACTGCAGGAGCCGTCCATCCAGTAGTTCCTACTGTGATCGCTGAGTCCGGCCGTCAAGGCCGAGCCCAGAGAGGGGGGAAAAATAGAAACACGAGCCTCGGTTTCGGAACTTCATACCGTATACATGCTGAAAAAGTCATGTTGGCGTGGCAGACTTGTAATCTGCTTGTTTCCGCAAATATCCACCACTGATCAAGCAGACCGTGTGGTCCTGAAATAGGGTTTCTCCCCCTGATCCTGATTGAATGTTTGCAACCTGGGAGGGAGAGACGTCCGTGCAGACCTCACCTGGGCGTAGTATGACTGAGTGCACACTGGTTTCGCGGGTGGAGCCCGTGAAAGGACCAAGTACCGGTGTGCAGTATTTGTGCAGGACGCTTGGGCTCGTCGAGCTCCGGAGCATCATGACCTGATCTGGATGCGTTGGCGTTTTTCTCATCTCCCCCCCCTTCCTAAGAGGCCAGGTCCACTCGCGCAACAGGCGGTCTCTTTTTCTCTCTTGCTCTTTCTTCTCTCCTCTTCTCTTGCCTTCTCTTTCCTTCTCTTTCCTCCCTTTTCCTCTGCGCTCGACAAAGGTGCACTTTTCATTGGGCACTGTGGTGCAGACCAATCATCTCAACAAAGTCATGCTCCACTACGTACTTAGACGTATGCATAGAAAGCAGGAGAGACGTAACAGTAGAACGTGGCGCCAGCCTCGCCAGAGAGGGAAGAAGGTCGAGGTCAGGCGTGTCATGCATGGCGTGGATGCACACAAACACACACATACAGATTGCATACACGGTAGCATCCTGGTGCCGATGTATCCTGTACTCGAGCCTACCGCGAGACTGCGCCTGCAGGACATGTCTCAGTGCCACACTGGCCAAGGCTCTAGCGTGAACAGGCGGCCGGGAGGCGCTGTAGCAACCGGCGTCAAGCGCTCAAGTACCCACTGGCCAGGTACTATGTAAACACACCCAGCTGCACGGCGGAGACCTGAGAGAACACCACTGACCTGCATGGAAGATTCGGGGATGGAGGGTAGGGGGGGCTGGGGTTTGTGTCTGGCAGCCAGTTCAGAGGCGATCTGCAGCCAGTAACCTGTCTCCTTGCCTAGCAACCCTGTCAACCTGCCAACCCTGCCAGCTGCCCTTCCTGCAAATAGCTGCAGCAGCAAGCAGCGTGGCTGCAGGTGGTAGTAGCACCTGGGATGACTCTTCTCCTCCCTTGGTGGCATGAATTGGGCAGTAAATAAACAAAATTCATAACACCAGTCCATTAAGATGCTCTGCAATATAATTATGCTACCTCCTCATTAATACCACAACCACCTCCTCCTTTTCCTTTGACTCAACACATCATCCCCCTCCTCCTGCTTTGTACCTCCTTTCTCCAGACCATGGTCCTGAATCTTGCAGAGGATCATCAACTTAACTTAGACTTTGGTACAGCATCCTCAGATTAATCTCCGTTGCCTGCTGGTGTTTCTTTAAAGATCCCCGATTATCGACAGATCAAAGCCCAATCCATCCCCACTTTTTTCTCGTCACCCCAGCCAAGCGAACGGCCTGCCAGGCCTCCTTCGTACACCACAGTGCAGGGCAGCCTCGCCAGCCTCATTTACTGTACAGCGCTGTACCACGGGGTACAAGCGGAGCCCGGGCCAAGCGCAGAAGCAGCTCGGACCAGCCAGCAATTTTATAAACGGGGGCCCCGTTTCCTTCTCCCGATCGTTCCACGTCCTCCCTCTTCCGACATTTCCATCTCTTTGCATTCTTGCATCGAGGCTGTCGTCTTCTTGCATCGCCACCACCTTTTTGGTCTACTAGACCTGATTGTGCAGGATCTCTGGAGGAATCATGTTCGACCGTGGCAAGCCCAAGGAGTCGGCGCCGTCCTCCTCTTCTCCGGAGAGGAAGATGGCCCCTGCCCAGGGTAGCTACATGAACAATGAGCAGTTCTGTTCGTGGCCTTGACACTCTCTCCCCCTTCTCTCTCTTGCTCTTGAAGAAGAATAAAAAAGAGTTGAGCGCTCTGTCGCTTGTACCATCCCAGTGCAGTTCAATAGCTAACGCCTGGTTCTCTGATAATCTGTAGCTGCGTACCTCCGAGATCTTCGCAACAATCGAGTCAACAGGCCCGGTGGTGCGAGGCCTCAACCTCTCTCTACTTCCCCAGAGTCCCGCCAGGGCTCTTTTCGTCAGTCCATCGACGGCCGCCCTTCACTGGGTACGGCTGGTCGTCCCTCCTTTGCCTCGACGACTCGCTCTTCCATAGGAACGCCTCCCCCCCTGTCTGAGCCCTCCTCTGCCGCTTCAATCCACTCCCAGTCGCCCCCCAAGACTGCCTCCACCCGTGACTTCTCTAGGCCCAGCATGGCACCCAGCGTCGCCTCCAGGTACTCGACTACGAGCGGCCGTGGGCGTGACTACTACCCGGACGGGCCGGCCAAGTCTCTGAACCCTGGTGAGGTGGTGCCCAGCGCTACCTACATGGAGAGGGGCCAGAGGTGGATGGAGAAGGAGGAGGCCGTGTCGCTGAGACAGGCGCTGGAGGATAAGGATGCTTCGGATCGCGCATCCAGCCCCGAGGAGGACCGTCTCTACGAAGCTGCTCTGGATGAGGCGTCGGAACTGGTCTGGCAGCACCAGCACGGTATCAAGCCGCCTGAGCCCGGTGCCCCTTACAGATACAAGCAACACCTCCGGAAAAACAGCTACGCACATGCCAGGGCCGCTAGTACCGGCCTGTACGGCGATGAGATTGAGCCTTCTGGTCTCGCTCGGGATTCTGGCTCGCGGTCTGTCTCTGGGAGCTCTGCGTCTAGCGATGGCCGCGGGTCCTCTCGCCGACACTCGTCCTACACCACATCAACAGCTGGGGCCAGAAAGACCCCGAGCCCTCCTGGAGAAGGCCGATGCGTCTCGCCAAGCAAGTCGGGCAAGCCCTATAACGGCCTGACCGGCAGCTCGTCATCTCACCGGCGGCGCCCCAGCGTGAAGCGAGACAACAGTAAGGGCAAGCTTGTCATAGGTGATAAGATCTCGGAGGAGCCAGAGGGTGCTTCTCTTGCGCGGAGCCCCTCACCCGAGAAGAACACTGCCTCCTCCCCCGCCAGTTCTCTTCGCAAGTACCCGAGAAGTCCCTTCAACAGGGTGTCGTTGGGACCGGGCAGCCCTGTGCCTCCTCCTTCTTCTTCTGACCCCACCGCGCAGCCCCCAAAGCTGCACAAGTATGAGATACACCGCAACCCGCCCTCGCAGTCTCGCAACCCTCAGTACACGACCAACTCGCGCAACCCGAGCCCCGTTCGTGAAGATGTACCCAAGAAGCACGGGATGGAAATTCGTGGGGATGACATTCGTCAGGCTACCTCAATGAAGTTGAAGGACCGGAGCCCCAAGCTTCCCACGCCTACTGCGGTGAGCGACCGCGCAGGCCGACCTATCGTAAGCTTTGACAAAACCTGGAAGGCCCCGGACGAGGCAACTGATGAGAAGCCAGACACCGCAAAGGGTGGTCCGCTCGGGGCCTTCCAGGTCCGACAAGACCACCACCGCCGCCTCCCCGAGACCCCGCCGATCCCTGCTATCGCTGTTACGGAGACTCGTGAGTCGCCGCCGCTCTCGAGGCCACGCGGTCCTGCCGCGCCATCTATCCAAGTAGACGCGCCGCCTAGGGGAAGATCCGGCCCCCCTTCGATGCCTAGCATCGTGGTGAACGACGACAAGCCATCGATTCCCTCCATTGTGCTTCCTGGTGACGATGACGCTGGAGATGACGGACCTGGCGTCCCCATCATCGTCACCCCAGATGACGACTCCACCAGCAATAAACCCTCAAGCCGACCACTGCCGGCCCCACAGAAGGATGCCCCCAAGGTTCGCCATGCTGCGCCACGGCCTCGCTGGCCACCAGCAGGAGCAGCAGCTGGTCAAGCCGGCAGCCGAGCCACCGCTCGCTGTCACGACTGTGGCTACCCGATCGAGGGCCGATTTATCGCTCTCGCCGGGACGAACGAGCGATTCCATCCACATTGCTTTAGCTGTTACATATGCGGTACTTCCCTCGAGGCGCTGGAAATCAGCCCTGAGCCCGATCCTCACCGCGCAGCCCGGCTGGAGCGTATCCACCGGCGCGCTGCGGGCGAGGTCCTCGAGGAGAAGCCGGGCGAGACGATGGCTGAGGATGGCGACGAGAGGCTTCGCTTCTACTGTCACCTCGACTGGCACGAACTCTTTGCCCCTCGCTGCAAGCACTGCACGACACCTATTCTGGGCGAGCACATCGTTGCGCTAGGCGAGCACTGGCACTACGGGCATTTCTTCTGTGCAGAGTGCGGCGATCCATTTGAGCAAGGAATGACACACATCGAAAAGGACGGCTACGCCTGGTGCGTCAATTGTCAGACCAAGCGAACCGAGAGACGTGCACCCAAGTGCAAGATGTGTCGAAAGGCGGTCATTGGTCAGTATATCCGGGCGCTGGGAGGCGAGTGGCATGATGAATGTTTCCGGTGCGCCACGTGTCAAGGAGGGTTCGATGACGGGCAGATCTTCCCGCGAGAGTCACCCAATGGTCGCATGGTGGTGTTATGTACGAAGTGCCGTGAGAGGGAGCTCAAGGGCTAGGAACCTGAGGCTACTCGACACCAGTGACTGCGTTTATGAATCGAGGGGGTAATGGGCTTTTTGATATGGAAGTCTCTGATGACAGGAGGGGATGGTGTAACGAGTAATTCTGGGAGGTAAGTGAGGATTTCCCGCCTCTTCGGCGGCGGTTGTCCATGCTTACGAAAGACAACGATGTGGTTGGATGGAGAGTGCTTGCGATTTTGCGTTCTGCTTCACACACACACACACACACGCACACACACACTACTCTTTCGCACACAGTTTGGAGTTGGGCGAGGGTCATTGCAAAGGACACATCTACGCATGGGAAGTGAACCGAGACTGCTTGCTTGCTTGGCTGCTTTATGGGAGAATTCTTACTTCATTGAAGCCCACTGTACAATAATAGTATAAGGATTCTACCTGTAGGAGACTTGATCATTCGCATCTTGCCATTTCTTTTGTGCATTGAGCTGCAGGCGAGCAGATAATGGAATGGAAACGAGACTACAATTGCTTTCCATATCGTGGCTGCCAATCTCTTCAGTGCATGTATGTCTTGTGTGCTGTCTCGCGACAATCCAAGGGTTTGACAGAGGATTGTCCTCGATAGTGATGCCGAGGTGACACAATTGTGTTAGGGTAGTATCATGGCCACGAGTCACCAACCCAGCAGCAGCAGCATCAACCTACATGCACGTCAACCACAACGCGCCACCGCACGTGCTTTTTCTTCCTGTAACATGCCGAGGTGCAAGAAGCCATGACCGGCTTTCCGTGAACAGTCAGTCCCCAAGTAATACAAAAAGAAAAGCCCAGACAAGTTGCGTGATTCAGCGGGCTGGATAAGGGTCGTGTGAATGTTGGATGGGTGGGGGGGGGGGGGGGTTCGAGATTTTAGGCAGCAAGCTTGTTGGAAGGGACGGGACACAAGGAAGACAGGGCCTACGACCGAAAACGATGCGTGCGATGGTATAGGTGGGAAAGAAATGGGCAAGGGAGGAAGGCGAATAAAGGCGCATGCGCGAGGATATCGAGACGTTACAAGAGTCTCCTGACGAATCACACCACCTGAACAAGGGAGAGAATAGTGTTTGTCAAATGTCAGTCCATTCGGGGGGGAGGGCAAGAAGTACCAAATGGTCCTATCCTCCAGCTCAGATTGCCTAGAAAGTAGTTGTGATCCCACGATCGTGTCAAATCAAGTTGGGATGGTAGGAAAAAGAACCACCATGTTGTGAGCCCTCCCCGCGAAATACGCAAGGGAATATGAAAATAGAAACCGTTTTCCCCTTTCTGTCCCTCGTGAACGCCATAAAGATCACCATCTGTCGATGTATGAAGAGACAACCAAGAGAAAAATTGCAAATAACGAAAACGCAATGAGGATCAAATAGCCTTTGCTCGAGACCCGAAAGTCAGGCAGAAAGAAATGAGAGATTCCTTCCACCTAGTCCCGTTCTCGAACTAGAAAAGGTTGCCACAGCCGCCCACCTGGTATGCCATGTTAGAGGCCATGTTGTGGCTGGTACTCGGGGAAGGCGTCCACCTACCTGCTCTTGATGAACCTCCAACGTGTCGCCATCTGCCATCTCGAGCTGTGACGGGGTGTTAGCGTATATGACATGCGACATGATGCGCAAAGGTACTGGCAGAACCTATACAGCCACCAAACACAGCATGCGCGTGGTACGCACGGCGCGTTTGAGGCCAGTATCTAACCATTCAAGGTGAAAAAAGCACGTACAGTATCAGGGGTATCGGTAGGCTGGACGCGCTGGCCCTCAAAGAGGAACCGAACGGATTGTAGAGTCTTGCCTTGCCGCTCACAGAACGCGTTCATGAGCTTCTCGAGTTTGGTGGACCGCTTGATCTTGAAAAAGACCTCGTTGTTGTTGTCTGTCACCTTGATGTTGAGGTGTTCAGAAGATGTGGTGGGAGGAGGACCCTCGTTGCGCTCCGCATTGGGGGAGCCATTCTCTTGGTTGTCGGACATCTTTTAGTAGTCGACGTGGTTGACAAAAGCACCACCGTCCTCTTGATCGCTCTCGGAGTTGTTGGGGACTTGGTCGTCGAAGTCGTCCTCCTCGTCGGTGAAGAAGCGGTTGAGGGCCTGGAAGGGGAATGGGAACTCTTCAACACCGTCCGTCAGAAAGCAGAGGAGCGCGAAGAAGCCGCAGACAAAAGCGACCCAAGGGGAGAGGAGCGCGAGCAACAGGCAGGAAAGGACCCGTCTGACGAAGTTGTTAGCCATTTTGTTCGCTGACGCGGGTGCGGTGTGATCTTGTGGGTGACTTTTTGCGGCGCGGAAACGAGTATGGTGATGCTGGAGTTGCAAATGGAACCTGGGGAATCGCAGGGAGGACAACTCTTACCTATTTGTTTGCTTCTTTGCTGAAAGCGCGGGGTTGTGATCTGTGTCGACTAAGCGAGTGGGGATGCTGGTGGCAGTTGCTGGTCAATCTATGGCGACGATGGGTCGTGGTGGTGGTGAGAAAGATTAGGTTGGGGAGGGAAACAACATGCGCAAAGGAAGCGGTTGTGTGCAGGCCAGAGCCTTGCCCCCCAAAGCCCAGTAGTGGGGGACATTGCCTTATAGAGGGGTCGCCCCAGTGCACGGACCAGCCTTTGCTAAGTGCAGGTGAAACTTTTAGTAGGTCATAGCAGTGACTAACCTTTTACATGCCAAATACCCTCACTGCACTTTGATCTAAAGAGTGCTTGATAGTTTAAAGGAGATTCGATGGTGTATTTGGTTCATTCAGCTAGTTGAAAGCAGGCTTTGCCCTCCTGCAGATGGACAGCTTCCTTCTGCTGAAAGAGCTGGCCAGGAGGAGGATGGGTAAGTACTTTTGGTAGATTCTGTTGGTAGGTTGACCTTGAGGCACCAGATAGAATCTAAGGGAGGCAGTGTAGACTTATGAAGACAGCCTCTCTCCCTTACTCCTGCCACCAAAGACCCTTCAAGACAAGTTTGTAAGCCCCGCATCTCTTTCTTGGTCGAGAGTAAACGATGAACTCGGTTTAAAGAAGTGAGGCGATTCGGAAATTCCCGCGCTGAGGGCGGCAGTGCCTGCCAAGTCTGCAGCCAGTCCTACTACGTAGTAAATTTTCCCTACCTATCTCCGTACATCTGACATCATCCGCCTGAGCAGGCCCATCTCTGCCTTTCTTCTTCTTTTGGCTGCCGATATCCTCTTGCACTCCACACTTGACTTCGGCTCATCCTGAGACGGGCAAAATCGCGACAACATGGTCAGCAGCCTTCTGGGAGTCTTGACCGCAGATGATCATGGCTGACACCTTCCAGGGTTTGGAGGAAGATTTACGGTCGAAGCCTCCGTGCCATCCGCGAGCTGTATGTTAAGTTTGTCCAAGAGCGCTAGACTACAGCGGATGGAAGAAGTGCTGACCCCGTTGCCCGACCAGTGTGCAATCCAAGGTATGTTGATAATTTTCCTTGGGAGCATGTGCAGTGCATCTGCTGAAACTCATGTTTGCAGACTGTCTAAAGAAGAACACATTCAAAGAGGACAAGGTACAGCAGATCCAAAACAAAGATGTACCCTCTAGCTCCGACTCTGACTTATTGTATTCCACTCCTCCCAGTGCCAGGACGTAATCTACGCTTTGTACGACTGCTGTCAAGCCTTCTACGACCGAAATGGCGAAGGGGCCAAGTCTGCTAGCTGTCCTCAGCCAGATCTACTAAAGTTGAAGCTCAGGATGAGGAAGAAGACTGGCAAGGCGGAGGAGAACAAGTCGCAATGACCGTGCAGGAAGCTCAGCGTCCCGTACAGGCGTGAGCAGATGGAAGATTAGGAAGCTTGTATCACTGATCCAAAGACAAACGTCCACCCGAAAAGAGGAAGTAAATCAGGTCAACTGGAAAGGATAGCGACAAATTTAATCTAGGCATCCATTGAGCGCGCAAGAGGACCCGTAGGACCTGAGCAAGTACTGACATTCTTGCTCCGAGACTCTAATATGAAAGCCGGTGACATTGATGAGGAAAGGAAGAAAAAGAGACCAGGTAGGAGCCAGCTGCCGAATTTTTTTTTTATGGGCGTGTTCGAGGCGCTCGTTTCGCGCCCCTCTCCCATTGGTCGGCTGACCAACCAAGACCCACAGGTACCTTGAACCTCTAAGGGGCCAAATACAACACTCACATTTGCTTTGGTTGATGGAGCAACAAAGTAGAAAAAGGCCATGTGAATTTTGTCTGAACATCTCTGCAGCCCATCAGCATCGGATCGAATCTTCTAAGAATTCATATCGTGGTTTGCAACAAGACAAGGCCTGCCGCCACGGACGTGCAACGAAGTATCCGGTACATTGGCTGTGGCTTGACGCCAAGACAGCTGCTTTTCCCTTCGCGACCCATCTCAGCAGCGCGTCACTCCTGGCCAGGGTGCTGCTGTTTAGAGTTTCTGAAATCAACGATCGTGGGACAGCTCTTCCCTCGCTCACATGTCACCATCAGTCTTACAGCGCCTGCACTTCTCCTAGTTGCGCCTACATTATCACAAAGCCTCTAGCGGCCTTTCCTCAGTCTTATCTCCACTGCACTCTGGGCTCCTCCTGCGGGTCTGCACCTTTTCGCCAATCAGAACGCGCCTGCCAGCCTTGCATGGGACCGCTGGAGCTCGTGCAGCATGTCGCCCGGCCTGGATGTAAGTACAAAGTTCAAGCGTCTTGGCTGCCCGAGCTTTTGTCAAGCTCAAAAGCCCCGTGCAACGTTTCCTGTTGTCCGACCGCGCCATTGATTGACGCCCTGGCTTACTCTGTGTGCTCTTCTTGAAGAGGGACTTTCCACTGCCTGTGCAGCGCAGACTGCCAGACGAGGATCTGGGCTACGACGACAGCGACGAAGGTTCGGTTTTCCATTGATGTCGCGCCATCGCGACCACCTCTCCCTTTTGTTCTTGGGCTCCGACTCACGCAGTGTCTCACACAGATGATGATATGGCTCAAACCGAAGACATCTATCAGCAAAACCGCATCCACGCCGGCCCCGAGGTTGAAGAGTTTGGACGATGGCTGGACGAGTGCAGTCTGACCCACGCAACACCCGACAAGAAGCGCGAGCGCGTCCTCCAGCTCGTCACCCGATACCATGATTTCACGAACGAGAAAGCAACCGTCCTGCGCGAACGTCGAAACCTGGAGAGGTTAGCCAGAGGCCGCCGATGGGATCCGTCACAGTCCAGCGATGATGCCAACGATGCGGAGACAGACAACACGCAAGACGCCGTTGAGGTCGACGACGCGGCCAGGTGGGAGTCGGAGGCTCAGACGTGGGGCTTATTAGCTCGACTACTCCCACTGCGGCACCCAGATCCAGCTGCCAAACCACTCAAGTCGAGCTTCACTTTGCTTTCACGGAGAGATTACTGGGACGACTTCATCTTGACAGACTCGGTAGCCCAGGAACGTAAGGCTGTCCTGGAATGGCTGCAGTCCACCGCGAGCGCTGGTCCTCCCATCGATGAACTCGTCCAAGAGTTTCAGCAGAAGGCCGATCGAGGCGACCTGGTGACACATGGCTGGCTTCACACCCGAGAAGCGATCAAATTGCACAAGAGCGTCAACGCAATTCCAAGCGTTCTCGAGCCGGACTCCGCAAGCATGGCCGGCTTTTCCTACGTGACACAGCTCGACCCTGACTCTATGACGAGGCAAGGGCGCAAGCTGGAACCACACGACGAGTATTTCGAGCGCGCGATCTGGCTGGGCTGCTACCACCTCCTGCGCAGAGGAAGCACAATGGAAGAGATCCGCGACTGGTGCACCGAACGGACAGAGATATGGAGAGCTGGCACGATCTCTGCCTTACCGCTCTCAGCCCTCGGAGACGACGACATATCCGATTTCGACCCCTCTTCGTTCATCCTCTGGCGGCGCATGTGCTATGCTCTGGTGAAGTCAGGCGGCACCGATGATTGGGAGCGCGGCGTGTATGGTGTGCTTTCTGGCGACATTGACAGCGTGCTCGCCGTCTGCAAGACCTGGGACGACTTCATCTTTGCTCACTACAACGCTCTCCTGCGCACTCAATTCGATTCATACCTGATCAAGCAGTGTGGACCTACGGCAGCATCTTCCCAAGTCCTACCGTCTTTCGATGCTGTTCAGTACCTAGGCGAAGGACCAGCCGTTGCCAAGAAACTGGTCGAGCAAATCGAGGCCGATGGTACTTACTTCGCACAGGCTCACAAGGAGGCCAACACCGCTGCCAAAGCTTTACAGGGTGCCATCATCGCCAACACGTTGGGCTCATACATATACCAGCAAGGTCTTGCTCTTTCCACGGAGGCCAATCAGGACGGCAAGTCCTTCCTGATCCCCGACTTTAACCTCGGCCCTTCTGAAGGCAACGCGTCAAAATACACCAAAATGTCTGAGCACGATGGTCTTCGGGTGATCACTCACATTGTGATCATGATCAATGCTCTTGAGTCGCAGAATGCCGACTCGAGGCTGCCAGGTGGTCTCGACAACATGGTCGCTGAGCACGCCATCGCCGCCTACGTCAGTTTTCTACGTTTGGCTCAGCTTGAGCTCTTGATACCTCTATACTGCGCTCAGCTCTCTGATACCCGACGATACGAGATACTGAGCTTGAATATCATCCACGTGAGAGATCGGGAGGAGCAGATGGCGCTGCTCAACCAGATTCGGCGGGTCGGGATGGACATCAGAACGTTTCTGAAGGAACAACCACGACACTTCCTGAAGCAGCTCGAAGATACGGCTAGTGTGCCACCCAATAAGGAGCGGTTCCACATACTCAAGTCAAGCCAACCGGATGTGATCTGTGGACGAGGTATCATTCCGGACTTCATTGGTGGTGATGGCCGTAATGACATGGTCCATGAGAACCTGATTCGATCCATGGAATGGCTTTTTGCAGGGGAGGGTAACCTTCTCACTGCTTGCGAGTTTGGTATCAAAATTTACCAATACTTCCTTAGTAAGTCAACTCTTTCTCCAAACTCACTGCTGGTCTATGCTAATAAATGGCGTAGAACATAACCACCTGGCAGCTGCCCGCGACTTCTTCGAGCGCGTAAAGGTCGAAGATCTCATCATGGCACTCGCAAACAGAGATGTAGGGGAGTCTGCTGAGGAGTTTATCAATGAGCTTCTCACCGATGAGCATGCCCTTCTCGGGGAGATTGACCTTGGTGGAGAGGACGACCAGGCGATCTCGCAGACACGCCTCGCACTTGCGATTAAAAACATGTGGGAGCTGCAAAGCTTTGTCATGGCCCTAGACGGCATCGAGACCGTCGGTACTCTGACGCAATTCGCCGAAGAGTGAGCGAGATCCTAATTGTAACCCCCAAAGCACTTCAAGCAGGAAGCTAACTACATTGACCCTTCACAGCAGTAGCAACCCCATAAACCGCGAGTTCTACGAACGGCTCGGACAGGCCATCCGCTCGGCCAAGAATGGCATGAAGCCCATTCTCAAGGGCTGGTTGTTGGAGACCAATGATCCACAGAACGAGCTTGAATTTGCTCATCTGCGGGAAGCATATTTGCCCGAGACGCTGATTGCCTACGTTTCGGCACTCCAGTACGCAGGAAGTAGCCTTACTAGAGACAATTTGCTGGAAGCGATGAACCTGGCGGCGGTGGTTGCGGAGCGCAACTCGGACGTGGCAGCGCTGCTCGTCAAGACGGGCCGTCTGAAAGAACTGATCGAGGCCTTTGCTTCGGTCAGTAAAGCACTGGCAGCGGAGCCGCCCACGGAGAAGAAGAAGGCCAGCAAGGCAGGCCAGACGAGTGCCAAGAAAATGAGGGAGCTGGGCTGGTCCAAGGAGCTATGGAATGTCAGGGGCGCTTCATGAGCATGCACCGAAGTGGGGGTTCCGTCCTTGGAGGTGAGAGATTCAGCTGCCGTTGATATGTGGCATGGTATTTGGACAGTTCGGCTGGCGTTGGTTGTTTGGTGGCATCTATGAGTTTGTTTGGTAATGGCCATCCTCTGCGCAACAAAAGCAAATCACGATATCTCTAGACAGACATCAATGGCATAAAAATGCGATCAATAATGTTTGCAATGCTATGAAGTCAAACCTCCGTCATCCATACCGGCAAAAGCTGCGAAAGTCGCGAGGGTGAAAGGCTGTGAATTTCTCCGAGACGGCTCGCTACGGCTTCGGAGCCGGTTCGAGATGACTCGGCCGATAACACGGGATCCCCCTGTCACACTGTCCAAGGTTCAGCACAGCTCTATACCGCTAGATTCTCATCTCAAAACCTTCCAACGATACGACTGGATTTCTTGAACCTCCTGATACCTCCAGATATTCTGTCTTGTCCTCATTAAGATGACCTGTTTGAACGACCCGTCTCGTCCCAAGGACTGCACTGTTAGAGCAGCGGCAATGCTCGAAAGACACTTCGAAATGAGCACTCTACCGAGCTTTAGTCCAACTACGATGCTACGACACAGATGCCCGCCCCTACCTCAATCCTCATTCTAATAAAATGTGTATGTGTAGTGTGATTATTGAACTCTGACAGCAACGAGGTGAGGAATCAGCCTTGAAAAAGTATCATCCAAGATATTCAACGGGGGTTAAACCTACGCTCACAGGTCTCAAAGGCAGGTATGCCTGCCGAGAAAAGGACTAGTTTTGCCGCAAGTGCGCCTGCCGCTGAACCAGCTGTCAGAAAACATGACTGCCATAGTAGCTGCAAAGTATACTGTGGCCAGGCCAAAACTCCCCCTGTTCTGGCCAGCCATACAGAGCAACAGCCGACCACCCGCATACCAAGATACCCTGTTCCGATTACCCACACACACCCAAAAGCTAAAGGCGCCTGGTTCTGATCACCCACACAAATGCTCCTTATTATTTGGCTGTGTTCAAGCTCCCAACTCATCAGGATTGCAAGAATGACATTATAGCTCGGGCACAATCATGAACCAGCTCTGATTTGGGATACTACCAACTGCAACATGCACGGTAAATATGCTCTGTGATACAGCAGCACTGCATGCGATCAATGCCTGCTATGGCCTGAAAACCAAGTAGACTCAAGGACGAGTTTCAACTACCCCACTGATAGCACCCAGGGATCGCTGAAGGTTCAGCTGCATTGCGGCCCCTGTCTACTCTGGGGAAGGGACCCCTCCTTTCCTGAAAGGAAAATTCAACAAAACCTCGTCATTGGAGAGCTTTATAAACACAGGCGTGCTTCAATTCTCGATCGTATGTACAGTATCTGTAAATGGACGCAAGATGGATAGCAGTGGGGTGGATTCGCTACCATAACACCCAGTAATGTTGGAAACAGAATATCCATCGCTGATGCTATACCTGACGGCCGTCTTGCCTTGGACGTATACAGAAAAATGGCTACTCTTCTCATGCTTATAGTGTCTTTCCTCCTTGACTCCCGCTATTCCACGTCCCTATTTTCCGTTCATACTATTCAATTCAAAAACCCAATGCGCCTGCAGCGCCCGTCTGGTTTTAAGTTACCTGAACTCCGGCCCATTTTGCCTTCGAAGCCCCGAGCGATGCAGGTTCATCCCATGCGTACTAGTAATTTTCATATGAGAAATGATAGGTCTCTCGCAATTCGCCCTGTGTTGACTGGTCCACGGCAGGTGGGCAAGTTCACCCGGGTTATGCGGAATAGTGGATCCGGCGCGGGAGCACAAGAAGTACAGTATGACATACAGTACACAGTACAGAACGACGGCTGCATGCCATTGCTGCGACGGGGGTGTTTATACCGACAGGATGGTACTGTGGTTGCAGTGTTTTACTTTGTTTCGACTGGCCAAAAGTGTCGTCATTGTTTCGAGAGTGCAGTCTGCAGGCGCGTTGATTATCTCAAGGGGTTGCGGAGAAATCTGTATCAGAGGGTGTCCGGCGCCGGGACGGGACTTTCGGGGGTGGAGTCTAGCGGATCGGCGGGAGCAGCGCCGGGTAGAATATGAGGAACGGTGCCGGCGCCGCACCCATAATCCAGCTTCGAGTCCCGATTCTTTCTCATGGCCATGGGTTATGTTGTTGTAGCAAAGACTACGCCAGCCACGAATCGATCGCCATTGGAAGGCCCCCGTCGATTGTAGTATGGAAGAACTTCATCTGGAAGCAAGTTGGTCAGGTATAAAATCGTAATGAACAAGGGTGAGAACGCGGCCGGTGAGGGTATGAGAATCTCAGTCGTGGGGACGAGGGGCCGTGGAAGGGGGCCACCACCGACGTACCTGAATGTCGGCCTCGGATATACTGGGACATGACGAGGACAGAGGGCGGCAAGGCTACGATAATGCCGATGATGGCGATGACAGACCCGGCGTCAAGGGTCATTGTAGAACAAATCTTGGCGTGACGAGAGAGCGCTGAAGAAGGTAGCTGAAGACCTGGTTGGAAACCGACACTGAGAAAATGCATATAAATGGAAGAAATTGGAATCTGAAGAGCCCGTCTCTGCTCGAGGCGGCCGGCCTCTGAAGGGTTTAAATTCACATTCATAATTTCTGCACCAAGACCCCTGTAGTGAGCCCAGTATGCATCGAAATGTTGTATTGGACGTGAAGTGTCCAGTGCGAACACCAGGACCGTGGCAGGGGAAGAGGCCCTGGAGAGGGTCCTGCTGACAACTACTATGTCAGTGCTATGATTTACCATAGTATTATCGGAGCTGTCGGCGAGCAGCCACACCAGTCCATTGGCATGATCATTCGTCAACAGTCAACAGCCTCCAAACACGACCCTGCAGTGTCCTTGAGTAAGTTAAGTTACCTACGATCTTTGTCTTCTGTCGTGGGCCTGAGCATGGCATAAGCTACTGAGAAGATACCATAGTACTTGTGGAGCCATCCCCCGTCCTCGGGGCCCGACCCCTGCCACCTCATCCAATCACCTCGGATTTCACTGCAGGGAAAGTGTGCCGTGAGACGTCTGTGGTAAACACCAACAACCAATCTCCCCAAAAACACCGCCCCAGCTGATTTGTGTCAGCGAGGCTTTTCATGTCCGTGCATGGCCACACCTTCTCACATGTACGATCCAGCCCTTACCCGATAGATCCGAGCAAGTTCCTTGCGTTATTATCCGAGCCACGCGAGCAGATTGACCGACTACATTTTACCACCTCGGTCCCATCGCTTCAGGTACTATAACTCCTGCAGCAGGTTCTCCACGCAGCCTCTCAGATCTTCTACCGGCAGCAGCTCCTTGTAACCAAGCCTCCTGCACTGCACTTCTGCCCGCCTCGAAGCCTTCCACTCCCTACCCAACACAACCATGACTGGGTAGCCCACGAGGTCCGCATCCTTGAGCTTCCAGCCCATGGATAAATCGTCGCGATCGTCCAATATGGCATCCAGTGGTGGCTTCGACTCTTGACCCTGGCTTGGTTCGGCGGTGACTCCCCTCATCATGTCATAGACCATACCGGCATCTGCTGCAGTAGCGTCGTCACTAGAGTTGAACACAACGACGACCTCATACGGCGCGATTACGCGCGGCCAGTTCAACCCTCTCTCATCCGCAAGATGGTTCGCGACGGCGCCGATGATGCGCGAAATGCCTATTCCATGGCATCCCATTTGCATGAGGACTTGTGTGTTCTCTGGGAACGTGGACGAGGCAGGCTTTGTCGACGTCGTTGTTGACGGCGCTGCATCGATCGGCAGGCTAGCCTCCGACGATAGTGGCTCCTCCGGTGTTCCAAGCAACAGTCGCTTCGGGCCACTGACCAAAGCGTTCATTGGTTTCGAGTACCTCGTTCCTAGGTGGAAAGTATGGCCCAGCTCGATGGCTTTCTGCACCTTGAGTGTGCCGTGATTGCAGCGGGGACAGCCGTCGCCGTCCTGGATGCGCATTAGGTTCAAGTTCTCGCTGGCGCGGCTGTGCTTCGCGTAGGCGATCCTGCCCATATACTTCTTCAACTCAGCTGGCACAAACCGCTTGCTATTGTGGATGTCATGTCTCGCCTTGCCCGGCACCCTAGCATCGAATAGATTGACCAGCTTCATATTGACCACAGACTCCTCCAAGGCGGCTGTCCATAGAGGTACCGCATCCTCAAGACCCGCATCGAGGTCGGGAACGAGTTGCTTGAGGGCATGTGTGTTGACCGAATGTTGAAAAGCCTCATCGGCGATGTACCAGACATTCACGAACGTCCTTCGGTCCTTGGTTATACCCCGCCAGACGTTGACTTCGTCCGGACTGGCGTTGTCTGAGGCCTCCACCCGTCGACTCTGAGCAACTTCCTCGTTGGCGACATAGTCGCAACTGTTGCAGCTCATGACATGGTCCTCGCCGAGCTCAGTGGGGATGTGATATTCGTGGCTCAAATCGCCGCCCATATCACCAGAGCTTGCCTCCGCAACGAGGACCGGGAGCTTCATTTCGTTGATAAAAATCTGCGAGTACGCACCACGTACGCTTTCGTACGTCTCTAGTGCAGCTCCGAGGGAGTAATCGAAGGTGTAGAGATCTTTCATACAAAAGTCTCGACCGCGTAAAAGACCATGGCGAGGGCGAAGCTCATCCCTGTATTTCTGCGCTGTTCCTTGGTCAGATGGTACACCATCCATAGGGCTCTCGGTTTTCCTTGTCTTACTTATTTGGTAAAGCCTCAGGGGCAGATTCTTGTAGGACTGCACAGAGCGCGCTACTATCGACGTAATCTCTTCTTCATGAGTAGGGCCAAGTAAGAAGCGGCCTTCTTTCCGATCCGTGAAGCGGAAAAGCTTTGAAAGAGAGTCAGAAGGGAAGACGCGTGCGAAAGCTCAGTATCAACCACTCACTTCCGACCCAATCTTGTTCAGACGGCCACTCTGTTCCCAGAGGGACTCAGATGATATTGCCGAAAGTTGAACCCGAGATGCCCCTAAATTGCGTGGTCAGATCCCCAAAGAAGCATGACCTGGAGGGAAAGCCCGTGTCACGCACCTAATCCTCGCATATAGCGATCAACGAGTCGAGTAATTTTGTCTTGGACTCTCAACCCCAGAGGCAGGAGTTGGAAGATGCCGGAATGAGACTGCGAGTTTATAAGCCTACGCTCCACCACCTGAGACTCAAAAATGTTCTGACCTGCCGGATGAAGCCAGCGCGAACGAGCTTGGCGTGAGCATCTATGGATCGGGTCAGTGTTTCTTTCTTCCGAGATTTCAAGGTTTGTAGCTAAAGCATACCTTCTTCTGAGCTGGCAGCTATTCCACCTGATGGAGCCCACTCGTTCGACAGACGCGCCCTTCCATCAACATATAGGGTCCGTATGCAACTCAAGGAAGCCTTCCTGTGCTGCACCCTTGGTCGAGGGCGCGCTGGGCGTGCTGCCAACAACCTCATGCATGATGACATTTTCGAACTAGAGCTAACTCGAGGTTGAGTGAAAGCTGGTGCCCTCAGGATTTGAGGGGTTCATGCAAGCGCCATTGGTAATTCAAGAGGATGGGCCTGTCAAAAATGAACTTGTAAAACCAAGTACCATCGATTCATTGAAGTTGGACACTAATTTCTCATTGAACAGTCAAGAGGACCCCTACAGCCCTGCTCCCAGCGCGCCCACTGCGGTGCAGGACGTACCCCTGCGTGCAGTGTAACGGCTCCACTAAAATTTTGGACGGGCAGGCTAAAATTTCCCATCTCAACTTTCAGAAAACTTCCATCTCGTCTCTTCTAAACGAGGATTTCAGTGCTAAGAGTCATCTGGTCACTAAAGCAGTTGTTGTTCCTTGTCGCCAATTGTTGCAAGGCGCAGATCCCGTGTCCAAACGAAGATCGAGACTTCCAAACACGCGACTCCGTCCACAGACAAGCAATTGTTCCTTCTCACGATCAACCATGGCGGGGAAGAAAAAGTCCAAGGGTCCCAAGGCAGCCGCCAAACCTGCTTTCGACGAAGCCGCCTTGTCCAAGTTGACCGCCAAGATCGATACAGAGCTGTCCAAGCCGAGATCAAAGGAGCAGAAACAGAAAGATGACCGCCCAGGCAAGAGAAAGCGCGGCGAAGGCGACAGCAAAGATGCGAACCCCAAGAAGAGGCATGCGCAGGAAGCCAAGCACGGCTCGGGCAAGCCAAAACGGGCGCCGAAAGACAAGAATATCGACTTGCTTGAAGAAATAAAAGCACTGGGTGGAGACGAGGCTGACCTGGATCTGGTCGCTGGCGTTGACTCTGACGCCGAGGAAGGCCAGGGCGCAAAACCTAACAAGGCGGCAGCAGCAGACCCGGATAAGGCCCTCAAGAACGAGCTGGCAAAGTTCGCTGCCGGGCTGGGGTTTGAGAAGGTTCGCGACGAGGACGGTGCCACAGATGATGAGGAGGAGGGGGAACAAGGTGAACAGGAGGGGGTCCAAGATGAGGAGTGGGAGGATGAGCCAGAAGAGGAGGAAAAGACACTGCCGGCTGAGAAGGCGCAAGGTCGCTCTGCGGCGGGTAAGTTGGTCAGTTTGCGCCGTTCCCACACATATGATGGCTTCATCTTCTCAGAATGCTGACCTGTTCTCTAGGTCTTTGAGCCAAGGCCCGATTGGCATACCGTGAGCCAAGACGATCTTCCCGCACCGTCACCTGACGATATCCGGAACTTCTCTACGACTATCAATAGCCTCAAAGACTACGCACACACGCTACTTGAGACCGATGCGGCTGCGTATGAAAAGACCGTCGCTGCCTCATCAACTCATAAGTTCATGACCACCATCATGTCCTCGGGTACAATGTCGGACAAGGTTTCTGCATTGACCCTGGCCGTCCAAGAATCGCCCGTCCACAATATCAAAACTCTGGAGAGTCTGATGAACTTGGCCGGGAAGAAGAGTCGTGAGCAGGCGATTGCCGCTCTAGGTGCGTTGGTCGATCTCCTCGGAAACGGCGTTGTGCTGCCAGGTGACCGTCGTCTAAGACAGTTCCGTGCTCAGCCAGGGCTACTGGGAACTCTGCAGAAGTATTCTGTCACCTCCTGGAACGCCGAGAAGGCGCTGCCTGGGAAACTGACGAAAGCTCACTTAATAATGTGGGCTTTCGAAGATTGGCTCAAGGGCACATACTTCAAGATCATCCAGCTATTGGAGCTGTGGTGTGGAGACGAGATCGAGTACTCCAGGTCCAGGTCTCTAGACTTCGTCTTTGGACTCCTGAGAGACAAGCCGGAGCAGGAGGCCAACCTGTTGAGGTTGCTCGTCAACAAGCTCGGAGACCGCGAGAAGAAGATTGCCTCTCGCGCTTCTTACCTCATCCTGCAGCTGCTCACCATTCATCCCGGCATGAAGAGCATCGTTATCAACACCATTGAGTCGGAGGTTCTGCTGCGCCCAGGGATGACGATCCGAACAAAGTACTACGCCATCAACACACTCAACCAGACGATCCTGAGTAATAAGGAGCCGCAGATAGCGGATACTTTGGTCAGGATATACTTTGACCTATTTGTGGCTCTGCTCAAGATGGGAGCGCTAGACTCTGCTGGCACCGTCAGTGATCAGAAGTCTAACAAGAAGAAGCCTTGGAAGAAAGAGATGGACTCGGCCGCAGACAAGTCAGGCGCCGTGCCTGAGACCGAAACTGCCGAGAAACTGGTCTCTGCCATTCTCACTGGTGTCAACCGTGCCGTGCCCTTCTCGAACACCGACGATGAGACACTTGAGGCTCATCTCGACACTCTCTTCAAGATCACGCACTCGTCCAATTTCAACACAGCGATCCAGGCTCTCATGCTGGTGCAGCAGCTTTCCGTCAGCAAACACATCGCCGTCGATCGATTCTACAGGACACTTTACGAATCGTTATTGGACCCCAGGCTTATCCGTTCTTCCAAGCAAGCCCTGTATCTCAACTTACTGTTCCGATCCTTGAAGAATGATGTTGATGTCCGCCGGGTCAAGGCATTTGTCAAGCGCATGCTTCAGATCTGCTACCTGCACGAGGCGCCTTTTGTCTGCGGCATCTTCTTTCTTGTGGCACAACTGGAGGACAGCTTTCCCGATCTCAAGACGCTGCTCAACGAACCAGAGGAAGACGGAGACGAGGAGGAGTTCTATGTGGATGCACCTGAGAAGGACTCCGGAGTCCCGACTCCCGCGCAAGACTCGGGCCGGAAGAGGGAAGTTTATGATGGGCGAAAGGGAGACCCAAGGTGGAGCAATGCTGATCAGAGCTGCTTGTGGGAGGTGATCCCGTACTTCCGGCACTTCCACCCCTCGGTGTCTGTGTTTGCGGCCAACCTCCTCGTCAGGCAAAAGGCGCTTCCGAAACCTGAACTCGCCAATCATACGCTGATTAACTTCTTGGACAAGTTTGTCTACAAAAACCCCAAGGCGGCCGACAGCAAGCGCGGCGCGTCCATCATGCAGCCGTTGCTTGCTGCGGGCAGTGCCGCCCATGTTGTGGTTCCTGGCAAATCCAGCTCCAAAAACCAGGCCAACGTCAACTCGGCAGGATTCTGGAACAAGAAGCAAGAGGACGTGGCTGCTGAGGATGTCTTCTTCCACGCGTACTTCTCACAGATCGGCAAGCCCGGCCAGGAGAGCAAGAAGGCGAAGAAGGATGCTGCTGATGGGGAGGATGAGGATGTTGACGAAGATGAGATCTGGGATGCGCTTGTCAACTCGCGGCCCGAGATCGATGGGGATGATGACGATGCTGATCTGGATATGGGCGAGGACGATGAGTCTGATCTGGGCTCGTTGCTTGACATGTCGGATGACGATGATGAGGACGAGAATATAGATTCGGAAGCCGAAGATGTGGATGAGGGGATGGGCAGTGACGAAGACATAGCAGATGACTCGGCGGAAGGAGGTGCCCTCTTCAGCGAAGAAGAAGAGGAGGAAGAGGCAGGTGCAAAGAAGGGCAAGGGCAAGATGAGCAAGCGGGAGTTGAAGAAGCTGCCTATGTTCGCGACGGCCGACGACTACGCCGCGCTGTTAGCTGGTGAGGATGATGATGAGTAGTAGAACAAGGCACCGCAGACGTGTGTAGTGTCACGCGCTTATCCCTACTGAGCAGACGAGACATTCAAATTATATTCGTCGCTATTGAAATGACTTGAAGGACATGCATCGCATCCATTGGCGATATCAGCTAAGCGCGCGCACAAGAATTGCCCCTATCCATCTAGTCGTCAAACCACTCGATCGGGTCGTCCTTGGTGAAGATTGCCCGATACTTGAACCCGCCGTTGGCCGTGTCGGGGGCCTCCTCGGTGTGGAAGCTGTGGAAAGTGGCGGCCTCCTCCTTGCCCTTGTCGCACAGCCGGAAGAAGACGTAGCACGGCCCATCCTCGGACAGGGCGGGGATCTTGACGCGCCCGAAGATGTGGATGCCGTAGGCGGATGGGCCGACGCGGACGAGGTCAAAGTCATCGGCAGTAAAGCCCGTCAGCTCGTCATCGCTGAGGTGCGCCTGGGTAGAGAGATTGCAATGTGTCAGTCTCGAGGGGAAAAACAGTACATGAGGATATCTCGTAAAGTGCGGAAGAGAGCTTACGACTGCTTGGAAGTACTCTTTCTCGTGCTCTATAAGCAGGAGGCGACATCGGTTAGTATATAGTGTGCAGTTTGGATGCGGATGGTCCTGAGCTTGGGCCTCAGGCACATCACGTACTATCATGGTCGTGGCGGAGGTGGATGAGCTCTTTCTTGAGGGTAGGCTCCAGCTCCTTGAATGATTTGATGGCCTCGGCCTTGGGAGCATGAGGCTCGCTCCAGGAGTCGACAGTGTCTTGAGTAGCCTATCCGCTCGGTTTCATTGCTGGTGAGCCTTCTCGCGCCTCGACGGGTCCCATTTGGTGGAGGAGAGACTGACCATGTCTTTTGTTTGAATGTCACTCACTCCTGTGTAGTACAAAAAGTAAGGGCGTTCTCACTTCGGATCCTGAATCGCAAGAAAATGCGACAACTTGATGAGGGAGAGGGGAGAGAGGGGGGAATCCGACTTGGATGTACAAGAGGTCTCTATCCTATACCCACAACTCACCACTGAGAGAGAGCTCAGCCCCCCCCCCCCCCTTCCAGCCAAGAGCTTCACACGCTGGTTGGACGTGGAGCAACAGCAGGTCTGGCTGGGCTTGGACGTGACATGACGCGGGGCATGGATCCTCGTCGTCCAATACCAACCCCCCAGGGGGGCTCAGATGTCAAAACCCCAGCACGTCAGGGTCCCGCTGCAGGACCCTGCGAGACAGCGCCTAGGCCACTGAGGGAAGATCACTCACCCCCCTGGTCTGCGCCCAGCAGATTCAAACTTTCCAACTTGGCTATGATTTACGTGGATGGCTACTTGCAAGAAGGATACTTTTATACATAGTATGTTCTGTTCATACATATTTTCAAATGGCACATTACAAGTCGCAATAATTCAGAGCCCCCAAAAATGGAGGAAAAGTCAAACCTATTCCCCTAACGAGGGTCTCGGAATGGTGGAGGAAGAGATGAAGATTACTACAAAGAACTATGTACTGTGTTACTACATAGATTGCGCATTACGTCGGTAGGCCATTTGACAGTCAGCATCATGAAAATGATGTCAGCACCCAATTTCAGACAGGTTGGTAGATGTACCATAGTACTGCTATGGTAGATAACTCTTGCCCCAGGACGAGACATGAATATATATACCTTGACTAAAACTATCGCAGCCATTCAGACCTAGCGGAGATGGGTATCACTTGCTTATGTGCGTAAGACATAAGTCTTCCGCAAACCCAATCAATTCTATGAGGATCGAGGCTCTGCGTCTTATTTAGTATGTAGTCATGAATAGTACAAAGTACATAAAATACTATAGTGCCATGCATTCTTAAACGGAGAAAGCTTTTAGAGAATAAAAGGCCCGAGGAGATCCCTGTCTCCGCTCCGGCGCCGACGAACCGAGGCATTTCCAGCAGAACTAGCCCGCGTGGCCGAATGCCGGATCCATTCTTTTCGCCATTATTGAAGACCGGGAATCTCAATAGACTCAACAAATGGCCCCAACAAGAAGAGCATGATCCCTGGGTGGCGTCTAAAAAAGAAATCTTCTTCAATCTAGAGTACATAGTATCGGATCGCGCCCCCCTGCGATCTGATAAATAAGCGAACCGCTCCCAATGTCGCCGCCGTCGCGAATACCAACCCTGATCCGCCGAACACCACGGCCAGCCGCCTACAGCCATAAACTATCGCTTGCAAGACACCGTCAACGGTCAATCGCCCGCCCTCTCACGACTGCTCCTGGTATGTCCCCTATTTGCACTCCTCTCCAGCCGGTCTTTTGTGTGTGCTGGAGTCTTTGCTTTGTGTCCTTACTGACCACCATGACCACTTCTTTCACACAGAAACAACAACACCGTCTCCGACAAGACCCTCCTTGGCCCGCCGCGCGTTTGTCTCGACCTTTCGCGCTCTCCTCTTCACCACCCTCGGCCTCACCATGGCCGTCTCACCCGCCTACGGCACCGTGTCGGGCTATCTCACGCCCAAGTCGGACGCCGACACGCTCGACATGTGGCAACCCACCGACGAGACGGAGCAGGCCTACGAGGACCACATCAACGCCCACCCCTTTGTGCGAGCCCTCCGCGCCGACCCAGCCTTCACCGAGTCCCGCCCCCACCTCAAGATCCCGCCCGCGTGGCGCGCCCACAACCTGACAGCCGGCACGCTCATGGGGCCCGGCCGCGTGCCGTTCCCGCCGCTGGCGTGGATCGACGAGTCGGGCTGGCGCAAGGAGTACGTGCAGATCTCGTACGTGGGGTCTGAGCTGTGCGGGCACCCGGGCATCGTGCACGGCGGGTACCTGGCGACGGTGCTGGACGAAGGGCTGGCGAGGTCGGCCTTTGCCGCGCTGCCGCACAGGGTGGCCGTCACCGCCAACCTGAACATCAACTACAAGTCGCCCTGCACGGCCGGCCAGTATATCGTGCTGCGAGGCCAGGTGACCAAGGCGGAGGGGAGAAAGGTGTGGGTGGAGGGGCGCATCGAGACGCTGCCCGCGGGGGATGAGAGGCCTGTCGTGCTGGCGGATGCTACGGCTTTGTATATTGAGCCAAAACAGGCTGCGGTAAGTTGTTTCCCACACACATACTTGGGTGATACGTTTTATGGTGACGAGACTGAGACATGATGACTGACTTCCATTTTTTCTTGTGTCATGTACAGGCTCTTGCAAACTACATGCCAGCTACATAAGTGATGGATTCTGTGGGGGGTTTTTCATTTCATGTCTTTACCCCGACATGTGTGACCGGAGTTGGGGCAGGCGAATAGATAGATTTGATTCAGAGCGGGCCTTGGTCTTTCTACAGGGTCATTTGAAAGAGTAGACTAGAACCATTGTAATCTTGACAAATATCTACATGTGGAAAAGGAAGAATCATAGCCTTGGGAGTCGGTAGAAACGACGATAAAGGTCTCGGGGTTGCGGGTTGGAAAACAGCCGTCCTTTTTATACCGGCCGGCCATCCCAATATGCACGACTATAGATTGAACTCCCGATACACTGACAAGGACCTTAGTAGATACTATAGTACTGGATAATGCCTGTTAACCTCCACCACACCGTAGACCTTACAGTAGTTTGCAGTTTCCCTCGACACATGCGGCAATCAAAGGAAAACCCTTACCCCCCTCCTCCTCTTTCCCAAACTTCTACGTGTAATGTAAAGTAGGTATAGTATACAAGTACCCAGAGTAACTCCTCCCTAAATATCCTTGCCCCATGAAGAAAAAGGGGGTTTGAAAGGGTCTGATACATAGTATATTGTGGCTCAAGGTGATGGGCGTTGGAGGAAGAGTGTCCACCTTTTTTTTCTTCTTCGGGAGCCAGGTTCTGTTCTGCGTGGCCCACTTCACTTTCAAGGCTGGCGTGGCCAGCGTGGGTACTTGTAACAAACCTCCCTGAAAGAGGCCACGCAATGAAATGAAGAGGGACGTCAAAGTGTCATCTTTTGGAGTACGTGGACCGGGCCTGGCAGGTGGTAACAAGCGATCAAAGTAGTCGGTACTTGGCAACTGTTGTTTTTTTGCATCCCAACGGACAGATTTAGGTTGTCTTGGGAGGAGGAGAGGAAAAGCCTGACCACCAAAATAAGAACATGTTTCGGGAATCGAAACTCGCCCGTCTCCCGTCGACCTCTTCTCACGTTCCCACGATAAAAAGTCCACCAGGCCTTGACTGCAAGTGAGTAGAGAGGGCAATTGGAGAGTCAGTCCGTCCGTCTCAGAAGTGATCCGTTCTCGATCCACTGCGCTCTTTAGTCTGCTGCCAATTGACATTCACTCCTGGCCCTTCCTATAACTTCTCCAAACCATTACTTCTCCTTTCCTTCCTTCTTTTCTTTGAAAACTTGAAGGAAAAAGTCAAAAACACGCCAGCATCTTCTTTTCAGTCTTGAATATTCAACATGGCGACGTGAGTAGAATATGCTGAAACTTTTCTTTCTTTCTGTCTTCCTTCTTTCGCATTTCCCTCTGCAACCTCAAGTACCCCGCTACCCCGCCATCATTCATCCATCCTCCGCCAATGTTCAAAGTTTACTACCCCAAGCTATGAAGCTCTCACAACAGACTGCTCCCCTTGGCCCTTCGCCTTCTCCTCTTTTCCTCTTCCCTGCGACGACCACATTCCACCATTTGAATTCCGAATCGATGATTCCTCCCAAAGTCGATGTAAAGCACTGCAACAAGCTAACAAGAGTCTTTCCCCTACAGCAACATCACCTGGCACCCCTCCCTCTCGCGCGCCGAGCGTGAGAGCTACCGCAAGCAAAAGGGCTTCACGATCTGGTTCACAGGCCTGTCGGCCTCTGGCAAGTCCACCGTCGCCACGGCCCTGGAGCAGCACCTCCTGCACCTGGGCATCGCGGCCTACCGCCTGGACGGCGACAACGTGCGCTTCGGCCTGAACAAGGACCTGGGCTTCTCCGAGAAGGACCGCAACGAGAACATCCGCCGCATCGCCGAGGTGTCCAAGCTGTTCGCCGACAGCGCCACCGTCGCCATCACCTCCTTCATCAGCCCCTACCGGGCGGACCGTCAGGTCGCCCGCGACCTGCACGAGAAGAGCGCCCAGGGCGACGACAAGCCCCTGGCCTTTGTCGAGGTCTACGTCGACATCCCCATCGAGGTTGCCGAGCAGCGCGACCCCAAGGGCCTGTACAAGAAGGCCCGCGCCGGCGAGATCAAGGACTTTACCGGCATCTCCGCCCCCTACGAGGCCCCCGAGAAGCCCGAGCTGGTCATCAAGACCCACGAGAACACTGTTGAGGAGTCTGTGGCGCAGATCGTCAAGTACCTGCAGGAGAAGGACCTGATCACCATCTCGGCATAGAGTAGTGAGAGAGGTTGGGTGGAGACAGGGCAATATAAGTGTGGGATGATGGAATAAGCTGTCATGTATATTGGCACACACAATAGATACAGTCGTGGATATGTGGTCATTATCAGGAGCAGAAGAAAAAGCAATAGATCTTTCCAATTTAATTTTTTTTGGCATAAACAGATGCGAGCGAGATGCGAGGTATCGACAGGTATATATAAGCCTCCCAAGATACTACTACTAGTAGTACATACACAGACCGCCGTCCGGATCATGCAGCTGCTTCGGTTCCTAAGGGAACCCAAACTCATAGAATACATACGCCGTATAGTCGTTGCCTTCTCCCCCAAGGCCGGCGGCTGTCATCTCAGAAGTGAGGGCCGCGTCGTCCTTGGTGATCCTGCCCTTCTTGTCCCTGCCGAAAGCGTTGCCTCCCAGGTAAGAGTATGCCGAATCCAGTGAGGTCTTGATCTTGCCGGACTGTTTCGGTGTGGTCTGCATAATGATAAGGTCAGCTAAACGGGCTCCACTGGGCACACAAGACCCGCCTTATCCAGGGGATGATATTTTGAAGCTTCTCACCTTGACAAGCGCGCTCACGTATTCCAACGGGAGACCATAGCGCAGCACCGTCTCCACAAACACCCTCAACGTCATGACATGAGCCCACACCATCACGGCCTCTGACCAGCCTGTGCGGCCCAGTCGCAACGCCTCGCCCCACACCTTCTTCTCCTCGCGTCCCATCCGTTCCAGCTCCTTCTGCTCCTCCTCCTTGCCGCCCTCGACGTACTTGTACTGTCTCGGCGTCCACTTTGACTCGCGGCACTTCTGCAGGAACTCGGCGCTAGTCTTCTTGAACGTCGTGACGGCGAAGAGCACAAACTCCTCATCCTTGGCCACCTCGATGCTCGACCGCGGCACGACCATGGGCGCTAGCGTCTCATAGCTCTTGAGGAACTCTTTACGGCTGTTGGCGGGCACCACGATCAGGTGCGTCTCGAGGTACTCGGAGTCTGTGACGAGAAGGGAAGGATCCACGATCGGTGTGAGAGACTTGGTGGTGAGATTTCCACTGCGAGCATTGTCAATATTGTTCCGAAATCAAGACAATTGGCGTCTCTTGGAAGGGAGGGCCTCACGTCTGCTTCCGTTGCAGGCCGGCAAGGTTGGTCTTGACCGAGTTGTACTGGTTGAATTTGCCCTTGACATCATTGTCGATGTTGACGAGCTCCTAAAGAGGACGGCCAACGTCAATAGAGTAGACAAGAGTGAACGTGCACCGGGAGGATGCCCTACCTTCTGCAGGGTCTCGATCAACTCTGCCATGGGTCGGTCAGATCGGTATCTGACCTTGTTCCAGCTAAATGTTCGCAGGTACTGATCCGTAGGCTCTGTGAGGGAATTAGCCGCGGATTTCCCTCTGGTCATGCTGAGTCTCCAAGAGAACCGGTCTTACTGTCGTTCACCATTTTATTCTGCGCGATCTTGTCCTCGTCCCCGTCCAGGATCGTCTTCAACGAGTCCGCCACTCTCTGGACGACACCCTCGCAGTTCGTATGGAGCTTGGCCAGCTCGTCCGCCTGCTGCACCAGCGCATCCAGCGTGCCGATTTTGAACGCTGGTATGGGGAAGGGCGTTACGGCGCCATTTTCGGGATTGACGGTCGAACCGATCGACTGAATCGCCTCGTCCTTGTCGCCGGTGTCGAAGGTTCTCAGGGGGAGAGAGAGGAGGATGTAGCTGGTCATCTTTGCTCAATTCTACCTCATGTCGCGATACGGAGGATTTGGCAGGTAGAAGTAGAGGCGGAAGAGATGTTGCCAAGCCAAGTCGTAGAGCGCCTGGAGGAGGGGAGCGGGTGAGAGTTGTGAGACTGAGGCCGATTGTGTCAGTGAGATTACGCAGAGGGATCCCTCGGGAGGGGTGTGTCGTCAAAGCTCTCGAACCTTCTTTTCAAGAAACAGAATGGATGGTTTGTTAAATTGAAGAACCGTTTGGAGGTAGAGCTGGACGAGAAGTTCCTTGTATTGACTGACCTTGAAGTGTGGAAGTGTGTCAGTGTCTGTGTAATGCAGAGACTAGCTGACGTCGTGATGCTATCTGCGTAAGAAGAGCACACACACTTGGAGAGCTATAGATAGAAGCGTCGCTATTGAACCGCAACAGCCCTGAAATCAAAGGTGGGGGAGAGCTCGGCCGGCGTCCCCTACAGGGCCTGGGAGGCAGAGAAGTGGGGATGTCATGTCCTGTACCCTCAAGCCCACCACCAGCGCATCAAGTGCAAGACTGGTCATGCAAGTACTGCATGGGAACTCTACAGGGGTCCTCCTGACCTCTTGACCCCGGCAAAGCAGCTAGCGATAACCACAGGGCGCCGCAATACACGCTGCGCAAAGTGTGGTAGTAAATTAGGATAGGACAACGCCAACCCAAGCCCAGATGGCTTTCCCCTCCTCAACGGCCACGGTCGATTGACCTTCGACAACAAGGACGCTCACGAGCCTCCACTCGGCAGTTGCGGCGAGGAAGCGAAGCCCTCGACTCCCCCAGGGCATCATCTCTTTAGAGCGTGCGTGTACGAGGGCGTCCCGTAAGATCAGCAGAGCACAAGCCCCACGACCGGCAGCCAGAGGGAGAGGTCGTTTACCGCAACCACAAGGCACAGAACCACCACTGTTGGCAGAATCAGGCTTGTTGCGTAACGTCACTCGAGACGGGTGATAGTTCTGGTCCATTGATCCACCATCTCATCCTGTTTCGTCGGCCGGAAGCCTCCAGCGCTCTCCCCTCGCCCTTGTTGTTTGCTCAGGAGAAAGCCCAGCCCCCCCCCCCTCCCCCCTTCGTTTGCGACGGGCCAGGCGCACCTCGAAAGCGTCCATAGCAGCTGGTGTTTTGTGGCTCCATGTTCCTTGCCTACTCCTTGGCGACTCGACCGAGGTTCATATCGCCCGCGTGACCGCAGGACACGTTGTCTCTCTTGTTCGGCTCATCGTACGGATCATCCACATATGTCGGCGTGCCATTCACATCGCTGGTGCTGACGGTCGCCCGATGCTCCTGATCGCTGCCAACTCAGACGTCTGCTACTCAGATTCAAGAGTTGAGGTAGGGCAGGCAAGTGTGTGCATGCGATAGGCCCATTTACTAGAATGGCCCCGAGCTCAGGTTTGTGACATACCAATGCTTTGGAGATTGCTTCTAGGAGACCCCAATGCCACGAGCTCTTTCGCCCGGCGAGTATCTCCCTTTCCGCCAAAGGGCTCAAGCTGATCATTTCTTGTATATTGCACCAGCTTCGAAGACCTCGAGAGCATTTGGCGCCAATCCGTCGACATCCCCAGCTATACCATCGGTTCAGTATGCCGCCCAGCCTTCGTTCAGCTCCGTGCATTCGACAACCTCGGATGCGAACACCCACGTCCGTAGACCGGCACATCATGTGCCAGCATTAATCCCAGCTGCCAGCGGCAGTGAGCATCCTTCCTACGCTGGTCTACCTCAAGCTGATGCCGCCACCGGTGCTGCTCAGCTTTCAGGGCAGCCTTACAAAGACGGGAGGGTCCGCAACCCGGTGCCCACCAAGTTGAAGGGAAAGACAGCCTTCTCGTCAGGCAGATTCGATGTGATGCACATGGACCTCAAGAGCAAGGACGTCGCAGCAGACAGAGATCTAGCTGCGAAGAGGACGAGCGAGAACACGGCTTTGGCGGCGCAAAAGGCCTTCGAGAGTGCGTTCCCAACCCAGCGGAAGTCAAATTGGGTGCGCGTGACTGAGGAACCATCCGACCCGGCCCTTCCATTCACAGGCACAACCCCGTATAATCCTGCCCTGTATGGTCTGAAAGCAGCTCCGAGTCCTCCTAAGGACCCTCCCAGGGACCCTCCCGAGGACCCTCCAAAGGACCCGCCGAAGGACCCTCCCAAAGAGACTCCCAAGGAAAAACGGCCGCCTTCATATATTCCTTGCCCACTGTATCCAGACGAAACAAAGGAGCACCAGGCCAGACTGCTCACGTTGCTGCGGAGCTTGCAGCCCGTCCAGGTCGTCGATCAACTCTGTAAGGCACTGGCCTATTTCGGTGGTATTCCAGATGCGCCACCCCCTCAAGATGGCAAATTCCCCGAAAGTGCAGAAGCAAACGGCTCTGGAGCGGTCTTTGTGGGCTGGCTCGCAGAAATCTTTCCTGATGTTGACGCCAACGGTAGACCCAAGCCTAGGCCAATGCGGGCGCCGCCGCCGCCAACCGAGCAAACTCCTCAGAAACGAGGGCGTGGAAGGCCCAAAGGCAGCAAGGACACCAAGGCCAGAGTCGACAGGGGTGTCAAGAAAGGAATCCAGAACAATGCACCCACAGAGGTTGGTGGTTTGGGCCAAGAAGACAGCTGGGTCGACGTCGACGATACCATCAGAGACAGCCGCCAAGATGTAATCATCACAGGGGCGCGACCACGGCCAACACCAGATTCCCAGGCTCCGTCAGAGTCTGGAGCAATGACGGGCAGCGGAAAGAAGAGAGGCCGTCCAAAGGGGTCCAAGAACCGGCCGAAAGATCCCACGACTGGCGATTTTACTTCAGATCCCGCACCAATCTCGTCGCTTTTCGATATCAAGGCTGCAGGGCGTCCTGTTCCGCAACCCATGAGCACCAAAGGTCAGACCAAGCACGCCCAAACGGTCAACAGTGCTGTCGCAGCAACTGCCAATAGTGCTACACCCATGGCCGGTCCCGGGACCCAGGCTGCGATGCCTCAGCCCGCCGCAGCGATGGAGCCACCACCTCAGGCAGATTTTGGATTCACCCGCCCCACTCTGAAAGTCCACACTGAAGGCTACACCACCAGCATACAGAATCATGCCAGCTCGTTTCAATCAGTCAACACCGACAACAACAGCCCCGTAGCCAGGGAATTGCAGGCCACAGGCGCAAAGAGCACTACTATTAAGAACAGCGGTAACACACAGCCTGCGAAGAAACGCAAGAGGAATGCGAAGGATGCCGAGACAGTCGATCAACCTCCCGCCGAAAACACCATGGCCGTCCTTTCAGGTGCTGGAGCCCTAATGACCCAGCCACCTGCCAGTGATAGCCAAGGCGCATCGACAGTGGACGTACCCGCACCGACTGTGCCTGCTCCTAAACGACAGAGAAAGACGAAGCCGAAACCAATACCAACGACTAATAATGCACCTGTTCCGGAGCAGCCCACGGCCGGGGGAGTCTCACAAACAGGTCAGGCCCCTGCCGCCTCGACCGCGCCAGCGATGCAACCTGCCAAATCTCGATTGTGGGTGAGTCCAACTATCGAAGAGATTGAGGCGCAGCTAGACCAGCATGATTCGCAGAATCTCGCACCACCCGGCGTGAATCCTGTGCAAGGTCCCAGGCAAGCACAGTCGTTTCGACCGGACCCAGCCCGGCCTCTGATGCAGCAGGGTCAACCTCAACAAGCTACGAAAACCAAGCAAGCACAAAAGGCCCAGCAGATGGCGCGTCAGAGACAACAATATCAGCAGCAGCAGCAGCAGCAGCAACAAGGTGTTGGCCGGACCGCCTCACCCAGTGTCACTCAAATGAGCACAGCCTCGCCGCATATGAGCGTGCAGTCTGCCTCACCGAGCATCAACCAAACACACACCGCCTCGCCAAACCTCCATCAGCAGCGAGCCTCTGATTCGCAGACACCGACATCCGTAGCCTCGCAGGTTCAGAGTCAGCAGCCACGGAACACGCAGCCTTACTATCAACAACAAGCAGCATCCAATCAATCTCCATATGGCCAGTCGCAGAATCAGCAGTACTCAAGCCCACAACCAGCCAAGCAACAATTCGCCGTAAATCAGCCTCAGCAGCAACAAAATTTGAGCACTCCACAACAGCCCGCTCAACAGCAACAGAACTACACAACCCAGCAGCCTCAGTACTCGCAACAGAAACAACAATCGTATTCGTCCCAGCCTCAATCACGATACGCCTCGCCGCAGCAACCATACTCCACACAGCATCGCGTTCAGAAGCAGCAGCCGCCGCCGCAGCCGCAACCGCCATATGCCTCCAGTTCAACCAGCGCAAATTCACAAACCGTGCTTGCACGATCTCCTCAGTATGGACCGCCGACTACTTCAGATTACACCTCTAATGACGGAAACTTCCGCACGAATTCTACCACACCAATAAGCTTTAACTCCTCCAATTACGGCTCAAATCAAGCACCTAATACGGCTCGAAACAATAATATGTATCCTTCGTCGACCACCAGCACTTACGGCAACCAGACGCAGCAGGTTTCTCCCTTCACAGCTGCTCAAAGAAGACCTTTGCCCACTACGACCGCACATCAAAACCCGGTCCATAGCGTTCAGGGCCTGCCACAGAATATCAATGGCTTTTCCGACTTTAGCAACCTGAACTTTGATAGCAGTCTGATGTCCAGCCTTGATAACTCGACCACGGGGCACGGAAACCTTGGCATGAACGCCTCTTATAATATGAGTGCCAGCAACGTGTCCAGGCCATCGGCCGGAACAAACAATTTCGGGTTCGACTCCAGCCTTCGGAATGATGGGAGTTCTTTCTTCGGCCTTCGCAGGTAGCACCTGTCTCGAGTCTGGGATGCTCAGCTGGGCCCTCAGGAATTCTGCAGGCAGCGCAGCAGAGAGTAGCTGCGGCTACGGCTAGTCGCTTCGTGCTCTCTTAGTGAAGGCGTTGAGGGACTGGCTCCAACTTCATAATCATGAGGTGAGAGGTGACCTGGCTAATGGGGATTTCTTCATGGCCTGTAGTAGTTGCAGACTGGATGTGGCTTTCCCCTTGGGTACAGGTGGTGAAATTGCCTGATCTATTCTCCAACGTCTGTTCTATTTTTATTATTATTTTTTCGGCTATTCTTTATTTCCATCGATACCTCTAGCAATGGGGCGGGAATCTGCATGGAGTCAACACCGGTTTGGTTGGTCGGTCAGTCGGTCGGTCGGATTTGCAAAGTTCCTTGAATTCTACTACTGGCTTGAATGGATTTTTAGGAGGGAGGCGGCTCATCTCGTGTTTGGGTTACTTAATTCGCTCAAATTAGCATGTCATCCCTGAGAACTTCTTCACGTCTCAGGCAAATTGAATGGCTTCACGTCTTTGGCCTGCCAGAAAAGAACGAAGGGAATCGGAAGCTCTTACGTGTATGCTTTACTTGTGAAAAACTAGCTCGCATGGTTTCCAGGTAAGGCCGTTCGTTGATGGAGGCGACTCGAAGCCCATTCCATGCAATTATGTGGTCAGTTGTATTCACGACTCCACATGCCACTATCTCGACGAATGTTACGAAGGCTGCATTGTCACAAGAAGTAGTGAGATTTTGCCTCTCCTGCAGTACATCATCGCATACAATCTGAAGCGACTTTTCAAATCTTGTGTCAGTGTCGATTAGTTAGATGGCCACATCGAACATGTCACCAGCCCACCACTTACTTCTATCATGTCGCCCTCACCACTCAATCTACGGCATATGTCTCGACATACCGGACAATGCACAGAAAATTTGTTATGAATAAGTGTTTCATATGTCAAGAAATTAGGATATTTCGCACGCTCCAGGCCATGTAAGAACTGATCCCTTGAAAACCCCCAAGTCCACTCGATTGTGTTAAAAAGAGAAACGCCTGTGAATGCTTGCTTTCCTCATGTGGGACATGACAAAGGAGACGCAATGATGTCGATGTTGTTGATGATGACAAAGAAGAAAAATGATATCGCTTCCCGCTTTCCAAATTGGAAAATCCACACTCTTATTCAATAGGATCCTCCTCGATAGCCTCCAAGGGCGGCGGCCGTATCGATTCGGTATCGACCATTCCATACCACCAGATATCCTCCTCAACCACTCCGTGTTCCTTGATCAGGTCTATCAGCACCTGCGCGTTGCGCTTAATGTCCACTGAGCGCTCGACGATCCTGCGGTCGAGAATCATGACCTCGGCGTTAAATAGCCACAGCTTTTGGAGGGGTGGCAGATCGGATAGGAGACGCTGGAACTGGTCTTGGTCGAGTTGGTCCATGGGCATACCCGCCGCCAGGCTCGTGTTAAAAATCATATTTGACGGCCCGGTGATTGAGTTTCTCGAATTGACTTGCTCGAGGGAGCCTCGGTTTGGTCTCGCCGTATCGTCGGCCTTCGCGGCGTCTCGGATCTGCCAGCTCGATTTCCTCCGCCCCAAGCTCATGAGGCCTCTCCTCGACTTCGCATTGTCCTTGCTGCTCGTCTCGGCTGGTCTGGGTGGTTCTTTGGCGCTGTGGATACTATTATACCATGTCTCCACGGAAGTGATCCTCGTGTTATAGCCGTGCACCTCCCAACATCTCAGGACTTGCCTCAAGCCACCGAGACAAAGCACCGCTGTTTTGACCTCGTCCGCAGGTTCGTCCCGCAGATAACCCCGGATGGTCTTCTCCAGCCGACCGACATACGACGGAGGCCGTAAGCGCCGGCTGAAGGATGATACGACCATGGGGAAGATCTGGTGGACCTGTAATAATGTTCGATCATCGTACATGTTCATGATCTGTGTTTCGATGGGGTGAGTCGTGTATGGTGTGCGCGAGAGGCCATAGCCGTGCTCCTGGATGTATTGCACGTGCAGTCGCCGGTAGTTTTCGAAAAAGTGAAATATGGTGAAGAGTAAGGGTATAAGTCGTCGATACATGCGCTCCCGCTGGCCGGCGAATGATGCCACCTGCTCCCTGGTGGTCTTCAAAAAGATCTCCTTTGTGCACCAGTCGCACATGCGCCTCGCGAGCTTGGCGGCGACATGTAGTCGGTGCCACAGGCTGCAGAGGTAGTGTAAGTTGTACCCGGAGGCATCTGGTACCGGGTAGAGGCGCTTGGCGTATGCAGGGACTTGATGGTCTAGCTGGTAGCGCACTATAGGCACTTCGTTTAAGGTGACCATACCGTGCCATGCTCTCGATGCTAGCCGAAGGTTGAGCACATCTGACAACGGCAACGAGGCGATGACCTGAATCTTGAGCTCATTGGGTAGGTTCAAGAATAACTGGTCGAACGGTAGACTGTGCGGAACAAGTCAATATGAGCCGATCATAATCCTGTGGATGGGCTAGGGGAAAGCAAAAGTAGATTGCAGAACACATACCTGCTGCGTTTGGGGGCTGTGCTCTCGACAATGGAGCTTGCCGATGCCACCGATGCAATCGAAGGCCGTCTTAATGAAAGAGGCTCCGGTATAGATACGCTCGATTTCGATGATCGCAGCCGCCCAAAAAGACCTCGCCTCTCCTTCTCCTTCTCCTTCTCTAGCCGCGAACTCGATGGTTGTTCTACCTGCTGTTCGGCTTGTCGGATAGGCAGAATGAACTTGGCCGAAGAGCCCTCCACCTGAGCCTCAACATCATTCTGTTGTGGTTCTTTGGGTAGTTGGTCAAGCTTCTCATAATATCGCCTCGAGGCGAACTCGGTGATGTGAAGTGGCTCCATGGTGAGAGCTTAGTCGATACAATCGTCGAATCACGAAGCCCCCAGTGATTGTCCGTCCACCTCTTTTCCCACCCCAAGGAATCTCCTTTCCTACTTCGAGACCGCCGTTTTTTCCTACTTCGAAACGTGGCTATTAAGGACTCGCGACAATCGCAATACAACCATGGCGGAACATCTGGTCAGTCGGCTTGAATATTGGGGGGGGGGGGGGCGGGGCGGAGAGGGCAACAGATATGTCGGGCCAAGCACGGTTCTGTTTTCTGCGAAGCTGGTTGTTGTTCGTCACCGGGTTAAGTCGTATGCGACGTGGTCAAGGATACGTCTTCACTCGTAGTTGTTCGTAGACAGCGAGGTTATCAATCGGATAGGTTCCGGTATCCTTGTCGAGTTCCTGGCGACCCAGAATTGCAAATATGAGAGACTGATAGTCGCGACGGACTTTGACCGAAGGGTGCGATGCCGGCTAATTACACCAGAAGACGTCGGGGTCGCAGTCGAGGTGTTTATCAGGAGCGTCCGCCAGAACGAGGGAAGCTGTCGTAACTGCCACACACACTGCGTCGTTGGGAGGATGCCGCTGCAATTCTGCACCACCAAAAAAAAAAAAATTGCACGGTGGTCTTTTGCTGCGATTTCGTCGAGAGAGGAGTACGAAATGCTGCCACGCAGGATAAAATCGTCTGAGGCCGAGGTCTCTGTTGGGCGAAGACTCGAATTCGGTTCAGGAAAGCGTGGGAGAAGTCAGGAAGGAGGGCGCGAAGAAGGTTGTGCCGCTGTACCGGAAATAAGCAGGCCGAGCCCAAGTTCCACGTTCGGATGCAAGTCGTGCGAGCCGCGGGTCGTTGGTAGAGAGAGAAAGCAATAAAGGAAAAGGGATGCAAGCAGGTGGAAAGTCTCGCAAGACGATGTTGTACAAGCCAAATCTTGAATATTTTCCTCCCGAATCGAAAGATGGTGGTGGGACAATGAGAGGAGGAAGTCAGGTCGTGCTTGAAAATCAAGGGTGACCAGCAGGGTAGAGAGAGAGGTGTGTGTGTGTGATGGAGGAGCTTCTTCGCAGGGAAAACGGAAGACTGACTTGACGGAACCTGGAGATGGGGCGTGCGGAGACAGTGTAGCAGGCAAAAGCACGCAGGCCAGAAGCGCCAAGCCCACACTGAGCGGGATACGGCATACGTCCTGGGCTTCCCTGGTCGTCGTTGTGGAGACTGGGGTGTCGTGGAAGGGTTGAGTTCGATATGGATCTGGATGGGCCACGGCCATTTCTCCGGCGTAATAGTGGGGAGCCCTCGGGCCAGGTCCACTGAGGTTGCGAGACAGAGTGTCGCCGGGGGAGGCACCCTCAATTCTTCCAGGGCAACCTGCTACGTGTGCTAGGCAGGTACATGGGCTGCTAGGCGTGATTATGGCTTTCTCCGCAGGGGTAGTGCACTGAGGCCAGAGGTACCAGGCTATCGCGGCCCATCGTCAACCCAACCTGGTGTCCGTGTGCCTCCATTCGGTCCTGCTCGTCGAGATAAGAAAGACTTCATGGCCCGCCAAGTATTGAGTACGGCCGAGATCTCGACCGATGGATTGCCCGTCGCCGAACTTCAATCTGTTCACGGTAGGGCCGAACTTCTCCACGCCTCTATCGCCGCAAACAGAGCCGCACTGTTTCCCAGTTCATCGCCCATTCTTCACAATCATTGCTGCGAGGGGTTCTCGTCTTCACAATCCTGCGGCGCACGATGAGTAGCAGCAGGGCCATCGTCACTCCACAATAAGCGGGAGTAGAGTACCATAGTACCACCATAGTTGGTTTTTTGTTGGCACGGTAGATGAGGGCCTGGTGGTTCAGGGTAAAGCAGCACCTCATTTTAACCGGGGCCAATGAAACGTGACGCAGCCTCCGGATGACTTGCTGGGAGCTGTGCAGCCAGCAAAAGACGCGAACGAAATTCCGACCTGCTGCATGCATGCAATGTACTATAGTACTGCTTGAAATGGTGATCTGATCCTGCTCCTTTCTCCTGACCTAGCATTGAGACATCCTGTCTCTCCCAACCCATCTTGGGTTGCATGTTGGGAGAGCGACCCCAGCCCAATGCAACGCTTCCCAAACAAGAGTCAGTTGTCCTCATGGATGGCAGTCTACGTAAACGGCTTCTCGTATGGACTAACGATCATTGGAACGACCATTCGCTCGTTCGTGCATGGTATTTCCTCGTCGGACCCGCTGGATGGGTATGACGATGTCAGGTTGTGTACTATGGTAGCAAGCGCATGATGATGTGGGTGGTATTGTGCTGAGCCCGACTGGTGTGATGAAAAGGAAGAAAGGAAAAAAAGCATTGATGTGATCGGCAATAACCCCGGGGTTTCATTATTACCACCACCCGAGGTATTCGCGTCCACCTGCAGCACAGTTATTATGGTACTATGGTACATCCGTAACCAGAAGAGAAAAGAACTGCTACACCTCCACCGGTGGGCATTTCCGATGTCTGATGACAGCGGCATCATCTTCTATGCAGCGTGGCAGGATAATCTATCGTACACAGGCAAATACCTTCCTACCCGGGTGTGCATCATTTGTTTGGTACAGGCCTGGTGGGAGGAGACCTCAGCTTTTTCGTCCACAAGATCCCTGGTGTGTCTCGGGCATTCTGGCTGGATAGTTGGATGGCGAGGGTGACGGTGCAATGTAACAGCGGAGATCTGCTTCGGCAGTTGAACAGACGAGAGTTCGTCATGGTGTGGAGTCCTCGCCAGCACACGCATACGACTCTCGAATCGATGATCGCTGGCCAACAGAAAAGGGCAAATGCCTTTGTCGGTCATACTTTTCCTTAAACTTCAATGGACGCCAAAGTTGTTTCCAACCCTGTGGCTGTGGACAGGAACGCAACGAAAAAGGCCTCCTCCTAGGGTGACTCACATGAAGCCGAGACACTATTATAGTAGACAACAGGGGGGTAAAAGTTATTGCACAGCAGTGATCGGTCCGGTGTTCAAACGCAGTGCAGTGAACCAGTGCAGTGTAGTAGTGCCACACCACAAACACACATACTACACACACACTCACTCTCACTCACTCACTCACTCACTCACACAGGGGTTTGGTCTCACTTCGACCTGGCCAGCTTTCCACACAGAGTCGCAGATTGACAATAGGAAGCCCATAGCGGAGGATCCGGAACGGGGCGCCGTACGGAGTCTGCATGTACCTGATGTCAGACATGCCGGGAACACTCTGCTTCCCGGCCCTACTCCGGTGGCTCTCATTCAAGTGTGACCTGATTGGGCCTATCATTTGGCCCCCCTTTTTTTCTTTTTTTCCTTTTTCTTTTCAATAGCGGTTGGCGGTTGCTTTTTTTTAATTTATGTGGTGAGTCGGCCGGAATTAATTGGGCTCAGAAAGAGAGCGGCCGAGAGGCTAGAAGCTACTGAGATTTATTGAAAAGAAAACTTTGTTGTCTCGCCGAATATGCCCGTGCGTGTACCCTGGACTGTGACCGTGACCGTAACATTCTTTTCTTCTGCTTCTTCTCCTTTGCAACGGATTCCAAACGTTGCTCTCTGCTCGATCTGATCAGTCTGCAGAGTGAAAGAGAGAAAGAGCGACGCAGATCCTTCTCGGCCAGCACCCGACACCTGCACACGAGGCTCAGCCTGGACTGTGGGCCGGGAGGATCTTTCCTCTCGGAAGTTGCTCGGCAGCCTGGCACACCACACCATATACACCCTCTCTCTCTCTTTCGCTCGCAATGTGCAACCAGACAGACAGAAGCAAAAAATCCTGCCAACACAGAGTTGCGGCTGTGGATTTCGTGGTCACGACTCGACTCAAAACTGTGGCCCCTGAACCGAACGTGCTGTGTGGCAAAGGGCGACAGTACACCCAGACCAATTCGTGCTACGAACCAGGTCGAGAGGGTCGTTGGTCGTCTCGATTGTTCCCGACGGTTTGCAAAGCATCGATGCTGCCCTCTGGTGCGGTGAGGCATGCGATGTTCCAAGTGGATCATGAAATCGTGGATTGCAACGCCCACTGGCGCGCTTGTCGAGCAGAGCACCTGGCGAAGACTGAAAATCGTCACTGTACGTACATGCACAGTGGCAGTCAGTCCTCTCTCATAGTGATGCTCCAGGGAGCCCAGGGGTATCCCACCACCTGTACTATGCACGGATTGGCCCGAGCTCAGCGCACCAGCTCCCCGTCTGGGGTAAGTTGGGTACTCTGCAGAAGGGGCCTACAGTGTCTCCTCTCGGCAGTCTCGGGGAACGAACCCGCCTTGGTCGCCCCCGTGGGGTTTGCTGTTTTCGCTGCAGTGCAATTTTTCCAGATTCCCGCTCCCCGTTCTCTAGCGTTACCTACTTTACTTGCCTAGCCGCTCCTGCCCGCAGCCCAGCCAAGCCCAACCCAGCAACAACAGCACAGCCTGCTACATGCCATTAGAGCAGGTGACCCTATACGCCGTATTAGTCCGTACGCATTATTCAATTCAGCCAACCACCTAGCTTCCAATCCAATGAATGGTTCCAGCAAGCCATAAAAGTCACGTCACCTCAGGTCACGTCACGTCACATTTCTTCTTTGATTGACCCCAAGTCCGACTTTTCGTGTCCTTCGTCCCCATCAACCTGATGCATATGCTCTCTTTCCGGTTTCAGACACGTCGTGTGCTCTTGCTCACTTCCTACATCCCTTCACCAGATCTGGGGAAAGACACGCCACAATCTCAGGCGCCACATCAGCAGAGCCCGCGCGCGAGAGAGAGAGAGACCACATTCAAGCTACGAGAAAGAGAAGGAGAGGGTCAATAATCCGCAGCATTCCCGGCCTCTCGCAAGTCTGTCTTCCAGCTAAGTCCAGTTGAAACGAACTCGTCTCGGTCTCAGCCACTGGAATCGTTGGGTTGACCGCCATGCAACTCTTGCATGGGGTTAAGAATGCTGCCGGATCCTTCATTCACGGTTCTGCATGGGTTCGTCGATTACTTGCAGCTGCAGAAACAGTCGGGTGCTCCTGAGTTTCTAGGAGGCGAGTACACGTAGCGAAGCCACGGCGCTTCTTCCAACGGCCCTTTTCCCCAGCTTGAATCAGCTCAAAATCACCTGCAGTCCGGTCCTGCACCTCTTCGAGCTGGCAGACTGGAGCAGGATCTTATCTATGAACTGGATTGCAATTCGGATTCCTATGGTCTCTCATCAGGAGTGCAGCGTCGCTCAACGCTTACTAGACATGGCCACCGAACCCGTTCGCGATCTGCCCGCTCCCATGAGCTTCTGGTTGCGGGCAGTCTGAAAGCACTGATCTTACAAAAGCCAGGGGGGAGGTCCTGCTCGTTTCGTTTGGATCTCCTCCTCTCATCTCGTCTGGGGTTGACAGGCCAAATACCCGCCCTCGTGCCAGGGATGGCATCCTGCAAAATCTAATCCAAAATTCTCACCTTCTTCTCCTGTTGTCCATCATAACTCTGAGGGCGGAGAGAGAGCATGTACCTTGGGGCTGTCAAGACCACACAGAGGCCACCAAGCACCGAGTCGTGGCCATGGCGAATTGAGTGGCAGCTTAGCAACTCAACATTCTGCCGAAGAAGAGGGCTGTCTGTCTTTGTCATGTAATCCAATCCAGTATACGCAAATGTGGTGTCTCCCCCCTTTCTTTTTTCTTTTTTGTGATCGGATGCTCCCACCCCCCAAAGGAGCAACCCCGTCGGAGATTCCATGTTGATCAGTCGAAGGGGGGCCGACGCTTCTCGAAATCATTAGAAGGAATCCCACCTCCACTTTTTGACCGTACATATGCCGCATGGAAGGGTTTGCGTCTATTAATAGAACTGTCGCCAAGGCTAGTGTCTGCGAGGACCCTTGTTTGCGTCCTGTCCCATAGCGGCGGGTGAGGTTTGTGTGGACGAATGGACGACACAGCATGCTTCGATTCATCAAACGCCTCGTCGATCGTCTCCAGTTCTTGACCGTTTCAGGCGTGCTTGTCAGCAATCCACATACATGAGAACATATGCACACACACAGGCAGACACACACACACACACACATGACTGATGCCTGTGGAGAGTTAGGAGATAGAGGAGGGGGGGTGGAGGGAGGGGCATGATTGAGCAGGGATGGATGGCATCAACGCTCCAGGAGGAGGGGCATGACAAGCCAGGAGTGTCAGCCCCAAACAAGAGGGATAGAAGCCCTTCTTGCTGCCCTTCTCATACCCAGCGCACCCCTGGAGCCACGGGAGAACTCGCAGGTCATCTCAGTCACCATCTTTTTTTCTTCTGCCTCTTGTTGTTTCGTCCAGACGAGCAAGCTTATCGACAAGCTTATGCCCTGAATCTTTTGGCGGCAATCCTGTTTACATGCGGACATCGTCTCACCACGCCTCTTCTCTCTCTTCTGTTCTCCTTAAGTCGCGCCAATATAGGGCAGAGATCCACCCAGCTGCGACCGGAAGGGCGATAACATTAACGTCTTGTTGTTGTTGCGCAGAGCGCGAGCGCCGTGCGTTCATTGACTGTCACTTCCGTCTCTTCCGCAGCTAGATAATCTCCTGCTGCCCAGCCCAGCGCTCTCCTCTTTCTGCCTCTGCGGCGCTGACTGATCCAGGACTTCTTGATCCTGATCCTGCCCACAGCGAAGCGATCCTGTCCACTTTATATTAAAAGCATTGCAACGTACCCGGGCCACTGGGTCCAGTTGACACTACCCTGCAGCGGGCCCCCTTATTTCACATTGTACCTTGATTGCCCCTACTATCATCCACCCTGAAATCGCTTCGTTGATCGGATCATTCCTTCAGCTTATTATTATATGTTGTCAGCTTGTCCGGGCCGAGCGAGCGAGCAAACCCACGGCGCTAGTAGCTTTGTGTGCTGATTTTAAGAGGGAGACTGAGAGAGAGGAAAAAGAAAACAAAAGAAGAAAAAAGAGAAAAAGAAAAGAAAGAGAGAAGAAGGAAAAAAGGAGCCCTCCCAATTACCTTGTCTGTCTAGGCGCGCCGCTACTGCACCATCAGCGACGACGGATTTACCAACTAGCTGCCTGGCTCTCGAGAATTCTCCTCGAATAGAACCGCGCGCCTCCACGTACGTTACGACATAATCAGTTCCTCTCGATTCCTTGCCAACGATATACGCATCGCTTCTTTCCCTTCGCCCTAGCCAAGAAAGAAGACCAAAAACAAAGAGAGTGAGGAAGTTGAAAGAGAAGGAGAGGGCAAGCGCGACAAAAGAAAAAGAAAAAAAAGAAGGAAGGAAATAAAAGGTTACAGCCGCGCAGATTAGACGCGCCTGGGTACCCGAGTCTCAGCCTCGCGCACGGCCTCGCTCTAACAAAGAGAAGAAGGACAACCCCGAAAAGATGGCGGCACCTATCCAACCAACGGTGGCCACGCATAACGACTTTGGTACGGTCAACGTGGTGGAGACACCAACCTCGCCCTCGTCTGCATTCACACTCTCGAGATTCGAGTTCGAGACGGGCACAAAAGGCAATGAGGGGACCAAAATCCTCATGGTGGAGTGGGATGCAGCTGCCGCACTGGGCACGGAGGGAGATAGCGCCAAAGCTACGACAAAGGCCAACCTCGAAGACTGGGAAGTCAAGTGGGAGGGCAAAGAGGCCGTCACATTACCACCGATCCGCGATGTCAAGACCCCAAACACAACCTGCCGGCTCTACTTCCTCCTTCCACCAAAGGCGCCCATGCCCACATTGGTGACCATCTCCCCCAAGATTGGAAACGTAGCAGATCTGCACACCAAACCCCTGCCGGCGATATTCCCAGAGGGCCTGGTGAGCGAGGACAAGGGCACACGGGGTGTGCTCCACATGATCTGGGCCAAGATGCGCCTGGAGGAGCTCCAGGCCGAGATCGTGGCCGAGATGAAGGAGAACGGCGAGAGCGTCGGCCTGGAGATGGCGGTCCAGGAGAGACAATGGATCGTGGACCACTTTGGCCTGCAGATCGACACGTCGAGCGCCGAGGCCATCCCACTGCCGCCGCAGAGCCCCGGGGCTGGCAGCCCCAGGAGCCCACGGTCGCCCATCGGCGGGAAGCTGGGCGAGAAGCTGAAGGGGCTGAAGCTGGCAACGAGCCCGGCCGAGCTGGCAGCCGCCAAGGGAGGTGAGTTTCCACAGGAGTATTATTATCATCCCTCGTCGTCGTCACCATCGTAGCCTGTAGCTTCTTTGCTACTTCTTTCTTTCTCTTCCCCTGAGGATATTATGCATTTGGCTCACACGTACACACACCAGCAGCAGGGAAAAAGTCCGCAGCCATTGCTCCAGATACGGCTCCTGCAACCTTCCAACCGCGCCCGATGGTGACCGGCTCTGCAGGTGGCATTGCCTCGCTTAGCGCAGTCATGCACGGCGGTGCAACCGCTCCAGAGAGGGGTGGCGGCGGCGATACTGAGGAGGACCTGTTTGCGCTGCCCATGTCTCCTCGGAGCCCAGAGATGTTGAGAAGTCCCTTCAGCCTGCTGAAATCATAGGACGGACAGCGACTCGGGAAAACCTTGCTATGTCGGCAGAAGGGAACGCACGCCAACAGTTTCTGTGTCCTAGCTTCTACTTTCTTGTCGGGTTTCATCCTGCTAGACAGCGCTGCACTGGCCACTTGAGGCCAGTCAGTATTCTTCTTTTTGTGTACAGGACAGAGCATTTAGATACCTGCTCCCGGCTGCGGGAAGCTTCTTCAATACCAAGACGGTTGGTCCTCCACGGACCTAGCATGAGGTCTAGCTTATTTGTCAAGTTCCCAGGCTCCCTCTCTTGATGACTTGCCACGCTCTGATTGTACACGATATGCCATGCCTATAACAAAGGCTTCATGGGTATCTCAACCAGACTTTAAATCTCGATCGTTTCACTTGCAGCTTGGCCCAAAAAGGCGGCTCCTCATCGTCTGTCGTCGTCGTAAAATGTCGTAGAGCTTCCGAGATGCGAGACAGCTGCCAGCCAAAAAGCCAGGCGCCATTCCCCCCCCCCCCCCCCAATCCTGTCTCTCTCCTCCGCTCTTTCATCTCCAACCCCCAACCCGTCCCTCATCCCATCTCTCCTTCCTCTCTTTGCGCAGATAATACCCCCTCCTGGCGTCCCGATACCTCCTCACCCACTCCAACGTCTCCCGCTCCGTAGCCTGCCCGCCCTCCCCTTCACCCTCCAGAAAGCTCTCCTCCAGCGCAACACACACCCCTTCCTGCTCCGCCAGGCCCCCCGACAGCCGCTGGTACAGGCTCGCGGGCGCAAAGGGCCCCAGCGCGTGGTCCATCTCCCCTTGCTTGGCGCGCCACTGCCTCTCGAGCGCGTGCGCCGACAGCAGGAGGGCCTGTGCGGAGGCGCGGGAGTGTGCGAGCCGGGACTCGAGCTCGAGGAGGTGCGTGGCCAGGTCGACGTTCTCGGCGAGGGAGGTGGACAGGGCCTCGGTGCTGGACTGGGTGGACGCGTGGGCGGTGGAGGGGGCGTGGACGAGACCGGATAGGAGGGTCGGGGTGGAGAGGATCTCGGCGAGGTCTTGTTTTCTGTTTCATCATTGGGCCGCGGTGAAAGCAGGCGGCAGCTGTCAGTCTCATTGTAATACACCGTGGGAGCAGGCGGGGGGGAGAATGTGATGGGAGAGGCGTACGATTTGCCCTCTAGGAACCCGGGCAGCCACTGTTCTCCCGGGTCCGGGATTGCCTGCGGATGTGAGATCTGCGCCTGTTGTGCTGCCGTCAGGCTCGCTGCTTCGGGGAGATCGGAGTGTTGGTGATAGTCTTGCAATGGCGGCGCTGGTCGAGGGGAGTTGACCGTTGTCGGTGTGCCTATGCGAGAGACTTCGTGGCTGCCCGGCTTTGGTGGGGGCGCAGGGGGTGTGTTGGAGTAGATGTCCTCATATCTGTCCATTTTTCAAAACAACGACAAGTTCTATTCTTCCTTCCAGGGTGATCTGCCTTAAAAGAGCGTGAGAGAGACAGAGAGATGAGCACTTAGTTTGAGACGAAGATAGGGTTTGAGAGCAGGAGAATAAAGGTGCCAGGGCATGACGGTTGGTTGCTGTTGTTATCTTATCAACCCTGGCCCAACCCTGCTCTGCTGAGCTTCTGGTGGGCCACAGTGATGAGGGGCCCTCCATGCTACAGGGTATTCACAGGCCCTGAACACTCCTCTCACACTGCCCAAAGTAAGAACCAGAAAAATACTGGGCGCCATTTGTTCAAGATGTCAGGAGGATCACAACAACAAGGTGGTATGTTGTCTCTCTCATATGTTATTCTTGAGAATCAATAGAGTATTCCAAGCTGACCAATTGCCACCGACAGTGAGCCTCGACAGCCTGAGCGCCCAGCAGCTCACAGCTGTCAAGAAGCAGCTGGATGAGGAGGTGGACCACCTGACAACCTCCTTTGCACAGCTACAAGCTGCCCAGATCAAGTTCAGGGACTGCCTGCGGTGTGTCAAGACACAGGGTGCCACATCAGGTGAGGAAACACTTTGGACTGGGGGAAAGACCCGGGGGAGGGGAACTGGGTTCAGATGGGTTCAGCAAATTGAGCCATGTGCCCAGAAGACCTAAGCAAGCCTTGTTTGGAAGAATAATACCAGACGAACTTGCTAAATCAAACCTCCGTCACAGACAAGAAGGAGGTCCTCGTGCCCCTGACCAACTCACTCTATGCCAAGGGCAACATATCAAGACCTGACCGTGTACTGGTGGACATTGGCACAGGATTCTTTGTGGAGAAGGTTGGTCATTCTCTCAGATTGTCTGTTCAACACAGCTCACTGACTGTGGAAATAGGATACCAAAAGTGCTGCTGAATTCTACGAGGGAAAGATCAAGGATTTGAGCAGCAACATCGCGGACCTTGAGGGCATTGTTCAGAACAAGACGAATACACTGAGGGCTGTTGAAGAAGGTAGGTTTTTCTGAGGCCTTTTCCACAGTTTGCACCTTGTTCTGGAAAAAGCTGACCTTGAGACGATAGTGTTGAAACAGAAGCTTCTTGCAGCACCCAAGCCAGCCTCATCATAACATAGTAACGAGCTGGCTTGGGAAATGGTAAAGGGGCGTACTTGGGACGGACTGCTGAAGTATGGGCTGATGAATCTGCAGGCAAGCAGGTAGGGGGAAGTCTGAATGGGTAAGGGGCGGGGGGGAGGGGAGGGGGAGAGGGGCTAAACAAGGCAAGAAGCAGCAGAGGGTAACATATAAACCAAAAGTGATCAGTCCAAAGTAATAAGTTGGTTGTTGGCGCAGTGGTAAGATTCATCTTTCCACATAACGAGTCCACTAGCCTTGAGCAAGCTACCTAGCCGCAGTTCCCTCCACTGAAAGCTGCAGAGGATCTGGTACGACTCACCGGGCGCGGTACCGGGGAACCTGCTCACAAGTCGCCATAAGTCTGCTCGGCAGTACCCTTCGGGGTTGTTTTTTGTTTCTTTTTTCTTTCTTTTTGTCATTATCCTCTTTATTTTCTCTCTCTATCTCTACGTGTTACGGCGTAAGGAGGTGGTGAATCTCCTGCGTTTGCTATGTGTTTGGGCTGTTGGTGGTTTTGCCCAAATTTGTAGGAGGCCACCTGTTCGATTCTCTGTCGTAGCTGTTACTTTTTTAACTCTACTTGGGACTTTCTCACCTGCTTGCATCTCATAAGACGATGTGCATAGACTTCACAGGTTGCTTAGAACCTCAAGGTCAGCAGAGGTATACTAATGATCCTAGGCTGCGTTTAGGCGCAGCTTTTCAGGGCGGCGGTCTCGCAACAAGACTACTTAATTATACAGGTAACGAAACACCCAATTTGAATATCACATTCATGATCGAAACTATTGAGGAAAGAGTGTCTATTTGTTGGGGTCCTGGAGACCGCATATACACATCGGTTTGAAGTCACCCAGAGGTGCATAGCATTTTTGTCAGCCATTCCTCCAGTGATGATCATAGCAAATAACGTCCATTGATTTATGCCTCAGTTCCCTGGGCACCACAAGCCTTGATATTGAATCAGGATTTCTTGAGCTCTTCAGTCTCAGCAGCGCCGGAAGCAGCAGCGGCCACGTTGTCAAGAAGACACTCCATCTCTCGTAGGAAGTTGCTGGAGAAATCAACCAGGTCCTGGTGACCAGCGAGAGCGTGGACGAAGTCTGGAACGAAGGTGCCGCTCACGGGATTCAACTCCTGCATCTCGTCATCCCATCCCTGGCCGTAGAGTGTGATACCGCACCCCTTAGTGGATTTCAACTTTTTGTTTGCCGTGTTGATTTGGACAACCTGTCCTGGCGCGGGCTGAGTACGCCTGCGGTACAGGTGACGGCTCAAGGAGTTGTCCTTCCACTCGTGGTAAACGGCAACTTCCACACAGTACGGGGTCTTGCGACATTCAAAGGTCCAAGACACTTTACAAGCGACATTGTCGATCTTGGCTGCCCGGAGCAGGGCCTCACTCACCGCAGTGGCGGGAAAGTCGAAGTCGTTCTTAGGGCGACCCTTGGGGAATTGGAGACCCTTGACCAAGTTTTGGTATGCCTCAGGAATTCCACGAGCGCCTATGTCCGCTTCAACGGCCAAGTGCCAGTCGCATATCTTTTCGGGGCAGCCGACGGCAATCTCGACGACTGCAGCTTTCTGGTACTCAGCAAAGACGCGAGGGGCAGCGGGCGTGTAAGGGGAACGAGGATCACGAGTGTCATACTGGACATCAACCTCGATGCGGCGGTCTCTGGAGAAGAAAACAAGACAATACTTTGGCTTGATATCGCTGAGGTGTTCGAGGCGAGAATCAAGGGCTTGGTATCTCTGGTCTGCAACGCTGAGTTTATCCTGTGTTGCGCAGATGTAGTCGCGGACTTTTAGAGTCAGGTCGGCACCGCCGAGACTAGTATCAATTCGATTCAGTTTTGATGAGTTGGATCAAGCAGAAGGATTATCGTATGCTTACTTGTGACTGACGTTGGCCGTGCCTCGAGCTGCAGACTTGCTAAGGAACTCTCGGAAGTCCCTGTTGGAGTTGTACGTCTTCACAGCCTTGCCATTGGCGTTTTCACGTGAATAGCTACAGAAGACTCCCAAATGGGCTCGTACAAACAATTCACCTCTGATAGGCCGGATGCGGAGAGCAGCCTGTTGGACGGCTTCTGAGAACTCGTTCGCTGTCAAGGGACCGAGACTGTCGTCTTTCTCAACGTCTGACTCTTTCACATCCGCGGGGTCCTCGATCGAGACAGGGTCCTTTGAGACACCCCGATAACCAGTCTTGAAGCCAAGGCCAACGACTTGCTCGATCTTCTTGAGGGACACTCGAGAATGCGAGGCAGTGGTAGAGCGGTGGGCAAGGGCTAGCATCCTGCATACGAGATCCTTCGCAATGGACTGAAGGAGGTCTCGAAGAGCCTGAACAGCAGCCTGGATATTCTCGATTTGGCGCGAACAGATGGTTATGTACCCGGCGTTGGAATCAAGGACCAGAAAAGCATGGCACCGCTTGCGGATCTTCTCCAGCTCTTGTCTGGTGATCGGGTCGGACAGGTTGATTACGCCTTGGTTGCTGTTCACATCTGGCAGCGCGAATTCTAATCTCTATAGGCTTGTCAGCACATTGTACTCCACCGCTCTCCTGTGCTAGTGAATGAAGGGAGTATATCTTACCAGAGCATCCGCGGGCCCAGGGCCGTTGTGTTGTTTGCAGTCGACTGCCTGGTTGGTCTGTCCGTTTTGGAAACGCGCGTCGGCGCTGCCTCTCATCAAAGCTGCACGCTCTGAAGGGAATAGCCAGCCACCGGAGCCCATATTGGTATTCTCCATGATGACAGATCCTGGAGATGGTAGGAAATGTCTCCTCAGATCGCTCGCGTTCTATCTTCTTCGTGCCCAATATTGTTTGGGAGGAGTCTGGGTCAGTGAGTTTCTCTGGGATATGAAGAAATAGATCAATTGTGTTTGCCACACAACTTTCAAAGCTGGATGGACTGGAAATTAAATAAAGGGGGCACAGAAGAAGTTGATCGAACGTGGCTGCTGGTCAAGGGTGAATACGGCCTCGACAGCTCCTCAAGATCAAGAAGTGTGAATGGATTCAAGCTGTATTGTACAATAGAAGCATGACAAAACACTCCACAGTGATGGAATGCACTCAGTCTGGTAGACCAGCGCCTTCACGTAGACGGTCACACAGCTGGGCTTCCCTTTGGTGGAGGTGGGTGTGGTTCAGGAGAGGATGGTCCTTGAAGAGTTAGGGGTGCCTGCACGATGTATGGAAGGAACAATGCGGCTCGGATGGGCATTGTTCTATGCAAGAACTAGGATCACCGATAAAGGTATTGTTGATAGATAGCAGATGATATGGGGTGGGAAAGTGCTTGGAGATAGAAGGAGCTGGACAAAACACCTGGGCACTTAGTAGAATTTTAGGCTGCTGCTGCCACCAAGCTGCCACCTGTAAATGGAAGTAAGCGCAAAAATTGTGCTATACCACAGAATAATTATCGCGAATTGAGCAGAAACGCCAAAAAGGTGTGTCAGAGATTCAGTGACTGATATCTGAGATCCTGGACTGGAACTGATGACAGACACTATGAGAAAAGCAGCTGTGCAAGTCAAGACAATTCCTTTCCCAAAGTATTCAGAGATACCAGCGGTTTTCCGCTGCTAATTGTTCGGGATAGATCGAAAGAAATTCCTCTGTAACATCCCTTCGGCCACCTGCAGTGTTGGACTCCAGGGCTCTGGAGAGTAGGCTCTTCCACAGGTTTGGCTCACATCAGTGCTGGATATGGCTGGACAAGTAAAACGCAGCAAACAGCAGCACCAGAATCATGTTCATGTTGAAATTTGCTTGGTATCCACAACTTGGAGAAAAAAGAGGTACCATCAGGGTGCAAGCACAGATACTTCCTTCCTTCCTTGACATCATATCAGGGGCTGATGTTGGAGTTAGCCGATAACCCCTTTTGTTGCATAGCCTTCCATGACATGAATTTGGTGGAGATGACAGGGGTTCGCGTCCTGTCGCGTCCTCCTTTGCCTACCACTTTAACGCGACAATTGAAAGAACGTGTACAGTAAAGAAACAGCCTATTCACAGCACAGCAAGCCTACTGCCAATGCGGCTTGCAGAAAGTATCAAATCAAGCCACCTTAGTGAACCTAACCCTTTTACATTGCGAATATGGCACCAGCCAAGTTGGTGCGCCCCACCAAGAGGTCGAAAAAGGCTGCATCCACTGGTGGCATCACAAGAGACGACTCAGATGATGAGCTTGGTGTTGATGATCACCCGTGGGAGTGGATTTATGCAGACGAGGACGGAGTCTCACAAACCCCAGAAGATGGCACAGCTGGCAAGAGAAAGCGCGCCAAGGACATTGTTGGCGCAAGGATGGGGTCCTTTGCCTGCAGCCTGGGCGACATTGTCTTGTTAAAGGCAGAGGGTACTGGCGAGGCTTGGGTTGGCATAATATGTGATTTCTCAGAGGATGAGGACGATGACAAACTTGCGGAGTTCATGTGGTTCTCATCAGAGAGGGAGATCCGCAACAAAAAGAAGAAACGGACGGATTTTACTCCGGTGAGTGTCGCTCCCGTCCCCTCTCCGATGGTGTAGAATATTTCATGGCTGACAAGCGGGACAATGCCGTTCGTAGAACGAGCTGTACATCACGCCGTCATGGGACACGAACCCGCTGGAGACTATAAATGGTAAAGCGAAGGTGATGTCGCTCGAGGCATTCCAGAAACTGTATCCCCAAGGAAAGATCCCGCGAAACTCGCGAGATTACGGAAAAACATTCGTTTGTCGTCGTGGCTGTAATACAAGGACTGCAACGTACACAGATGAGTTCACATGGGAGGATGTGTACCGCGGGGCAGAGGACATCCAGGACCTGATCAACTTGATAAAAAGCGGAACCAAGGCCACGAGAAAAACAAGACTCTCAAGGCAAGAATCCCCTGACGCTTTGTACGACGACGTTGATCAAGCCGGCGATGAGGAATGGGGGACTCCAAGAAAATTGGCGACACCGAGGAAGCCGCGCAGCTACCAGAGTACACCGAAGAAGTCAAAACCAACAACTCCTTCATCCCACAGAAAGTAAGTAAACGATTCTGTACAGACTGTCGCCTAGAGGAGAGTGATTAACGGGTCCTGAACAGAGTCGTCATAAAAAAGCACCTGGAATACACACCTTTGGCCACTCGAGTCCTCTCGCCAAGTCATCACGCATCCTCGCCGTTTCAAATTGCCAGGGCCAATCTGCACGTCGCCTCAGTGCCCACCAGTCTGCCCTGTCGAGAGTCAGAATTCAGTCTTGTCTACTCGCATCTCGAGGCCGCCATCACAGATGGCATGGGAACTTGTATTTACATTTCTGGAACACCGGGAACTGGAAAGACTGCAACTGTCCGGGAGGTCGTCTCGCGACTTGATGAGGCGGTGGGATCCGAGGAGCTAGATGACTTCATCTTTGTTGAGATCAATGGTATGAAGATCACAGACCCGCACCAAGCTTACTCGCAGCTGTGGGAGGCGCTTAAGGGGCAACGGGTGAGCCCGGCACAGGCTCTCGATCTCCTCGAAAGAGAGTTCAGCCACCCTAGTCCCCGTCGAGTACCATGTGTTGTACTTATGGATGAACTAGACCAGCTGGTCACCAAAAACCAAGGCGTCATGTACAACTTCTTCAACTGGCCCGGCCTGCGACACAGCCGGCTCATTGTGCTGGCTGTGGCGAACACCATGGACCTGCCGGAGAGAACCTTGAGCAACAAGATCAGCAGTCGTCTGGGACTGACGCGGATTACTTTCCCGGGCTACAATCACGAACAGCTCATGAAGATCGTCCAGTCCCGCCTAGAGGGCGTGCCAGACAACATTGTTGAGCCGGATGCCGTGCAATTCGCCAGCCGCAAGGTCGCGGCAGTGAGCGGCGATGCTCGACGAGCGCTCGACATCTGCAGGCGGGCCGTGGAGCTGGCCGAGGCAGAAGTCAAAGCTGCAGACCCGATCACAAATCCAGTCACGCCAAGCAAGAGGCAGAGAGAAAAGGAAGCCAAGGGCGAGACGCCCACAAGGAAGAAGAACCTTGGCAGGGTCACCATCGATACCGTGCGGAGAGCAATCAACGAGGCGACGAGCAGTCCGCTGCAGCAGTATCTTCGCGCGCTGCCATTTGCCTCGAGGATACTGCTAGCGGCGCTTCTGGCACGAACGCAGAGGACCGGCCTGGCAGAGAGTACATACGGCGATGTGTTGGAGGAGATGCAGCGGTCCCTGCGCTTGGCTGCGGGAAATCGATCGCTGGACCTGCTCGAGAAGAAAGCACGTCTGGGCAGCAACACGAATGGGGCCTGGGAGAGCAAGACGCGACAGGATGCAAAGGCGGCCCGGTTAGCCGGCCTGGGAGCTGCAGCAGTAGACCTCACCGGGGCTGGCATCATCAATCTGGAGGCACACAGGGCGGAGAGGCCGAGCAAGATTCGACTTGCGGTAGGGGACGAAGAGGTACGATTGGCCTTCCGAGATGATCCTGATATCAAGGCGATGTGCCTCCTTGTTTAGGGTATCTATATCTTAAATATGAAAGAAATGGATCTCATTGATCCTGAAAACCCCATTTGCTATTGCGAGATCAAAACTTCCTCCTCGCCAAGGTTGGCTTCCATTCGATAGGGTGAGACTCGGGCGTTGCGTCATCGTCGGGCCGCCAGATCTTGATCGTCTTGTCCGCCTCACCGCAAATCAACCGGAGACCCGACTGGTCGAAGGTGGAGCAGAACACACCGTTCTCAGCATCCAGTGAACCCGGTTGGGCAATCGTGTCCTGAGCTTGGTAGCGGTAGCCAGTTTTCCAGTCCTATTTTCGATCATGTCAAGTCAGCCAGGGCGCGCCGCCTGAGCAAAATCAATGCATATTAGGATCTCTCAACCTCGACTTACCCAGAAGCTAATGGAGCCATTATCACCACCTGAGAACAGGATGTTGTCGTTGTTGACAGAGAGGGTGTTGATGATGGCGTTGTGACCCTCAAAGTTCTGCATGAAGGCGCCCTCGGGACACTTGAACTGCTTGATGCTTGAAGTGCTGCCGGTCGCGAAGGTGAACTCGGATGGGTGAGATGCCAGAGCTCTCACGCCCTTCTTGTGATGGGTCAACGTCGCCATGGTCTTGCCGGCGGCCAGATCCCCTGTTGAATGTGAAAGTCAGCAGCTGTGAGGAGGAGGGGTAACAGGAGGAAAGGCGAGGGTTGACGTACAAAGCCGAACATGACTGTCCAGAGAACCTGTGATGACCTGCGGATCGGCTTCTTGACAGACGAGACTGCTGACGGTCTGCGTATGGCCGCTGAGAACGTGTCTAGATTGTGAAAGAATTGTAAGTGGAAGTCGCGTCACCGTCAGAGGCCCGAGGGGCAAGGAACAAAAGAAACTCACATATTGCTCCTCGTCCGCATGTCCCATACTCTTGCAACACCATCCCGACCACCTGTCACCAAGACGTCTAAGGTAGGGTGCAGCGCAAGCGTGTACACTCCCGACAGATGGCCATGGTAATGCCTGATGACCTTGTTTGTCTCGAGATCCCAACACTTGACCATCTTGTCCTCACCACACGAGAAGAGATATGGATGCCGCGGCGAGACCGCCAGCCCGCGTACGGTGGAGATGTGTCCCGTCAGCGTCAGGCGCAGCTGGCCGGACGCCAGATCCCACACCTTGATGGTCCTGTCGCCGCTGCCCGACACGAACCACTTGTTGTTGGGCTCGACCGCCACGCTGCGCACCCAGCCGAGATGGCCCGAGATGACCTTGTGCAGCTTCCACGGCTTGTGCCACTCGGGCTTGGGCTGCGCACTCAACGCCTCCGACAGGCGCATCAGGCTGGTCGTCTGCGTGCCGCCATCCTGCGCCCCGCGCCCCGCCGCGCCCGGCACCGCAGCCGGCTTGCGGAACTGTACCAGCGCACCAGCCTGTGGTCCATCGGCGCCGGGTTTGCCGCCGGGCGCCTTGGCTGGTATGCCCTCGATCAACTTCCTTGTGTTCTCCTCGGCGGGCGTCGGCGCACCCTCTCCTGTGGCGGCGGGCTTCCTGACTTTCTTCCGCGCGCTGGCGGCGCTCGCCTGCTTGGCGGCTAGGGCGGTAGGAAGGGTCAGGACATCGTTGTATTCGGCGTGCAGACGGACTGACAGCGCGTCCTTGTCAGCCTCTGGCTCGACGTTGACGGCTGGGTCGAGGCGTATCCGCTTGCGCCCGTTCGTGTCGGCGTAGACGAGCTTGGTAGCTTTGGCATTTTTGGAGATGAGAGACTCGAGGGTGGTTGAGACGTCGGCTGCCATTTTTCGTAGGTCTGCCTCTTGTCGAATTGAATGGAGGGAGGGAGAGGGAGAGGGAGAGGGAGAGGGAGAGGGAGAGGGAGAGGGAGAGGGAGAAGATCGAAGTTCGACGAGGTTGGAAGAGTGGTGACGAATGGGGTTGGCTGAATCGAAGTTGAGCTGTGAAGATGGTGATCCGGTCTGGTTGAAGGTCGCGTCTTTCCCCAAAATTTCTTAGATCTAACGAAGCATGAGTTAATTCCTTTATAGTGTTAGAACAGCCGTTTCCTAGCACATACGACCATAGGTAGTGGAGAACTTGGGATCCCGTCTGCTCTCCCCTAAATAAGCCACTAACCGCCGGATTAGTAGTTAAGTGGGTGACCATTAGCGAATACCCGGTGTTGTATGTTTTTGCAACTTTTTGCTATCTGTGTATGTCACTCTTACTTTTTCTTTTTCTCCTTTTTTATTCTGATATCTCTTTTGTATGCTTTCCCTAAATATATCACAAGTCATTTCCTTATTTGCCTACGTTTTCCTACATGTGAAGTGGTGCGGGGCGTAACCAAATGTCAAGGTGTGGCACCTGTGACATGATATATACAGTATGCCTTACGAAGCTGCAAGAAGGCAACACTTACACACGCAAGCTAGAACAAACAAGGACTCACCCACCCTCACCCACTACCAAAGACAGACTCGACATATACTCCCAGTCCGATTGTTTTTCTTCTTCTTTACCTTAACCGAGATTTGCCCTCGGTTTCTCACAACACATCTCAAGAATTATTTGTGAGATGGACGATCAGTCGAAGTATGCGATCCACGCCGCCTGTAGGGAAGGAAAACGTGAGTCTCCTCCATCCATGGACTGCAGCAGTAGCAGCAAGCAACAAGCAGCAGCTTACCAGGCGCCCCACAGTTTCCCTCGTCCAGTCCTTGCTGAATGTGAGCTCCCAACTCTGAGGTTCCCATGACACTCTGTCGTGCCAGATGAGGGACGAGGACACGGCGAAATTAACGCGGTTATCTTCCAGGTCGACCCGAAGCTCAGCCAGCGGAAAGACGACGACGGCAGGCTTCCCATCCACTGGGCTGCGTCAGCCAACCAGCTGGACATCGTTCAGCTGCTGGCCGAGGAGAAGGGCTTCGATGTGGATGTCCAGGTATGTTGATACTTCCCTTATCCTCGTTGGGGAAGTTACAAGGGCTGCTACTGAGACAACGGGACAGGATGACATGGGCTGGACGGCGCTCATGATCGCGGCCAGCGTGAAGGACAGCGAGAGACTCGTCGAGTTCCTGTTGAGCAAGGGGGCTGATCCAAATGAGAAGAGTGAGCTGCCTTTGTTGGAAAAGAAAGAAAAACAAGGAGAGGAGTTCAGCTAACATTCAGCCCTACCAGACAACACCGGCCAGGCAAGCTCACCACTCCCACCATCCAACCACCCATCATACCTAGCTCTTATACATCTATTCATCACACCCCCTTTCCCCAAAGATCCTACCCTGTCCGACCATCTGCTACAATCAAAATCATCCTGACCCACTCTCCTCCCACAGACAGTTGTCCACTTCGTAGCCTCCAAGAACGCCATAGACATCGCCCGCCGCCTCTTCGACAACCAGCCCCCCGCCTCCGCAAGAGTCCGCGACCGGCGCGGCCAGTACGCCCTCCACCGAGCCGCGGCGGTCGGCTCCGTGCCCATGGTCAACCTGCTGCTCAAGCACAAGAGCCCCCTGAACGCGACGGACCAGGATGGGCAGACGGCGCTGCATCATGCCATTGCCGAGGGCCATGGTGAGTGTAGCTACTGGGGATCAAAGCCTTTGATTTTTGGAATGTGAGGGAAGGCTGATTAAGTGGGAAAACTAATCATGAAAATAGGTGATACGGCAGTTGCTCTGCTCAAGGCTGGTGCCGAGACGGACAAGAAGGATGTGGATGGTCATTTGGCGTTGGATCTGGCACCGGCCAAGGAGGTGAGTTCTGAATGGGTGTCTGCCTGGTGTATAAAGTGGTGGTGGTGGTGTCTCTACTTGATGGCCATGGCTGACCAAGCACAGATTAAGCAATACATCGAGAGAATGGCCGAGAATGAGGGCATAGAGCTGTGAAATAAATCAAAAAGTCTTGAGCGCGCCTCTTATGACGAGGCGATGTCAAGCAGCTTCCATATAACTGTATAAACCCATCAACATCAAAATTCCTAGACTCCGGCTGCCGATAACCTTAGAAGATTTTTTCATTAAAGAAAAAAAAAAAAAAAAGAGAGAAAAAGGACCTGCCATGCTCTGTTCTGCCTACCCACCTTTTGTCGTGGCGTTTCAGTATCTCATTTGATTGTCCTCTCCACCAAATCTCTGTACATGGCCTTGACATCCTGCACATCTGCCTTGAGCTCATCCACCAGCTCGCTCTTCTCGCCCAGCAGCTCTAGCGTCGTCTCGTACCTCTCGCTGACCTCGGCAACCTCAGCCTGCAGCCTAGCGACCTCCTCGCCCGCCTGCCGGCCCTTCTCGACCTCGCGCATGAGGCTCACCATCTCTGCGCGCGCCTCGTCACGCTGCGCCGAGATTCGCGCGAGCTCTTCTTTCGTGGTGACCTTCTCGGTCTCCAGCCGCCGGATCGCTGCGCTCAGCTTCTCAACAAGCTGCACAGAGGGGCCTGCGCCGACGGTCGAGACAGAAACCATGTCTTGCGCGATCTGCTGGGGCGACGAGGTCGTCTCGATGCTATCGTACGTGTCGCTCCGTTCCAGTGGGTGTATGGAGGGGACGGACGGGAGTGCCTCGATGGTGGGGCTGAGTATTGGAGGCAGCTGGTGGGAGTTTACGTTGTGCAGAGACGGTCGGCTGGCGGGCTGGACCGATGGTCTGCGTGCAGTATATCGTTCCACAGGATCGCCATTGCTTGAAGGTGCCGAGTGCTTGCGCAGCTTGCTCGATAGCGTACCGTACCCGAGAAGTTCGGTGCTAAAGCTGCGTGACGGCATAGATGCCGAGGGTGATTCGGGCCTGCTGCTGGATCTGTACAGTTGAGATGGGCCGGTCTCTATCCACGGTCCTGGACGGTCTTGCTGCTCTCGTGCTGCGGCTGTCGCCTTCTCTTCTGCCACGGCCGTCCTGTGCTTCTCCAGCTCTGCCTTGGCCTCGGCCAGGGCAGCTTCCGCTTCTTCTGATCGCTTCTTGAGCGCCTCTATTTCAGACTGATGCGCCTTCACGTCTTCCTGTATGGTGGGTATCTGAGTCTTTGCATCTTCTAATTCTTCTTCCCGATGTCTTGCGCGGAGGGCCTAAGAGAATAGACCATTAATGATTAGCATCATCATAGCACTGAGGTGCAGGTACCTTGGGACAAACTCACAGCTTCACGAGCCTTCTTCCTCATCTCCGACTCCCGATGCTGCGCCTCATCCCTCTCCTTCTCTAGATTCGCAATCCTACCGAGTAGTGTGCTCTCGATGCCCTGCCAGTTTTCCGTCGCGATCGCATACTGTGTCTGAAGAGTCTCGACCTGTCGTAGTAGTTTCGCCTGGGAATCGCCCATCGCCCCTGAGGAGACTTCTTCCGCCATGACCCTCATAGACTCGAGTTTGCTCTCCATGACCTGCAGCTCGGCCTTGAGCTCGACCTCAACGGCACGAGACCGCTCTGCAGCTCGCTCTGCCTTCTCCTTGAGCTCGTTCTCTCTTGCCCTGCCGCGGTCTGCCGCGAGCTCCTTTTCAACCTTGAGCTCGGAGACCTCGTCTTCGAGCTCCCGAGCACGCTGCTTTTCCTTGACCAGAGCCTCCTCGTTCACCTTGGCCGTCAGGGCTTCCGCTTGCTCGGCAGCCTTCTGTAGCTGGGCCTTGAGATCCGCAACGCTCCTGTCTTTGCTTGACCCTTCGGACTTGAGGGAGTCGATCTCCTTCTGCGACTGACCAATCCGCCTGTGCAGCTCCTCCTGGTACTTCTCCAGGTCGTCAGCCCGCCGTGCCTTCCTGCGCGTGGCTTCCAGCTCCTGCTCGGCCTTGCCCTTGGAGGTCTTGACCTTATTAATCTCCTTCTCGTTCTCGCCGATCTTGGACCGCAGGGTTTTTATAATCGCGCGGAGCTTTTGTTCTGTGCTTGCCAAGTTCTTCCCCTCCTCCATGAGCCCGGCGATCTGCTGGTCCTTCTCTGCCAGCTTCTTCTCCATGCTGCCGGCAGGTGCCTCCTTGGCCTCCTTTCTGGCCCGTTCGGTGGCCTCCCGCGCCAGGTATTGCAGCTTTGCCTGCAGCGCATCAATCTGCTCGACATAGTTGTGTGTCTCCTCTTGCTGCTGCAGAGCCATCTCCTCCAGCGCCTTCTCTAATTGTTTTATCCGGTCCTCTTGTAACACCACGACCGCGCTAGCCGGGACATCGGCGCTCGAGGGCTCTGTCTCCGCCTCGCCGTTCGTATTCTTAGCCAGCGCTTCTGTCGTTTCAGCCTGTATGGGGGCAGCAGACACATCCAAGACCCCATCCTTGCTCGTGTCTGAGGCTGCCTTGGTCTCAATCGAACTTCGGCCCACGGCATCCAACGAGGCCCGCGGTGACGGCAGCACCTTCGGGCTTGCTGGTAATGCCACGCCCGCTGCGTTCTCTATCGAGTTCCTGGTCGGGACGTCTATGCTCTGCCGTGGACTCGCGGTTGGCGTCACCCTGGTGGAGGGGTTTTCCGACTTCAGAGTGACCTGTTTCGCAGCCACGGCCCTCGCGAGCCTCTCTTGCAGCCGGTCATTCGTTCTATTTCGGTTCGCAGAATCGGGTCTCGGGGGTGCTATTCGATTCCAAAGTAGGGGCCACTGTCAGCAAACGGGGCGTGTAAGGCAGGTAGACGGGGCGGGTAGAGAGACGCACCTGTGGTTGGGCTCTTGGCCTGCTGTGAGGGCGCAGGGCTAGGGCTCGGCTTGGGCTGGTCCTCCTCAGCGAGGATGGTATCCAGCTTGGCCTCGACGCCGGCGACGGCTTGCGAAAGCAAGGAGCCCCATCTCGACTTGGGCCCTCCTCCTCCACCTTGACCGGACATGGCTCCTCTTTAACAGACGGGGTTTGGGAAGCGAGAGACAGAGGAAGAGAGAGAAGGGGGAAAGGGAGAGAGAAAGTGAGTGTCGTGCCCATCCGAGGGGCGGCAGTGCTTGGACGGGTATCGAATTACAGGTGCAGAGGAGATGGCATTGCTGGATTGGGCCTTCCGAGTCAAGGGAGGATTCGAGAGCCGCGAAAGAAGTTCCAGTTATTCCCAGCTTTTGCGACTCGCGATGATGTTTCTCCACCTTGTGCTCCTTCCCACCCCGGATTTCTCTCAGGTCTATATTAAAAATGGTGTTGTGTTTCGTCGATATGTATGGTTCCCTTTGAAATCGTTCGTGTGAGCTCCTGTGGTTTGCTCGGGGCTAAGGATTGGGACAGTCTGGCAAGATTTCTGGACTATGTGTCGTTTGGCGTGTGTAAGCTTTGGACAGAAATGGCAGTGCTGTGACGTTGGTCGGCTCTTGGAGTAATACACGAACTGAGTTAACATCCTAGTCCACCGCAGATCAATCACTCACTGCCACCCAATACAAAAAGCAACCAGGCACAGCATCTGATTGGAGTGGCCAATACAGTACACATTCTTCAATGTGTTCATTCTTACTCTTACCTAGGCTACCCAGTCAATGACCAATTCCCTCATACCAAGCATACCAGAAACACTACAACAGCTGCAGACCACAAAAAGGTCTTCCTCTCCAATGTACTATGTACAGTAGCATCTAGCATAGTACAAGGTCAAGGCCTACTTATGGCGCGATATGCGCCTAAGAATGGCCAAGCTTCTTTTAGCCCTATGCCATACCTCCCACCACCCACCACCAGCCTGGATATTATACGTGTGGATCCTGTTTGGTTGCATGGCCCCATTGTTTCGGGAGAGGCAGGGGATTGATGAAGGAATTGATTGCGCGGCTTTCACGTGTGTGTTCCCCATCTTGCATGCAGTCTAATTGAGCGAAGAGAAAGAGATAACTGCAGTCTGACCTGCCCACAGTGTAATTCACCGACCTGCCAAAACAGCATCTTATTCTCTCTGTGGATCGCCGAGTACCTTTGTCCTTGTTTCATTCTCATGACAGACTGGTTACTAAAGTACATATCAACGCGAGGTTTGGAAACAAATAATTTTATATGATCTCGGTAACCAGCTGTAGGGTATCCTGCCATCTGGAAACGATACTGGGAAAACGCTATTCGTTCTACAGGGGATCAACACAGATTGGAGAGCGGGAAAAAACAATTCTGATCTCCAAAGTTAGAGGGTTTTCTTGTGGCGATTGTCAACGGCATTGGCATAGCCGTTACCATTGACCTTGGTGATGGAGCCCGCCCGAGGGACAGCCTTGGGGACCGATGTGAAGGGAGATGGCCACTTCAGCACAAACTCCCGCTCGCCGCCGTCCAGACACCGCTCTAGCCAAAGCCGCCATGTGATGCAATAATAAGTCCCAATGCCGGTGAAGATGTGCCACCAGGCATGACCCTCAAGCACTGCCGCCCAGGGCAGCAGGATCGTGTTCCGAGCGTCGCGCAGGTGTCTGCAGAATGTATTGTCTAGAAGCCAGATGGAAAATCCTACCAAGAACAGCACGATGCCTAATTGTACCGAGTCAGCAAAATCGCCGCAGTGCAGATAGCAGGTATGTGTGTGATGAGTCTCTCGGAAGGAGGAGGAAGAAGAGTTTTAAGGGATAGGCTCTGTACCTGTGAAGGCCATTTTCCACATTTGCCTCAAGATCTCGTCGGCCTCGGCTGGCGTTTCGCATCGCTTCCTGAGTGCTGGCCGAAGTGTTGCTTCCATATCGAACATGGCCCGAAAGACCAAGGCGAGCATCAACGCAGCGTAGGCAACCTGGTGAAACACCGGGTCCTGCGACGAGAGGTAGTAGATGGTGATCCAGGAAGCCAGAGCGAGAAGCCCAAGAGCCACGAGCACCTGGGTATGCCTGGGCCGCGAGTAGGAAAATGTTGCGTAAGCCACAATGCAGGTGGTGTAGATCATCGGCAGCTCATCAGCAAGCTGCATTGAGTCTGCTCGGCGTTTGGTTAGCCAAAGGGTGGTGGTGCACGGGAATAGTCTGGTGAGTGGATCAGACATGATGTCTGCTGGAACCCGGGCAGGACCAGGGAGGAAACCCGCACACACACACACACACACACACACACGTACATTTGAGGGTGGCATGGAAAGCCATCGATCCCAAGCCAACGACAACGTAGCCCAGGAAAGAAAAGACAAAGACCAGACCGTGGCCATGGCGCAGACACTCTCGAATGCCCATAACACCCAGGTAGAGGAAGATCAAATTGGTCGAGGTGTTGAAGAACTCTGCAATGTATGGCGTCACATTATAGTCCTGCAAAATCTCAGCTCAGCCCAGGATTCTCGCAAGTCGACAAGACTAGATGTTGGGCATGAAGAGTGAATGCCCCCATTTATCCCACGTACCTCTTCACACCAGTTCAGGGTGCTTGTCTGTGTGCCCCAGATGCCGTCCCTAGATTCCCGGTAGGGCCATTGGAAGGCCAGAGACATGCTGGCGGTGACGGTCACAACGAGCCCGAAAACATAAGATGTTGTTGAAGCTAGTACGCTCGAGATTGACTAGAGAATGTATACTAGAGATCTCTGTGTACTGTCGCAGTAGGGATGTCCGCTGTGCTGTACAATGGCATGCCCTCGTCCTTATGGCGTGGGATTCCAAAAGCCAGCGAAGATCAGCTCAGGGAAGGGGGGCGGGGCCAAGCCTAAAAAGACCTCCCGCGCGGTCAAGCAAGGAAGAGAGAGGAAGACGTCAGGCTCAGAGATGCCCAATGATAGGATACACTGCGAGAAAAGAGGCAGGGTAAATCATACAATTCATCTAAGCAATAATTGCGACGAGAAAAGTTGACAAAAGGTTTGGTTGGAATTGGCCAGCATTTCGTTCAGGGTGTGCAGGTTATAGCCGAAGGGCGAGCCAGCCCCTCCCAGACCCGGTCACATGTACATGAATCCACGCTCCTAAGTACTGCCAGAGTACCTAAGCACGTGGTACGCAACTCTTGAGATAGGGCCTAGGTACTTACATTACATGTTTCTTAAGAGGCAGCGGTGCTAGGGTGAGATTGTCAGTAACGAAGGCAACGCCACAATGTAGCAAATCATGTCATCCTGCATCTTTACTGTACTACCACCTTTGTTTTTCTTTTCTCCTCTTCTGTATTCTTATTTCTTCTTTTCTCCCTTTCAAAGAATAGAGTTAGAGTTGGTATAAGACAGCCGTGATAAGCCATAGGTAATGTTTTTGAAATCCAGCCTTTTCGGTGGAGGGAGTACGTGTCTTGTATGAGCGTGCAGCTCTATTTATTGTCTTTATTTGAACAAATAACTCAGATAGGGATTATTGTTACCTGACGCCACTTTAAGTTGTTACGCAGCGGCCCCCAGTGTATTGCTACCATGTACGTACCTGAGTTTTGTACTAAAGCTCGTACTTCGGAAGTACTCAGCTTGAGATTAGTCTTCCAGCACGCTGCCCAAGGACTTTTGCAGGAAAAGCAAAGCAGGATACTGTGTTTTGTCTGTACTGTTGAGAGTGGGAGTCTTCCCTGTCTATGTTTAGTAACTTGGAAGATAAAGAGAAACAATGAGAATAAACGAAAGAAACATGGTGTTGAGAGGGTGACCTGTTGTGTTATGGTTGGGAAGGGGCAACACCGAACCCTGACCACGGCCCGCTGCGGGAGAGCCTTCCCCAGGTTCAGCAATTTTCGTGGCGTCTATTGCAGCCTGCCGAGCTCCCGCCCCTGGCCTTTTTGCTGCTGCGCGACCAGTTGGAATTCAACCATCAACACAAGCCTTCCAGTGCTATCCCGTCCAAATACATCCACTCAAAATTTGAGCATCAGGTGACGAGCCTGCCCAATCCGGTCACGGAAACTTACCCATCATGTCGCTATCACAAGAAGCACTGCAAAAGGTGAGAGAGAGGGGGGGGGGGGACACTGAGGGGAGCTGCACAGAGGCAGTCTTCGCGCTGAACTGAAGCTGGCATACACAGGACAGATAGATGCTGACATTGAATGCTAGCTGTACGGCGAGATCCAGACACAGGCCCTTAGGACCCAGCAGGAGCTTGCTCTCGGCCGCTCACAGATGGCGTCCAAGCAGCGCGAGATGCGCCTCACCCAGCTGACCCTCAGCGAGATCTCCTCACTAAGCCCCGAGACACCTGTCTATGAGGGCGTCGGCAAGATGTGAGTGACTGACTGCTGGCCCTATGCCCCACCCCCTCCCTTTCTCCTACCGTGCTATTGCGGGCTCAGATATCTTGGGCTGACAGCTCCGGTGTGTCCCTCCTCCCACTTCAGGTTTGTGTCAGCACCTGTGCCAGACATGAAGAGTAAGCTGCAGTCGCAGATGAAGCAGCTTGAGGCCGACGTCGAGAGTCTGAACAAGAAGATTCACTACCTGGATACTACTGCCAAGAACAGTCAGGATCACATCGAGGCGATTCTCAAGCGCGGCAGCACAGGTGGCTCTTGAGAGCATGCCTATGCCCGACCCCCTTGTCACGCAGGGCCCTCACTCACGGGTTCCCTTGCAGGCCTCGTCACCCACACCCACACCCACACACCCACACACAACATGCACAAGGCTGCAAGATGTCAGAGCCTACCCGTGAGCTATCAAGCTAGCTGTCAAAAAGATGTCCCGGCCTCTCTGGATGGGCCAAGACGGACTACGATGGAGGTTTAGAAAGAGGATCGAATGGAGACCGGAGAACAGCGCCTGCCCAGCAGCCTCTGGGGGATTGCTGTTTGGAACGCTAGGCTGCGGCGTTCAGCAATGGCCGTCGCCATGGCGCACCAAATAATGACCACAATTTGAGAATTCACCCAGCGCAAGCTTTCAGATTCACAACACTAAGCGTCGGACATGTTCATAAAAGGTCGTCTCACCCAACAGAGTAAAATTATCAGTCTTGTTTTGCCAGCCGCCGGCGCCAATATATCGCGCCTCTCCTTCGAAGCCGCGAAGCGCGCTGGACATCCCTGGTGCTCCTAAGGCGTGAGTATGCGGGCCCATTGGCCCCGTTGGTAACGAGTCAGAATGCTACATCGAGAAGAGGCCATATCCTTGAAGAGTGGTGGCCTGGTTGAGTTTGGGTGCAGCAAAACCAGCCAAGTCAATTTCGATACGATACCTTGCCAGGCGCCGAGGTCTTTTTCGCAAACACGTGGTCCGTACGCGGTTGATTGTGCCGGATGTCGTTCTTAATCAACCCGACAGAAAGGGAATGACAGTGTGCGCCCTTTGTGACACCCCCCCCCCCGGAGATCCGCTCTAATCTAGCACTTTTGAGATTTGCGGGGGAACGAAACCGATAATCCCAGTGTGCAGCACCCGAGGAGGATGGATCTCGAGACGAGATGCTTGCGTGGAGACTTGCGGCATCCTGTCCGCCTTTTTTTTCTTCTCTCTGACACACACGCATGCACGCGCGCGCATTGCATTGCTGCTTCGAACGAGGCTCGGTGTGTTGGATCTATTTCTATAGATGCCAAGGGTAATGGTAGGATTGCTGGTGGGCCGGCTTGCTCGGGCTGACAGCTTAATCTTCTGCTTCTATTTTGGCCCCCACGGGTCTTCTTGCTCTACAGCAGAGCAGCTATGCCAAATCTCCCGTTGACACTGGCTTGACTGGGAGCATCCTGCAGGACGACGACTTTCAGCCGCTTCAGTCTATCTCCACCGGACCTACCCTGCCACCAATAGACCTTTTGCATACCACCTCACCTTATGATCTAGCGGCATTATGCCAGGATCCAGCCTATATCTCCGCTACGCTGACCTTTGCCAGCATGCACACACACACACTCGCGCGCTAGGGGCGATCACATTCCTCGTCGACTTGGGGAGCCAAGCCAACGCAGCACAATGAGTTTCACCGTGTTTTCTGGGCCGATGCGGCTTACCTCGGGAGGGTTGCCTCTTGTAACCTCAGCCGTCTGCTGTGGTTGGCCTGCTAACCAATGACTACATTCCTCTTCTGCCGAAGGAATAAAGCCTTTAAGTGACCCCGCCTGTGTGCGGCACTGTTCTCTGCTCCTCAGCTGCTCAGTCTCTCTCTTCTCTCTCTTCTGCGATTTTTGCGAGTGACTTCTTTGCCACCTCTTGGACCTGATCTGTCAGCAGCCTCTTTATTTGTTTCGTTTCTCTCATATCATCTGCTGTGATCTCGACTTGAACGAAAAGAGTGTGTGCGCCTTCGCCTGCCTCGAGCGAAGGTGTTGACCGCCGTATCATATATACCACATTTTTTCTCTTATTTTTCTGCGCACAGCCTTATTCCCGATCAACCGAGATATACTCAACATAACAGCCACCATGAGTTACTACTCTGAGGAGGAAGAGGTCGACCGCGTGCGTATCAGCAGAGATCGATCTCCTGCACCTGTGCACTATGTCGAGGCCAGACGGGAACGGCCTCGCAGCCGCGCCTATTATCAGCAAGGCGTGGATGCCATGCTGAATGCCCACGACCGACAGGACCGGACCTTGGTCACCACTACCACTCGGTTCCGTGAGAGATCTCGGGAGCGCCGCAGCCCGCCCAGTGTCGTACTGGCCCCGCCGCCGCCGCCAGTCGCCGGTCCTGTGGTCATCAACCAGAGGTTCGACCACCACCACTCGTCGGACGACGACAGCAGTATCACCAGCCGCCGTGGCCGCTCACGGCACGAGTCACGCGTGTCCTACCATGAGCACTCACACTCTCGCTCTCGCGCTGGGTCGGATGCCTACCTGACCATGGAGAGATACGAGATGGAGCGCAAGCTGGACGAGACGCGGCGGCAGCTCGAGCTGCTGCGCATGTCCGCACCGCACAGCGACCGGGAGAGGTTCGAGCTGGAGCGCGAGCGCGAGCGCCTGCGACGTGAGCGCCTGGAACTCGAGGCCGAGGCCGAGACGCGTGAGCGCGACGCCAGAAGGGCTGCTGAGGCAGAGATCCGCGATCTCAGGAAGGACAAGGCGGAGCTGGACCGCCTGCGCCACGAGGAGGTCGAAGAAGACCGTCTGGCACTCATCAGGAGGGACATGGAGTACCGTGAGCTGCGGGAGCGACAAATGCGTGACCAGCACGAGAGAGAAGCCGAGGAGCGCCGCCTTCACGACCGCGAGGACTTTGAGCTACGTGAGGCCAAGAGGAGGCTGCAGGCCATCGAACAGCGTGACAGGATGGAGAAGGAGGCTCTGGAGAGGGCTAGAGAGGCCAAGACGCACGCCGAGCTGAAGGCCGCCAAGGATGAGCTGGATAAGAGTAAGTGTTTTCCCTCGCCTTCAATCTTGTGAGGAAATGTATACTGACATGTCCCCCAACAGTCAAGCGAGCCAAAGACGAAGCCGCCGAGCGCGAGCGCATCATCAAGGAACACGCGCTCGCCGAGCTGGAGAAGAAGAAGGCTGCTGAGGCTGCCGCCGCAGCGCGCAAGAAGGCCGACGAGGAGGCGGTGGAGCGGTGGAAGATCGAGCAGGCCGAGAAGGCAGCCAAGCAGAAGAAGGAGAAGGAAGAGGCCGAGAGGGAGATCCGCCACCAGATGCGCGACCGTCTTCTCGCCTCAGGCGTGCCCGAGAACCAGATCGAGGCCATCCTCGACGGCAAGCGAGTTGCGCCGCGCCCAATGGGGCATATCGGCCAGGGACACATGTCCATGATGCCACCGCCACCGCCACCTGTACACCCCGGAATGGAGATCACAACGACCAAGACGACGTATACCCGGATGGCGAGAAAGCACCTCAGTCTCGAGGCCTTGAGGGCGAGGGCTATCGAGTATGAGATCGACTCGGTGAGTTTGGCCCCCCCAGCCCTGCATTATGCACCATGCATTTGCTTTCTGCACGGCGGCTATTATGCCCCGAGCCGCTGTCATGGACAAGGACCCCTACCTAGTTTACGCGCCCGCGGCCCCCAAGAAAATACACCTCAAGCCCCTCCCGAAACTGCACATGCAATATTGACTGCCCACTAACCGACGGAACTACAGAACCCCGATTATATAGTCATCAAGCGCTGGGTCCCGCCCGAGGAGCAGAAGGAGCTTTGGTCGCTGACCAGGGTGATCCGCGACGACCGCGAAAAGGTCACGACGACCATCTCTGTCGAGGACCGCAGTCGCCACCGCCACCGCGACAAGTCGCGCGACAATTTGGTGCTGGTCCGCAAGACGAAGCGGGAGCGGAGCAGGTCGCCCAGCATGCTGATGTACCTCGCCGGTGCGAGGTGATAACAAAGAGAAGGGGAAACAGAGCAAGAACAACGACAATGGCAATAACAAATAACACCCCAATAGCAACCTTTTCTTCTTCTTTTCCACCGAGCGACCTGGCCTGTGTGGTTCGGAACAGGGAAGGCAACTACACGGGATGCGGTCCTTCTCGTTCCCCCCCCCCCCCACTTTCTCCCCTCTCCTCTCTGCTCTTCCTCTCGATTTACCTTCAGGAAACGCGTTGGGCCAGTTGATGGTTACTTATGTTGGCTTGACTTACGTAGAAAGCAAATTCTCGGCCCTCCTTTTCTTGGTTCGATTGGTCTTTTCTAGTATCACAGTACACGATGAAGTTGATTTCTCGACGCAGCGTTTTTGCTGTCTTAACCCCCCCTCCCCGTCTTCTTCTTGGGGTTTGTTCATGGAAGGCCCCACCCGGATGATCTTATGATAGACACTCCAGCGCGTTTTTAATGATATGAACCGAATTCTTTGTTTAGCGAGGATGTTCTCCCCCATCTCAAGTACTTGTCAAATGAAAGACGTTGTTGCTTAATCTCGTGTGTGTGCGCGCGTAATTTAATAATGTATTGTTCATCATTCGCTCAATGATTAAAATTCAACATGAGGCTGAAGAAAAATAGAAAGAAGAAAGCATAGAACGAAGGGGCCCAGTATATACCCGTCTGCGTTGTCCACATTGTTTTGTTTCATTCAGTAGCTGCTACGATCTCCCAAGGGGCGGGTCCAAGCTTCAACAGCCGGGCCTTCATCCAATCCCCTCTTGTCAACTACACGCAGGTGGTATTCTCCAGGCTGCCCCCTTCTTTGAAAAGCACATGAACTCCCGCAACTCTGATTCCACAAAATCTAATCCGCAGCACCGAAGAGAAGGAAGAGGTAGATCGCCATGGGCAGTTTAGTACTCGGCATCGTCGGCTTCCACCTCGAACGAGTCGGCCGCGACCTCCTCGTAGTCCTTCTCGAGGGCAGCCAGATCCTCACGAGCCTCGCTGAACTCGCCCTCCTCCATACCCTCACCGACGTACCAGTGGACGAAGGCGCGCTTGCTGTACATGAGATCGAACTTGTTGTCGAGCCGGGACCACGCCTCGGCAATGGCGGTGGTGTTGGACAGCATAGACACGGATCGGTCGACGGAAGCCAGACCGCCGTCGGCCGGGGTGGCGGCAGGGACAGCCACGGGCTTCTGGTAGTTGATACCGATCTTGAATCCAGTAGGGCACCACTCGACCAGGTTGAAGGACGCCTTGGCCTTGAGAGCCGCAACAGCGGCGTTGCAGTCGCGAGGGACAACATCGCCGCGGTACAGCAGGGCAACGGCCATGTACTTGCCATTGCGAGGATCGCACACCACCATCTGGTTATTGGGCTCGAAGCCTAAGGCAGGTGTCAGTTCGCATCTCTCTTTCTCTCTCTCTCTCACACACACACACACAGTCTTGGGAGTCCGCAAGGAGGTGGGCAAGACTTACACTGGAAGGTCAGGTCGTGGACCTTGAAGCTCTCGTGAGAGCTCTTGCTGGCCGAGATGACCGGAGCATAGCTGATCAGAGGATAGTGGATACGAGGGTAGGGCACAAGGTTGGTCTGGAACTCGTTCAGGTCGACGTTGAGCGCACCATCGAAACGCAGGGAGGAGGTGATGGAGCTGACGACCTGAGCAATCAGGCGGTTGAGATGCTCGTAGCTCGGGCGACCAATGTCCAGGTTGCGACGGCAAATATCATAGACGGCCTCGTTGTCCACAAGGAACGTACAGTCCGAGTTCTCGATCGTGCTGTGGGTCGACAGGACGGCGTTGTAGGGCTCAACGACGGCAGTCGAGACACGAGGGGCCGGGTAGACGGCGAATTCCAGCTTGCACTTCTTGCCGTAGTCGGCGGACAGGCGCTCCAGGAGGAGGGCACCAAAACCAGAGCCGGTACCACCACCGAAGGAGTGGAAGATCAAGAAACCCTGCAGACAGCTGCAGTTATCTACCAACAACTCCTGTCAGCGCCGGCCCTCCCAGATGCCCTTAAAAAAAAAACACCAAAAAGAACCCATTGATTTCTCTCAGTCGGTTCCTACTACTCACCAGCAACACGTCGGATGCGGTCAATGACATTGTCAACCATCTCCTTGCCGATGGTGTAGTGACCACGGGCGTAGTTGTTAGCAGCATCCTCCTTGCCGCTGATGAGGAGCTCGGGGTGGAAAAGCTGGCGGTAGCCACCGGTGCGGATCTCGTCGATAGGAGAGGGGTCGAGATCGACGAAGAGGGACCGTGGCACGTATTTGCCACCGCTGGTCTCGGTGAAAAAGGTCTCATAGGAACCTGGGTCACCGATATCCTTGACGTTGGGGTCAGGACGACCGTCAGGGCCGAGACCGTGCTCGAGGAGGTAACTAGAAACGCAGAGTGTCAGCCCTGAGCAGCCAGGCGTATGTTTGGTGGTTGGGGCAGCGGAACATACAGCTCCCAGGCACTGTTACCAAGCTGGGTACCAGCCTGGCCCAGGTGGAGGTGGAGGACCTATCATGACATGGTCAATATCTCGATCCGAAGCAGAGGCCGTTAATCTAATCCTGCATTGTGGTAGAAATTGTGCGTAGGGGTTAGGTGGTTGCCGGTGATGCACTAGGCGGCAACGATGTCGAGATATTCATAGCACCTCGTGATGGCAAAGGGCTGGGGAAGCTAGACTACGAATCGCATCTGGTCTCCCTCCCGCTCCCGCTCTCTCTTGTGTCCACGCCCAACGGCCTCGCCGAGAAGCTGCTCCGTATGGAGGTCGAGGTGAAAGAAGGCCGCCCGCCAAGGATGATCTTGGATGACTTGCTCGCGATGGTGGCCAGTAGGCGACCAAACCGTCCCGCATGTTGTGGGAAATAGGGGGCCGTTGTTGACCTCGGGAGCGGGGCGAGGGCCGGTTTGTTTGGATCGAGACAGATCGAGACAAGCGCAAGGGGGGGAGCTCAGGAGATTCTTTTGTTTACTGGGCGCAACTCACCTCTCCGTGCATGTTTGCGGTCTGAAGAGGATATGGGGTGAGGAGCAAGAAAACAGAAGGGGAAAAAACAGCAGCTGTCTGCGCGACACGCAATTGGGTCGTGGGCAATCGTGACTGCGTGTCGAAGGGGTTGTTGATAGAGGAGGACGAAATGGGTTATTTGCTTGGATAGGATGTGGGCGGGTAGGGGAAGGGAGCTCTGGCTCATGGGGGGGGGGGTTGCGCTGGCAAAGCTGAGTGTCAGGGGTAAAACGAGGCCAGGGGTTCTGTTTCCCCCCTCCGAGTGCGGGGCAGCACTACCGCACATGTACCTCAGCAGCTGGTTGTAGGCCACGTTCTGGCGCGGAATGGCAATGGCCACACCGCTTATGAGCATTGCGTCCGCTCATTGGATGACAGCTACCGCAGAGGATCCCCAGCACTCAACCGCGGCGGCTTCCACTCGTCCTGGGGAGGTCGCCAAGCCCAATAGCGCCGTCACCACGAGCCATCAAAGAAGTGCCAGTCAGGGTTTGGTTGCTGTGGCAGATTCGAGCACCGCCGAAAGATTGCCGTTGTAGATGGAATGTGTTATATCTTGATGATGAAGCCGCCATTGGCAGAAATCTTACTAGGCAGTGTCTCTGCTGCATTCCCAGTATTGTTCGTGTGTGTTCTTGGCGATGAGTCCCTCATCCGACACATGTTTTGATGTTTAGCGGCGTTGCACAGAGTGCAGATCCCCTCCAAGCCTGCACGGCCTGACTCGACATCAAAGTTCAGAAACGACCTGTATGCCATCAAAGGACACTACATGAACACAAGGCCATGCAATATCTACGGACTCTAGTGTAGAGTCTACTGTAGTTGCCCCTAGATTGTTCTATTTGTTTTATTCATTGCCCGAGGTGTGATGAGAGACACATGTACCCACTAGGAAAGTAATTGCAATTCAGCGTGTATGAGCAGCGTCAAGACGAACACAAGTAGTGCTTGATAGGTAATCGGGCGGCTGTCCATGGGAGCTTTCATCAACATGATGCAACGAGAGCCACAAAATCTACAGAGCCCTCGCACTGCTGGTTCTTGTCATCATCATGAAACGCGGCACATGAGGATCTGTGCTGCGCTTCGGCTGTAAGCATCCATTCTGCCGGGTGCAGCATCAGCGTGTAAGACGCTTAATCACCCACATTCTGGGGTCCAGCCTAGGTCACCGGGTAACGTCATACGGGGGTACCAGATTCACGGACTTGTCAAGTAAAAGAACTCAAAAGAGAGTGAGGGGGATATGTGTTTGGAAAAGGGCCCTCGTCCAAAGACCTAGGCCAAGTCCATTCCTAATACTCCTAACTGATGTGTAAAACAAACCCCAACCCCCCCCCCCCCCATTCGCCTGCTGTCGGTCAACCACGGAAAACATCATCCACTTTTCACGACGTGGAAGGGTCTGTCCCTCGCACAAGCTCTGTGCGGCTCCCAAATGACTCATCTTGCACATGTATCGTCAAGCAGGTAGGTATCCATCGTCTCCTCATCAAGTATTATTAAAGCCGCCCGGGGTATCGGTGGGCTGGCCATCGTGGGAAAATAGTATGCATGAGCACACCACAAACAATTCGGCCATTACAATTCGGGTCGAGAGTGCAGGTGCCATGCCGTGTCTAATCTCTGTACAAGAAGCAGAAAGGCTTTCGAAGTCCAAATGGCCGATCATGATCTGGCCAGGTCGAGCGCAGCCCCTGCCTCAGAGCATGTAGGCAAGCAGGCCAAAAGCGGCGGCGGCGGCACCGGTACCGACCATCTGGATGTTGGTAGGGACAGCGCCGGCAGTGGAGGTCGAGGACGCGGCAGCAGTCGAGGAGCCGGAGGCAGAGCTTCCACTGGCACTAGCAGTGCCGGAGGAGGCAGCAGAGCTGGTGGTAGACGAACTGGTGGTCGCGTCGGAAGGGTCAAGGGTACCGCAGTGGTCCGCGATGGAAGTGGTGCAGTTGGCCTGCGCCTGCTGGTCGTTCTCGTACTCGGTGATACAGTCGCTGTAGGCTTGCTCGCAGACAAACTGGTACGCGGCTGGTCAGCGGGCAGGGAACAAAAGAGAGACGAGTTAGAGATGCGCTTCAACTTACATAATCGATGGTCTCGGTGTAGTACTGCAGGCCGGGCTCGCTGCCGTTCTGGCAGGTGCAGTAGTAGTCGAGAGTGGTCTGTGTAGCAGCGTCAGTCAATAGTGCGGCCCGGGTAGATCGGACATGTCATAGACAGCCATTGGACGTACGTAGTCACAGGTGTTTCCGATGGGGTCGTTGGCGCAGAGCTCGCTGCAGGTGTTCTCCTGGGCTATGCACCAGGTGTCTGTTCATCCAGGGTGAGTAGCTGATCATAACTCGAGGGAAATGGAAAGGAATGTGCCATGGAGCATCCCCGGGAAGGGAAGAAGGAGATGAAGAGGCAGGAAATGGATCGCTGGACTTACTTCGCTCAGTATCGGTGATCTCGCTGACATTGATGGTGAACTCGGTCGAGTTCTGGGCGGCGACCATGGTGAGCGCAGAAAGCGCGATGAATGCGGTGACGGAGTGCATCGTGACTGTGGACGTGGATGGATGGATGTTACGGGATATTGAGGTTGATTGTTGTTTCTTTTGGCTGGTGTCTGTTTGCTGAAACAGGTTCGAAGACGAGATGAATCAAACGCCAAAGTGTATGACTGTTTGGTAAATGGAGTTGATGTACGGATGGGAGGAAGGCAGATATTTGTTTGTTGTGGAGGAGTAGAAAGGGAAGCAAGAAACGGAGAAAGATAAAGGGCGAGGGTGGGATGTTATCCACGTCACCAAAAGATTAAAAGGCGAGCTTGCAAGACCTCTCTCAGGAAGGAAGAAAGGAGCAACAGGTCATTCACACGGCAATGGAGGGCAGTAGTCAAGAATTTATTCCTCGAGAAGGCCGGGGGGCCGACCTGCCAAAGTTTACTATGTACACAACAACACAAGACCAAGACAAGCAGACCAAGGCCGGGACAACAGAAGAGAAGGGCAGGACCGGAGGGAGAAGGTCACCGAAACCTCACGATAGCGGATGGACGGGGCTAGACAGGGGTACTGGGATACAATGCCCAGGGATACAGGGGCCTGGGTGCCTGTCTCGCTGCAGGTCGAGAGCTCCAGACGGAAGACCTGGGGACGGGAATTGATATCTCTCATTGGTCCAGACCGGCACGCACGGCTCTACAGGCCTGGTGCGTGACCAGGGGGGCCTAGGCGATGCCGCTACTTGCCAGGCCCAGGTGGGGGGGGGGGAGGTTTCCCATGATGCTCCATAGAGGCTCTGGTCCCCCATGATGCCGACGACGGCGGACCTGCGCGACTGTCACCTTTTTTTGTAAATCCCATGATGTATGGTACTATGATACGTAGACAGGGCAAGAGCGTTCAGGGGAGAGGGGGCAAAGGGGGGGGGGGGCGCAGGTTTGAGGAAGGACCAAGATGGCATTGGCATGGCATGGCATTGGTCTTGGATTGCAACGATTATGGGACGGTACTACGGTAGCACCGACCGGGTACAAGATTGGGATGGGAGAAAGGCGGTCATGGCATCACAGCGCAGACAGAGGTGGAATGATGCATTCTGTTTCATGTGCGACTATCAATCCCATCTTTTGCTTTGATTATCCGCCAGAGCGAATTGCTATTCCCTGTCATCTTTTTTCTGTCACCCTCTCAAGCATGCTATAGTAGTACCTGCTTACTCCATCCGGAATAAGCCTCCTCACTCGATATTCAACGCGTAGTAACATTAATGATGGGCGGCATGCCTGCATGGAGTCGTAATCACCGAGCCATCGCCAAGTGGTCCGCACCGCATAGAGAAAGAGAGGTAGCGCGCGAGGAAGAGAGCGAGGGGGAAGAAGGGGAAGGGGAGGAGAAGGAAGAAAAAAAAACCGACCAAATTGGGGGCATGGGACATGCTCGGCGACAGGGGCCACACGGGCCAATTTACTTATCACTCACGTCTCAGATGATACCAGGCATGGCGCCAGACGCCTCTAATTGATTGCATTTTTATTTGGCCTATCTAGAGAGTTCGATGAGTGTCGTGAGGACTCGGATTTTGCGGCTTGGCCTTGAACTTTGGGAAGGGGTCTCGGTCCTTGGCCCTATCCTCACCAGCCTTTTTTAGCCTGCGACATCTCTACCATCAACATCTTTTCCACGTCGCCTCATCCCGACACGAAAGAGAGCTTGCATATCGAGGCGGGTTATTGCAAGCTAGCACTAGCGGCAGTCCGCGTCTGCAGTGGTGCGGTGCAGTGCATGCATGTATGCATGGGTGGGCTGCCCTTGTCAGCATCCGCTCTCCACCCAGCCATCCATCCATGCACGCGGTCAAGTTCCTCACCCGGCCACTGGAAAAAAAAAAATTGGGAGAGTCGGCCATCTTGCCGAGGCCGTTGGGGGAGGGATCAACAGAAGCGAAAAGGCCCCATACTAAGTAGTACGCTCGGAATGTACCCGACAGGGATCTGCATACGGCTCTAACCGCTTCCTCGGTGCGGCTTAGCTGTTTCCTTGCCGTCCTTCTCCTAAACGGATTTAAGAGGGCTGGGAAAGTGCGACAACGCAAACCGGAATTCACAACATCATGGAAAGAGACGGTAAACGAACCAAGGAAAAAAGAAGAGAAAAATGGTAGAAAAACAAGTACGATCGATCCTTTTGGGACAAAGATCTGTCGACCTTCTCCCAATTGGGCTGCATCCCGACTCCCGCGCCCACGGCAGAATCTGCCGAAGCATCTCGTCGTCGTCAGCGCGATCCACCGTTGCTGCGACGGGCTTACCGATGCAGTGGTGTGTATTGGACAACGTGTGTGCCTCACTCACTGCCGAATTACCCAGTCGTCTCGTATGCAGGGAGGGAGAACGAGGCTGACATGTCTGTTCAGCTGAAAAATTGGGTGGCGACGTCAACAACGTTGGGCATAAAGTACACATTACATAGCCACACGCAATACTATGGTATGTACTATGGTAGTGATGATGTACGGTTATTAACTGGGTACCCTCTTATGGCTCGTCCGTGGGGGAGAACCTAGTTTCCCCGACATGCCATTTTTCTCCGAGCATGCAAAATGGCTCACTCTCAATATGCATGTGCGGCGGCCCTCTTGGCAAGTCGTGCAGCGATCTCCCTTGAAGCCGCCTCTACAAGACTGCTAGTTCCATATGATCGTGGTGAATAGCATCAATACAACCTCTCCCGAGAAGAATATGGACGAGTGCTCCTGCCTGATGCCCTGAATCAATTTCTCTTCCCGACTTGGAACGTAGCTCTCTCAACGTGCCTACATCGTACTTCTGGGCAGTCAGTCTCTCTTGTCAGATGGACGAGTGAGATCTGGCTGTCACTTCATAACCCACATGCCATCGCCAGATCTTCACTTATACTGCACAGATTACATAACTAAGTGGACAAGCCAGTTGCTCATCGTTCACGGCTCAACGAGACCCGGCGCTCTCTCTCTCTCTTCATCAGACCCGCTGGACAACATCCGGGAAGCCGGCTGGCCCGTGCCGTCTTAACTTCCCCTACCTCTAGTCGTCAGCTCATACCCCCCCCCCTGGGAGCTCGTCGGAGCCCACCGCTGCTCTCGACGCCTCCCTCGTCATCATGACCATCATCCCATACCAGCTCAGCCACCTCAGCCCGAAGAGAAAACTACCGTAACTGTGTTTCATCCCAACGCCATCCGCCGCCCTGTGCACCTCAACAAGAGTCTAACCCCGTTGAACGGACTTACCCACGGCCTTCCCCTAAATTTAACATCTCTAGGGCAGCTCACCATATCCACATATCTCGAGGCATCGCAGTTTGAGCTTCCGTGGCATGTATGTCCTTCAAGTGGTCGGCTTCCTGCTTGTACCTCCAATCGGTTTCGTGGGGATTTCTTTCAAGAAGTTTACAGCCCGCCAAGACATCAGAGGCACCAGGCACATGAGTGGATGAGAGGTCCACCAATGTGTATTTCACCTGAAAACTCTGTTGAACTGATGACGCCTCTTCTTTTACTGAGGTCTTTGTGCTGCGCAACGTTCCCAGGAGGATGAAAATCATTTATTATCTTCTTTTGAGAGCCTGTGGGAATCAACAAGGGCAGTGGGTGGCCCATTCTCGCAAATGGCCCAACAGCTGCTTATAGAGACGTCTCTCTGACCAATAGCGCTCAACTGGCTACCCTTTTTCTTCTTCTTCTAATGTGGTTAGGTATCTTGCTTCCCGTTCACGGTACCCGCATATCTCTTGTTTGACTCCGAGATACCAGAGTCAGGTGAGATAGCCTGTGCTACAGCTGCTAGTCGAGCGAGCACCCACCGTCAAAAATGTCCTGTTGGCAGTAAATCTGCCCAACATCAGAGCCGGTCTAGCTTGAGCATCATGAACGCCACTAATAAGCGTATCCGTTGCCGGAACCTCCAGGTCGCTGCGGCGATTGAGATTGCTGCTGCTGCTGTTGCTGCTGCTGCTGCTTCTTCCGGAACCTCGCCTCGATTCCATTATCACACTCGACACCCACACCGTTGATTCTCTTCACCATGTCTGCGGTACGATGATAAAGATCTGCGAAGACACCGTCCTTCTCGAGTTGGTCTACGGTCCATTGAGCCTCGTCACCTGGAACCATATTTTCATTCTCCTTCAAGGCCTCTTCAAGTCCGACAGAGAAGATGGAGGCCTCGTACCACTGTAAGATCAAGCCTGTCTTAGGTTGATCTTCTGTGAGGGAATCGTTGCCCGTGAGGCACGTGACTGTACAATAGTTGCCTCGGCGGTCGATGGGTTTCGTGGGCAGCATGCGGGTGACATCCAGGAAGGTTTTGCCGTCCTGGTGTTGCAGGCGGCAAACCTGCCGAACCCTGGCTTTGTTGATGACGATGGGTGCATGTTGGGCTGCAACTGGACCCTCATCAAATTTGTACTGGAAGTCCAGGTCCCACGAGGTCACTCTGAGACTGTTGAGCAGCGCTTGAGTGAATGCTGCCCAGTGCGCTTTGGAATCGATGGAGTGATCTCGTGAGAGGCGTACCTTGAAGTCCCAGTGCTGGGCGAGGCAGTGAACCGAAACCTCACCGCACGTATTGTCCAGTTCGCATACATTCCAAGTGCAGTCTTCGGCATTAATCTCGAGAATTTTTCCCGGGTTCACTTTCTCAAAATTTTCCTGTCCTTGGGCAACCGCGCCTGTGAAGTGAAAATCGAGGAAAGTGCTTCTGGAAACCTCTTTCCACATTTTCTCGTTCGTTCCTGTTATCGTCATCGAGGCGAGGAAATCGACATCGTTTCCCCAGTACGAAAGCGCCTTCGTGAAGAAGTGAGGCTGGGAGTCCAGAGAACTGCGAAGTTTCTCGGCGTCCCATCCATGGGCTGGCTCGAACTGCTTATTTCGCGCCTGGCCACTGGGCGGCACTCTTCGCAAGTAGAACCTGCCTAGCTCGGCACGCAGGCTGACCATGCCGGACTTTCGCTTGAGAGGTTGTAACATCTCCTTTACAGAAGTAACGAACCTTCCGGTCTCTCCATCAAGCTCGGTCGCTATACCAACTCGCTCGATTATTCCAACCTGAGGAAGAGAGTCAGGCTTCGGCACAAGTATGGTTCGTCTCGAGGGCTGCAATGCCCGCTGTAGGTTCGAGCCAGGGTCGTGCAGGATATAATCAGGCTGATCGAGCAGCGAAGGTGCTGCGGTAGTGGTCGATGTTGACACGCTCGTGCCGAGAGAGATTAAAGGGCCGTTTTCGGCTGCGAGGTCGCCATGCGGCATTAGGGCATCCTCTTGGATATTGATGAAAGGGATTGATATTTCCTCCTGGAGGTCTATGAGACAAACTTGAGCATGTTGATCTGGCTCGTTGTGGGATGAAAAGTGATCTCGCACACCTGCCCCAGGCTCGACAGCGGCTGAACCCAAGGGAACAGTCCTAGCGAATGAAGCAGTGTTAAAAGTTGTCGCTTGTGTAATCGGCTCAGATATATCAATGAGCCAGTCGTGGATATCGCTGGGAGCTTGATGCCGAGTAGGAAGACACGTAGCGATGTTGTGGCCCTCGAAGAGCTGAGCCTGGCGTTGGGGCTGCCGCCCGGCGAACACGTTGCGAGCCCTGGGCCCGAAGAGCGACCAGAGTTGATTCGAGTGCACTGATTTGTACGGATCATCTTGGCAGATCCGAAGACAGCATACAATGCCGGTAAAGTAATGGTCGATATGCCCAAATGTCCAGAAGTCGAGGATCGTCGAACGTCTCATCTGAGGATGAATATCCATGATATTGCGGATGTCCACGGTCCAGCAAAAGACCGACTCAACAAAGAAGACATGAGAGACAGACTTGCCCTTATTGGCGAGGTAATCTTGCAAAAGCGCAGTCATTCTACTCTTGGCAACATCTGCTGCGTGACCGGATGAGGCACCGATAAAGATAACTTTCTGATCGTGATCGAAGACCATCTCGACACCAGATGCCTCCTCGATGGCTTTCTGTTCCGGTTCCGAGATGAAACAAGTCTGGAAGGTTTGAGAGGTGGACTGAAGGTCTTGCCAGGCAACGACATGGGAAAACTTATGGAGTTCCTTTGGAACCTCGAGTGACATGTATCGGTTTTCCTCATGAGCGCTCGCAGCGCGGCCAGATGTGGAGGGAGGTGGCAGAATCGGATTCAGTGGCGCGACGAGCGGATGATCATCACTCAGCAGCGCTTCGCCAGAGACCGGGTCCCGCTCCAATTTGATCTCGACCTCGATCTGGTTTAGAAAGCTTCGGAACCGCTTTTGGATGACTGCCTGGTCATTCCTGTGGCAACGGATCGCGAAGCAGCCGAGCATCCCATCATAGGAGTATGAGGCAGCAACCTTCTATGGGTCAGCTTTTGGACATCTCTGGTTAAGGGACAATGTAACTTGAGGATGTTCAAAGGTTATGAAGATCAGTGGATGGAGTATGGATGTAATGACATGGGAAAGCAGCTGGGCTCACCAGGTTGAGATTCTCCAACTCGTTGATGACCTTGGCAGCGCCGCTCTCTGTCCAAGACCACATACTGGCCAGGAAGAAATCAACATACTCAGTGCTCCCATCAGCAGCTGCAGTGCGAGCTGTGGTCCGAGCTGACATGCTCATATGCGGCTCCATCTGAGTGGGCAGCTCTGAGGCCATGGTGGATGGAGAGTGTCCTACAACTTTTGCATGGCAAGGTCAGCAGCTGAAGTTTCTGACAAAAAAGGAAGCCGAACTTGTTGGGGTTTGCTGGAGGGAGGGACTGACACGTCAAGAAATAGAAGAGGGGGGAAGGAGAAGAGGTGTGTGTGTGTGTGTGTGTGTGTGTAGAGGGAGGAGGACACGCGTTGACCTCTGTATAGAGGCTGCCAACGCGTTGCCAATGTTGCTGATACAGTGTCCAGAGGGAGGATAATGGGGAGCAGTCAGACAAAGCCTGAATCTTCTGCGTGCAGGCTTTGAAAGGGAGAAGACATTGGAGAGAGTTGATATCAATACAAAGCTTTTTGTTCGTTACGATCCTACCGATGAAGTTATGGATCCTACAGATGAAGTTATGGAGACTTACCGGACTTGGACGATTGGCAGCTTTATTCACTTGTGAACGTCAACAACAGAGGATCTCCAGGCTTATTTGGAAGGGACAGAGGGGAGAGGGCAGAAAGCGTAATGTTGAAGAGAAAGGGGGAGACGGAGTGGAAGGAGGAAGGCACGCTAGGTAAGTACTTGGGTACTTAGAAGGAGGGTGAGATTTTATGGTTAGTATGTTATTCGGCAACCTACCTCATTTACTGGGCCTGGCATCAAACTTTGAAAGTGGAATGTCTGCTGCCTGTGGAAGTCTCTGGCAAACACAGTTTAGGGAATAATTATGTCGTTGTTTGTTGAGTCTGCTCCTTGGTACATGGATGGCCCTTCACATCAACGAGCAGTCTCAAGAGGGTGGATGGGTGGCACCTCTTATAAAAGGCTCTCCAATAGGGGAAGCAACCCGAGATATTCTCAAGCCTTGAGCCAGAGAGTATAGGGAACAATAGGGTCAAGTGACCTGGGTGGCTCTCAGCAATCATCATTCATGGAAAACATTGAAGGGTATGGCAAGCTGGGTTGCAACAATGGAAACAAATATTTGACTGAGTCCTGCTGTTCTAGTCTCATCTGTGCCTTTCTGTCCTTCCATACTAGCTGTTGTTCTACCCATTGTCATCGTCAATAGGAGACTAGTCTGAGCTGGATGTACATCTAAGAATGTCACCAGTGACTCCAAGACAGGCAGGTATTGAGATTAGAGACCTCACATGGGTGGTTTGATGCGGCCCTCTAATTTCTAGGTTTCCCCCATTGTCCCATGAAAAATTTTTATCCCTCTGAAATCAACCCTCCCTCGGATGAATGACCTGTGACTCCATGGAACTCCGCTTAGATGTGGTGGCCTGGTCCAAGATGCTCAAGGCCATGCAGGTGAATCGAAGTATCCAGATCACAAGCCAGGTTTCATAGCCCAGAATGCTTCCGCTTGATTAATGAGATCGTAAAGAATGAAGTGGTATCGAGAATATGATGGTATCGAAAAAGAGTTGTTGAAGGAGATGTGTGCGTGTATGTGTGTGGCACTGTCTATGGGCTTGAATGCTCGGGGTATCTCCATCTTGATGCTGAAAAGCGACGAGGCAATGATGGTCCTGACACAATGGATTCGGCATCAGAAGGAAGGTCAAGAAAAACAGCTTCAGCCAGAAACTCGTCGCAAGTGATCTGTTAGGTTATGGCAAGTAGCTGCCGGGTAAGGCAGAGGAGCAGGTTTGTTGTGCTTATTTGGCCCAGGCGACCTGGCTCTTGACGTTCAGGGCCCATTTGAGCTTGTCTACCACCTCTTTTGCCTCAGCCAGCATCTGTTGTTGTTGGGCCTCCCTCTCAGTTGCGCTTGACTTGATGTGTGAAAGAGCGTGTTCTTGCTCTCTCTTGTAAGCCTCGAACTGTCGCCACAGAGCCTCCTTTTGCTGAAGTAGTTCCTTGATATTTCCGTCCTGTTGGTCACAGAGGTCTCGCAAAGTCGAGATCTTTTCGTCGTCCTTCCTCCGCTCGTCAAGAAGGTCGGCTATCTCCTTGCCCATCTTTGTCATGGCACGCTTGACCTCTTCGCCCTGGTCCTTCCAGTGGCTGCTGATGGCGTTGTAACGCCCTTCCATCAACGCCGAGTGTGTCGTGGCTTCCTCTACTTTGCGTGTCGATTCGTCCCGCGTCTTCTCCATCTCGTCCTTCCACGTCCGCTCCTTGGTTTGGGCATCTGTCGTCCTTTTCTTCTCGAGGTCTACCGCCGCCTGCAGGCTCTCTACCTGGCGCTCTTTCCGGGCCAGAAGGGTCTTGGTCACGTTCGCCTCCAGCAGTCGACTCTCGTAGTCGGCAATCATCCTCTCCATCTTGTCCTGTAACAGCTTGGCTTCCCGCCTGGACTCTTCCGAGCTCAGCTTTTCAATCTGGAGGTCTCGTTTTAATGCCTCGTTCTCAGAGATAAGACGATTCATCACACGGCCTGTCTTTCCCAGGCCAGCCTTGCCCGCCGAGGCGTCGGGCCCATCTTCTTGTGTGTCTCCCATCTTGGCTGCCGACCGCTCCGTGCCCCCAATACTGCTTTGCCTTTGTGGTATATCGATGGGTCTGTCGTGGGTCGCAGGTTGTGACGGCGCGTTGGGGCTCAAGGACCGCTCTCGAATGTCGCCGTTCAGGTTGCGGAGGTATTGTGCAGACACCTTGGGTCGTAAGCGGCCTGCTGGTATCCGGTCTGCACCGTTCTGGTCCGAGGAACGTTTTTCGAGGGGCGGCGACATGATGCTCGCCTGGCTATTGGGGGAACTGGACAGCACAGAATCTGAGCGGCCGTTGGTGAGCGAAGGCGAAGCCTCCAAGGAGGTGTTGGCCGAGAATATGGGACCGTCGTCAAAGCTGTTCACGGGTCGTATTGAGGCCATCCGTTTAGGGGTGAGGCCATTGGAGCCGTTGGGTTGTGATGTGGCAGGACGATCGGTCAGGACGGGCAGGTGTAATTTGGCATCTAGCGTAGCCATGCTGTTTGGACCGGCATTCCTGGCGTTGGTGATTCCAGGGGAAGCTGAACTCAGGCTCGGCCTTGGTGACCTGGCTGAGTCTTCGGAGGCGCGGGATGCGTTGGATTCGGCAGTTCCAGGACGGCTGGATGATTCTTTGCTGCGTGTCAGCTTATTAGACTTTGGGGAGAACATGAGTTTCCGCATGATGGGCAAGGTTTCTTTTTTGGTTTGACAGAAGTTGTTCCTGTCTTGCCCTGCCAGCCTGGTCCTGGAAACATGAAGATGGTAAGGTCAACAGATCCAGGGGGATCTACCACCAAATGACATGCAGTGGAGTCTGCGCTGGCAGGGCCGCAGGGGAGTGGGTCGTGTCCAGGTGGTCGTACATGCAAAGTAAGGCGTTTTTTTTTGAAACGTTGACGTACCACTGGGGTCCTGATGGATGGCAAATGCGATGCTGCGTAACGAGCGTCTCCTCCTCGACGTGGTAGAGAAGAGCCGTGGCATCCCTCCCGTCGCTCTGTGCCTCGAGGTGGTCTGTCGGATGAGCTTCCTTGGTTTGGGCGAGCAATGGTCAACCTCAACTGCCCCGGACCCAGTGGCGGCGCTCAGTTTCTTGGGAGCTTGTTGTGTCACACCAGAAAAGCAACCCCTGGGCTTGCAATGGTGCCAAGGTGTGCATCCGAGCTCTAAGGTGGCTTGATGGACATGTCCCAGAAATAATGGGCATAAAGAATTTCTTGTAACAATATAAATACTTGGCAGTGGTGGTCAAGATGAGAGAAAAGGATAAAAGGCTAGGGCTTGAAGAGAAGAGAAAGACGACGACGCGTACCTTTGGCTGTTGAGTCAGTAGTCCCGTATTTGCAACCTAGGCTGGAGGAAAGAGCACGTATACTTAAGAAAAGAATGCGCTACAGAACAGCCTATGTGACAGGCGCGGGATGGTACTGGGGCACCAGTGTGTTGTTTCTTTTTCTAAGTAAACCACAGCGCGTTTGGTACAGAGAGGGTACAGCAAGAAACAGGGGTCTTCCCCAGACCAGCAACAATTGCGATTTTGATAGACACACCCCCTCAATGTAACCCCCTCAGCAAAAGCATATGAACAGCCCCCTCATTTCCCTGCAACATCATGTCTTGTAATAAGTATGGTCTACTACTTGTGAGAGTATAATTTTCTTTTTTTAGGCCAGTTGGCACCATTCATGCAAACGAGCAGGAGTCCATCACCAGTCATGTAGAGGGTAATGAGCATTAAGATGAATCTGGTACGAAATCAAAATCAAATCTCATTTCATTCTTCAAATTGACTGCAGGGAAATGGGCGGCATCCTGGAAGACTAGGGTGTCTCACCTTGATGATTTCCTTAGAACTCAGAGCCTATGAAGCAGCAGCCACAATACAAATAATTCGAACTAAAAGCACTCAGCAGAGTCATAGCACATTGAAATCATGTAGTGCAAAAAGTGAACCCTTAACTAACGGGCGCGCGGCTATACGCGGTGTCTCATTCAGAAGTTTGACCAATGGGCTCGGGACGTCGGCAAAGACACCCAAGTCGAGTGTGTAGCCACAAATACTGAAAGTATGGACTGACCCTCCAGTTCGGCAGGTCATTCAAGTTCGATGGCACCATTCTGAGCGGCAACCTCAATTTGAGGCGCAGCCACAGACGAATGGGCAGGCCTGGCAAAGCTTTCGGCGTCGGCGAGGGGACCTTCAACAGCATACTCTACCTACATTAGAACCCTTCAAACAGCTCTTGGGCCCGAATCTCTCAACTAGCTGGAGCCTGCTTCAGCGCCGAGGGCGTGTTATTCATCAAATCATCTAACCGCAGCAAAGGCCTCAAGCACTTTCAGCACAAAGTGTTGTCGTGGGTAACCACTTTTCTGTGGTTCGTCTTGGAAGGATATCTGGCGAGTATAGGTAGATTCGAAGGCAGGAGATCATAAGGTCGATGTGCTGCCAATTCGGCCTTGGTCCAATAGGTTAGGTGAGCAGGCCCGAGCGACACACTAGTTGTGCTCCCACTCGCACGAACCGGGGCCCTCGGATGTAGCCGCTTGCCGCGCACAGTCGCCGTTAGTAGACGCTGTAGGGCTAGCACTAACAATTCCGCCTAGAATCTTACCGTTCTTCAGTTAAGAGGGATGATCCATGATTTTATTGCACCAAATCCGTTTCCGACTTCAAGAGACTCATTCGAGTTGGGACTCAAGACCTTTACCCCCACCATAAACTTCTCCCCTCTTTCGCTTTCCCCCCCTTATTTTGGAAAGAAAAAAATCCTAGTCCCCTGTGCATGTCGTCGGAAAGCAATCCGTGGCTCTGATCGACGCCCCAACCCCGAGACGGTCGCCGTCGATCAATTGCTTTTGATGAACCTTAAAACCTTAAGTGGTGCTTACTTTGTAGGCATCTCCTTGCCTCGCTTTCGCGTTTCGGCAGAGTATAAAGATCAAGTTACCCTCCACAAAATTCACGCCGCCAGCAGGCGTTTCCTTGAGTATTGGACTCGTCTTGGGCTCGTCTAGACTCTGCCATTCAAACTTCTGCTTTGCACCATACAGCCACTCCATAGGTCAACCGCCCGACTACTATATGCAATGTCGTCGCCTTCAGCCACGGCGCCCAGCCAGGGCGACGCGCCACAGACGAGGCAGTCTGCCATCTACAAAGTCAGCCATTCATTCCAAATCCATGCTTAGTACCTTATCATCAGTCCGTCCTTCCTCAATCGCTGACACGAATCGCAGATCATCATGACTCCTGTCATCTTCGTCTCTTTCCTTTTCTCGCTGGCGTGGGTTGAGTTCCGCTACTCACTCATGCGGTCCCACTTCCATTCATCCACACAGAGCTGGATGCCCGATTGGATTCATCACATTCTCTACCGTGAGGCTCCGTATCAATATGTACGAGCCGATCCGAAAGATCCGAGAACGCCGACGACTGAGGCAGGAGGGTCGAGGTGGTACTACCGCACCAAGCAGCGGAAGCTTTTGAAGATGGAAGTCGAGGATGCTTTCCGTATACGCGGATCGGTGCTCGTGGTGCTGGGACTGCTCGCTGTGGGTGGAACCTGGGCAGCCTGGCGCGCGGTCTGTTGGGCGTGGACTGCCCTCACCGCGAAATACAGCTGAGCGGCTACCACGTACGTGTCGACCAAGTCCAACGGCTCCGAGGCTGTATATACATTACGACTGTCGGTCTATGTCGGTCTAGATCTAGAGTACGCGATGACATGTCTTTACCAGCTGTGGATCGAGTCTATGGAACCATTCAATCCGACCTCACCTACAAATGTCCTGTTCTGGGCAACACGAGTGGGATCCTCATCAACCGCATCGTACTATGAAATGATCATTCACCGCTTCAGTTGCCTTCAATGCACTAATCACTAGGGCGTCAAATTGATTGTAGTTTGTTTGGTAAGAGGTTGGGAGACTGTCCGCTGCCCGTGGGACTTTCAAAAGACGCTGACCATCCCTCCTGCCATCGAGCAGTGGCTGCACGATGGGGCATAGAGCGAAGGCGGGGGAGACGTGAACCAGCGCATCGTGAAGACGAAATAGTAGATTCAGACAGCAATGATGTTCCAGTCTAGACAAGATAGAAGGAAATACAAATCTTTATCAAGAAAAATACCCGTGAGCTTGACCGATAAAATCTTACCTGAGGACATGCTCGTACCATCGTGCCCGTGTGTTTTGGTGCTCCTCAGTAGTCCATCGTCCCCGTACATTCCATCACGCCCTGATTCTCGGAATTTCGAATCACGCTTCTCAATGTCGTCTGACTGTTTGTCCATAGCAGCAACACCACGCGACTGAGGAGCCAAATGCTCATTCATATTCTTACTCACACTCCTTCGATACACCATCTCTATTCGAAAGAGGTCTGTAATATATGCTGAATGAAACGAAAATATCCTCATAGAAGTGCCTTGCCTAATTAAACACCTTGTGGCCCGGTACTGAGCAGCAGAGGCAAAATACGATAAGCAAAAGAGGGTTGTGTTGAGGTGGGGGGGGGGGGTTGGAGGGCATCTCCAAAAGAATGAACAAAAAAAGAGATCCTCACAAAAAAAACAAAGACACACACGCACACGTACAGGAAGGAGGGGGAAAAAGAGGAAAAGAATAGGAGAAATGGCAAAAATATCGCACTTCGACGAAGCCCAACCCATGCGACCTGTTCTGAGTCTGGCCAGGAAGGCGGTCCCGCGTGAGCTCAAACACATCCTCTTGCAACCTTTGCGAGACTCGAACAGTTGGCCTCTTCCTAACAAGTATTGCAAGCAACCTTGAAAGTTACCACTACACTATTGGGATCATGTAATGGGGGCGCGCCCATTGAAGGGTGACAGAAACTTTGCTCTCATGACCTATATAGACAAGTTGGGATGGAAAATTTGGGGGGCGCCGGCAGGCAGGCAGTTGAGGCAATTAGTCGACAAGCCGTGGGCCCAATCTCGTCCTTTCCATTGCATTCTACCTCATGCTGCATATTGCACTCGATGCTTTCCAATCACTGGTCCGTCGTCCCCTGAGAGCGCATATCCTTGACGAGAACTCCCTCAAGGCAGAGCAATGCACTCAATCTCAACATCAACGTTCTTGGGGAGCGTCTTGACAGCGACACAGCTGCGAGCAGGCTTGTGGGTGAACCACTTGGAGTATTCCTCATTCATGGCCTGCAGCCACAAATTTTCATTAGCAACCAGGATGTTTCCATGAAGGGAAGGGGCACCATTTTCATCTCGTCAACCCACCGCGAAGTTGGCCATGTCTGTGATGAAGGCATTGACCTTGACTACCTTCTCGATGCCCGAGCCGGCAGCCTCGAGGACAGCCTTGAGGTTCTTGATGCACGCAGCCGTCTTCTCCTGTATGGTGCCTTCGATCAGGTTGCCCTCTGCATCGCAGGGGATCTGGCCAGAGCAGTAGATGGCACTCGGGGTCTTAATGGCCTGGGACTGTGAGGAGGAAGGGCTTCATTAGGACGAGGCTCTTCAGGACTCAGGCTTGGTCGGGTTTCTCATACATAAGGACCAGCAGCTATGTCGCAAGTCAGTCATTTGTTGCCATGACAATCTGCGGAGGGTAATCACATACGAGGGGCAGCTTCCTTGGAAAAGACGGGCTCCATGATGACTCTAGAGGTAGATGATGCTCGGCGGATGGGGCTGGTCGAGCACAGAGGGATAGGACGGAGCGTAGCTGTCAATGATCTCACAACGGAGGATGATGAGGCAGATAAGATAGTACGTCGAACAGCGAGCATTGGACTGCACAGAAGATTCCCTTGCAAGAGTACTTAAGTAGTTTGTGAAATCGCTGCTCCGGTGGGAATATGTGTGTATGTATTTGTAAGGTTAAAGTCTGGACTTTGACTCTTTTGGGATTTGAGCTTAAGCTTTGCCCTCTGCCGCCCTCCGTATATCGGATTGCTACGTCGGAGCTCCTCCCCCTGTCAGCCCTGTGAGGATCCTTGCCGCCATGCCGCCCGGAGAGAGTACAGGGGCTTAGACCGGAGCTCACCCAGCAATTTACCAATGATTCCAAGCCCTGAAATACCTGGATTACATATAGGGTGGTACTGTTGAGCGGCAAACATCTCTTGAAAGGTCCTTTCCTTTTTTTTTTTTTTTTTTTTTTTTTGTCTTACAAAGCACGTCCGAAGAACGGCCATGATGCTTGCCATATGGTTGGAATAGGCGCCCTTGCCATGAGCACGGGGAGCGACCTTTTTGAAACCTATAGCTCTATGCACTCCTGGTTTGATTTCAGCCACGACTCGAAGATCCGCTGCGCGCAAGGGCAGCACTGGAGGGCAGCCTGTCAGTCTCAGCAGACAAGCCAAGTCCGTTCTGATAGATGATGAGCCTTCGCCACTGTCAAATGATGCCTGTTGCTTTCTGGCTTGCAGCTGTGGTCCGCTTGACGCTCGTCCGGCAGGAAAATGGTGTTCCCAATTACGACGTCTCTTGGAAAGCACACGCTGCGAGCTCAAGTCCTTGGCGCCCAAGATTTTCCATAAACATCAGCCACAGACCGTGACCCTACTCCTCTCGACAGCTTGAACTCATTCTTGTCGTTACTCATGGGCGAGCAGGTGTATAGAGCAGGGCCGGTTTTGCGAAACGCGCAATAGATGTCTCTGCTGGCAAGATAATTCTCTCCGAGGCTGCAGTGTTGTTGTATCTCCGACAAAGCAAGTTCAAAATGCAGTGTTCTTGTGTCAGATGTTATTAGAACACTACATATAACTTTCAAAGAGCCAATGCTCTGAAATGCTGAAGGCCCCGGAATAGTGGAGCAGCGAGTATTGAATATGCCTGATCGATGGATGGGAGGACGTTGACATGGTGATCGAATTCGGACTTGAGCCGCTCCGGGAATCTTGAAACCTGCAGGGAGCAGGGCCGGGATAGGTAGGTTTAGGTGCCGGCATCCGGAATGGAGCAATGCTACAATGTTACTGTTGGTCAATCGTATAAAACACCCCAGAGGCCGGTCGGTGCTACTTATTGCGGCACATCGAGCTGTTCTGTAGCTTAGTGCGTAGGTTTTTACGCAGGATTCTTCGTGCATCAGCACTTTGAAGAAGCCTCAAACAAGCCTTGCAACTTCTGTTAGCTACTGTCGCCTGTTATTGGGTGGCAGCCGACATCGGTTCTCCTCATGGGCAGGCTTGGTGCAGTGCAACTATTACTTGTCGGCTGGGGGGTGTACCAATATCGAAGTGACTCCAAGGAAGGACATCGTTAGGAGTTTCCTAACCGCTAGAATTGGAACTATCACGCACCTTAACTCAACCACGCTGAACAGCGATTGCCACTATGGTATGCCTTCAGGTCATTTACTATTAGTTGCCCCTGAGCCCATACATTAACTTGAATAAGCATTGCAATATATCTTCTTAGAAGTGTGGATATATACCAAAAAAACAAATCATGAAGACACAAGGTATCAGTAACAGCTGCATCTAGTTCAAGTACAAATATTACTATCCTGGAAAGCGTGTATAAGACGCCATGGTGGCGTGAGTAAGGCAACACTGTTCTCTCACAGTTGGCAATGATTCTGGCGGGATCCTTTTCCCCTATGACCCTGTCTGGCCAGTCTCGATGGCCCCCGTATGTGATCTCGCGTACGGCGAACGGGGCTTTTCACACACATTTGCGGAGATGGACACGATGGCCTGATGCAAGGGCGACAGAGCTGCTGCGCGCAATAGGATTGCCAATCTCCACTTCTGCACACGTAGTAGGAAATAGCCTGGCAGCTGGTTTATACCGTAGTAGGACCAGCTGCTGACCACATGGGAATGACTGCGGTTGCTGACAGGAAGTCGCCTTGGTTGATGACATGAATCCGCCGGGTGAGTACTTCCAATCAGTCCATAGGCAAAGGAACGGCATATACTATATACTCCAGTACTTGTATCCTATTTTTAAGCCTGCAGTCGCGGGCTTATCTTATCGACCAAGGGAGCTCGCTGCCTCCTGTTTCTAGGGAGGACCCCACTAAATGGTCAGGCCTGGACCCCAGCCGGAGATCCCTAGGATCCAAGGGAGCTCCACCGCGCCGCGTGCACCGTCAGCGTCCCTTGGGCCCAGCTCCAATTCAACTGGCAAGGTGTCGTCTTCTTACCTGCAGCGGACCTCGACCTTGAACATCTAAAAAAAAGTCAGGCAGTAGCTGACGGCCGTCTCAGCTTCTTTTCTTCTTCTTCTTCCTTAACTCGACAAGTCTAGTCCTGTCCACGCTCCTTTTTAACCACCCATCCCATTCCCAATCTCATCTTCGACTGCGCTCAGGCGATTTTGCTACAACAGTCTTCCTCCTCATCCGGACGTGACGAGCGCGTTGCGCCAAGCTCGTTTCACCCTCGACAGCGTTTGTCCACCTTCCGCATCCATCCAGCTAGCCTCCTCGCACCCAAATCCAACAAGAGACGGTACACTGCCAAGACGTGCTGAAGCTAATCTATGGTTTGATCCATTCTTCAGTTCGTCCTTCCACGGCCCAACATGACCTCAAGCCCGGCCCCAAAGGACGGCTTGCGGCAGCGAAACGTCGCCGGCTCTAAGAAGACCGCCAGTGCCTCTACTTTCGAGGATGAGCTCGACAAGCTCGGGAAGGCTAGGGCTCCTGCTGCGGGCAACGACCTCGAGTACAAGCTCGGGCTCGCCCTGATCACCTCGCTGGCTTTTGTCACTCGATTCTGGGGGATAAGCCACCCTGACGAGGTTGTCTTTGATGAAGTTCACTTTGGCAAGGTATGGGCATCATTCTCGCGCCGCAGTCGCAGGTCAAATACCATCTTACTGACACGGGACCTCGCCAGTTTGCATCGTATTACCTCGAACGAACCTATTTCTTCGACGTTCACCCTCCCTTCGGCAAGCTCCTTTTTGGCCTTGTCGGCTGGCTGGTTGGCTACGATGGACACTTCCACTTCGAGAACATCGGCGACTCGTACGTCGCCAACAAGGTGCCCTATGTCGCCTTTCGCTCTCTGCCTGCCCTGCTTGGTGCCCTCACCGTCTCTGTCACATACTTGATCATGTGGGAGTCTGGCTATAGCCTGCCTGCCTGTATCGTCGCCGCTGGTCTCGTTCTGCTTGACAATGCCCACATTGGCCAGACCCGGCTGATCCTCCTGGACGCCACACTTGTCCTTGCTATGGCGTGCAGCTTGCTAGCTTACATCAAGTTCTACAAGCAGAGGCACGAGCCCTTCTCTAGAAAGTGGTGGAAGTGGCTCATCCTGACCGGTTTCGCCCTGTCTTGTGACATCTCTACCAAATACGTCGGTCTGTTCGCCTTCGTTACCATTGGCTCTGCTGTCGCAATCGACCTCTGGGAGCTTTTGAACATCAAGCGGCCTGGCGGAGCGCTAAGCCTGTTCGATTTCGGGAAGCACTTTGCGGCACGGGCCTTTGGTCTCATCTTTATGCCGTTCATGTTCTACCTTTTCTGGTTCCAGGTGCACTTTGCCGTCCTGACCCGGTCTGGACCAGGAGACGAATTCATGAGCCCTGAGTTCCAGGAGACTTTGAGCGACAACATCATGCTGGCCAATGCCGTCACGATTGACTTCTACGACTCGATCAGCATCAGGCATAAGGAGACCAAGACATACCTGCACAGCCACGAGGACCGTTACCCCCTCCGCTACGACGATGGTCGCGTGTCCAGCCAAGGCCAGCAGGTAACTGGATACCCTTACAATGACACCAACAACTACTGGCAGATCATCCCGGCGGACGATGATCAGAAGCTAGGTCGTCATATCAAGCACCAGGACCTCGTCCGGCTCCGTCACGTCGTCACGGATACTATACTCTTGTCTCACGATGTCGCGTCGCCGTACTACCCAACCAACCAGGAATTCACAACCGTCCCGTTGGAGGAAGCTTACGGTCCTAGGTACCAGGACACCTTGTTCGAGGTCCGTATCGAGAGCGGCAAGAAAGGACAGGAGTTCAAGAGCATTTCCAGCCACTTCAAGCTTATTCACAACCCTAGCAAGGTCGCCATGTGGACCCACACGACGCCTCTGCCAGACTGGGCCTATAAGCAGCAGGAGATCAATGGAAACAAGCAGATCGCGCCGAGCTCGAACGTGTGGTATGTTGAGGACATTCCCTCGCTGGCTTTGGACCATAAGCGACGTGAGAAGCCAGAGCGGAAGGTCAGGAGCCTGCCGTTCATGAGCAAATATCTGGAGCTCCAGCGATCCATGTTCTGGCACAACAACCAGTTGACTAGCAGTCATCCGTATGCCTCTCAGCCGTTCCAGTGGCCGTTCCTGCTTCGTGGTGTCAGCTTCTGGACGCAGAATGATACTCGCCAGCAGATCTACTTCCTGGGTAACCCTGTTGGCTGGTGGATTGCCAGCAGTTTGCTGGCGGTCTACGCGGGTATTGTTGCCGCCGACCAGTTCTCGCTGCGCCGTGGTGTCGATGCCCTAGATCATAGTAAGTATTTCCTAACATCGGTTTTTGTTCACCGCTAACCATCTTGAAGGAACCCGCTCTCGATTGTACAACTCGACAGGCTTCTTCTTCCTGGCATGGGCTACCCACTACTTCCCATTCTATGTGATGGGCCGCCAGCTCTTCCTGCACCACTATCTCCCGGCTCATCTGGCCTCGACACTTGTGACGGGAGCTCTGCTTGAGTTCGTCTTCAACGCCGACACGCAACAGAGCGAGGGTTCTTCTTATAACAAGAATGGAAAGAAGCAAGTTGGCGGACCCAAGAGGCATATTTCAGCTCGGGAGAGGTTCGCTGGCCAAAGCATGATCCCGGCTTGGATTGCTTGTGCCGTGATCCTCTCGCTGGCCGCCGCTGGTTGGTGGTTCTTCCTCCCGCTCACGTACGGTTATCCCGGCCTGAGCGTCGAGCAAGTCAAGGCACGCAAGTGGCTCGGCTACGATCTCCACTTCGCCAAGTAAAGATGCAGGCGCTTCATTTAAATCTCAATGTGTTAGCATTCCTGGGCGGGCACTCGACATGTTGAGGATACGTGTGTGTGTATGTACATTAGGTAAAACGGTGGCGTACTCAACTCATTTACTGGCTAAGGAAGGATTACAGCAGCACCTTGAAACTGTGCTATTGGAGCTGAGCAGGGCCGTGGATTTGTTGATACAGGGAAACGTATTGCCTGACCGGGGTGGCTCTAGGCACAGCAGGACACAGAGGGTCAGTTTTTGTTGCAGAATAGTTGTCGAGAATAACTGGCTGGAATACACCAGATTTTGGCGCTCATGAGCATAAGGATATGGCGAGTTCTTTGCAACAGTATTTTCTTACGCCTGATCACCAGGTGACCAAGTCACCTTTTCACATTCACATGTAAATTCAATGGCTTTACCACACCTGGGCGTTCAACTTTCACGCTTCTTCGGGAGGGAAACCACAAATGCAGTATGTTATTTCTCATATTCTGTTGATGTACACAAACATATATAAATTTTGACATACTAAACTTACCAATCTAGTCGAGGCCAGCTTAACGGGACGGCCTCGAGGTTCTCGGACCTTTCTCGCGATCGACTTCTCAAGGGAAATCACCCTTGAGAAGCGAAAGCACTAACTTATGCGATGTGAAAGAGACATAGGAAATTGCAACGAGTGACATGGTGAAAACAAACAAAAGAATTAAGAGAACCAGAGCACTTACGCATACTTACCCCCAGATTCTCACTGCGAAACGTCCACAAGATTAGCGACACCAGTAGCGACAACGACATTATCGACCTCAAAAATCTTCGACAAGAACCACACACCAAACTCGGAATCAGCATCATAACTCTCGTTATCCTGCTCCTCGTCATGCCGCCGCACACGGCCGCCGCGACCTTCCAGCCTGGACAGCGTCTCCTCGTCGGACCACAGGCCGCTGTTGCTGCTCTCCCCGCGCTGGTCCCCGCCGACGACAACACGGTGAGGGCGGCACAGCCCGAGGCGACAACCGTCGCACGGGCTGCGGGGGCCGGCATCCTGGCTGCGGCGGAAGCAGCCTGGGCACTTCTCCATGGCACGCTGGCATGCAGCGCAAGGTGGTGTCGTCGGCCAGGCGGCGCTGACGGGGGCACTGACGGGGGCACTGGCGGGGCCACTGGTGTGTTTGTCCGGCTGGACAGGCGCTTGGAAGCAGACGGCTGGGAGGACCATGGGGAAGGCATCGGCACTGGCCCTCGCTGGATCTGCAAGGGGGGTTTTGGGACGACCCTCCTCGGCTTGGGGCTCCTCGGCGGTCCAGCCGAGGGGGGAAGTGCTGCCTATGAGGATGGGGCGGCTGATGGACTTACCATGGTTCTTGACCTGCTGGGAGGAGGAGGAGGAGGAGGAGGAGGAGGAGGAGATCCTGTTAGTGTTTACCTTGGCCTTGTGCCTGAGGGTTACGCAGCGACAGAAGCAGGAGAGACCCATCTTTGACGACTTTGAGAGAGGAAAGGCTGGACGAGATGGACTGGCTCGAAGAACAAAGGGTGTTTGTTTCTATGAAGGTTGGGATTCTTCGGGCAGCCGTCTCGTCTAGTCTCGTCTCTGGGTCTACTTCCTGTGCCTGATGGAGATGGATTGGAATGAGGATGAGGAGGACAGAAGGCTTGGGAGAGTAAATATGGGAAGGGCCTTGCGGTGGATTTATGGTGTAGCTCTTGACAAAGCATTTGTTCTCTGTCGAAGAGCTTTCAAAGAAAGAAAGGGCTAACAACTTGGACAATCACATTGTCATTGGGTTGAATAGAGGCTATTCTGAGCCTGGGGGGTCCCCTGGGAGAAACGATTGGCATGTCAATGCCCTTGAGGAGGAAATCTGAGAGCTCTCTGGATGGAAATTGTGATTTCACACAGGCGGAACCTCCAGAGGACATGCATCGCCCTGGAGAAAATCTCAGTCTCCTCGCATTCGAACTCCCTTTGAGCTGGCTGTCTTGCATACATCGAGAGGAAGAGGAACGCACACACAGCCCGTTCAGTCTCAGACAGAGAGTTTTTCTGCGGTAAGCAGATACAGTTTTCCTGGTGGAAAATGTCAATAGAGAATCAGTCACCATATTGGTAGGGCCAGATGAAGCCGAATCATCACGCGGTTCATTTTGCTGTAGAGGCACTCCACGGAAGGCAACTACAGCTTTGTTCCCCTTTGAGGGCTTTGTATGAGGAAAACAACAACATTGACCTTGACTCATGTAGACTAATATAGGCTTTGGAGGACTCTTACAAAGGCATTGTTTGATCTCGTGGTTTTATTTCATATGAAGGCTCAATCTCGCCAGACGGCCCTTCACAACGATACCCCATGATATAAGTGCAGAATACATCACTCTTCAGCGCAAGAGAGAGCAGGGCCTGAGATAACTCATTGCAGGATACAGCTAACAAGCTCCCAGCCAACCAAACACACAAACACTAATAAAAAAAGGGCAGCAGCAGGAGCAGCAACAAACATGTGTCACCAAGAGATTCACCACCTGTGCGGGCACGTCAGCTCCCACAAGCTGCCGTGCGCGGCCAAGAAGTCGAGAAGAGGAGGAGGAGGTTGTGGTTTCGCCTGCCTCTTGGCTCTACAACCAAGATGTGATGACAACGCAAAGAAGACGACATCCACGGAGCCCTGCCCGCCCTGTCTCCGGGCGGACCGAGAGCAGTGGGCGATCCAGCGCGCGCAGCAGAGGATTCTCGCGCAGCAGCAGAGGAGTGGCCCGACAATGGGGTCCTGCCGGCCCATTGAGACGAGTCGCACTGGCGCACGTCTCAGCGGACCTGCGCGTGGACCTGAGCAGCCTCGAGGACCGTATGATGAGCCCCAGCGAGAGCTCCAGCCTCCTCAGCCTCCTCGCCTTCGAGGTCCGGCGGAGAGCAGGACGCTTGTACCTCGCCACTGGGTTGATACGTCTAGATCGTACCCGGGCGGTGACCGTGTTGTCTCGGGTGTGCCCTCAGGCTGGGCCTATCCTGGCAGGGTGAGTCCACCTCCGAACCCGTAAAGTAGCACAATTGTGCTGGTCAAAGGGTATGGTGTGGTGAAGCCTCCATAGCGCCTGGACAACAGATGAGATAAGTAGTTCTTTGTGTGTGTCTAAGGCAAGACTGATCAAGTGGATAATGTAACTGTATGAACTTTAGGGTCTCTTATTTGCGAACAGCTAAGTCTCGGGATGAATTTCAGATGGTAGGTCATTTCTGTGCTGTAGGACAGTTCTAGGACTAACCCGAGCACCCTGTTCCCACGTAGGAGAGAGAGAGAGAGAGAGAGAGAGAGAGAGAGAGAGAGACTGTGTGTGAGCTAGGTTTCATTCAATTCGAGTTCTTCCTACACTACCATGAACGTTCACAGTAATTGTTGTCAGTGACCTGATACAACGGAGAGAAGGCTTCAGATGCTGAGGCCCGGGCCGGCGACAGAGAAGCAAGCGCACCCTCGTCGCAGCGGCCAATAAACCAGTACCGCAGATAAAACCAAAACGAAATGTGGAGCTGTTTTTTCCTCATGGAAAAGAGAACATCTGAGTGCACGACCAAACGAATAAAGTGAACAAATGTATGATGCAATCTAGGATCGGTCTCTGTGGAGTCCATGTTCGCGGCCCGTCGCCTGAATGCTTAGTAAAACAAGCATACAAGAGAACGTACAGTAAGCATGGAGGGTGGTTTGGTAATCGACCGCTTACACAGCAGTACAGTATCTCTGCTGGGCCTCTTGTGGGGCGCGAGTACGAGAAACACTGCTGAGGGAGAAACAAGACTTTTGGGCAAAAAGGGTTGGTCGTCAAACACACGGCCGTTGCGTTGTCCGCGTGGGTTGCACTTGCCTCCTCCGCCCAAAGATGCAAAGCCGCACACCCTCTTGCTCCTTCTATCCTCCCACCACCACCCTCCCGAAGCGTCTCCCCCGTGCCACCCCTCCCTCGTTCCCCGCCCCCAAAACCCTTGACATTTGGTGGGAGCCACACTGCAAAAGATCCCCAGGTCCCCGTCTTTGTTAGGGTCACCGCTTGTGGACACCCCTGGGGCGCCGAGCCCAGCCCAACGCACACCTGAGACGTTGACGTTCCAGGTGAGTCGGCACATTCTGGTGAAGCTGAAAAGAAAAAGAAGTAGGAAGAGAGAGGGGGGCAAAAAGGGCAAGGAGGTGGGACACACGAAAAAAAAAAGCCAAAAAATCAAATCAACACCTGATGCGAATTGATGGTCTATGCATATGCATGCATGGCAATGCACAACAGGTTACTGATTCTTATGCCCCGTCTGCGAGGGTGACGACAACGAGCCCAGGTGATTGTCGGCGCCAAGACCACGAATCCGAGCACGCATTTGCTCTCGCGTCATCATTGTGCAACAACATCAACACACGGTTTAGGTTCTGCGCAGATCGCCCCAAGACAAGTGTACAAACTGTAGTAAGTACATAGTAAATTTCTTTTTGGTTACCGGCGGTTTGTGCAGATTTGCGGAGACGGGAAGAGCCGGGGAATAGAGGAAATGTCGCAGCCTGATCAGTCTACCACCCAAATCCAGGTCAGACGGATGAATAGAAAGAGAGGGAGAGGAAAGAGTCCTCCTTAAGCATTACGCGTTTGTTGGACGAGCTGTCGCGGCGGGTAGAGAGAAATGATGGGTGGGGGAGGGGAACTGGCACCAACGTGCAGGCAACCTAAAGTAAGGAAGGGCTCGTGAGGCAAAATGCACACACTCTCTCCTCTTCTTCTAGGCTATCATAATTCTCTCGATGCAGACTGGTCCGGGGGCCAAAAGCGGGCGGCGCAGGACCCATTCATCCATGATCCCGTTATTTAATTTCATTCTTTTTATTCTGGCAACCTGGAGTTGGGGGGCGTGGGCGGCTTTGCGTATAGACGTAGTTAGGCGCACTGGGCGCACAAGCGCACAAGAGCGGGATCGCGGGATTGAGAGTTTTAAGGTTGCGTAGGGCTGATTTTCCCTTCCCTCCTCCCTTGTCGTAAACAGACAAGCTTGTAGTAGTAGCAGTAGTAAGAGGGGCGGGTTTTTGCTCCTGCTGCTGCTGCTGCTGCTGCTGATTGATGGATGGATGCATGTTCTAGACCTACGCCTCCTGAACGTGGACGGAATTAGGAGGGCGACCGCGTTGTGTGTGCGTGTATCTCTGTGTGCGTGTGTGTGTGCGTGCGTGCGTGCGCGCGCGTGGCTATCCAAGCTTATTTCTTTTTACCTAATTTTTTAAGTACTGTACAGCGAGCTGTAGACTGGAGCCAAGTGGAAAAGAGAGCCAAATCAAGGCAGCCTTACCAGTGTACCACCACCACCACCACCACCACCAGTCCCCAGTGACCCAACGCGGATCGTCGGCACCAAACTATTGCAGACAAAGACGAACGCCAAGAGAAAGAAGGATTGTGAGGACTCGTACGCGATTGCGCAAATTGACTCTACCAAACGTGTCGTACCACGAGGCATTTTTTTTTTATCCCTCTTTATTTTGTTACCGGCTTTCCCCTTTTCTTGCTTTCCCTCGTGATTATCCTTTCCAACCGGTGAGTGTGTGCGCTGGCACACTTTTTAGTGTCCTGATAATGAAGCTTGGCAGTGACTCGACCCGTCGGCATGAGGCCAGAGCAGAACAAGCACAGTGTCGATATGAGGAAAAGATCGACTGAGGCAAGGGCAGATGATGACTCCCAAGGGGAGGAAGACCCGGGGACCCGAAGCCCATTCTGTAGGCCAGGTTGTCCTCCTCCTGCTGCTGCTACTGCATCGGTTCTACTGCAACCCCAAGGGCTGGTTTGACCAGCATGTCATAGTAAGCCTATTTGCTGGCCCTCATTGGACGGGTGGGAGGCCAATTGACCATTGCTCAGCCTCCACGAGAAAACGGTCGCTAGAATGGGCCTGGCTCAGCACTTGTGCTGCTGCGTTTGTGGGCGCAGGGGTCGAGCCACCCGCTGTTTTGTTGTTGTTGTTGGTGTGTATCGAGATTTTGTTGATGTTTGATGATGATGGCTCCCAGACGATGGGCGCACAGGGCGAGGTCGAAGCCGACGTCTTGTTCCCGAGAACGAGGTCGCGAATAAGTTGGGTCCTACCCAGCAATAGAGTATGGCCGTATCACGGTACACTCTATGACAGGTGGACAATGTAAATGGTACACTGGAGCGTGGCTACTGTAAGCCTAAGTCCCATGTAGCACTACATAGTAAAGGACTTGGGTATGTACTAGAGTAGTGGTAGTGTGTTCCCGGAACCGCGGGTTCAGCTGGCCCCACTTATGACCTATTCTGGAATCTGGATTGAACATTCAAATGAATTGAATCAAACAAGGTTGACTGGGGAGGTCGATCAAGGGTGGCAAGCTTAGCGCTAGGACTTGCGATTTGTGTGCCTCATAGGGAGGTCGAATCTGTGTCTGTCAATTACTTGTAAGCGCCCGTGAGATATTAGACGGATTGCTATGTATTGTGGTTTCTGGTCAGTGGCATCGCGATGGTTGATGTGTTTAATTGCCCATCTGGGTCACATCGTGTCTTTCTAGTTTCTGTATCATTGGAGACGACTAGGAGGGGCCGACGCTGTGACAACCTCAATCTCGCGGTTTTGCATCTGGCTCGCTCTCTGGATTGGGATTGACCAGGTACGAGGGAGCAAAATGATGAAGATTGTCCACATAGACCCGCCTCATCTCGTCGAATCACCTTGATGGTGTGTATCTGAATTCGGGAATGAGGGTTCTGTTCTCGTTTGATCCAAGCACCCGCCCTCTGACGCCATTGGACAAGAACCTCAGGAACCCACAGCAGAGCCTCCAAGTGGCTGAGGGCCTCTCAAGTGTGTTGTCTCTAGCATCATGCCAGGACAGGTTACGGAAACAGATCAGACCATTCTGTAATACTATTGTGCTGCGGTGCTCCTGTACTATGCTAGCATAGCGATCCAGCAGGTTTGGGATGGTCTGTCTGCTCATGAGAACACACGCAGAGAGAGAGAGGGTGGGGGCAGGGAGCAGGGTGGTCTTTTAGTGTGAATCCTTCGGTGGGACGTGCTGTGGATGCTGCGGAGGCGCAAGGAGGCTCACCCTTGGACAGGTGGAGCGACGGTCTGGCTGCTGCCTAGAATGCACGGGCCACATCCGTCACCTTCCTACCGCGTCCCCGTCGACATTGACATCGCCTTTCATTTCCTCCTCTTCCCTCCTCATCATCCACATTTCAACGGCCAACGTCCCTAACTTGCCCCGGGGAAAAAAAAACCACTCGCCCGCTCATCTTCCATTTAGTTTGACTCAACGTCCAGGACTGCTGCACCTCGACCGGTCCAAAGCCCTCGCAAGGTTTTGTTTGTCGAGAGTTGAAGAAATCCGGGTTGACCTCAATCCGATCTGATCTGGTTCGACTCGAGTCGACCCGAATCCACGCCGTGTTGGTCTCACTCGAGGAGCGCTCCTGGCCACCCGTCCTGCTTACTTATTACTCTTTCTCGTCGGTTTTCCTTGACATTCTAAACGAGCCCACCGCCAGGACCTTTTAGTGCACCCACAGTCATCATCTGTCCCCCAGCGTTCTGCGTTCCAGCATTTCGTCTGTGTTTTATCTTTCTTCTTCTGGCTTGCCCTCCTGATTTCTGACTCTTTCCTGTCCACCTCGACAAACATCCCCCCATCCGTTTCGGTGAACCTGGCAAAGAGGCCCGTGACATTTGGCCTCGGAGGATCACTAGAGTAAGAAAAAGCCAGATCTCGTTCAGTCCTGTCTGTGTGTCGATCGCCCAGACCAGTGCTATCCTTCCCCATGCGTTGTTTTCTCTTTCTTCTTGTTCTGGTTCTCCACTTCTCACCGAGACCGAGTCACTCGGCCGGTCTCTGTTGTCTTGTTGGCCTCACAGCCCAAGTGTCGTCACAGGAATCATGCCGAGCCTCATGCGCGCGCATTCTAGCCAGCTGCATCACACCCTCCACCCCATTCATCCACTGTGACTCACACACCTTCTCCCACCCCTTCCCACCCCCGCGTTAGATAGTCCAGGGTGCACTTTGCTCCATTTCTTTCTCTATCTCTTCTGTCATCTCCTCTCAGCCTTACATGCGAGACATTGACTGACGCGGATGACAGACCTACCTTTGCACCCACTTGGAACTAAGAAGTCCTGTACCAGCTCGCCCGTCATCAACCCCGGTTCACCATGTCCAACCCGCGTAGGACACCGGCTGCACCCCGGGATGGCTCTGGCCCGGCTCTGGGCCTTAAGACCAACTTGGTCCTCCGCAAGGGTGCTACTTTTCATTCTCCTACCAGCCCATCTTCTGAAGCAGAGTGTCCCGCCTTCAGACCACCTGCCCTACCCCGGCGCTCTCAGACCAGCTTGGATGATGTTATCGACGCTCACCGTCGCCGCATCCGCATGACCCTTGCGACCATCGATCAGGCCCTCTCCTCCACAACTGAGTCTCAGTCCCAGGACACGGCCTCTCCCAAGACACCCGTCGACAACAGCTTTCCCTTCCCCGAGGGCTTACAAAAGCATTCCGTCGCCATGCTCGACGAGCCCGGAAAAGAGCGGCGTGTCCTACGCCCACGCTCTACTGTACGCCGCCCACAACGATACCACGAATCAGATAGTGGTCTGGGAACTTCTATTGCCACCTCCAAGGATAAAGTCACCGTCGAGGCCTCTTCCAAGAAGTCCAAGACGTCCTCTGTCAAAGCATCTACTGTCACCCGCTCTGCCGCTGCCTCCACCGCCGCCCTGCCTGGCCTGAGCGCTCGCGCAACAAACAAGATCTGCGAGCACATCCTGAAACCGCTGCTCGCGAAGCCAAAGCTTAAGACCTTCCACCCTCTGGTCATTGACTGCCCCAGGAGGATCAAGGAGAAAGAAATCCTTTGTCTTCGGGATCTCGAGAAGACACTCCTGCTCATCGCCCCAGTAAGTGAACTTCAAAGGGACCTTGGTATTCGGGGATATACTTATCGAGCTTTGTGTTTGAAGGAGACCACCAAATCTCGCGGCCTGTACCTTGACTTCTGTCTCACCACCGTCCGCTGCATCCAAGCGACTGTTGAGTATCTCACCGACCGGGAACAAACCCGACCCCAAGACCTTCCTTACACCAGCGGCTACTTCATCGACCTCGTCGACCAGATCCAGCTCTATGCGAAGCAGCTTGCTGAGGCCAAGGACAAGAAGACTGGTGAAGGCGATATGGAGTTCGACGGGTATGTTGTGCCCCCTCAAGCGTATATCCAGCAGACAAGCCGCCATGCTAATTACAACCACACCAGACCTGACGCCATCAAGCTGCATGGCGGTATTCACATCAACGGCCGGCCCGCTGAACTAGTCCGTGTGAACAAGAACGGAAAAGCTGTCTCCCTGGCCACGGGCCTCGAGATCGATATGGATGAGACGCCCGATGGCGAGATCAAGATTAAGAGATCTGCGAGTGAGGAGTTGGCGGACGAGGATGAGATCATGCGCTCGATGGCGCGGCGCAAGAAGAACGCCAGCCCCGAGGAGCTGGCGCCCAAGAGGTGCAGGGAACCAGGCTGCAACAAGGAGTTCAAGAGGCCTTGCGACCTGACCAAGCACGAGAAGACACACTCTCGCCCATGGAAGTGCCCCATTGAGACTTGCAAGTACCATGACTATGGCTGGCCCACCGAGAAGGAGATGGACCGCCACTGCAACGACAAGCACAACACCGCCCCGCCCATGTACAAGTGCCTGTTCCCTCCTTGCCCCTACAAGTCCAAGAGAGAGTCGAACTGCAAGCAGCACATGGAGAAGGCCCATGGATGGGAGTACGTCCGCACCAAGACCAATGGTGGCAAGAAGCCTGGCAGCAAGGCTGGCAGCATCACACACCAGACGCCTTCGATGCGTGGCCTGCCGACGCCTATCAGCAACCCGCCGAGCATTGGCATGGCGACTCCTCCCCGGGAGAATCTTCACTACCACTCTACCAATATCGATTTCCCAGCTTATATCCCAGAGCCGACGCCCTTCGACTTCAACACCCTTCCCCAAGAGATTCACGTGGACCCCATGGGCTTCTCGCCCGAATACTCTCCTCCAGCCGATAACCCCACGCCTGTTACTGATTCTGGCCTGGACAATTCCTCTGTGATTTTCCAGGACGCTCCGCCAAGCGACTTCCAGTGGGACGACATCTACAGTGCCAACCAGGCCCAGATGCAGGGGCCCAACTTCCCCAGGGAGTTGGCCGAGCAATTTGTCGCCTTCTCAGAGGCAGAGCTGTGCAAGACGCAGATTGCCGCCCCACACATCTCACCGATCGGGCAGGGCAACGCGATGCTGTACACTCCACACTCTCTAGCAGAAGTAGATGACTGCTTTGACGAGGTCGCTGCCGTGGATGTGCGCGGGAGTGCCGACTTCCTCCTCTTCCCACCGACCGAGGGCAAGCCTGTCTTCCACCAGCAGCAGCCCCTGTTCGGCACCGAGATGCCTTCCGTTGCTGCGGGCTACTCTCAGCCCAACTCCCAAGAGATGTGGGGAGTTGATTGGTCAAACAACCCCAACGGCTTTCACTACAGCCAGCAGCATTAAGAGCGTGTGGATCGATCTACCTTTGGTGATCACAGAGGGTTCGCAATCATGATACTTTTTTGTTTCCTTGTTTTTTTCTAACGATTTTACGAAAGCGGAAAGCGACAAGAGAGAGAGAGAGGAGAAGAGAGGTGTGAAGAAAAGATGAGGCATTTTGATACCACACTCGTGTCAACAAGAGTCGTGGACTGTGGATGCAGACTGCTTGTTTACGCTTGTTTAAGAGAACTCATTGTCTCCTTTGGTCAACTACCTTTCTTTGACAGACGAAGCAATACTGAAGCAAGATCAAAAGAAGTTTTGAGTCTCTTTTCTCTTTGGGGGAAACTACGGATGAATGCAAACGGGCATTTGGCCTCAGATCCTGAACGAAACATCTTGGGTAATAGAGCAGGCAACGAGACGATGTTTTCGCTAGGTAGAAGAAACCCCACAATGTACATGACGATTCAGACGTCCACAGCATGACTTGATTAGTTCTCTCCCTCACTCACGTCGTATTTGGATAAAATGTGTGATGCAATCTCACAAATTTCAGGGCTGGTTTGCAGCGGACAAGAGGCAGTGCGTTGCTGACCGGCATTGAGGCGCAGTGCCCAGAGATGCATTGACAGCCAACGCTAACTTGAAGGGGGGGGGGGGCCCGCGATTGAGCGAGGAAGGAGAAGGAGCGCGTTAGAGCTCAGGGAGACCCGCTTTTCGGCGAGCTGCACAACGCAAAACCCCACGTGATAAGCCGTCACCTGTCTGAGCTTTTGGTTCTCCGCTCCGAAAGAAGGGTTTTTTCCCTTCCCGCCTCTTTCTTCCCTTGCTGCGCATTCACGCAAGACCAGCCTAAAGACAAGCTTAACGATGGCCGTCTGCTACCAAAACTCGCATACATTACTGCAGGACACAGCCATGATTGTGCTACTGACGTGTTTTCCCCCTCCTTCTTGTGCGTCATGATCGTCATGAGTGCGACGTCGCGATCGCATGCTCTTTTCCTCTTCACACCCAAAGGTAAGTCGTCCATTCTTCCTTTCTCTCTCCAGCCTTTCAACCCCCCCCCCCCCCCCAAGCCGTCCTCCTCAACTCCACATACAATGATGACTTTCCTTTCAAACCCTACATTCTCGTAATAGGAAGAGCCGTATGAGACCACCCTCGGGGGTTCTTGCACAATCCTCCTTCCCCCTTCTCCGGGGGGTGGGTTGGTTGAGTTTCCCCCCCTTCTTTCCTTTTGGCCGCCTCTGCCTGGCTGGACATCTCCCGCGTGCCCGCCCTCCCTTCAAAACAAGGGAGGACGCCTGCACCGTCATGTGCTGGCGGGGACGGAGGGTGTCGGGGTGGAGGGGGTGGGGGTGGTAGTGCTTTGAAATCTGGGTTTCTGATGTTGTGCCTGCCAATTTTATTTTTTTGAAGAAAAAAAAAAAAATAACTGGCGGAGGAGGACGGTGGAGGCTGCGTGGTCACGGGGGAACGTCTCCTTTGTGCAATGTCCATGCTGACCATTTGGGAATTCTTCCCTGCAGGTAATTCATGAATGATCTCGATATACGATGTTGCGCATGGGCTGGGATGCGCCTGTGGTGTTGTTACTTCCTGCTGCCGATGCTGCTACTGCTGCGGGCTCACTCATCGAGTTTCACGGAGACAATAACCTCTTACTCACACCACACTCTTCCATTCCTTGATGATTCTCAGGCTGAGCGCCACATCGGTTTGGTGGTGTGAATCAGAACCTTGAAACGTCCTGCGTGGTGCTTGGCTGACCTTGCCTGGACGACGTCCATCACTCACGATCAATCGGTCGTTTTGGGGCGTCTCCCCCAGCTGAAGTTGGTTGTGTCTATGATGGATCATATGGCCAGTGTTGAGCGTTGTGACCATTATGTGACGTTTGGACAATCTGACAGCTGGAGTGGCTTGACGAACAACGGACCTCAGCATTCTCACTTCACAATGCCAGCCCTGCGTACAGGAAGCTCGCCCTGTCCGTCTCGAGGGAACTCAGGTAAGGCGGGCAGCATGTTCAGTCCCTATTCTCGCGGCCGAGTGGCTTAGTTGCGGGATAATGCCGGACGGAAGAGATGCGTTCTGCTAGCAGGAAACTGCACCTCGTTAAATAGCTATGTCCTATGTAGTTGTCTAAATTGCAATGCATGCGACACTTGTCTTCATCTAATAATACAAAGCCCTACTGTTTGGAAGCAGTAATGTACCTCACTCTAAATCGTCTCGTGCATGATGCTCAATCATAACTACTCAGCTGGCCGGCTGAGCAAGGTCGGCAGCCGGAGGACCGGTTGGCTCTCACACGCACAAACAAGAAAACGCACAATGATGTAGATCTCATGAATTTATGTTTCGAAACTACTCAAGCTGTCCATTACTGTGCAGGTATATAGGTCGAGTTACACACATATCGAATGGACGCAACGAACACGAACTTTTCCCCTACCCGAGCACCTCAGCTGATGTTTGTCTTAAGCTTCCTCCATATCCTACAAGGCACACACTATCTGTCCTGCGTCCACACACCTCATGCTCTTCTCACCACCACGCTTTCCCTCTTCCCCCCTCCCTACCATAGTAATCAACCACGAGGCTTCAGGATAACCTGGCCAACGGCAGTAGTCCCTTACCATGCGGCAGATTGGTTTGACCAGAAAAAGATAGAAACAACGCCTCCGCAATGTGCTTCTGCCACCGTCTCATGTGAGACGGAGGCTTGGTATCATTGAGCATGCAACGAACGAATGTGTTTTATAGCCATGCCCGGGCCACGTGATATTGATGACATTGATATAAGATGGAAGAAGAAAAAAAGGAATTTGTCTGAAGTATATGCAACTGGAATTGAAAGATGAGAGAATGATACAGAGATACTCGCTGGTATCTTGGTTGATGATGCTGTTTGACGATGCTGTTTGACGGAGCAACTCGTGGTGGTCGATGGTTTTGTTTTGTCGCGGCGTGATTTTTCAAGTGTAGACGCGAAAGTTGGCGCGATGTAGAGCGGCAGGTATACATAATTAAGGATCGGCACACCGGAGAGCGAGGTGCTCTCGTGCGCTGAGAAGGTTTGCGAGATGGGATTTGGAGTGGTGTCAGGTTGAGAAGGATGAGAACGCGTGGGTAGAAAGGGAAAGGTCGTTGGTGTTTGCTTCAACCCCCGATTCCCGTCTTCTCTATGTGGCGACAAAAAAAAAAATTCTCTATGAGTGCTCTCTTCATCCGAAATTGAAGAAATGAAAGAAGCTTTTGGCTCCTTGGGTATAAGAAAAAATGGCGTCAGGTATCAGTCGTGAGTAAACGCAACGCTGAAGTACAGAAAAGGACAATGAGGCAGAGTTGGACTTCCGGCACCGCTGTGGCCTCGCAGGAGAATTAGTAGCGGTTGCGGTTGTCTCCAACACCAAGGTTCAACCAGCTCATGTCAGAGGTGTGTGCTGTTGCCAGCTGAGGCTGCTGGCTTATGCCACTTTGGGGGTTGCGCGGCATGGGCGGTCGCTGGCTCGGGGAGGATGGCGGCATGGGGAAAGCAGAGCTATACATGCTACTCGTGGCCCGCGTACCAGTGAAGGGTCGGCTTGTGAGTGCAGTGGGATCCCAAGAGTCGTGTACGCTGGCGGGTATACCGCTCGAGTAGCCCGAGAGGTCCGACTCCTGGCTGGGAGGTCGATTGCCGATTTGTCCAGCCATGCCTCCACTGAGACCTGAGGGGTAGTTGCTCGTGGTAGGAGATCCGGAGTTGACTCTGCCAAAGCGCGGTGGTCCCTCGACGTGCAACGGGGGTACTGTTGCCGAGTCCTGGGTCCTGCGGTTGTGTAGGCTGACAGCAGGGCCGTTGGTAGAGTATCGGGATCCCTCAGAAGCAACAGTGTTGCGATTTGCGTTGTTGTTTCCATAGCCGAGAATATTCAGTGCTCCGCTCTCGCCGGACCAGTATCTGTTCCATCCTGAACTGCGCCGAAGGGCATCCTGCTGGTTGGCAGGTACACGTAGCGTGGCTGCAGGCTCCACGGTATCGGCACTGAAGGACACGCCCTTCTCATCCCTGATATCTGGAGCTAGGGCTCGAAGGGGAGGGTTTGGCCCTGCGATAGCAGGCATTGGGCCACTGATCTGGCCCTTGAGCTGTTGCTTGTTGCTATCTGCGCCCGCTCTTCCGAAAGAGGGCCGAGGAAGACCGTCCATGGAACCTTTTGGCCCTTTGCCCATCAGAATCGCCATTGATGAGAATGACGCGTTCGAGCCCTTTGCCATGTGCCCGCGCATGAAGGACGGATTGGTAGGAGATCGTGGGAAGCTCTCGGTAGCCACAGCCATTCCATCTTTCTCGGGTCCTCCGGAGGAGCCACTAGCCCTTCTGGCGTGGCCAGCCTGTATGAAGTCTTGCCTCGTCTTGCGTCTCCTGATCTGACAATACACTAGAAGCAGGAGGACAATTGCGCCACCAATCGAGCCCAGTATCACGCCCAAGACCTGGTTGGCGCTCAGCGAGGATGAGGAAGAGCTGCCGCCCCCAGAGGACGTTGAAGACGAGGCCACCACTGCTCCTGTCGATTCCGCTGCGGCCGTGGCAGAGGTACCGCTGGACACAGTGGCCGACGCCGTGGGTGATGAAGCTGATGATGTAGACACGTGAAGAGTCTTTTGGTCATTGGAAGCCAGCAGCTCGGTGGCATTGATCCAGCTGTTGGAAGTCTGGCTGAACAGGCATATGACATCTTCCATGTTGCCGCCGGAAAGCACAACAGTCCCATCGCTTGCTTCAGCAGCCGCTGAGTTGGTTCGAATGGCTGACGATGCATACGTGTCGTTATATGATGGCCAACTGGTTGCAGTCAAAGTATTCCTTCGGTCGGGTTGGGTGCTCTCATCCCAGCGCCTGGTGATAGCAACGGCATCCGAGACAGGGGCTCCGTGAGCGTCGACCACGAGGGTCCTGTTGGCAACGTTTGGAGAGACGGTCATGTCATAGGTGTACAGACTTTTCGATCCATCACTGCCAGTGACCAGAGAAGCATGCCAGCCATCGGTGCCAGTCTTCAGAGGTGATGCGAGAGTTGCTCCAGAGTTGGTCCACCCAGAACCGACCTCAAATAACATGATTTGGGTGTTGTCGCTGGCACCACCGACCATGACAGCCTGCGTATCTGACCATTGCAAGAGGATCGGGCTCGTCGCCGGGGGGGCGCCATCGGACTCGTATGCGAGGACTGAGTATGGTTCGGATAAGCTGATGCTGAACGTCTGAGTCGATAAGCCTGAGCTACCGTCTTGATTACCAGCGTAGACGACGATGGCATTCCAACCGGGAAGATAGGCGGCAGCGTGGTCTGTCCTGTTCTCGGTGACAGCGGTGACGGGTGTTATCGACTCCCACGTGCCCGTAGAATATGTATACTTTTGCAGTCCCTTGTAGTCGGCGGAGCCTCCCGTTCCCCCAACAATCCAGAGGGCTGCCTGGCTGGTGTCCGTCGAGTTGGCATTGACACAGGCAGCTCCCGACAGCGCCTCTCCCTGGTCAAGAAGTTTCCATTCCGCCCCACTGACGAGCTCCAAAGATTGGAAGGCATCGGACTGGTACGTATAGAGCGTGTTATTGTAGACAACGGAGCACTCGTTGTCCAGCGCGACCTTCGGTTTGGGTTGTCCCGACATGATGGAGAGGGATCGGCAATGCAAGCGAGGGGTCCTTCTTCGATCCAATACGTCGGGTGTGATCACCACTAAAGGAAGAACCTCAGCACCAGACGAGGTATTCAACGCGATTGCATGACGAAATGAAATTGGTTGCGGGTCAAAAGACGATTCTGATAGCGGAGGTCAGCAGCACGCTCGAGACTGGTGTGGTCAACGCTGTGCAGGGACAGCTGAGGCAGCAAATGAAGAGGTGGTCTGTCCCAATGGTAGCGAAGAGAACATACTCTCAAGAGTTGATTTGAGTTGGGGGTCACAGGCTGTGGTGTACGAACGAAACAGCACAAAACACAGGCCAGCTTCCAACGCGTTGACTACCAACGATCGAGACACCACGAGCTTTCAGAGAACCGGTCAGGCCTGTTGACTCAATCGAGGTGAGGGAGAGTCTTGTCTCAGACGAAGCCTAGTAGCAGTTTGACGTCGAAAGGTGTAGAGGTTGTCAATAAGGTATGAATGAGAATACGTTGAAAATAGATGCGGAATTGAGGACCTGTCCCCAGTCCAGGAAGGTTAAGATCTGCTCGTAGGCTGGAGTTTTGAAAGGTATCAGAGCGAAAATTGGGCGAGACAGAGCAGAAAAGGCGAAGGAGGGGGCGTGGGAAGGTTCAGTTGACTGTTCTCGACTGAGAGAGAGAGAGAGAAACGCTGCTGTAGGATCGGGCGTTTCTGCCTCTCTTGGACACCACCCCCGCGATCCGCCTAGAGCGCGCCCGTATCTACTCCACTCTATCCTTGATCTCTTATGCGTGCCCACGAATGCTCCCCTTTTCCTTATTCTTGTTGCACTCATACACAGCCTTGCAATGCGTGAATGTCACTGACTGGGATAGGAAGGGGGAGGGTAAGAGGAAGGTCGCAGGCTGGAGCGAAGAACAAGCTGCTCTGGAGGGGACAGCACAAAATACGCAATATGTTTTGGGAACAAGAAAAAACTCGTTCGAGGGAGGAAGAGGAAGCGGGCGCAGGACCAGCCAGCCAAGACACATTCGCTCGAATTCAGGAACTGACGACTTGACAAGCCATGCAATTGCCCTGAGAGGCGGCAACATCCCATCCAGGGGGTTCGAAAGAGGGAAGGTACTGCACAGTCATGGCTGCGCAGTGAACAAGGGTCCAAGAGCCCCAGCCTTTCCAGCGTCCAATGAAAGAGCTGTGTTGAAACTCACGGGTCCATAAGTGTACCTTTTCTAGGAGGGACTCTTTCTCGGCTAGTACTCACGCGTGGGTCTCAGGTACCCGTCCCTTGCAGAGACTTTGGGGCGACATGCAGGAACCTCGCGTGAAATGTCGATCATCTCCAGGATCTCTATCCCTGTAATGGAACTGGGAGGGAAAAAGGGGAAGGGCCAAAAGCCTTAGCGCAGCAGTAAAGCAAGCAAATCGTCCGCTCGTCTCCTTTGCACTGCGACATGACATTTCGGGCAGAAACACGACGAAACAACGTCGTCGTCTGAGCTCTGATCATGTTTTACGTGGCGTCGTTTCCAAGAACGCACCACATATAACAACAACACAGAAGACAAGTATATGATCCAATCCCTCTTAGGTGACTGGCAGAGCACAGGAGCACAAAGCACGTCCCGTCAGTGGGTTCGTTCGTATCAGACGTGTTGCGTGGGGAACCAAACTATTGCAGTACTATGGTGTTTTGGTATGCCTCTACCGTATTTTGTAGCATCTGTGCTGGAGCGCCCAGCCGCCCAGATCAAATTTGTACGGGACTACGACACGCTTCAGGCCAGCTCTCCGGATCCGATGCTCTTCCATCTTGTTCCCTCTTGCACGCTACCGATCACATGCAGCACACGCATACATACGATACGAGGACTCCAGCGTGGCGACGATCTGGACGCTTCCGCAGGATCCTTACCAACATCCACATCTCACACCTAAAAGGCGTCGCCATAGACCCATCCGTTCGCAACCCATGTCAGCCCATGCTTTCTTTCAGTCTCGCGCTGCTGCACGACTCCCTCGTCCTGTGGGGGCAGTCCTGATGAGATGACGAAATCATCCTCCTCGGCCCGGTCAATCTCGAAGCTTCTTGGCCCGCAACTGCAGACGATTTCGCATGTTGCCCAGCACGCCTCATTACGATGGGGAGGAGGAAAAGGGGGGGGGGGGAGGTTGGTCCGTTTACTCTGAGTCCACACTATTCCGACTTGGTGATGGCCTGAAACGAAACGCCGCGGGGGCCCTGCAAGGACAACCCCTTGAGCTAATGCGAAGCGACCAGATGGCAGCACCTTTCAGAAAGGGAAAGGCCGGTTTGTCATCGTGTCCAATTCGGACGGAGACAAGAAAAGCACCTTGTGTCTCGACACTCTTTCTCATCATCGTCCTGTCTTGCATGATATGTTGCACTCGCTCTAAATTCATTTTGTTTTCTCCTAGGCCGAAGATAGTCCTCCCACGAAGGGGGAGAAACGCATCATAACCGTCCTGCGAGCTACGGTCGAGCCGAGATCCGGCCAGACGAGGGCGGAGCATCAAGTAAATTGCAACATCAAGCAAGATGGGTCCACAACTGCCCACCCCTCTGACTTTCAGAGCATGAGTAGCAGCATCAGCAGTCTGGGCATCTCTGCGAGGACATTGTCTTGGATGGCACGCTTCCGAGATGATCTCGGGCTTCTCACCCTGTTGCTGAGCGGAGATCAGTTTTTGATACCCTCGTGTGGGTCTCTCGTTCTGTCCGCGAACCCGGGCCGAGCTGGAGCCTTGCCCGTTGGACCAGAGATTCTTTGTTGTACTATACGATTTTACCTTTGGTTCGTTCGGTGGTAGCTGCTTCAGGTTGAGCCGGTTTGAGGAGCAGTACGACACAAAATCTGCAGGATCTGGTCCCAGCTGCGAGCTAGTCGCATCCCTTTGCGGTGTCTTCAGGGCTGTGGAAATCAATATCATGGCTATAGTACATGCACCCCGCTGGTCCCGTGGCTCGAGTTGGCGGCCACAGGCCATGTTTGTTAGTACTCGTTTTGGTTAGGTAACCCATTGAAGACTGTAGCCGCCCAGTCGCGATCACTCGAGCGACACCCCAAGCCCCGCCATGCAGGTATAGTTTGCAGATACTAGGTCCTATGGCGTCCAATCGACTGCAGGGTGTCCCTCCTGTAGAGTAACCTTGCATGCACACACTTTCGAACGCCAAAACTGGAGAGTGGGGGAAGGTCGGCGGTGCGAATCGAGGCTCCCGACTTCATCGTCAGTCTGTAGTAGCATTCTGCTCGTCGCCAGGATAAGAAAGAGGAGAGAATCTCTCGGACGAGAAGAAAAACGGCGCCGACATGCTCCGGCGATTCTGACGGTGCATACCCCGCAACTTAACGACCACATTAAAAGATCACGGGTTGCGTTGCAGCAATGTGAAACTTGATCAAATATGCAATGTTACGCATCATCATTGCATGCAGTGCAGCTCATGGAAGAGTTGAGCAGGTCAGCATGACTTATTGGTTGTACGTACTATAGTAGACCGCTGCCAGTGCAGTCCAGAACTTTCTCTCACATCACACACCCTCTTACGGTCGATCATCTCTCGGATCCCGGCTGCTACCATGCACGCAGCATGGAAGAAGAAAAAGAGGGGGGTCACACAAATTAAGCAAGCAAGATTATCAACCCCAATCTGGTCAGTCATCCTCGTCCAGCAGAGGCCCCCCGGCATCCGCTGCCGCCGTGATTGATCACCAGCCTTCCTGTTGACAGAAACTCTTGGACAAACGCCGTGCTGCCAGCGCTCCTCCCTCTTCCCCTTAGATGACCTTCTCTCTCTCTCTCTCTCTCTCTCTCTCTCTCTCTCTCTTTACCTTCACATGTGCGAACTGCTTTTACGGCTGTGGGCCGAAGATACTGTAGACCTTGCTGAATGCCGCTTGTCACCCGCTGATCCGTTGGCTGTCAGTGGCCCACGATAATTGTCATGTGCCGGGCCAGTGAGAGATCAGCAAACAGGGTGTACAGCATATAAGCGCCGGCATATTTCTTTGTGATATGTGTTTGTGTGTGTGCCTGGTTCAACATTCTCAACAAGCGTTGGGTGACTTTTACCTTTTTCCCCTTGTGTCTTTCACCGTGGCACTTCAGGTGGTTTGCAAGCATGATGCCTATATTCAGGGGATGACGCGCGCGCTTGCGTAAATTAGTCACATCAGTAGTATGTGTGGTTTATGCATATCTGACATGCACTCTTCTACATCACATCACTTCGGCAGATCATTGGAAGGGATACAGATACAGCAAGTATGCGAGGGTATCTCGTCTTCTATCTTCTTCATTGTTGTATTACTCAATTTGGTACCACATGTGATATTCATCATGCAGCTTTGGCTCTGGTGCATCTTTTCATGACAGCCTCCCAATTCCTCCGTGATGCTGCCGAGCCAACCACAGAGCCCAGCGCTGCCACTTGTCAAATAGTAGCAGGAAAATGGCGCTGGGCGCAAAAGCAGATAACTCCTCCCCTGCCTGTCGCTAATGCCAGAATCAAACCAATAAAATTTCCTTCCGGGAAGAGACCGTCAATTCATCCTTTTTCCTTTCCTTGCCTTTTTTTTAATTTAATTTTATTTGCCCGTCCTGTATCGTCATCCGCCTGCCAAGAGCCGGTTTACTGACGTACAGGCTTGTCTCTAGAATTCGCATGATGTGTGCGCGTTGAGTTGGGTTGGATCAAGGGAGCACGGTCTCCTTTGTCCTGTCACTTAGGACGGACAACTATATGTGGCTGTTATGAGGCGGAGCTGTCCAGTCTGGGACGCTCAAGCTTGAATGAATGCCTCGGCTGGGAGGGCCATCTGTCCATGGGATCAGCGTTTGCTCGCGAATAGTATAAAAAAAAAGAAGAGGGCCGATCTTACCTTCTTTTCTTCGAAGATGGCTACTGCTCGGTCAAAGTTCCACTCTGCTCCCTCGAGACACATTTTGCTGTATTCGAGGGTCATGTTGGTACGCTTTGTGAGCTCCATCATCATCATTTGTTGCTGCTCCTCAGGAGACAGTGGCGCAGCTGGAGGCGCGGTCGCAGGTGCATTCTGAGCAGAGATTGCGATCGTGGGGAGCGGGTTATAGGCGTGCAGCGAGACCATGTCGCTTATCACCCGTATGGGACCACGTCCAGTCAGGCTAGGACCGAGGACAAAAGTCCGGGTAAAGCTGCGCAGGCCGCTCTTGCCATCAGCTTGCGTCTCTGTGAACTCGCCGTGCATGGTGATGATCATGCCGAGTTCTCCCTCAGGTGAGCGGTTGACCGGGTCACGCAAGCCCTTCATTGGATGGCAGTCGACAATGTACTTGTTTGTTTCGAAACCAGGGTGCTGGGTAGTGGGTAACTGCCGCCACAGCTCTTGTATGCGGACTCCTTTCATGTATCGCTGGAAGCGTGCGCCTTCCGTGGTGATGCGCTGATGGTTGCGTGAGAAGCTCAGGTAGGGGGCCCAGGGAAGTCCAGGGGTGTCTTTGTCCTTGACACCGCTGTTCACAACAGAGATTGTGAAGGTGCTGTGCTCGTCATAGTAGGTCTGCAGGAGCAGGTCGCGGTTTGTGTCGAACAAGGGGAAGAACTCGCAGATGAAATTTTGTCCAAGGTTGTTGACGTCGCGGAAGTCGTTGCCATTCTGGGGAATTTCTTTGATCTTGGCCTTTTGTTGAATCGCGGCAATCTGCTCGGGGGTCCTGACTATCACATTGCTTAGGTTCTGCAGGTAGGGAAACCATTCCACTATGTCTGCGCCATAAGCAGGTTCCGTCTGGATGATGGGGTTGTTTAGCAGGAGCAGCGTCTCCAGGCGTCGGAAACGGCCGCGCCATTTGTTCAGCTGCTTTACACTGGAGAACTGGTTGTTGCTTAGATCGAGGTGCTTCAGGTCGGGGAAGGTCTCTGCGAGGTCGAAGACCGGGTTTACCGAGTTGAGCGCGTTGCCTGCAAGAGAGACGCTCTCCATAGCCTCACGTTTCTGTTGCGCCGTCTTGAAAAGTTCTTGACAGATCTTCATGAGCACTTTAAAGGTCTTCTCGGCTGTGTCTGGAGCAGAGGAGAGTAGACCCATCTCGACAAGAATTGGGTCTTGCCCTAAAGCAGACAGATCAAGCAGCTTTGCCTCCAAGTTGTACCGACGCTCGAGGACTGATTGGAGCTTTTGCTTGTCCTTCTGAGCCTGTGTTGACAAAGTGACTCCTCCGTTTTGCTCCGTCTCCGCCGCGGGCCAACCACACTCGTTCTTAGTGATGGTGAGGGCAGAGCCAGCGAAGGTAAAGCCGTTGATCTTGAGAACCTCGTCGGCGTCTTGATCGCTGGTTAAAATGTAGACCAAGTCACCCTCGAGAAGTGACTATGGGGAAGTTAGCAAGGTCAAAAAAAACCTTGAGTGGTGGTGGTGAGGTGGGTTCACGGGAAAGGTCGAAGCGGCGATATCGGTTGCGATTGTCTGCTCGTTCTGCGAGGTACATGGCATAGTAACGAGATTTGGACCTTTGTTGACGCTGCGCACCCTCCCGTACCCATTGGTCGGATACCTTGACATACCTTCTTGATCGCAACGGGACGCACGCGACGACTGCGATCGCTGCCAGTCGTCTTGACGTTTGTCGCCTTCTTCTCTAAAAACTCAAGGAGACTCCGTAGACCGCCGTCTGCATTGGTAGACGCTCTGCTGGACTTCAAGCCCAGAATTCTCAGGGTCGTGTTGTTACCTGATAATCTGGCTGCGTTGGGAGCGCGAGATGCCTGCGATGTATCCCCGCCGAGGTGCCGTGTGAGATTTTGCTGCAGCCGCGCATTCGTTTTGCTGGGGACAGGAGCTCTTGCATTGCCGCGTCGTGTGGATGAGTTGGTGGGCCTGCTGGCACCGGCACCAGGCTTGCTGCCAGCCCCAGCGGCGTCCATATCGAGATCTCCATCACGATCAGTTCGAGGAGCAGACGACCTGCCACGCTTTGCGATTCCACCGCGGGTACCACCACGAAAGCCTCCGCGAGTGGCTGCAGTCGAGCTTCGAGTATTTCGGCCAGTGTTCGCATTGGCGCCGCCACGAGGTCCAGTGGGTGGTGCCATAGTCGGGTCTGTCGACTATTTTGCGTGTTTCGTATGAGAGCTTGGAGGTGCGCAGGCGTTGCCCAAGTGTGTCGCGCAAGGACTGTCTGGAGAAAACCAGGTCGAGGTCTGTTCCAAGGGTATGGTAGCAGTTCTGGTCGCCGTCGGAAGGGAGCAAGCTTGGTCGGGAAATCGTGGACGAGGGGAGCTGGTCGAAGAAAGACTCAGATGGTCAGGACCTCTCAGTCCTTTCAAGGACGTCGAGACGGGGGCTGCGAACAGACCCGCTTGTCTGACCAGTAAGAATAGCACATCAATAAGAACAATGTGAGAAAAGTATCAAGATGCAGAATGGTTGGCGACGAAGCGAGGCGTTTCTTTCTGAATAGGACAAAGGAAGACTCGAGAGTTTGTTACAGAGGACTTTGGTCAGAAACGGTCGAACGTAGGCCAAGGTAGAAGTCACTGGAGGGACGAGGCCCACTTTTTGACATCTGCGACCTGAACGCTTAGTCAGAAAGGCACTGGGTGCCTGATCAAGATCCTGATATGTAATTGGTGTAGCATCCCTGTCAAGCTTGCTTCGTCATTCGCGGAAAGTGTGACCAGGCGTTGCAGTCGTGCCGGCCTCAAAGTATTGGGGTACCTGCTTGACAAGGATGCGCGTCGCGCGCTGCTGTTGTACCATAAGTGGTTGAGCATTGCTTCAGATGCACTTCATCGACCCGCGCTATACTTTTAATATTTGATGAGGAGTTCGACCATCAGCCTAGACCCAATGACTCCAGACTGGTATACTTTCTTACCCTTATCTATTTCCTGCTTCATTCTTTCTCCGAAGTTGGCACGATAGCATTCTAAAGCATGGACTCTGATGGATGGGATGGCGATATTGCGGACGAGGATCTCATCAGTGCCCTCACGCAGCCTTCCCAGAAACAGACAGACACCGCTCCGGGTATAAGCATCAGTGGTCATGCGTCTTCATTCGTGACAGCGCCAAGGACAGCGTCTAGCAGCCCTGCAAAGTCGACCGAGTTACATAATGGCATACCACCATCATTAGGAAGAGCCCACCGTGACCAGTCTCGCGTAGAGCATCTGGATGGGTTACCTGCAGATGCCTTCGATAGCTCCCCTGTTCAGCAAAGAGTCAGTTTGAATCGTGGATCGCAAAACGCTCCTACAGCGTTAGGCCCAATACAACGGAGCAACTCGTCGCAGGCCTTCCGCCAAACAACGCTTTGGGGGCACGCCCTCGATCATGATGAGCCGTCTCAACAGCCGCAGACGCAATCCAGGAGGATGTACCGGGCTGATATGCCCCCAGAAGCTCCGACACACCACAAGCTGAACCAAGATGCACTGAAGACTTGGGTCTACCCAACGAACCTCGGTCCCGTACGAGACTACCAGTTCAGCATCGTCAAGAACGGACTGTTCAACAATACCTTGGTGGCGCTGCCAACTGGTCTGGGAAAGACGTTCATTGCAGCCACGGTCATGCTGAATTTTTTTCGGTGGACCAAAGATGCGAAGATCATTTTCGTCGCACCGACCAAACCTCTCGCCTCTCAACAGGTCGAGGCATGTTTGAACGTGGCAGGCATTCCTCGATCTCAAGCAACTCTATTGACTGGTGAAATCTCGCCTTCTCTCCGTGAAGGCGAGTGGGAGAAGAAAAGGCTTTTCTTCATGACTCCGCAGACGCTGCAAAACGATCTATCCAAGGGGTACGCGGACCCGAAATCGATCGTGCTCCTTGTTATTGACGAGGCTCATCGAGCAACTGGGGACTACGCATACGTGAAGGTGGTTGAATTCATTCGGAGGTTCAACCCAAGTTTTCGAGTACTCGCTCTTACTGCTACCCCTGGCTCCACTGTCGAGGGCGTTCAGGCCGTCATCGACAGCCTCGGAATCTCAGACATAGAAATCCGAACGGAGGAGTCTATTGACATCCGCCAGTATGTCCATGCTCGCGAGGTGACTCCGATCATCCTCCAGCCGTCAGACGAAATGCTGCGGGTCCAGGAATTGTTCTCCAAAGCTCTGCGACCACTCTGCAACAAACTTGCTCAGGTCAACAAGTGGCTGGCGCGAGACCCAATGACATTGACAGTGATGGGCCTGCGAGAGGCGCAGAAACAATGGGCTTTGGGGGCTGGAAGTCGTGCAAATCAAGCCACCAAAGGCATGATAATGGCCGTTTTCGCTATCCTGCAAAGCCTGGCGCATGCCATCAAGCTGCTCAACTACCACGGAATCGTGCCATTCTACAACAAAATGGTCGACTTTAGATCTGAGGTTGAGGGCCAAGGCAGCAAGGGCTCGAAGAATAAGAGACAGCTTGTCGAAGATGAAAATTTCCAGGAAATGATGCTTGTTATTGACAAATGGCGGAGACTGGATAATTTTGTCGGCCACCCAAAGCTGTCCTACCTATGTGAGAACTTGCTGAATCATTTCATGGATGCGGGGCAAGGTTCGAGTACTCGTGCCATCGTTTTCAGCGAGTACAGAGACAGTGCCGAGGAGATTGTGCAAACCTTGAACAAGCACAAACCTATGATAACGGCGTCTATCTTTGTTGGACAAGCGGATTCAAAGAGGAGCGAAGGCATGAAACAGAAACAGCAGATTGAGACCATCGAGAAATTCAGAGCTGGACAGTTCAACGTCCTAGTGGCCACCTCGATCGGGGAGGAAGGATTGGATATCGGACAGGTCGACTTGATCATCTGTTACGACGCTTCAGCATCTCCAATTCGCATGCTGCAGCGCATGGGTCGCACTGGCAGAAAGCGGGCTGGCAACATCACTCTGCTCCTGATGGAAGGCAGAGAAGACGAGCAGTACAGGAAGGCTAAAGACAACTACGAAAAGATGCAGCGATTCATCTGCGAAGGAACCCGTTTCAATTTCCGCAACGACCTGTCCTCGAGAATCCTGCCCAGGAATGCCAAACCCGAAGTCGACAAGCGCATGGTCGTCATACCGATCGAGAATACCCAGGATACTTCGCTACCAGAGCCGAGAAAAAAGGCCGGCGTACGGAAGAAGGCAACGCAGAAAAAATTCCATATGCCGGATGGTGTCGTTACAGGTTTTATGACAGCCTCCGAATTTGGACGCGCTGGTACTGCTACGGCGAGATCAAAATCAAAAGGACCAGAGGAAGTCGACATCCTGGCCGAGATCCCGCTTCTGGATGTTGTTCTGCTTGATCATAGGCAGACTGATGAGCTGAATCACACGTACCGGAACCTCCCGTCTCATCGTACCTGCCGGGAGCACATCACGGGGCCCGATCTAGGTGCACAATCGAAAGCTCAGGCGAGATTGGGGCCGGTGGTCAAGCTCAAGCATGGTGCACACACGAAACGATGCGTGAAGTTGTTCAAGAAACTAGCAAAGGCTCAATCACCGCTAGAGCGCCACCTGCGCCCATACGATGATACGGAGCGGTTGTTGTACAGACAAATTCCCTTGCCCGGCTTCGCAGAAGACAGCGATGATGGGAATGTCGATTCAAGCGCCCAACATGTTGAGGACTCTGCTTCCAGACCTAGTAAAAGGCCTCGATCCCCTCGCGTGATCGAAGAAGCGTCACTACCGAAACGCAGAAAACCTGGCCCGGAAGCGCAGGCTGCTTCGCGGCCGACCAAGACTACTAATCCTTTCATTGACTCAGGCGAAGATGAAGATGGATTAGACGAGACCAGCTCGGCTACCGACGAAGAAGATGATATTGATGATCTTCGTGTGGCAGCAAGACGTTCAAAGTCTAAGCCTAAGCCTAAGCCCAAGTCGAGAAGGACGGCCAAATTCCGACGGAACAACGACACTGTCGAGGACTACGGGGATGACTGCACCAGAACAAGCCAACTACTGGAGAGCGACGGCTCAGATGACGGCGCTGACCTCCTCGACTTCATTGACGACGGGCCCATCTCGAGTCTCACCGGCCTTTCATCAAGCCCCACCTTGACATCCTCCCCACCCACGGCAAGATCGTCAGCGGGAAACTTCGCGAAGCGGAAGCCTTTCTACGAGTTTCTTCCAACGCAGTCTCAAGACAGCGATGGTGATCTGCTGAGCATGAGTCAACTCGGCAAGGACAAGGTGGGAGACTCGAAAATGAAAACACAAGGGCTGGGTTCTGATGGGAACGATGATGGTGACGATGTTCGGGAGCAACCGGTCACAAGCAGAAGGAGAAGGCCCGTTGTTTTTGATGAGGACAGCGACTACGATTGAGGCTATGAATGCTCACCTTAAACAGAAGAAGTAAAGAGGGAGAAAGAAGAAACGAGGTCTCTGCAATCTAACTGCGTATGCATTCTGCAAGGCATCGACAATGAATAAGCGATCTTTGATGTTCAAGAAAAGACTCAATGTCCAGGCTTCTGATGGTTCGTTTCATTGCATCGTATCTTAAAGATTACAGCACGGGTGGCCCATCGTCCTCTAGTTGCGACGTTGTAGTAGTTCCCTATCTCAGGCTCTCACAATCAAATGGCCAGGGCTTGAATGTTTGATCGATGATCACTCAGGTCGGTGGGGTTGGATCGAGGACCGGTGCGGATCGCGGCACGCCGGCAGAGCAGGTGGTCATGTACTATTGTACAGTATGTAGGTCCCGATTGCACCCCCATCGCGTATGTGCGTAGTGTAATATTCCAGCGCCTCAGCCCGTGTCGATGACTATCCAGAGTAGTTCTTGGGAGGGGCCAGCTGACGTGTGATGATGGCATCAGTCGGGCGTTCAGTCAGTGGCGTTTACTACTATGGTGTATATGTACGAGCAGAGTCGAGGATCGCTTGAAGAGAGCAAATTTGTACCATTTTGATGTGCCACACGTGGTGATGGCCTTGGCCTCGCTGGGAGGGAAAACCCCACCCTCGGTCTGCTCTATGGCGAATCCTCCAGCAGGTCTACTATGTAGAGGGGTTCGCTTGGGGGGGGTTGGGGGGCCGAGACCCCAAGCGCCCGACGTTGGTCAGTACAACTCTCAGGGTATAATTTTAACACTTTCCCACCCCGACAGTACATACTCATGAAGTAGAATTTCTTATTCCCTCTCCTATTATCACCATCAATTCTGTGCATAATATGTAGAGACAAGTTGTGCTTAAATCTCAGCATTTATTTATTTGAACAGGGCTGACTTTGGTCTGAGTTATGTATTGCATGATATGCATTGCTTATGTGGAGAGGTGTTTGAATTATACCCTAAGAGTGTAAGTACCTTTTTTTTTTTTTTTTTCGCTGCGCGGGGGAGGGGGAGGGTGGGCAGTCCCCACCTGATCTCTTCAGTGGGCCAGCCACCCCAGGCCTAGCAACTGCTAACTACTACTTACTATAGTACCATGCTAGTATGACAGCACGTTCAAGCAGCAGCCTGGCACTGGCTCGGTCGCCCGGTTCCAGCCGTAGCCTCCCTCCACCACTTCCCATTTCCGTATTCCCCTCGAGAAGAATGTCTTCGCAGCCCCGCCGTCTTTCTACCGACTCGTGTTTTCACACTAACATTCCTCCTCCTCATCCCACCAAACACGGACCAAGTGCTCATGGGACTGAGCAAAATTCAGTTTGTTGACACGACGTCTCTTCTGTGACCTCTATACGCTATATCATCCTGCGGCAAGATCTCCTGGTCCGCCACCCCTCTTGTCATCGGAGACAGCCCAGCCCTGCGGTATCAAGACGATAAGGCCTGCATGAGCAGACCCGCCCAATGAGAGAGGTCGCCTTGAATACAATTCTCTAAACAGACCACCAATCAGGAGACCCTCTCCTCCACTGAAGAGCATCGACCACCATCCATCCTCGACGCCTTGAAAGCAACACCCTGCTCCTCGGCTCGACCGAACACCGCAGACCTCGACGACGGCTGCAGATCTGCACGCCGAAGTTGTTACTCATCTTGTGCGACGCGCGCGCGCAACGCTGTTGCGTAGAAGGGTAAACCAGCGATTCAAACCTGCCATCTGAACGATATATCAGAGAGAGAAAAAGGAGGGACCACGACTGCGCACCTCAACCGGAAGTTTCGAGCCGATCATGATGGACGCGGCAGCATGGAACGATCAGGATCATGGTATGCCTCATGGCACCGATGATGACATGCACCAATTCCTCGACATGAACGGTATGAGCAATTTTGGGGACGGCCTCCAGTTCGACTTTGATTTCCACTCCCAAGGTGGGGGACCACACATCATACAACGGGAGACAGTCGACACATCCATGTCTGGAACAGAGGCTTCTGTTCTCATGTCGACAGCCATGCACGATCAAATGCCCACCATGACAACTGCGCCTGCTACACTCTCCACGATGGCCTCGAGCATGATGCCGATCCAGCATGCTTCTGGCGATGCTATCTCCGATATCGATGCTCAGATCCGCTTCCTTCAGCAACAGAAGCTGCAACAGCAGCAGAGGCAGATAGAGCAGCAGCATGTGGCCTTCTTTACCCAGCAGCAGAACCACATGGTGCCTCCCACCCCTCAGAGCCTGGAACTACAAGCTGGAAACCGACAGTTCTATGCCCAGCCTGACCAGACGCCTCAGCAACACCAAGACATGTACGAGCGGTTTCAGAGGATGAAGGAACAACAAGATGTCGGTACAACCTTGGGGCAGATACGTTTAAACTCGAACTGGGCGGCTTACTGATGCTTTCTATAGATGTCGTTCACCCCGCTGGTCTCCCCCGCAGTCACTCCCCTAGAGAGCCAGTATGCTATGGATCAGCCGTTCGCAGTGCCCAACGCATACTTCAGCCCCCTCACCTCACCAGCCCTGCATGCTCAGTCTGATCCGATGACCATGTTCGACCGAGTAGCGATTAGTACCACGACGAGCTCCCCGGAAGGGATGGATCTAGAGGGACACGCCGGCTCGACACAGGCACAGCCATCGAACGCCAACGACCTGGCCAAGAAGATGCGAAAAAGTAGTGTGGCTAAGACTAGAGCCAAGGCGAACGTTGGAAAGTCGCCTATCACAAAGCCACAACGGAAGAAGACCGGGTCTACACCGCTCATGAATGCACAAGTCTTGAGCGAGCTAGCTGTATCTGTCGAGCCACAGCCTCGAGCGTCCGCAACCACGCGTCCACGGGAGCCGAGCAGCAATACTTCTAATTCCCCAGCGGCTGCTATCACCGATTCCGATAACAGCTCAGTCTCTCCACCAGAGACATCATCAGAGATGCCGCCCCCGCCCCTGCCGAAGCCTCGGTCCGCCAAGCCGTCCCCCGCGATCCGAGCTCAGAACAGCGCCACACCGACCTTGGGCCCAAGCCTGGCTCCCCGGACCGGGAAACACTCTCCCGCGACACCGGCCTCCCTCATGAAGCTGCCGTCTCCGAGCAATGCTAACAGGCCCGACGGCACCGCAGCGGGGTCTGATCCCCTGGCTGCTGAGAGCATTGAGACCTTCGAGCTTCCAGAATCACTCAGCTCGAACACGTCTCAGAAGCCGACCCTCGCGCCTCTGAACACCAAGGCATCATCCAGCCTGCGGTCTCCAGCCCTCGAGTCGGGCTCAGCGAGGAGCGCGGTATTTCAACCACTACCGTCGCCGGTTTTTGCAAAACCTAGTGCTGCGGCGTCAGCGAGTCAAAGCCCTCAGCTGTTGCCCGGCCCCTCGGCGGCGACGACGCCCAACCCCAGAAAGACCCCTCAGCTCGCCCCACGGGGCAGCAAGAAAAGAGCGAGCATCAGCTCTTCACACGAATCACCAGCGCTGCGGCCCAAGATCTCCCCCAGCATCAAACCATTACTGCCAGGAGGAGCCATGGCTGAGGACACAGCGTCGCGGCTCCTGGCATCTAAATCAAATTACCAGAACATTCTGGAAGGCAACTTGGTGCCTGGCGTATCATATCCCAGCGAGTTGTCCACAAACCTGACTTCAAAACGAACATCACACAAGATCGCGGAGCAAGGACGTCGGAACCGAATCAACTCAGCGCTGCAGGAGATCGCCACGTTGTTGCCAGGAGATGCCTTCTCAGAGGGCAAGGACAGTGGAGCTGAGAGTGGCGATAAAAAGGAGGCCAAGAACGGGAGCACCCCAAGCAGTAAGGCCAGCACTGTTGAGATGGCAATCGAATACATCAAGCAGCTGAAGCAAGAAATTGCGGACGCCACCAAGCGCGCAGAGGAGGCGGAGAAAAAACTACAGGAGAAAGAGGCATCCTCTGCCTTTGCCCCTGCCCCATCCTCCTCCTCCTCTTCGTCGTCGTCATCCTCTTAAGTTATTGTTTTTTTTTCTCTCTCTGGCGTCTATCAGGCCACGTATAGCAACAAGGTAGCTGGATCAGCAGACTTTCAAGTTACAGAGTGTGTCACAGGTTTTCAGACTCTCGACGACGACGTGTTGTTACACATTTTGTCGCTTTATTGCACACACTAAAAGGATTCGGGGGTCTTGAGATAGGAGTACTACCGGATAGGTTGGCTACTTTTTTTGTTGTTTTGCCTCCCCGGTTTTTGTTGGCATTTTCTTGTCCCTTTTGGTCAAGCACATACCATCATCGTTCGATCCGGGGCGGTCCAGATATCCTATCTCGCAGTAGTAAGTACTCATAATTCTAAGTAATTTACAAACTATATATATTATGACATACGTTGCTGCCCTCACACACACTGGGACAGTCACGATGAGAATAAGAGAAAAAGAAAAGTACAGCGTCAACATCCGTTTCCACCATGCACGTCGGCATGGAAGCAAAATGATCGCTCGATTTCCCGAAAAGTCCGAATCCTCCGAGACACCATTTGGCCGCGCTCTCTCGTTCCGTCTCCTCCTGTTCTTGCGTCCTCGGAGCTGAGCTCTCATTCTACGCAACTACATGCTATGTATTAATGTAGTATGCATGTAAGTGCGATGCTTCAGGGGCCTCCCCAAGAGTCCTATCCATACAAACACACCCCTTGATAAACCGAAGATCATGGCGCCCGACCGCAAGTTGCTGACCCGAATCCAGCGGTCAGATGAACTCAGATGCTTCATCTAGCTCTCCCACCAAAGAGCCTGCCATCTACTTGCCGCCCTTTCAATTCAAAACACTAGTAGGTGAGTCAACCCTTGCCCGCACGTCTGGATGTGGACCGAGTGGCGAAGATCACAGGCAATAGACTGGCACGAGCAACGGAGACAGAAGAAGGGGTGCGCCTCGTTTATTTGCGCCTGGCCAAGCAGAGCAGGGCACGTGCAGCATTCCACAGAAGATCGGTGTGGTCGCGAGGCTCGTATTAGTAGATTTGGTAACAACATATTGCATCCTGGCTGGGGAAGAAGCAAAAGTGGTGATACAGGGAAGAGAATAAACACTGTCTCGGCAGCCCCTCTTCTTGTCGTACCCGAGAATGGGTGGAGACCGCAGCTGCGTATATGTTCCAGACGAGACGACACGGCATGCAGCCGGTCACTTTTGGTGTCTTCGCATTGGCTAGATCGTGCCGCCTTCAAGGGGGGGGGGGGCCGAAGTAGTATCTCCCTGCATAAAAGAGGCCATACGTGCTTATTGGCCTTTTTTACCCTCTTTTCTTTTCCCTTTTTCCTTCTTCTTGCTTTTGATGGTGTTACGACAGGTATATGAGGTTGGAGAGAGGGGGAGCGGGGGCATGGAGGGACGTGGGAGTCAGGTATTTGCGTATGCCCCGGACGTGTGCTCGAATTGTTGTGTGACTGGTGACTTTTTTTCTTCTCTCTCTCTCTCTCTCTCTCTCTCCTTTTGTCTCTCTATACTTCCCAGGCGTCTATAAAGTTGGGGTGATTTCCTCTTGTCTGTCGATGAGATGCTCCTCCTCTTCTCTTCTCTTTCCTCATCATCCAGTTGGACCCTTCTCTATACCCTCTCTTTGCCCTCTATTTTCTCTCTCTGATGAGCGTTGTGGCTTTCCTGTTACGTTTCCTTCACATGACAACACTACCATCACATTCACATACCACAGCCTTACCCTTTTGCACTCACACACAGATTCAAAATCATAACACGATACAAAGAGAACACCATGTTTCAGCAAGACCTTGTGATGAGAGCGGCGTACATGGCCAGTCTACAGGACTCGGTCAGCGGTGCACCGCCATCCCCCGGTGAAGCACAACTGCGCAGCATGCAGCGATGGCAAGCGCTCAGCCAACGCGGCTGGGGCGGCTGTGTGCCACCTTTGGACCTCTCATGGAATCACACCGGCTTCCTCAACCCTGACTCTGAACCCCTGGTCCAACAACACGCCGCGGCTCAGAGGTTCGCCCAGGGACGGGTGGTGTTCGATGGGCACGACGCACTCGAGGCCCAGTACAGTCCCCCGGCAGGGCGGCAGGGTCATGAGCACCACAGCGGCGAGAGCGAAGCCACGCGCTCGGCCGAATCTTCCCCCACCGTCACCCCAGCCGCCGAGGTCGCCAGCCCAGACACGATGATGGACGAATATCCCGAGGACCTTCCTGAGGCGGCGCCGAGCCCAAGCCCGTTCGGGAACCACGGCCGCCGTCACAGTCATGGTGGCCGCCATAGCAGTGCGCGCAGCATGCACGACCTGCATCGTTCTCTTCTCAGCCCTTCTCACGGAACCAGCCCATATTCTGGGCGCTTTGGTGCCGGGATCCGACGTGTAAACCACCAGCGCGGCCACTCATATCTCCCGAGCCCTATGCCTTTTATGAGCTCGGACGACGGTGCTCGTGGCGCCCGCATCTATGGTCGCCGCCACCACCATCAACACGGCATGTCCTCGGGCCAGGATCCCTTCAGCTTGGGCGCCATGAACGGCGCGCTGCGCCTTGACCCCGTCAGCGACTGGTTTGACCAGTACCTAGACCGGTATCCTGGGCTCAGGCCTCACATGGAGATGGCCCGGGCAGCCGCCGCCGCCGCTGCTGTGACGCCTGAAGATGAGAATGACAGCAGCAGCAGCGGCAGTGACGTTAGCGGGGCCGAGCACTTCGTGCCACCCTTGGACCTCTTTGAGTTGCCTGACAAGTGGGTCCTGTACATCTCCGTCCCGGGTGCCCTGGACAACAAGATGGGCGTCACGTGGAACGCGCGCTTGTCCGCTGTACAGATTGGTGGCCAGGTTGCCGGCCCCAGGCAAAGCAATACAAACCTCGTCGTCTCGGAGAGGACGACGGGCTCATTCTTGCGGATAGTGAACCTACCGCCCGTATTTGAAGATGATGAACAGGAGAAGGATGATGTGGGAGAGAAAGAGAAGGAGGAGGAGGAGGGGCCCAAACCGGAGGCCGACCCCTGCGGCATCACGTCGATATTTCAGAACGGCATCATGATTGTCACGGTGCTCAAGAAGACTGACGACGAGGCAGAGCGGACTGCGATCTAGGAAAATGTTCATGATAGGTAAGACTTGCCTTTGGGTGGTTCCTGGAGGTTGGTACGACAAGGAAATGTCGAGGTCTCTGGGCTTGAATTTTTTATTATTCTGACAGGTTTTTCAGGACACTTGACGCATGCAACGGTATTGCGATAGTGATTTTTCTTGCCCCTCTTCAGCGCACACGAGAAATGACTTGGTTGGGTTTTCTTTTTCCTCTTCTCAACATACACAGAGATGAGGTTGTTTATCCCCTTAACGCACACGAAGTTATCCTTCTAGACATTGAAAATCGGTGAGTAAGGACACAAAAATAAAATACAAAAAAAGCTGCTCTTGCAGCAAAAAAAGAGACAAACTACCTGTCTCAATGACTACTTTGCATTGTGAAAGTGAATGATGTTCTGTGGGGAGGAGAACATGATGGGAAGGGCAGAGTTGTGCTGGCTGTAGTTGAGATGATGCCAGGTTGAGACGAACCACTAGTACGTATGTACATGGTACAGTAGAACTTGCAAACTTGTGGCTGTGTCTTGCAAGGGCGAGAAATCATGTGGCTGGTGACAGGTTGGCTATGATAAGATGTGGCTGAACCTAGCTAGAGTGAGCTGTCCGGGCAGATTGTGCAGTAGATTGCAGGGGGGGGGGGCCTCTAGAACAGGGTCCACTATAAGTCCACGTTGCCACTGGTAACCGCTTGCGTTCGGGCTCCCTCACCACGCCCACGATCCCCCCACTTGCTTTTCCCTACCAACAGAGAACAAACAATATTTACCAGCTCCACAGTCTTGTGACAGAGACTTTTTGCTTCTTTCCACCTCTCTACAGCTGTGTCAGATTTACTGGTGTTTACCATCATCATCACAACAAGGAGCGACAAAGGGCCAGTCGCCCATTTGATCAACCTCACAGGCTTTGGCCAGTGGTCCACACCAACTACACACCACGCGACAGCTCAGCTCTAGACTGCTTGCGCTAATGCCGTCACCACGTTCCTAAGCCTGTTCCCTTATCCATCCCGCAAGCCCTCATCTGTCTCTCTTCCATCATTCCAAACACCCACCCGTCCTCTCGGCTTCATCGCATTTTGTCAGAAGATCCTACCACCATCACGACTGGTGCATGGCATCAATAGAGCCAACAGCCAACAAAAGCCAAGACTAGGCCACGCGACATACAAACTGTCAAGATGTCGGACACGGAGGTTGATTATCTTCAACCCGACTTCGACCCAACGTCGGTCACGATGCCGCGCCTGCGCTCCATCCTCGTCAGCCACAACATCCCGTACCCTGCGACCGCAAAGAAGGCACAGCTCGTTGAAATCTTCAACGAACACGTCGCTCCACAGGCCAAGAAGATCCTCGACCGACGCGCCAGGGCCAAGAGGTCCAGCATGGGCATCACCAACATCGACAACTCCGAGGGATACTCTGTTGCCAACGACGCCATGCCTCCACCGAGCGCGTCGCGACCTCGAGGAAGACCAAAGAAGAACCTCGGCAGCGCCGCGAGCAGCTTCAAGACCCAGTCCGAGGAGCCCGAGCAGAAGCCTGTCCCGCGCAGCCTGAGCCCGAGGAAACGGTCGTCGCGCTCTGCCAGCCACCAGCTAGGCTACTCCGATACTGACACCGACAGCCACTACGAGGCTCGACGGTCGCCGCGCAAGCCGTCTCGTCGGCTCGAGCTCACACCGCAGCCCCAGGTCAAGATAGAGGAGTCCGACGAGAACGACAACGTCTTCTCCACCGACAACCCCTTCCAGAGTGGTAGCTCCCCCCTGCCTGAAGAGACCCCGTCGAGCCGCAGGAGGACTACTGCCGGCGGCCTTGACTCGCCCGCCAAAAGGCCGACCAGCTCCTACTCTAGGAGACGGACGGGAGAGACGCCCAAGCCCGCCGGGGCAGAGCATACCGCGATCTCTAGATCCATCGAGGTTCCTCTGCGCGACTTCGCCCGATCGCGGACGCCGCAGACGCCCGAACCTGTCATGGAAGCGAGCGAGGAGTTCACACCCGAAGAGCAGCTCGCGCTCGCCCAGGAAGATGCCGCTCGGGCAGACACGGCCGTGGTGCCCCATCGCCAGAACAAGAGAACAGGCAGCCTAGCGACCCCGATCTGGGTCCTCCTCGTCACCGTCCTGGGTGCTTACGGCGCCTGGTATCGACAGGAAAAAGTCGCTGTGGGCTACTGCGGTGTGGGCAGGCCCACCCACGAGGTCATCCCCCGGCACGTCAGCTATCAGGACTACGACTTTGACGTTCCCGAGTGGGCCATCAAGCTGGCAGAGCCGGAGTGCGAGCCCTGCCCACCCCACGCTTATTGCTATGCGGACAACTCGGTGCGTTGCGAGGACGACTATATTCTGAAGCCCCATCCGCTGTCTGCAGGCGGTCTCGTTCCGCTCCCACCCACCTGTGAGCCCGATGGCGAAAAGGTCCGCCGCGTCAAGGCCGTCGCCGACAAGGCTGTGGAGGAGCTCCGGGAGCGCAGGGCCAAGTTCGAGTGTGGGGAGCTGGTCGACGACAAGGGTCGGCAGCCAGAGAGCCCCGCCATTGCGGTGGAGGAACTGAAGGAGACGGTCAGCGAGCAGAGGAGCAAGAAGCTCAGCAAGAAGGAGTTTGACGACCTGTGGAGCGCCGCTCTGGGCGAGATTGAGACGAGGGATGAGATCCAAGTGGAAGAAAGGGGCGAGCTAGAATCACAGCCGTAAGTTTTACTCCTCCCTTCTTCGTTCCCCTCTTTGTTATGTCCCTTCCCATCATCGCCTTCGCCACCTACTGGACAGGTCCACCACCCCTCTGATTTGAGCACCCGCCTCTTGTCTTGTTTGCGGAAGTCCGAGAAACAATTTTCATTAGAAGACGACAGTATTAACTTATGGGTCCAACTAACCAGACCTGTGTTCGATCCAGAAACGATTCCGGTTCCGGAGGCGTTTCAACCACGTACCTGGCGTCCACCTCTCTCGCTCGCATTCCGCTCGCGTGCGGCGTCCGCCGCTCCGTCCGCCTCGGCCTGGAACGACATAAACTTAGCATTGTTTCAGTAGTCATATCGCTGCTGACGGCCATGTACGGGCGCTCGCGCTACCTCTCGAGCCGGGCCATCTCGGCCCAGATCCCAGCCCTTGTTGAGCTCGTGCTGGGACGTCTGGCGGCACAGAAGGAGCTGGCCTACGAGGAAGGCGGCGAGGATGATCCCTTTCTCTTCCTGCCGAACATGAGGGATGATGTTCTGCGGTCAGTGCACAGCCTCGCTGAGCGGGAGCGGATCTGGCAGCGGGTCAGGGCCGTGGTCGAGCAGAACACCAACGTGCGGACGGGACAGCGCGAGGGGAATAATGGCGAGGTCGGTCGCGCCTGGGAATGGATCGGGCCCAGCGGGGCGGGCGAGAGCAGCGCCCGTCGCAGGCGTACTGGGCGGGTCTCGTGGGCAGGCGCAGGTGTGAGTGACCAACAAGGTGTTGTCGATAACACGAATATCCACAAACAGTGGGAGGAGCCCGGCTCCAGGCCGGTGTATTAATTGAGTTGGACTTGTGTCTGAGGACAGGCGTTTAGGCCGGGAAGGTTGGATGTTGTGATTTTGTTTCCCTCATCCTTGTGTGCACCATTCGAGTGCACACATTCTTTATTTATATAACGTCCATTCCATCTCTGCTTGTACTTATGGAGGGGAGGGGAGGGCGGTTGGCTTGTGGTTGTCTCGCAACTTCGATACCAATTCAGAGTTTATAAATAACATGAGAGCGAATCAGGACATATTTGGCACTTTCTTTAACTTGTGTCGCGCATATACTCTTTTCAAGAACCCGCGAGGTTAGTTGCAACATTGTCTCAGGTTGATGATCGGAATCCGACGAAGCAGGAGAAAGAGTAGATAGACGTTTAGTTCCAAACAATATAAGTAGTAATTATTCACAGCCCACACCACCTCGTACTTATTGATATCAGCTCGACCTACCTTTCTTGCTCTGAAGCGCAGAATAGAATGAAATTCAAGATATACGTGCCCAAACGCCCCTATAAGCCCCTCCACACACACTCTGATGCAAACTTGGCAACACTATGCCCAAATCCTCGAACAAGCACTCCAAGGGTATCTATCCTACAATCTAGACTCATATATAGATATATGTAGATCCATTACCTAGCACAGTCTTAAATATATTTCAACCGCCTCGTAACCACAGCAGCGACGCCCGCAGCCCCGGCCCCGATAAAAAGACAAACAGCAATAGCATTCGGCCCCTCTGCAGAATGCAGCTCCGCCGGGTCGGCATCGGCGGCCAGCTCGGGGCTCTTGCCGGGCTCGAGCACGGCGAAGACGACGGTGGAGATGAAGGTGCCGATGAACTGCGGGATGGTCTGGTAGATGTTCAGGATGCCAAAGTAGATGCCCGAGAGCTCGCCTGTGGTGCCGCTGGCTATGCTGTGGGGGCTGTCGTCTGGGCCGTGCTCGACGAAGAGGAGGTGGTTGTGGTGGTGGTCGGCTCGGCTGGGGGGTGAGGTGGTGGAGGTGGTGGTGGTGGTGTTGGCGATGCCTCCGCTGAGCTCGATGGCGTCGGGAGCGTCGGAGAGGCGGCGGTACGAGGCTGGGTCGCTGGAGATTTTGTTGACTTCGATTCCCATCATGGCCACTGGGGCCCAGGAAACAATGCTCCATGCTGTGGGTGGTGTTTTTGTCAGTCAAGCTTCTTTTCCCGAGATATACGTTCATAAAATAAAGAATAAATAAATAAATAAAAAAGAGGAAGAAGAAGCAAAGAAATAGGGAGAAAAAAAAAGATCAGCAACAACTCACGTATCCCGCAAAAGACAACCAGGGCAGTGGCAAAGCGAAAGCTCGTGGCAAAGGGCGCAAAGAACATGGCGCTGGCAAACAGCACATGGCCGGCGACCCAGATGCTGAGCAGGTCGGGCTTGTGCTTGCTGAAGCCCTCGACCAGGTGGGCGATGCTCTGCGGGGGCCGCCTGGTGAACCTCTCGTCCTCCGGGGCGCGCACAAACAGCGGGAGCAGCCAGGCGCCCGTGAAGGTCATGAACGAGTAGATGGTCAGCGTGTAGCTGCCGATGCGGCCCATGTCGCCCAGGGCGTCGGACGACATCTTGTTCGCGTCGGCCGCCGCGTCGTAGCGGAAGTATGTCTCGCCCACCCACGTGCTCCCGTAGACGTTGAAAGGGAACCAGCCGATCCAGCCCCAGAAGACGGCCCAGCAGATGCCCTGGATGCGCGGCGGCAGGTCCAAAAAGGTCGACCAGATCTGTCGCAGCACCTTGAAGCGGCCGCCGCCGTCGCCGCCGCTGCCGTGCGGGTGGAGGTGGTCACGCCGTGCGGGGCTGATGAGAACACGCTCCGTCACGGCCCAGCACGTCACGAACGAGGTGAAGAGGATGCCCAGGGCGGCGATGAGCGTCAGCTGCTGGAACTGCGTCGCGCCGAGCGATGTACCCAGGGTGCCGGGCAGGTCCACGGCGCCCATGCCGTAGCCTACAATGTGGCCCAGCGAGCCCATCCTGCCCGCCCACGCCGCGCCTGTCTGCTGCTTTGCGATGGGCAGCGTGTCCACGAGGAGACTTCTCGAGCAGGACATGACTGCGACGAAGGAGGAGAGAAAGGTTAGTGCTATCAGAAAAGACATGGAATAGAAAGAAGAAGAAGACAATAGAAACCCGAGATGGTAGCAACTCACCTGCGTTGATGGCAAAGTCCGTCACATACAGTGCCGACACGGCAACAAAGATGATGAGCATCTTGGCCAGGTCAGTGTCGGTCGGCATCACCAACGAGACAAGCTGCCTCGTCCAGCCAAGCGTAATCAGCCCTCCCGCGACAATGATGGACCCAACGACGATATACGGTCTCCTCCGCCCCCATCTCGACCGCGTCGAGTCTGCCAGCGCCCCTACAATAGGCTGGGTGATGAGCCCAGACAGCGGGCCCGCGATCCACACCAGCGAGGTCTGGCTCTTGGTCAGGCCCAGGTTGAGGAGATAGGGCGTGCAATATGTCATCTCGACGCCCCAGGTGAATGTGATGCCAAAGTGCACCGCACACAGAAGCATCATCCGCACCCCTTTTGCCATGATGGTCAGAAACGGAAGACAAATCTTGTTGTGTGGGCCATCTAAAAACTGCCCTTTCAACCAAGACGAAAAAAAAGAGGGGCACTCACACTCGGTCCGCCCTTTGATCTCGGGTTGCCCCGACCATGATGATACCATCGCGCGTATCTCCTCCTCTTCCTCTTCCTCCTTGCAGAGGTCAGGTCCCTCGTCTCTGTCGCACCCCTCGTCGTCCTCTGTATCACAACAACTGGCGCTCTCTGTCGCCCCCTCCTCCCGTGTACTCGCGCTGTCGCAGCTGCGCTCCCAGTGGTCGCCGTACCGCTTGTAGAGTTCACTAGTGTAGTTGTTGTGATTCTCGGTGTGGAAGGGTAGTTTCCACAGGCTAGTCTGTCTCGCTACTGAGGCTTCGCCGTCGAGAAAGGAGAAGGCCTTGGTTGGCCGTGGGGAGGTCTTGAGTTTGCACGGCTTTTGGTCTGTAGTAGCACTGGCATCACTGTCAATTGGTGTCGCCGTCGAGGAGAGGGGCGCCCAGCAGAAATTGGATCTACCCGGCTTGGGCATTGGGAAACGTGTGTCTGGCTTGTCTGGCTCAAGCAGGAAAAAGGAACAACGCTGCCAGTGCAGGGTAAGGAGGCTTGGGGAGTATGTAGCGTATGAAGGAAAGAGGTTCGAGGTGGAACAGGCTGGTCGCGTCGCGATCTTACTTACAGTAATACACTTTCTATTGTAGCCAGTGGTGTTTCTTTTGAGAAATGGTCACTACAAAGGCTTCCCAAGGGAGGAGTACAGAAGGAGGGGGGGAGGGAATGAGTGTCGGGATTCACAGGTATTCGAGTGAGACCTGGAAAGTTCAGAGTAAAAAAGTAAAGAACGTGGAGGACGTGTCAAGAAGGGGTTGAGGAATGAGGAGAGCTTAGAGTCGCAAGGGAGAGAATTACGTACGTCTCCGACGCCAGCGATTAGGGGACCCCACGCCCCTAAATTTAGCGAGCTGTCAGCCAGGTTCCCACGCTAGAACACGGCCCGCTGATTCGGCTCCCAGGGCTCTGGAACATGTGGGGACCGAGAAAGGCTGAACCCTGTACCGGTTATGGATGAGATGGGAAATGTAGTATATTCATCCCGATGCTTCCTTCAGACATTTGCCACTTTCTAGTTGAAGGAGTGATAGAGAGAAAGAAAAAACCCAAAAAGAAGAAGAAAATTGAATAACTGTAGTGGAGATATGGGCTCCATGCCAAGAACTTAAATGACTGATTCAGAAAGCAATCATGATCTGGAACCCCATCAGCACCTCCTGTTAAGCATTAAAATAGGTGCTTCTGAGCCCTGGTAGGAAAACGCTCAGGCGCACCTCACATGTTTCTTTTCTTCCTGATTTGGTGGTTTTATTCTTTTAGTCTTGCCTCGTAGCCCACCCAATTCAAAATAGAAGGTCTAAGTCACAAATGAATTCATTCCAAAGGTGAATCCAGCTCATGTGCATAACTCATGCTCCAAAAAGAGATGGGACTTGAATCTGATTCCCCAAATCTATAGATTGCCAAAAGAGAAATTACCATGCCACAAGTCAAAGAAATGGAGGACTGCAAAATGGTTACCTTTGCCTCTTACTCCATAGAAGCATGTTCCATGCCCAAATCACCCTCCATGACAGCCTTGTTGATTTGTTCACGCCACTCAGACAGCTCTTGCATGCCCTTGCAGACGCAGTCCTGAGCATCATGCAGCATGTTGAGACGCTCCTGGAGCACATCAATAGAGGATGCAGCCTGTCTCAACTCAAGTCCCTCGGAGCTGAGGAGCTTATACTCTGGGTCTTCCGCACCCCGGGTCCTTATGGAGAGCTCTTCGACGATCCCAATGATGTTATCACGCTTCCTATCTCGGACCAACACATTCTGGTCGAGCTGAGATTTCAATGAGACATTTCCTTGGTCAATGTGCACAACAAGATCATGGAAGATGCGGTATCCCTGGTGAATATTTCCAATGAGTCTCTTTGCGTTGGCGGCTCTGCTCCTGATCCGGTCTTCAGTCATCGTGACGGTCTGCGCCGAATTCTGAATCTGTTCGGAAGAGCTGCCCCCATCTGGAGGCCTGGACTCCAGTGCTTGACCTTGGCGGATCGTCTTCTCTATAGTCTCCGCCCTATAGTGCTGAAAACGAAGCTGTAAGGACGGATCTCTCCGCAGAAAGGAAACGAGGATCACATGGCGCCAGAATACCCAGTCCACAGCTTCAGGCAGTGGCGGTGAAGGTTGAAGGCTGCCGACGATGCACATGGCAGCCAGACAGATGGCTGGTCTGTTGTTGCTCCTTACGAGCTGGTCAGGACATACACAGTGCTGGTGATGCCACGCGTCGGGATCTGGATCGCGGTCTGGAAGCATGAAGCTTATCAGACGAGCTACTCGCATGGTGCGGTCAGACTTGTCGCTGGCCTGACCTTCGCTCCATCTGGCTGGATCATAGTATTGTATTGTCCCATACTTGTCGTGGTCGCCCACGTATTCGAGAGGCTTGAGCCGTATGACGACCAAGACACAATGACCATCATCCAGCCTCAAAGGTACCAGGAGCGTGCCTCTCTCCTCAGAGTGCCGGGAAACTTGCTGCAGCAACGCTGGGTTGTCATACGTTTTCGAGTCGTCCACAACTATGAACTTTTCTGACCGTACCACTTCTATCTGCTTCAAGATGGAGAGGGTGGTTTCGTCGTCCCAATGTTGCGCTTGCTCGAGGAGATGATCCCGAGACTCGGATTTGTCCATACGCTTGGAACTGCCATCGCTAAACCTATTGGGCTCGCTCGGGCTCTCCTTTATAGGTCGCTTCCTCGATACCGAGCTGGAGCTGCGGGCATGCGTGGTGGAGGGGCTGATGTTGCGTAAAGTCCCTTGCTTGCATTGCCACGGCGCAGCGGCGGGTGACGTCGCATGAACCGCTGTGCTCCATCTTTCACTGAAGTCTGTAAGTTCTGAGAACCCCTCAGATGGCAAGGGACCGGACGAGTATGGCTCTCGCTCTTTTGTCCAGGCGGCACTCGGATCTGGGTTTGACAAAATGACATGCCTGTCATCCTGAAGAGTAGAGCTGCTTCCAACGGCTTTTTCTTCAAAATACCCAGCATCCTCAGTCGATGGAAGTGCAATATCTCGCTGTTGTAGTCTCTGGATAAACGGGCTGCCACGCAGCGGAGGCAGTTGCATCTTCTCCTTCCTCATTTGCGCCTGGTAAGGGTTTTTGATGAGCTCTGCGTGTGGAACAGGAGTTCTCATGTCCTGATCCTGTCCCTGATCTTGCCTACGTCTATTTTGAGCGTGGTCTCTTCCCTCTTCTTGAGAGAACTTTTGTGTCTGAGGAGTTTGTTCCACCTTGGAGTCATCCTGCTGAGGGTGCCTCTCGAACTCAGGATTCGCGGGCCCCAGAGCAGAGATCTCATCAGATGCGAAGAGGATAGGTTTAGGCTCCGCACATGGAATGGATGTAGTGTCTATTGGAACACCTCTCTTAGTGGCACTGTATCTCAGCATGCGCTTGTAAGCGTCGGCAAGCCCCGATTTACCCCGCGAATTGGCTGTAAAAATGTACATGCGCTTTCGAAGAATTTTGAGGCGGTGATCAGAAAACAATGTCGGGCCAAAGATAAGGAGCAGATGCCAGATAGATGTGCCCTATGACAAGTTGCATCAGTCATCCCCTTCGAGTATGGATTATACACCTCTATGAGACATGTCGAAGTGATCACGACTTGGGATAGGATAGCAGTCACTACATACCGACTGTACCGCAGTATGCTTCAGCATAGGAAAATGATTGAATGACGCAAGTTCATCGGCGAACTCGATGCGAAGGATTCGACCCAAGACGTCCTCACCAATGTTCTCAGCAGCCCAAAATTGAAACGGTTCAAAGGGTGCCAGAGCCGCGGTCTGTGGAAATATGATGGCCTTGAATGTGTTGCTAAAGCACTGTCGAAGACGTTTCCATGCTGCTTGTACAACGGCATCTGTTGCGGCTAGGTCTTGCAAAGCAGTGCGGAAAATCTGCACGTCCTTGCTCCATCCTTGCTCCGACTGCTGATGCGCAGCGTTTTGTTCATTTTGTTTCTTTGATCTCGAGGTAGTTGCCTTGCTACGAGGAGGCTCTTGGGGCGGGTCTCTTGCAGCCTTCAACGCCTGCTGTTTGGTCCGTGCCATACTGTGATACTTGTTGCTTGCTCACTCGGTGAATCGTGTCGAATCAGACGGTACGATCAGACTGCAAGAAGTGCGTCTGTGAAGACTTGGTGCCCAAGATTCAATCTCGTGTTCGAAATTGGAAAAGCCTGGGGTGCCAGATGGAACTTCCAAGTATGTCAATTCGATGTGGTGCAGTGAAGACCAGCTGATGAAACCGACTGTTGCTCAGAAGCGCAAACGGCAGAGAAATGGTGATTTCAGAATGCGAACAAGTTGCTACTTAGTGATTGTGTCTTGAATAGACTGGCCGTGCGTCCTGGTCTGCATGTGAGAGAGTCAATCGGCAAGCACAAGCACAAGCGGCTGCTCATGTGGGAAGGAGTTGCAAAAGTTGGAGAGAAAGAAAAGAAACACTAAAAGGAATGGGACAGACCACTGACGAGGATGTTCCACCAAGGCCCACTGGCCGTATGAGAAACAAGCACACTCACTTATCTCTTGGGGTTTGCTGTGGAAATCAACTGAGGATGGCTGGCTGCCGAATTAGGCAAGGTGGTTGGGATTGAAGTGATTTTTTGGTCGAGGTTGACAAGAAGGTTGGGGTCCGGAGGAGATTATGGAAAGGATATGAGTGGTGGTAAAGTCTTCGCACAAGAAGATGATACCAGTGGAATAAGTAAGAGGAACAGGACCAGCCGAAATCAGAGGAGAGGAAGGAGTTTCACAAAGAAGACAAAATTTGAGACCAACAGAGTGAGGAAAAGACCCTGTGAGTGAGTTCATGAATGTGCTATTTTCTGAACCCAGAAGAGAAAAACGCGTTTCTCTCAGCTCCTTCACGCATGCTCCCAGTACATCCCTCTGATCTGTCACCTATGAGCATGGGGCATAGGTACTTGATTTCCTGCTTCAAGCCAGTCTTCACAAGGGCTCTCTCATAAGGGGTACAGTGCAGTGGGTGTTTATCACGGATGGAATCCTGGCAGAAGAGCGCATCCCTGACTGACAGTGCTACTGCTGTATATGCTGCTCTAGGACATTTGGGAAGAGATATCCAATGTTCGCAAAGAGCGGCAAAACATCTTGCATTCAACCATACAGGAGTACTCTGAGGCAAGTGCCAGCTTGAGTCTAGACAGACCTAGAAGCTTCAGAGCGGTAGTGCACCTGCAAAGACGCCTGTGAACCTGGAAGGGGAGCAAGCACACATATGGGAAGGCAGGTCAGCAGTCTGAAAACTGAGCAGACCCATATATATTTTCGGGAGTGAAGAAAGAGGGGAAGAAAGAAGAAGAGAAGAGGGGGGATGAGTGGTATGGCCTCATGTTGAAAGCAAGTTCGGGTCATTCAAAATGGCTGCATGCTGAGGTAGAGGAGGATCTCCAAAGCAGAACACACATCATCTGGCAAAGGGTCAGCTGAAAACCTGAAAGATGAAGCCTAATCCTTTGTAATGTGATAATCCAGGGTTTTACGTAGCAGTTGAATCTGGTAACTGAGAGTATTTCTGTCACTCGCCAGTTCGGGAGCCCTTGCAGTCGTGTTGTCAAGGTCATCTCGTCAGAAGAAGAAGACGAACATACCATGGTACAACACATGATTGAGTAGGTACCTAAGTACTGTGTAGTCAACCTGCAGGTCTTTGATTAGCTAATATGGTGGTGGGGGTAGAAGGTACCTGACTAGGCCAAACACTGACTAGTGACCCCGCCATGCCAGGGAGGGCCGGAAGCTCCGACACAGGAGCTTTCGTCACCGATGAAGAAATCAGATTCAAACAGTCATAATTCCGCTTTCGAGGACAGAATAAGGATAGCTGGGTCGAGATATAGGGACCTCTTGGAGCCTCCCTCGATACAACAACAGTATTTACACATATCAACCTCAGTCTAGGTAAGGAACAGGATCCTCACATAATTCGGAACAGGTTTTGCACCCTTTTTCATTCACCCCACTACCCCTCTATCCAATATTGGCTGAGGCTATTCCCAGTTTGACTCAACTGGCCCTCCACAACATTCTGCCCAAAACTTGATCATTGGGTGCAGGTTCAAGCTAATTGATGTTGTGCAGGTGTTGGCTGTCTTTTTAAATCCTGTCACTGCATCCATTCGATATACATAAAGTCAAGAATTCTCGCAAGCCATGGATCTGGTGAACCAGTAAGTTGTCCCGGCTCCAACACCACCATTTTCTCTGAAGCAGATTCCACTCTCCATCTCCTTCTCTCTCTATCTTCCTCATAGGCAAAGAAGGCTATGCACAATCCGCTGACACCTGCGCTAAGCCTAGAAGGACGGCTGCTCTTCGCCGTGCCCAAGAGTAAGCCTACGCTCCAAAACCTACGCCCTCCTACCCAAGTCCCGAAAGGCACCACTAACCAGTACACCCACCAGAGGGCCGTCTGCAGCAAGCCACCCTCAACCTCCTCGAGGGCGCCGACATACAATTCCGCCGCGAGAACCGCCTCGACATCGCGCTCGTCAAGAACCTCCCCATCGCGCTGGTCTTCCTCCCCGCCGCCGACATCCCGACGTTCGTGGGCGAGGGCCAGGTTGACCTGGGCATCACCGGCTACGACCAGGTCCAGGAGTACGAGGCCGGTGTCAGGAGTACGGCCCGGGCGCGGCGCATGTCCGGCGATGTCACTCCTGCGGACGGCAAGCCCAGGGGCTGCGAGACGGTCATGGACCTGGGCTTCGGGGCGTGCAAGCTCCAGGTGCAGGTCCCCGTGAAGGGCACATACACCAGCGGCCAGCACCTGATAGGGAAGAACATCGGCACCAGCTTCGTCCACCTGGCCGAGGAATACTTTGCCAGGCTGGAGTTGGAGCAGGACGGCGCCACGGCTGACGCAGAGGGCTGGACTCCGGATCGGAAACTGCGGACCAAGATCGTGGAGCTGAGCGGCAGTGTCGAGGCGGCATGCGCCCTGGGCGTTGCAGATGGTATTGTTGACCTCGTCGGTACGTGAACTCTACAAACCCTCCCCTCTTGTACATGTTATCAAAGTCCAAGAAAAATGATGTCCGTTGTGCTGACTTGGCCCTTCACAGAATCTGGCGAGACTATGAAGGCTGCAGGCCTTGAAGCCATCGATACCGTAGTGGAATCCTCCTCGATCCTGATCAAGTCGAAGGCCCCGACACACCCAGACATGGTCGAACTTATCGCATCCCGCATCCGTGGCGTCATCACAGCGCAGAGATATGTTCTCTGCCAGTACAACGTGCCAAGAAGCCACCTCAAGGAGGCAACTTCCATTACACCCGGCAAGCGGGCGCCCACAGTGACGCCGCTCGAGGAAGAAGGCTGGGTCGCTGTCAGCTCCATGGTGGAGAAGAAGAAGATCGCACCAGCTATGGACGAGCTTGTCAAGGTCGGGGCAACGGACATTCTGGTGCTGGATATCCACAACTCTCGTGCAGGCTAAAGAGTCTGAATAATTATGTCGTTCAAGAGAACACAAAAAAAGAAAAGGAAGGCAAGAAAAAGGGATGTAAGACCGATACGATGCTGGAGGCTTTAGAGGAGTCTGGGAATAGAAAGTGGTCGCTATGCACTTTGTTATTACTCCATTTTTGGTTCGGAGCCGGGCGGATTAAAACATAAAAACAAAGTTATCTGGGAAGCAAATGATGAAATAGACCTGTCAAGAACAACCTGAGTGGGGACGTTCTTTGCAACAGCACGTTGTCAATTGTGCAATGTGGTAGATTTGTTTTATGGTATTTTGGGGTATCCTTTTTAGAAGCAGCAACGAGCGCATCGTCCTGTCTCCTTACAGATCAAAAAGCTCCTTGAGCAGCTTCATGGTCTCTTCTGGGCCGTTGACGGTATGTCCCTCGGTACGAGGATCACTGTAGATCTCATAGTCGTTGCCGCCCTTGAACGTCTTGTCGCCAAAGAAGTGCACGGTGGTGTACGCGACGCCGCCGGGCTTCTTGGCCTCGTTCTCGAGGTGCTGCAGGCAGTAGGTCTTGTCCCAGCCCGTGGGGAAGACGTCGAAGGAGATCTGGCCGCCGATGGAGAAGGTCAAGCCCAGGTGGCCGAAGCGCTCGCGCAGCTTCTCGACGAACTTCTGGCGCACCTTGTGCTCCTTGTCGTAGGCCTCGTAGTCGTTACGCTCCTGCACAGAGGCGTTGCGGCCCACAGGGCTCACATTGATCATGCCGTTGCGGAATTCGACAAACGTGCCCCGCTTCACGGGGATGTCCAGGTCCGCCACGTAGTGCAGACAGAAGTTGACGAGCTCCTTGTACTGGTCCTCGCCGATCCACTTGATGAAGCTATTGGAAGGGAGAGCCTGGCCGTTCTCTGTGTGTGTAGGTTTCCCACATCCCAAGTGTCAGCAATGAACAACGCGCAAGGAAGGCAGAAACAGAAGGCAAAAGAGAACCTGAGTTTGAGAGCCTCGTCTGAACCACATCAAGGCAGGCTCATCATCTCGAAAGGTCGCCTTGGAAGAATTTAGTGGGGATACCAACATACTATATGCTGTCAGGCCATTCTCGGCAAAGCAGAAGTCGAACAGTGTCTTGACATCGATATCCGCAGTGCCCAGCTGTTCCTGCTGCTTGACCAGATCACTGCCACCCACAAAGCCGATGGCGACCTTTTGACGCAGGCGCGAGAGGATGTTGAGCATCTCAGATGAGACAGTCTACATACATTAGAGATCAATCTTTGAGCCATGTATAGATATATGAATTGCAGTGTGGTGATGGTGGTAGAAGAGGGTCTCCAAGGGATCAATCAGACTTACCAACCGTGCAGGCGTAAGGGTGCCATCGACGTCAAAGAGACAGATAGTGTTCTTGATGGGGCGTTCTCCTAGAGGAGGGTATGAGGGAGCCATGTTGCTTTCTGTCTCTGGTCAATGGGCAAAAAAACAAGAATAAAAGAAGGGAGTAGAGGTGGGTGGTGGTGACGTTGGGAGAGCTTCAGGACAACACACACAGAAAGTTGCCCGTCGAGGGGCACCAAAGCTCACTGAGACAGACCCCTGGAAGCTTGCAGTTCAGGTAGGGCCTACAGGTTGACCCCGCGGCAGGGACCCACTATAGCTTAGTTAGGTCTTCACAAGCCAGGGGTTCAGATGAATCTGTAAATCGAGACTCTTCCCGAGGGAGGAAAAAAACCCCCAAAAACCACCGCCACGGACCAACCAGGCAATCAGCGTATCAGATCCTTGCCTCGCACAAAGCTCCATCACATCTCATTTTTCATGCAAGATCGACTTCACTAATTGAACAACTGCTGGAGCAGAGGATTGGATATGTCCTAGGAGCAGGTAATCTCTCTTGAACCTCTAAAGGAGGATTATATGTATCTGCCTTCGTCCCTCGTCAAAAATCACCATCCATCTCTCTTTGATTTCTTTTCCACCTGGAAATGTTAGACTTCTTTCTATTCATTATAAAGTGTTGATCGCAGGTCCATCTAACACATTCCTCCCCGACCCAGCTGCTGAACCATTGTCACACCTCGATAGCTACTCAGAGACCCAGTCACAAGGCAGCCGGTGTTCCAAAGGCCATGCTACACACAAGACTCAGATCTTGTCTCTGATACTCCGAGTACAGCATGCGTAAAAGAAAAATCGACCTTATATGTACAATCTTCCTGGTGGAGACCTAGACAGGGTGTCACACTCTCGACTAGACAGCTGTTATCATACCCAGAGTGTTTTGTCTTGGGTTGATGTTCCAAAGGCTCACTGCAGGCTCAACAGTGCTGCTGTAGATGTAACACTCATCGAGCAAGCACGTTCTACTGTTTGGGAGGGGGATTTCTTGCAGCTTGTCATAACAATTATTATGAAACATATAGCAGGAAAAGATCACATACAACTGGAGAAAGGGCAGAGGAACCAGTGAGGAAAAAGAAAAGTGGTACTGTATCATAGTTAAGAGAAGTAAGAGACACACTCCTCTCATAAAAGCTAATACACTACAAAATAATGATGCAGGACAGAAAATGAAAACAGTTCAACTAGCCTCTCTTGCCCCACCTTACTAACCAAAAACCACCGACAAAAACCCTTGCTTGTTTCTCTGTAAATGCGTTGCTTTGTGTTTTTCCAATGCTTTGCCAGACAATGGATTGAGAAGTGAAGAAATCCAACGAAAGCCTCTGCCAGCCTGTTGCGGATATGCAACAACGATGAATATTGCCCAATGAAGGGCCTGGCAGGAACGTATGCAATGACCCCTCCCGATGAAACCAGACTGATGACAACGCCGCAACGGAAGAAAGAAAGAAAAAGGACCCTTCACCCAAACAGAATAGTTATGTGGAAAAACCGTTGTCGTGACAGACCCCTGAAACCGACATGGCATGGTGGTGGCGCGTAAAGCATCTGGGTAGAGAAAACTCCGTGGTATCATAGCTGCTGTTGGACGACCTGGCCTGCTGTGCTCCCTCGTTGCTGCTGCTGCTGCTGCTGCTGCTCCTCACAAAAAAAGACAAAATCCTTGCGAATCCGCCTGCTCTGTTTCTCTGGCTTGCTCTGTCCGAAACCGGTTGCAATGTGTGCAGTGTGTAGTAGTGTAGAGTAGTGTGCGTGCGTGTGTGTGTGTATGTGTGTGAGTGTGTGCAGAATGTCACCAGCATACAGTATATATTGTAAGTGTGTGAATGTGTGACTGTACTACTCTACTGGCTGTTGGCTCGGAGGATGAGCTGCTGACAGCAAAACAGAAATGTTAGCTAACGCTTCCGCTTTTGTCCAGTAGGAGGAGCAGAGAGGCTATTTGTGGTACGTGCCCTTGACAATGGGTCCTCCTTTTCAGCTGTTGTCAAAGCAGGACTATCTACATTGCTCTTCACAATGTCCGAGCCATGTAGATGCAAAGCAGGTCTTGTCGGCCGTAAATATGGCGAGGATAGGTCGGTCGGGAAGCGTTGACCCACGGCTTTTGCGTCGACCTGCCGGGTGATGTCTCGGTCCCGGTTTGTCGTTGTGGACAGGGCACTCCCCAAGGTCGCGCACTTGAGAATTGTCTGAATCAAGTGATTCTGTTGGAGGGGCTTGGACAGATATTCGTCCATCTGAGCCTGCATACACCGTTCGCGATCGCCCATCATGGCATGTGCCGTAAGAGCGATGATGGGTGTCCTTTGCGTGCCGAGACTACGTTCATATTCTCGGATCTTGCCAGTGGCTTCGAAGCCTCCCTGTGATAAATGTCAGCTGTCTGCGTACAAAATTTTGATCATTGCGGGGTGGCCGAGGAAGGATGAAGGTGCTCACCATGACCGGCATCTGCACATCCATGAGGATGACGTCGAACCGCCTGTTCTTGACCATCTCCACAGCCTCCTGACCGTTAGATACCACAGTCACAACGTGGTGGTATTTCTCCAGAATCTTGACAGCCAACTTCTGGTTCACGGCATTGTCCTCTGCCAACAAGATCTCGAACGACTTGGTGTTGTCGGTGAGTGATGGCGCGGCCCTATTCTCGAGGGCAGGAATCATTCCGTTCCCGAGGTCAATGAGCTTGCATGGCGTCGTCATGTACGACGTAATGCCCAGGTCAAGGCAAGATTTGAGGTTGACGTGCACCACTGGGGCGAGCAGAACGATCGGGAGGTATTTGAAATCATCGATGGATCGTAATCTCCGAGCGGTGTCGAGGTCGTCGACGATGATCACGTCGTAAGGGCATTTGCCCTTCTCGCGCTGCTCAGTAAGGATCGGGTTGCGCTCAGAGCTGACGACAAAAGGCATCAGGCTCAGCCCACGAAGCATCGGGGTGATGGAAGAGCCTGTGCCAGTGTTGCCCTTGTCGATAAACAGGACCTGGTGGCCCCTATACGGGTGCAGCGCCTTGGCGATCTGCGAGATGTCATCGTCGGCAGATCGGACAACGCACGTGAAGTAGAACGAGCTGCCACTGCCGAGTGAGCTCTCCACGCGTATGTCGCCGCCCATCAGGTTGACCAGCCTCTTCGAGATGGAGAGACCCAGACCTGTACCACCAAATTTACGGGTCATAGAGCCGTCGGCTTGCTGGAACGTGTCGAAAATCAAGTCAAGCTTGTCTTCGGGTATTCCGATACCTGTGTCGCTGACCACAAACTCGATGGCGTACTCGTCTCTCTTGACACGCAGTTCCGATTTCTTGATCTGCAGGCTGACCTTTCCGTTCTCCGTGAACTTGATGGCATTTCCGACCAGGTTGAGAATGATCTGCCTCAACCTGAAGGAATCACCAACGACGTGATCTGGGACAGTACTGTCCACCTGATACGTCAACTCAAGGTTCTTCTCGGTGGCCTTGACTGCCAGCGTCTTGAGCGCATTGAAGACGGTGCCCCGCAGAGTATACGGAATCTCCTCGATCACCATCCTCCGAGCCTCGATCTTGGACAAATCGAGAATGTCATCAATGATGATGAGCAGGCTGTTGGCCAGGCTGTTGACGATATTGAGCATCTCTCGTTGGTACTGCGTCAGGTCCGTATCCAGCGTAAGCTGTGTCATTCCGATGATACCATTCATAGGCGTCCGGATTTCGTGAGACATGTTGGCAAGGAACTCGGATTTCGTCTTGTTCGCAAGCTCAGCCGCCTCCCTGGCTTGAGTATTTCTTTGAATACTATCCCGGAGATTGAACACCATCTGGTTGATCTTCCGCTTGAGCTGATCCATCTCGCCGGATGCCTCGACTTCGACAATCTTGGTGAAGTTGCCGTCCGTGGCAGCATTTGTGATGTCACCGAATGCACGCACTTGAGCGGTCTGCCGGACGTCAGTCAGTCAATGAACAAGAAGCGCACTACATGAGATCTCAAGAAAGATGCATGCAAGACTTACCAAGTTGTTGGCCATCGTATTCACGTCCGTCGTAATCTCTTTCCATCTGCCCTTGAGGCCCTCGACATCTGCTTGACCGCCGAGTATGCCGTCAATTCCCACGTCTCTTGCCACCCTTTGCACCTGGTCGCAGAAGCTGTTCAGTCGGTCCACCATGTCGTTGATAGTACTCTTGAGAATGAGTATCTCTCCCCTGGCTTCGACATCGATCTTCCTGCTCATGTCTCCATTCGCAATAGCCTGAGTGACACTAGAGATACCACGGACCTGCAGGGCGTTAGCATATTATTATATTAGAGAAACAATTTTAGGTGTGGCATTCTCGCACGCGGAGGGGTGTCTCTTACCTGAGTTGTCAAGTTCAATGCCATAACGTTGACATTCTCGGTCAGGTCCTTCCATTTGCCTTCGAGATTCTCAACTTGCGCCTGTCCACCGAGGGTTCCGTCGGTTCCGACCTCCCTTGCGACCTTGGACACCTCGAATGCGAAAGTGGAGAGTCGGTCAACCATGGTGTTGATAGTGTTCTTGAGGTCCAGAATCTCGCCTTGTGCCTCGACGCCGATTCTCTTGCTGAGATCGCCCCTGGCGACAGCTGTTGTGACATTGGCGATCTCTCTCACTTGTGTAGTGAGGTTCATGGCCATGCCATTGACGTTTTGAGTCAGATCTTTCCACGTGCCCTCCACATCGTGGACCGTAGCCTGGCCCCCGAGGCGTCCCTCAGTTCCGACTTCTTTGGCGATCTTGGTGACCTCGCGGGCAAACTGCTGGAGCTGCTCAACCATAGAGTTGATTGTGTTCTTGAGCTCAAAGATCTCGCCCTTGCACTGGGCCTCGATCTTCTGAGTGAGATCTCCCTTGGCAATGGCAGTAGTAACCTTGATGATGTCTCGCACTTGGGTAGTAAGATTATCGGCCATGGCGTTGACGTTGACGGTTAAGTCGTTCCACATGCCCTTGACGCCGTTGACATCGGCTTGTCCGCCGAGCTTGCCCTCCGTACCGACATCCTTGGCTACCCTGGTAACCTCCGAGGCAAAAGTGCGCAGCTGGTCCACCATGGTGTTGATCGTTTGTTGAAGCTGGAAAATTTCACCCCTTGCAGGTCTTTCAATCTTCTTTGTGAGGTCTCCGTGTGCGACACTGGTTGTGACAGTTGCAATTTCACGCACTGTTTGGTAAAATGGTCAGCACCCCATCGTCGTCTTCTTCTGGGGTCGTCAGCTGCATCAGGGGACGTACCTTGGTCTGTGAGGTTTTGTGCCATAATGTTGACTGTAATTTTATTGCCGTCAGCCACAAGGCGGCTCCTTCTCCCAAGGAAGAGAAGTTAGAGGGAGGGGGGGGGGGTTTCGGCATCACCAACCGTTGTCAGTCAGCTCCTTCCAAATTCCATCAACACCTTCGATCTGAGCCTGACCACCAAGGATACCCTCAGTGCCGACCTCTCTGGCCACTCGAGACACTTCAGAGGAGAAATCACCAAGCTGATCCATCATGGTGTTGATGGTGCGTTTAAATGTCGTAATCTCGGGGTCCATTTCAACGTTGTTGAGCCGTACTCTCTTGGAAAGATCTCCGCGGGCAACGGCCGTCAGGATATCACCAATCTCTCTCAGGGCCTTCTGGAAGGCCTCGTTGGCCTTCTGATGTTTCCAGAGCTCCCTCTCGAGGGTGGCAACGCGCTCCTGTTCCATGATCGCCAGTGCCTTTTCCTGCAGCTGCTCCTGTTGGAGAAGCTGTGCCTTAACGCCCAGAAGCTCCTGTCGCTGGCTGTCCAGCAGCTTACTCTGGTCGTCGACGTGTTCGCGCAGACCCTCGAGGGCTTCATCGGATAGAGGCACTCCGGCCTTGAGGACGGGATGGTCGGCAGCGCTGCCATTGCGGCTGATGCTGATAGGTCTCGGCTTGGCCGTGTCGCGACCAAGGCCTGGGGATGAGGAAACAGCTTCATCTCCAAACACCGAATCAGTGGTCTCGTTCGGGGTGTCTGGAAAGGTGGTGGTACCGGGCGCCTGTGCTCTCGTCTCGAGGTTGTGTATCCTGAGGACGAGCGCGGCAAGTTCTCGCTCCAGGGCGATCTTCTCTTTTGTCTCTGGGCCCGGGAGCTGCACCGGCTTGTCGATGCCGCCGATCCGGTTTGTCAGCCCTGTAGCATTTGCATCCGCTGCGAGGCTTCTGACGATGGCAGCCGTAGCCACCAAGGCCGATTGGTCGGCCATCGGAGGGATGGTTGACAAGGTATTTCAGGATCGAATCGATGGATGCTTTGATTTCGGATTGATAGTTCAGGGTTACCGGACTAAGACAGCGAGAGAATTATGTCTTGCTGGACAGTTTCATGGGTCGCTTTTGAAGTTCTAGGGATTCGCAATTTGATTAATGAGCGATGGTTCCCAAACAGCAAAAAACAAATACTCAACAGATCGAATGGTGTTTCTGAGGGTGGTGAGAAAGAACAGAACAGAGAGGATTGTGCCGATGAAGTGATTAACGTGCTTTCCAAAGAGAGCAGTAGCAGAGCAGGAACACGCCGTCGACGCCGCGCAAAAGTCACAGAGGAAAAAAAGGGATGGGCTTGGTATGGACGAAGGAGGAGGAGGCGATGTTGACGACGACCACAATGCAGCAAGGACTTCTGCCAGAGGAGGAGGTATACTCACAAAGATGTCAGGTGTGGAGGTCAAAAACACTACTATACAGTGATTCCAGCTGATGGCTGCAGGTCAGTCGCTTGAAAGGAGGGATTCGTTTGCTCTCTTGGACAATGGACCGACGGTTTGGACTGGCTTCTAGTCCATCCGACGAGATGGTCGAAAAAGAGTGGTGCCAGAGACGACAACGGCTGGACGGGACTTTCTAAGAAGAGGAGACGGGTCGATGGGAGTCTAGGACTGGGGTGTGCTTGGTGGGGACCAGGGTGCTGGGTGGTAGTGTCCACGAGTTCTCATCGGGTCGCCTTTTGAGGACGTAGTGCTGGCGTCGCCTCTTCCTAAAGCGACCAGGGGGGAGGGGGTCACTCTGGATCCAACGGCTCCAATCAGACACCTGACGCCAGACCGGTGGGCTTTTTCAACGGCTAGGGCAGGAAAAGGGACAGCGGCAACACAGCCGTACGGAATTACATCCGTGTGCACTGGTGCTGCTAACAGGACATTCGACCATGTACTATAGCACGTCGAACCCTGTTATGGTGCTGCTATGGGCACACTGGTACGGTTCGTTGTTCGGCCTCTGTGTACTGTCATTACCCAACCCATACAGTACAATAATGTACTGACAAGGCACGGTCTGGTTCTGCCTGGAAGCAAACGCGAGTCGTACAGTGTCCGTCTCTGTGTGAACTCCAGCCAACCTTATCTCTCTAACCCGCGTCAAGTGATCTTCAATACCACGGTACAGTACGGCATGTCTTCTATCCCTTCTGTGAGAGTCGGTGTGACTGGAGCGTTTCCCCCGGTGGGCTTGCAGCTGGTTGGTTAAGGACGCCTGGAGACATCCATTCTTGCACAGCGCTGGACTGCGACTGCCTCGACAACTTTTCTTGACCCCGCAAATGCTGAATAAACCTACGTGACTCGTTTTAGGTACTATCATCAAGACTTCAGGTGAAGGGTTCTTATTGCGTTGCTTATCTAGGAGCGCTAGCAAACCAGAGAGAAAGGGAGGAAAAGACACTCGAGGATGGGAATCTGTGATGGGACTTTCCCCCTTCCTTTTTCCCCTGGGGTGTCTTCCCCTTCCAGCCTGCACAACTATGTACTATGGTAGCTGTGCCTAACCTGGATCTATGCTCCAGCCAGCCCCCTCCTGACTCGTCCGCCCAGGCATTCCTATTACCCCTCTGTAGCGGCCCCCCGCCGGCGTAAGGCTTTGCTCGGTATTGTCGCATAAAACAACACCTATATACCCTCTAACGCCTCTTTACTATTGTTATGGTACCACTTATAGGCGAGGAGGTAGCTTGAAATTTAGAGGGGGGGGGGGGAAGCAAGAAGAGAAAAAGGAAAACAAAAGCTGGTCTAGAACTTCGTCTAGAATTACACCCACTAACACGGGCGCATCTGGGCTTCGGGTCCTGGAAGAAGAGACCACTGGCCCGTGGGCGACCCACTCGAGCTGCATGTTCGACAGGTCTTCTTAGGCCTGCGGGTGAGCGCCTTCGGTGCCGTCTTCCGCGAGAGGATAGGCCCGTGGACAGGCCGCAGCAGCTGCTACCCACCTGCGCGCCACCTCCAAGACTTGGGGTTCAGCTTGTACTGACAGGCGCCCATTCCTCTTTCGTTCGGGGCTCTGATGCCTCACCAATCTTTTTTATCTTTCTTTCGTGCATCCATTTTACTGGCCACCATTTCTCCTAACGAGAGCCTCAGTGGCGAAGGATTGGAGAGATTGGCATTAGCGAAGCTACGAAAGCTCAGACAGACATACCATGGTACAGTCCTCCCACATCCTGAGTGATGACAAGTGATTACTACCATAGTACTATGATACTCTATAGAGGAGGAGAACTGATCTCTCTGAGGGGAATAGTTTGACCAGAAGTGGGTATGAAACCCGCCTCCCCTCCTAAAGTGGCTGTACATGTCCGGAAACACGTCCGAATGTCACCTGTTGATAAATGCCTGCAGACCTCGGTCAGACCGAAAGAAAGAGCTCAACAAAAAAGGCATATGGAGTGCAGCACCACTTGAGTGTTCAGAATGCACTCTGAAATCACTGGCGCGTCATTTCAACAGGATGCACGCACCTCGTGTCGTCGATGGCTAGACAACCCGAGATGCAGCCCAGCCTTGCGCAACGCCTCCAAGATACCATAGTACACACACATACAAGACTTTTGGATCATGCCCCCCGTTCCTCCTTCCCCTCTCTGAGAAGGGGGGTGGCACGGAGCCATATATCACTGGGCCTAGCGCGGCTCGAGTTAAACGACGTCAGCCACTCCAATTGGCCCGTATTTTGCTGATCATCGCCTTCGTCGTACGAGAGACCGCCTCGAAATTCCCACCTCGTGGGAACTAGGGAGCGGCATGAAGACGATGTCGACTCGTCTAGCAGGTCGCATCGCTTCAGCCTACTGGCTGAGAGCCCCCAACCATGCAGCATCACGTACCAGCAGACAGAAAAAGCATCTGGGGTAAGCCCATCAATTCCCATCAATCGCATCTACCAGTCAGCCGCTGTCCCCCACCACCACTATCACACACTGTCTTAACTTTTTCAGGCTGTCAATGGGGGAAAGGGGGGTCAATTGGAACAGCGTTCAAGATCGACGGCCAGCAAGAGAAGGAAGGGGGACCCAAAGTCTCTTCAAACCAAACACCCCCCCCCCCCCAAAGAGAACCCCTAAAGACCCCCTAAGGGCCCCTTAACGTCTTTCCTCTACACTTTACTTGGCAAAGCTGGATGCAGTAGCTCACAGGGAGGAGACAGGCTTGAGCTTGTCCCCCCATCCCGCCGGACAGACCACCTTTCTTTTCTTTTTTCCAATGGACTGACAGGGCCGGCTCACTAGCCTCATCCTGTCGTCGTCTTAGCAAAACGAGGTGATCGATCATCTCGTCAAGTGCGTCCCTAGCGCGCGAACCCCTATTTCCTTCTGAAATTTATGGCCAGTGGGCGTGCTGCTTCGTCGTGCCTCTCCTGGTCTACACAAGCCACGTACGTCAGTGGTAGTCTAGGTAGTGAAGCTCACCCACCCACTACTGTGTTCCTGTGGTACTATGTTATCACTATAGGGTCTGCCTTGGGGGGATGAAACATAGAAGGGTTGTCCCGCAGTCTCCCCCCTGTGCTGGCCCATGTCAGATGGCCCTGGCCACAACAGCGCCCATACCATCCTACCGCGTATGGAATTTTGCGAATTCGGTATTGAAGCGGATTCCCCACACCATTTGCACATATTATAGTAGCATGCCAGTCCAGCTGAACTGGTCATGCCTTTTTTCCCCTCCCTCAATTCTCTCCAAACCCCTACGCCGGTGCGGAGCCTCCAAACAGGGCAGCGATCCGAATAAAGGATTTTGGACCCTTTGAGACCCACTGATCTTGCTCGTGCCTCGTGGCACGCGTCTTTCTCAGCACAAGAAAACAAGAGAAGGAGAAAATATGGTGCTGCTCCGTCCATCTGACTGACTGGTTACACGATCGCAAGCCATGCCCTTTGCAGAGAAGAGATCCAAGTCTCGGATATCCGTTCACTGGAGCCTGCGGAGCTACTATCTCCCCCTTCCGGGATGACGACATCCAACGATTCAGATTTTGCAAAGGCTCGGGCGGCTTGGGACTTGCTGCAGTACCATAGTACAGCCCTTGACTGTTCCTTCTTTTTTTTTTTCCTTCCTTTTTTGACCCTTCTCTTTCTCCCCGCCTCCTCTCCAGGGAGCACTCATTGGTCAGGATAATCTCTCGCTAGACATAGCAAGGGCAAGGCATTCCCTCAAATCAAGCTTCACAGCCTCATCCTGCTCGATAACGCCCATGAGCATCCTTGATTTGGGCAGCGAAGGGGGATCTTTAGACGACGATCGCTCATATCAGTTCAACAAGGACTTTGCTTGTACCTTTTGCCTGTCTTCATCTGATTAGGCACGCAAAGGGGCAGTCGTCTCTCGCCCCAGGGAAAATCCTATCACTGTGCAAGCGCTATCCCGCACGTCAAAAGATCTCATTGCTACACGACGTCGTAGTCCTTGTCTTGTTTCTCTCCCTCCCCCCCCCCTTCTTCCTGCAAGCCATCGACCAAGGCTTGCCTGGCAGGACCATGTGCTGCTGCTGCGTTTCCATTGGCTTTGAAACGGTGGGTAGGTGATGGGGCACCACATGGGAGACCCTTTTTTCCCCCTGCTCTTTTTCCTTCTTTCTTCCTATTTCTCTCTTAATATTATCATTATTATCATTATTTTCTTTTTTCCTCCTCCGTCAAGCGAAACTCTCGCTTTTTTCCCCTCTTGTTCTGCTGTGCCAAAGCTCCAAGTCGATCCTCATTAGTTCCGTGTTTCACATTGCAACATCGCGACAAACTTAGTCAGGTCGATCTTCCTCGACCCTAGATGAAGGCCTCAGAAGGGAATGAGGGGACAAGAAAGAAACAGTCGTGCCGAGAGAAGAGGCATGGTTGGCATGCAAGAAAAAGACAACCACCATCTCGCTGCCCCGTTGCCAACAATTGAGGCCAAAAAAAGATCAGCGGCGAACGCGGCATTGCCGTTGGCTGCCTCCCTGGCGGGTTTTTCTTCTTTTCTCTTTTGGTTTCTTGTTTCTGCTGAGATCCCTCCCCCTCTTTCACTTCACTTTGGATTGCTCAAGTCCAACCATCGTATTCTCTTCTTGACTCCTCTTTCGAGGGTTTGCTTGTGGGGACGTACCAAGACTTGAGGACCCATTTTTCTCGCCTGCACGAACCGGACGGCTGCCGAGGGCCGCACACACACACACACATAACATAGTACACACACACATCTTTGGCGCGAGCCTCGGGAAGGAAGGAGGGGGGGGGGGCGCCTACCCGCCGATCAGGGTCACCTTTGATTCAGCCTCGTCTCTCCCCGGGCCGAGTAGACTGGTTTGGTTTTATTCATGCAACATCGCATACGAGAGAAAAGAGATCTCATGGCTCTAGTTGGCCCCATTCCTAATTCCTTGACTCCGCCAATCACGAGAAATGTGGCCTTGGCGTAAGCAGTCTCAAATAGAGCCTGCCATCACCAGGTGATCCATTCTGTTGAGTTTTAGTCCCTTGGCCTCACTAATATGGCTTCTTGTCTGTCATAGTTCCATGAGGTCACAGGTCAACCCCGACAAGATACTTTCAGAGAGCTATGTTTTTCCTTCTTCTTAGCTTGTGACTCACGCACTGTCTTGCAGAGTGAATTCAGGTTGTGGCAGGCAACAATGCAAGTTGAAAATTCTATCCGTTCTGAAAGTCTATTTTTCATCTCTACTCGGTAGATGGCTGTGATTAGAGCTTGTGGTGCCTGGCACTTTACCCATAACGGGATAGAGTTTATCTCAGTGTAATCACTCTCCAGAGTCTCAGATGAAGGGAAAGGGTAGGTCAATACCGAGCCGAGCAAGCCACTCACTCATGCAAACCAGACACAAGGCGTTCAGATATCACGCCTCGACCTGATGGATAAGTGAACTGCCGGCGGTGGTAAGTGAATCAAACTGAAGCAGCCACGCAATACAGATGAGAACATTCAAAAACCACTATGTAACATCACGACAACTCACATGCAGCCTCACTACGACCTTTCCCCATCATCTATTTATACTTTCTTCTGTGCGGCCTGTGTGAGTTCGTCTCAACTACCTGCCCCAACCCATACTTGCCTTTTTACTTCGGGTCAGTCACGGCTGATTTAACTTTTTGAGAACCACTCGGCCGGTCCTTGGCATCAGACGGCGCCCCGGGAGCCAAGAAACGTTGAGGGAAAAAAAGGAAAAGGCGCTGGCACCGTTCTAGCGCGATTTCTCTTCTCGCGTCTTTTGTGGGAAACGTTGGAAGGTAAAATGGAGCCCGGGACAGTCCTTGGTGCGGTCCGCGTCGGAGCCGTTGCCTGTGGTGAACCTCGGCACGGCGAGGCGTAGAGACAGGAGAAAGAGATTATGAGGTGATAATGACGGCAGCGGGTTCCACTGGGAGACGAAATATCTTTCAATATTATAAAACTAGACTAGAGTAGTTCATTATGAACAGCGCCTGCTCTGAGCCCCTCAGGGCAGCCCCCGGTGCCCTGGTTTTGGAAGTCCGGGTCCTCCAATTCGAACACTCTCTGTTGGAAGAAGAAGGCTAGGTTGGTGCCGCGCTGAAGTTTGATAGTGAAATAAGGAAAATTGAGGCTGTGGGCTGATTCAATGCTGTGCATAATGCTATTTTGCGAGAAACTTTTTTTGAAGCTCGTGGTCCCATTACGAGGCTTCCTGAGTCAAGTAGGTAGCTGTGTTGCCCATCTGATGAAAATAATCACATTGACATTGGACGGCTTCAGTGATAGCACTGTATCATCGACAAGACTGGATCACTCTATAGTCACCCACTTGAACCTTGTGCTTCTTTGACTTCAAATGGAAGTAGGAAGTCTGCATGAACACAAGAACTCTATAGATCCCACCATGGTTGCTTCAACTTCCTTGCAGATATGCCAAGTTGACATATGTGGAATTCTCAGGGCTGGTTAGCCAGATGTGTGAGGAATGGTCTTTCAAAAACAAATATTTGGGGGTTGGTAAACAAGGAGTATCTAGGCGTTCCTAGATGTTTCGTAGTAACCTATTTGCATAGCTATCATTCCTACCACAACTCGGCACACAGTGAGAACATACTTTGCTACGCAGTGAGCCTTTCCCAGCACATGCGCCAGTGTTAGAAGTTATTTTTTGCAAGTTCAGAGAATGCAGCAACGGAGCTTAGGCATGTGTATTCCATTATGAGCACAACTCTGTTCCGTGCACATTACCTCACTAATCAATGAAAATAATGAGATTCAGTATTGGTCAAGCAATCATGCCCTGCAAGAACCTGTCTGTCTGGATTTGAACTGATGCTTATAATTATCATCTTCAGCATGCTACCTGCTGAGTGGGTGTGCATAAAACAGTACCTAGAATAGGTCTTCTTTCATGATTCTCGATCCTGGTTGTCTTGTGAAGTGTATTATTGCCCAAGAGTGGCGATGCAAAACCTCCTAAACAACTACATGACGAGACTTATTTCGAAGATATTGAGGACCAGTTTAAGCGTGGTGGTTCGTATACCATGATAATCTAGAGATTTGATCATCAGACGCAGGAATATGCCATCGATGATGGAAACCAAATCACAGAAGATGAGAAGGTAATTGTATAAATCCTTGTGAAATTGGATTTGGAGATATGCATTCCAAGACAAATCAAGCTTGATCCGGACCAGAAGACGCCGTTGCTCAAGATCAGTTTGAAAGAGGGTTCTTTAGCTCTTATTGGTCATGTTGGTAGGTGTGAGAATAGGAAGTCTGCCCCCTCTGATCGAGGATCGTGCGTGTTACATAGGTTCCGTCTCGCTACGTGTTCGTGGTCGAGGGGTGTGTTTCTCGTAAGGCGACCATCGTCCTCTTCGTATAGCGCCGTGCTGGATCTTGCGATATGTAATGGGGGTGGCATGCGAGGCAATATCATCTCCTCGGGAATGTGGCATGGCCACCTAGCTCACACCTGAAACCCTTATATGCATAGTAGTGAGTGGACACTCGACAGGTTGAGGATGAATGGTCACATGGTCCCAGGAATGAGGCCGCGAGGTGTGACTCTCACAGCCTGGTTGAGAAGGTGGATTCATTTCAGGGCCGCCGAAAACATCACAATTGTTGGCATAGAAACGGGTGTACTGGGAGACATCTCCCAACACCCCATCTTGGGCGACTTTTCTTCCGTTGGGTCGGATTTTATTTCGATGATCAGAATAGGTTGAGATCACGAGGATGGAACTGAGAACGCCTCGACACTACCTATGGCACAGCAGTAGCATATATATATACATCGTCACCACAGAAAGGCATTGATATGAGAGAATAGAATCATGGCCTTGAAGATCCGGTGTTGCGGAAGTGCTGCTCAGGAGGCATTGCTGAGACTAGATAAGGCTGACGCAAGCACATATTACAGACTGGGGGGTTCAAAAATACTCCAAATTCCTTCAGCTATCTGTTGTGTGGACTATTATGAACTATTATGATCTAGTCTAGGTATGCCAAATGACGACCCTTCCGTCCACTCCGGTTGCTTTGAATGAAAGTTAGCGTTTAGACTCCATTTGAAAAGGGTATTTGGGGGAGCAGGCTCACAGCTGAACTTGGTGACAGAGTCACCAGAAGTTTCATACGGACGGATCATTGTGATGGTGTTTTGGTGGACAGTGGTGAGTTTCGTATCGTCCTTGACCTTGCCCTTCAAATCCATCTGCCTGAACATGTTCAGAGCAGACTCCTCGTGTGCTGCGCCCAGACCAGGCCTGCTCTTTGCTTCCAGAGTTCCAGCGAGCTGCCAACCGGCCTCACCACCCTGGAAGCGGAAAGCCTCACAGTCATACCCGGCAGCGATAATTTCAGTCTCGTTGGACCAGAAGAGACTCATGAAAGGGAGCAGCTGAGTCGTGACGCTGATGATGGCCTTGGGAGGCTGCTCTGGTGCGCTAGGGTAGACCACGGTGATGCTGCTGTCGTGCGAGGCGAACGCCAGTGCATCGCCACTAGGCGAGAATGCGACCGAGTGGACCCAGCCAGCCGAGTTGTTCAGGAACTCGCCGCAGACGGTGTTGAAAGGCAGCCTCTCTCCCCAGGCGCTTGGCTCGGGCTTGGCGTCCACCGACTTGATGAAACTCGAAAAGACCCGGGCGTGGGCGTCGGTGGATCCTGCGGCAAGGAGCACAGAGTTCGGGTGCCATGCGACAGTCGTGATGGTACTGCGGATGGGCTTCTTCAGGTGCTTGGACACCCACCAGTCGTTCTCCTCCTCAAAGTAGCAGACTGCGATCACACGATCGCCGGATCCAACAGCAAACTTGGTCTCGGAGGGAGACCAGCGGACAAAGGTGGCAGCTCGGTTGATCCGGAGAAGGACGAGAGTCGGCTTGTAGCCTTGGGGTGAGGGCTCCCAGACCAGCGCATTTCGATCTATCCTCCAGTCAGTCAATGTCAAAAAAAAAATCAAAAAAAAAGAACCTGTCGGTAGAACTTGGGCGCAGATGGCACGCACCCTGAGAGCACGACACAATGCGGCCCGAGTTTGGCGCGATATCGATGCTAGTGATGGTCTTGTCATGTCCCTTCAACTCGTCCTGGAGCTTGAACGCATTGCCAGCTTTGCCGTACAGCTCGACGGTCGTGTCCCGCGCAATAGCCAAAGTCGACCGGTCGGCCGAGAAGGAGTGGTCCGCGATGGGATTGTGGAAGAGATGGTGGACTTCTGGCGCAGCCATCTTGTAGATGGTATTTCAGTTTCGTTCGTGATAGGAGTAGCTCTCTACTATCACAGCAGGTCGTCGGTGATTATGTCAGGAGCATAGAGAAGTTGGTTTTGGTGTCGAGAGAGAGAGAGAGAGTATGCAGTTGCGTCAGGGGGAGTACTCAGCGGGTTGGGGAGCTCTCCAACAGTGCAGGGGAGCAGCGTGGGGTGCAGTAGTTACGTCAGCCTCGATACAAGCATGAACCCCCCTAATGTGGTAATGGCAAGGAGCTGCAGCTACATAGTATGCAGGAAAAAAGATATGCTTGCTGCTGGGCTGGACTGAACGCGACGCGACAACTACTTGACATCTTCAGAATTATCCAAGTACTAGTACTTATTGGAGAGCCCACTGCATCATCCATATCTTTCAGCATCATATTTTTCTTCTTCCTTTTCTTTTTACACCATATTCATTCATCCACGACCCACCAAAATGCCTCCAGCTCCTCCCAAGATACCTCTCACAGGCAACATCCCACCGAAGCCTCAGACGATCCCTCCCAATCAGACGCTCTACGTGCGAGGCATACCGTCAGCGCACGTCAAGAAAGATGATCTGCGCACGGCTCTCTACATGCTTTTCTCGACCTACGGTCCAGTGCTGGACGTCGTCGCTCTCAGAACCTCTAAGATGAGGGGTCAGGCGCATATAGTGTATCGCGACATTCAAACAGCCACACAGGCTATGAGGGCATTGGATGGTTTCGACTTCTTGGGTCAACAGATGGTGAGTCCACATATCGCGCGGAGTCGGTCGTTACACACATGTTATTGGAATAACAAGCTCATGCACGCCACAGAAAGTATCGTACGCGAAATCCAAGTCTAATGTCGTTGCGAAACTCGACGGTACCTTTAAGTTGCCCTCGACAGCAACATCACAAGCCGCAGGGATGACCGATCTGCAGCAGAGCATCTTCAATGCACCTGTCCCTGGATCGGCTCCCGCGGCAGAACCAACAGCGCCGTCAGGCCTCCCCTCGAAACCGACGACTGCGTCTGCAGACCCCGAGAACAGGGGCCAGAAGCGTGCCCGTGAGGAGGAAGAGGAGGATGACGAAGATAGTGATGTGGCTATGGAGGAAGACAGCGACGACGAGTGAGGGACCCGTGAACACCCATTCTTTGCAAGCTCTACGGCAACAAAGGCCGTGACGGAATCTATACGCGGTCCCCGCATTCGGTTCACCCCATCGCCATTTCTTTTGGCACCCATAATCCTACGCACCCGCCAGTCAGACCCAACCATGCCATGAGGTAATCTTCCTTGGAGCAGTCGAAGTTCGACATGGCATCGCCAAGGAGGCATGGGTGGACGAAGAAGCTGGGGACTCCCGTGACGGGGTGATGCTGCATTTTCGGTGTGTGTTAGGCTAGACCTGGACCATCCAGAAACGCGGACAGCAGGGACCATAATTGACACATTTGACAGCAAAGGGGATGCACATACGTCCGCTGATATGCCACCGATATTTCCAACCTTCCGGAGGCCGTCTTTGTACTGGTCTGGAACGAGACGGCGGAAGACTGTGTCGATACTGAAGGCCGGCTCATCCACTGGTAGCCCGTGGAGGCTGAACCAGAGACAAGGGGCCTGATATGTTGGATGGAGGTGAATCTCGTATGTGACATAGCCGAAGTCTGGTGCCTTTTGCGTCTTCTGGATGACTGCCTGGACAAGAGGTGTGAGTATCACTGGGTCGTGAACAGTTACCTAGTCAGCATGTGCTATGAGAGCATACCGGATCATTTTCTGTCTCCATCATCTCCTGATCCTCTGTCCCTGTCGTGTTTGTGATGTCCTCGCCGAAGGAGAAGTTATCGAGGCATGCTGAAAGGTCTCCATCGTCAAGCTCGCCGTCAAGCGGCCGGATGATCTGGACAAATGTCGTGTACTCTGCCGAGCTCAAAAATGAAATATCCAGCGCCCTGCACACTCTCAATTTCCATCGCCGTCTCACTGGGCCGAGGGTCGCCTGAGAATATCGCCGGTCAAGCTGATGACAGACTTCTGCAAACTCCTCAGCGTTGAGAAACGGAAAATTCTTGAAGTCATTACTGCGCCTCTGTAACGTGTCGTTCATCATTCCATCTGGTGGCATGAGTGAGTTCTTGGGAACATGTTCTTTTACTCAAGTCTGCAATGTTGTGATGACAGACAGTTGATGGCTGCTAGACCATACCAATTGCCTTATTTATCTGCTAGTAACTGTATTGTGCTATCTTTGAGTACTGTACCTAAATATGCAAGATGAACCCCTCGCCACAACCCCAGTTGATGAGCGACTGGGATCCTGGGGCCCTAGGGCCCTGCCGCCTGCCAGGGACAGCCTGGCACTTAGGCCCTGGCCTGCCTGGGAACATTCACCTGCAGCTCCCCTAAAGCGCTAATGTGGAGGTGCATACGACAACTTTCCGACCAGGCTGCATGAAAGATGCAACTCGAAAAGACACCTGCATTGCTGTCCTTTTGTTGCTCAATTGTCTCTTTTTTTGGATCACGAAGACTTCATATAGAACCTGTATCACCCTATATACGACAATCTACTCCCTCCTGCAATCTCTCCGAGGGTCCACTGCACAGCTTCTGCCAAAAGCTTCACCTTTCTTGCGTTACTACACGCCATTTCGACGGAATACCCACCAAAGCTGCCAACTCTCGGCACTCTAGCTATCCAAAGATTCGCCATCGCAAAGGCAAAGGCATAGCACACGCACTCGACGTGTTTTCTAGGTGAATTTCTGGCCCTGCCATGTGGGCAGAGTGAAAAAGAAAATCTATCTCGATCGAAACGACAAAGGGCGCCCACAAACGTAGTGGACGCTCCCCATGAACAATTCTCTCCGAGACCCTTTCAATCTCCGAAGAAATCTACTCGATCCTACCAACCGTGGCCCTGGTGCTGCGAACGCCCTCACCCAGCTCAACCTCCTGCGCGCGACAGCATCCCAGGTCGCCACCCAGGTGACAGAAAGGGTTGCCGAGACTGCCGCCGAGGCGCTCGAGCGAGGGAAGCAGGCCGTCGAGGATCTGAACCAGAACCTCCGCGACCAGCGGGAGAGGGGCAAGGAGAAGAAAGACGACGACTACAATTACAATCAACCCCACGACGGCCAGGGGGAGGGGCGCAGTAAAGACGACGAGGACATGTCGTTCACAGTTCCGAAAAATGTGCCCTCTTTCACGAACCCCCAGCGAGCGATAGAGGACCGTCTGTGGTCATCGTCTGGCGTCACAGCGAGATCAAGCCGAGGAGGAGGAGGAGGTGGTGGTATCGGCGGTGCAGGAGGCATAATAGGAGACGGTCTGGACAAGTTTGGAGACTTTCTCAATCCGAACCGGGCTGCACTGCCCATGTACAAGGACAAGCCATTTGCATACCCTCCGAGTTCACGATCACGGCCGTTCTACCGGCGCAAGCGCTACATGGCTTGGTTTCTATTTCTGGTGTTGGGGGTGGCCTACTGGCTTGGCATGTTTGGCAAGGACGGATATGAGAGGATGCCATCGTTCAAGAGCACCAGCTGGCTCAAATCTGACGAGTCTTCGACAGGGGACAAGGTAGACTGGCTGGAGAGGAGAGAGAGGGTCGTAGAGGCTTTTACGCTGAGCTGGGATTCGTACGCGCGGTACGGTTGGGGTATGTCTTCTCGAAGCCATTTGCGCCTGCGTGAAAGATGAGGACAACAGCAGCTGACATTCTTCTTTCTTTTCCCTTGCAACACAGGTCACGATGTCTACCACCCAGTAACAAAGGCAGGGCAGCAGATGGCCAAGAAGGGCCTGGGTTGGATCATCGTCGATGCGCTTGACACGATGATGCTCATGAACCTGACCAGTCGAGTTGCGCATGCACGAGAGTGGATTGCAACCTCTCTCTCCTACGACCAAGACCAGGACGTGAACACATTCGAGACGACGATTCGCATGCTGGGCGGCTTGCTGTCGGCCCACTACCTCTCGAACACCTACCCGGATCTGGCGCCCCAAAGCGACGACGACCCTGGCGCACCAGGGGAGGATCTGTATCTCGAGAAGGCCAAGGATCTGGCCGATCGCCTGTTGGCAGCCTTTGATTCTGAGTCTGGTATCCCATACGCGAGCGTAAACCTGGGCAAGTACCAGGGCATCGCTTCGCATAGCGACGGCGGCGCCTCGTCGACTGCTGAGGCCACCACGCTGCAGCTCGAGTTCAAGTACTTGGCCAAGCTCACGGGCGAGAAGAACTTTTGGGACAAGGTCGAGAAGGTGATGCAGGTTCTCGACGACAACGGCGCCAAGGACGGACTGGTGCCCATCTACATCAGTGCCGACAGCGGCAAGTTCCGCGGGCAGAACATACGCCTGGGCAGCCGCGGCGACTCGTACTACGAGTACCTGATCAAGCAGTACCTGCAGACCAACAACCAGGAGCCCATCTACCTGGACATGTGGGAGGAAGCCCTCCGCGGCACGCGCAAGCACCTCGTCTCGTACACAGAGCACGCCCAGTTCACCATCATCGGCGAGAAGGTCAACGGCCTCGGCGGCGAGCTCAGCCCCAAGATGGACCACCTCGTGTGCTTCATGCCCGGCACGATCGCCCTCGCAGCGACGGGCGGCATCAGCGAGGCCGAGGCCAAGAAGCTCCCGACCTGGACGGCCCAGAAGGAGAGGGACATGCAGCTGGCGCGCGAACTGACGCACACCTGCTGGGGCATGTACAAGTACATGGCGACGGGCCTCGCCGCCGAGATCACCTTCTTCAAGCTCCCCTACCCGGAGCTGCCCGAGGGCGCCAAGCACCAGGCCCCGGCCACCTTCGACCCGGACCCCGAGGCCGAGTGGCGCAAGGACTTCATCGTCAAGGGCGGCGACTCGCACAACCTCCAGCGGCCCGAGACCGTCGAGTCGCTCTTCTACATGTGGCGCATCACAGGCGACATCCGCTACCGCGAGTGGGGCTGGGAGATGTTCAAGGCCTTCATGAAGCACACGGCCGTCGAGGACGGCGGCGGCTTCACCTCCCTGTCCAACGCGAACCAAGTGCCCCCCGTCCGCCGCGACAACATGGAGTCCTTTTGGCTCGCAGAGACCCTCAAGTACTTTTACCTCCTCTTCTCCCCGGACGACTTCTTGCCTCTCGACAAGGTCGTCATCAACACCGAGGCCCACCCCCTGCCCAGGTTCGACATGGGCCCGCTGTTCTCGACGGGCTGGAAGAGGAAGCCCAGGGATGCGGACGGCAATATTATCGAGGAGAAGGAAGAGGCCGCTTCGGATTCGGCGAGTGGCTGATGATTTTAGAAGAGGCAATGATGAAGCGAGACAGGAGAAAGAGAGAGGGAGAGAGGGAGGGAGACAGAGAGCTCTACCAATTTTTTTTTCTTTCTATATACATACCATCTTCTCACCCCTGGTACAGTAATCATTAGGCGGCGTTTCTGGGGCTGAAACGTGTGACAAGACACAATGAGCAGCATGTCATGGAAGAGAGTGCGAAAATAGAGAGAGAGTTGAGGTAGGTCAATGCATACAAATGACGTCTACTTACAAAGTAGCTTTTAAAGCAGGTGTTTTTTGCAATGGCCTTTTATGGAACTTTGTGACATATATACTCGATTCCTAGGGCTATATATTTGATTTTACAGGCTGGAAACTTTCAGCAGAAAAACCGATATACCTTTTTCCACCTCGGCCAAACCCTCCTCTCCTCTCGCTCTTGGTCCAGTAGGCCCGGCAGGTTGAAGTCCCTCCTTCCCGAGTCGAGATCTATGTCGGCGGTGCGCACAAACTTTGTGCGGAACCACATCTTGTAGCCGACGTACATGATGATAACGACGGGGGCGGCGGTGTAGTTTAAAAAGAAGTTCTTTGTGTTCTCCGCGGCGGTGTACTGCGAGTAGTCCACGGGCCATGCGCCGACCCAGAACTGGGCGACCAGGATAAGACCGTTCAGCAGCAGGCCGAGCCACGAGCCGAGGACGCCACTCTGGGCACGGAAGGCCAGGGCGCGTAGCGAGCGGTGCTTGAGCCGCCAGGCCTTGCGGAAGCGGATGTGGGCAATGCAGATGCTGGCCCAGGTGAAGACGCCGGACAGGGCCGAGATAGAGAGCAGCCAGTTAAGCACGGACTCCTCCTCCTCGAGGTCGGCGAGATAGGCGAGGAAGCCGAAAATCCCCGCGAGGAGGATCGCCACGAGCGGGCGGCCGCGCCGATCTATGTAGGAGAGGATCCTGGGCGCCTGGCCTTGGTCGGCGAGGGCGGCCAGGGTGCGGCTGGAGCCGAAGACGGAGGAGTTGCCGACGGACATGCACGCCATAAGAATTACGCCATTCATGACGCTGGGCAGAACCTGGATGCCGGCGTCCTGGATGGCGATCACGAAAGGGCTCGCGCTCGTGTTGGCGCTTTCCTTGGCGCCGAGAAGGCGCTCGTCGTCATAGGGAACCAGGAGGCCGACCATGGTCAGGGCGAGGATGTAGAAGAGGCTAATGCGCCAGAACACCTGTTTGATGGCGGTGGGAAGCGACTTGCGCGGGTTGGCCGTCTCCGCGGCGGCGAGGCCCACCATCTCGGTTCCAGCGAAGGCGAAAGCGGCGCTCACAAAGGCACTACACAGCCCCTTAAAGCCGTTGTTGAAGGACCCAGGATTGTGCCAATACTTGCCGCCGATGTATCCTGAGTTCTGGCCGCCACCAATGTTGATGACGATGCCAAGTAATCTTGGGGGAGAATGATGTTAGATACTTGTTTTGTCTCTCAAGTCGTCTTTATCAAGTGTCATCGGTGCCGCCCGAGGAAACTTACATGAAGCCTATGATGGCGGTAACCTTGACGATAGCGAACACAAATTCGGCCTCGCCATAGCCCCTGACGCCACACAAGTTGATGGCGATAATGATAAAGAGGAAAATGGTGACGAAGACGGCCTTGTTTACCGAGCCGTTCCAATATGAGATGGTGATTGAAGCCGCTATGATTTCCAGCGGTAGGACTATAAGCCATTGTAAGGCATAGCTAGTTTAGATGGCGTTAGCAGGTTGTTGCTCAACAGCGTGGAATGAATGAGCTAGAGAGAGAGTTTGGACTTACTTCCATCCCATGGCGAAACCCCAGGCTGGGTCAAGGAACCTTGTTGAGTACGCAGAAAAGGAACCTGCTATTGGGTAGACGACAGCCAGCTCGCCCAATGCTTGCATAACGCAGTAGAGCATAGCGCCAACCATCAGGTACGCCAGCAGAAGTGTGGCTGGTCCGCCGGTATTGAGGGCGGTGCCAGACGAGATGAATAGACCAGTACCTAGCAGGTGTTAGAGAAAAGAGAGACACGCACGAACGCACCCACAAACAGCGCCATATGGACCGCCACAAATTTCAGGAGGATATACAAAGCCTCCCATCCATCCAGATAGCCTAAACAAACATCCAAAAACCGACCTGTCGTCTAGACTAGGGGAAATAAAACCCAGCCCACGGCCCAAGATAAACCCATCCACATAAACTTACCAATGGAGCCGCCAATGGCAATCATCTGCAGATGCCTTCCCTTGAGCTCCTTGGCCAGCAGTGGGTGCGCCGTGCGGTAGTTAGCCACGCGGAGGTCGTAGTAGCCGCGGCCGTCGTGCTCCCTGGCGCCGACGAAGGCGTTCTCAGGCGTCATGTGGCCGTCGGGATCACGCCGAAACGACTCAGTCCAGGTCCGCCACCTGCTCTTCATATAGTCGGCTTCTTGCTGGCGGCCACGACCACGGCCGCCGCTGCACCTGGACTCGCGCGAGCGCAGCATCTCGCACTCACCCGCTGCGAGCTGCTGCTGCTCCTGCTTGAAGGTGAGGATCCGGTTAAGCTCGAGGTCGGAGTGGTCCGAGGCCATGGCTGTAGTATGTCGCCTACACTAACTGTGGGAAGGATTTACGTAGCAGGCCAGATGCGATGAGAGAGGAGGCGACGGGTGAGGACCCGGCGTCACCCCAGAATTCAAAAGGGGGTTGTCTGTCCGAGAAATTTCCAGATCTGATGGAAACCCAACTCCCACCCCTGCTGTGTACCCAGAAGAGATACATACACAAGAGTGGCGCGCTGGGTGGGCTTTCCTTTTTCCTTCTTCGCGATTCGATCACCCCATCTCAATGGCTGCTGCAGGGCGGACTCATATATCGTAAACCCCCAGATGGGGGGCCGAGGTGCCGCTGCTGCGGAGAAAGCCTCAAGAACCAAAGAAGGAGATTGATTAAATACAGGAAGAGGAAGAAGAAAGAGTAGATAGACGCCCCTTCTGCTGTGACGTCGTCTTTCTTGCGAGCAACCTCGATTGGGGGAGGGGGGGGGAAGCAAAAGGGGGGGAAGGGCCAAGGCTGTGGTTGTTGAATGTTGATTCCTCCAGCAGATAAGGCCAGACTTTCTATCAGGTGGGCCAATAGAATAGATATGACGCTATTTCGGGTAGAGCCTCGTCATGGCCCGACTGGGTAATTTCGCGGGGACTTTAGAGCCGGGAAAGAACACTGTGTGAGAGAGAGAGAGAAGGAGAGAGGGGGAAAGAGAGAGAGGATAGTACTTACTTGGTATGTAATAGCAGGAGGATTCGGAAGGAGCACTTTGGTACAAGCCAAGCCAATAAAATACACTTAGATACTGTAACCCACCACACTCTTGTTGCATATGACATCTCATGCACCACCACTGAATACCCACCAAGATAAGGCTGACTTTTTTGGGGGGACATGCTGTACACCCACCAAAGCCCACAAGCAGTCACCCACCCCCACCCAAGTCCATCAATAAGTGCCATGTTTGATGTTTAACTTCTTTATGTGGGACACTTGCAGTAGGTGAATGCCTGCATAGCATGCCTGCAAGTACGAAGCAGGCTGACCAGGCCAGCCCTGGCTATCACAATCAAAGATTCTGCTCATTAATGAGAGAAGTGACTTGTTTTGTAGATACTGGATGAACCAGCACCCCACCACCTCTCCCCCTGCGCCCCAAGAATTCTTGGGATAAGCCTGCCTGGCAGGGATGATCTGCTGTGTACTATGGTACTACTATAGAGTACCATCTACTATATTCGGGGCATTCCGCTTCTAGAAGGTTTCTCGACGCACCCAGGCAGACCCAAAGTAACACTGATTGCCTTAGTGTGTCTCAAAATAAAGTATGCTCCAACGAAACTCTCGACAAGCTCATGATTCAGTAGTTGGGAGGACGATTGCAGCTTGCATCCCAGCCATTGCCATCGAATCCCCTAGGCACACACACGCACGGGGGGCAGCGCTTTCGGTGACGGGCCACTCGGGGGCGCTTGTCAAGGGATGATAACAGAGACATTCCCGAGGACCCAATCACTGATGCAGGCTGTGGGCTCCTTGGAGTTCCTACGGTGAACGTTTAAGAAAGGTCGCATACTGCAGCTGCAGCCTGCATGAGATCAACAGCTTTGGAGGGGGGGGGGTGGGGGACACCGTTCATGCCGCCAGCTTGCAATTCCTCTGGCGTCTTCACCCCTGGACATGATGCAGCCAGCCAGCCACGAGGCCTGGAACAAAGACAGAGAGAGAGACACGCCTTTTGTCAATGTTCCATTCTTCTTTATGACATCAGACTAAGCCTAAAACGCTAATCCATACATTTCATATACACACATTCTTTCCCTCCTGGCTTGTGCATTCGTCTCCAACAGCCTTGGAGGTTTGGTATCTATCCATTCTTCTCTTCCCGAATGCGAAGAGGCAACAACAACAGTGTTTTGCACTTGGAGTCTCCCAAGAGCGTATCCATTTCATTGTCCAAAGCACACACACGCACACACGCCCAAAAAGGGACAAATAAGGTAAAATCAAAATACACACACATAAGAAATGAGTGCATTGGTGGGATGACGACTTCCAGGACATTGCTGCTGAATAGACAGCCATGCTGTCATCATCGAACAAGAAAAGAAGAAAGGTATAGGGGGGGAGGGGGAATTGCAGTCGGCGCATACCCCTCTAGAACTCCCAGAAGTTGTTGGCTGCCTTCTGCGCGGCGCCCTTTCTCCCTGGCATGGGGGCTGGCTGCTTCTCTCCGTCGCTCTCGTCACCCAGCGACCAGCCACGCCCGCCCTTGGGGTTGCCCATGCCGTCGCCAGCGAGCTTGATGCGGTGGTTGGGCCCGTTCTCCCGCATATCCCTGGGCGTCTCCTTGGCCGAAGGCTTGCTGTTCTCCTTCTGCGAGCTGGGCGACTCATCGTAGGCCGACCAGTTGGCCTGCATCATGTTGACGGCCTTCTTCCTGTCCTCGGGCACAGGCGCGCTGGGGGCCTTGTGTGCGTCCTGGGTGGGAGACTCGTCCGCCATCTCAAAGTGGGGGCCATACGTCTTGGACCTGTGCTTTAGGTTGGTGATGTTGCCGAGGGCGCGCGGGTCTGGCGACTGGATGGGCTCGGACCCGTCGTCCGTCACCATGTGGTTCTTGTATAGGCCCATCCCGCTGTTGTGCATGGCCCCACGGGGACGGGCGCCGGGGCGCTGGCTAGGCCGCTCGCCTTCGCCGTCATCCTGAAGCTCGATCTGGGTGTTTGCGTCACGGCGGGCCTTACCGAGGGCGACGGGCTTGGCAGGCGACTCGTCAATGTCCTTGTCATCCGTGCCCCAGTGGCGAACGTCCTGGTGGCGGAACGTCTTGCTGGGCTTGGGCTTCTGGGGCGTCACAAAGTCTTCAAAGGCCCATTGGCTTCGGTGCTTCGACTTGATGGCCTCGAATGCGACCCCGGCCTGCGGTGCATCGCTAGGATCGGAGCCGTCCACGAAGTCGAAGTGGTCGTACTTTGTGGGATGCGGCTTCATGTAGCGAGTCGTGGACTTGACGCCCTCGGGGCTCTCGGGCTCGGGCTCATCATCCTCGGCCTTGTCGAACAGCCGCGAAGGCTGGAAGTTCTTGCCAGCACCGATCTTGGGCGCAACAGACTTGCTGGGCGACTGGTGCTCGGGCGAGTCGGGGAGGGGCTCGTCGCCCAGGATCTCTTCAAAGGTCCGCTGGCGGGGTCGCGTGCCCGAGAATGGAGACACGATAGGTGCAGGTTCTTCGTCGCGCGGGTGCTGGAAGGAGTGAAGTGTCGCGTGGGCATCGCGCGTGGCGTGCGTCGAGTTTTCGCGGGGTCGCTGAACGACCTGCGAGGGGGCCGGATCGGCAGGTTTGCCACCAGTCTTGGTGATCAGCTTGATCTGGTCCTGGTTGTCGCGGATGGGCCAGTTGCGACCCGTCTTGCCGATCACCTCGAGCTGCTTGAGGAGCGCACCCTGGTCCCAGCTCTGCTGGACTGTCGCAATCTTGCCATTGCTGTCGAACCTGACGATGTGGAACTAATGCGACAGGGAAAGCAGAGCACACGTCAGTCAGTCACTCACTCTCTTATCGATCCTGGTTTTGTCGAGGTGGCACGGCTCCTCTCTCTCTCTCTCTCTGTGTGTGTGTGACGGGCGACTTACGACGGGCATGTGAACGACGCGATCGTAGAGAAACTGTTCGTCGAGGCCCGGCAGGTAAGCACCGCCCTGGTCCTGGAACTCGAGAGAGAGCTCTGTCTGGACGGCAAGGGCGCCCTGCCCCTCAACGACGGTGATGAATTCCTCCCCCTTCTTTTTGATCAGGTTGCGCTGGGAGTTGAGGTGCTTGATGATGTCGGTGGGGCCGTAGAAGCTGGTCGTCGTGGTGATGTAGTGCAACGACGCGTCCTGCGCCAGCGCGGATGAATTGGGCGCAGCCAGGAACTGCTTGTACACCGCTTGCAGCGCCATCGTGTAGACGATTGTCCAGTCGAATCAAGAAGGGGTGCGACGAGTTTTCAGTTTGGCGTAATAAAGTGGTAAGAGAGAAGAGAAATTGGAAGTTAGTGGGGGGTTTACTTTCTCACAGCGCGCTGGTGCTCGTGCTGATGCTCGTGATGGTGTTGTAGTGGCGCCAGTGTAGCGCGAGAGGCAGAAGAAAAAAAGAGAGAGAGAGAGAGAAAGGACGCGCGCGGTTTAAACTTGCAAAACAACAGGAGGAGAGCTCACCGTGGTAACGGTTGTCGCCTCTCTGCTTAGATGGGCGAGGGGGGCTAAGAAGTTAGGACTCGCGGGCGAATCTAATCGTCAAGGCAGGGATGCTGGGGATGCTGCAGGAATGAAGGGGATCGAAGAGGACCTGGGGAGCAATGCGTACCAGCCTGGGAAGGCAGGCCAATGCAACAGCAGCTGCTGCAGGGGCACATCCACCAGCCGAATGGCACATTACATGCAGGGAGTCAGTCAGTAACATGTTTTTGGTCTGCATGGTATGAAATTCACGGTTAGGTTGGGCCAACTTAGGGCCTCTCTTGTCAGTCCATCTCTTACAGCGTTTTAGCTGATGCAGTGTTGCTAATGCAGTGTCGTCTCGTGGAAACTGTCCCTTTGCCTTTGGTACGCTGTCGTAACTTCATATCCTCCACACCTGTTTGCTTTTTGGTTGCGTGCTAGGTCAGCTGCCCAGATACTATTCACCACGGCAGCGCATACCATGTAAATCAAATTCATGAGATCAGCCTTGTGCCTGTGTTTGACCCAACGGTCATTTGCTCCAGTCCACCCGCAATGCAGTGTCGAAGCTCTGGCCCCCATCTGGCTGATGCGCCTTGGAACGATCGACCTGGACCAAGCTTTGGTCTCCTCCTCCTCCTCCTTGCCTTATCAAACGGATCAACCTCACCAGGAGGAGGCTGTGACGCGTCGAAACGGATGCTACAGTGTAGGTAAGAGCCCATCGCGCCCATACACAACACCCCCGCCCCGTTTCGACGATCATCCATAATTTACTATGGTACCTCGTGTATCAAGAGAGTTAGTTACTGTAGCAATTCGGAGACTAAATACCAACGTGTTGGTTCGTGTATCCTAGCAGCTGAGGGAGACCCTTTGCCGCCTGCCGCCAGAATGTCTTAACTATTGTCCACAGCCTGACCTGGTGTGCCTAGGCTTTTTAGCCGTGCCCTGCCACCCTTGCGAGTGGTAGCAGTTGTCTTCTGCTGGGGCCTGCAGGCGCAGCTGTCTCTACCGTCCCAACGTAGCATGTCCTACTTACCGTATGCGTCCTGGGCTCCACTGGACATGCATGTCAACTGGTTAGCGCCGTTTCAGGCACCATCAACGAATGCAGAACAGGCAAGCAGCCCACTGCGCTTTTGGTTATGCGAACCTACCGTAGTAAACAAACTGCTCAGCACCAGCTCCATCTTGCCCAATAATGGCCACCTTTAACATTAGCCCTCACTCAATAATCCATCTGGCTGCCTAAGACCCGCTATCCATCTCATCTCAATGTTCAACGTTGAGCTCGGCAGGCTGCCATTTGGGCTCTTGAGCCTGGTCCTACTGCCCGTGCACCGCATACTCCATCGCCAAGCACCAAGTAAGTGGTGATCTTGACAGTCTCGTCTCGTTCTGAGGAGCAAACATATCTATACTACCCAGGGAAACAGTCCTCTTGGTTCTCCAGTGATGAGATGGTAGGTGTTTATTCTTCGCAAATGATATGGACTCATGACATCTCAACGGAAATGGGCTGGTGCCCAAGCCGACAGAAAAACCAAGCCATTCGTTCATTGCTCACCGGTGCTCAGGATTTTCACATCAAGCCGACTTGTTAGCAAGGCATTCATCGAAGCACGAAAAGCTGGGTGTCTCTGAAAGATGGCTGTTTACCGTCGCCGTGTCGGGGTCGAGGCACACAATAGTACTGTAATACTGTGCCGGTCTTGTCCAGACCGCAAAGCCGTCTCAAGCACAATACCTGCCAGACCGAAAGGACAATATGAAGCTAAACAAGCAGCTTTCCCAATACGAACAAAGTCTTCATTGCATTTTTACTGCCTCGTCTTCAACGGCCTCTCGTCTGGTTTACATGTCCCATTTTTGTTCTTGAACTTTCTACATTGGCCATCGTTGCGGTACGAATGATCATATGGGAGTGATAACTACAACCCCCTTACACAAGGGCCAAAGAACCGAGATATCAACTATGTCAACCGAGAACTCACCTGCAAAGGATATGGAGAGACATGCTGCGACAGTGAGAGAGGTCGCTGTGTCTGTCAGAAGTTTCTACGACCGCAAGGAACCCTATCGAATCTCTCATGGCAGCACCAACAGCACACGACCCAAGGGAGCCATACGCGCCGTCGACATCTCGGCTCTCTCGCACGTCCTTTTTGTCGATCCGGTCAAGAAGACGATGTTGGTAGAGCCCAATGTGGCCATGGACGGCCTCGTCGAAGCTTCACTGCCCCACGGCCTGGTGCCGCCCATCGTCATGGAATTTCCCGGTATCACCGCTGGTGGGGGCTTCGCCGGCACGGGGGCCGAGAGCTCCAGCTTCCGCCACGGCTTCTTCGACGACACGGTGCGCAGCGTCGAGATGGTGTTGGCTGATGGTGAGATTGTTACGGCCAGCCGCGACGTGCGGCCTGACTTGTTCCGCGCCGCCCCTGGTGCGGTTGGAACGCTTGGGATTGTCACCATGCTGGAGATCACCTTGATCGAGGCCAAGAAGTACGTGCACACGCGCTATCGCCGGACCAACAGCGTGGCAGAGGCCGTCAAGGTCGTCAAGGACGAGATAGCGAGGCCTGAGAATGACTATGTGGACGGCATACTCTTCTCCAAAGAACACGGCGTCATCATTTCGGGTTCCCTTACGGACCAGAAACCCGACCACGTCAAGGCGCAGACCTTCAGTGGTGCCTGGGACCCATGGTTCTATTTGCACGTCCAGGAGCGTACATCTGGGCCCGCCGAGGACGCTGTTGTGTCCATCACGGAAGAGGAGGACTACATACCCCTGGCCGAATACCTGTTCCGCTACGACCGCGGTGCTTACTGGGTTGGTCGCTTCGTCGTCATGTACTGGCTGATGCCGTTCAACAGCTTCAGCCGCTGGCTACTGGACGACTTTCTGCACACCCGCATGCTCTACCGCGCCCGTGAGACGGGGGAGAACAACACATTCACGATCCAGGACATCGCAATGCCCTTCGAGACGGCAGAGCCGTTGGTCGACTATCTGGAAGCGGAGCACCCGATCTGGCCGCTGTGGCTCTGCCCGATGCAGCGGCGCAGCTCACCCACTTTTCACCCATTCACCACTACGCCGGGCGGCGAACGGCAGAAAACGCGCTCTATTTCCAGAGACATTCTCGGGCTCCCCTCTGCCTCTAGCATGCCCCCAGCTCAACAAGAGGAGGATGACCGTCACCCCCACCAACAACAAATGATGCTCAACATTGGCGTCTGGGGCCACGAGGGGACATTCTCGCCGCCAGCCTTTGTCGGGAAAAACCGCGCCCTCGAGGCCAAAGTTGGCGAGCTGGGCGGGATGAAGTGGCTGTACGCGCACGTGTACCACTCCGAGGAGGACTTTTGGGCCATGTACGGGGGGCGAGGGTGGTATGACGCGCTGCGGGCCAAGTACAAGGCCTCTGCGCTGCCAAGCGTCTACGACAAGGTGCACGTGAAGAAGGAGGACGAGGCGGCGGCGAGGAGACGGGCCGGGCGGTGGGAGTGGCTCAAGGGATACTGGCCGATTGGCGGGCTGTGGGGATCCTGGACGGCGATGGCGAGCAAGGACCACCTCCTGCACAGGAATGCGGCGTGGAGATGGAGGAGGGGGGAGTAGCAGGACGAGTGAAGGGGGAGAACGAAGCGAGAGGGGAAAGAAGGGTGGAAGGCTATGATTGAGTTGATGGTGTTGTTGACTAAGAAGAGAAGAAGCATATGGCCAAGACAAAAGATGGTTTACAAGGAACCCTCCGACGATGAAGAGGCCGTATTAGCGGAACTCAATCATCTCCAATATGTCTCGTGATTTTTGGGCCCAAAGGTTCCCCCTCCTCTCGTCTGGTTGGTCATGTTCGGGGTCCCCCAATCGCACACCGTAGACCGCAAGCCCGCCCTGTATAAAGAAAAACCCCTTGAAGTTTCAGGTGAGAACAACGGCTTTCCGCTTGCCCACAATTGAATACACACACACACACGCCCGCCTCAGGTCTGGGCCTGCCTGCTAAGCAACTTACGAGATCATCATCCTATCGTCATCATCTCAGGGCCGACCAAGGCGGCCGCCGCTGGGGGAAGTATGTTTAATGTGTTAAACCTTGGTCTGAGACAAGAGAGGGCCTCTTTTCTTTTCTCCCACCGCAAGTCGTCCCATGTGGATGATGATTTCAGCTGGTCATCGTTCTTCTTGTTTGAATGGTTGACGTCTTTTTTAATATTCTATTTTCCCCCGTCCTCCAACCCCTTTCCCTCTCTCTATCTCCTCCTATTTCTGATTGGTATGTGAGTGACTTAAGAGAGAGGCATGAGATGACACATGCATAAGCACAGCATTTGCAGGGGTCAATTCATAGTCGCCTATCTCTGCTCTGCCTTGCCAAACCAACATCATCATGAGACTTTCAAGTCGGCAGAGCCACAGCAAGCCTCATGCATATCAAGTGCAGATAAAATAAATGATCGGTGTGCAACTTTGATTCCCCACAAGTCAAACGTTGATTCGTATTATAATCTTTCCTTCATCCCCAACTCGGCCCCTCAATCCTCACTACCGTTCCTCATTTTTTTCTCTCCTCTTCTCCCTCTTCCTCCATCTCCTCTGCTTCTTTGAGTCTTCACTCCCAGATGATGCAAAACCTCTCATCTCACCGTCAGCTAACTGGCATCACCACCACTTAATTACCACACATATCACCACACCCCAACCACCCAAACAATGCAACTTGACAAGTCCTCCCCTCCCGCCGCCGCCCGCACCAAACCCCAGCTCCACTCCCGCCAATGCCACTACACCTACAACGGCACCCGCCACCTCCCAAGGGCCATCTGGATCCGCTCCCTCCGCTTCGATCTCGACCCCGACCTCCTCGACGACAGCACCACCACCACCTCCTCCTCCTTGACCTACGAGATCCTCCTCTACTACGACCACAACCGCGCCTGCACCATCTACCGCTCGCCAGAGGACTTTCGCAGGCTCAAGTGCGCCGTGGGGAGGCTGTCCACTACTGCTGCTGCCGCCACCACCACCACCACCACCACCACCACCACCAGCATATCGGATGAGCGTGTTGTCGAGGACGTCGAGGTGCTTCAGCGGTTTCTTGTCGAGGCGCTGCGGAAGAAGGGCGGGGACTGGGCGGTGGAGTATTTTCTTCGGAGGCGGATGGATGATTGCGGGGGACTTTGAAAAGGGGGAAAACCAAGAAAGGAAGAAAGAGAAGAAGCTCTTCTTCTTTCTTTTTTCCCTCTTCCTTTGTGGTCAACCAAGCTGGTCTGTCTGTGACAGAGTTTGTGGAGGTTTTTTTTTTGGGGGGGGGGGGAGGAAAGGCTTGATTGGAAGTCTAAATCGACTGGCTCGAGGAAAACATGCCGCACTGTGTGTGAGTGTGTAGATCTACACAAAATTATGTACCGTCTGGAAAGGGCGCTGGACATCATATTAACAAATTGGTTGGTAGGCTTCTCCCTCCCTACCTACTTCTAGAATGAGAGTCTTTCCTGATACTGACTTTGTTTTCCTCTAGATTGATGATGATCACCATCGTCACTATACACCCACCACATTACCAGTCCAAATCTCGTGGTGGGCTGAGGTGTTACTTATGACTTTATGGCTTTATGATCTTACGACGAATGAGGTTGGCTTGGGCTTTGGAACATTGTTATAATCCATCTTAGGCTATTAATTTGGACTGGTATCGAATCGCAAATAAATCACTTTTAAAAGACTAATATGTGCAGGGTGTGTTTTCCAATCCAAATAATTCACGCCTGCCAGAGAAAATCCATTTAGCAATCTGGGGCTCGGTGGGCATTACGCCTGACCTCTGGGGTTGATTTTCCTATACAGTAATAACATTCTTATTCTTCCACCCATCATGCCAGCTCAGAAAAAAAGAAAAGTACAAACAAAGAAAAACGGCCTTGGAGACTCTCTGCCTTGGCCAATCAATCGTGCAGCCCGACAGCCCTCTCGGCCTCCAGCTCCAGCATATCCCTCTTCAGCCCCCTCGCCTTGTAGCCAACATATACCACCATCGCCAGGCCCACAACGAAACCCGCCGACAGCAGGATGACGTTCACGGGCACTGGGTCGCCCTGGAAAGTCTGGTGGAACAGGTAATCCAGGCCAGACTGTGAGAAGTTGAACAAACCTGAAAGGCAGATAATAGTCCCGTAGACGGTGCCAAACGTCTTGAAGCCGAACACCTTGGCGGTGTAGTCGGACACGGCAGTGTAGTAAAAGGGCCGATACAGCACAAACAGACAGATGTTGGCGTAGGCCGCCCAGACCTCGGGGATGACACCCAGCACGCCGACGGTGGTGGTGACGGTAACGAGCCAGAAGAGCACGGCGACAGTCGAGGTGTGGTCCAGGAGCAGGCCGATGAAGGGGATGGAGAGGATACCGCCGACGGGGAGAGCGAGGTCGAAAAAGTTGTTGATCTCGATGGCACGGTCACGGGAGTGGAGGAGGGCTTGATACTGGGGTCGGATCGTCGCCACGAAGTAATTGATCCTTGTCATCTGGATCACAGTGAAGAGACAGATGAAGATGAACCAAGGGGACCGGATCTGTTCCCAAGCCGTGTTCTGGTGCTTGACCCCCCACACGCCCGACGTCTCGTTCTTGCGCTCCTCGCTCCTGGCCTGCCTGTCCGCCCGCGCGGGCCCGAGAAGGTCCTCTAGGTCCGCCTGGACGCACTCCCGGTGCTCCCTGCGCTCCTCCTCCAGCAGCGCCGTGTGCTCGTCGACCTGGTCATTCCGCTCGTGAGGCAGAAGCGGCTGGTCAACCTCCTCGATCATCTCGCCGATGGTCTTGTATGACTGCGCAGGGAGTAAGAACAGCTGCAGCAGGACGATGACCACGGGCACCACGAGATAGGCCAGGAAGAATCTGTCGTGACCGAACGCCCCCGCGGTCTTCTCAAAAATAACGCGGTAAACAAGGAAGAGGGCGCTTGAGGCATCGAAGGCGCCCGTCAGGATGGCCAGGATGAGGCCCGAGTGCCGCGGGAAAGCGTTGGACAGCTGGAAGGAGGAGATGTAGGTGAAGGGCCCGCCGAGCGCCAGAAAGAGATAGCCAAAGAGCAGGCCGTCGAAGGGGAGGGCCCTTTCGTAGGCCATCAGCAGGGAGCCCACCGCGAGGAAGAAGGCACCGAGCAGACTGCAGACGCGTGGACCGAGGTGGTCGAGGATGGTGCCGACGGGGAGCGCGGCCACGTTGGTCGAGACGGCGGCGACGGTGAACATGAGGTTCAGGTGGATCTCGACGCACGTATCCACGTCGGCGGCGGCGGCAGCGGTGGTGAAGGAGATGGCACCATCAGCTTCCTGCTCACCTGACTGACCCCCGCAGACGTCCTGATAGGCACCCTCTGCCTTGAGCACTGGCTTCAGCGCCGCGTAGCCGAATACTACACCTGCTGCGAAGAGGCAGTAGACGACCGTCGCCGAGACTTGTACTACAATGAAGAGTTAGTTATTCACGTACGTATAGGTACACAGACGCTCAAACTGGTAAAGGCACAATGGAAAGAAACGAGAGAGCAGGGAAAAGTCCACAAAAAAAACCAAAAAAAAAAAAACCACTTACAGAGTCTCTTCCATCTTGGGACCTCGAAGGCGCCCACAGACTCTATGTAGCCTGGCTTGCCGGCGTGAGGATCCCATGACTCCGGTAGAGGATTGAAGCTAAGTCTCCTATCACGACTGCTGGGTGAGGGGGCCCTAGAGGAGCCTGGGCTGTGCAGATGAGAGAATGTCTCGAGGGATGAGACACGGTTGAGGGACATGCTTGATAAGGAAAGTGCCTCGGGGTGGTGTGTTTGTCGCCCTTCCTTGTCTCAATTGCTGCGCAACCCTGGAAGGTTTCGTTTTGCAGGTCAAGAAAGTGACGAGCAAATGTATTACAGGAAGCGCAAGGCAAAAGTGAAAGTTCACACTGGAGTGAATACACAAATATGTACGTGTGTACTCAGATATATCATAGATCATCAAGGTTTTGGCTGCTCCATTGACGTTAAAGTACTTGGAAATTGGTCAACTGATCGGTCCTGTCCGGTCTAGGCGTGCAAGGCTAATTGTACGTAACTAGAGGTGGGGCTCCTTTAAGAAGATCCTAGCAGGTTTGCCAATTCGTCTCTGGTCGTCGCTGCATTGCGAACATCATCATCGTCATTCCTACTCCGACTTTGGAGATCATGCATGCACACTTGTCTCCATTGGCTCTATACATGTCTATATGTATCTTTTTTTTCTTTTCTTTTCATAAAAATAATGATTCATCTCTCAGCACATCTACAGAACATTGGTGTTTTCTGATATATTCTACAACCGCTTTTACTTATCTCGCCTTGACTGGTGAAGGAGGTCCCGCAAAAAAAGATAAACATGGCTTGGACCGAAGGCGAGAAGCTCTGGATTTTTTCTTTCACCCCCCGTCTTCCCTGTTTTCTTACCCCACGTCGAGTCGAGGGTGATAGCAAATACTCAGCGATCGAGACCTCAATATGCTGACCGGTTATTCATTCGCTTTAGCTCCAAGCAGAATTTTTAGTAAATCTTTTTTCTCCATCCATTGTCGCTCGAAGCCGGCCGCGGGTTTTCGGCCACACCCGCCGCCATGCCAAATGCTTCCGCTTGCAGAGCGTGAGTTGATGTGTACAAGCATATAATATATCAGAGTCCATGGTAAAATGGATGGCGGATGGCGCCTTTTCTTGCTCCCGACACCTTAATATTTGCATATTTTCCCTCTCTTCTTCTTATCTCTCGCCGCAGACCAACTTCACCCATTATGAGAAGCAAACCACCAATGACAAGCCGCTCATTTTTGATGCAGAAAGCGAATGACTACTACAGTAGGCCGCCCGTTATGGGTCCGGCGTCCCCCGGTGGTAGGACCCGGAGCCTGACGTCCGGACGAGATTCCCTCACCCGGGTAAACACCGATTATGACACCCAAGAGTATAGGCAATAACACCATGATAACTTTATAGCCAGGGCTGGAGGTAACTTCTCCCATGCTTGTTCTAGGTCGTTATTACGGACATGCAAAGCTGATACGACGCTCGAGGAAACCAAGTCACCCTTTTCTGCCTCACAATAGAGATTGGGCAATTTCATCTTCTGGCCATCATAAATTCATCACTTTCGAAGACCAGTCGAGAGATGAGACCGGGATCACGCCCAAGGCCAGAGAGTGAGTAGAAGACATTCACTCATGAAGCCACACGACACTTATCAAGGTATGGTTGCAGGCAAGACATGTGGCCAATCTCTTATCGTGGTAGCAATTGTCTATAGTTTGTGTGTATAAATATATCCCTTACAGGTCATAAAGCATGTCACTCACGAGATTATAGTTGGTCGAAGGTCTATGGGTGTGACAATATACACCTACACAATATCCTGGTGGCCAGCCACATCTGTATGAAGCTATCGTCTCAATATCGACGGGGAAAATTGTATGCCTCCTTTTCCTATGCCCAAACTAAGAAGGGTAAAAAATGTGATAAGTCGGGCAAGGGTGGAGCTCTCGGTAGTACCCATTCTAGGTTCCCCGGCTCCACGACTGCATCACATGCTGCTGGCGGCTAAATTCCCCCCCAAAAAATTGAAGAAAGGAGAGACAGAGAGAAGACAATGCCCTCCTAACCTCCTTGCTTTTGCCTGGCCATGGAGCAGACGGATGGCGCAGATGGCACACTAAGATGGGTCCCCTTCTAGGATGCACGAGGCCAAGCCAGAAAGGTTACGTTGGGCGCTTCGCCAGTGCACGCCGGCGACCGGCTGTCACTTTCATTTGCTGCAACATTGTCGTGTAAGCGCCCAACTCCCAGCACCAATCAACGACGAGGGCTGCCTTCCCTGGTTCTGCCTTCTGGGTCGTTCTTTCCCTGTCCGCCCCCGCCGTCAGTCGCCTCCAAGAAGGGTCGTTGCCTCAATACCAGAATAGTATGTAGTATCTATGATCGCTTTTTTGCCCAACCCAAGCAGATGCTACCGCCCTCCTGCAGTCTGCAGCGTCTTCCCGTTCGTCCCACACAGCTCCACCTCTCTCTCATGCATGCCCTTGCGCCCAACCTGCTCGAGGCTTGAGAGTGGACTGCATGCGCCTGGCTGCACAGCTATGCAGGATAGATCAGACCGTCCTGACTCCTTGATCCAGTATTTGACCAACGGCGCCTCACCCCTGACGTCTGCTCTTCCTGTTGTCCCTCGACTTCTCCTTCTTTGTGTGTTGTTTTGAAACTTACTCGATTCGCAGGGACTGACTTCTCACAAGTCTCTCGCAATCTGATACCCGCAGGTCGACCTGTTATGCGGCCTTAGCTTGAGATCCCACAACCCCTCCTCCCACCCCACCAGCCAGCCCACCATCAACAGCTCCAAGACAGCCCGGCGGACGGAAAGTCAGACAGACGACAGGAAGCACGGGTCCGACGGCAACATTGTACAACTGACGACTGAAGACGTACCAACGACGTTCTCGCTGCGTGGACGGTGTGGAGAACAGACCACGTCGTCCCCCTCCCCCAGGTCAGCATGTCCGATAGGTCGAGGGGCATTTCTGAGGAGGAGCTCTTCATGAGCCGCCCTGCCCAGCATGATGACGACAGCCCTACCATCAAACCCCTGAGGATCTTCAAGCCTCAGAGCCCCAATCCCGCCGACCGATCCAAGTATTCCTACCCTGTGCCGACCTCTTCTGCAGCCTCCTCGTCGTCTTCCTCCAGACTTGCCTTCCCACTGCCTCCCGGCGCATCCAGCTCTGCCGCTCCTCTGCCCTATCCCGACGACGAAGACTACCGGGCCGCCTCTCAGCCGGCCCGCCCAGCATATTCAACAGATAGCCGCAAGTCTTCGGCCGCCTCAGGTCGGTTACACGGCACGACCAGCCCGGCAAATGTTGCGTCCAGTGGCTACAATGATACATCACCTCGACTGAACCAGAGCCCTATCGAGAGTGGTCGCCCTGGCCTCGCCGAGAGGAGAGGAGCCGTGCCCAAACCCATCGTCAGCCCTACAAGCCCCAAGGTCGACAGGGACGAGCTGTTCGCACAGCCCCTACAGAACCAGCAGCAACAGCAGCATACCGTGTCCACGGCCTACCAAAACAAGCCTTATTACCCTCCGCCGGCCAGCACGGCCTCGACGGCGAGCTCAGGCGCAAGCTCCCACCCTGCATACGCCCAGCGGCATGACCAGGGCAACCTCGGCGCATCGTCCGACAACATGAGCCGCTTCCCCTCCACGGCGTCCAACTCTACGACAAGGGCAAACCGGGGCTCGCCTCCGCCGCCAGAGACCCCTATCGTCGAGCCAGGAAATATACCTGGCGGCGGGATCGAGGCCCGGTACGCAGCTGCTGGGATCTCAGGCACTGCGACCCTCAGCAGCTTGCAGGCGCAGAGCGCTGCAGCCTCGCAGCGTCTGGCCCACTACGGCGGCCAGCCACCCCAGCAGCCTCAGCCCACGCGGCCTTGGACACCCACCGACGACGGCGGCACGCACTCCCCTCCGACCGTCTACCAAGGTGCTGCACCCATAGCCAGCCCCGTCCCGGGCAGCGCCCAGAATCCTTCCCGGCCGAGTGTTTCCAACAGAGACTCTGCGCTGCAGGTCAGCGTCCTGGAGCAGGACTTCCAGCGCATGCAGGCATCGACACCGCCTCCTGCATATACCACCGTGAACGCAAATGGCTCGGCTTATCCGAATGAGAAGCAGAGGCCCGCTGCTGGGCCACAGGGCAGTTCCAGTTCCACGCCAGCACCGCAGTCGTCCGCTGCTGCTACTGCCGGCCCCGCCGCCGCCGTTCCATCCTCAAGCAGCAGCACCAGTGCGGACCCGAATGCTGGGAGGAAGCCGTCTGTGGCAGCTATCACCACAGCTGGACTAGGAATGTCCTCGCCGGTGCCCTCGCTTCACAATGTCAATCATCCAGCTTTTGCGAATGATCAACGACAGAACGAGCACCCCGCGCTGCAACACACGCCCTCCATCCTGAGCCAGGCACAGTCGCCTCCTCCACTGCCGGAAGGGTGGATTGCGCACCTGGACCAGAATTCAGGTCAATACTACTACATCCACCTCGCCACACAAGCGACGCAGTGGGAATTCCCAAAGGGGCCAAATCCCATTCACCACGAAGTAACTCCTCTTTCGCCCGTCGGCTCGACGTATGGCAACCCGCTGGCGTCCCCCTTCCTGGGCGGGAAGCAACCTCTTGCATCGCCGGCATATGCTCCCTCCACACCTGGTTATGCCGAGAGCATCATGAGTATGGCCACTGCCACACCATCAGCAGCAGGTTTCTCCGGACCACCGCCTAGCGCAGGTGTCGATATGTATAGGATCACGCCTACCAACGGCGTCTACTTTGGACCGTACCTGCGATATGTGAACATGGACGTGGAGAAGGGAATGTGGCTGGGGAGCATCATGATCGTGACCGACTCGCCGCAGCCTCCCACCATCCATATCCACCTGAGCCTGGACCTGTCTCCCAACCCACGGCAGCTCACCCCGCAGGCTATTTTCACACACCAGCGGTGGACGTTCTACAAATACGACTTGGAGCTCAAGATGGGCGAGGGCAACACCACCGAGCGGTGGACATATGCGGTCACGTCACATCTGGGCTGCACGAGGTACGAGTTTGTGGTGGCCGGCCGGTATGAGAACGGGTGGCGGTTCATCGCGCACTCGGGCAACGACTTCTCGATAACCACGTCGCAAAATGACCGCTCTAAGCTAGGCGGCGCAGGTCTTATGTGGAAAGACGTACTGCAGAAGAACGTCGAGTGCAGTGGCTTCCACGTGCAATTAGGCCTGGGCGATCAGATCTATGGAGATCGACTGTGGAAAGAGGTGCCTCTCCTGCGGCAGTGGTTGACCATGCAGGGCAGAGAGAATCGAAAGAACGCACAGTGGACGGCGCGGCACGAGGAGGACGTGTCACATGCATACTTCCACTACTACACAAGCCACTTCGACCAGCCTTTCCTACGTGAGGCGTTCGCACAGATCCCTCACGTCTTGCAGCTCGACGATCACGACATGTAGGCGTCATCCTCGTTACTCCGTTGCTCTGGGAATCTTGCTGACATGTTCATTATTAGCTTTGACGGCTTCGGCTCTTATCCAGCCTACATGCAGCAGTCCGCCATCTTCAAGAACGTTGGCCGGATAGCAATCGAGATGTACCTCCTCTTCCAGCACCACACCACCGTGGAGATGCTGCGCAATGTCAACTCGGATCTGGATCTATTTACCATCACAGGAACAGGGTGGCACTTTGTGAAATACCTTGGCCCATCCGTCGTCGTCGTCGGGCCGGATTTACGATCCGAGAGAAACCAACAGCGTGTCATGGCGGGCCCTACGTACCAGGGTATCTTCCCGAAAGTTGCCATGTTACCGCCGTCCGTGCAGCACTGTATATGGATGCTCTCGGTGCCGGTCGTCTATCCGCGCCTCGATACGGTTGAGACACTCGCCAACACATTTGCCACCGGCAAGAAGGCCGTCAACACGACATACAACCTGCTGGGCAAGGCGACCTCGTCCGTGGCGGGCATCATCGGCGGGAAGGAGGTCGTCCAACAAGGCTTCACGCAGGTGAAGAAGGCAGTTGGCAAGACGGGGCTCATGGGCAACGTGCTCAATCAGTTTGGTGAATTTGACCTCGCCGAGGAGCTCAAGGACCTCTGGACGCACGAGTCCAAGGACCTAGAGAGGACGTACCTGATCAGGACGCTTCAGGGCATCTCACAGCAAAAGGGCATACGGATGACGTTCTTTTCCGGAGGTGAGTGCCTTGATGATTTTCTTCCCAACCCCGGTAAGGTTGAGCGTACCACAGATTACTGACTCTCTCGTTTGCTTGTAGACGTAAACTGCGCCGGTGCCGGGCTGGTCCATGACCCCTCACACCCATCCGACCACAAGACCATGTACCAAATCATCACGTCGCCTATCGTGGCCGCGCCTGCAGGCAACTACATTCTCAAGATGCTCCACAACAATCGGCTCCTTTACGTGCCCCTCAACGGCCACCGATCCACGCACGAGGTCTCGGACACCAAAGAGGACATGATGGAGATCTTCCATACCGACGCTTCGGGCGCTGCCCGCGAGCTCAAGAAGCTCATGGGCCGCCGCAACTACGCCGCCTGTGTCGTTTACGACCCGGATCAGATCAACAATGGTCAGCAGCAACAGCAGCAGCACGGCGGCAGCAACTACGCCCACAGCATCGCCAGCGGTGGCAGCGGCGGGGGCTCGTCGGCTGGTTTGAGCAAGCTGAGCCTCGCCATCGACTTTGTCGTCCAGGGAGATGGCCACTTGCCGGCGCCGACCAAGTACGGACCGGTCATCGTTCCGCACCTCGAGTTTGGGCATTGAGAAGGGGGAAGCGACCGAGCAAGTTTGTGTGGTTACGCGACGGTTTTTGGATTGTTATATTCGATCTAATGGACCATGACATATAGTCATACAAGATCTCATTCACAACCAACAAGGAAGAGAGAGAGAGAGAGAGAGAGAGTATAGCGACAAGATTCCAAGAAATGTAGGCATGGGGTTCTGGGCGTTGGAATGATGTTCTGACTGGTTGCTACATGCGACCCATTGAATATGACTACTATTATTACTTCCAATGAAACGTGGTATTTCCAGTCCGACTGTCATCAATTCTTAAAATGCTCCGTGCGGTGGGAGAGACAAACAGCAGTACACCGTCGAGATGGCGGCATCTACTTGCTTCCCACGGCCGAATCGCCCTCGGCGTGCCCTCTGATCAGCCGGAGGAATTCCATCTCAGGGGCGCAGCGGATGTAGATAGGGTAACAGTAATTGATTTTTAAATCCAGCGGGTACATACATACCTGCAGACTAGGACTTACATCCCCCATAAACACCTTCTTCTTCCAAGTCAATAACAGACTCATGCTCCTCCTCTCCTGTGGTAGCCCAAAATCATCACGCACTTCGTCTCTCATACGCTCTCTCAGAACTCCATAGGCATTCCGACAGCCTCCTCGTGTAACTTGCGCAGGGCATCATCCCTCTCGTCCCTCTCCTCCTTGATCCTCGCCTCGACCTCATCCCGAATCCCACCCAGATCAGGCGGTATTGTGCTCATCTGCACGCTCGGAGCGGCATTGACGAATCGCAGCTGCTCGCTTATGTGCATCCGGATCTCCTCGATGCGCTTCGGTGTGTTTCTGTTCGGCTTGGGCGCCTCGAGGATCTGCTCCAGGGTCGGGAACAACGTGTCCTGCCTGAAATGATCACGCCAGGGCGCATGCATCGGAAGGGTGGCGTCGATCTTGTCGGCGGCGTCGATGGCGATGGATGTCTCATGTGTCCACGCGCGGGCAACATTGCGGGGCGTGTAGCCACCGCCGCCGAACAAGATCATGGGAATATTCTGTGCCTTGCAGAACTCCACGCACTGTCCGTGGCCCTGGACCTGCAGATTAAACTTGCCCAGCCGGTCACCAGCGAGAGAGTCTGCACCACACTGGAGGGCGATCGCAGAGGGTCGAAACTTCTGGATCACCTCGCCGATAACGGTTCTGAAGAGCATGCCGTACTGCTCGTCTGTGATGCCATCTTGCAAGGGCACGTTGAGCGCATGGTGCGCACCAGGGTTCTGTTCACTCTGGGGCCCGTTGTCGGTGAGAGCGCCGGTGCCAGGGAAGAAGTTCTGCGGGTCGTACTTGTGGAAGGACACGGTCATGACGCGGTCCGTGGACAAGAACGCCTCCTCGACACCGTCGCCGTGGTGGACGTCGATATCGATGTAGAGAACCCTTGGGTAGCAACGCAGGAGCTGTAATATGGCAACGACAATATCGTTGATATAGCAGAAGCCTGATGCCTCCGTCTTCTTGGCATGGTGGAGGCCGCCACCCCAGGCGATGGCGATGTCCGACTGCCCCGAGCATATCTTCCGCGCGGCATCTAATGAGCTGCCTGCTGACATGGAGCAGTAGTCATACAGCCCCTCAAAGAGCGGGCAGTCAGACCCCCCCAGGTTGAACTTCAACTCGGTGCCAGGGTTCTCTATATCCCGGGGTATTGGTTCTGGTGCGACGGTGGCCAGGAAGTCGAGATAGTCAGAGGAGTGGAACGAGTTGAGCTCTTCATATGTGGCTGCCCTGGCAATGTAGTTGTCCATGGCAAAGTTCATGCCATAGGACATGATGAGACTCTTGGCCAGGGTCAGGCGCCAGGGCTTCATTGGATGCGTGAGACCAAAGTGGTATTTCTCCATCTCAGGGTTGACGTGAAAGGAAACAGTGTGACTTTTTGGTCTAGTTATGTTGTAGTTGAGTGCAGCACGCCTGCACTTGTTGAAGTAGGCAGCATTGTCCAACTCGCTTGGGCCCCCTAGGGGCACATACTCCTCCACTACCTGCTCATCATGATCTTCAGGCTTCTTGTGTGGTAGGTAGTTTGATTTTGGCGGGCGCCAGGCGTAAGGGTTCTCCATGCCCACAGCTCATGCAAGCAAGGTTGGTTGCAGAAGACCAGGCTCAAATGGTTGGTTGGATTGTTAGAGATGATGATGATGATGATCAGATACGGACGTTTTGGGTGGATCCTGGGCGGAAAATGAAGCTCTCCTTTGTGCTGCAACTTTCTCAAGATGTCTGAAGAGAGTATGTAAAACTTGGTGTGACTGGTGAAAGATCGCGTGTAGCTGGGAGGGATGTTATGATCTGATACAAAGACTGGGTGCACCGATTAATTTGTTGTTCGTTACAAGGCGTGTGATGGCAGAGAGGCAGGTGCTGAGTATCTGGGTAGGAGGAGGAGGAGGAGGAGGAGGACTTGTGGTAGTGGTGATAGTGGTGGCTGCTGTTCAAGAAGATGTAGAAGGGACGAGAGCCGGGATGTCTGCTGCGAGTTTGAATCTTGAATCAGCACAGACACTACCAGTGCTACTGGAATAGGTCTAGCTCAGGCCAACCAATGCTACCCAGCAGCCCTTCCTTGCCAGCCAGCAGCAGGTACATTGTACTACTATTGTGCATGGTAGTGGATGCAGGAGGGGTGGAGGGGTTCGAACAGCAGACACAAAGGCTAGAGGAAGGTGCTGGATGCATCTTTAGCGCAACGGCAGCCTCCTCAAGCTCGCCATTCGTCACCAAACCCTCTGACATCCCATCAACCTTCAGACTGGCTCAATCCCATCCCATCCATCGCTCTTCCTGCTGCACACCTCCTCTCATTATATATTCGACACACCTGGGAAGCCACACAACAGAGGTCTTCTTTGAACACACCTCATTCGACTTGTGACGCTGCCGCCCTTCTCTCGCAAGGCTGCAGCAGTTTGCGCGTGCCCATGTGCTGTGGCACCCCCGAACCACTTCGCCCGCAGGCCTGAACTCTTGTCTCCATAAAATTTTCAGCCTCAAAAGCGGAAATTCCTCCTCCTTGACGGGCCCCTTCCCCTCCTCGTGGGTCTTAACTTTTTTTTGTACATCTATCGAGCCCACCACTTTCCTGACTCCATCATCAAGTCAGATCAGGTCAGGTCCAGGTCCAGGTTCAGCCCAAGATACGACACCAACTCCTGAAGGTGAGCCCACTGGACTTTCTATCCCAGTTACCGGCTAGCCATCTGTCTACTTTTCCACCATGAAGCCGCAGTAGCGTCTACAAACCCAATCTCTCCCTCCCTCCCTTCACCTCCTTCTATTCACACTTGCCTCTGTCTCAACTGCTGTTTTTGTCCTTCCTTCTTCTGTCTGTCTCCACCACTCCCCCCTTTACTTTCATATGTAAACGCGCCCATCTGCCAATGCATCTCTGCGCCTGTACCTGTATGGGTTACGCGTCGTCGTTCGCCTCTCGTTGTTACGCGCTGCTGCGTGCTTGAGTTCTTGCGCGACCGTCTCGTTCCAGCAGACCAAAACATCACGCAACAGTATATACACAAGAGCAATCGATCGCCGTGTCTGACCGCGTCATTTTGCGCACCGGTTGACATCATGCCCAGAGACGATCTTTCCATCGACTTTGTCAAGAAGAATATGCCTCCCATCGAGTCGCTCGATCCCGCCCTCATCCTCGACGATTGGACGAATCGCGTCTCCAACCTGCCCGAGGAGATCAAGTTCATCCAGGATGAGATCACCGAGAAGGACCGCCAGGCTGCCGAGTGCCTGAAGATCATAGAAGAGCGAGACGGTCGCATTCAGAAATGGATCAAAGCCAACGGCAGCCACACGCATAACCCCCGCGAGGACACGTACAGGCACACGATCCGTGAAAACTTTAAGAAGGCCGAGCAGCTCTCCAACGAGAAGATCGCCCTCTCTCAGCGGCTCCAGAGCATCATCGACAAGCACCTTCGCTACCTCGACGTCCAGATCAAGATTCTCTACGACCGCAATGAGCCGGGCTTTGTCGATCCTGATGAGCTGCCTTCCCTCCTCCGACCCAGCGCCGCGAACATCTCCGCTCCCTCCGCAAGATCCATCAACCCCTCCGCAAATCCTGTCACCGCCGCCATCAGCAGCAGCCCTCTGACGAACCCTGCAAATCCCACCGGGCCCAAAACCACCAACCCTCAGGTGCGAAGCATACAAACCACCGCACACGCCTCCTCCTCCTCCTCCTCCGCCCCCGCCACCCCAGCCGCCAGCATGATCATGAAGCGCGGCGCCCGCGAAAGCTCAGCAGGTCCTGCCACCGGGTCTCTTCAGAGGGGACCTCGCTCCACGATCGGGCTGGGTACCGCGCCCAACACCTCCAGCGGCCTGGCACGACACTCCTCCCTAGGGCCGGGCACGCCCAAGGGACACACGGCGACCGGCGTACAGAGGGCAGGCAGTGCAGGGCCCCGGACAGGTGTGAAGGCTGGCACTACGATTGGGCGCAAGGGGACACCGTCAGGCGGCGTGAGCCGCACTATCAAGAAGGGTGGTACCCCGGCGGGTGGGCCGAAGAGCGGCCTGCAGCGCGTGCGCAAGTCGGTCAAGAACTCGCCGTCCTCCACGGCTGAGAGCGAGCTCTCCGACGCCGATAGCATCGTCAGCGGAGAGGAGTCGGAGGGTCCCCGGACGGGTGGGCGTGCGACCCCGGCCGGCCGGCCCTCGCACCCTGAGGGCGCGCACGGCGGGGCCCCGCGGACGAAGCGCGAGCACGACGAGGATCACAACTACGTGGAGGAAGACGAGGGCAGCGACGACAAGAAATACTGCATCTGCCAGAAGGTCAGCTTCGGGGACATGATCGCCTGTGACAACGAGGACTGTCCGTATGAGTGGTTTCACTGGACATGCGTCGGGCTCAAGAGTGAACCGCAGGGTGGGAAGTGGTTCTGTCCTGTGTGCACGGCACAAACGAAGAAGGGGAAGTGATACAAGCATGTTTCCAACGGCATGTACAGCAGGGCGTGCTCATTACACATGTACAAAAAGCATAAAAAAACATAATGAAAGAACAATGAAAGCGGCAACGGTCAGGGCTTTTCCTTGGTACCTTGGTTATCATACGTGAACTGGTCCTCTCCTTCGTGTCCTACCGCCATCACAAACACTGACTGGCCTGGAGAATTTGAAAGAGTATTTGCATTAGGCTCTGGTGTCTCACGCAAATGGCTAAATGGAGAGAGAACACTGAACAAATCACAAGACCCAGAAGAATTAATTTTTACTTTCTTGCATTAGTAAGTCTAATCTTTGTAAGGCAGATTGACTACGAGTTGGCTCTCAAAACTCCAAGGCAAAACGCATTTATCCCCCATCTCGCATCGTCGGCCCCTACCCCATTTTGCCTGTACGTTCCATCCTCAAAACCATGCACGTGAATTCGGCAGAGGAGTACAGCCAATGCAGAAATGAGAAAAGCCGTGCGGCGAAACCAAGGCAACAAAAGAAGGTATGCAGATAACCTCTTTAATGCTCCAGGAGGCGCAGGCTGCCCTGAACCACCACATTCTCTAGGATCGATCCTGGAGGAACGTCGATGGTGCTGCCCTCTGTTGCGACGATGATGACGGTTCCCTTCAGGGTCACGCCACGGCCCAGGTTAACAGCGCCGGTGATGGTCAGGTGATCAAGCTCAATGATCTTGGGGATGGAGGGGATGTGCTTCTGGAAGTCAGAGACCTTCTTGAAGTCACTGCCGAGCTTGATGAGGGGCGCGTCGCCGAAACGGGCGGAGTTCATCTGCAGCTGGCCGTGCTTGAGGCCGTACAAGTCAGACTTGACGAGCATCAGATCCGAGCAGGTCTTGACGGGCAGGAAACGCCGGCGGGGCACGTTGACACCGTGGGCGTTGTTGAAGTGCCGAATGGCAGCGCCGACAGCAGTCTCGAGCTGGATGATGCTGATGTCGCTCTCGCCCTTCTTGTCGCCAGGGATCGTCTTGCCGTTGGGGATGATCTCCATCTCCAGCTCGTTGTTCTCGACAACGCGCTTGATGGCCTGAACATTCATCCAGATGTTGTTGGTGTTGAAGTACTTGAACTTCTTGATCGACTTGAACTCGTTGACGTGCTCCTTGGGAACCTGAGCGATCTCCAGTAGGCGCACGGAGCCCTCGTAGTCGATGATGGTACCACCCTTGACATCAGCCTTGGTCTTGTTGGTCAACTCCATGATGTACTCGGCCTTAGTCTCCATCATGTGCTGCAGGATGCGCAGGTCGACAACAGCGCCCAGGTTGTCAACGTTGGAGAGGAAGATGACCTCAATGCCACGCTCAATCAGCTTGTCCAGGATTCCCGAGTTGTACAGGGACTCGAACACGTCACCGTGTCCGGGAGGGTACCACTCGTTGATCGGCGATTCGAAATCCTTGGGGACAGGGAGGAGAGAGTCCTTGTAGATTCTAGGGTAACGAGACTGGTTGAAGGTGAGGATGTCGACGTTGTGGCCCTCGTACTTCTTGATGATAGCCGCAGTGTCATCGTTGGTGTTGAACGAGTTCATCAGGATGAAAGGCACATTGGTGCCATAGGTGCGGTTCAGGTACTCGACTTGTCGGACGGAGAGATCCAGGAAGGACATGCCGTCGCGGACCTCAATGACGGACTTGGGGCCAACGCATCCCATGGAGGTGCCGAGACCACCGTTAAGCTTCAGAACGGCCAGCTTGTTCAGGAAGTCGACGGACTCGGAGTTGGCGAGGTCATCGTAGTCAACAACCTGGTTCTGTGCAGGAGGTGCGATACGGTCCCAGTCGCTGAAATTCATCACATGTCAGCGATCTGTTTGGCTCTCAATGTAAAGCAACAGGAATGGAGCTAGAGCACATACACAGCATTGCCCTTGGCCTTGTCGTTCAGGTATCGTCGGAACAGAGAGAAGAAGTTGTCCATCTCAGTCTCGAAAAGCTAAATCCAGGCGTGAGCTGTGCGCCCTGTTTGTCCAGGTCTGTACTAGTATCTCACCTGCTTCTGCTCGGGGTCCTTCACTGTCTCAGCCAGAGTAGTGAGGGAGTTCCGCATCTGGGCAGCGGCGATGTTGGTGCTTGTGTTCTCGAAAGCCTGTTTTGGGGTATTTTGTCAGCGTAAAGTGCTGGGTATGGGCTATTGAGCAGGTGCCAGTTTGCTATGGTTGGTTGAAGCCAGCTGCCACTGGGAGCACAGTCCTGCTCTGTGTGTTGCAACATTGTCATGTCGCCACTGGCAAGGAGCTATGCATTGTCTGGATTGTGTATGACAGACAAATGCTGGCACACAGGAGCAAGCCTGTCCTGGCAGCTCTCCAGAAGGCCAATGCCCTCAGAGAAACAATGTACACATGCGCTGCAATCATCCCAAGGATTATGAAAGTGGAAAGGTCTGGTGTATACTGACCATGTGAGATCTAGTCTTGCCATGATGCTTGTTCGCGAACTCAGCCTCAGAATCGCCATTGCCAGGCTTGAGGTGGGACGGGATGGCACTCTTGATTGCCTGTGCAGCCATTTTGTCTGGTGTTTCTGGTGCAGAGATTGGTAGAGGGGATTCTAGGTTCTGGCAAGCGACGGATTGACTCGAGTCACTTGGGATCGGCAGGTGGTTTGTGGAAGAGGGAGGAATTGACAAGCGTGTCGTGTCGAAAGTTGGAAGTCAATCTCCAAGTAGTGCGTAGTCTATGTACCAGCAGAAAAGATTAGCGCCCGTTTGACGTAATGAAAGGTCAGGCCAGGCCACACACAGTAAGGGGGAAGAGGGGTCGAATGGGCAACAGCTGCTTCTGATCTTTTGCTTTTACCAGCTAGCTGTGTCGCTCTCAAAACAGTGTGTGCACAGTTTGCAGCTGCTAGTGAACTTTCACATCACATGAAAAGACACAAACACTGTCTGCGTGTGACAGTGTACAGAGAACGGCAGTTGGGGGAAGCTCAAGAATGCAGAATTATTGCTGTTGTTGTGCATGACAGCTATGCAGCATTGCTGGGCGAGGGAGAGGTGAAGTGACGGCCATAGCTCTCTGGCTTGGGGGGCATGGGGGCATACTCACATGTTGCTCAGCAAAGGTAAAGGAGCTGTTCTACACAGAGCTTGAGGCTGGAGGCAGAAAGAGAAGGGGAGGGGAGGAACAGCACGAGGATTTGGACAGCAGCGGACGAGGACAACTTTAAAGATGAAATTCTGGTGGATCCCTATTCCAGGGGGTCGAGAGTTCAGGGGACAAGGAGACAGCTTTCTTTCTTTCTCTCCTATCCTATAAATTCCAAGGTCGCACTTGCTCATGGTTAAGGTCTGGAGGGGCGGTCACCAATGTACTATGTACCCACATATCTTGGTGTTAGTGCATAGGTACCCCCTTGTATCCCCCCCCTTCTCTCTATCCCCCGCCATATCTTGCAGCACTTGCATTTGTTGGTGGGGATACCTGTCCCTAAGCAAGCCCCCTCTAAGCTGATCTTGGCCAGAAATAAGTATCTCTGCCGCGTCTAGAAGGTGTGCCATTTCATGTTCCCTACCCTGCAACTTGTCGTGTTCCCAACCATGAAAATCTCGACCCTGTTTGTGTCTGGAAATTTGCCATCCCGCCCAGACCGATAGGGTTTGCCGTGTTGAGGAGGCAAAAAAATGGGCGAACAACCTAGCGGCTGCAACAGTTGTCTGGCTCATTTGCCAGCGAGGGAGCTAAGTGTGCACTAGCCACTGAGCCGTGCGGCATATCAAGAGTGTCAGGTGTGTGTATGTGTATCTCTCAGCTCGACTGGAGTCGCAAATCTTTCGCCATATCTCTTCTAGACGGTCGCATTGACGAAAGCTTTACGGAATGCGGCATCTCTCGCTCTCTCTCTCTCTCTCTCTCTCTCTCTCTCTCTCTCTCTCTCTCTCTCTCTCTCTCTCTCTCTCTCTCTCTCTCTCTCTCTCTCTCTCTCTCTCTCATTCTCAGACTGTCATCAATCCTCAGACAGAGGGATTTGCAGTGGCTGTTTTGAGAATCCTGATGGACGCTCTCACTCTCGTTCCAAAGTATCTCAGATGATCCTTTGAAAGTTATACTGGAAATAACAAGTTGAAACCCCTCCTTCCAGATGACAATGACATCAGACTAGGTAAAAATCTAGCAAAAGCAAAAGTGGCATGCCTACATCCATGGGTAGCTCGCGAGGCGACCGTTGGCTGAGGCGAGTCTCAACAATCCTTTTTAGAGCGCTGGAGGCGGGAGGAAGAGGAGGTACATGAGTGTCTAACACTGTAGAGGGGCACGACATCCACGCCACCCCCAAGAACCCCCCTTCTCCCCTTGTGGGCGCCCACCACGGGAGCTAAAAATGGACGGCCATATCGACAGCAACCTTCGACAGCTCATAGTGGGACACGCGAAATTTGACAATTCAGTCATGGATCCGGCTTCGTATAAACTGAATTCAATACGAAAACCATCAGAGTGGTCCGCCCGGGGGGAGGAGGCGGGGAGGAGGCCCTAAATTCGAGGAAGTGGCATCCTGGAAATGTGAACAATTCCAGCAAGTTGCCCTCGGAAGGAGGTCGTATAGTAATCGACACAGGGGATAGCTCTTGCTCTCAAGGGCCTTAACCCCCCCCCCCCCCCATGGAAATAAACTGCCATGTTTTGTTTTGTCTCCGGTACGGGATAGCTTAGGTAGGCTGGCAGGGCTGGCTGGCTGGATGTGTGTTTAACCCATCGCATATTTGATATGATTGGTTGCATAACGTTTGATACAAACCTTGAGGGAAAATAATAAACAATGAGAAAAAAATCTTCACCCCTCAAGACACAACAAGCAGTCCGTCAATGCATATTATCCTGACTGCTGGCTAACACGTCCACAACAGACACCTATCACCAAGTCATATCGATACATGTGTTCTCGCATGGTGGTGTTGTCCAGCTGGGGGTGGGAGGGTCCCACGTGGGTCTTATGGAAGAGCTATGCGGGTCGTTTTGGTCTTGCTCTTTAGCGATTAGGCATGCTAGGGGTGGATCAACAACGTCAAGGTCGTCCCTTCCCCCCTGACGGGACTTGTTCTTGCTGTCTCTGGCAATCGTTCCTTTATCGCTCTTGTCAAACATACGCGGCTTCTAGAACAATTCCCCTTCCACCATTCCTCTTTCAAGGTCAGGGCGGCCCAGAACCCACCATTAGGACGGATGCGATTTGAGAGGCTGATAGGCTATGGCGACGGTAGCGGCCGGCAGTACAGTACTGCTTTCGCTGCAAGGTTTCAGATTGCAGAAAAAGGGCTGTCTACCCACTCAGCCGTCTTCTGGAATACCTTTAACCGAGTAGAAGTCAATGAACAGGAATAGCATTGGAGACGTTTCTGTCTCACTGTCTCTTTTGACATGTTCCTCGTCAGACGAGGCCATATTGCTCATGTTGTTTGAGGTAAGGTTTGAAAGAATTTATCATTCCTCAATGTAGTGAATCTATTCCATCTCCTTCCAACTTGGGGCTCACATTTCTATCTCACCTTGCCTGCGTGCAGCCATGGCTCGCCGCCTCAAACAAACTTGAGATCTGGTCGTCTCATCGAGCACTGACCACCATGGTACATAGCACATGCACGGCGATCAAGATGATCAGCCAACCTTTTTTCTTCCCTTTTAATTCTTGTCAGCTTTTCGCTCTCTCCAGTACCCTCGCAGCAGAGCTCGCACTCTGCTCTCATTGGCCAACGACAAAAATGACATGAAACATTCCTGCCGTCGTCGGCACTCACTCACTCGCTCATTGTCATGCTAGGTCGATCCCCCAAAACGGTGGACCCGCCGGATGCGTGGATGGATCCATATCACCGACATTACTTAAACGTACATTGAACAGACCGACCTTACACTCCGCTCGTGATGGGTTGGCTGACCGCTACACCTTCACCGTGGGTACGGGGCGGGCCGATAGATTTGGTTTCACAGTACAGTACAACAAGACAGTACGCCTATTGTTCGTTTGTCTCTTCTTTCTTTTTCGGACACTCTTTCACGCCCATGACGAATCACTCACTGATTGTCACCCACTTCGTCACTTCCAAGCACTAGGTCACTCCGTCTCATCCCTTATGAGAGCTAGTGAATAGAGCCTGGGCCGGAATGTGAACGGTGTATGAACGGTACCACATATAACCCCATCTGCAAAGAGACGAGGGAGGGGAGTTGGCCACGGTCAATGAAAGAAGAGATAAGAACACATCCCAAGTTGCAGCCATATAAGTCATCTCGAAGTTTACGTGCAAGATCTCAAAACAAAACGAAGAAGGAAATAATGGGAAGTAACCCAGACGTCGAGGCACTGCCATTCTGGCAAGTCAACATCGCGCCCAAGGATCGCGAGGACGAATGCCCAGAGCCACTTCGAGACCTCAGCGCCAAAGATGTGCGTCTCATCGGCACCAGAGACGAAGACTACCACGTTCAGACCTGGGACGAAGTGGTCAACATCGTCGGTACGGGGAGACTCGGCGACTTCCGGCGGTGGCCGACCGAGCTGCGAAGGTATCGCGAGTTCGTCTGGAGGCTCAGCCGGGCCAAGGGAGGCGTGATGGGGCACATGCTGAACGAGAGGCTCCACTGGACCTTGCCCCTGGTCCCTCAGGGCAGCAGACCATTCGTATGTGAGGAGGACTTCAAGATACTGTGGAACGACTGGCCTTATGGAATCGACAGGCGGATTGTACATCTGGTGGTGTGGACCAAATTCGAGCTGAGGGATGACGCAGAGACCAGGTGTGAGATTGGGAGATTCATTGACAGAACCTTCCTGCCTGTCGTGACGAGGGACAAGGTCAGTCAGTTTGTTGCTTTGTCTTTCTTCTAGAGACGATGGGAGCCCAACGTGACTGACTGACATGAACTTCTATCAGCTCATCTGGTTCAAGAACCCACCAAGCCTCAAATCCGTCCACTCCGTCGAGCATATTCATGTGATGCTGTTCGACCCAGACCTGGAGCTCATCAACCGGCTCACCAACGGCGACAAGCCACAAGGCCACCTTCTGAGCGACATCAATGGTTGTCGGTGGTGAAGACGAGGAACAACAGCTGCTGCTGCTGCTGCTGCTGCTGCTGCTACGAAAAAAAATACAAACACCTACAGCTTGGGAGGGAAGGTCGGGTTCCTGATCGTGGTCTGCCGCACCTTGCAGAGATATCGTCTTCGAAAGCTGCAATTATTGTTGGCAGCCAGCCGTTAAGGCCTGGATGAAAGCCGCATTTCCACCACCGGACACTCTGCAAAGGGGACGGCCGTAGGCTTTTCCATGCGAATAATCATCTGCCAGCCTTCCTCTCCAGACACCAATTCTCTAGGGTTCGGTTTGAAGTCCCTGATGATGGCCTTGGATAGGTGAGACCCGAGGGCCTCCAGCGTCTCAAAACCTGTCTTCTCCATGGTCTGTGGTACGGTCAGCATATAGAGGTGGGACAACAATGTAAACATAGAATAGAAAAGAGAAGACTAGAAGACAAATGCACGGTGTGGTTAGAGGGTAGTAGAGTGTACCTTGACAACAAGGCTCTCGAGCTCACAGAAGAGATCGGGATAATAATCAAATCTGTCAATCTCCACATCGGTCACAACGAACTGCTTGGCCCTCCTCTCGTTGCTGTTGACACCGATTAGGGTCGGCACCCGCAGCTTATGCACGCGCAAGGCCAGCCCATACATGGACAGCGAGGCCAGGTGCGGCGGAAACACATTGGCAGCCGTCAGGCTCACGCCCTCGCCCAGCAGCGAGGCCTTGGGCAGGTGGACGGTGAGCGACATGAAGCGCAGGCGGGCCAGGTCCAGCAGCGGTTTGGCCTCGGGGCCGGCGTCCTCCCCGTTGACATTGCGGCCCGTCAGCACGATCCAGATCATCTCCAGCAGCACCCGCAGGTCCACGTCGCCGCCTCCGCCTCCGCCTCCTCCTCCTCCGCCGCCGCCGCCGCCACCGCTCTGCGCATGCTCGTTAGACCGCTCCACGCAGGCCAAGATCAGCTTGCTCAGCGTGCCGTAGTGCACCGTGTCGCCGCCCGTGACGCTATCGCCCGCCACCGATGCCTCGAAGGGCCGCGAGAAGTGTAGCTCCGCCGACACCACCACCGGCTGTGTGGCGTTCTTGCGGCCCCATGCATCCTGCGGGCCGACCACCGCTGTTTGCAGGTCGCGCACGCGCACCACCGCCACGGGTTCGCCGGCAGCGTGACGGACCGCCCAGAGGCTGCGGAGGGACATTTTCGGGAAAGGGAGAGAGGGGGAGGAGGAAGGAGCGGATATCAGTTTAAAAGGCGGGAAGGTACACCGAGGGTTCGCAGGTCAGGGAAGGAGCCCTAGGATGGAAACATAGAAATGGCTGGCTCTTGCTTGTAGAAGCTGAATGAAATACTCTGATGGTGGGATTTTGGTAGAGCTTAGGCATAGCTAAAACATGCGATGCGAGGGGAGGAAAAGGCCAGGGGAGTGGGATTTTAAGGTCAACGAAGAGAATCCAAAGAGGAACAAAAAAGGGAGGGGAAAAATTGGTAGCTGCTCTTTTGATTGAGGGTGTCATCCCGAGTGCAGGGGCCATGCGACCACAAGGCCTTTAGTTATGTAAATCCAAAACGCGACTTCAGGATATCTACATCTTCTCTTGACTGTTTGAAATTAAACTCGGTGCTTGATCCTTCGCCATTCCTGCCACCGTCACAACTTTTGTAAATTCGCACATCTCTTGTTGCCAATTATGTTGCCAAAAAAATTCAGAGGTATGCTGCCCAGAAGATAGTTCGTCGTAAACGCACTACATCATGGCTGCCCAATACGTCGAATACGACTAGTCCCGCTGTAATCAGAAACATTAAATCATTACCGAGGACATCCTCATTTTGCCCACGCAGCTGCCATCATCACGAACATGAAATGACCAGATCCAAGCACGGAAGCACGTACGGCACGACCTACGATCTTCCCCTTGCACACCCTGAGCTGCAGGGCTGGGAAATCCGGCTGCCCGCAAGTAAATTTTTGAGATTGTTTCTGTTATTCGTCTTTCGCGAGGCATGACTACACACCAAAAGAAGAGGATATTTTGGGAAGGGAAAAAATGGAAAGAAAATTGGAATAAAGTAAAACGCAAACTATGATGGTCTCGCTATTCTGGATAGTGACCGTATTCTAAATTTTGCCAGTCGCATTTCGGAGGTATAGGTAGAGATAGAGAGGGGGGGGGGGGGAAGGCAAATGACGTGTGGTCTATTTGGCGTTTTGTATTCCTTTTCCCTCATCATGCGACGGCTTCCCAAGCACCTGTGACCTCGACAATCACGTTGGCGATGGTGCCAGCCACCCACAACGCAATCAACGTCAGGCCAATCTTCCTAGTCATCATCCAATTGTTGCTAGGCACGATGATGAGCAGTGTCAGGAGCGTGATTAGCACCGTTATGGCAGAGATAAACAGCGTGCCCGTGATGTCGATGTGGTAGTGTCCATAGTGGATGGGCACGTCCGGATTCTGCTCGTGCTTGCGGTTGGCCTTCTTCATGGTCATGTAGGTTCCACCTAGACCAATTCCGAGAAGGATGTTCAGCATCGGTCCCCCAAAGCAGGCAGACCTTGGACGGATAATGTTAGCACCAAAAAAACAAACACACGTCCAAAACGAGCTGGGGATAGGGATAGGGATGAAACATACAAGGCCATGACTGGATAGCCGAGTCGCGCCACCGTGATATCAGCCACCAGGTCACCAACTGAATTTCCCACGGCGAACACCGTCAGACCGAGGATTGCCTCAGACATGCCAAGGATGACACCGACAGCCTTCAGGACCCCGACGACTTCTTCTGCGATTGTTGAGATCCAGGCAACACTGATGATGAACCCAAGAAAGCAAAAAAGGAAGTGATATTTGGGCTTCTTGTCGACAGACGTGGTGAGGAGGAGGATGGCGAGCAGGACAAGAGAGCCAACAAGGCAGCATAGGATCATCCTGACCAAGACCTTTACCGGTTGATCCATATACTTGGCCCATACGATGAAAGCCGTGAACAGAGGGCCAGTGAAGATCTGGACCACTACAAGCCACCTTTTCCATGAGCTAGGCTCCTCCTCCACTGTCGGTTCAGAGCCGAGTCCGGTCTCTGATAATGGAGGCGCGATGTAGTTACCTGGGGTAGGAGTGGTCTGAGACGGGAACGGGAATGTCTCGCCAGGTAATGCCTCAGGAGTGTTCGCTGCACTCAGCCTGTGACGCGAACCACTCGACGACCTAGAGTGCGCACGTCTCCGGTATTCTTGCCATTCGGTCTCGGATATCAACCCGGCCTGGCTCTCACTAGCAATCGCAGCAGCATGAATGCCGAGTGGGCTCCCTGCACGATTTGGTGGATAGCCATCTCCGCTCTCAGACTCGTCATCGTCAGGAGCGTCGGTCTCGACAACAGGTAGAGTTACAACGAGTAAAAAGACGCTGGGCAGTGAGAAGATGCTGAAGACTTTATCCCAGATATTCTTCTCTTTCCAGCCTTGTAAGGTTGGCAGAAGAGTTCGCCACAGGACATGCGGCGGGGGTAAAGCCTTGTACGGCCACCAACTAATAGGCTTAGGAGCATCGGGTGGATCCAGTCCTGGGATGTACTCGTACTCCTGAGCCCTCGGCGATGGCAACAGTACTTGTGACTGCCTGGGTGAAAGCTGTCCGCCTCCAATCGGAGATTCTTGCAAGCCAGGAAAAGGAGATAGGGAGGGCGAGGAGCCTTGGCTTGATTGTATCAAAGGGCTTGGTATCTGGAGCGAGAGAGCGGGCGTAGGGCTTTCTGTTGGTTCTGCAACAAGCTCAGTGGACAGAATGGACCGTGGATGGGTATCTGGAGGGGCGAGGTGGCCGTCCTTTGTAGTGGACGTGATGGAGATCGTTCTCTCTCGATTCCCAATCGTCCGTCGAGCAACTGATATAGGGCGATCGCCTTGGCGAGGCGTCGCTTCCGACGGTCTCCTGTCCTCGCGTCCTTGTGTCACGCCGCCAACTTGTTGGTGAGATGCTTCTCTTGACTGCTGCAGCGAAGGGACCACGGGGGTGGAGGAACTCCCGCGGGTAAGGTGGCGAGGGACATCGCCCAGAGACAATGCCCTATCCCTTGAGACAGCCTCCGGGTCTGGTTGGTTCAGAGCAGCTGGATCATCTCTGTACGGCTCCACCTGGTCCAGATCTGTGCTCGACCGGGCTAGGACCGTCCCAATATTGTGCTCGGAAAAGCCTCGTTGCAACGGAGCCATACGCATGTTCCGGGATCTCGCCAACGAAGATATGACCGATCTGAACTCGAGAGCTCCAACCAAACTCGGCCGGATCGGGGCCACAGTGCTGTGGGTTCTCCTCCCGCGAGGACGGTTGACACGCATGCTACTCGTCATCTCGGAAGCAACCTGCCACTTCTTGTCCTCGTCGTCATCGTCAGGGAGCGATCCATCAATGTGAATCATAGGACCGGATTCCAGAGCGCTGATATCAGGTATGTATTCGGATCGCCCGCTTCGACCCACCGCCCCGTCTTCGTCTTCTTCATCCACATTATCGCGGTACGGCTCGATGTCATCGCCCACGTGGGTCGAAGCCTCGGAGAAATGGCTCCGGGATGTTGCTTGTTTGTTGCGCCTCTTTCGCCTCCTCGCCTCGAACCAATGCCACAAGACGACGAAGCAGACGTAAAAGACGTAAAATCCAATCATCAAACCGCATTCCCACAAATGAATCTTCCCATCCACAAGGAAAAGCATAGTAAAGCTCACGGCCACGATGAAGAAGACAATATCTCTCACGAAGGTCTTTCTGCTGACCTTGAACTCGCGGACGAGAGCCATGGAGCCAGCCACAACGGCGGTGATAAAACCAGCTGCCCCAATCAGCTCGCCGATGGCCATGCCCCCGCTGTTGGATCCCATGGCTGCAAAGGTGCTGAACACATCTGGAGACCCATTTCCCAGAGCGAGAAAAGTCACTCCGGCCAAGCTCTCAGGCATCCCAAGAACACTGGCGATAGTGCTCAGGTTGACGCTGAAGAAGTCGCTGGCAGCGATCCCAATCGTCGAGAATAGCAAGCCCAGCCAAAGCGCCAACAACGTGAAGGCGAACGGTTTCACCCGGGGAAGGACGCAGTAATAGAAGCCAAGATACGACAGCAACCCTGGCTCATCGCCAGCACAGTATTCCCGCACAAAGCTACATTGATCCTCGGCGTGGTGGACATCGTCACAGACGACGTCGGCAGCTCTGGTAGTCAAGATTGACCGCGGCGAGCTTGAAAATAGTTGTTGAGGGCTCTGTAGGAATAGCGCATAGGTAGCTAATAGGGTCATGAGGAAGACCGTTGCATAGAGAGGTCTCGAGTTGAACCGTGGCCGTCCATTACTGATTCTAGCCATGCTGTTGGATCCTGATGCTCCAGGAACATGATGATCTTGTCGCCAGAGGCCCGAGGAGGGGAAGTCGGATTGAGAACCACAGCCAAGACGCGCCGTGAGTTTGAAAAGGATATGGCTGAGGGACAAGTGATGCTGCAGCAGCCACCTTGCTGGATAGTGACGAGAGAAGGATATAGGAAGGGGGTCGATAGGTTTTGCACGACAATGCGTAGAGAAAGGTGATGGATGATGAGACAAAAAACAGGATAACGGGGATGCCAAGGCTTGATGTCGCCTCAGGATGGAAGATGATGAATCAGGCCTAGATTCATATTATGCACAAATCGATCGCCCTCCGTCGATAACTCTCAAAAAGTATCTAATATATGGAACAGGAATTGGTCGACCTTTTGTGGAACCCCAAATGCTCACTGCACGCTGTCGGTCAGTTTTGGCATCTACAGCTTATCGTCTAATAGTGACGTTAGAGGCAACCAAGCATGGGTCTCATGCCTCGTCATCCTACTCTGGAGGGGGCCCTGGTGAAGTGGCTGGACCGCTAACCGTTGGGTAGGTGGGTAGTTGCACCCGACCGAGGGGTTAAGTGGTCTGTGCATTGCGACCCCCAAGCCTGCAGGTCTGAGCACCAATCAGCTTCGCCCTTGAGCTCTGACTAAGCCATGTGCCAGCGGACGCGTTTCTAGGACAACAACCACTCAAATCTCGAGCCTTGGGTGTTGATGCTTGTCTGAAAGTTGAGTTGCAGGCGTCGATGGGTTGAATCAATCTGCGACCTACCGAAACTATCTACATCGACCACCACGACAAGCTCGATCATGGCTCGCGTCGCTCAGATTCCGCGCGCCAACAGCAGCGCACCAAGTCGCTCTGGAAGCAGAGTCACCTCTGGTTCCATGACCAACTCGCCCTTCAAATCCCCAGTCAAGTAAGTTCGTGTAAACACAGCTGGTCAAGGAGCCAGCACGATAAGACTCACATGCCAGAGCCCCTTTCCAATACTCACCATCGTCTTCTAGGATCCCTCTCAACGACGATGCCGAGGAGAAAGCAAGAAGATTACATTCGCGTCAGGCCCTTCAGGAGGCCCATGTCAACAAACTCAAGGCCGCCGCCTCCACGCCCTTGCGCAAGGCCAGTGTCAACCTGAATGATCTCGAGAATGATTCACCTGCCTCCCCCCCTCAGCGACAGAAAACGCCGCGTCCTCGCGCAAGGACGCTTGTCGGTGACGATGAAGACGTTGTGGTTTCTGGCACTGCCGTCACGCCTATGAAGCGCGTCCCGATCTTGGCCAACTTCGAGGAATGGATGAAGATGGCGACAGATAACAAGATCAACGCGACCAACTCATGGAACTTCGCTCTGATCGACTATTTCCACGATATGTCACTGCTCAAGGAGGGCGACGGCGTCAACTTTCAGAAGGCCAGCTGCACACTGGATGGCTGTGTAAAGATCTACACCAGCAGAGTTGACAGTGTTGCCACAGAGACCGGCAAGCTGCTGAGCGGCTTAGCTGACAGTAGGGACAGCAAGAAGAAGAGGGGCGAGGGCGAAGACGGTGAGGGCGAGGATAGCGAGGAGGAGGTCGACGAGGACGGCAATGTTCGCAAGAAGCCCAAACGCAAGGTAAGCTCAGGATATGTCCAAGCGCTCATCAAGTCATGAGCTGACCAGTCATCATTGCAGGCCCAGCGATCATCCGAGGCCACCCTGGCGCCGTCATTTGCATCACTACAGCTGAAGAAGTTCGAACTGGAATTCGCCGTGGACCCTCTCTTCAAGAAAGCATCAGCAGACTTTGACGAGGGCGGCGCCAAAGGTCTCTTGCTCAACCACTTGATGATCGACTCCAAGGGAAGAATTGTCTTCGACAGTAGCGATGATTCAGTAGACTCCTCCGAGACCAAGAAAAAACGCAAAAGAGGTGATGACGAAGAAGGTGAGGTGGATGAAGAGGACCAGTCCGATGCCGAGAGTGAGACCTCGACCGTTCAGCCTTCGCAAGAAGCTGAGGAGGAGGAAGACGTGGAGATCGACCTTGCTACACTCGGTGGCCGATTCTTCCCTGATCCGTCTCGACTGGATGCCCTGGACGTATGTCCTTCACTCAAGACTTTTGACCTCGGCGACCCGTCTGGGTCTCTCGACATCCCCTTCCTACGAGCGCCCGAGGATTGGCGGCAGGAGCAGGAGAAGGAGGCTGCAGAGCGTGCTCTTGGCGACACATCGGGCATGGAGATTGACGACGATAACCTTCTTGGTTTTGATGACGGTGAAGGTCTTGGCGACTTCTCAATAGGAGGTGATGTTGCCTTCGGTGAAGGTGGTGAGGCTTGGGCCAAGGAAGCAGCCTTGGAACCCCAGATGCGTGTCTTCGACGCCGGCCTGGGGGAAGACGGCGCTGAGGGTGAGGGCAATGACATGATGGACACCTCTGGAAACGATGACTTCAACGTGTCCATGATGCATGCCCAGAAGCCTGATAGGATGCACGAGGACATCTTGGCATACTTCGACCAGGCACTGCAAAAGAATTGGAGCAATGCCGAGCACTGGCGGATAAAAAAGATCAAAGACATCAACAAGCCAGCACAGACCAAGCAGCGCAAGGAGAAGGAGCCATTTGAGATCGACTTCGCATCTCCTATGACTACTGCTCTCGGCGAGGTGTTGTACACGCAGGCGACCTCGAACAACGCCATCTCCCTGCAGAAGAAGGACTGGAAATCGAAGACCCGGAATCTGCTCCCCGACGACAAGCACTTCAACTCGAAACAGCTGTTGAGCCTCTTCCTCAAGCCTAAAGCCCGCATGGGTCGGCGAAGGGGAGTGGGCAAGCGTGGAGTCTTTGGCAACGCAGACACCCGCCAGAATGTGCCAGAGGGGGAGATGAACGAGGCATTCTGGGCCGCCCAGAAGGCGCCTATGCAGAGCATTGAGGGCAACGATGATGACGCCGCTCTCCCTCAAGGCGACTACGATGCCAACTTCTTCCAGGACGACGGCTTGCCCTTTGCCGGCGACCTTGATGACGATGATGATGAGTTCGCTGATGCACGTGATCACTTCTCCCCCGGTGCGGACCCAGGAGCTATGGAGACAATTGGTGCCACGGGCGCTTTCAACGGTCTCACGGTTACCAACCCTGCAGATCTGGCGTTCGGCACCATGCTGGTCACCCAAAACAGGCGGGTGCGGCCTGAGTATGTGAACTACGCACGCGTGGCCAAGAAGGTGGATATCAGGAAGCTCAAAGAGTCCATATGGCAAGGCATGGACATGGAAAGGCTGGATTCGGTAAGCCCGGCACCCTCACGAGCACTTGGAGTCAAGTCTAATGCATTCTCGCAGCTACCGCCGCCGCCACCTATACCGGAAGAGAGCAACAACGAGCCTCCTGCTCCGTCCGAGAACAACCCTACGCTTAAGTTTACCAATCTCGTCAACGACCTGCAGAAAGTCTATCCCAAACCTGTCATGGACGACATCTCGACCAGCTTCTGCTTTATATGTGTGCTACATTTGGCCAACGAGAAGGGTCTCCTCATCGAGAATACGGAGCAGCTCACGGACTTGACCATTCGCAAGGACTGGACGGCCGAGATCACTGAGGGAGATGCATGATGGCGCCATCTCTTGCGGTTTGCCTGTGCGACGTGAGAGAGGGGTGGGAGAGAGAGAAAGCGTTGTGAAGAATGAGGATATAGTGATGGTGAGTTGACGATGCACGCGGGGGGTCGGATACAACAGCGAGAGGCGTAGGCAGGCTTATCGCTATTTCTGCATGGACTGATGGTTCTTGTACATGTCTCATGGCCCGAAGGTCTTGTTCCTGCTTTCTGTTGGGTATGGGTTCAGGAGTTTATGCGGGTCTAATGAGTACCATCCATCTTGAGCATGAATTTTACGTCTAAAGACTTTTGCAGCTTACCCGGCTCCTGCACTAGACAGAAGCCGCAATGGCCTCATACTGTGAAGGATGCGCAGCATATATGTAACAATGTCGCCTTATTGACATGATGATCCTGGCTCATGATGCACCATGGCTCGATAGCCGGGCCGGTGGGACATGGAATGCCGAGTCGTGAATGGAGGATGAAAACCGAGCGCTGGCTGGCGTGCTGGGACAGAAACAAAACAGCATGGCTCTCCCTCTCTCTCTTCCCAATTGGACGGCTCTGTGATGGCAAGCCCCTCAGGACAGATATCTACGTACTGGCCACCCCAGGTATATCCTCTACCTCAAACAAACTACGAATTTAATGTGCGAATTAGTGTCTAGGCGTGTATAGTAGTATTTTTGTGTTCCCTCCACATGTGTCTACTATGGGTGTATGCTTGTGCTATGTAACACTTATGTAGCACCCTGGAGCGGCTCCGAGTCCCCCTGCCTGTGGTCGGAGACGAGACCGGGGGCGGCTGGGAAGGGTTTAATCCCATCCAATCCCATTCTCAGGGATAGACTCACCACGCAACAAAAAAAAGGATCGAGATGGACGGGGACCCCTACTATAGAGAAGGGAACCCAGTAAATAAAATAAAATAAAAAATGTCTTTGATCTATTCGATCCAGAAAAGAGGCTGACGTGGATCCTGTCTCCGAGGCGAGTCTCGAAGCCCACCACCAATGTGGCGCAGCTCAAAAAGTGTTTTTGTGCGGTGAGCAGTACATATATATATACATATGTAGTGTATGGAATAGAGAGACTGGCCGCACGGAGATCAAGCACGCATCGAGTTTAGATCAAGATGGCCGGGCGGCCGACAAGGGCGCTTCTGTTGAGTGTATGCAGGCAAAGCAAAAACATAATTCGCGACTTTGATGCCTTTCAGGAAGGTTGGTGGAGATCTAAACTGCAGATTGACGAAATTCATACCCTCTTATCCTCCTGATCCACCAACCCGGCCCGGAGCATATTTTTTTCTTAGTTGTGCGTCGAGTTCTGGCCATTCTCAGCCGTTCTGATAGCCTTATTATGCTCGTCGTCAGGACGCCCTTGCCCATTCCCGTTTGAGACCGATTGCGTATCGGCTGCTATGCTCTCGAACGAGGCCAGAATCTGGTCTAGCTTGCTCTCCAGGTTCGTCAAGTTCACCTCAAGCGCCGTGGCGGTTTGTTCACCACTGGAGAGAATGTCCGTGTTAGTTGTTTGATCTGATAGGCCCATCCAGACTGGTCCACGCTCCTGGCTGAGACTGGACGAATATGAGTGACAAGATGGTAGGGAGGACGACTACAAAGATCCGGAAAAATTCAAAGCTAAGCCGGTAACAAGGGGAGAAGAGAAAAGAATGAGGGATGAAAAAGAAAAAAAAGGAAAGCTGCCAGAGCATCAAGCCCAAGGTGTTGCACTGCTCGCACCTCAAGCTGTGTTCGTGTCTCACAGAGCATACCGTACTTGCCGCCATACAACAACCTTGTGTTAAACGATGGTGTACGAGACAGCGCCGAACAATTACCAGACACGCCTAGGTAGGGCACAGACCCTGTCATGCAGGAAGGATGCTGAGGGACCAGAGCAGCAACTGCAACCCCGGACGCAAGATTCCGCCGTCTTGGGATGGTACAGCGGAAACCCATGAAAGTCCATGTTTGTCTGGATCGGATTCGCCAAAAATACGATCCAAGGGCGAGCCGTGGTGAGCCGCTTGGGGGGCGGGGGGCGTGTGGCTGATGGTCTAGACCACACACCTCGCCCGCCTTTTCGGGGGAGGGGAGGAAATTGTCCGCGCTCGTCCTGGTCACGAGGCACTGGCCTGATGAAGTGAGCTAAACGCATTGCATCAACCCTCTCAGCATTCCAGACCTGCTCGTCCGGGTGCTGCACCCGAGAACTCTGGCTTCATGGACGAGGAGAAAAAACTCTAGAACATCGAAGCCCGATCATAAAAAGGGGCGGTTGCTCTGTCTACAGCCTGGCGCGCCACTTGGGGCGAGACCGAGCGAAGCCGTCGGAGCAATTAGGCCGTGGCCATGGGGGAAGTGTGAGAGGTTGACCTAAACATGGAGAGCCAACAGCGGGTTTTAGGAAAATTGGGCCTCCTGGCTTACCGAGCAAGGTCTTTGAAGGCCTAGAACATGGTGTGTCAGTATGTACTGTGTGCATATGGGTTGCCGATATCAGTCAGATGCAGGTCTCCCGGATGAGTGTGACAGGACCGTTTTTTTTTCGGTTCTTTCTGCTTTCCAGGACAGCAAGGGGGGGAAAGATGCAATAGGCAGATCATTCGTTGATCAGATGGGTATTCCGAGGCAACCGGAAATTCCCCCAAGCAACCAATATCCATTAAAACGGGGACAGTGTGGGGAGAGGGGACCGCTAGGTGAGTGGTTCTTGCTTTGAGTAGGAGGAGGAGGATGCCATAACAACCCTCGTCGTGTGGCTGATAGGACCAGTAATGAAGGGACACGACCCCAACAGGCACGACACAGTAAAACACGTGGGACCTGGTCTAAAACAAGAGAAGAAGAAGGAAAAAAAGGGGGGCCACAAGGGGGAGGGTGTTTACTGACCTGTGCAAGCTCCTGTTCAGTTCTCGGTGCTCTGAGATTCGTCATCTGTGACTGAGGGCCGGAGATTTCTGCGTCCCCAGCCTCTCTTTGGGGCTGCGAAGATGGGGCTGACGATCCACCATCGCTGTTGTCGTGTGGCTGGGCAGATGGAGACATGAAGAATTTGTCGTTTGGGGATGGGCCCAAGCGAAGCGATCAAAGGGCAATGCAAAGTGAGAACCTTTCGTTCCGAGGTCCCAAAGCGCAGATCGACCCCTGATGAGTGGCGGCCCGGTGCTGCGCGGATCAGGGTGAGAGTTGTGGTGGCGATGATGACGATGATGCTGCTCTTTGATAAGTCGCTGGCTGATGACTGATCCCAGGGAGGGGGTTTCGAGACTCAGGGTTCCAGCGTCTAGAAGAAGCTCGCCAGGGACTTTGGGTTGAGTCGATGGCCCGTCCGATGAAAGGTGTCAAAAAGGGGTCCAATGCAGGTGATGAGCGGCCTGGCAGTTCTGCAGGGAAAGTTTTGCTGGACGGCTCAGACCAATCGATAAGTCGTGTACTGTGCTTGCTGGCTGGCTGTAGGCGACCACTGAAAAGGGGTCCAAAGTATGTGATGGTCAAGTCCTGTCTTCCTTTGTGATAGCGATGCAACGTCTACTGCACACAGCACTAAAAGAAGGAAGGCCCTTTCTTAGTCGGTTCGCCGCCCATCTGGAGGTTTTTCTTTAGGTTTAGCGGCGGCCAACCAAAGCTACGTACCAATCCAGGCTAGTTCAAAAATGTCTGCCGGCAACCGCAGGTCGTCTGATTGGTTCTGCCCCAGTCCTTCCGCGGACATCGAGATCTAGAATCTGCCATCTCGTGATGTCCTTTTCCCATCCCGTGGTTTTTCTAAGGTTAGAAAAGAAGAAAAAAAAAAAAAAAAGGGGGGGGGGGTAAATGACACGCTCTGCAGATTTGTCGAAATTGATAGCAAATGTTGATATCAAATGTTGACATTGCATAGCACCTAAGGGACGGGTTGATTGTTGTTCACTGTTAAGCATAATGGTAACTGCTGGTATGGTGGTGTGCTCATGCAAGTGCTTCACATCGAGATTGACGTGATTGTTTGCTGGAGCCAGAGAACGAGGCAGGTGTTCGATCATCCTCTTGGGTGCTGTTGTGCTCCCGCAGCAGATGATGAAACTTGGGGTTGGATGGTGACGCTGGCGTTGGCCCTAGAGATCATGAGTAGACGGCGCCGGCGTTGTTGCCGGTCCAATCCCAGCCGCCTGGTATGGAATTCTCCCTCATGGGACTTTTGATCCCGTCCATAGCGTGCATGGCAATCTCGCACATTCCCCAAACACTCCCGCATGCGCAATTCTACCTGAAAAATTGAATTAGGCCGAAAAAGATCGACGGACTATCAACGGTGCGTGACTGTGGCGCAAGTGGACTACCAATGAACTACGATGTCTTTTTGTGGAGGAGATCGCCTGTGGGCTCTGGGATATTGTGTCATTTGTGCGCGTCGATGAGAAGTAATAATAGTATGGCATATGGTACTACGCGTTCTGCTGAGCTGCCATCACAGAACCTCCAGGGGGTGAATCCCCCGTTGAGCCGGGGCTGTTCATCATGGCACATTTCAGGAAGCAGGAGGAGCTCTATCCCTGTCGCCTGTATACTGCATATCCCGATGCATCGTGTCAATGTCGATCTGATACCTCGTCCTCACCGGAGTTCACTTCTTGAAAGAGCGTCACTTACTCACTCAGGATGTATCCCCTGAGCGGGTACTGGTATCCCTCCGGAGCACTGCAGGTTCAGGAGCCTTGGCGAAGTCTAGTAGGCAGTAGCCATGTTTTGTGTGGGTTTATTTTGCGGATGGTGACGAGGAATGCTGATAGCTCCAAGTGTAATGGTTGATCCCACAGGGAAAAGGATGGATGCGGGCTGTACCGTCTTGCTCTCGTCTGCTCGTCTGCTCGTACTGGTGCTCCATTTGCGTGTGTGTGAGATGACTTGGGAAAAAAAGAAATCCTTTGGTGTGTGGTGTAGAACAAGGCCGAATGTGAACATGTAGGGATGGACGTTGCGCCTTATCGATCGTGTGGCCTAGTAGTCTGGATTTTTACATAGTAGGAGGTGTAAGTGGTCAGGCAGTGTATGATAGGTCGTGAGCACTACGATGTGTGCAAGATGGTCCGCGAGCGTAGTAACGAATCATACTACGTATTATGTAGTGCGAGGGCGGACGACGACGCGGCACAAAAATATCCCAAGCGCCCCCCCCCCCCCCCCCCCCACAGAGGATATGCTACCGGAGACACATGGACTTTGCAGCAGAACTTTGTGTGATAGCCGCACTACCTCAGCATCTGAGGTCATCCCGCTTTTGGGGTTTGCGCTAGAAACCCAAAAATGAAGCCTAGCCTGAAGAGGTCAGAGGCCGGCCTGCATGTCAGGAGACATGTCGGCTGGGACCCACTGCCACATCGTCGATCGTCCTGCCAACGCCCGATTCGAGCGCGGTCCATCCACTGGCCATCGCCAAACATGAATACAATCGGGACAAGGAATCGACAGCAATCGACAGTGGTTCAGTCCAGCCAATCACCGAGCCGCGCGGAACTGTACAGTGCTATGGCCACTGATTCGCTAAACTTGCTGGGAATAAGGACGCGATGAAGACAATAGTACGGCATCTGTGCAGTTCGGGAAAGGGATTGACAAATCAAATTGTATAGTGGCCAACCTGCACAAAGAAGGAGGGGGGTTAACCAAAGGAAGAGGAAGGGAGGAACAGAATGGGAAAGAGAGATACTTCACAAAAGCCCGATTGAGAAGGCAAGTACGATCCAGGACTGACAAGCAGTTAAACCCAAATTCGGCGTCCAGAAAAAAAAATCGTCCAAGCCGTTCGTCATCCTCCGTCGAAGCTGGCCAATGAATGATTCATTGGTCTGGGCCTGCCGCGTGCGAAAAAGCCCATCCTTCCCTGATGACAAGCTTGCCCGCGGTCTACGGTATTGTTCAGAATTCCCATCCAGATCGTACGTTCCCTTGTGCGGCGGCCGCCACACCCTTCCCCAGGATGGATCGAGATCTGGCAGACAAGTGTCCTTATCTTCCACTTTGCCATGGCCCAGGGTCACTGACAGGTATCTGCGACGTCACACAGCCCGTTTCAATCTCACACCGAACAATATCGGTCATCCTTCTCCTCGGGGCCTCCCAGGGCGAAACGTTCGTGAACGGGAGCTCTGCTGCATCGAGATCTCTAGCCAGGTCCATTGTTACGGAAACTCTCGTCGAGTCAGCATCCTCTGAGAACGACGAACCTGCCTCATCATGCCGCAGGTGACATTTGGCTGCCGCTCGTTATGTTCTGGCACCAAGAACGTACCCAGCCTGCTAACACTCGCAAGGCGTCTGCTGGGACGTTAACGAGCCCTTCAAGATGATGTCGGACTCGACCCCCACAGCCTCCGACAGCTTGTTCAGTGGTCCAGAAAGTGGCCAGAGAGGAATATTATTCAGGGTTTTGGTGCTCAGGAAGCCTTGTTTTTCACTTGTTTGGTTCTCGAACAGATCCTCGGTATCCATCGCAAGACGCATCCAGCCCAGAGCGAGAGAGGCATTGGGTCAGTACGGCTAGCTCTCCCCCAGCGCAAATGCTCACATGTACTTCCCGTCTAGGCCAAGCGTGGTCGACGGGGTCTGAGTATCTTTTACCTGGCGGTACATTTGATCCCATTTTTTTCTGGTCTGGGATCGCGATGGCCCACCCCTTCTCTGCGCCCACAACTATTCCCTGGCAACTCCCCAGGCCTGGTCAGGTCCGCCTGGCGGCCTGGCACGACTGGCAGGCTTGCTTGGCATTTACTTAGTACCAGGTGGATGGAAGTTGTTGGTTGCAGTCCAATTAAAATGCTGAGACTGGCGGAGGCTGCCCACGGCCTCGTCTTCCGGAGCCACACAGCGCACCCCGTGTCCAAACCTCATTCCGGGATCTGCTGTGGGTACATAGTACGGGGACAGTACAGACAGACCACACCTCACAGCACACAGGGTTGTCCTTGGCCTGCGCCAGCCTGGCCTGCCTTAGCCCCAAGGTTTCTCTCTACTCGAGTCCACAAAAGCGCGGCTGTCAGACCCACGTCCATCGACAGCCATCGTCCAGACCTCGAGAAGGTACCTGGCATCCTGTACCTGACTCTTGACTCTTCCACCTCCACAGTATTTCTACGGGCGACGGGGGTGGGGGGGAAGGGAAACGATTTTCTATTCCCCCTGTGAGACGTGACATAATTTCTCATAACCCTGCATCGGCTTCTTTGCTCTTGATCTACTCTACCTCATCGCTTACCTTGGTCCACAATCCACAACCTCCTTCTCAACCCTTCGTCAGTACGCCCAAAGTATCCACCCTCGACTGTTTCTCCCCTCCTCCCACGTTCAGACCCGTCGAGCTTGACTGTATGGTATGTCCCAGGCCAATCCTCGTCATTCTATGGCAAGTTGCGAGACCCCGCCAAAGCACATCTCGTGGCATGCCTGCACGTTTGGTGTATTACTGCCTGTCATCGAGATTCCCACCGGCTCATCCACTTCCGATGGGGAATTGCCATCACAAGAAGAAAAAACCACCACAACCCCCCCCGTTCAACTGACTCCCTCTGCTTGGCACACACACAAAGCCCTGAACCTTTTCCCCATCACTCAGAGACTGGCATTCCTTTCAAGATCTATCTCGCAGAGTCACTCTCAACGTACCGCCCTCAGCAACTGATGATATCCTGCTCCGAATAGAATCAAAATTTACTCGGACCGTACATTCGACCAACCCTTCCCCTGACCGCACATCCGCCGCGAGGCAGACATTTTCCGAACAGTCCACACATGTAAACGGAGTCGCATACCTCCCGCAACCGACCACGGTGACCGAGTCTTTGCCCAGGCACTGACCAACAAGTCGACATCTCAGACCTGGCAGGCACCCGACAACGAGACTCGAACCTGGGAGACTGTGGCATTCTAGCACGCACAAGTGGTCGGCGAACAACGCCAGCCCGAGGGTCATCCGCTTGTGGTCTCGCCGCCGCCGCGTCGTCCCGACCCTCGCCCCGACGAAGAATTGTCTCAACCCTGTCACGGCGTTCTGATTCCCACTGGGATCGAACCACTATTCGTTGTTTAGGATTGGGGGCAGCCTCGAAGCTGTGCACCGCAGACCGAACCCTGCCAGAACACGGCATTCATCATTCTGCATGTCTCCAAGACTGGCGGACATTTTCGGCGAGCTAGGGATCTCGCAGTATCTCGATGCCTTCGTCGACCAGGGATTTGACACGTGGGAGACAATCCTAGATATTACAGAGTCGGACTTGTGAGTAGTTGGTTGAATGCGAGCAAGGGCCAACATTGCGAAACATGTCGTTTTGCTAACTCTGTTGGATGTCTTTCCAGGGACGCGTTGGGTGTTAAACTAGGTCATCGAAGAGTAAGTATCAGCATTTGAAAGTGGCATGGGCGCGAAGATTATGGGCTTGCTAACACGTCGGAATAGAAATTGCAAAGACGAATCGCCAATGCAAGAGGCATAGCACCGACCGCCACCCTCGTCTCACCAACCCAGGCGAATGTTGAAGATACTCGGAACGATGCACACAGACCTGACGCCCATGCGCCGTCCGCGGGTGATGGCCGCGACGGCGGGACCCAGCCAGTTGTTCAAAAACGAAAATATCGAAGGCATCCGAAGGTAAGACTTCTTCTGCACCAGTCAGCTTGCTATAGAGCGGGAGCCATCGGTTCGCGACCGACAAATCTCATCGCCTTGACATGCTGCACTCATTGTGTTCATTTTGATGAGAGAGGAGAAGATGAACTGGATTGGCTAACTTGTGCGTTGTTTTATTAAAGCCGGACCAAAATGCGCCCGAACGCCCCCCTTCTGCATATGTCCTGTTCTCCAACAGTAAGTTCGCCACCTCTTACTAATCTTGTCGATCTTTGTGTGTTTTTCATCATGTTGCCAAGTGCTTCTCTTATCTTTTTACCTTTCATTCGACTTCTGCGCGACGTCGTGACAGGCTTGGGTCGGCTTTTGGCTTTGTGTGTGGAGATGAGACTAACGTTGTGGTCGTCACTTCTCCAGAAATGAGGGAGGACTTGAAAGGTCAAAATCTGACGTTCACCGAGATCGCAAAGCTTGTTGGAGAGAACTGGCAAGGCTTGACGCATACCGAAAAGGAACCATTTGAGCGACAGGCTCAAACGGCCAAGGAAAAGTTCACACACGACCTGGCCGAGTACAAGAAGACGCCTGCATACCAAAAGTATCTGGTATATCTCCAGGAGTTCAAGGCCAAATACGGAGACCACAAGCCTCAAGGTTAGGGAGCCCCAGCCGCCCAGTTTGCTTTATTCCGTCTTCTTTTAACATCATTTTCCTTGGCAGAAAAAGACAACGCAAAGAGGGTTCGATTATCGGATCTTCATATCGGCGAGCCCAGTGGCAAATCCAATCATGTCTCGCATACCGCAAGCGCTGGAAGCGTTGGAGAACCCACTGCTAGTAGTGGTGAGCCGCCAGCAAGACGGCGGAGAATAGACTCGCTCGTATCGAACGGAGAGTCGTGCTACGCGCCTTCTGTGGCGTCGGCTTCCCAACGAACCCCTGGCGAGGAATCTAATCTTGCCTCACCAACCACTGGGTACTTTGAACGCCGCCGAGAGCCCTCACCTGGCTTTGCGGTGAGCCCTAAGGATAACTCCAGCCAGCCACCGAGTAAGGGAGTGCGAATAGACCCGATGTATGCGGATGGACCTCGTCCTCGCCCTGAACCGGCTGGGCCGCTTCGACATCTGCCTTCCCTCTCTGATATGTTTGATGGCCGCCCCGTACAGAACGGCATGCCATCATCCTATCCCGGCGAGGCAGCAGTGCCCACCTTCACAATCCTGCCACGAGGCTACCAGACAAATAGTCCCGCACTCACGCCAAGCACCTCTGGCAGCGAATCACGGCCACCATCTTTGATGAAGGACCAGTCGGCGGGGAGCATGTCGTCCGGAAGTGGAAGCTCATCATACAACAGCTATCCCCGGACCCCCATCGAGGGATCTCTACCCATCCATGCTCTCTTGACAGGAGGCGGCGGTGGCGGGAGCAGCAGCAAGCAATTTGCCCCCCCTCCCCCGGACTCGTCCCTTCCAACAGGCCCTGTTCTGTATCGATCCATGTCTCCTGATGAGAGAGGACTACGCCCATACCGGTCGGCGCCAGAACGGCCTCGCAGCGAGTCGGTGTCGGCGGGCCCTATTGTTCCACATCCCATGGGTAGGGTTCCAAGATGGCCGCCCCGTTTGTCGTTCTTGAGAAACGTCACTAATCAGCGCGCTGCAGGTTACTATTCCCCACACTCACACGTTCCTAATCACATATCACCACCACCTAATCATATTCCACCCATGCCTTCAACACACCCTGGGTTCTCATTTGGGTTTAACAAGACTAGGCCTGGCTTACCGCCTGTGTCAGCTCCGCCCATAAGCTCGAACTCAACCGCATCACCTCCTACCCCTGGACCAGGCGGGAAGGGCGACGCTGGGCTGGATGGTATCAGCGCACTTCTCCAGGCTGATAAGATTTCAGATCGCCGCCTGGTGTAGGGCTGACATTAGCAGAAACAAACTTCGAGAAAAGGGACCGCTCCCTATGTTACGAATGCATTCATGATCGTCTCTTACCTAGCTTTCGCTCAAAGACAAGATTTTGTACTATACTTTTCACTTAATGGGTTCCACAAGATGGCCACTCTGGCTTTCTTTTTCACCCGCGATGTCGGTGAGCGATGTCAGGTCACGACCAGCGTCAGTCAGCAGTGGTATAATCTGATGAGGGTTGCGGGAGACAATGCACATGACAAGAGAAGAAAAAAAAAACAAAAAATCCGGGAGGGCGTCACGGCGTTTTCTCTGGACTATCTTCTTTTCAACTGTTCTCGTTTACATGGGTTTAATTTCCGAGTCTGCGGTTTTTTACTTTGGTTTTATTAGTTTTATTGTTTACAGGCTACTCGGAAAGAGTGACAGGATTTCCTCATGCTGCGATGTACTTTGGCGGAATTTGTATTGCACGGAACGGGAGGGAATTGGCTGTTAAAGGATGGCATGTGCAGAGTTGAGGGATCGACGAGACAGATGGTTCCAACACCCGTTGCGCGAGGACCGAACGAAGCCAAGTGTTTGTTTCCCGACAAAGGTCATAAAAAAGAGTCAACGAGCTTGAGGCCATCAGATCTACTGTGATCTCCCTTCTTCTTTCTCTTGGGAAAGGTGGGAGGGGGTTCAATATAGCGGATAGAACAGCATCCGATCGGGTTGGACGATCGGACAGGCGGACGAATGGACGTCATACCGCTATAAAGGCTTGTATATAAAAGTGTCGATACCCCAACAAGATGCCCTCCAGAAAGCTAGTTATCTTTTTCGTGCCTTTCCCTTTTCTTTCTTCTATCTTCAGTCTTAATGAGTGAAGTAGCCAAACGTATGCCGCATCTCTTGAGACGTCGAGGTCTGCTCGGGAGGAGATCTCGGGCTCGACCTTTGTCGGTGTCTAGTAGATTCAAGTCCCTAGCCCAAGACTAAAAGACAGGGCATTCATTGAAGAAGAATGAGAGCCGGAACGGCCCGTTGTTTGTAGAGGAGAGCCACGTTCCACCCCCGTCCCGGGATTTCGCTGGCAATGTCCTCATGAATGGGCCGGCGCTGTTCCATAATGGGGTTTTATTTACAAGTAAAATACAATAAAAGTACACACGTCCTCCAGGAGCAAGTGGAACAAAGCATTCTCGTCTCGTACAGCGCTGCCGCCGGGGGGGGGGGGCGTTTGCGTGCCCTGAGGTATAAGAGGGTGAGGTGAACCCACGATACGATGGCACCTCAGCTGTCAAATGATAAATAGTATGTACTGAGAGGAGAGTAAATTGGTCCGGATCCTTTGCCAGTGCAGTCGATTGTCTTTTTTTCTTCCTGTTTCTTTTTCCCCTCCCCTGGTTGTTGTTTAGCGCCTGTGTCATTTCCCTACCAGCCACCAGCGCCTAATTAGGCTTGACCTGGCTGGCTGGGGTTTCCAGCTCTCAGGCCCCGAACTGGATAAGACGGTGGGGATGGCAGATTGGTGGCCCCTTCCCTGACACCCATCACCCATCACTCATCACCCATCCTCCCCCGCCACCTGCCTGATCCTGGCGTACTGGAGCTTCCCTATCTGGGGCGACACTCTAGCCGTAGTAGGCCCCCTGCTCAGACCGCCAGAGCGCCCAAGCTCTCCTCCTCCTCCGCTCTCTCCTCTCAGCTGCTTGGGAATCGTGGAGCTATCCAACCAGAAACCTCTGTTTTTTACCTGGTCGAGGGCAGCAGATACCTTTAGTAGTAGTTGCATTGGGTGTTCCCACCCCAGCCTTCTTTGCCACATAGTGGGAGGTGTACCCCAGTCTTTTTTTCCTGCCCTGTACAAACAATCAACCCCAAGAATAACAAGAACGAGAAGACGGACACAATAGCTATTTGGATGACATAGTCCTTTTTTTTATTTTTTATTTTTTTTATTTTATTTGAATATCCCATCTACACTGAAACCTAGCTCCTCATTGTGCGCCAGCTATTTTTTTTTTATGAGAAAGCAAAACAAACACCAAACCGTTGTGACGACACATCAATGCTGGCGACAGAGCAACAACTGCATTTGTCCATGTCAAGATGATGAGCGATCCTCGGCGCCGGAGCCCAGAGAGCTCCCGGCGCAGGCGCAAGGCACGGCGGGACTCGAGAGAGCAGGCGACAGTGGAGGACGCCGCCAGGTCCATCATGATGGATGGCAGAGAGCGGGAGAGACGTGTTGGCAGCACGTCGTATCACCACACCTCCTCCCCGCCCCAGCAAGCCGCCGCCGACCTGCCCCCGATCACGATGCGCAGCAGCGACAACACGCCTCGAATGCCCACCATGTCCTCGATGCCCATGCCCATGCCCATGTCCGCACCGCTTCCCACAGACCACAATCGTCCGCGCCCTCGGGGCACCAACCGCCGCGGCTCCGGCTCCAGCTCCGAGCTCACCTACTCGACGTCCAGCGGCTCGTCCTCGTCCTCGTACCTCGACATCTCGCGGTGGTACCCCAGCTATGGCCGCTCGGGCGGCGTTCTGAAGACATTCTGGAGGACGCCCTCAGAGCACAGGCCGCGGCGGCGTGGGGGGAGTAGACGCAAGCCCAGGAAGACGAAGCCGCCCACCATCTTTGGCTTTGGCAACAACTCCTCGTCAAGCAGTGTCAACTCCGATATGGCATATGGCATGGGCTTTCTCAAGAAGCCAAGGAGCCGAGGTGGGGGTTTCAGCCCGGAGCTTGGTGCTGTCGGTACTGTAGGTGCTGCTGGTGCTGCTGGTGCTGCTGTTGCTGCTGGTGTGACTGCGGCGGCCGGCTCGGCTAGCTTCAGGAGGGAGACCTCGGATGGCAGGCCGGGCACCTTGCAGAGGCGGCAGACGGACGAGGAGATCATGGAGATTGGACGAAAACTCGCCGAGGTCGCAAAGAAGCAGAACCGTGAGGACCTGCGTGCGTCGGGCAAGAGGCCGCCATCGTACCTCATGGGTGCCGCGACCACGTGGGAAAGGTATCAACGGGAGAGCAGTGGGACCCTGGCGTCAGGTCGGGGACTGGCACCATCCAGGCCGGACCGCCATCAGCATGGATACTCATCTGACGACGAAGAGTGGGAGTCTGCGTCGGAGGACGGCGACGAGAGTGACGACTACTCTGCCCTCGCGTACGGCCATGCCGAACTCCATACCCCACGGCCAACCACGTCCTCCGCTGCCGGCGTGAGCACGGCATCTGCGAGGCCGCCGCGCCCCGAGAGGAAGTCTTCTGTCGTCGACCCGAAGCTGTTCGGTCCTGCCAACTCGCTGCGTGACTTCGTCAACACGCCATGCGGCTTCAACGACGGCTCTCGTGCTTATAGCATGCCTGCACCGGGCGAGGCGAGGTACGCCGGCTCGACTGAGAGCGCCTCAGCCGAAGCGAGGCCTCTCCAAAGGGTGTTTCCCCTGCAGACCTCAGATCCAGGCAGGATGGAGGCTGCCCGCGGCTCGGGTTCGGTCGTGTCTGCACAGCCGATCCCCTACTCATCATCTTCTCGCCCGGACCCGATTCCCATTCAGGCCCCCAAACCTATCGTTCCCGTTCCACGTCGCATCTTGGAGGAGGAGGAGGAGGAGGAGGAGGAGGAGGAGGAGGAGGAGGAGGAGCGTCTCCACGAAGCTGAGCCTTCTGAGCCTCGAGAGCGCCGCCGCAGGCCTACCAAGGACAACCCAACCTTTGCCGAGACTGCCCTGGTCGGGGCAGGCGTGGCAGGTGCTGCCGCATTGGGCGCAGCCATCCTCGCAGGGCGCGACAAGGGCAAGGGTAAAGAGCGTGAAGCAGAGCACGGGCGCGACGAGAAGTATGGCCACGAAGACCACCGTAGAGACGAGACCAAGATGGACGACGCCAAGAAGGCCCAAGAGCTCGCGCTTATGAAGGAGATCGAGAGGCTCGAGCGCGCGCTCGGAAAGACCAATAAGGCCCGCGAACAGCGCAAGCGTGACTCGATGAGGGACAGCGGCGGTCGACCTGATGAGCCGCCGTCGTCTGAGGGCCGCAAGACTGAGGCTGGTGCGGACGAGGCCAGGGATCACGAGCAAGACCGCGAAAGAAGGCGCCGTGAGCGCCAGGCCAGACGTGGTGAGCCGTCTGCACGTGATAGTAGAGATGCTGACCGCAGCTTCGACGATTCGACTCAACGTGCGTCGGGTGATAAGTTTGACGTGTTTGCGTACCGAGTTCCAGACAGCTCCTTCAGGTCTCACGATGATGAGCCTCTAAGGGCGCCCTCGCCACTCATCATCGATGTTACGCCGTCTCCCTCACCGGCACCGGAACAGAACGACAGGGGCCGGCGGATTCTGGCCGCGGAGGAGGAGGAGGAGGAGCGCGAGGCCAAACACATCTACGAAGAGGCGAAGCACGCCACGGCTCCCCTCCCTGAAGCCGCCATGGCTGCTGCCATTGCGGCTACGGAGCACTCTCGCCAACATCGAAAAGAGGAAGAAGGGCGCGGCCGCTCCAACTCACGGACGGCAGACCAGATTCAGGAGGCTGCCAACCAGTACTACCACGCACGGCGTGTTGCTGAGCGCGAGCAGCGCTCTCGCAGCCGCAGCAGGTCAGCCCGACGCGAGCGCTCGGTCGTGGATAACTACAAGGAGGATGAGGACGACAGGAGCCAGAGGCCGCCGCGGATCGTCACGCCGCCCGAGATGACCAACAAGCCCAAGAAGAACCAGTACAGCGAGCCCAACGCCGACATTACCTTTGACAACATGATGTCACCTACGCAGCTGCTCGGCTACTGGCCCGAGGAAGCCCCTGTACGGGACTCGAGTACCCATCGGCCAAGGCCAGTGCTCAACCTGGTCATGCCCACGCCGGTGCCAACGCCGACCCCGGAGAAGCAGCAGAAGGCTGCTGAGCGTGCCAGCGACGAGCCTCAGACCAAAGCCCCGTCGGTCGTCATCGGGCCCAAGGGCGAGGTTGTGGAGGTCATCGAGGTGATAGAGGAGCCGCCGCC